TGCTTGTAATGCATGACCCAGCATCACAGATTTTTGGAAAGCTTCCTGATGCCATTTCCGCATGACAAATGCCCTCCTCGCGTAGCACAAATGTGGCTCGTCTTGCTTGTCATGCAATACAGATTTTTTTCGAGTCCAAAGTTAGCATCACAAGTTCCAACTTTCCAGACCGTAGTAGTTACACTGTGTCCCCTTCTGGATATTTCCTCTATTCTTTTCGGCAACATCTTCTCGTCTTCATCCCACTCGGTCTCCGCGTCGGTGATCAGCTCCAGTTTTTCCCCGCCTTTCAACAGCCCGACTGTTTTTGCGAAATTGGTGATGCGGGGGAGAAACATGGTCGCTTTGGTCCTTTGTGGTTGATGCTCCACCTCTGCCAGACGTAGTTCCTGTACATCATTTTTCCTTGCTGGAACTGCTGCTGATGAAATCGCGGTGGACAGGGCACGTACCTCGTCATGCTGTGGGCTTGTCATCAATGCACGCTGCAAATCTGTTTCCCCTTCCAGCGACCTGCGCAAGGCAATTACGGCGCCGTCCGGGGCCTCCTTTGGTCGGGTCGCGGTGGCCTGGATGTGGGATTGTTGAGGAGGGTAAAGGGAATGGGAAAGTAGAGGCACTTGTCATGCATGAGAGCAATCGCACTCGAAGAGGCAGGTACAGGTTAGCATGCTTGAATCTTCTACTCATCAAGGCATGCAAAAAAACAACTGTACTTACCACACACGTCAGGTCCCGCGGCTCCTTTGTCCGCAACTCGTAGCTAAACGTAGCATACGCATCCGGAAGACAAAACTCTGTGATTTGCCGGCGCATCGTGGGGAGCAACACCGCGTACACATCCCCCATCAACATCGTGATTGTGAGCGCAGCGACGCCGAGAAACATGCAGCCGAACTATACATTGCAAATATGTCTGGGTCTGCAAGAGTGCGCTACTTTGTCATGCACGTTTTGCATGACCCATGACGGCTGTGATGCATGTCCTAGCATCCCAGACTTTTTCAAGGCTTGTTGATGCCTACCCCGCATGAGAAATAATGCCCTCTCCGCGCAGCAAGAACTAGACTCCTCCTGCTGCTCATACAATGCAGATTTTTTTCGAATCCAGAGGCAGCATGACAAGTTCCACTTCTCCAGAGGCCGACATATTTGCAATCCATACGAACACGTACGCGACAATAAAGGTCCGCTTCTTCAACGCCACTCCGGTACAGTATGAGAGTGCACAACTCCCCCTTCCCCTCATTTGTAATGCAAAATACCAAATCTACATCCTGTCTTTAGGCACTATCTGCATGCCAAATTTTGGAACCTCAAGCAGTACAACCATGCGTGCACAGATTTGTCATGCGGAAGCCAAATATCTGCGGTTGCTTGTGTTGCTGTTCATGCCATACAAATGAGAAGGAGGGGAGTTGTCCCTCCACTTTCATACACACGCGCACACGGAGAAAAAGAGGGACAGAACCCCGACAGTCAGTAAGGAGAGGAAAAACAGGTGCAACGAAATCGGAACTCCGTCTCCGTCCATCGTATCTGCTTTGACCATATCAAATGCAAACATGTCTCGGTCTGGAAACTTGTAATGCTGAGCTGTGAAGAGTGAATTCTCTGTGATGCACAGCCAAGCATGGGAAATATTTGCGCGGCTTCGTGTTGCGCTTTCCGCATGACAAGCTGCGTTGTGCATGACAAGCAAAAGGGTCTCTTCTCGGACACGCATCACAAACTCCTCAGTCATGCCAGACAAGCATAACAAACCCCGCATCCTTCCAGACCCAGACATACTTGCAATGCATAGACCATGTCATCGGCCCGTTTTAAGCCCTGGGACTTGGTGGCGAGATGAGATAGCACGAAGAGCCCGAGTCCCGCAAGCCAGGTCACGGTCGCGCAGAGCAGAAAGAGGGATTTTAACCCTCCGAGACCGATTTGACACATCTTTAGTATGTAGTCGGATGCTGTGCTGAAGTTCTTGTCTACTATTTTCACCAGCTTCTTTTCATCTCCTGACTCCAATAGGTGCCTATGAAAATAGCTGTCTGTCGTCCTGGTTCAGAAGGAGCTACACTCGCGGGAAGCTGTGTAGTTGCCAATGCGCCGGCTCTCCCTCACGTCTGTCTCTCTCTCTCCGCTCTCAAGTCCACAGATTGCTGTTGCGTTTCGTGACTGAAAGCGCGAATACAGGGTTGTAAAGAAGGGCAGCTGCACCTGCACTCAGCATCCTGTACCCTGCCTGATCGTGGTACGTTCTTTCGTAGTGCGCAATTTTCTCTCAAAGAACGCTGGAAGGATAAGTAAAGAACAATTTCCATGCACACACTAGGTCAGCGTGGCGTGCCAGGTTGCAGCTCCCCTCTGCTTCCTTACAGCGGCGGTTTATTTTTTGCAACAAAGAGAAATAATTCGAAACAAACACAAGAAAGTACGACGGAAGTAGATACAGTTGACGTCAGAGGTTGAAATAAAAGAAGATAAAACTCGAATGCACTGTTACTAGCAGTGCTGTGGGTTCTTGTGTATCACTAGTGGGGTCCGATCCGGTTGCTGTCGTCTTCTTCTAAACTCAAGGACAAATTCGCCTCATGTTTTCAAGGTGGCAGATTAGAGAACTTAGGATCTACTTTTTTTAAAGGATAGGTGGGTTTTTAGGTTACGGGCTTCAAGGGCAGATTCTGGGGATACAAGGAAAAAAAAACATGAAAATCAACCTAATCTATCTCGTTTTGTAGTAGATACTGTGAATAAATACTACATTATCTGACTCGCTTTGGATTTCGAGTTCCAGAAATTCCCCCGCGTCGATATCCTTGAATGCATCTGACTCGCCACGGTTTCTCTGGGTTTCAGAACTATTGCCTCCTTCGCGTCGTCCCGCGTAAACGCCAACCCGAACGGGGTTAAAGCAATATTCGCGAGTCGCATGTGATTACACGCCACGGGGATGCAGACGACGGACAGTAAACACAAAAACGCCCCGAGTAAGTGGAGCAAGAACAGGACTAATCCAAAGGGAAACCACAGAATATTGCCCACTCCACCCGCCGCTGCGCGTTGGTTTGGTTTCTGCCAGATGTTTTTATCCTTCTTCCACGGATATAATATGATCGCCGCAATGCCCCAACAGTTCCAGGCGTGACTGTAAGCACCAAGCAAAGCCCCGGGGAAGATCATTAAGCAGCCGAACACCGCCCACAATATCACCAACGGCATGCCGCCGAACACCAGCCAGAAGGTGTGTTGTACCGCAATCATGGGTATCAACTGCAAAAATGTCTGGGTCTGGAAGAGTCATGCTGCTTTTGCATGACGCATAAGGTCTGGCATGGAAGCTCTAGCATCACAGATTTCGAGAAGCTTCCGCAATGCCGAATCCGCATCACAAATGCCACATTTTGGTGACAGAAAGTGGGCAGCTTTTGTTGCCTATGCATGAGAGATTTTCATGTGTTGTGAAATTTGCATCACAAGTTCGCATTCCTCCAGACCCAGACATATTTGCAATCCATAATGGGCTTCTTCTGGTTCTTCGGCAGTTGCACGCACTGCATCGTGTCCAAATGCCGGTCTTTTCTCACGTCTAAATCTTGCGCCGCCAACGATTGAAACCTGGAGTGTCTCGCACTGGGCCTGTTCATCGACTGCGGTCCCTTGCTCCCCCCCGCCATGGCGGCGGCGAGGGATAAAGAGGATGGTTGTGCTTTACTACTCGGCGAGAGGACTTCGGCCGCCGTGTCTGGGAGACTGGCGTTTGACTTCGGCGGAGGAGAAGTATATGGCGCTATTTGTGGTGGTGGAGGGGGCGGTGGGGGCGGTGGGGCTACTTCGGGTTCTTGTTCTATCTGGATCGCCGTGGAGTTATCTTCTTCTCCTGCACCAGCGGCAAGATCCCCTTTCCGTTGCCGCCTCCGCCCACCTCCGCCGGCAGCGGCGCGCTCGTGCCGTGGCATGATGGATTTTTACTTTCCTACTAGGGGTTTTGATTCCATGCTGCTAAAACAAGTGACATCAAACTAGAAACGTCTAGCTAGTGCTGCGGAGAAGCAAAACATGTTATTTTTGGGCGTATCAAAGTCGGAAAAACATTGCAGCGAGTGCGCACTAGTAACTCGATAGAGAACAATGCCCTACTTATGTATCATGACGCCCCATCCGGGGCGCAACAGGACCCACTGGATCTTACTAGATGGGGAAATTTTTTGATGTTCCTTTTACCTGTAATAGGAAGAAGATAATTTGCACTTGATCATCCGGCCACTGCAGCACGACAAGGCGTTCTGACATCACACGGATACGGTGGACGAACGAGTAGGACGACAGTGATCATCGTTGCCTTATACATAGTTTCGCACGACGAGCACCTACAGCTACAACATCTGTGGACGGGGCCGCAAGATAAATCACGAGAGAGACGCAAATTAATTTTGTCTGTTCTCGACGTTCACGAACCAAGAATTTCAAAACCAACTATGGATCTACTGCAGGAGATCTTTACGATGAATGCTCAAAATTCTAGTTATTGGAACGATGCACGAGAACGAGAACGATAGTGCAAGTAAATGAACGGTGACGGCATTAACAAATTTTAGTGTTGTAACGGCAACGGCACAAAGAGCGACACACTTCAAATCCGTACGAACAACGCACCAGGGTGGAACAAGCGGCCATTAAGGTCGAGTCTCCATTTTTCCCACCTGGCTTCTGGAAGTGAAAGTCTAGAATTACATTGTGAATCTTCAATTATCAGTCGCTTGTTCTGTCAAAACCCAAAGTACTCACTATTTCGAGGAGCCAATTCTTGCGTACACACGATCGAAGTAAAAAAGTTCCTCGTCTAGTAGTTCTGCTAAGTTGAGTTCTCTTTGTCGTCGCGTTCCGCTTTGTGCGTGCGTGGCATCTTCTTCACAAACAATTCCATAATCAGTAAAACCTTCCTCGATGGTGTAAATTGCTACCGCGCCCGGTTGTACTAGCGCTGTGGTCCATATCTGTGATGCTTGCTGGCATCATAGAAGAAGTAGAATGACACCCAGGACGATTACTCCGATAGTCATTGTCTCCCTTCATCCCGCTGAAATCGAAATTATCTTCCAGAAACTGCTGTGGCTGCGGATAAGGAAGCTGGTGGTAGGAGGAGGATGATGATGCGCCCCAAGAGCCGGGAAGATTTTGGTTGTTATACTGCTGCATCTGCTGCGCATGATATTGCTGCTGCTCAACTCCTCCCGTCGTACCACTTCTCCCACCCCCACCACCCGTTCTGTTCATCATCCCAAACAGCATATTGAACCCGATCAACACCACCACCATCAACAGCGGAAACCCGACAATGGTTTTCCATTCCAATTCGGAAAAAAAGCCGTTCAAGGCCTCGCCAAAGGTCGCGGCGGAAAATTTCGTTTTGTACGCAACCTGCAAAGGATCTTGGTCCATACAGGCCTGCCACTGCCGGCAGGGCTGTTCCAGAGCCGGACGGACGTCGATGCCGCACCTGATAGTTTGGTATTAATTGAGAAAGTTTGATTTTGATAATATGGTGTGAAGATCATGTGATGCTGCAGCTCAACCTTGTAGTAAAATTTGAATTTGTTCATCCCGGTACTAGCGGGTGTAGGTGGTGTTGTACTAGTGATGATGCAAACAGCACGAAAAAAGGTGTTCAGCGAGTCGACGAATCTTGTTGTAAAAAAAAACGTAACCCATTTCAATACTTGTTCACGGTGTAGTCGTGGCTGCATTTCTCTATCTGGTCCAAAATCTCTTGCGAGTATTTTTCCACCTTCGTCTGAATGTCATCCCGGATCATCGCGTAAAAGCTGTACAAAGCCCAAAACCCGAGCGCTAGAACACAGCTGTTAAAAATCGTCTGGGCGATAGAACTGACGAAAACGGGGATTTGCTGCAACGGTATTCGATTTGGGTTGCTGGTGGCGCTGTCGCTACTGGAAGGGGAAGATGTTGATACCACCTGACCGTTGTTCGACGCACCACCCGCCGGAAACATCATGCCCTCGGGCGGATTTCCCTGGAAGAAAAACGCGCCTTTCGCTATGTTCATGATGTTCGTGGATGGTACTACCCCTGCTCCATTTTGCCGGCTATTCAACATTGTTCCACCTGGCAGCATGCTGCTGAAGCTGTTATTTAGTGTACTTGTATCCAACTCGTACTCCGGGACTGGTTCCACGGTGTGTGACGAGGACGCGGAGGACTTCTGTGATGCGTTTTTCCCATTCTGATCCAGCATTTCCTCATCTTGATCCGAGCTTATCGGGTGGTGATTATTGTCGTGCTCATCTCCATCCGCCGCATCTATCCGGGCGAAGAGCTGTCCCAGGTCCCGTGCGGAACGCTGGAAGAGGCCGCAGTTTGACGACGATTGATGTCCTCGGGAGCTGTTGTAATTATGGTTCGACGACGCATCGCCCATCACAATGTCCTCCACTACCTCTTTCGACGTTTTGATTGGGGTCTGCGGTGTTCTGGGTTTACTAAACAAAGCACTTGACGCCGCAGTTCCCCTGCTGGAGGAAGAACTACCTCCCCCATACTGCGAATTAAACCGGCTCGACTGGCCGAGTCCGGCTAAACCACCGACAAAATCGGAAGCGAGTTGCTCATCATGCTCGTCTGGGAGCGCGGACTGGTAGTTTTTGTTCGAACTCGGGTTGCTGGAGGGGAGGCGGTCGCGGTTAGTAGTTGTGCCGAAGGGAGTGGTGGTGTTGCGGAACATCTTTTTTTCTAGTGCTATGACTTCTCGTTCACTACACAGACTTTTACCAACCTCGCTAAAAACAAGGTGGTCGCTAAATTAGTCCAATGCGGGTGAGTTGTTGTATCTCTTAGCGGCAGATGAAAAGATATCTAGCGGTAGCGACGCTCCTCTTCAACATGATATCGACGTCGTGCTATATCCACTACTCCTTCCTGGTAGAAAGCCAGACAGCGACCTGCCAACATTACACACAACAACTTCAACCACAATCACAATTTTAGCGAAATACATAGGAAGATAATCCGAGCGACCCTCTCGGGCCTCGCTTCTACTCCAAGAGATCACAATTTTCATTTCGATTCGGAGTTTCCTTCTTTTAGAAAAATAGAATACCAATGAGATGACGGGCACGGATCGAAAGTTATATTTTTCGAAGATTCAGTGCGATATTGTCATATGATCGGAAGTACGTTTTCGATCCGATTATTTTCCAATCAAAATTTTACATTGTATTCGAGACCACGTGCACAGAGCCATTCGATGCCAAAAGTCTCTTTCATTTGATCACTCACTTATCAAAATCAAGTGGTCCCGACAAGATCAAGGAACGATCTCAAGATAATTCTCATTTGAACTATACATAGCAACGAAGACGGCAAGGCCTCGCTCTCACACGGAACGAGGAGGAGATTCTCGTGTAAATCATACCCGATTTTTATGGGACCTTTGACCTACTTGAAGAACATCAGTCCGCCCATCTAGGCCACTTCTCGACGAAGCTGGGCAAGCCCGGAAGTCATTCTTCGTGAATTTTCTTTTATCTTCCCTTTTTTGAGATACTTTTTTTTCTTTTCTCGCTCTGTTTTTCCAAGCGCTTTTCCATCCTATTCCGCATCTACGTTCCGTTCCTTTGCTTTGCCCTCTAACTACGCCACAGCGCCCCTCTGGTGATCGCGATCGCGATCGTTTTCGTTTTTATCACACAAATATAATTGTCATCCGAGCCCAATAATAGGAGTCTAATAAGCTACGGACGGAGCTGCAACAAGCGCAGTTCTTCAAACAAACCACGACTCCTCACCTAATGCTACAGGTCGTGCCACAGCTAGCACGTCGCCTTTGCCTTCTTCCTAGGTAAAAAAGCACAAGAAGCTTAATATTTTCACCAAGCGAAGGCTCTTAATAAGAAAGAGTCTCTTCTGTACGGCGCCTACTTGCTTTATTTCCTGATTTTTATACGCACCAATGCCAAGAATCCAACGTACTGCGATAAAGTAGTATTCTCATAATATGGTAAAATTGCGAAAAATCTTTACTGCTACGCGATCGCGATCTTTATCGCGCTGACCTTCTTCGCGTCAGTTTTGAAAAAAAATATAACATTCAGGTTTTTTGCTGCGACCACAGCCATAGAAACTGCCCAATCTGGTTTCAATCGGGACAGCTTTCCCGACCTTGTTGACATTGACTCTACTATACCCTTAAAACTGAGAATACGATCTCAGACATTGTGACTTCAATTTTGCTTCGAGGATGTGCTTGTATCATGAAAAGTAGGAGTTCCTGTTCCTGTTTAGATCAAGCCTATCATGCTTTCTTTTTTTTGGCTGCGACACGACTTTAGATCAAGATCTAGATCTCCCTGGAAGATTACGAGTTTTAATAGAGAAACGTCATCAATTGAAAATGTACAGAAAGCATTTCTTGAAAAAAGGATTTTCTAAGCGCACTTCTTTTCGGAAAATCTCGGTAATGTACACCTACCTTGACTATCACAGGGGCAAATGAATCACATTACAAATGAATCACCATACGGAAAAAAAAAAAATTTCCGTGTACCGCAGTGCATGGCACGGCTCGCACGCATAAAGTAGCGCCCAACATATACAACCAAATAACCTGAGACACAGCGACGCTTCTCAGGAAAGTCGCGCCTTTCTCGATAAGGTTTGCGCTATTTGGTTGGTGGCTACGGTCGGGGGACGAACGCAATGGCCATGGGTGGATGCTGGGGCCATCGCGCCTGAATAGCTTGCAAACAACTCGGGGGAAGCATTCGCAACCCAAAATACCAAGCAAAAGCCCATTGCTAAAGATAGGAAAAGCGACACCACAAAACTGAAGTGATTACACCTCCATACCGTCGGGCGTAGCGTTCCGAGGGTGTCGCATTTTGTGAAAAAGTGACAACTTTTGCCAAAAATTCATCTTTTTCGAAGCGAAAAAAGAGGTGTAATCACCTTGCGTTTTGTAGCTATCAATTAGCCCTATGATTCATTTGACTCCTCCCGCTTAGTATCTGCTTGAATCACCCCTGCAAAAAAGCGCGACTTTTGGCATCAAACTGATGCCCGAAGCGCGTCTTTTTCGCGTCAAATCACCCAAGCAGATATCAAGTGGGCTTGACTTTTTTTTCGTCTGAAACAGGCTGAGCATCTCAAGTGATTACACCTCCACTGTTCTTCTTTCGCCACTTGGTAACAGTAGAGTAGGGCAAGAGTAAGAATAGTGCGCCAGTAGCACCATGCGGGGTAGCATTATGCGCCACGGTGTGATGCTTTGGGGCTGGTCTTGTGGTAACTTCTATGGCATCTTCTGCGCACTACATCCTTACTAAAATGCGACGCCTGGGGCTTTTGGTCGCAGCCTTCTCAAGCATTCGCCCACTGCAATCTACCGACCAGCTGTTTCTGGCGCGGGGAAAAAAGCTGCAGGCGCTACGGCAGTTGGGGACGCAAATTTTTTTTTTTTTTCGGCCCTATGATTCTTTTGAAAGTGATTCACTTCTGCTCGGAACATCTCGATAGTATTATCTAGCACGGGCGGTCGCTCCGCGACCGCCGGAGAGGTATGGAGCAGACAAAGAAACGATGGGCCCGATCTCCCTGTAAGACGTCTGCAGGGGCGCGGAAGGAGTGGAGGGGGGACGAAAACCCTGCAGTCGCAGGGCTTTTCCGTGCGCCTGAGCCCCCCGGAGAAAGACAATAGGTGTGACAGGGGCCCGCCCCAGGCCCCAGGAGCAGGAGAAGCTCCGGGTCCAGGAGAAAGAAAGAACAATAAATTTGCGATCTCCGGAGGAGAAGCTCCGCGGGTTCCCAATAAATTTGCGAGCACCCCCTCAGGCTGCGAGACTTGCGGGCGGCTGCTCGTCATGCTAGTTACGCCTCCAAGGCGGCAGGGCTGCTTTTGACGGGGCACATAGGGGCGCAGCTGTGGAAACTGCGTGCGCGACAGAGAACCTGGCCTGCCAGGCAGGTGCAGCCAGCACAGTGGGACTGGGCCCGCTGTGTGTGATAACCATTTAAGGCATCGAGAAAAGGCGCTTTTTTCTTTGTGCAGGGCGGCGGGAGCATCCACACCAAGAGGGGGCCGCCCCCGCGGGGCAAAATGTGGCGACCCAAACAAAGCGCAAAGCCATCCCCGGCACCGTGGCGGGGCCGGAGCTGCTAGATCGCCTGCACTTGCGGGCCCAGCAGCGCGCGCCGCGCCACCCTCGGGCAGATAAATAAGGACTCGCCCTCCCACGGCTGCGCCCCCTTTTCCCGGGAACACGCGCCACGCCCCGCGCTACCACACAGGCACGGGTTGCTCGGCGCTAGGTCCTCCACAGGGGGCAAGGGAAGCAAGCAGCGCGGGCGAGCTCTGTGGCGGAAGCTCGGGGCGAACCGGCCCGCGAGGCAGTTTTCTACTAGTAAGCTTGCTCCTAGTAAACTCTCTACTAGTACGCTTACTAGTAGTTTTTTTGCTTGCTTGTCCGGATAAGATTACTAGCAACGTTGTTTACTAATAAAGTTCTCGGACTTTCCTTACTAGTAAGATTTTACTAGTAGAAATCGGGTTAGGCGTCAATCGATTTTCTTGCCGTATAGTATATAGGAAGCGCACTTCTGCTCGGAAAATCTCGATAGTATACACCTACCTTGACACGAAATACTTTAATCCTTCTGCCTTTGACAGTTTGCTGTAAAAACTTCGCGATCTTCATTCGTCACACTAGTTGACCCGCGGTAAAAATCAGCGCCGATTCGAGGCGGAGGCCACAGAGTCAGAATCTGTTTCATCGCTGGAAGCACTTTACACACAACTGCTTGGTCCACCTCTTGGGAATTCTTCGTCCTATTTTGGTTCCAAGTCGCCGAACAAATCTGCATCTGCGTTTTTCAACAGCAAATCCAAATTGCTCTGCGATTCCTGCGCCTGGTGCTTCCGTCTTTCTTCTTTCTCCGACTGCAGTTTTTCTTTCACCTTGCACACATTCGGATCGCTGGATTGCGATTGGGGAGGTAGTTGCATTTGCATTTGCAACGCTTGTTGCTGGGCAGAAGTTACAAGGGCGGTCCCAGCGGTAGCAGTAGTACTTTGTGATGAAGTAGCCGCTGGCATTGGAAGAAAATTCGTGGAGGTCTGTGCATTCGGTATCGTTGGCAGTTTGATGTTGTTTGTCGTGGCTGTGGCAGTGCTTGGCGGCATTGGAATGATCTGTGGCTGCTGTAGTTGCTGCACCCCTCCAGCTGCTGTAGCGGGCGGAGGAGGAGGTACAGGTGGTACTGCTGTCACGTTATTAACGCCTGAAGTTCGCGGCGTGTCGTCAAATTCCAGCAGGTTCAAATGCTCCACATCGCTCGAACTAGAGCTCGGCTTCAGTTGTTGTCCGGGGGCTTGAAGCTTGTTGACCTGAGAAAAAAAATTTTCAGTTTTTCATCATACGAAAGAACAGAATTCAATTCTGGATAACAACACAACAACGAAAGTCCACTTCTTGATTTCGTCGTGGTCATGCTAAAAGTAAAATCGACCACCTGTAGTTCTTACAGGAAACAATGGTCAACATCCTTGGTCGTGCATCAAGACGAATCAAGATCAACTACAACATACAAGCAATAGCAAAATGCAAAACCGAGCGAATAACAATAAAATTCGCAATTATATATACCATCTGCTGCGGCGCTGAAAAGGCGGACGGTATGTTAAAAAACACATCGTCCAGAGATTCTTTCCTTGTGTTGGAATTCGGCATTGTTGCAGCCCCCTTTGCGGTAATGGTGTTGTTATTGCTGCTCGTATTGAAATCTGGCGAGTCGGGGAAAATGAAATCCGAGCTGCTTATAGCGGCGCTCATCTGCGTCTGCGACCCCTGCGGGTGCCCCGCCCCGGGTTGCTGGTTCAACATCCCAGGTTGAAGAGTTGTAGTAGCTGCACCTTGTGCGGCAGCGGCTTGGTGATTCAGATTTTGTCCCGACGCAGAAGATGACGGGAGATTGTTGTAGTTGTTCCCAGCACCATTACTAGAAGTAGCACCACCACCCCCCGAAGCCACTGCAAGAACTCCCTGCGTCGAAGATGAACTACTACTTTGCGCCGGCGGCGGTGTGGTCGTGACATTTTTGTACACCGAATTCCCGTTTTGTGCGTGCTGTCGTAAAGCGGATTCGAACATGTTGCTCAACATCTCGCCGGAAATCTCCTCCGAAGTTTTTTCCCGCTGCAAGGAAGTTTTATTCAAGTACATGCGGTTTTCTATGTTTTTCTCATTCTCTGACGCTTGGGCAGACGCAGAAGCGGAGTTGGATTGGGAAGGGATATTGCTTCTGTTGGTCATGCTCGTTTCGCGCTGGAGGGGCATTGTATTGATCGTGTCTGGAGGAACAGAGCCTGCTGCACCTCCCCCGGCGGTAAGCAGGTGCTCCGCTAAATTCCTGTCCGCAAAGGATGGCTGGAAGGTGTAGAGGTTGGTATTAGCGGTGTTCAAGTGTGTAGTACTCCCCGCGACCAAATTTGCACTGCTGTGGTCTACTCCAGTTGTTGGTGCCGGCACAGGAACAACATTCCCATCCATCACACCACTTGGCCGGTTCGAGGCCGCTCCGCCTCCAACGATGGAGGAAGAACTGGACACCGAGGACATACTGGCATACTGGTGTCGTAATGCGTGGTTTGCTAGATTTCGATCTGCAGAGTCGGTCCCGGTGGGCAATAGTTGCGGACCAGGTGCAAGAACACCAGGTTGCGGCACTGCATCAGCATCCCCAGAACCACCCTGTTGCTGTTGTTGTTGTCCCGGCAGTGGCGAGGTAGTGGAAATTTTGTCCATCCGCGGCGGCGGCGTAGAGACGATCGGCTGCGTCGAAAAGGGGTGAGGGAATACCGTGTGTTGCCCCCGCTGCTGGTCTAGTTGTGCTTGCCGCTGCAACAGGGACAGTGCGGGTTCTTGTCCAGGGAGCGGCGGTGTGCCGGTGGCAGATTTTGGGGTGCCTTGTTGCCCGGCCTGTGTTTGCATTTGATGTCCCCCGATCGACATCGGCTTCTGTTGTACTATTGGTGGCACGGGTGGTTTTGGAGGTGTTGAAGTAGAGGTTTGCCGCGGGACTGCATCCACATTATTTATGAAGCTATGCGGCGGCGCACTGTTTGCTGTCTGCTGCTGCCACTGTGGCGGCGGCGGACCTGCTGACGCATCAGCTGCATGCACAGAACCCGCCCCCGGCTGTTGCTGAGCTGTTATAGGAACAGCCGGTTGCAGGTGCTGGCGCTGCGATTGCTGCTGGTGCTGTTGCACTTCCGATGGTCCTGGAACAAATTGCGCTGTAGATCCTGTCTGCGTCATCTGCAGTGGAGGTGCGACCACACCCATTTGTTGCTGCACTTCCGCCACGAGAGGACGAGGTGGAACACTATCAAAAGGCACAGACTGCTGCTGCAACACTGGAGAATGCTGCATGACCTGCGCAGGATCATGCTGCTGGTGTTGCTGCATAGCACCGCCTTGCTGCAGATGCTGCTGTTGCGGCTGGACCGGTGGCGTCTGTGGCGTACCTTGTTGCTGCTGCTGCTGGTGATACGTCGCCATCGGAACCAAACTAGGAGTGCTTCCAGTCGTCTCTTGCTCTACAACTTCCATAGTGCTGCCCGTCACCACACTCCCGACCAAAGCTGGGCGGCTCTGGCCAACGGGGGTTCCGGTATTAAGAGTGGCCCTAGTTGTACTACTGGTGACCATCGGAGCTGGGCTGATGTTCTGCGGCGGCTGCGGACCACCGGGCTGCTGCTGCAGTTGCTGCTGTTGCGGCGGTTGCGCCCCCGCAACTCCGGTAAAAGTTCCACCCTGCCGCGAGCTCGACCCGGACTGCGCTGACAACGTTCGGTCCACGGGTACCATCGGAGAAATCGTCGTCGCAGACAAGGGCGTTGTGTTGTTCAGCGTGTTGCTATTCGACGTTCCCTCAATCGCCTGCACCTGCGGTGTCGAAAGAGGCGTTTGGTCGAAGGTAGATGTTGGCTGTGGAACCTGTACTACTGCCAACGAGGACCCTTGGCTGTTATTCACATTCTGGCCCAACATCGTCCCTTGAGCTGCTCTTCCTGCAGTCGCCGATATGGGCTGTGACGACGCTTGTACGTCTGCGCTGGAAGTAGAGAGCTGGACACTAGAGGATTGCGGCTGTTGCTGTGATTGCGGCACCGAAGCTGTGCCACCTACTTGGCAGCTAATAGTAGTTGTACCAGAGAGGGGCGGCGTCGTCAAAATCGACCCAGAAGACGAGGCGTTCGGTTGCTGAGGAACAACGCTTGCTGACGAACTCGCCCCGCCACTCTGCGGAGCTCCTGCGGGAATAAGTCCAGATGAAAACGCATCGCCACTCTGCTGCTGGGCAAAGGAAGGAGCCTCCTGCGGCGCCGATGATTGGTGACCAACGCCTGCCGTGGAATGCTGCTGCACTTGACCTTGAGCAGGTGCAGGCACAGCAACAGTCTGATGCTGTTCTGCTATTGAACTCGTGCTACTGCTGAACTGCAGGCTACCGGTCATGCTCGGTAGATTTGCATCAAGCGTCTGGCTGGGGTCGTGTGCGTAATGCGGAATCATGCTGGAGGTCGTGCTGTTCATCATTGTGGTTCCCTGCGGTTGTTGTAGTTGCCCATTTGGTACTCCTGCTAATTCCGTATACGCCGAATCCCTCCCCGAAAGCGTCGAACTGGGGACCGGTGTCTCACACGGCGTCTCCACCTCCGGCACGGCCGATAGCCGGTTCGCAAAGGCCGGCGGCGGTCGCCGGGGCTGGGGCTGCTGCGGGGCAGCTGTTTGGTCTTCAACAAATTGCTGCTGCTGATGTTGACCACCGCCCTGTTGCACAGTTTGCTGCAAAGGTTGCTCTTGTTGTGAAGATACTGCTGGCTGCGTCGCTGGTGTCGCTTGTTGGGGGGGTAAAGGCTGCTGTGGTTGCTGCTGTTGGGGTAGTAGTGCTTGCTGTGTTTGCTGGACTGCGGGATACGTAAAGTTGTCCGTTTGTGGGTCAAGTTGAGAAGGGTGCTGGATCTGACTTTGCAGATTTTGGTGCTGCTGATTGGGTGGATAAGAAGCTGCTTGATGGAACGGCTGTTCTTGTTGGGGTGAGGGTGCGCCGGGAGCAGTGGTTCCCGACGAAACGGCAGAGGTTGACACAACAGCACCAAACGCGCCCACACCGGAGGAGGTGCTACCAGCAATAGATCCGTGTGCTTGACCCGTTGTAGGTTGCTGGTGGTCCTGCGAAGCGACTTGCTGCTGCTGCGCTTGCTGCTGCTGCTGCACCCCCACACCCAAAATACTGCTACTGCTACCATGCAGGATGATCTGCGGTGAATTTGCGCTGGCTATCGAGGACAGGGAGGAAGTGGAAGCGAGAAAAGTGTTGGATAGGGAAACGGAGAGATTTTGGGGCGCCTGGTTCAGATTCTGATTGTTCTGGTTGATATTTTGCGATGTTGAAACAGTAGCTTGTTGCACAGGAGGTCCACCTGGCAGACCTGGTATTTGCTGCTGCTGCTGCTCCTGTTGACTCATACCAGCAGCAGCAGCTCCAGGTGCACTCGTCCCGCCGATTGGCCCGGCGCCTGTCGTTGGACTTGGTGGCGACACACGAATCTCCGGCGCAGGAGCAGCAGATGTTGAAGTAGACGTGCTGTCCGCGACTACCGCATGACCCCCAGTACCCGGCTGTTGTTGTATCTGCGGAGCGGATGTCGACTGCTGCGTTAATCTACTGGTAGCTTGTTCCTGGGCGTTGCTGCCAACAGACATTTGGGACGACGCATGTTGTCTACTCAATGGTTGCTGCTCCTGCTGCTGCTGCTGCTGCTGCACTACATCCACGCTGCCCTGCTGAGGCAGAACTTCCGAAAAGCTGTGGTCGTGCGCGGGGCTCATGGTTTCGGTACTGTGGTAGCTGTGCGTCGCTTGCAGCTGCTGCACTGGAACGACTGCCGGCGAGGAAGCGAACTGCTGCTGTTGCTGCGCAGCGGGCGCGGGAGAGGGCTGCTGTTGCTGCGACTGCTGCTGCTGCTGATTGTACGCCGCGGCCTGCTGCTGCTGCGGCGGCTGGTGATATTGCTGTTGATAGACCTGTGCTTGCTGCTGCTGCGACTGCTGCACTTGCGTTGGCTGCGGCGCGGGCTGTGGCTGTTGCTGCTGCGAGACCTGCTTCTGCGACAACTGCTGCATCATTTGTTCTGATTGCGGCTGCACGGGAGAGGCCGTTGGCGGGCCCGGTGACAGAATTCCCGCGGCTTGCTGCTCCTGTTGCTGCAGATACTGCCGTTGCTGGGCCTGCAGCTGCACAGGGTCGTGTTGCGGAGCAGCCGGCTGCTGCTGCTGCTGCTGAGCCGTTAATACCTCGAGCTTCTGTTGCGCGCTACTTGCCTGCTGCTGAACCGGCGGCCCGGGAGACATCACCCCTGGTTGCTGCGCTTGCTGCTGTTGCGCCATTCCTTGCTGCTGAATTCCCTGCTGCGTTGTACCAGGCCCGGGCGAGACCATCTGTTGCTGGTGTCCCTGGTGCGCGGGTGACATGTAGACCCCCTGCTGATACTGCGGTTGTTGAGAAGCCTGTCCTAATCCACCCTGCTGCGGCAACTGCAACGGTTGCGACATTTGGGAAGAAGTTGTACTAGTTCCCTGCAGCTCCTGACGCGGCTGCCCGCCAGCGGGTAGTTGTTGCTGCAACTGCGCTGGCTGTTGCGAAACAGGAATCTCCTGCTGTGCCGCAACAACTTTCTGCGGCTGATACGCCGCTTGTTCTCCTTGTTGCGCGTACAACTGCTGTTGCTGCTGCGCTGGAGCAACGTACTGTTGCTGTGTCTGCGAGGACGGAGGTGCTTGGTATTGCTGCTGGTGCGGCTGTGCGACATACTGCTGCGGCTGGGGCGGCGCATATTGCTGCGGCTGTGCATATTGCACCTGCTGCTGCTGCGGCAGTGTATACTGTAACTGTTGCTGCGGCTGAGCATATTGCTGTTGCTGTGCCTGCTGCGGTGTGTATTGCTGCTGGGATTGCGCGGGAGTCTGCTGTTCCTGCCCCGGCGGCGCGTACTGCACTTGCTGCGGAGCTGCCTGAAGTGCCTGCTGTGCCTGCGCATACTGCTGCTGCTGCTCCTGGTATTGGGATTGCACAAACTGTGGTGGCTGTGAACCTCCTTGTGCGGGGTGGTGTGCTTGACCATGCATAGATGCCCGAAGCTGATGTTCCTGTTGCTGCATTTGCATCTGCTGGTCAAATGGCTGCTGCTGCTGCGCATAAATCTGTTGCTGCTGTGCTTGCTGTTGCACCTGGTGCTGCGGCGCAGCTTGCGTTTGCTGCTGTTGTTGCTGCTGCAACGCAGAATCATACGCTTGTTGTTGAGCGGAAGCTTGTGCCTGCTGCTTCCGCTGCAATTGCTCCTGAGCATGTTGCTGAGCATACAGTGGCTGCTGCGGAACCTGCGCCTGTTGCTGATGCTGTTGTGCCTGAACAGCCGATTGGTATTGGACTTGCTGCTGCATGGGCGGGGCAGACTGCCCCTGCTGCTGCTGCTGTTGTCCCTGCTGTTGCGGTGCATACTGCTGCTGACCCACGTTTTGCTGCTGCACGTACTGCTGCTCCTGCTGCAGTTGCCCCCCGATCTGTTGCTGCTGTGCTTGGGCTTGCTGCTGCTGCTGCTGCCCCTGCTGCTGATAAACAAACGGCTGCACAACTTGCTGTTGCTGCTGAGCCGCCAATGCAGCCATCTGCTGCGTTTGTTCTCTCGTCGGCTCCGTAGTAGTACCTTGTTCTGGCGTAACCTGCCTCGACTGAACATTTTGCTGCTGCTGCTCTGGCGTGATTTGCCGTCCTTGGACCACTTGCTCGGGCGTAACCTGCCTTGACTGTACGGTCTCCTGCTGACGCTGCTCCAGCTGCTGCTGCTGCTGCGGCTGCCCCGGGGGCTGCTGGTACTGAATCTGTGACGTGTAGTCCGGCTGCTGCTGCTGCTGCTGCTGCTGCTGCTGCTGCTGCACAGCTACCGCCTGTGAGGACTGCTGCACCACTTGTTGCCCTTGTTGCTGCTGCTGCGGTGTAGTAATCTGCTGCTGTGGCTGCACACCGGCCCCGTACTGCTGTTGCGGAACCTGCAGATGTTGCTGCTGCGCAGAACCAAAACTAGCACCCTGCTGCTGCTGCTGCTGCATTCCCGCAAAAGAACTTCCTCCTGCGTTATTTGTAGTTCCCAAGCTGCCCAAAGACGACGATCCCCCCGCTTGTCCTCCATACAGCTCGCCCACAGCACCGCCCGAACCGTACCCTCCCGAAGGACCACCTCCCCCGCTCAGCGGTGGCAAACCAGGGGAACTGACCGACCAGGATAAAGACCCCGCGGACGTATCAACTGCAAATATGTCTGGGTCTGATAGGATGCAGCTTGTGATGCTGGCTTTGGCTTGTACAATAAATCTGTATTGCATGAACAGCAAAAGAGGTCCAATTTTTGCTATGCGGAGAGGGCATTTCTCATGCGGTAAGAGCATCAGAAAGCCGTCGCAGAATCTCTGGTGCTAAGGCATGCATCACAGATCCTATGGGTCATGCAAAATCTGCATGACAAACTCCTGCATTCTTCCAGACCCAAACATATTTGCAACGCATAAGACGCGACCTGCTGCAGAACGTGGACATCTACCGGGACATCCTGCGCATGAATCGCCGGACTGCCCGCTGGAGTCGTGTTACGAACTATGGATTGCAAAAATCTCTGGGTCTGAAAGATTTCGAGACTTGTCATGCTTGTCTGGCATGACCAAAAAGTTTGTGATGCGTGTCCAAGACGAGGCCCTTTTGCCTGTCATGCAAAAACGCAGTTTGTCATGCGAAAAACGCAACAAAAAGAAGCGCAGATATTTCTCATGCTTGCCGCTGCATTACAGAGCATTCACTATTCCCAACGCAGCATTACAAGTTTCCAGACCCAGACATTTTTGCAGTTGATACGAACCGAAGTACCGTCGCTCATCGTATGAGTAGCTTGTGTGTCCCTCGGAGCCGGCGCTGGTTGGATTAGAGGAGCCTGGTGCGGTTGTTGCGGTTGTTGGGGTTGCAGCTGCTGCTGCCCTTGAACACTGAACAGAACCTCACTCAGTCCCGCCCGGCCCTTCCCAGCTGCACCTCCATTGTTCGGGGGAATCGTGCCCGCATTGTTTTGCAGCATCTCTTGCGGATACGTCGTGACATCGTTCATCTCCCGCAGCACCTGACTCTGCGACTGGTTTTGTAGGTCCCAGGTTGTGCTGTCTCTTCGTTCGGAGATCCCAGAAGTGGGAATTTGCGGCGCCGTGGCGGAGGTAGGGATCAGACTATGAAATGCAAAATTATCGCACTCGTAGTAATTTCAGATATGCACGACAAATCTTCCTCCAAAGGTAAAACAGCATTACAAATCCCACTTTCTTCTTGACCAAATTTGTAATGCAATTTATACTAGTACGTTACTTTTGCAATGCATACAGACCCATTGGTGGCAATTGCGGCATCATTTCCGGCGACCAAGTGCTCGTGTTAGTCATGTTGTTCGTGTTTCCACTTGCATTGGCGCTCGCAGTTGTCTGCTGATGCTGTGCGGCCAGGACTTGCTGTTGATTCAATGCGCCGGGAGCTGCTCCAGCTGGTGCACCACTGCTACTGAAATTAATTCCGGTAGTTGCCAAAGCGGCCTGCTGCGTTTGCGTTTGATTAGTACTGGCGGTCGTCGCAGTTGCCGTGGTCGCGGAAATAAATAACCCACCTTGTCCGACGACACTTTGCGACGCATGCGCAAGCTGCGGAATCGTCGCACTCCCGGCGGAAAAAGTCGTTCCAGATGTGAAGTTTTCTGGTGGAGTGGACGGAAGTTGCTGTGGATGCTGCTGTTGTTGCTGACCTCCAGTTGTATCTTGTGCTGTAGTCAACATGGTCGCAGGAGGAGCTACAATCGACTCTCCTCTCACTGGGATCACTACAGAACCCCCTGAAGTGCCCGTGCCAGTGTAGTTGCTGACGTCTGCAGCATACAAAGCACTCGGCTGTGCAGCTTGTAATTGCCCCGGTGCTGGAGGAGCAATGACGGTGGTTGTCCCAGCTGCAGGCCCAACTGGCACCCCGCCTCCCTGGTCCCTCAAATAGCTGCTCAGATCTGCGTACCGTGGAATTGTCGTGTCGTTTGGTGTGGTCTGCGTCGAACTGCTTTGCCCGACATTCTGCTGACTCCGCGTTCGTGTCGTCGTGCTGATATTCGAGTTTGTGTTGTCCAGGTTCGTCACTGGTTGCCCCTCGTTGTATCCAGGCTGATAAGTCGTCGCCGGGTCCACTTGCGAAGCTAGTGGGGGTGGGGTTGCAGAGGTTGCTGCATGTGGCTGGGGAGAAAGTGGAGCTGCGAGTCGCTGCTCTTGCTCCTGCGGCAGTCCCGGTTGTCTATGCAGTCCTCCTCTCCCTTCTACTTCGACAACCGTCCTTTCCTCCACAACCGAAGCCGTATTGGTTTCCGCGACCGTCAGTTCCTCCAAATCCGCATCGTCCAAATACCTGCCATGCCCCTCCAGCAATTCGACTAGATTCGCCCCGTTTTCCCGGTCTTTCACTTCTAGTAAAACTTCCTTCACCGTCTCCCGCGCAAGTCCGATGAGGGATTCCATGAGTTCCTTGTCCATATTCGTGTTTTCCCACTCGAAGAGCTCGATGCCAACCAGCTCGACCTCTACCCTAGCGATCTCTTCGTCGACGATGATCTTGCAGTGCTCGAGCAATTATCAAATGCAAATATGTCTGGGTCTGGAAGATTGCAACTTGTCATGCTGTTATTGGACTCTAAAAATTCGTATTGCATGACCAGCAAGAGGGGCACAATTTGTGCTACACAGACAGGGCATTTCTCATGCGGAAGGTGCATCAGGAAGCCCTCTAAAAGTCTGCGATGCTAGGTCATGCATTACAGACATCATGGGTCATGAAAAATATGCATCACAAACCTGGCAATCTTCAAGACCCAGACATATTCGCATTTCATAGCAATTCCTTTGTGATTTTTTTTGTAATTGACCGGAACGTCGGAAAAGAGGATGAGGAGGACGAATTTCGTCCGCCCAGATGGTTCACATTTTCCGGACTTGTAGCAGAAGCTGCACCACCAGTAGCAACCCCGTCACTATTTTCCGGTGTACTGCTGTCACTGCCCGTAGTAGAGTGAAAATCCAATCCCGCCTTGTCAAACAATTCACACGCGAATTGCTTCGGATACCCGTCTGCGTGAATGTAGTCGCAGTAGTACTTCTGGAAAAAGTTCTCGTTGTGGTTGGAAATCTCGATTTCAAACCTCGTCGTCCCGATTTTCAACCGCAGTTCGTGCAGCTGTTTTTTGCAACTGCTGAAGATCTGTTTAAACCGGTTTTCCATCCGGGTGAAAATCTCCTTCTTGATGTTGAAATTCGGATCGGTACTGTCTTGCAACCGCTGCGATTCGGAGTCTCTGTCCTGTTGAATTTTTGTTTTCAACACTCTCTTCTCCCCGTTCGGGACTCGGCGGATCGAAATGACCGATTCGGCGGGGATTTTGTTGTTCGCGCTCGCTTCGGGCTGTTTAATATCTCCTAGCAGCTGGAGGTTGTTCTGCGGAGCAGAAGATTCTTGTAGCTTCGTGGGCGTCGGCGGACGGCGCTGGTTTAGGTTTTGTTGCCGGAACACGAGATGAGCCTGCTGCTGTTCCGCGCTCGCAAGTTGTGGACCACCAACACCACTACCCGGCTGGTGCTGCTGCAACTCCTGCTGCTGCCCAAGCTGACCTTGTTCGACCGGTGTATAAGGTGTCGCCGGCGCATTCACTGTGCTGCTGCCCGCAACACTGGACGCGCCACTGACACTACCACCAGGTAGAACAGCCGCTCCTGCACCTTGGTTGTTATTTGTTCCACCTCCTCCCACAGTTCCTGGCGTCACCGCAGCCACAGAGACACTTCCATATCAAATGCAAACATGTCTGGGCATGGAAGATTCTGAGACCTGTCATGCACGTTTTGCATGAGCCGCGATGGCTGTGACGCATGCCCTACTTACTTAGCATCACAGATTTTTTGAGGGCTTGTTGATGCCTATTCCGCATGACAAATTCCCTCTCCGTGTAGCAAAATTCACATGCCGTTTGCTGCTCATGCAATACAGATCTTTTTGGAATCCAAACGCAGCATCACAAGTTGCATTCTTCCAGATCCAGACATATCTGCAATGCATATTCCACTCGGCGTCACAACAGAATTATTCGAACTCGATTGATTCGAATTTGACGGGTATCAATAGCAAATATGTCTGGGTCTGCAAACTTTTAATGCTGGGTTGGGAATAATGAACGCTCTGTAATGCGCAGCCAAGCATGAGAAATATATGCGCTGCTTAGTGTTGCGCTTTCCGCATGACAAACTGCGTTTTTGCATGACAAGTAAAAGGGTCTCTTCTTGGACACGCATCAAAAACTCTTCAGTCATGCCAGACAAGCATGACAAAGCTTGCATCCTTCCAGACCCAAACATTTTTGCACTGCATAACGGAGGCGTGATCACGACGACCGGAGTGGTTGCCGTTGGGGTGGTGTGTTGTTGCGAGTTTATCTGGGGTTGCTGCTGCTGCTGCGGCGGTTGCGGAATGTGGATAGCGGGGGCGAGCTGTTGCGGTTGAACTTGCGGCTGTGCTTGTTGCTGTTGCTGCACTTGCTGTGAAGATGTGGTCCACTGGGGAGCCCCCGCTTGCAGCTGCTGAGACGGCACCTGCTGTTGCGTAGCCACAGGACCACTGGCGTAGGAACCAGTTTGGTCAACACCAGGTTGTTGAGCATTGTACTGCTGCTGCACGAATTGTTGCTGCTGCACAGGAGCACCGGAAGCACTGCTAGTGTTCCAATCCTGCTCTACCACATTCATGGAAAATTCCACCGGCCCCGCATTTTGATAATTTCCCCCTCCGCTCGCTTGTTGCAACGTGACCATCTGCTGATGATGCGCGGAGGCGGATGTAGCTGCACTTCCCTGCTTCGATATTTGCGCCGGTGCGCTGAAAGTGATCCCGCCGAGCTGTTGATTTGCAATGTGGTGGTGATGCTGCCCACCATAAGACCCGCTCATACCCTGTTGCTGTTGCGCGTACGCATCCTGCACAAACTGTTGCTGTTGCTCAATCCCAGCAACCGCGCGATGGAAATCAGGCGTCGAAGGGAGCGCGCTCGAGCCGTCACTGTTCTGTTGCAGCGCGGCCTGATGCAGCGCCAGCGGGGGTACTAGTAGAGTCGATGCCGTTTGCTGGGTCGTTGATTGTTGCTGCTGTTGCTGCGCGCTCAAAGGGGGCGAAGCTGCACTGATGTTAGCCTGATCTGGCGGACCAGAACCTGGAGGCTGACTTGCGGGCGGGGAAGCCTGCTGCTGCGAGGAACCAACTGGAACTGCAACTGGTGAGGCCATTTGCTGCTGCGTTTGCTGGGGCTGCTGCAAGGGTGAAGAGAATTGCTGTTGTTGCTGCGGTGCTGGTGCTAACCCCTGCTGTAGGTGGCCCTGCTGTAGTCCCTGGTGCGCAACAGTGAACTGCGGCACAGGCTGACCAGGCTGCTGCTGCAGCTGTTGGAGCTGTTGCGAGGGTGGTAGGTCGAATCCACCCTTCCCCCCGCCCGCGCCCGAACTCATCGAAACGCCCATGTTGGCACTCGCCGCCAAACCCCCAGCAGCTGCACCGGCCAAGGTCACGGGCTCGCGGTACTGCCTTAAAGGAGACAGTAAGATCGAGTCGTCCTGCGCGTAGCCCTGCTCTTCCGACACTTCCATCAACCTGTCCACCGGACTCCGCATCCCGAAGTGACTGTCGTTCTTCCCCAACCGCGGCGTTTCGGAGCCCTTTTGGTTGATACTCGCATACAACTCCGGCGAGGACGCGGAGATGATGGTAGACCTGTTCTGCTGCGCTTGGTGCAACAAGGGTTGTTGGCCTATAGAAGTTGTTCTACCACCGCCCTTCAGTCCGAGGCCGCCCGCGATACTAGTACCCACTGGCAGGGTCTTCGCATTCGTATCCGGATGCACATGCAGGCTGTACTGCTGATTACTGTGTTGCTGTGCAAACTGCATCATCTGCGCCGCTGCAGTTGGGAGATGCAGCTGGTGAGAAAGTCTTTCCGGGATGGGATGGTGCAGTTGCGGGAGCTGGGTTTGTGGTGTCGTGAAGGTCGAAACCGCAATTCCTGCCTTGCCCGTAGCTTGTAGCTGTTGGTCCCCTTGTGGCTGTTGTTGTTGTGCACCACCACCAGTTGCGCCAATTTGTTGCTGCTGCACAGGAGCGCCACCTCCTCCTCCCGCGATGATATTCCGTGGCTGCGATAAGGGTGGTGGCGGTGGCTGCCTGGTTGCCAAAGAGGAGCTTTGCGGTTTGAAAGTTGAACCCCCGACCGCCGCTTCAAGAACACCTGCCGCGGTAGTACCATCAGTAGTCAACATCTGGGGTTGCGAGGACAAATCTTGCTGTAGATTGGTGTTCTGCCCTACCACCATCGGCTGCTTACCCATCGGAACCGCAGCCGGTTGTTTACTCGGATCCACGACGAGAGAAGTGGCTTTAGCTGCGGGGTTGTTTAGATCAATCGGTGACTCTTCAACGACCATGAGCGGTTGGCTCTGCTGATTCTGTGGCATTTGCAGCAAAGGATCCAGCGCCGCACCAACCAGTGGCGCCAGAACATGTTCGCCGCCGCCACCGGTTCTGGTATTATCCCCTACTTCCTCCTCCTGTTCCGCCGACTGCAAAGCAGTAGCGCCCGTTGCAGCCAAGTCTTTGAAGTACTGGTCCCGTTCCTGCGAGCGGCCGGGGATGTCCAGAGGCGGTAACTCGATCGACTGCCCTGTAGGCACGTACTCGAATTGAACCTTCTGTCCTGTCTTGTATTCGTTGAATTGCAAACCTTGCGAGGGCCCCGCAGCACCTCCTGCTCCAGGAACAACTGCACCTTTATTCATCTGCTGGTTCGTCAATTGATTCATCTCATTCTCGTCAAACTCCTGGCTCGGCAGCAGCCTCGCCTCCGTCCCGATATCGTCTTCGTCGACATTCACCCTGGACCGGTCGATCATGCTGTGCTATCAAAAGGAAAAATCCCCCCTCCCCATATCAAAGCGAAACTTCTCATGCTGGATTTGGATACACAAATCAAATCTGTGCTGCAGTAGAGAACGGCACGCAGATCCTGAGCCGCGGCAGCGGCCTTTTGGTGTAGGCGCCTAGCATGGTAGACGGCAAGAACCCTGTAGGCCTTACAGCATTACGAATGGCCTGCATAACGTAGCGGACAGCCTGAACGTGCCTTCTTGCAAGATTTGTGGTCACAAATCTGCATCACAAATTTTCAGCCGGATGCGCTTTCAATTATATGGGGAGGGAGGAATTTTCCTTGCAATATGTGCCCCGCGGGGTACATCCCGTCCGCGAGTTCCTCCTCGGATTGCGAGACCTGCCTGTCCCCGAAAACCTCCTCATCAAATGCAAAAATGTCTGGGTCTGGAAGATTGCCAGGTTTGTCATGCATATTTTGCATAACCCGTGATGCCTGTAATGCATGCCCTAGCATCACAGATTTTTAAAGGGCCTTCTGATGCGTATTCCGCATGAGAAACGCCCACTCCGCGTAGCACAAACTGAACTCCTCTTGCTGGTCATGCAATACAGATTTCTTTTACCTTCCAACGACAGCATCACAAGTTGCCACCTTCCAGACCCAGACATTCTTGCATTTCATACTCCTGCTCGTCCAACAATTCGCACAGCGCGTCGAGATAACTGGCGTCAGCCGCGGAGTTATGCATTGCAAAAATGTCTGGGTCTCGAAGATTCCGAGACTTGTCATGCAGTTTTTCCAAGCTCCGCCAAGTCTCCTGTAATGCAGGGCCTGGCATCACAGGTTCTGGAGCCCCTTGGTGATGCCTATTCTGCATGAGAAATGCCCTCTCAGAATGGCCAGAAATGGGGACCTTTTTCAAGTCACGCAACACAGATTTTTGTATGATCCGCAACACGCATCACAAGTTCGCATCCTTCCAGACCCAGACATTTTTGCAGCTGATAGGAGTCCAGATGGATGAAGGGGTGGTTGGTCGCTTCCTCCGCACTGGGTCGCAAATTGGGGTCCTTCTGCAGGCATTTTTGGATCAAGTCCTTCAGATTCGGGTCTTTGATCAGCTCGACAACTCTGGGCTGCTCCCCCTTCATCACCTTGTTGTAGACCTGCATCGTCGTCTGGCACTCGACGAAGGGAAATTGCCGGCTTGTCAGTTCCACCAAACACATCCCGAAGGCGTAGATATCCACCGGGGTGCCGTATCTCTCATCGTACAATTCCGGCGCCATAAACTCCGGAGTCCCGACAATGGATTGCGCAACGTACCCTATGGAGAGAAAAAAGTTTATCACAGTCACTAACTTGCAGGCTTTGCATTACAAATTTTCTCAGCATCACAAACGTTCCTTGTATTGCAGAAACACTAGGAAAATCCCTAATGAAGTTTGGCTGTGGTGCATTTTTACGCATGACAAACAATTTTGTATTGCAAGAATGCGCATGAGTGATCGTGACGAACTTTTTTTCTTTGATATACCCGGAGTGAGACCTACTATTGTCCTTCTTCAGCCAGGAACTCAATCCCAGGTCGCCGATCAGAATTTGCCCGACGTTGCCGTTGATGAAAATGTTGTCGCACTTCAAATCCCGGTGGATCACCGGATTCGGCTTGGTGCTGTGCAGGTACTGCAAGCCCTCTAGAATCTGGTGCGCCCAGTTGCGGATCACCTTTAGCTTCAACGGCCCACCAAGCCGGTTCACGTAGTTCCGGAGGGAACCACCGGTCACACGCTCCGTGATGAAAATCACCTCCTCGCGTTGCTGTTTTGATGAAATCGATGTTGACGCTGTGTGTTGCGAGAACAGTAGCAAGAGCAAAAACGCTAGAAGTACCCATGCACAAAGGACAGCAAGTGAAGAACGCCAACGTGAAGGGAAACTAAAAGAACCATAAAGCCTAGTAAAGAACTTGCTAAATCCTGAAACCCTAACTGCGTTGGCCGCGGAACTGGGTCGAAGCGTGGGGAGATAAATATGAAGATGATCGCGGATCGTTAAAGAAAAAAATCATACAAAAAATACGCTATTCTTCCAGGCGTTCATGCAGTGGATGATTCTCGGGTGGTCCAGCGATTTCGTGATGTTAATCTCGTCCTGAATCCGCTTCTTTTCGGTCTCCGTCATTCGCATGAAGGGGATGACATTCCACGCCACCTCCCGACCGGTGTCGTTGTCAAAGCCGAGGTAGACCTGTTTATACGACCCCGCGCCGAGTCTGCGGTTAAACCGGGAAAATCGTCCCTTCGGACTCTGTATCCTGTGCAAAAGTATCGTACTCGGGTAAATGCAGGTCTTGCATTACAAATTTCTTTTTCAACGCAAATCGGCATTACAAATTTCATTTTTCATGCTGAGAAAATTTGTAATGCATTTATACGAGTACGATACTTTTGCAGTTCATACTCTGCTCCACTACCTCATCTTCCGCGTTCTCTAAACTCGGGGCACGCTGCCGGACAATCGCATTTTGGTTGGTTTGTTGGTTGTTCCGGTTTTGAAGTTGTCCCGCTGGCTCTTCGTCTTCGAAGTTGTTCTCATCGCGAACCTGCACTCGGGCGATGTCTTCATTATTGTAGTTACCGTCGTCATATCCTGTGCAAAAGTATCGCACTCGTAGTAATTGCAGCTATGCATGACAAATCTAGACTCTTAGCTAAATTAGCATTACAAATTGAATTGTTCCTTTTGAAAAAATTTGTGATGCAATTTATACTAGTACGATGCTTTTGCAATGCATACGTCACTAGACGAGGCCGCGCTGGAACTGCTACCTGGATGTTGAACAAGCTGTTGACGATCTCCTGCAGCTTATGGCGTTCTCAAACGTTACATTCTCAACTGCTCCATGAACTTGTAATGCAAGACTAGCACAGATGAGAGGGAGAACCTTGCGCGTCTTGCATTACAGGTTTGGTGCGGATTATAGCGCTGCTTAGCCCTCCCAGAATTTGTCATGCGCAGGAGCTTGATCGTCTGGCGGGTCATGCTCATGGTCATTTTGCATGACAAATCATGTAACAGTTGAGAATGTAACGTTTGAGAACCCCATACAGCTCTACTTGAAGAAGATGCTCCGGCACCAGTCCTTTCTTCCGGCGCGAACTTTACCTTCGTGACCGGTTTATTTTTCCGTTTTTTCTCACTTGTAGATTTTGTCGCGGAGGAGTCTTTGATCTTCGAACTCGTAGCTTGTTCCGACCGAGCAGTTTTCCGTGGGGTGAGCTTTTCTTTCGATATCATGTTCGTCTGCTGCTCGGAAGTTGCTTTATCATTGTCTCTCATCGTCTGGGCAGCTGCACTCCTCTTGCTCTCCCGATCGGCCCGTGTCGTTGTTGTACTACTAGTCGCTCCACCCGCAGTGGATTGCTGTTCTACAACTTGTTTGTACGTTCTATCGCCCCTGGTGTGGTCTCCTGCTCCGCGTCTGTCGTGCCCAGCTTTTGTCTTGGAGCTGGTACTCGGTAGTTGCTGCTCGATAATTTCTTCTTCGGAAGTGGAGCTCGCTGCGCCAGAGGAAGAGCTAGACAATCTGTCAGACGACTGCTGAACTCTATCCTGCTCTGACTGGTCCGTTGAACTGCGAGATGTTGAACTCGAGCTGGCGACTAGCTTAGTTCTGCTCGTCTGTTGCACAACCGCAGTAGTTGTACCTTGTCGACGAGAGGACGCATAATCATCCGAAACAGCTTCGTCGTCTGACACAACAGAAGAGTATTCGGAAGTCGACTCTTGAACAACCCGCTTCTTCTTTTTCTTCTTCCTACTCGAGGACATCGCCGTGTCTTTATTCGCCATCGGTTCTCTACTGTCCCGCGTAGTCGACATCTCTTTCTGCTGCGACGTGGCCGCCAGCTGCGCTCGGCTGGATTTCTTGGTGCCCATTGCGGACTGCTGTGCCGGAATTACTGCTCCCTCTAGTACCCCTAGTCCTGTTCTGCTGGTCTTCTTCTCCAGTTTCTTACTGCTTTCCTTTTCTACGAGTCTATCTCTAGTTGCCCCAGCATAATTATCTCGATCAACATTTGTTCTGCTTTCCTTTATTTGCTCTTTTCTAGCAACGTTCGCCGAGGAGGACCGTTTTTTCTCGAGAGCAGCCGCCTGTGGCTTGGAAGACGAGGACTTTTTCCTTTTCTTTTTGTCAACCACTTCCACCTGTTGTTGTTCTACTTGCAAATTCGAAGTCCTAGATTTCTTCTTCTCCGGAAGAACAGCGAGCTGCGTCGACGAAGCTGCCGGTTGCTGAATGTTCCCAACCGCGTTGCTTGGTCGCCTTCTTTTCTCTTTCGAACTCGTAGCTGCAGCGGTACTAGCAGAAACGACCTGCTCTTGATTCACGATGATCTCCTCGTCCGATTCGGACGTCGCAGCTAAACCGACACGACCGTCCTCCTGTAGTTGCCGATGAACTTGTTGTTCTTGCGAAGAATCTGTTTCGGCGTGGTCCTGCCTAGTTTCCTGCTGTCCTCTCCGCCCTTTGTTTTTGCTTCGTTTTTGCTTTGCCTCTTTCTCCTTCACATCCCGTATCGCAAGGAAAAATCCCCCCTCCCCATATTGAAGAGGTAGGTTTTCGAAAATTTGTGTTGCTGATTTGAGGTCACAAATCACGTTTGTGTTGCAAGAAGACAAGGGCAGCAGCTTCCGTCCCATTATGGAGGCGGTTTGTCATGCTGTTGAGCCAACATCACGGACGCTTTTCATGCTAAGCGCCTAAGTCAAAGCCTCTCTACTCAGGCTTGATATGGGTCTGCAGTCCTCTCCAGCAAGACAAATGCGATTTGTGTACTCAAATACAGCAACACAAATTTCGCTTTCGATATGGGGAGGGGGGATTTTTCCTCACAATATCCCGTCGAGAAAATCTACTGCCTCCTGTTCGGCTGGAACTCGAGGCGGCAGCGACGGCCTATCCAAAAAAAAAACTATGTGACTGTAGGTCTTCCAAAAAGTAGTGATTTTTTTCATATGCAAAAGTCAAAAACTCTCAACCCCCGCCACGGTCCCTCACCTGGTGAGTGCTGCTGTTCATGCGCTCGGTTTATCTATTCAAAGCTGGCAGCGGTTGCTTCGGTGTAGGCTAATGGCTAGGGCGGGGAGAAGCTTTCAAGAAAATCTCGCGACCCCCGTCTTTTCCCTGCCCACGGATCTTGCCCCTGGCGCCATTAGTTCGCCTGAGACGCGACACGCGACCACGGGCGGAGGTCGCCAACCGTGTCAAGCATATACAGGCTCGAGACTTTGCGCGCATGGTCTGCGCGCAGGTCTCGTTTTCTTTTTGAGCAGCTTCTTCTCCTCTTTGCCCCTCTGCTTCTGGACGTGCTGTCAGCTTTGCCGCTGCCGGCAAATGTGGCACGCGATAGAAGAAAACGAGACTTGTGTAGCTCGGAGAAGGATTCTCGGTTTGTGTAGGTTCAAAAAAATTATTCGTCCGGGGGGGTCCTTAGGACCCTCTCGAGCAAGGGTAGGAAACGCGAAAATTTTCGTTACACTAAAAAATTTACATTACATCGGAAATCTTCTCTTAGGTGGGGACTCGAGAAGAGAAAAAAACTTGTGTAGCGAAATCGAAAACGTCGGCGGACCCCTCCAAAGAGGGTCGGAAATTTGCCCACTTTGAAGAAAATCTGACGAACAATTTTCATCCCGCACTCGCTGCGAAATCTTCTACAATTTACACTCATGCAAGTTTCTTCTCCTTGGGTTCAGCGTGTGCTCATCTCAGCTCCTCAGAAGCCGGCCTTCAGTCGATGGCAGAAGCCCGATGGCTGGCGGAAATGCGGGCCGTCGTGTTCCTGTTGGGCGCACAGCCGAAAGTACCAGGATGACACACAACCGACCTAGTCGAGGCCTTCGACCATCGCCCCCTGCTGTTACGGGTGGGGCCAAGTGCTGATATGAAGACAGGCTCCCGTGTGGTCCGTCCGGTTCCGGAGCACCATAGCGGGCCCTGCCTTCTTAGCTTGCTAAAAATACATACTACGGAAGCAGCCCCTGGCGACATACTGCCCAAGCATGGCAACAAATAAGGCAGCGCGATAAAGATGCTCCCTTGCATTAAAAAAATTGTTGAACTTTTGCTATCAAAAATCTCAGCACTTTTCGCAAGACCTACAGTCACATAGTTTTTTTCTTCGATACGGCCTGCTGTTGTTGTACCACAACTCTGGGTTCTACTTCCTCGACCGAATCAGACGAAGTTTCTTCATCAACATCAATCTGGTCATCAGCATCGATCACATCCTCCTCCGACTCCGACTCGGAGGACGAGCTACTGCTGCTTTCCTCTTGAATCACCTGCTCTTGCGGTTTTGATTTCCTACGAGAAGTAGAACTACTCGCCGGATCTACTTGCACACCAGCAGCGCTTGGCGCTGCAGAGTCCTTTGTGCGCCTGCTCCCGGCTGTAGTAGTCGCGCTCGCGGACACGGCAGCTGCTATCTCCGACTTTTTTCTCTTTTCCGTGCTTGGAGCAGCTACACCCAAGTCGCGAAGATCAGTTTTGTTTTCTTTCTCGCTCTTCTTACTCCGTTGCCTACTTGATGCACCGTCAGCAAGGGTCGTTGCTACTGTGTCTGTTTGCTGTTGGTTACAACCATAACGGGGGGTCTGTGCTAAACTTTGCAGAACTTTTCAAAAACTTTTCGAAGACTTTGAATTTCCCGCCGGCCTGCTCGTCAAAGAAGCTGCCGCGCAACTTCGTGGCCAATGACTGCACGGCCAACACGAGATCGAGCCCCAGCATGCCATCGCGGTTCCAGTGTGACCGATGGGGTCCCGCGCTTTTCGTGGGTGCCCAGTTTGCGCACTCCGCCACAGTGAAAAACGCCCGAACCTGAGAAGGTTGAGGCAGCGCCGAGCTTGGTGGCTCAGCCTGCAACACCGGCGGGCTTCCTGGTCAAGGCAAAAGACCGAAAAGGTTTGCTTTCTGTTCGTAGTATCAAAGAGGGAGACCAAACATCAAAAACCCCAACAGCTTGACTCAGCGAACCCCCTCCATCGCAAAAGTGCCGGCATTGGCGAAACATAACAAAAAACACCACCAACATAATTAACAGCGGCGCCGGAACAGTGCTGATTTTGGCACGGCGGTATGGTGGAGGCCAAAAAATGCAAGCTCTTACAGTGCTACCTCGGTGAGCCCGAAACGAACCCGAAAAAACTTTTTATCTGGCCGCCCTTCCCGAAGCTCCCCGCTGCTGCTTCTGCTTGAATCCGGCACCGTTTTGGTGCCCCATGTGCAAGCTTTTGGAAAGTTTTCCAGCAGTTTTTTTTTCCAGAATCAGCTCGGGAGTTTTTTTTTGAAGGTCAGGAAAGTGGCGCCATGCTGTCGGTTTCTTCTGATTTTCCAGATATAGCGAAAAAGCGCAAAGCAAACTTTTTGAAATGGGCGCAAAGGTCGCGCCTTGCCTCAGAATTTGAGCAAAAGTCGAGAGCTCGCGCGTTTTACCCTACGCCGCGCCGCCGTGCATAGATAATGCTACCGCCAGCGGTATTCTTCGCATGTAAAAAAGTATACAGTTGCCCACCCCGGCTCCGGGTCCAAACCTATGATCACGAAATCAAGCCGAGAAATAAGTGTAGCGATGCCCCGTGATCCAGTATCATACTCCGACTCCAGCTCTTCCAGAGTCTAGCACTAAACTCAACTTCTAGCTTTTCCGTCATCGCCCAAGCTATTTGCACTACCAAAAAACCCAAAAGCTTGACTCAGACGCAAAAGCGCCGGCATTGGCAAAACATAACAAAAAAACACCACCAGCATACCATCGGCGCTGGAGCAATGCTGACTTTGGCACGGTGGTACGGCGGAGGCCAAAAAGTGCGACTTTTTTGCTGTGCTATTTCGGTGAGCCCGAAACGAGCCCGAAAAAACCCCGAAAAAACTTTTTTTCTGGCCTCCCTTCTTGAAGCTCCCCGCGGCGGATTCTGCTTGAAACCGGCACGATTTTGGTGCCCCAAAAGAAAGTTTTTAAAAAGTTTTTTAAAAGTTTTTTTTTTCGGGAATTAGCTCGGGATTCGTTTTTTCGAGGACCAGAAAAGCGGCATCATGCCATCGGTTTTGGTTTTTCACATATAGCCCAAAAGTGCAAAAAAAAAACTTTTCAAAATGGGCGCTCAGGTCGTGTTTTGCCTCAGAATTCGAGCAAAAGTTGAAAAAGCGCGCTTTTTTGCCTACGCGGTGCCGCCGTGGATAACGTTACCGCCCACGTTATTCGTCGCATGTAAAGTATACAACTTTTCGCCCCGGCTCCGGGGTCCAAACCTATCACGAAACAGGACGGCACGCCGTTCAAACGCGTAATAAATTAAAAATCTGCTGAGGGGATTCCGCCCGCGATTCACGTGTGACCGACGGCAGCGCGCGCGCCTTTTATCGGTCAGCGTATATGACCACGAAACGCGACGGCACGGCGCCAAAAAGACTACAAAACCTGAGCCGTGAGCTTTGCCTATTTCGCAGGCAGTGCCACCCTGCTTCGTGTCTGGGTAGCGCTTCTTTTGTACTTTTTGAAGACTCAGCATTCTCGCTCCTTTCTGGCGGCGTGCCGCCGTGCCTGGGGTCAGCACAGGCGCCAAAAAGGTAACAGAAGTCAGAGCTTGCTTCTTCGGCTGCGCCGCTTTTTCTTGTGGAGTTTACAAACGTACGCAACGCGGCGCAGGGGCGCACCCCCTGGACCTCTCCAGACACGCCTCTCAAGGCCGGCGCGCTGCGCCTGAGAACCGAGGCCCTAGGCCCTAAGCCCCAAACCCTAAACCAAAACCCAAGCCCTGCGAAAAGGAGGAGGGCCAAGCCCTAAACCCTAGACCCTGCCAGGCGAAAAGGAGGAGGGCTGGCCCCGGGTGGGGGGGTGGCCACCCAAGTGCGTTTGTCCCGCGGTCAAATAAACAGCACGGCCAACCGAGTGCGTTTGTCCCTAGGCGAAACGCGAAGGGGTGGATCAAAGCCTTGTCATGCGTGACTACATATATCAAGGACGCGGCCCAGTTTGGGCGGCGCGCGACGCTGTTCAAGCGCGCAAGAGATTACAAGTCTGCGGAGAGTATTCCGCCCGTGGTTCACGTGTGACCGACGGCAGCGCGCGCGCCTTTTATCGGTCAGCATATATGACCACGAAACACGACGGCACGCCGCCAAAAAAGGGCGTCGGACCTTGGTGGTTTCGCGTCATCGCTTTTCTCTGTTTTCAAAAGTTTTCGAAAAGTTTTCAAAAAGTTCTGAAGCCGATGAGTAGACCCCCCGTTATGGTTGTAAGTTGGTCCTTTGGCGTCTTTATTATCGCGGAAGTTGTACTAGCACTAGCTTTCGAGTTGACGTTGTCTCTCTGCTGCCTTGAGCTTTTTGACGAAGAAGAAGCTGCGGCTGCTCCTGTGGTCCCAGTCTGGACAACAGCTGCCGGCGCAGCGAGTCTTTCCCGTCGCGGCTTCAATGCTGTACCTGTCACCACTGCCACCGCAACGGGGGTGGAGTCCTCTTCTTCGCTGGTCCTGGCGGAGGATGCAGCGGGGGAGGTGGAGGTGTGACGGGAGGAATTGTAGTGCTGCTCTTGTTGTGCAACAAATCTTGTGCTGTCTCGGTCATCTTGATCTTGTCGCGCACTCATATCATTCCTCGTTGTCCCGTCCTCACTGTCCTCCTCCTGGTGACCTGCAGAGTCTTCTTCCGAAATCTGCGACAGATCCGCCGTTGCACCGTGCAGTGACCTCGGGGAGTGGGATAGGGAGTGGGATTGCGAATCGAGGTCGTGGTCCGCCTCAGAGGCGAAGTGACTGCTGGTTTCCTGGTGTTCGTCGTCGTGATGTGCTGACGATTCATCTCCATCGTCGACACGATCCTCCGGGCCAGAACTAGGTTCCTGGCTGGAGTGGTGGTCTTGGTCGTCCTTTCGGTTTTCGATTTCATCTTCTTCTACGGAGGAGGAGCTGCTTGCAGATTGAAAGTCTTCGTGGTCTTCCAACTCCTCCGGAGCTTGTTGATGTTCTCGTTGTTGCATAGCAATTTTGGTACGCTTGCTCATTTTCGAACTCGTCGCTTTGGAAGTACTAGTCGCAGACGATGATGATGCTGACGGACCGGCTTTGCTCTTGCTAGAGAAGTTCTGGGCCGCTTGTAGTTCCCTCTGTTCCCTCGCGCTCGAGCTGCCTGCTTTTGTTCTGCTGTAGTTCGTCTCCTTCTGCTGCACAACTACGTTGACCACCTTTTTGTTAGTACTACCCGTCTCAACGCGGGAAGTGGTCGTGCTATCTACATGTTCCACCACCACCTCCTCCCTGCTCGTCTGGCGATCAATCTTTCCGCGTTTCGAAGTAGAAGATTTGGACTTTGAACTTATCTCGTTCGACGGCTGTTGGTGTTCCTGCACAGGCGCTAATAGCGGAAGAACATTCATCTGCGCCGGACTGGGGGGCGGATTCGCATTCGCACTTGACGATTTAGAGGACTTTGACTTCTTAACCACGTTCCCATCTGAGGCGACGGCTTTCAATACATTCGGAGTAGACGCGCTGGACAATTTCGAAGCAGAAGATCCTCCAGCGGGGGCAGATGAAGTCGCGGCCCTTTGATCCAGACTGGAAGCGGAAGCCGAGTTTTGTTTCGTTGCACTTGACTTCATTGCAGAGGACTTCATATTAACCACGCCCGGCTTGTTCAATATATCTTGAGCTTTTTCAGAACCAGCTTTCTTGCTCTTACTGCTGGAAGTAGAAGGCTCGGGGGTTATTAACCGCTCTTGCTCTTGTTCCTCCTCTTCATCTTCCGCTTCTCCTGCAGTTGCAGTTCCTGCGTGAGGAGCTAGTACTTTATTGCTTCTATCCTCGTTACCCTGAATGGTATTTTGTTCCCTATCCTTCTGTTCCTTCTTTTGCTTCTTTTTCTTCACCACTTTTGTGAACCCTTCGTCATCTTCAAGTTCGGAATTCGTGCTGTGATGCTGCAGCGGTGGGTTATAATTTAAATTTTGCGTCACAACGACAACCCTTTCCTTCGAGCTTTTTCGTCTCTCCGGCTTGAAAGCAAAAGAGGTAAACGACGCACCAGTAGAGCTGGTCTTGCTGTTATCTACCGCTGTTGTAGTTACAGCAGGCTGCTGTGCAGATTTAGAAGAAGACGAAGCGGCTTGGGGTCCTGCTGCTGTGCTCGACGTGCTAGAAGCTTGCTTTTCTGTCGGCGAACTCCGGGATGAAATGCGGTGTTTTTTGGACAGTGGAGCGACAGAAACTGTTGTAGAGGAAGCTGACCCTGCTGGCCCTGGAGTCGCGGCCATTATCACCCCACCGGGCGAAGCGGCAGCAGTAGTACTGGTTGTACCTGCCGCGGGTGACTGCTTCGAGGAAGCTATGCCGGATTTCATCGATTTTTCTTGTTTACTCGCACTTCCCGTAGACGTCGCTGACGGCGCCGAGGCTGCTGCGGAGGGACGGACCAGATACGTAGTTGCACCGGTTGAAGATGATGCGCTGTCTCCTGGAAGATTATTTTCTGCAGGTGTATTGGGTCGGGACCGTGGAGCACGTGAAGAGGCGGGCGCAGAGTCTTGGGGATGAGGAGGAACCTGCTCTACCGTGTCGTCGTCGTCCCCGTCCCCATTCAACCCCGCCTCACCGTCGTTACTTGCCGCGGAAGACGAGCTATGATTTGCAGAAGCAGATGATGATCCGGTAATGTTCTCGGTTTGCACCTGTATCAAGCGCTCCTTCTTGCTTCCTGTAGAGGTGCCAGCACTTTTGGTCGTCGTGTTCACCGGCGCCGACGCGGTTTTTTTCAGCTTTGAACTCGACGACGAAGTCGAAGATTTGACTGGCTTACCTTCGCTTATTTGATTTTCGCCTTGTTGTGCTACTTCACTTTGCTCCACATCAAACACATCCTCAGCTGCTGCGTCGGTTGCTGAATCTTCATTTTCGGCGGGCCGAGAACGGACTTTCCGATGGGTTCTGGGGTAAGACGAGCCAGTTTTAGGCTCCACGCTTTGCGTCGGAGCTTGGCCGTCAAGCTCTTCGAGGTTACTACTGGACGGTAGCTGGGCGTGTGATGCTTGTGGTTGATGTGCATGTGCATTGTCATCTTCATCTTCATAAACTTGCCCCTCCTCCTCTTCGACAACAGGACCTGGCTCTGGACGTGCTGTGTCGTCTTCTTGGGTAGGAATACCTTCAGCACCAACATCAAGTGCGGGAAGTTCTTCTTGCTCCCCGTCTTCCTCCTGGAACAGGTGCTCTTCTTGTTCATCATTCTCATCTACTTCCACCATGCTTGTTTCCAAGGGGCTGGAAAATTGCGCGCCTTGCGGTGTCATGATCATGTCCTCACCATTTTCTGGGTCGACGTCCGCAGGCGAAGAAACGGGGGCGAGCAGGGCATCGCTCCCAATATTTTCGTCAAGTGGCGTATTAGAAGACATGGTCGCGGCCCTGGATAATTGCTGCTGCTTCGGTCTATAACTTTACGGTTCGTCGCGTACTTACTGGCAAAATGAGGTGAAGAAAAGGCTGCTCTCGTCAAGTGGTGTGATGTAATGAGGTCGTAATGGGGCAAGAACTAGTGCAATACATAACTGCTGGCTTCTAGTATCCGTCGTTGAACGTTCGTCCTGGTTGCTTAAGGTTAATACTAGCAGTGCCAGCTCACTACACAACTCGCGGGGCTGAGTGCTGTTCGCGTCGCAGCGTGAAGATTGGGTCTGCCCAGCGGAGTCGACGCCGAATAAAGACTGCCGGCATGTTGATGGCGCACCAGAATATCCTCGTCCAGGAATGCACCAGCACCACAGGGTCGTTTTTGTACATCTCGCTCTTCTTCCTTGTCGTTGACTAGTTCTTGCAAAATTGGTGCCGGTATCGTTATGCGACCACCACTTCTTATTGTCCCTCTGCTGATCGTAGTTCTTGAAGATGCTGCGTCATGATCTACTTCATGCCCGCCTATCGAAGAAGCCTTGTCCCAGGAACACATGTGAAGAAAGTCAAATGGTCCTTCATCTCCACGGCAGTTGGTGCAGCCGACGTTGTTGCCCTTCTGCTCACCACACAGAAAATAATCGACCACCATTTTGTCGGTTTTACTGTCCTTCGCTATTGTTTGTGACAAGAAGAAGCCCTCCTGACACTGCTACGAAGCACGACAGGCCGTTCTGCATCGAGCGGCACGTCGGACAAGCGTCGCACAACGTCGAGACAGTTGTTCCCCTCCGGCTTGATGTCGTGGGAAGGAAGAGAAGCTGCTGCCCGTGAAGGTAGTGCATAATTTGCCAGCACGTTTCAAAAAAAGCAGATGTAGTCGCGATGTAAACCTATATGAAAAAAACGACTTAAAATTGGCAATGGCTTTTCACCCGACTACGTACATCTATGTGCTTGCAACCACCGGCTAAGTGGTTTGTGCAATCCTATGAATGTTAAAAAGAAAAAAATGTTGGCAGAAGTTTTTCGTTTCGATTTGAATTCAGACTTTAAATATGAGTTTTACCTAGCAAAAGAGATGAGATCAGTTGCCGTGATAGGATGATGTAAGACTATACTACTGATTTATGCTTATGTTTGTCAAAAAGGAGGTCCTTGAGCAAAAGAGTCAATCACGCAACTCGTCTCTTGAATAGAAGAATTATCACACGTAGAAAATAGAAGCCAGAACGTTAATCACAGCTTTAAATGTACAACTTCGTTCTCGACAGCGTAAAAAACGTCTCTACAGTGGTTGTCGTTCGCTGCTTCATCTCGCTTTAATATTGTTCGTCTCGGACTAAAAGGAGCAACATCAACAAAAAGCCTCTAGCAAACAAACAGGTCAATCACAATGACAATCACTGCGCGCTCTTTTCTATAGCGGTGGATTCAGGATCTTGTTTTCCTTGCGCGAGTCGTATCACAGCAACTTCCTGATGTTCATTATCTTCCGTGTTGTAGTATACTTGCATTTTATTGAACATGACTGTTTCGCTGGTGCAGAAGCCACTTCTCGAGCCCCACACAGTAAGTAGATGTGCTGCACTCCTTCGTCTTTGGTGTTTCAAATTCAAAGTCAAGAACGACAACGGCTTCAAGATCAAGTCGTTCGCTTCGCGTACAAAAAATGCATACTCAAATCTTTCTCCTGCTTGATCTATTTCTCCACAAAGGCGCGGCAAGTTGCGCAGCACGTTCTTGCCATCCTCCTCTTCGCGATGAGGCGGAAACATTCATCCTGCAGCTGTGCTTACATTTTGAAACTGAAACATTACTTTCGGCACGACCAAGTTGTGAAATCATCTTAGTTCTTGCGCAAGACCCGCCGGCGTTGACAGAAATCAAAGTCTGCAACGACGAACACAACGCGGCATAAACAGAGGCTGATAACGAAACTCTCGTGCGGTGAAATAAAACTGAAACGACGAACTCGAACTGATAGTTTATCGAAAAATCACCCCGGAAAACGAAGAAGCGCAAAATTTTTTTTTCCCGATTACTACCCAAGTAAATCTCCACCCACTTACCGCTTCAGCAGTTCCGTGGTTTCCATTGTAAATTTGGTCAAGTACGAAGCAAATTTGTCCTCTGCGGTACGAACGGGTTTATTTTTCGGACTTGACACAATCTGTTCCTCCGTGTTTACTATATCATCGTGTAGTTGTTCCCGCCTGTGTTGGGAGGCAGCAGGAGCTGCAGCAGCCTGTTTATTGTTCGCGTTGGACAACAACAACACATCCGGCAGCCGTCCGTTCAAATACGTTTCCATATTCCCCGCCCCGATTGTGGTGCTCAGAGCCAACCGGTCTACTCCTGTAGTAGAACTACTAGTACCTGTAGCTGCGCAGGTATCCCAAGAAAAAAGTGATACAGTTACACATTTGTTGTCAATGCAGCAACACAAATTTCTCTGCATTAGAGAGAAAACTTGCAGTGCAGAAATCCTACGGGAAAACACGTATGAAACAAGGCTTCTAGGTTTATCCGGCATGACAGAGGCTGTCTGTCATGCTGGGCTTGCAACACAATGTGTAACTGTAACACTTTTTTCCTGCGATAGCTGGTGAAGGTTGCTCCCAGCATGATCGCCGGCTGACCGGTCGTGTGTTCTACTCCGGAATAAAAACTAGAACTTGCTTATCCCACGAAAAAACTGTTTCACTGTGATGATTTTGCAAGATCTGCATCACAAGTTTGTTACACATGACACGGAAAATGTGCCATGCGCGCTTTCAAGGGGAACTAAACACCACTAAAGAGTCAAGGTCTTGCAGGTGTAGCAAGACAGATAGTTCTGTGCTCCATTCTATGCATCGCAAGTTCACAGTGAAACAGTTTTTTCGTGGGATATACCTGGTTGTACTCCCGAAGTTGTGGTCATGGTTTCGTTTAGCAAACACTCCGGCAATATGAATCGCAAATGTGTCTGGGTGTGGAAAGATGCAAGGCTTGTCATGCGCATTTTGCAGGACTCCTGATGTCTTGCGATGCATGCCCTTGCATCACAGATTTTGCGAGGGATTCCGGATGCCTATACTGCATGAGAATTAAGTACCTTCTCGCTGTAGCAAAAATTGGATCTCTCTTGTGGTTCATGCAATACAGATTTTTGTAGAATCCAAATGCAGCATCACAAGTGTCATCCTTCCTTCGTTCCAGACCCAGACTACATATTTGCAATGCGTAGGCAATTTTCCGTTCAAGTACGTTTCAATCTTCTCGGGCGAGTCGTGGTCTACTTTTTGTTCTGCTTCTACCTCGATCTTTGAATTCTCACAACTACTATCCGTCCCATCTACCAAATCCGCTTTCGGCACTGGCATTCCGCGCAAACCCCGGCTCCGAACAAACTCTGCTTCCGTTTCCAAAATCCGTTCGTTCTCCGCGAAACGAGACTGGAGCTGGAAATCATGAGCGGTCAACATTGCGGAGGTCTGTTCATCGCGAGAACAATTTTCATCTCGCAGGAGTTGCTGTGAGTTGGCGTTGTTCTTCCGTATGATCTCCCCAGTACTGAAATCCGTCAGCGTTTGCAACTGTATTTGTTCGTCACCTTGTTCCACAGAAAACTTGTGATGGTCGTGCGACAAAGCGGAAAAATTCGGCTTCGTTGCTGTGCTTGTGTTATGCATTGCAAAAGTATCGCACTAGTTCTAGTATGAATTGCATTACAAATTTTCTCCGCATGAGAAATGGAATTTGTAATGCTGATTGACCTTAGGAAAAAAATTTGTAATGCATGCCTGCGATTACTACGAGTACGATACTTTTGCACAGGATAGGTGTTGCCCATGTTTTTGCCGTAGATTGTTCTTGTTCCTGGATCGTCATATTCAAGCACCCGGGTGGAGTTCCGACGGACAGAGGAAAGTGGTCCTGCTCTGGTGTTATTGTTATCATTCGCGTGGTTCCAGTTCGGTTCCAGATGCGACAAAACCTCGTCAAAGGTGGTTTCCAAGTTTTCCTTGTTTCCAGAATGAGCCTCAACACGGTTCAAATGAAATTGCGTTTCCTGCTTCGCATTCGCGACCACGGCAGTTGTAGTATTCTCCATATCAAATGCAAAAATGTCTGGGTCTGGAGTATGCTGCGACTTGTCATGCACGTTTTGCATGAGCCATGAGGTCTGAAATCGAAATGCGAGAACTAGCATGACAGATTCTTTTAGGTCTTTATCATGCCTTTCCTGCATGAGAAACTCCAACTCAATTTGGTCAAAAGGGGACAGCTTTTGGTAGTCACGCAACACAGATTTTTGCATCATTCAGATTTAGCATGACAAGTTTTAATCTTCCAAACCCAGACATATTTGCATTTCATACTCCAGACTCGCCGCTGAATTCACCTTCGTGACCATTTTCGTCCGCAGCCGCCGGTTGTCTTCCTGCAAAACTTCAATTTTCCGCATCAGCTTACGCCGCTCGTCCGCGGTTTTAGAAAATTTGTCCCGAGTTTCGTGCAATAAGTGCTCCAGGTAGTGGACTCGTGTGCTGCTGGAGGAATTTTTGTTGTCGAAGAGGAGAAAGTTATCTGGCAGGAGATTTTGATGTCTGCCACAAACGATCGCTTTATTGTAGAAGTTGTTCATTCCCCTAGAAGTTGTACAACTACCACTTCTTGTCTGCGGCGCAAACATCGCCCCCGTAGTTGTACCACAGGTTCCCCCGAACTCAAACCCCGACAGCGCATTGGTCCTGGCTTGCAGTTTCAGATGTCGCACTCGCAGCACAAACCCGCTCGGCAACGGTCGCAACGGCCCGAGGTGGGGCGGCTTTTTGATATCGTGTGCAAAAGCATCGCACTCGTATTGCAGTCATTCGCTCGTTGTGGATCGGCTCTGCCGACCGGGTAACCCAACGCCTTGCATACAAATTTTTTTCTTAAGGGAAATCCGCATTACAAACTTTATTTGTCATGCTGAGGAAATTTGTAATGCATTTATACGAGTACGATACTTTTGCAGTTCATAATTGAAGCGGTCCAGCAACGGCACGTCCACATCGATCAACCCCAGCAACAGCGCCGCCGCATGGGCGTTCCGGAGCGATTTCACACTATTCCTGTTCGCCTCCACCGTTGCTTCTTTTGCGCGGTACAGTTGTGATGCGGTAGTGGAAGATGGAAGATTGAATTCTTCGGTGTAGGTATCAAGTGTAAAAATGTCTGGGTCTGGAAGAGTGCAAGTTTGTCATGCGTGTCTAGCATGACTCGAGAATCTGTGTTGCACAGGCACGAAAAGGCCCTCTTACCTGTCATGCAGAAACGCAGTTTGTCGTGCGGAATACGTAAGACATGGGAGCCAAAAAATTTGTCATGAATAGCTGCGTATTGCAGTCCGTCTACCATTCACTTTTTGCATCACAAGTTTCCAGACCCAGACAGTTTTGCACTTGATAGTAGGCCCAGATTGCCCGTTCGTCTTCAGAGAACACATCGTGGTAAAATTTGTCGAGCCAAGCGTTCAACGCTTTCGTATGAGAGTGCACACCACCTCCCGCCAAAAATAAATTTCCCGTATCGAAAAATAAAGGGCATCGATAAAGCAAAGGCTGCTACAGCGAGAAGAAAGAACCAAGCGGCTTCTGCAACGTTCATAGAGAGAAATCTTGGTTCCTGCTCGGATCGTTGTAGTGCTGTGTCCGTTGAGTTCTTCATTAACAGTGGCATACGTCGAGAAGACACGACTGGTCTGGGATTCTGGTATTTTTGCATCACAAAACTACAAACTTACAAATGAGACCTGGGGACCACGAGAGGTACTTACTACAGCTGTGCACTTCCATATTTCGACAGTCTGTGATGCTGGTTGCGGTCGGTGTTCGAGCAGCGGTACAGCTGGGGCTTGGGGAAATGGTGTTGGACGTGTGCGTATGCCTTGCAAATATGTCTGGGCCTGGAAACTTGTAATGCAAGTCCGCCAGTGATGGGCGCACTGCAGTACGCAGCCGAGCATGACAAGTTTTGCAGCCACTATGTGTTGCGCATTCCGCATGGCACACTGCGCTTTTGCATGACAGGCAAAGTGGTTTTCCTCTGTTCCTCCTGCATCACAGATTTGAGAATCATGCGAGACAAGCACGACAAATTAGCAGTCTCCCACTCCCAGACCCAGACATATTTGCATTTGATAGTGCGCTCCTCGATGAGAAAGTCCTTCCAGCTGTCTGATTCCTGCTCCCTCCGATCTTCCCGAAAACGACGGACTTACCCCCAGCACTCGTTTTGCTAGGGTCCACGAACACCTCAAGTTGGGCCCGGATTTGGTCAGCAAGTTTGGCGAAAGTCTGGTCCAATTCCCGATCGGAGGGGGGGCGGGTACGGGAGGTGGCCATGATTTTTTGTTTTTCCGAAAAAAAAATATGAAAAATCTGCGACTCACACGTCAAAGACGTGCGGTCGTTCGACCAGTACCTCCAGCTGCCCAGCTAAAGCAGTCTACAACACTCTCGTTTGCTGGTAGAATGCATCTCGTTGTCAACAAAATCTAGGTGTTGTACTTAATTACCCATCTTCGTCCAGTTTTTTCTGTCTTTGTGCAATTCCCTCGACTAGTCGACTCGCTTTGTAGAAGTGAGTCTGCGGTGGACCTTCACGACAACCTCGGTCTGAAATATGGAGTAGAAAAAGTGCACTTACAATCGTCCCTCGAAATATTTCTAATGTAGCCATGATGGTATAATCACGGCAATCTTCCTGTCCTCTCGTTTCCTCCATATGTTAGTTTCACACGCTTCAAAATAAGGAGGCCTTCCGCACTCACACTCGTCTCGAGCGGGACCAATTTCATACTTAATATTTCAGGTTCAACTACTAAGTACGTCTTCTCTCTTTCTTCACGAATGGTTAGATAGATGAAAGAAAAGCAAAAGGGGAAAACAATAAGCAGAACTACACGAGCAGGAATATCACATGGCCCACGCTCCCGCGCAAGTTGTTTCCACGCAGAGTCACCATGATTCGAGGATGATTCGTTTGTTACAGTGTCTTTCTTTCTCTTTTTTAACTTTTGCTTGCACAGAAGCGTGTTTAATGTTTACGACCTGATATGTCGATCCATCCTGTTCTCTAAAATTCAAATTTCGGCTCGTATTCATTTGTTGATGGCTGTAGACAAAACAAATTCGTCGTGCTCGTGTTAGAAGTGAAGTAGAAGTCGATGACTGAAACACAAAAATAGAAGAAACGGATGTTGTTGAAACGGCATTATCACAAACAACTACAACATGCAGATATTTATCTATCAGGTCAAAAATGAATCGTCAAAAAAACTTAAACTTTTTCTTCCCGTGCGGGGATCTACTGTTCGCTCGTACTGCTTCATGATTGAAAGTTTTTCACCACGGCATCGATGCGCGTGCGGCAGATCGGACACAAAGCGGTTGCTCTATCGAAAGGAAAAATCCCCCCTCCCCATATCAAGACGGAATTTCTGATGCTGGATTTGTGTACACAACATATCAGCTTTGTATTGCAGAGAGGCACTGCGTCCAATTGCCCAGGCTAGGTAGGGCGTATGGGTCTAGTCGTTCAGCATGGAAAACGGCCCCCCTGTAGGCCCAACAACATGACAAATCGCTTGCATAATATGGCGGAAGCTTCTGCCCTTGTCTTCTTGCAAGACAGACGCGATTTGTGACCACAAATCAGCATCACGAATATCCAAAAATATACCTTTTCAATATGGGGAGGGGGGATTTTTCCTCACGATATGCTCCCTGCCCAGTTCTGCGTCTTGCCCCAGCATCATTCGACGTCCCGAAAATCTCCATTGCGCAGTCGTAGCAGCAACAGATGTGCGCCGTGTTCCCGTGGACAAAGGACGCGTTCCTTTCCTTCTCCTGACACACGATGCAGAGCTGCTCCGATGCTAAAAGGGTCGGTCGCGGGGGAGCTGCTGCTGTGTGAAGGCCAGAAGCAGTACTAGAGGGATGAACACCTCCTGGATGTTGATGCAGCTCAGACGCAGAAGACGAAGCATGGTGGGAGCTGGGGTAGTTTTCTTGCACGAGAGCTGCATGCGCTGTCGCGACCACAACGCCAGGGGCGGGCTGAGAGGCCGGCACGACCGCGGATTCATGTTGCAGGACCCCAAACCCAGTCGCCCTTGCAGGAACAACGTTAGTAATTGCTGCACCATGAACCGCAGATGAGGGCGAGGTACTACTAGATGCCGTTATTTCAACTCGTTGGGACGACAAGGAACTCAGTTCGTCGATTTGGCGAAGAAGGTCCGCCACGAGCTGTTCGTTTTCGTGCTGAGAAGGAGCCGCACGAGGACCCGGACTCGCGATAGTACGAGGAAAACCTCCTGGCAAATCGGCGACAAGAACTCCTCCCGCAGCTGCACTGCTCGCACTACTCCCATGCTCAGCTGTCTCGTCCAGAACGTCAACCGAAGATGGCGCAGCTCTTTGTTCTCCACCTCCACCTGGATTGTTCGCACCTAAATAAACATCAGTCGTAGTTCTACTTCCGCCTCTCCTTCCGGACGGTCTTGTGCCCTGCTCCTCGCCGCTCCGGGTTGCAGAAGTGCTGGCGCCCCGAGAAGATTCATCTTCTGGGAGCACCGGTGGCGCCCGTTCTTGATGATTTTCATTTTCCTGGTCGCTCCGCACCTGGTCTAACAACTCATGGTCAGTGTCAGCAAGAACCCTGGAAACGGAATTACTAGAGGAGGACGCAGCCGAGGAGGAAGAAGCCGGTCTTTGTGTAGTTTCAGTTTCGAGTCCTCTTGGTGCGGGTGCCCCGGCGGGTCCTCGTGCACGAGGACTTCTACGTGTCGTGGTGCTTCGAGTAGTTTCATCCGCATCCCGAGGACCACCTTGTTGCCCTTGTCCTTGTCCTATGGATTGCAAATATGTGTGGGTCTGGAAGATTCTGAAATTTGTCATGCAGTTTTTCCAAGCTCCACCAAGTGTGGAATGCAGGGCCCAGCATCACAGAATCTGCAGCCCCTTTGTGATGCCTGTTCTGCATCAGAAATGCCCTCTCAGCATGACCAGAAGTGAGCACCTTTTGCAAGTCACGCAACACAGATTTTGGTATGATCCGCAACATGCATCACAAGTTCGCATCCTTCCAGACCCAAACACTTTTGCATTTGATATGTCCTTGTCCTTGTTGCCCTTGTTCTCCCGACGTCCCCACTTGTTCATCTGCCGCCCCAACTCTTCGCGTGATCGCCGTATGAACTGCAAATATGTCTGGGTCTGGAAAAATGCAAGTTTGTCATGCTTGTCTGGCATGACTCATAAATCTGTAATGCATGAGGAGGAAAATGGCGTCTTGCCTGTCATGCAAAAACGCAGTTTGCCATGCGGAAAACGAAATACAGTAGTAGTTGAAAAATTTGTCATGCTTGGCCGCGTATTGCAGTCCACCCACCAGTCACATTTTAGCATCACAAGTTTCCAGACCCAGACATATTTGCATTTGATACGCCGTGACGAACTGCGAAACTTCATCCGGGTTCTTCGGCAACTGGACTTGGTACTGCGCAAAAAACTATCAACTGCAAATATAATGTCTGTGTCTGGAAGATTGGAAGACTTGTCATGCACATTTTGCATGACCCATGAGATCTGGAATGCAGAACCTAGCATGACAGATTCTGTGCGGAATCCATCAAGCCAGCCCTGCATGAGAATATCCATCGCAACTTGGTCGAAAGTGGGCAGCTTTTGGTAATCATGCAACACGGAATTTTGCATGAGTCCGAACTAGCATGACAAGTTCCATCCTTCCAAACCTCCCAGACGCAGACATATTTGCAATGCATAAAAACTCCTGCCGAATGCTTTCAAGGCTCCGCGGCCTGGTCGCGCGGGAAGAAAAAGATGATGCTGACATGGTTTCTATGAACTTCTACAAAGAGCCTAATCTAAACGAGAATAACGAAAGCGATGTGTCGAATGGGACCTCGTCACTACATTCCTTTGTTTCTGCTATCGACAAGCAAATATGATCCTTAAAAACTACCTTCTGCGAGGTGGACGCTACGGACGCTAAGAAGTGACAAACGACAACACATTTTCGTCTATCTGAAGTAACGAATATGAAACAGCGAAGGTGAAAATTTTTTTAAATTTTATTGGATTCACCACGGAAAAAATAGCGGGGCAGGCCTGCGGGTTAAAAAGGTTCTTTGGAGAGGCCACACAACACTTCCGTTCAGAAAGTAAGAACAAGTATAAGTATGGCTCTGTTGCCACAAATCATCGCTCGACGGTAAAAAGACCTCGATCGCTCGACAGAAGAGTTTTCCTTGGTCTTAGTTTTCTTTTTCCTCTCTTTTGGTAAAAATGATGATGTGGTCTTGCTCCCGAGACATTCTATAATTATGCGCTCATCAAATTATGATCTCTCATGGGAGGGCGGTCGACAAGGAAAAATTCCGAAGGTGTTTGATACTTAGCGACAGTCTCGCGTGACGGTACGAGAACATTTCATCTCCTGTCTCGCGTGACTTGAAAATACGGCCCGGTTAGCAGTGGAAAATGCATTCTTGTGCATTTTTTTTATCGCGAAGAGAGGAACGAATTATACCCGAGTTGTGCATTTAACGAACGGGGACGAGGTCATAAAGGGTACTCAATCCATGCAGGTCACCGAACGTCTCTACTCCTAAACAACTACTGGCATCCAATTTATTAGTAGGGCCGTTTCGAGAGGGTCAGCGTCAGAGTCTTTTATTTATCTTGTTTTTCTTTTTTTAAATACATTACCTTTAATGTCATTAAAGGTGCGCAGCAGCGGGTGCATTTTCTTTTGATTGATAGTCTCTTCATCTGTCAACCGCTTAAGTTCCTCGGAGGCAAGTGTGTCACAAAGCTCCAGTGCGTCTTTCAGCAACGGCAGCACCACATACCGGTTGGTCGCGTACTTTGTATGCCAAGAAAACAGAAGTGTTAGTAGTACAGTTACATCACATTTGCTATAAAAACTTCAGCAACACTTCTGCTTTTCTCCTACCTTATCACCGAGGAGAAAATCAAATTGCAAACTTCCAAAATTTGCGATGCAGAGAGCATAAGGGAAACCACGGGTGCTGAGCCGTGGCTCCTGAGTATGTCCGGCATGACAGACCTTGGCTGTAGTCGCGTTTGGCCTGCAACTACGCAGTGTAAAAAGTATGATGTGCCACTGTATTTATTAACACGTTTTTCTTGGCATACGCTGGAGCGAAGAGAAATTGCGTTCTGGCCTTGACATTCGCCCACCGCGAGTCAGACTCCGTTGCTGTCTTCTTGAGCTCTGTGATTTTCTCGTCGCACGCGGTCCGCAACTGTGATAAAGGATTCATGAGATCCGAGTGTAATGGCGAGGTCAAGAACGGATTCTCCTGGTCGCTTTTTTCCCGCGTCCAAATGATTCCGGAAACGTTTTCGTGTACCCACTGCAGAACTTCTTCCACACACCGCAGTATCCTGAGTAAAAACGTACCCACACCAGAGTCAAGATGGGGAATCGGCTAGACAAATCCACAAGCTTTGGCTGTTTTGCATGACAAATTTGGATTCGTAGTGTAGTGCTGTTTGAGCTAGCTCAGCAGCATCACAGATCTAGCATACCATGCTGAGTGGAGCATGACAAATTGCAAAACACGACTAGAAAATGCTTCTCATGGGGCTCCACATGAGAAACATTTTCAACATGCAGATTTGCATTACAACTCTGGTGTGGGTACGTTTTTACTCAGGATACGCAGAGAAGAAGCCTCATTGGGCGCAGAACTCGCGGCGGGCGCACCTTCGACCGCAGAACTCGCGCTGGCGCCTGGAGCTTCAATCACAGGGCGAGCTGCGCCGGCCGGCTGCTTCTTGATTGGGCACACTTGATCGTGGCCACTGAGACTGAAAGCCTCCCAGTATGCATTAAGGACCGGGTTGACTCGAAAGAATCTTTTTCCATTTTCCTTGTCTATAGCCACTTCCACATTTTTGCGACCGTGCCGCAGATATTTTATTTTCACTTCGGCTTGCCGCGCCTTGCTCATCGCCCCAGCTGCAGCTTCCCGTTCAAGAAACACAGTCGTCCCCGTCGCGCCGTCCCCGCCTGCAGGCGCAGTTTCTCGCGCAACTACGGCCTCGCCGGGTGGCCCCGTTTCGCTCGCTGCGCTGCTTGCAGTCGTGCTGTCCACAGCTTGTTCGTGGTGGTCGACAGAAGAAGAAGTAGTAGACTGCGCCGGAGTAGGTTCCGTTTCGCCATCCGCGCCGACGGTCACCACCGTTAGAATCTTCTCATTTCCCGGGGCGGTATTTTCATCAGAGGTTGTTGTGCTACCCCGCTCCCGCGTCGGCTCGAGAAAGTGGCGCGCCACCCCGGACACGAACAGGAAAGAAGGTGGCACGGTACCCGCGGCCGACTTTGTGACGCGAGCAATCTTCTGGCCTTCGCGCACACCAGGTCTGGACTCCACCTCTACGGCTGCACCTGCGGAAGTCGTCCCACTGGCGGCGCTATCGGCTTGCTTTGCTTCTGGCACGCAAGCTTCAAGGACTTTTTTGAGAGCAGCTTCCTCTGACAGAAACGGCTGCCCGACCATACTCTCGTAATGAGATCCGCCGGGCTGCTATACGCTGCAAATATGTCTACTAAGTCGCCGGGAAATTAATTTGCGACGCTTATGCGCAAGCAGCCTCCTTGTCCGAACGATGCAAGAACAGTTTTTATTTGAGCTGCGGCGTCGTACGTATTCAACCGCATGACACATACATAGTTGCACTTTTGCATGAAAAAGAGAGGGGTTGTTTCTTTCGCAGTACGCGTCACGGGCCTTTCTCCCCTTCAGACCAAGCATGGAAAAGCCTTGCATCTGTGTGTTGCACTCTTCCCGACACAGACATAAATGCAATGCATAGCTCCAGGCACTGGCGAAAAATGGCCTGCGTGATGGCATCCGTCATGTAGGCACCTCCCCATTGATTGTAGCTGCAATACTCATTGACGATTGCAGCGTACCCATCGGGAGCACCCCAGCAGTTGGTGTCGCGCATCTCCTCTTCGATCGTGTCTGCGCGCAAAGACGACACGTGAATCGGGCTATCGAGCTGGCGCCGAAGTCGTTTGAAGTCCTCTTCGTCCTCGAGTCGACTCCCCATCATTTCAGTGCCTATGGATTGCAAAAGTGTCTGGGTCTGGAAGATTCTGAGACTTGTCATGCACGTTTTGCGTGAGCCATGATGTCTGTGATGCATGCCCTAGCATAACAGATTTCTTGAGGGCCTCTTGATGCCTATTCCGCATGAGAAATGCCCTCTCCGCGTAGCAAAAATCACATTCCCATTGCTGCTCATGCAGTACAGATTTTTTTGGAGTCCAAATTTAGCATCACAAGTTGCATTCTTCCAGACCCAGACATTTTTGCATTTGCTAGTGTCGCCGCCCGCTACGATGTAGGTCGGATCTAAATCCGGAGACACGTTAAAGGGGAGCAGGAAATCCTGGTAATGAGTACGCCGGCCAATACTTCCTGCGGTCGCGCAAAGCACCAAAACCTTCTCCTTCGGTTTTCCTGCCACGCGGGATGCCCCCATCTGCAGCTCCTGTTCTTCCGTCAAAGGAGCAGCCTCCTCCGGACGGTCTCCGTTCATGCGGATGTCACCCAGCCTCGAGCGCTGCAAACTGGGGCCCCAGGTTTCCGGCAAATTCCCCCACGTAATACCAGGAGGGAGCGTGGTTCGCGCTTCAATTGCTTCTTTCCCGTCCTCAATCTGCTCAAGTCGATTTTTCACAAAGGCGGGGGTGAGGTCCTCAATCTGGAAATATGTCCCCGTCACCATGTCGGCCTCCTCTTTTGTGAGTTCGGCCCGTTCTTTTTGGAGTTCGTCACCTGTGAGTTCGGCCAGTTTTTCGAGCAGCTTCTGTGCTTCATTCAGGCGGAGCCATTCGGTAACATCTTCCTGAGCTTCTCGTGGGAGGGCGTCCATCTGACCCTCTTTGATCAATTCTAACCGCCCTTGTTCTACGTTCGGTTGCGACTCCGACGACTCTAGCCGCTCTGTGAGTTTTTGTTCAAGAAACAGAGTCGCCGTCGCGCCGTCCCCGCCTGCAGGCGCAGTTTCTCGCGCAACTACGGCCTCGCCGGGTGGCCCCACGATTCCCCCGCTTGCTGCGCTGCTTGCAGTCGTGTCCAAAGCTTGTTCGTGGTCGACAGAAGGAATAGTAGATTGCGCCGGAGCAGGTTCCGTCTCGCCATCTGCGCCGACGGTCACCGCCGTTAGAATCCTCTCATTTCCCGCGGCCGTATTTTCGTCAGAGGATGTGCTTCCCCGCTCCCGCGTCGGCTCGAGAAAGTGGCGCGCCACCCCGGACACGAACAGGAAACCCGTGGGGCCGTCGAACAAAACCAGGTACGCGCACAGGAGCGCGGCGGCCGTTTTCTTGTTCGCCATCGCCTTGTTCCGCTACTGCCTCTGCTTCGCTATCAAGTGCAAATAAAAATATGTCGGGGTCCTCGAATGGAAGATGAAAATGAAGTTCATGAAAATAAGGAAAACAGTCTGAGCTCGGAGTCTGAGCTCGGAGAGAAAGAACACGAAAAATATTCGTTTGATTGAAAATATTCATTTGAATACGAGAGGATGAGAAAATGACAAAGATAAGGAGAAACACAAAGGAAAAGAAGAGAAAAGAAAAAAGACAGAAAAGAAAAAGAAAAAGAGAAACCAAAAGCATAAAAAGGCAAGGAATTGGCGAAAATATCGCAAAAATATCCCTTTGAAAAAAATATGCTTTTGAAAAGATATATCCTTTTGGCCGATTGCCCGGACCCCTGCACCCTTCTTGGCCTCAGAAGGCCAAGAAGGGCCACGGCGGCCTCAGAAGGCCAAGGAGGGCCAGGGCGGCCGCAGAAGGGCCAAGATTGAAGATGGACCCAAAATGAAGGCGTCTATCTCCTTCAGGCAGAAACCTGAAACACTGCTTCGTCGGGAAGAAGCAATGGCTCTAGCCTGCAGATAGGTGTCTGCAGGCGCGACCTGAGCGACTGCCAGACAGCGACGGCCTGGACGACTGCATCTGCATCCACGGGCCTACCCCGTCATTCTCGAAGCCCAAACCCCCGAAGCCTCTTTGTTTCCCGATCCTTCAGGTTGGGGTTGCGTTGGTGCCCACTTCTTTAGTCTTCTTCCCGCCCTTCTGTGCCCCATGGCTTCCCCGGGTTTCCAAGATTCCCCATGCGAACCGCAAAAACGCGGGCGGGATAGAGACCCGAGCTATTTGCGCAGTGGTTTGGCCCTCACAAAAAAGACGGCCAACAAAGACCCACCCTTTTCGCGGGCTATTTGTCATTCTTAAAACGACTGCTACTCGGGCGAGCGTGCGGCTTTCGTAGCTACTATACCTCGGAGACAGGGCGAGCATGCGCGGGGCCTTTAGGGTGGCATGCTCGCCACGCTGCGCGGGGAGTGAAAAAAAACTACATTCATTGAATGGCACGGCCCGAGCGCCATTTCGTTTACAACACTCACAGGAGACTGTCTGGGCGCGGGCAGTGCGCGAAGAGAAAAAAACGAACCCGGGCGGCGCCCGGTCAGGGGTCACGAGAAAAACGCTCCGCGCCCTCAGTCGTCGCGGAACACGGCGCTAACGCCCCACACCCTCAGGCCCGGGCAGCCTCTGCACGCGCCCAGCGGGCGAAGACCTTTTCTTTATCCGACCAGCCCCGGACCGCCTCGTGGCGAGGTAAAGACATACCTACGGCGCCTTCAGGCTAAGGCCTCTGCGCGCGCACGGCGCAAAGGCAATCTTTTTCCAAGCCAACTACTAATGCCGAACGTGACAAAAGAAACAACTCCACGCGCCCACTCTGCGCGCTTTCCGCGCGCCCACTCTGCCGGCTACCGACTGCCGGGCGTGAAAAGAATTCCGCGCCCCCCTGCCAAGGCGTCCGCCAGCGAGCGCGCGCAGCGCGCGAGCATTGTGCTTCAGGCAGGCCTCCGCGCACACCTCGCAAAAAAATTATTCGCGCTACCAAATCGGGGCGCTTGCGCGCGCGCAACATTTTTTCCCGGCAAAGCCCCGGGCTCCGGGTAAGAGCAAGCTGCTAGCTCTCCGCACTCGCAGGCCACGGCATCCCCGCGCGCGCAGCGCGCGAAATTTTTTTTGCGTGCCACTTTCCGACTGCCGGGCAAGAGAAAACTTTCCGCGATTCTAGGCGAAGGCGGCAGCGAGTGCGCGAGGCGCGCACTTTTTTAAGGCAGGCCCGCACGTACAGATCTCGAAGAGGAAAACACATCCCGCTATAAGGCCGAGGCGACTGCGCGCGCGCAGCGCGCCAGATTTTTTTTCACGACCATCGCTCCCCCGGCTGCCGGACGCGAGCAAAGCTGTCCGCGTTTTCAAGCCGACGCGCCTGCGCGCGCGCAAACTTGCATTCCAGCCGAGCTGCGACTGCCAGGCGCGAAAAAACAAAGTGCGACCCACCGTGCCTGCCCGCCAGTCTATCCGGCCAGCCCCCGGGGTTAGCTTGACGCCCCTTCGCCGAGATGTCTGCGCGCGCGCAACGAGCGGAATTTTTTTTTCCGACCAACCGCCCGCGCCCGCATGCGACAAAAACCCTCCGCGCCCTCAGTCCAAGGGGTCTGGACGCACGCAGCGCGCGCGCGAGCATTTTTTCCCCGGTAGGCCGCTGGCTCCCGAACGCGAATAAAGCTTTCCGCGCCCTCACCCCGCGCGAGAGCCAACTCAGGTGTCTGCGCGCGCGCAGCGCGCGAAAATTTTTTTCCTCTTAGCCCCCGACTGCCGGGCGCGCTGCAAAAAATTTTCCCCGCTCCAAGGCCAAGGGAGGCGCCTGCGCGCACGCAGCGCTCGAAAGCTCTCTCGTCGGCCAGCTTCCGGCTGCTGGGCGCGAAAAAAAAGCTTCGGTCCGTCGCGCCAGCGCCAGGTTTGCAAGAAAATTTTTTCGGCCAGACGCAATGACCGAAGCAGGTCAGGGCGTCTGTGCGCGCGCAGCGCGCATTATTTTTTTTCTCGGCCGCCTGCGGCCCCCGATTGCCGAACGCGACATGGGCATCGCAAGCAACTGCCAAAACAAAGACACCTGTGCGCGCGCAGCGCGCCAAATTTTTTTCCTGATCTCGGAGCACAAAACACCACGCGCACACCATCGCCACTACTGACGCAAGCAAGCGCGCGCTGCGTGCGTCAAACATTTTCGCGGCCGGATCGCAAAGCACTACGCATCTTCCTAACGTGCGCAAAAGGAAAAAAGTAAACCGCCCCAGGTACGACAATTCCGCCGAAAGAAATAACGAAGGCGAATTTCTCAGCGGAAACACGTGCGAGTGCGCAACTGCAGAAAGGAACTGCAACTGCAAAAAAGTTATGTGTAGATTTCCGAACGACTACGACACCGGCCGATCTCTTGTCCTAGATCGCCCGCAGGGCGCAAACGCTGCACGGTATCCAATGTCGTTCGCGACACCACTCAATGCGTTACCAAACGAATATTTTTTATCAAAAATATATTTTTGGTTCGAAAAATATTCGTTTGATTAAAAATTCGCTTGTGTTCTTTTTTTTCTAAGCCTGGAGTCTTTGTCAAAACTTGAGGAACACGTTAAAGACGACAAAAATTCTTTTTCGCGGGGAACTAGGGGGAAGAAGTGGAAAAAAGAGTTGTCCACTGAAGCGTATTTTTTTCACAATGATCTCAATCCTTTCCAAGCATGACGAGCGACATCTTCTACACGCAAATGCGTGAAAATAGCACTAAGCAAAAGCACAACGACATTCTTATTTGCACGGTTTTGATGAACTATGGACGAAGCGAGAGCGAATTCTTCGACGGACGTCAAGAAATCGAAGATAGACCATCGTCCACCGAGAAGATTCTCGTGTCAGAAGTACGAATAAAACTACCGATCGAAGCGTAGTTGCACACGAAACAAACCGATCCTTCTTGATGTTGCGGACGAAATTAATACGTATGTGCGGAACTTCTACCGAGGACGTTCTTACCTTTGTCAACAGTAAACAAACTTCTCTACGTGGTTACCGCCTTCCGCCGGAGCGCGAAGACTACACATCAAGCAAAAAGACATCCGAGGTGAAGTGAAGATGCTACGTACAAACATCAAGCAAAAAGAGGATACAGCTCATCCGAAGGTCGTGTTTGCTACTTAGCGGCACCTGAACGACGAGGGTGGAACAGTTCCTCTTTCTCCGGTCCCGCCACGATATGCCATTTTCGGCTCTCTTGATGCAGCCTCTTAACGTTCATTCTTACACCAACAATTTGCTATTGAAAAGGTTCGTGCGTTCTTTTTCCCGTTCGGCGCTTTTTGAACAGAAGTGTAAAGATCATGTTGAAAATCATACAGGAGTATCAAGTCAAACCTCGCTCAACTTCTGACAACATAATCAAAAATACGCCTGCTACAACAGGAACAACAGGCCTAGTATTTCAAATAGAATAAAAATAATAGAAACTGCAACTACTGCGGTAGTAGACTAGCTTATCGTGGCGCTTCGGTGATAGATTTTTCACCTGCGAACTGCGACGGGGGCTGTGACACGAAGCTGCTTCCACCTTGCAGTGACAAAATGAATAGGGCGGCGTTTGCATCTGCAAAAAACGTATTAAAACTGATATGAATGTTGGTTGTTAGCGAAAAAAATGTTTGAAAAATTTAGAAAAGCTCTATTCTTTTTTGAGTTTCTGTTTTCGAAAGTGTGCGAAAAAAAGAAGGAATGCCGTAGAGCTTGAGAGGGAAGAGCGGTTTCTTCTGCTTTTATTCGTGCTCTCTTGATCATGTTTGTGGATTTTTTATTTTATCGATTTGCTACATGCTGTGGAAGTGAAGAACAGTGTCTCGCGCAGTACTTACTTGGAAAGGGGAAGCACGAATGAAAGTAGGCTTATGAGTAAGTTGGGAGTCTTGAAAGTCAAACCGAAACGCTTGGAGAAAGTAGGATGACATACATCGACAAAAACAAAAGAGAAAAGCTAATAGCGAATCGATCGTGGTGAAAAAATTACGTCAGAAGGAACTATGTTCAAAAAAACTCAAGATTATCATGTCAAAGTGAAAGCCGAGCAACCTCAGGTACTTAATCGAAAAAAGCAGTCACTTACACTTACTCAAAAACAGAAAGAAAAAATCAAAGTGCAGCCATGAAAACAAACTAGATAGTACGCCTACGAAAAAAAGAAGTTCGCATGACAACTACCGGAAGATGGAGACGTTTTTACCCAGGATACCTAATCCCCATTCCCTGTTGGCGGGCGCATCTCTCCCCTCCAGACCCGAGGCTTCTCGATGCCAGGTATGCAATATGAGGGTGCACAACTCCCCCTCCCCCTCTTCATTTGTCATGTTGAATACCAAACGCGCCTTTCCGTTTGCCTCGTGGCACTTCTTTGCATGACAGATTCTGGCAGCCCAAACAACCCTACCATCCGGGGCGAATTCGTCATGCAAAGCCTGCACTCTTGCCGACGCTTGTATTGCTCCTCATGCCCTACAAATGAGGGGGAGGGTGAGTTGTGCACTCTCATATGCAAGAAAGAAACTTCATCACGAGGATCGCTCATGCTATATAAGCACGCCAGTTCCCGTATCCTGAGTAAAAACGTCCCCACACCAGAGTTGTCATGCAGATTTGCAATGACAGGAACATTTGTAATGCGCATCGCCAGGAGAGGCATTTTATTTTAGTCGTGTTTTGGAATTTGTAATGCTGTAAACAGGATGAGCAGATGGATTTCTGATGCAGCTGGCCTTGCGAACCTGCGCTACACTACGGACTGCAACTTGTGATGCGTGACCCCCAAAAGTTCTAGGTTTGTGTTGCAAAATCCCCATCTTGACCCTGGTGTGGGGATGTTTTTACTCAGGATATCCCGTGCTGAGGAAACGCTTTTCGCGGCTTGCCATCTCACTTCTACAGAAGCGACTGCATCAAGGCGTCATGGTACAAAACATCGACAAAGACAATTATATATAATGTTGTTTTCATCGACTTCCTATACACACAGACACAACAAATGCATATCTTGATGACAAACGAAATTCAAATACCAATGCCGTGGCAAAAAATAAAAAACGCGAAAGGCACATCGTGACTGGCTCCTTTTTCCTTGATTACCGCCAACTTTTCCACCAACCAGCGCCTCCCACGTAATCTTCGCCTGCTCGTCCTCCGTTGCCAGCTTGTTCAAGAGTTTTTTCCCCTCTGCGTTGTCGAACACACGCATGTTGAAGGGTTCGTTGTCCGGCCCGCGCAGGAAAAGTCGCAGATGTTTGTACTTTTCTAGGAAGTCCCGAAACTTCATCGCCTCGTTGGGCTTCGCAAACGGTGCCGAGGTTCCTCCCACCAGTTGCTGATCGGGCTTCGGGAGGAGGAGCAGGAGACCCTCGACCGGGTTGTCGGCCTCGCTACGTTGGCACACAATGGCCTCATTCGTCGTTTTCGCTTGCTCGTCAGCACTACTCCTCGCGAAACGATCAAGGCTACCGATCTCTTTCGTTTTCAGAGGACCCCTCCATTCGTCTTTCAACAAATCGTATGCAATGCAAATACTTATTATGTCTAGGCCTGGTGTGACGCTGCCTGTCTTTCAATTCTAAAAAAATCTGTGTAGCATGACCACCAAGTTACAGAAGTCTAGTTTGTGCTACGCGGGTACGGCATTTCTACACATGCGGCATAGGCATCAGAAAGCACTCCACAAATGTGGGAAGCTCGGCCATGCACGACAGGCATCATGGATCATGCAAAATATGCACGAGAAACCTGGCAATCTTCCAGACCCAGATCTCTTTGCTGTGGATAAATCGTACTTCGAGTAGTCGGCCTCAATCTTCGTGCTGCCCTTGAGGTGACCGTAATGATTTTTTCGACCGTAGTACGTTCCCTGCTGGGTTTGCTCTTGTATCGAGGTAGTCTTGGTCATTTCACGGCTTTCGCAGCCCCATTCTAACAAACTAGCCGAGTGTACGTGATCGCGCATAGCATACGCGGCATGTACCATAGTGTATGATGTGCCAATATCATCCGAATTATTGTGAGGAAGATGCCCCCCTCCTCATACTGCTCAAAAAGAAATTTCTGATCAAGCATGATCAAATAATTTGTGTAGTACACAAATTAGTTTGTCGTGTTGCAGCGACGAGCAGGCCCTCGGATTTCTAGCCTGTGCGGCGAGTCGAATTCTGGTTATGCGGCATGAAGACAGATGCTGGCTCAGTAGAAATCGTCTGCAAACTAGACAAGAACAGAAACAAATCGTCTACAAAATAGAACCAAGCGCTCTCGATTGCCCTCGTAAACCATTTTTCTTACTCCCATGGTGTTTAAAATTATGAGGAGGAAGGCATTTTTGTTTTGATACTTCAGGCCACAGCGAACGTCAAAGATTTTTCTGAAAACTTATTTACTAGCGCGAAGAAGTTGTAAGGTATACTCGAAGGAGGGCTATTGTGATGCGAGTGCTCGGCTTGTGTTCAGGCTGCAAGCGAATGCTACCACCTCCTTGAGCCGGTTTTCCGACGTATAAAACAAGCCAAGCTCGCACCGCACAAGCCCTCGAGCTGCACATAAAAGACATGACGCACAGCCCGGCCCAGATCCTCTTATTTGTATACTAAAAGTTGTACCAGTGTGAAGCGCTTACCTGCATCGTGAGTTATGAGCATTTTGGAGTAATTGGGCAAAAGCTTGACGAGCCGCGGCGCGTCATATTGCAACAGGACCTCAAGCGCATGCAATAGCCGCGGCCTTGGAGACCCATAAAGATGTGGCGGCATGTTGGGATGCCAAATGCACATGATACATCTGGATTGATAATCAGCCCCGTCAAGAATCTGTCCCGCCAATGCGTCATGACGGAGAACTGCCCGAAGTCTGGAATCCCACTCCAGCCCGCGCTGCAGCTGGAGCCTTTGTGCTTTTCATGTTTTGCTTTGCTTTGATCACCCTGGCATATCCTGCGCAAAAAACGTCCCCACCCCAGACTTGTAATGCAGTAGATTTCACGCAATCACAGGCACCCTTCTCGTAATGCGCATTCTCATGAGTGCCATTTTCAATCGTGCCTTGGCATTTGTAATGCTGTGAGCACTACACAGGATATGGATATCATGGCCCGACTGTCCTTGCTAGCCAGCTGCGCCACAATACAGAGACGAAGTTGCGGCCACACACTCGTGACTTCCAAAACTTCTGGATTTGTGTTGCAGAGTTCCCAAGCTGAAACTGGTTGGTCTAAGACGTTTTCATTGAGGATACGGCACACCTCTTTCTCAAAGTTGCCAGGACACATACGCCGAAAGCTCCGCAGTTGCATATTTACCATGGATGCGTCTTCTGTCTGCTGCAAGATGTAGAAAAACGCGTTTTGTGCGAACAGAGTCGTCCTGGGTTTGGTGTCGAGACCGTCAGCATCGCCGATCGTTAGTGGCAAAGGCAACTTATTGAGCGCATAATCGAGTCCGTCCCCGCCGCGTCCGTAAGGCCATCCGACAGCCTCCAAAACGTGGACTTCCAAATCAGTGCTTGTCGCAGGATCACGCAGCACAACATCTGCGGCGGCGAACTTCGGCTTCTCCGTGGCTGGTGCCGCGCCACCGGCGTCAGTATGGAAGCGTCAGGCTTGATCTTGAAATCGACAAAGTTGAAAAAATAACTTGTCATGCAGAAAATGCAAGGCATGAAGTGCCTGTCTTGCCGGGATGGCAAGTGAGGGCGATTGTGAGCCTGTTTAGGGTTTGAAATAGAGCTACTAAACTAGCATGACAAAAGCCGTCTTCTGTGCCCAAACAGCGTAACAAACTGACTTTAGACGGTGCCGAAATTTGTCATGCACCGCTTTAAAATTAGGCCTCCAACTGGTATCGGCTTTATGCATTATAAGTTATTTCAACTTTGTCGATTTCAATCCTGACTACACTCCCATAGTCAGGCTGTTGCACGTAAAACCCCGCTGTCCACCCGAAGGACCTGGCGCACGCGGCCGCGGAGAAAAAAATCTCTTTTGCGTCTTGTCCGTGGTCCGAAAATTTCACCGACACCCCGCGCACCATGGAATTATGAAATGCAAAAATGTCTGGGTCTGGAAGGTTCTGAGACTTGTCATGCACGTTTTGCATAAGCCATGAGGTCTGGAATGCGAGACCTAGCATGACAGATTCTGTGAGATCCGTACCGTGCCTATCCTGCATGAGAAACTTCCTCTCAACTTGGTCAAAAGTGGACAGCTTTTGGCATTCATGCAACACAGATTTTTGCACGATCCAGAATTAGCATTACAGGTTGCAACCTTCCAGACACAGACATTTTTACATTGCATAGGAATCCGGGCCGAGCAAAGCGTTTTCCAGTGTCGCTTTACTTCCGCGTCCATATCCGAGCTGCGGCAACGCGAGCGAGAGAACGAGGTCGTCCGCCGAGACCATTTCGATCCGCACGGGAGACTCCTCCCCCCCGGGCTTGAATGGCACGATCAACACCTTTACTTTTCCCTTTTCCACCCCGTCTTGCCTTGGATACGCGAGCGCCACCCCCTTTGCCCCGGTTTCCAAGTCGTCCTTGAATCTGGCAGCAAAAACGAAGCCACTGCCTCTATCTTGCCCGGGATCCATGGCATCGTTCACGTCGTAGCCCATCCACTTCCCGCGCTGGTTCGGCTCGCGAACACCCTTATCCGAGGGGGTCGCACCTTGCTCGTCGACTCCTGCGAGGGAAGAGATAGTAATTTCGCATATAAATGCATCACAAGAATAAATGTCGTCAAGTTTTTTTCGTACATAGAGCATGCCACTCGTGAGGACGCTGCTGCTCAATAAATAGGATCGAAAGAACCTTTTTTCATTCAGAAACCACATTTCTACGAGTATGCATACGGAACATCGAAATTTCCTGTGAGCAACATTAATTTGCTAGTAGTCCAATTAGTCGCCCCATCGATCCCTTGAGCAGGCATTCGAGTAGAAGTCGTGGACAAGCGCTACTTGGCTTCTTTCTTCATGCTAATCTTAGTACTCCACCTGCACCTCATTGTCTCGACTACAACATCTAATCGTATAGTTGAGTTATAGAAATTGTCAGTTCAGGCTTTACAACGGCGCCGCGCCTGTTGCATCTCTTTGGGAAGATGCGAGCGTGCGCCAAATCCTTGGGTTTGTCGCAAGCAAGAAGTCAGTGCACTGGGACCTCCTCCTCCAATCATGCTGACGGAAAGAAAAAAACTTGCAAGGTACCTGGCTGCGGATTGGGTAGGTCCTCTTGTTCTTGCCAGAACGGTGCGATCGGTGCGACCGGTGGCGCAGCTGCGGCAGCTCCCGCCGCTCCTGGTGGCGCTGTTGTTTTTTTTTTTTATTTTGGGTTGGTGGCGTATTGTGTCATGCGGTTTGTCAACATGCGTATGCATTCATGGGCTGCTATAGGCGTGCGCTTACCTGCTCCCGGATCCGAGGGATTCGCACGTTGATGCCCGCCGGGTGCGGGGGAAGCAGACCCGGGCCGGCTCGGCTCGCTCACGCCCACACCCGAGGGCCTCGCAGGCCCACTGTGAGCTGGAGAAGCACCCGCTGGTGCGCCTTTGACTGCGGGCCGGTCGGCGGCTGCTGCCGGTGCGATCGGTGACGCAGCTGCGCCGGGTGCGGCGAATTCGATGCGTGACGCGGCTGCGGCGGGTGCGGCGGGTTCGATGCGTGACGCGGCTGCGGCAGTGGCGCCCTGACGCAGCTCGACCGCGGGCCCTGACGCGACTCCCCGTCCAGCTCCTGCCTCGCCTGGTGCACGTGCCGGTCCTGGTGCACCTGCCGGTGGGCCTTCTGTAGAAAAGCGCTTTTCAGCTCCAGTTCGTTCATCTGCAGCCTTCGACCGCGCAAGCTCCTCGGAGGCAAATTCCTCGCAGCGATGCAGTGCCTTTTTCAGCAACGGCAGCACCACATACCGCTTGGTCGCGTATTCTGTATGCCAAGAAAACAAAAGTGTTAGGACCTACAGTCTTCTTCACAGATTTGCTGTAACTCCAGCAACACAGGTTTCCTCCTACCTCATCACCGAGCAAATTTTCAATGCAGAGATGATCATGAGGGAAAACAGCACGGATGCTGAACCTAGACTCGTGTTCTTGAGCATGTCTTGCATTGCAGACCTTCGCTGCAGTCGTGCACGTGCTTGGCCAGAAACTACAATACACAATCAACGTATGTGCACATCTAGTACTCTAACACTTTTTTCTTGGCATACACTGGAAAAAGACGAAAGTGCGTTCTGGCCTTAAAATTTGCCCACCACGACACAGTATTAAGTGCAAATATGTCTCCTGGGTCTGGAAAAGTGGAGCCTGTCCCTTGTGTATTGCCTGGCGTACATGACTGCGAAATCTGTGTTGCGTGACTAACAAAAGCGCGACTTCTTTTATTTTTTGGCAAAAAATAAGCAGTCTCTAATGAGCGCTACGCATGAGAAGGCGTCACAGAAATTTGCCATGCTTGGCCGCACTGGAGACGATGCTCGATCACTGCGATCAACCAGCATCGCAAGTTTCCAGACCAAGACATATTTGCAGTGCCTACGGACCAGACTCCGTTGCTGCCTTCTTGAGCTTTGTGATTTCCCCCTGGCACACGGTCCGCAAATTCGATGAAGTTTCACTTCCGTTCAAATCGACGAGGAGGTGCGAGTGCAAGGTCAAGAATGGATTCTCATGGACACCAACCGCATTATCATCTTCAACCAAAAATCTTCCGCGTACCCACTGCAACACTTCTTCCGCACAAGAATCATGCGGAGAAGAAGCCTCAGGCGCAGACCTCGTGGCGTGTTCAACCTGTGCCTCAGAACTCGTGGCGGGGTCAGAAGATTGAATCTCAGCGCTGGTCATCTGGATTGGGCACGCGTCCTGTTTGAGCGCGTTCTTCTGGAGCACGAGCCGGAAAGCAACCCGGTATTCATCAAGGACGGGGTTGACGTCAAATCGAGATACCCATTTTCCATTTTGCTTGTCCATAGCTTTTTCCACAAGTGCCTTACCGTGTGCGATCGATCCGAAACGGGGGTCTTCGGCGAATTCACGTGAAGACTGTTCTCCCCGCCGGTCCACAGCTGCTGCTTCTCGTTCAAGAAACAGAGTGCCCGTCGCGCCGTCCCCGGCTGCAGGCGCAGTTTCTCGCGCAACCACGACCTCGCCGGGTGGCGCCGTTTCGCTCGCTGCGCTGCTTGCAGTCGTGTCCACAGCTGCATCGATTTCGCCCTTCGCCGCGGGCGTCGCCTCTTCGTGGTCGACAAAAGTAGTAGACTGCGCCGGAGCAGGTTCCGTCTCGCTATCTGCGCCGATGGTCACCGCCGTTAGAATCCTCTCATTTCCCGCGGCCGTATTTTCGTCAGAGGTTGTGCTTCCCCGCTCCCGCGTCGGCTCGAGAAAGTGGCGCGCCACCGCGGACACGAACAGGAAACCAATAGGGCCGTCGAACAAAACCAGGTACGCGCACAGGAGCGCGGCGGCCGTTTTCGTCGCCATCGTCTTGCTCCGCTACTGCCTCTGCTTCGCTATCAAGTGCAAATAAAAATATGTCTGGGTCTCGAATGGAAGATGAAAATGAACTTAAATGAAAATAAGGAAAACAAATTTTGTCAAAACTTCAGAAACACATTAAAGACGACTAGAATTCTTTTTCGCGGGGAACAAGGGGGAAGAAGTGGAAAAAAGGGTCCACGACTGAAGCGTATTTTTTTCACCATGATCTCAATCTTTGCCAAGCATGATGAACGACATCTTCTACACGCGAATGCGTGAACAGAAAAATAAGCACGTAGCCCATCGTCCACCGAGAAGATTCTAATGTAGGTACGAATCAAACCGATCGAAGCGCAGTTGCGCACGAAACAAACCTAACCGATCCTTCTTGTTGCGGACGAAATAGTATAATCTGTAGAACTTCTACCGAGGATGTAGTTATTACCTTCGTCAGCAAGTGGTTAAAGCCGCCTTCTATATTTACACGTAGATACCGCCTTCCGCCGGAGTCGGAGCGCGAAGACTACACATCAAGCAAAAGACATCCGAGGTGAAGTGAAGATACTACAAACATCAAGCAGAAAGAGGATACTACAAATCATCCGAATGTGTTTGCTACTTAGCGGCACCAGTGCGACGAGGGTGGAACAGTTCCTCTGTCTCCTCTCCCCCCGCCGCGTGCCTTCAAATTTGGCCGGGTCTTGTTCGGAACGAATATTCCATTTTCGGCTCTCTTGGTGCAGCCTCTTAACGTTCATTCTTACACCAACAATTTGTTAGTGAAAAGGGTCGTGCGTTCTTTTCCCCGTCCGGCGCTTTTTGTACAGAAGTAGAGAAGATGATGAGCATCATACAGGAGTATCAAGTCAAACCTCGCGCTCTCGACGACTTCTGAGTACAACAGGAACAACAGGTAAGGTATTTTAAATAGAAACTGCAACTGTGGTAGTAGACTATGACTCACTTAACGTATTCGTTTCATTTCTCAAGGTCGTGGTGGGTAGAAGAGTTAAGTACAACGAAAACTACAGGGTGAAGAAAGAGGGTATAGAATTTTAGAACTGCTCCAAGTTAGTAGCACAGGCACGCCTGCCAGGGTAGGAATTCTCGCTCGCACAGGAAGTGCTCCTGCAGCACCAGGTTGTCTCCATTGGATGGGCAACACGGAGACAGAAGCGAGGCGAGCCAACAAATCATGACATCGCCGCGCACCTCGAATTTATTTTCACCATCGTGGTCCGGAGAAGACAGGAAGACGTCGAGGACGACCGACTAGGGTGGAAACAGTACTCCTACTCCCAGCCTGATCTTGATTCATTAATCAATCAAATCGGACTCTTGCCCCCGACACTCGTCCCCCCTTCGCCCCCTTTATCAAATGCAAATATGTCTGGGTCTGGAAGAGTGCACTAGAATGTCATGCATCTTCTGGAACACATGGATGGCCAGGAATGCACGCAAAGCATTACAGGTTTATTATTTGCGGAGGCTTCTTGTTCTTATTCTTAATGCGTGCTGCGCATGAAAAGTCCGCTATTTGTGTAGCCAAAAGTGGACAGCGTTTGGCATTCACGCAATACAGATTTTTGTCTGCTCGAGAGCTAGCATCACAAGTTCGGGCTCTTCCAGACCCAGATCGATATCTGCAATGCATATTCCTCTTCGTCGAGCAAAAACCAAATTTTGCATTCCTCCACGAACTGAAACACCGACTTGGCCACTATTGTGAGAAAAAATCCCCCCTCCCCATATCGCAAACGAAATTTGTGTTGCTGTGTTTGAGTACACAAGTCGACTTGTTTTCCTAGAAGGCCAAGAGAGGCAGTTGCGGCCTCGTTTGCAGGCGATTTGTCATGCTGTTGCCCACTTCCAGTTGCTTCCTGTCATGCTGAAGACGCAATGCTTTCCTACGCCAGCCACCCCTACAATCCGCATATCTTCCATTCTGGCATGGCAACGTGATTTGTGATCGCAAATGATGCTAAACAAATCTCCCTTTGAGTATGGGGAGGGGGGATTTTTCATGTTGATAGCCACCTCCGGGTCTTCGGGATTTTTGTCCGGGTGCCACTGAAATTTCAGTTTCTGCTATCCTAAGAAAAAAGTGTTTTACAACACACTTTTTGTTGTAATTTCAGCAACACAAGTTTGTTCAACATGACAGAGAAAATATGCAATGCAGCGATCATAAGGGAAATAAACACGTACGAAATCGGAGAGCCGCAAGCATTTCTAGCATGACAAAGGTTGTCTGTCTTGCTTGTTCCGCAACAGGATGTATCACTGTAAACACTTTTTTCGTTGCATATTCGCAACGCCTTCTTCCGATCCTCTATCGAGGTTTTATTCTGGACCATGAGTTCCATCTCCTTCAAGATCCCCGCTTTCATCAGATAAACCGCTTATCAAAAGGAAAAGCTCTCCCTTCCCATATCGAAAAGGAAATCCGTGATGCTGGATTTGCGTACACAAATCAGATTTGTGTTGCAGTAGAGGACTGCACGCTGATCGCCAACCTAGATAGAGGCTCTTTGGTGTAGGCGCCTAGCATGGTAGACGGCTGCCCTGCAGTCCTTACAGCATTACAAATCGCCTGCATAGCGTGTCAGAGAGCCTGGCTTTGCCTTCTCGCAAGACAGACAGGATTTGTGGTCACAAATCCGCATCACAAATTTTCAGAAGGTGCGTCTTCAATATGAGGAGGGAGGATTTTTCCTTGCCATACCGCTCGGTCCTCAAACTGTGGGTCCAAAATGGGCTTCAACTTAGGGTCGCGCATATCAAATGTAAAAATGTCTGGGTCTGGAAGAATGCAACTTGTCATGCTAGATCTGAAAACGTGCAAAAATCTGTGTTGCGTGATAGATTACCAAAAGTCGTCCAGTTTTGACTAAGTCGGGAGGGAGTTTCTCATGCAGGATAGGCATGAGAGAGATCGCACAGAATCTGTCATGCTAGGTCCTGCATTCCAGACCTCATGTCATGGGTCATGGAAAAGCTGCATGACAAACAAGACCCACGCGTGGGGACAGGGTCCCCACGCTGGGGCCTTGTCCCCGTCCCTAGTGGCGCTAGTGGGGGCAGGGTGTTCGCCATCGGGGCGGACAGCGTCCGCCCCTCGCCTCACACCAGGCGCGCGCATAGTGGCTTAGTGCGCGAAACGCTAGCGGGGGAAGGGTGTTCGCCATCGGGGCGGACAGCGTCCGCCCCTCGCCTCACACCAGGCGCGCGCATAGTGGCTTAGTGCGCGAAACGCTAGTGGGGGAAGGGTGTTCGCCATCGGGGCGGACAGCGTCCGCCCCTCGCCTCACACCAGGCGCGCGCATAGTGGCTTAGTGCGCGAAACGCTAGTGGGGGAAGGGTGTTCGGCATCGGGCCGGACAGCGTCCGCCCCTCGCCTCACACCAGGCGCGCGCATAGTGGCTTAGTGCGCGAAGCGCTAGTGGGGGAAGGGTGCTCGGCATCGGTGCGGACAGCGTCCGCCCCTCGCCTCTCACCAGGCGCGCGCATAGTGGCTTAGTGCGCTAAGCGCTATTGGCAAAAGGATGAATTAGGTGCCCTGCATTAATTTTGCAAGACAAAACAGAAATAGAAGCAGAGGACATACTTATCTCTGCCCGGCTGCAACTCATTCCCGATTCCGGAGGCGAAGTAAGCAGCCGTCTCCCCCTGGGCGTGCATTGCAAAGAGAAAGCACTTTTTTAATATTTTTGCACCGCGACGCAGAGACTTCTTTGTGTGTGTGTGGGGGCAGTTTGTGTTTTTGCGCTCTTATCTTTTTCATGTTCTGCGTCGCAGTTTTTTTTTTTGCGCTTTTCTCTTTTTCATTTTCTGTGTCGCAAATGTTTGCTTTTCACGTCAATAACATACGACACGAGCGTAGGCGCTGGCCTCGCCTGTGATTTATCCTCTCGCCTCGCCTGTCGTCGTCACCTGTCGCGGCCACCTGTACAGGTCACCTGTCCAAGTCACCTGTCTAGGTCACCGGTCAAGGTCACCTGTCAAGGTCACCTGTCGAGGTCACCTGTCGAGTTCACCTCTCGCTGGGGGTATGCCGTACCAGAACCCGGAAGTCAAGCAATGTTAATGTAAATCGCGCATTCTTCCAGACCCAGACACTTTTGCATTTGATAGCGCACCCCGGGCGGCAAATTCGGGGTTCCCCCAGTGGGAGGTCGCTGGTTCTGCTGATGCTGTGGCCCGCCGGGTATGGGGTTCTCAAACGTTACATCCTCAACTGTTACACGATTTGTCATGCAAAATGACCATGACCCGCCAGACGATCGAGCTGCTTCGCATGACAAATTCCCGGATGGCTAAATAGCACTGTAATCCGCACCAAACCTGTAATGCAAGACGCGCAAGGTTCTCTCTCTCGCCTGTGCTAGCCTTGCATTACAAATTCATGTAACAGTTGAGAATGTAACGCTTGAGAACGCCATACCGGGGGAGTTTGCATTGTGGTGTGGTCCCCGTTGCTGTTGTGCTCCGTAGCCCGCATTGGTATTTTGCTGGTTTTGGTAGGGGTTGCCAACGAAGGGCTGGCTGCTGTTATTTCCATACGGATTGTTTTGCTGCTGGTTGTGCAATATGGGGATGAAATACTAAACTTGTCATTTGCTGTCCTAGTCTGCATGACTGCAGAGCGGTTTTGTCATGCATAAAATGCTATTTAAACAAAAGCTCATCCTCATGACAGGAAGTATATATTTCATTCCCATAAGTTGGTGCTGTTGTCCACCCACACTCCCGGCGTACCACGCTTGATATTGCTTGTACCTGTAGATTATATTTTCGAAGAAACTTGCCTTTGTCATGCGAGGCAGCGCAACGCAACAGCTGCCTGTCATGCATAGCGCACACACGATCCATGCATTTACCAAAATAAAACCTCATTTACAGCAGTACCACTCCGCCCACTCGGCTTGCTGTTGTGCCTGTTGCTGTATGAATTGCAAAAGCATCGCACTATCTAGTATAAATTGCATTACAAATGTTCTCAGCATGAAAAATTGAATTTGTCGTGCTGTTTCACCTTGGAAAGGAAATTTGTCATGCATGCATGCCTGCAATCATCACGAGTAAGTGCGAAGATGCTTTTGCACAGGATATGCTGCTCGTGCTGTCGCAAGTGGTAAAACGGGTCTATCCTGAGGAAAAACGTCCCCACCCAAGAGTTGTCATGCAGATTTGCAATGGCAAGGACATTTGTGATGCGCATACCTATGGTAAACATTTCCAATCGTGTTTTGGAATTTGTGATGCTATGAACAGGATAAGCAGATGAATCTGTGATGCGGCTGCACTTGCTATCCTGCACTGCACTACGGAGTGCAATTTGTCATGCGTGACTCCCAAAGCTTCTAGGCTTGTGTTGCAAAATCCCCATCTTGCCTCTGGTGTGGGGACGTTTTTACTCAGGATAGGGTCCTGCTTTTGTTCCTTTATTTTCTGTTGCTCTTTCGCCTGTTTCTCTGCCTCCGCCTTGTACCAAGCGTCTTCGTAGGCTTGCCGGTTTGCGTACCCGTACTGTTGGTAGTACTCGTCCTCCTCTTTCTGCCGTTGCTGCTCGACATTAGTGTCGTTTTCGCAGTTACTGTAGTCGACTTCTGCGTTTGCGGGCAGTTCCCACACCGATTCGCCCGTTTGTTCGCTGTAGTAGAAGACGTTGCCGTCTTCGGTGGCATCAAATGCAAATATGTCGGGGTCTGGAAGAGTGTAAACTTGTCATGCAGGTTTTCCATGACCCATGAGGTCTGGAATGCGGGGCCTAGCATGACAGACTCTGTACGGTCTCTGTCATGCCTATCCTGCATGAGAAACTCCATCTGAACTTGTTTAAAAGTGGACATCTCTTTCTGATCATACAACACAAATTTTTGGCACGATCCAGATTGAGCATGACAAGTTGCATCTTTCCAGATCCAGACATATTTGCAATGCATAGGTGGAGTAGGGAATCCATTTTGTCTTCCCGGCTTGCTGCTGCTGCTGGGCGGCCTGTTGCTGCTGTTGAGCTTGCTGGGTCTGCTGCTGCTGCTGCTGCTGGTCCATCCTGTTTCAAAATTTTTGACCAACATAAAACGTACTCTATATTCACAAAAAAAACCCACTGGAAGAACATCTTCCGCCGGACGACAACTACTATTTTCACTGCAAGATGAACAAGCCAAGAACAACATCTTTTGCCAGCAGTGAGGCCATAATTGGTAAAGTACTTCTTACAGTCTTTGAAAAAAACAAATTAAAATACTTCGCCCTATCCGCCTGCATTTTTTCCATGGACGGCAGCCCGAAACCCCCGGTGGTCGGTACGCTGTTTTGCGACTTCGAATTTTTTCGGCTGCTTCTCTGTTCTGTATCCAGCAAAAAAACTGTGTAAGTGTAACTTTGTACGGAAGAGCAGCATGACAAGTGTAAACAGTTTTGCATTTTCTGCATCACAGACTTACACTCACATAGTTTTTTTCTCGGATATTCCTCTTGGCGCATGTACTCTTCTTGTCGCATCTTCTCCCCGTGCTGAAAAATGAGCTGTATCCTGTGTGAAAACATCTCCACCCGATAGCTGTCATGCAAATCTGCACGCTAAAAAGGTTTCTCATGCGGAGCACCATGAGAAGCATTTGCTCGAAGCCGTGTTTTGGAATTTGTAAAATGCTCCCTCCAATCAGCATAATAGGCAAGACCTGGGACGCTGCTGAACAAGCTCAACAGGATTACACTACGAAGCCAAACTTGTCATGCCCAACAGCCAAAGCTGGCTGATTTGTCTAGCAGATTTCTCATCTTGTCTATGGGGTGGGGACGTTTTTACACACAATAAGCTGCTCCCGTTCCTTCTCTTTTTCCTTGCTATTGGACGCACTGGAATTTCGCGTGACCGGACTCGTGTAGATGCCCGCGCCGCCCTGCACCTGCTGGTACTGGTATTGGGTAGTCGGGTTCGCAGAGTTGTAATGCTGTCCTGCGCCAGGACCTCCATAGTTGTTCTGACTATAGTTCTGGTTCAAATTGACGTTGTCGCTTTCCATCTGATTATGTGGCGGACTGTAGTCCTGCATACCCGGCTGTGCCCACTTTTTCACGACTTCAATGCTGGGCATGTTATCACAAGGAAAAATCCCCCCTCCCGATATAAAAAAACGAGGTTTCTGATGCTGGATTTGCATACACGAATCAGGTCTGCCTTGCAGAAAGTGGTTGGGGTCATTTTCTGGGCCTGTTTCTTGGGTATGCAGAAGGCTAGCCGTTAGGCATGGCAAATAGGTTTGCAGCAGTCGAAAGCGCATGACAGACTGACTGTGGAATGCGCCACATAGTTCCCATTTCCGTGTAGGCAAGACAAAGGTGATTCGTGACCACAAATCAGCATCACAAATTCCCACGTTGATATGGGAAGGGGGATTTTTCATTTTGATACATGTTCACCGGCCCCATCCCCGGCTTCCACTTCGGCCGGCTACTAACCGGGCGCGGAATGTTCTGCGCGGCTATGCCCCGCGTTCTTGTCTATCGAAGAAGAAAACATTGTTAGTGTAACTCTGTGATGCGCAACATGCAAAGTGATTGCGGCTGTCATGCTGGGCATGCATCGTTAGGCTCTACTTCCAAGCGCGTTTTCACGTACAGTCTGCGCATGACAGGTTTCTGCTCGCAGACAGATTTGTGATGCTATTCCTCCAAGAAAGTTACAGCTACAATCTTTTCTTATTGGATATCGTCATGTTCAAATCCACGGGCTGCTGTGGCTGGGTCGGCAGCATTGGGATGGGCAAGGTGACCGGGGGTCCGGGATTCGCGGGCGGATTGTCCTATCCAAGAAAAAAACATTGTAGGTGTAACTTTTTAGGAGGAACAGCATTACAAATTTGTCTGGCATGACAGCAAAAACCTGTCATGCGCAGATAGTACGTGAAAATGCCCGCTAATGGACCCTACGATGCATGCCAAGCATGACAGACGCAATCCTGCATGTTGCGCATCACAAATTTACACTAACAACGTTTTTCTCTTGGATATGTCCTTCCCAAGCTTCATGGCTTGAAACAACTCCTCTAGCTTCTTGTGGTTCATGACCAAGTCCTGTTCCGCGTTTCGCTTGCCTTCGTCCGCGACGACGACTTTGGACTCAATCACATCAATGTATTACAATGAGAAACGCCCCCACCCCAGAAGCATGGGAGCATACGTATTTTTGCAACCTTTCGCAATAGAAACATTCCCCGTGTTGCATGTCTCAGCATCGCCAATTTTCGATGCTGAACAGCTTAAAATTTGTGTTGCTAAAGAGCCCAACAACAGCCGGGCCTGTCATGCAAAAGGTGCCTCGCGAGCCTAGATTCTGTGCCAGAAAGACTCAGAGTGCTTATTTCATGCAAGACAGAAAGTTTCCGTTTGGAAACTTTGCATCTCAGAAACTGTTGCGACTGACTCCCGGGGCCATGGAGGCACTTTTTATTGTAATACAATGCTTCGCATCTTCGCCCGGACCTGCCCGGCCTGCACCTATCAAAAGGAAAAATCCCCCCTCCCCATACTGAAAAGGTATACTTTTGGAAATTTGTGATGCTGATTTGCGGCCACAAATCGCGTCTGTCTTGCAAGAAAGCAACTCCGCAGGCTCCGCCGCATTGTGCAGGCGGTTTGTCATGCTGTTGGGCCTACAGTGCTGACATTTTTCATGCTAAGTGCCTAGGCCAAAACCTCTCTACTCACACTTAGTATGCGCCTGCAGTGCTCTACAGCAAGACAGCTCGGATTTGTGTACACAAATCCAGCATCAGAAATTTCGTTTTGATATGGGGAGGGGGGATTTTTCCTCTCAATAGCACCGGTCCCAATGCCTTCAGCTTGGTCGCCTCGGTCCCGATGATGTTTTGATTCATGGTGAAATTGTTTGTCAAGTTTTCGTTGTGGTAGTAGGGTTTCACTTCGTAGTAGGGTGGCATATGGCGTTCTCAACTGTTACATTCTCAACTGTTACATGCATTGGTAATGCAAGAATAGCACAGGCGAGAGGGAGAACCTTGCGCATCTTGCATTACAGATTTGGTGCGGATTCTAGTGCTATTTGGCCCTCCGAGAATTTCTCATGCGAAGCGGCTTCATCGTCCGGCGCCTCATGGTCAGTTTGCATGACAAATCATGCAACGGTTGAGAATGTAACGTTTGAGAACCCCATATGGCAGCTCCTGGTGGTGGATCTTGTGAATGGTGTATCGCAAGAAAAAAGTGCTTCACTGTAAGGATTTTTTTGCAAGTTGTTTTGCATCACAGGTTATTTGTTGTACATGACAAAGAAAATTAAGGGAATAAAACACGGTTGAAACTCCAATGCCCTATGCATGTGTAGCAAGACAAACACTTCTGTGCTCCATTCTATGCATCACAAGTTTACAGTGAAACAATTTTTTCTTGCGATATGGTGCACAGTTTCCCCTTCCGAATGGCGAACTCGCCCTCGACAAATTCGTTATCAACTGCAAATATGTCTGGGTCTGGGCGGTGATTGCGAGATTTGTCATGCTAGTCTAGAATGACTCTGAACTTTGTATTGCGCGGCCGCGAAGGGCTCCTCTTGCCTGTCATGCAAAAACGCAGTTTCTCATGCGGAGTACGCAACTCAGAACCACGAAAAAACTTGTCATGCTTGGCAGCGCATCAGAGTGTGCTCACTATTTATTCCTTTTGTGCATCACAAGTTTCCAGATGCAGACATATTTGCACTGGATATTCGTAGGCGGTTTCCAATTGCTCGTTATACCCCAAAATCGCGTTGGGCTCGATCTTCAAGACCAGCTGGTCCAGTTCGTGTATGAGCGCATACTTCTGCTGCGCGTAGGTCTCCAGGTCGTTCTCGTACGCCTCCAGAGAGTGCGCCTATCGAGGAGAAAAATCACCCCTCCCCATATCAAAACGAAGTTTCTCGTGCTGAATTTGCGTACGCAAATGCGCTCTGTCTTGCTGTAAGGCATTGCGGCCAGATCCTTCGCCTGGATAGGTGCGCCTGGATCTAGTTGCTTAGCATCGCAAACGGCTGCCCTCTAGGCCAAACAGCATGCCAAATCGCTTCCAGAATGGGAGGGAAGCCTTTGCACTTGTCTTCTTGCACGACAAACCTGATTTATTGTGGCCACAAATCAGCAACACAAATTTTCGGAAACATACCTTTTCAATATGGGGAGGGGGGATTTTTTCCTCTCAATAGCGCCGCCTCTTCCACCTGTTTCTTCAGCGTGAGCAGAATGGTGGGGTCGTTCGGGTTATTCAGGTCGTTGCCGAAATTTGCCTTGGCCGGAGAGTTGTTATTGTTTTGCGAGGGTCGCGTGCTGGTTCTCTGCGACGTCGCATTGGTCGTGTTGTTCTGCGGCTGCGTCATATCGAGAAGAAAAATCCCCCCTCCCCATATCAAAGCGGAAATCTGTGATGCAGATTTGTGGTCACAAATCAGCTGTGTCATGCTAGAAGGGAACAAAAGATGCGGCCTGTAGTGCTGGGCGGCGTGGGAAGGCCTTGCATCTTCAGCACGACAGGAGGCAGCTGGAAGTGCGACATAGCACGACAAATTGCCTGCAAACGAGGCCACAACTGCGGCTCTTGGCCTTCTAGCAATACAAGTCGATTTGTGTACTCAAATACAGCGTCACAGATGTCGCTTTCGATATGGGGAGGGGGAATTTTTTCTTTTGATACGTCAACGTGCTGCCCGGGGGTCCTAACCCGCCGCTCGCGTTCAACTCCGCTCGGTATTACAGTTAAAAATGCCCCCACTCCCACAGTTGCAAAAATTTGTGATGCGAATTTTCCAAAAGAAAACTTTTTGTCATGCATGAAAGGAGTATGAATCTTTCTGATACAGGGTCTAGGCGTGAATCGCATCGCTTGCATGACAAGCGCCGCTTTTGCTGGGATCTTTTGCAATACAAGTTTTTGCTATTCACGATTGGAAATCTGTGATGCTGATAGATGCAAGAGGGCGAATGTTTCTTTTGGAAAGGTTTGCAATACAAATTCTCCCAAGTTCGGGGGTGGGGGCATTGTTCATTGTAATACTCGGCGGGACTTGTTTTCCCGGATAATTTGCTCCCAGATTTTGTTCGCGGCGTCAATCAGAGTGTTTTCTAAGGACATGTTTTCCGGTAGTTTCAGCTTCTCGTGCTTGGAGACCAACTCGTCCTGCAGCTGTAAAACCTGCTTATCCTGGGTGTTGTTGAGCGACAATTGGCTCGACCGGAGGCTGTTGTTGGTCCCAATGGATTTCTATCCTGTGCAAAAGTATCGCACAACTCGTAGTAATTGCAGTCATGCATTACAAATTTTTTTCTAAAGGTAAATCCGCATTACAGATTTTCTCACGCTGAGGAAATTTGTAATGCATTTATACGAGTAGGATACTTGTTTTGCATCGCATAATTTTTGACTGCTCCCCAGCTGACTTGCGTTCAGCACGTCCGAATTTCTTTTCGGATTCCCAAAAATCGACCCCGTTTTCACTTCCCTTTATAACGGTGCACAACATCCCCTCATTTGTAATGCAAAACCACATATCCAGTTGGTGCCTTATGGCACTATTTGCATTACAAATTCCGGAACAAGCCGAAACAGTACTACACTCGGCGCGTGAACTTGTCATGCACAGGCTCCATGAATGTTGGTGGTTGTGATGCTGTTCATGCCATACAAATGAGGGGGAGGGGCAGTTGTGCACTATCATACCCTTTGCCGCAATTGCAGGATTTCGTTCTGCTTGGACCTCTATCAAGTGCAAAAATGTCTGGGTCTGGAAAGTTGAAACTTGTAATGCGTGTCATGCATTCCTGGAAAATCTGTGTTGCATGAGCAGCAAAACAGAGGCTTTCTTTGTCATGCGAAAACGCAATTTGTAATGCGTGCTAGGCATCAGCAGCCCTCTCAAAAACTTGTCATGCTTGGCTGCCATTGGAAGCGCTTCAAACATGCGCAATTCAGCATCACAAGTTTCCAGACCCAGACATTTTTACATTTGATAACCTCTTCATCTCGTCTTGTTTCAGCCGCTCCTCGATTTCCTTGCGTTATCCTAAGCAAAAACATCCCCACCCCAGAGTCAAGAAGGGGGTTCTGCAACACACACCTTGAACTTTTGGGAGTCACGCATGACAAGTTGCAGGCTGTACTGTTGTGCAGCTTGGCAAGGGAAGCCGCATAGCAAATCCGTCTCCTCAACCTGTTTACATCATTACAAGTTCCAAAACACAGTGGAAAAGGCCTCTCATGGGGATGCGCATTACAAATGCTCTTGTGCTTGCAAATCTGCATGACAACTCTGGGGCGGGGATGTCTTTATATAGGATATGCGTTCCTGGTTCTTCACGTACTCCGAGGGGACCACCTCTATCACAGGGAAAAAGTGTTACAGTTACACATTTGTTGCAACTTTAGCAACACAAACTTGCTCTGCATTGCAGAGAAAACTTGCAATGCAGAGATGCTAAGGGAAAACACGTATGAATAAACGAGGCTCGCATGCCTTTCCAGCATGAGAGAGGTTGTCTGTCTTGCGCGTTCTCCAACACAATGTGTAACTGTGACGCTTTTTTCCTGGCATAACCTCTTCGTGTTCCATAATGTCGAAAATCCCGACCTGCTATCCTGTGAAAAACCGTCCCCAACCCAGAGTCGAGATGGGGATCTCGCAACACAAATCCACATGCCTTGGAATTCGCGCATGACAAAATCTTCTGTGTATTGTAGTGCACTGTAGCAAGTACGAAAACTCGCATCACAAAGCCATCTCCTTATCTTATCCTGTTTACCGCATTACAAATTTCAAAACACGACTGGAAATGCGAATGCCTCTCGTGGAGATGCGCATTAGTTACAAGTCTTCCTGTCACTGCAAATCTGCATCATAACTCTGGGATGGGGATGTTGTTTTTACTGGGGATACCTGTTCCGCTTTCTTCAGCGCTTTCTCGGCCGCCGTTTCGTAGTGCACCGAGACGTATGCATTGCAAATATGTCTGGGTCTGGAACACTGGAACTTGTCATGCTAATTCTGGATAGTGCGAAAATCTGTGTTGCGTGATTGCCAAAAGCTGCTCACTTCTGACCAAGTTGAGAGGCAGTTTCTCATGCAGGCGAGGCATGATAGAGGTCGCGCAGAATCTGTCATGCTAGCTCATATATGACAGCCACAGCCCTCATGCGTCATGGAAAACCTGCATGACAAGTCTGGCGACCTTCCAGACCCAGACATATTTGCATTTGATAAGACGTCCTGCATGTTGATGATATTACCCTGCTCGTCGTAGTCGTAGGCGATGTATTTGTATCGTACGAAAAAAGTGTTTCACTGTAAGGATTTTGCAAGTTCTGCATCACAAGTTTGCTCTACATCTTCACAGAGAAAATTTGCCATGCGAGATCCCTAAGGGAAAACACAGCTAAAAATCCACTGTCTTGCATGACTAGCAAGACAAACACTTCTCAGATGCATTTTCTGCATTACAAGTTTACAGTGAAACAGTTTTTTCTTGTGATAATTTGCCCGTTTGATCGTCGAAGAAGACGTAATCAGGCATCAACAGCAAACGTGTCTGGGTCTGGAAGATTGCCAGGTTCTTTGTCATGCATATGTGCATGGCCCAGAATGCCTGTACAACTACACGGCTTAGCATCACAGATTATTAGAGGGCTCCCTGATCATGCCTATTGCGCATGACAATAAATGCCCCCTCCGCGTAGGAAGAACGGCACTCCTTTTGCTGGTCAGGCAATACATAACTGTTTTAGAATCCAAGCACAGCATTACAAGTTGCAACCTACTTCCAGAACCAGACATATTTGCATTCGATATCAGGGTTGAAATTGTAGTTCTGCTCGCCATTCTGCCCCGCTGCTCCTGCTCCGTAGTTGTCGTATCCTGAGTAAAAACGTCCCCACCACAGAGTCAAGATGGGGACTTTGCAACACAAACCTAGAAGTTTTGGTGGTCACGCATGACAAATTTCAGTTCGTACTGTAGTGCAGGTTAGTGTGGAGAGCCGCATTACAAATCCATCCGCTTATCCCGTTTACAGCATTACAAGTTCCAAATCACGACTGGAAATGCCCATCATCGGGATGCGCATCAGAAATGTTCTTGTCATTGCAGATCTGCATGACAACTCTGGGGTGGGGATGTTTTTACATAGGATATGTCGTTGTTTTGACTCAATTCCGGGCTGCTCGCGGTGTTTCCCGCTGTGGTTTGCCCCGCGACGTAGTCTCCGACTTATGCATTGCAAAAGTAACGTACTCGTATGAATGCATTACAAGTTTCCTCAGCATGAGAAATAAGGTTTGTAATGCGGATTTACCTCAAGAAAAAGATTTGTAATGCATGATTGCAATACGAGTACGATACTTTTGCAGTTCATACGACTTCTGCTCCGTCGATCTCTTCGGCCGTTTTCTCCCATGTAAAAACGTCCCCAACCCAAAGCTGTCATGCAAAAACGCATGCTCAAAACGTTTCTCATGCGGAGCTCGATGGGAAGCGACTCCTCGTCGTGCTGTTTTGGGATTTGTAATGCTCCAATCAGCACGGTGGGGCAGTTTTGTGATGCTTCTGAACGAGCTAAAAAGGACTACACTACGCGACCAAACTTGTCATGCGCAACACCCTAAGGTTGTAGATTGGTCTAGCAGATTTGCTTTCCCATTTTGACTATGGGGTGGGGAAGTTTTTATTCAGGATACGTTTCCAACCGTTTTCGCTCCTGTTCGAGCAGCTCCTTTATCAAATGCAAAAATGTCTGGGTCTGGAAGGTTGGAACTTGTAATGCTAGCTTTCCATGCCTAGGAAGTCTGTATTGCATAACCAACAAAAGAAGTCGGGGCCTCTTTTGTACATACTACAAAAACGCACTTTCTCATGCCTATGAGAAAGCGTTCCAGAAAGTTGTCATGCTGGGATGCGTGCGGAACTGTTTCCATCATCCACGTTTTAGCATCACAAGTTTCCAGACGCAAACATATTTGCATTTGCTACCCTTCTGTTTTCTCAGCTTCTCTTCCGCCTCTTTTCGTCGCTTCTCCAGCTCCTCTTGCTCTTTCCTGCGCTGCTCGTTCTGCTTTTTGATTTCCTTCAAATCTTTATCCAGTGCAAAAGTATCGTACTCGTAGTAATTGCATTTATGCATTACAAATCTCTTTCTCAAGGTAAATCAGCATTACAAATTCAAATTTGTAATGCTGGGCTAATTATTTGTATATGTAATTTATACTGGTACGAAATTTTGCATTGCATAATCTTTAGGCTTTCGCCACTGCTGGTGCTGCGATGGTTGCTTGTTTTTCTCCCCTATCAAATGCGAATATGTCTGGGTGTGGAAGATTGCCAGATTTGTCATGCTAGTCTGACATGACTCGGAACCCGGTCATGCGAAGGCGTAATAAGATCGTCTTGTCTGTGATGCGAAGCGCAGTCTGCCATGCGGAATACGCTACACATAGCAGCTCAAAAACTTGTCATGCTTGCCCACGCATGACAGTGCGCCCAGTATTCCCTGGCTTGCATCACAAGTTTCCAAACCCAGACATTATATTTGCATTTGGTATCCCCGTCTTTATTCCCTCCCTTTCCGGGCCCCTTCAGGGCGGAGCTTGCGGCGGCGCCCATGGAAACAATAACAAGCTGCTGCTGTTCTCGTTAATTTTCAGAGGCGAGCGCGAAAGGCCAGCCGTTCTTGTGGAATATTACTACACCTCCCCACAGTTGTGCTGGTCCTCGTGAGGTACTACTAGTAGTCTTCTAGGTACGAAAACGACGTTGACCACTTCCTCGTGCGAGAGCCCCCGCGGGGATGAAACCAACAACCTCAACTGGTGCAGAAGCTGCTGCTCGTGGAGGTCCTCCCGGGCTGCATATTCTGATATTGACACCAAGTCCACCGGTTGATGAGCTCTACTACGCCGAAGAGCGCAGCTGAGAAAGTACTGACGTGCACGATGAACGCGTGGTGTGTACCAGCTAGCGGGGACATGTATATCTGCTAAAATACTCTGCTTTGGTTTTGCGTTTTTTAGTACCGGGCGAATTTCTAATCGAAAGTGATGTTCTTGCGCGCTGCGAAAATAGAATATGGAAATGGAAGTACGGACAGGCTTCGGCTCTTTCGTTCCGATAAAAATGCGCTTCAATGAAATAGTAGGTCCTGTGGTCAGAGTAATTACAGATTTCTTGCTATCAGACCACGGCGAAGTCGTAGGTTCATCAACTTCTGCGCTCCTCATCAATCCTGCAGCGCTCCGCTCCCAGTTGATAACTGTACTTATTCTAATCAAAAATCAACTGTGTCTTGATAGGTAACTCTCTCCTCTGAAAATCGCGCTCCAGCAGCTCTGGCACAACGGCTTCCTCGTCGTGTGACGCTATATTCTTGCACAAATCGCTCCACTTTTTGCAAGAGCAATCGGATCTTCAACAACTGTATTGAAAGTATTCAAAATACTTGTTCACTCGTCGAACAGAACCAGTACATCAGAAACTACACACGACAGAGAACGAGAAGTTGACGGCTGTCCTCTGCTATAGTTCTGTGTTTATTCCAGAAGGGAGCTACATCATGCTCCGGGTTGCAGTACAGTAGTACCCATTCGCCGCTTATGTCAGTCGTCATCATCCCTGCTATCATGAACGTCACCGTATACAACAGGACACCGAAAGGTTTATTTTCACGACCAGGAGTCGTTTTTATCTTATTCATATTCGTAAGTATCTTATATGTACTCCACCTTCCGCATGATCCGCTACTCAGTGTCATCTATCACATACACCGGCTTCATAATGGGTTTGTGGTCAGAAAAATAAGATTGCAACTCCCGAGGAGCGAAATTCGCATTCTCGATCTCGGGCACCAATTGGGTTCGCTGTGCCGCACCCTGCTCTGCTGTGACGCCCCCGAATCGATCACAAGGAAAAATCCCCCCTCCCCATATCAAACCGGAAATCTTCGACGCAGATTTTTTTTTTTTTTTTTTTCATTGGGCCCCACACTGAAAACGCATATAAATTCATCACTAATCTAGGAGGCCGGTGGGCGTTACTTAACATGTGATGCAGTTCTACGAATTCACCTGCCTGCCGCAGCAGGTTACACAGGGCCGACACCTTTCACACAGTTAAGCAGTGCGCGTGTACACCATCTTTTTTTTTGCTTTGTACCATTTCCGCTCTTGTCGTCTGCTCCGTCACCAAGGTCTCGCGCCACTTCCGTCAATTCCCCCCCATACAAACATACTCTGCTGGCAAGGCAGAAAAAAAAAACGCAGCCCCTGTTGGAATAATTCAGCACAAAAAGCCCACACAGAAAATTCCTGCACCTACCTAGGGGCGACTAGGCAGGTGAGGTGTGCCGAAGCGAAGGGTGTCTATGTGTTTGCTACGTTAGTCAAGCAGGCTCAGTACTAAGCGGGAAACGCATCAGGGTTCTCGTGCGGGGTCCGCTAAAAAAATATCGCGAAGGCGGCAATGGAGTAACGCTATCACTAGTCTCTTGGAATCTGTGACGCAGATTTGTGGGGTGCTTTGCCATGCTACAAGGCAAAAGACGCGGACTGTAGTACTGGCCGTCGTGGGAAAGCCTTGCATCTTCAGCATGATAGGAGGCAGCTGGGACGTGGGTAACAGCATGACAAGTTGCCTGCAAACGACGGCACAACTGCGGCACTTGGCCTTCTAGCAATCCAAGGCGATTTGTATACTCAAATACAACATCAGAAATTCCGTTTTCGATATGGGGAGGGGGGATTTTTCCTTGCAATAGAATCTGGGGTCATGTAGGCCCGTATCGAAGATAAAGTCCGGTCCCGTCGTATCCTGTGTAAAAACGTTCCCACCCCAGAGCTGTCGTGCAAGTCTGCATGCTGAAAATGTTTCTCATGCGGAGCCCCATGAAAAGGGTTTTCCAGTCGTGTTTTGGAATTTGCCATGCTCCAATCAGCATGATGTACTAGATATGTGATGCTGCTGAAATAGCTCAAACAGCACTACACGACGAGCTGAGATCTGTCATGCAAAACAGCCAAAGCTTGTGGATTTGTCTAGCCGAGACCCCATCTTGACTATGGGGTGGGGACGTTTTTACATCGGATATGTCGTTCCAAGCCGCGGCTGGAGGGGAGTGGGCTCTGGTTGCCCCCTACCAAATGTAAAAATGTCTGGGTCTGGAAGATTCTAAACTTGTAATGCTGTCTCTGGATTCTAAAAAAATTTGCATTGCATGACCAGCAAAAGGACTCCAGTTTGTGTTACGTGAAGAGGGCACTTCTCATGCGGTAGAGGCATCACAAAGTCCGCTGAAAATCTGTGACGCTAGGGCATGCATCACAGACATCATCGGTCATTCAAAATATGCATGACAAACCTGGCAATCTTCCAGACCCAGACATTTTTGCAATTGATACCCCCTACCTTGACCTCCTCCTGTCCAACTTGCATACCTGTTTCCGTACTCAGCTGCGTCCATGACTTGTTATGAACTGCAAAAGTATCGTAATCGCACTCGAATAAATGCATTACAAATTCTCAGCATGAGAAGTAAAATTTGTAATGCGAATTTACCTTTAAAAAAAAAGATTTGATGTAATGCATGATTGCAATACGAGTACGGTACTTTTGCACAGGATACTCGTTGCCCGTTCGCGACCTTATTGTCGCCCTTGCAACAGTATCAAATGCAAAACTGTCTGGGCCTGGAAGACTTCTACTAGATTTGTCATGCATATTTTCCATGACCCATGATGTCTGTGATGCATGCCGTAGCATCACAGATTTTTAGAGCGGTTTGCGATCATACCTCTACCGCATCAGAAATGCCCTCTCCGTGTGGCACAAACTGGAGTCCTCTTGCTGGTCATGCAATACAAATCTTTTTTAGAATCGAAAGACAGCATCACAAGTTTAGAATGTTCCAGACATCCAGGGATATTTGCATTTGATAAACAGCTCCCCAGCTCGTTGTTCCCTGCGTCCAGGTAAAAAAAAAGCCCGGAACCTTTTCCGATATCAGAAGGAAAAATCCCCCCTCCCCGTATCGAACTGGAAATCTGTGATGCAGGATCTGTGTACACAAATCGAATTTGTCTTGCAGCAGAGGACTCCAGATAGATTATACAAAGCCGGACTAGGGACGTTTTGGTGTAGGCGCCTAGCAAGGCCGGCATATCCTCCGTTGGCCAAACAGCATTACAAATTGCCTGCAGAACGCGGCGGGGTTCTTGGATTTCTCTCCGTGCAATACAGAGACGATTTGTGGCCTCAAATCAGCATCACAAATTTTCAGAAGAGTCCCGCTTTGGTATGGGGAGGGGGGATTTTTCCTCACAATATCCCACTTCGAATACGCTGTCTCGACTTGGTGCGAAAAGCTGGTCAATCGCCCACCGGTTATCAAATGCAAAAATGTCCGGGTCTGGAAGATTGCCTGGTTTGTCATGCATATTTTGAATGGCCTATGATGTCTGTGATGCATGCTCTAGCATCACAGCTTTTTCGAGGGCTTTGCGATGCCCTTACCGCATGAGAAATGTCCTATCCGCGTGGCACAAACTGGAGTCCTCTTGCTGGTCATGCAATACAAATTTTTTTAGAATCCAGACACAGCATCACAAGTTTAGAATCTTCCAGACCCAGACATATTTGCATTTCATACCGGTCTTCCGCGCGCGAGTCTACTGCGAGGATGATTCTGCTCACTTGTCTGCGCTATCCTAAGCAAAAAGAACGGGGCCCACACCCCATAGTCAAGTTGGGAATCTAGCAACACAAGTCTCCAAGTAGCTTTGGGAGCTGTGCATGACAAGTTCTTTGTTCCCTCTGCAGTGTAGTGCTGATTGGTAAGAGAAGCCGCATGAGAAAGCCATTTTAACATCCTGTTTACAGCATTACAAATTCCAAATCACGATTAGAAATTCCTTTTCTCATGGAGCTGCGCATTACAAATGTTCCTGTTATTGCGCATTTGCATGACAACTCTGGTATGGAGACCACGCTTTTACTCAGGATATGCGCCACCCGGTATTTTCTTCCCCGCCTGCGCCGTCGCCCGCATCTTGCTGCTCCCGTGCAGTCGCCTGCCGCCCTTGGTCTTGGTTCGCATTCGCCGCCTGGCTGTTTCATGTATGGGAGTGTCAGGATCGAAATCGACAAAATCGAAATGCTCTGTAATGCGTAAAATGCTACGCAAAAAGCGACTCTGTTGCAGAGGATGCAAGGAAGGCGGATTGTAGTCCTGGCAAGGAATAAGTGTTGGGCTGCTGACTAGCATGACAGAAGGCAGCTCTTTTGCCCTAAACCGCATGACAGATTCGCTTCCAGGACGAAGAGAATTTGTCATGCGCCGACTACAAACTGTGGGTCTAACTGGCATCGATTTTGTGCATCACAAGTTTTTCGATTTTGTCAATTTCGGTTCTGACACTTCCATATCTTGCGGCAGTGCTGTAGTTTGGTTGCACTTTGTTCTGTATCAAGTGTAAAAATGTCTGGGTCTGGAAGAATTCATGTTTGTCATGCTTGTCTGGCATGATGTTTAAATCTGTCATGCACGTTGCCCAAGAGCTACGCTTTTCTGTGATGCAGACGCGCAGTTTGTCATGCAGAATAGGCAACACCTAGGAGCTCAGAAACTTGTCATGCTGAGCCAGCATTCGTAGCCTCATCATGAGACGCCGCCCAGCATTACAAGCTTCCAGACCCAGACACTTTTGCATTTCATATTCTGTGGTCCAAAAGATCGCGGCCCCACCATGTACTTGTATCAAGTGTAAAAGTGTCTGGGTCTGGAAGGTTGGAACTTGTGATGCTAACTTTGGATTCTAAAAAAATCTGTATTGCATGACCAGCAGAAGGAGGCTAGTTTGTGCTACGCGGGGAGGGCATTTGTCATGCGGAGTAGGCATCAGGAAGCCCGCCAAAAATCTGTGATGCTAGGTCGTGCATTACAGACATCCTGGGTCATGCAGAATATGCATGACAAAGCCGGCAACATTCCAGACCCAGACATTTTTGCATTTGATAACTTGCCATCTAGCGCAATCTTATCCGGCGGGGGCCGCAGCTTTCTCCGCCGCTCAGAAGGTCGGCTTGTACGCCCGCGCTCTCGACGGGAATCCCCCTCTCGTCGGCTTCTGCTGCCACGCCGGTCTCGGGAGGAACTTCCGGCAGGCCTTATTGCAGTGAAAAATGCCCCCACCCCGCAAGTTGCGACAATTTGTGATGCGAAGTTTCCAAATGAAAACTTTTTGCCAATGAAAGGACTATGAATTTTTCTGATGCAGATTTTAGTCGTATAGGTATACAGCATCGCTTGCATGACAAGCAGTGCTCTTGCTGGGGTCTTTTGCAATGCAAATTTTTGCTTTATTCACGATTGAAAATACATGCAAGAGGTTGCTTTATTCACGATTGTGATGCTGATACATGCAAGAGGGCAAATATTTCCATTGGAAGAGTTTGCAATACAAATGCTTCCAAGTTCTGGGATGGGAGCATTTTTCCTTACAATAGTCCTTTTCCCCTTTCTGCTCTTTCTGCGGTGGTGCTCATGGTGCCGATTTTTGCCACGTCGCTCTATCCACTGCGAATATGTCTGTGTCTGGGGGGAAGTTCGAACTTGTAATGCTGGTCTTACATTCCTGTGGGATTTGTCGTGTTGCATGACCAACAAAAGCCGCAGCCTATTCTGTCATACAAAAACGCAGTTTCTCATGCGGGCTGCGCATGAGAAAGCGTTCTGGAGTGTTCTTATGCTTGGCTGCATTCGGAAGTGTTTCCATCATCCACACTGTAGCATCACAAGTTTCCAGACCCAGACATACTTGCGATGCATACGCTCTTGCTCTTTACCACTCGGCTTCTTGCTGGTTCTTCTGCTTCCGAAAATGGTGTTTTTCTGTTTCCAAGTCCTCTTTTCGACGAATGCGGAAAAGGACCCACCGCCCCGCTTCGTCTTCTTCTTCTCCCTTTGTGCTGGCAGGTCATACAACCCCCCGGCCTCCTCGCCCGCTCCGTCCGTGTTATAACCACTCGTTCGGAACGTTTCAGCGTTTCCATCGATCTCCTCCGAATTGTACCACCCGTCGCCATTTGGACTGCAAATACGTCTGGGTCTGGAAGGTTGCAACTTGTGATGCTGCATTGGGATGCTAAAAAAAAATCTGTATTGCACGAGCAGCAAGAGCAGCCAAATTTGGCTACACGGATAGGGCATTTGTCATGCGGGATGCGCATCGATAAGCGCCCAAAAAATCTGTGATGCTAGGGCATGCATAACAGACATCGTAGATGATCATGGAAAATGCGCATGACAAACTTGTCGTCTTCCAGACCCAGACATTTTTGCATTTGATATACCAGGGTCAACAACCTCGCGTTGACCTCCGTCCGCCGTAGTTTTCGCTGCTGCCTTGCTCGCACTAACTCGCATATTACTTGAGGCATCTCGCTTCTTATTTTCCATCCGCTTAGTTGTATCTTCTACACCTCCCAGTCGCTTCTCCAGCATCCTGGCTAGGTACGTACACACCGTTTGCATCGCGTCCCGCGCATTGTCCTGCGGCACATTTTCTCGGATCCATTTTTCCTTGTCGACTGCGTTTGGGGGTTCGGCCTTGTTCAGAAACGTGCGAAGTTTGTACTTCTTCGCGTCGGCCTCCATTCGTTTCCGCACCTCCGTGTCCGTGAACTTGGGAGGAAGCAGGATATGCTCGACCTCGTGCTCCCAGTCGTAATTGCTGTTCCGCCCATAAAGCTCTGCGCTGGCAAACACCAGTTTCAGCCTCCGGACGTAGATCGCCGTGAGGCAAACGAGGTTTTTCTCCACAAAGTGCTGCTTGTGCGCCGCGTCTTCGTCCACTCCGTCAAACCCTAAATCTGCGTGCGTGTCAAAACGCAGAATCTCCTCGTCCAGGTAAAATTTATCGCGGCTTTTGTTTCTCTTCCGCCCCTGCTCCTGCGAGCCGACGCCGGGTATTGAGAGGAAAAATCCCCCCTCCCCATATCGAACAGGTGCGCTGTCTTGCTGATTTGAGGCCACAAATCACGTCTGTCTTGCAAGAAGACAACTCCACAGGCTCTACCGCATTATGCAGGCGGTTTGTGATGCTACTGGGCCTACAGCATAGACGTTTCTCATGCTAAGCGCCTAGGCCAAAAGCTCTCTACTCAGGCTTGGCAGGAGCCTGCTGTCCTCTACTGCAAGACAAACCTGATCTGTATACGCAAATCCAGCATCAGAAACTTCCTTTTGATATGGGGAGGGGGGATTTTTCCTCGTGATACCGGGCCGGCCCTCGCCCTCGTCCGCCTCGTCGGGGTTGTACTCCCTCTCCCCCTCGTTCGACATTTCCCTATGTATTGCAAAAATGTCTACTGGGTCCGGACGAATGCAAGAACTTGTGATGCTATTTTTGGAAGGGAAAAAAATCTGTATTGCATGAGCAGCAAGAGGCGTCCAGTTTTTGCTCCGCGACATAGGGGGATTTCTCATGCGGGATAGGCGTCAAGATGCCCGCAAAAAATTTGTGATGCTGGGGCATACATCACAAACATCACGGGTCATGCAAAATGTGGATGACAATAAACCTTGCAATCTTCCAGACCCAGACATATTTGCATTTGATATTCCCCGCCCCGCATCAACGTGTCGAGGTCCAGCAAGATGGCGCACGACCTGTGCGCGTTGCCAATTTGCCACCGCGCGTTCCGATCGGGTTGAAACTTTGCCAATCGTTGCCACTTTGCCAATCGGTTGCCGTCTTCGCTATGAAATGCAAATATGTCTGGTTCTGAAAATATGGAAGACTTGTCATGTAGATTTTACACGACCCATGACGCCCGTAATGCATAACCTAGCATCACAGATCTTTAGAGGGTTTCCTGATACCTATTCCGCATGCGAAACGCCCTCTCCATGTAGCACAAACAGGACCTCTCTTGCTGGTCATGCAATACACATTTCTTTGGAATGCAGAGACAGCATCACAAGTTGCAACCTTCCAGACATCCAGGGATATTTGCAATCCATACTCGCGCTGCGGATCCTTGGCGTTGGGTTATGACCTGCAAACATGTCTGGGTCTGGAAACTTGTGATGCTAGTTTGTGAATGGTGGGCGCACTTCGTTACGCAGCCGCGCATGACAAGTTTCTGAGCTCCTATGTGTTTCGCTTCCCGCATGACAAACTGCGTTTTCGCATGACAGGTGAGAGGCTGCTTTCCTGCTCATGCATTACAGATTCAAGAGTCATGTGAGACAAGCATGACAAACTTTACTTGCATTCTTCCTCTAGACCCAGATATCATAATTTGCGGTTGATATGAGTCCGTCAAGGAGCCAGGTCCTGGCCCTCGTATGGAAGCGTCAGGATTGAAATGGTCAACGTTGAAATAGTTTGTGATGCATAAAATGCTAGACGCAGTGGGCCTGTCTTGCAGAGCAGGCAACTGAGGCCGATTATAAGCCAGTTTGGGGTGTAAGATAGAGCTGCTAAAATAGCAAAGCAGTCTTCTCTGCTCAAACAGCAGGACAAATTGGATTTCCATGCTGCCAAAATTTGTCATGCGCCACTTGCAAACTGGGCTATCCAGCTGGTATCGCTCTTTTGCATTACAGATTATTTCAACTTTGACGATTTCGATCCTGACACTCCCATACCGCGCTCGGGTCTCGTAAAACGGATGAGCGAAGGGCAGGGCGTACTTGTAAGCATCCGGACTCAAATATCCAAGAAAAAAACATTGTAGGTGTAACTTTTTTGGAGGAACAGCATGGCAAATATCTCTCGCATGACAGCAAAAACCTGTCATGCGCAGATACTATCTGAAAACGCCCTTTGATGAACCCTACGACGCATGCCAAGCATGACAGACGCAATCAGCTTGAATGTTGCGCATCACAAACTTACACTAACAACGTTTTTTTCCTTGATATCAAACTCTGCTCCTGCTCCCCTGCCGAGGACCAACGTCCCCTTGACATATGCATTGCAAATATGTCTGGGTCTGGAAACTTGTGATGCTAATTTGTGAATTGTGGGAACACTGCAATAGGCAGCCACGCATGACAAGTTTCTGGGCTCCTATGTGTTTAGCTTTCCGCATGACAAAGACAAACTACATTTTTGCATGACAGGTAAGAGGGTCTTTTCCTGCTCACGCATTCCAGGTTCAAGAGTCATGTGAGACAAGCATGACAAACATCTGCATTCTTCCAAACCAAGACATATTTGCAATCCATACGAAACTTGCTGCGGCAAGACGCTGGTTTTCACATCGGGCCAGCCCTGCACACCCAGCAGCGCCAACGGGATATAGATTGTAAAAATGTCTGGGTCTGGAAGGTTGGGACTTGTAATGCTAGCTTTCCATACCTAGAAAATCTGTATTGCATAACGAACAAAAGTCGCAGCCTCTTTTGTCATGCAAAAACGGAGTTTCTCATGCGGATTGCCTATGAGAAAGCGTTTTGGGAAGTTGTCATGCCGGACTGCATTCGGAAGTGTTGTCATCATGCACATTTTAGCATCACAAGTTTCCAGACCCAGACATTTTTGCATTTCATACGGGAACCTCAACTGCGATTTCGCGATCCAATGCCCGGCGTCCCAGGTGCACATGGCCGGATGCTGAAGATACTTTCCTCCCGGCGCCGTGACGTGATCGAAAGCAAGACGACCGTATCAAGTGCAAAAATGTCTGGGCCTGGAAGGTGGATGTAACTTGTGATGCTGCGTGTGGATTCCAAAAAGATCTGTATTGCATAGGCAGCAAAGGAAATGGAATTTTTGCAACGCGGAGAGGACCTTTGTCATGCGGAATAGGCATCAAGAAACCCTGAAAAAATCTGTGATGCTAGGGCATGCATCACAGACATCATGGCTCATGCAAAACGTGCATGACAGGTCTCAGAATCTTCCAGAGGACCCAGACATATTTGCAATGCATAGACCGGCACTGTCGGGCACGCGCCAGGGCGTCATCGATGCCGGGTAGCTCTTGACACACCCCTATCCTGTGTAAAAACGTCCCCACCCCAGAGTTGTCATGCAGATTTTTTTTTTTTTTTGCCTGCGGGAGGGGCTCACTTCTTTTCTTTCTTTCTGGAATTGTGTTACGGCGAGAACGGTACCCGCCCGCTGCGCTTACATTGCGTGCTCCCGTCACGCGTCATGCGGTATAAATTCTTTCGAAACCCTAAACCCTTCAAAGCATGCCTTCGGGAGATACAAACCGGGGGAACCCTAAACCCGCGCAACGCACTCGTTTTAGTTAACGTCTAATGCCGAAAGCCGCGGCAGACGTCTACGATGGGACGTAGATGGAGACGTAGTAAAATATGTAATGTTTTTGGGGGGGCGGGGCTAAAGGTCGAGACTAAAGTTATGCGCAGAAGCCGCTGCACGAAGAGTAGTAAAATTTTTCAATTCTATCTATTAGCAACTAATTCGTCTTCCAGCACCCCGGTACTCGAGCACGCCATGCAAAACAGAGACTTCGGCGACCCAACATGCATGACAGGTGGGGAATAAATTCCCCATGACCAACCTATGAAAGTGGTCAACCGAACGCACCCGCTTCCTCAAAGGGGTGGTCCACGAATACTATAGGCCGATAATGGGTCAGTTGGTACTAATTTTCTAGAACGACCAAGCGCGCATTTAGCTGCCGCGCGCCTTGTATACGAGACTATGACCCTTATGCCGAGGGACTTTGAACAGCTACACCAGGCGCATAATGCGACAGCCGCCGATGCCATAAGGTCGAACATAAAAAACGATCTACGGAAAAAGGACTAGACTAAAAACGCAAGAGAAGTTTTTCACTATTTACATGAGGAGGGGCGGGACGGTTGAACCCCGGGAGGGAGGGACGGTTGAACCCAGACTGCATTCTTCCCCGCGACAAACTCCGCTGGCAAGGCGGAAAAAAAAACAGCTGCCCCTGCGAGGATGCGGGCTACGCGGGCTAGCGCTAAGCAGGCGGGTCAGGTAAAACAACAACGAACACTACACGAGAGAAGAAGTAAAAGGGTAGAGACCTAAATCTACATCGGAAGATGGGGGCAGATGGGAAGATCGAAATTTTTCAAAGCAGAAGGAGCGTACGAATTTACGATCAAGCTCCTGAAGGCAACGAACGAAGAGCGACACACGTGCACGAACCGACGCTGCGCAGGAAGCCGCTGCGCAGGAAGCCGCTGCGCAGGAAGCCGCTGCGCTCTTTGCCCTGTTTGGACGGGCTAACCAGGCTACGGAATCATCGTCACTACATTGCATCAAAAAACACTACAAAAAATTTATATTGACCCCCCGGATTCGATGCCTTGCGGCAGTTGCGGGCGCACGGACTGTACCTTTCAAACCCGACCGCATAGGACGCGCCCGCCTATTGATTGAGCGGCCCCCGGGCGGAATACTTCTGGTGGTAGACGTGGCCCAAGGATTTGCGGCTTCGCGCCGCGACGACTTGATGGGGGTCCCGCGCCCCCCCCTCCGCTTCCATAAATGCTGTTTGTGCGTGCATGCTGCAAAACCTCCGACACCGCGGCACAAAAAGGAGCAAGCTCCTATGCACCATACACAAACGTAGAGATGGAAATCATCGGGATGGAGATATTGGCGACGCCGATCAATGACGCCAGTGGCAGCTAAAACCCGAACGGCATGGGGGTAGCTACCAAGCCGAGCGCGCGGATTCGTTTTCCTTTACGTGTCGAGCCGGTAGCAGCGGCACACGCCACATCTCTCCATCTTGCAGCGTCCGGAAAGATGTGTTTGGGGGCATAGCAGTGCGGGGGGATACTATCTACACCGGCTTAGCTGAGCCTGAATCTGTCATGCAAAATTTCTGTTCTTAGAAATACGAAAGCGAGCTTTTTCTAGAGCTAACAAGTCACCCAGTCAAAACTTAAGCCACCCCCACGGACCATTTAGAGACCGCGCAACCTGAATTCTTCTAACTACTGACCCGGTAGCAGCGGGCGAAACTAGTGCGCTAGGAAGACTACACCGGTTGCCTCTACGCAGTCAAAGCAGATAGTCTGCAGGGTGCTGTAGTAAAGCCAATAAATCTTTGTCATGCAAAACCGGAATAAAGCACGCATATAAAGTTGCCACGCAAAGCTGACACCCCCCCAAGCAACAACCCGCTGGCTAGGCGGAAAAAAAAAGAAAAGCCCCTGCGAGGACGCGGGGTCCGCGGAACGACTAGCGCTACAAGTCGTGGATCAAGTAAGACTAAGCGCGAGGAGACGACAAAAGACTGTAAAAGGGTAGAGACCTAAATCTACATGGGACAACACCGGGCACAGGGAAGATCTAATTTTTCATAGGCGATGGAGCGCACGAATTTGCGATCTAGCTCCTTGGACAAAACAAACGAAGAGCGGCAAAGACGAGGTGCTTAATAACGACTACAAGGCGGCAGGAAACATACAAAGCATACATAGCAGCAGCAAGCAAATCGGATTTGGATTGCATGCGGCTCAGCCTCTATTCGGCTACCCGCATGCAAAAAAAAGAGGAAAAGGAAAAGGGGCCGGGTGCCCTTACACGCAAAGAGGTAGACGCCCTGCCTCGAGTATGTCTCTCTGCATTTCGGCGGAGGTTTAGATTGGTATAATTCTTGCCGCTAGAATGATGCCAGAAATTATAGCAACAGGAATCTCTCATACAATTTTCATACAATTTGGCGGACGCTTCACCACGTGAAGGTTGCTACATACATAGAGATGCAAATCATACAAATAGCCAAGAATTTTCCTGAATCTATAACTTATCCATTCCTCCCACTGATTTGCAGCGCGAGCCTGCTTTACCTTCGCATGCAAAACTTTTCCCTCGGAAAAAATGAAGGTAACTCAGGGTCACTATCTCCATGCTTTTCATGCATATTCAGACATACTTCCCTCCTCTTTTGGAAATCTACTCCCCACACCCAGCAGAATATGTTGCCGTCGGTCTGGTCGACACTTACCACCCCGGGGCGGCCGTTGTCGATTTGGTGGCAGTGTCCTTGGCTCATTCTGCTGGACTCGATGAGAAGTAGATGCACAAAAGCGCGCCGTTCCTAGTTGCGTGTCTTTCCCTTTTCTTGTTAGATGATCTGACTATATTTCTCCCGGGTGTGCGATGCGACTGCATGTTGGTCCCAGATAGCAACATCGGCGTAGTTATCGAATCAGGGCGCCCGTTTGATCTCTGTTGCTATGTGTGACGTCTCAGGCGCAGAGCGCTTCGACGTCAGTACCTGTCCCGTCCAGCCCTTGTTTTATGGAAAGTGAATTCGAAGTCTGTGCCCTGCATCAATTTCATAGAGAGTAGCTCCCCGAGCCTGACGGGTACCATTCTATGTCGCGGCAGCTAAGTACATAGAATGGAGCTTGCAGACCCGTTCGTATCTCGCGCCTCTTTTCCCTTTTCCTTATATTTTCGCTTCTCCTCTTCTATCCTCCTGCCCTTAACAGTGAATGTGATCAACAATTTAATTTCTTACTATGAAATAGAACAGCAGTCTTTATTTAAACCATACCTCTACTTCCGTTCATTATACCCTCGTCTGCCTTTTTCGTATCGGCGCCCTTGCAGCAGCTTCTCCCCGTCGCTGCCTCCTCCGGGATCCGTTTGCGTTCTCGTTCTTCTTTACATTTTCTGATGCTGTTCCACGCCCTTCGCATCGTCCTCTTGATGTCTTTAGTCCTGATGTAGTACTTGGGGTTCGGTAGGATTGCAGCGTTGCCTCGCGCCTCCTCCTCATCGTCTATCTCTCGTTCTCGGCCATCTTCTGCTCCTTGGTCTAGTTGTTCGTTCACTTCATGCAGTAGAGCTACTAGTGCGTTAAGTGGCCTCCCCATCCGTATTCCTACCATCATCTGGGCCGGCGGCTGTTGTTCTTGCGCAGCTAAAAGTTGTGGCGCTTGCGTTTGCGGTTGTGCATGCGGATTTGCAATGACAACGACACTTGTGATGCGCATAGCCATGGTAGACATTTCCAGTCGTGTTTTGGAATTTGTGATGCTGTGAACAGGATACGCAGATGGATCTGTGATGCGGCTGCACTTGCTACCCTGCACTACACTACGGACTGCAACTTGTCATGCGTGACTCCCAAAACTCCTAGATTTGTGTTGCAAAGTCCCCATCTTGACTATGGGGTGGGGACGTTTTTACTCAGGATAACCCCTCGACGGCCCTCAGCTGCGAGTAGGTAAGTGGGTACCGCGTCCACAATTGGCCGTTAACAAATTCCTTCCAGGCCAACTCCAGGCGGAGGTAATCCTTCTGTTTCTTCATCGCAGCAGGCCGCTCCGTTGACTTTGCAGCTCGCAAGTCTTTTTCCGCTATGTTAAGAAACTTTTGAAAAAATTTGTTTTTGTCTGGCAGCTGGTATTTCATGGAACGCAGGTCCGGACCCCCCGAGCTGCGGTGTTGCAGCAGCGACAGAACGTTGTAGCTGGCCACGTACACGCGCCGCTTCGGTTTCTTCTTAAAATCCTCCAGCGCGAGACGCTTCGCCTCCTTCCGACGTTTCTCGAGGGCGACCTTCTTCGGATCTTTTCTACCCAAAAAGTGCCCGTCCTCATCCTCGTCCTCGTCGCCATTGGAACTGTACGACCCGTTATCAAGTGCAGAAATGTCTGGGTCTGGAAGACTGCCAGGTTTGTCATGCATATTCTGCACAACCCATGATGCCTGTAATGCATGACCAAGCTGCATCATAGATTTTTATAAGGGCCTTCTGAATCTGATGCGTATTCCGCATGAGACACGCCCACTCCGCGTAGCACAAACTGAGCTCCTCTTGCTGGTCATGCAATACAGATTTTTTTTACCTTCCAAAGGCAGCAACACAAGTTGCAACTTTCCAGACCCAGACATTTTTTCATTTGATACCCGTCGCGTTCTTGCACTTGATGCTCTACTTCTTCCCTGGCCATCTTTCCAATTTTCCGACTTGTTTTCTGCTTTTCGCTTTCTCGACGCTGCCGGAAAAATTTTTGGAGAAAAGACTCGGGAGTTGTAGTCCTTGCGAGAGAAGTTTTTGTTGTAGAAGGTGCTGCAGTAGAAGAAGCGAAAGTTCTTGTTGACAGCTTCTGCTGTCCGGAGGCACGATGTTGTACGTCTGGCACCACAGAAGATGTTGAAGCTTTCAGCGTAACAATTCCGCTACACCTTGTAGTTGTTCCACCTGTGGTTCCAGTTTCACCTGCTTCGTCTTCTTCACTACATCCTTCATCCCGAGGACCACCGCCCTCGCCCGGGCTAGGTGAAGAAGATGCTGGTGTACTAGTTCTTGCGGGTACTAAAGATGTTGTCCAGGACCCGCCGTCGCTCTCCAGGAAGAACTCGTCCACAAATGAACTGCTACTTCCGGGTGGACGAGAGTTGATGATGTGAGAAGCGGCAGCTCCTGTGGTGGGGGAAGTAGAAGTAGAGCTTTTAGTAGTAGTCTTTTTTTCTCCACCACCACCACGACCAAGGTCGATTTGTTCTTGTGGTAATAGCCGTGGTACAAGAACATCACCAGCACCATCATCTAGGTAAGAACTTCTTCCATCATGCTCTTGCTCTCCTCCCGCACCGCTTTGAAGATGATCTTGAGGCTCACTATTCTCGTCCTCGGGCGAAAAGTTTACCAGGTCGTGGTCATCTGTTGGACTGCCTGCAGCTTGTTCCACCTCCAGGGCTTCTGCCAAGTCTACTTCTGCTTGTGGTCCTTCTTGCGCTAGTACCGTTCTACTTCTCATCTGAAGTGCCGACGTAATGTTGTTTTCACCATCTACATCTTCAAGCTGATGCTGCGCCTGCGCCCCTCCTCGTGCTGTCGTGCGGTCGTGTAGTTGTTGCAGTTTGATTCCTGCAGAATGATCTTCATCCTCCACAACAGAGTTGCTTTCTGCATCTGCTCTGGTGCGGCCTGACGTGGTTCCTTCTAGTGCCGCTGCCGCCACGAAAATTGTACTAAATGAAGCGCCAGGATGAAGTAGATGTTGAAAATTCGCGGGCTGTGGTACTGCTCCCGCGAGGTCACGAAGATGACAAAGCTCCTGCTGCTGTGCTGTGCGAAGCCTTTTGCTTTTGATAGTTTGGCGCTCGTCATGCTGCCAATGTTGCTGGGACGAGCAGGAGGAGGACTTATGGTGCTGCTCGTGGTCGTCGTGGTCTTTTTCGCACGAGAAAAGACCAAGGAAGAGCAGGAAGAACGTCGACCCAGAAATGACAAAAATTTGCAGACAGGACCGGAACCAAGAACGTCGCGGGAAGAAAGGAAGAAATTCTTGTTCAGGTCGCTTCTTGTTCTTCAGTAGTGGCCGCTGCACAACAACTTCTGCCGGTGGATTTTTTACCTTTTTATGTGCAGAAACTACTGTTCTTGGACACCTTTTTTTCCACCTCCGGGACATCCTCACCGAAGCCGGAACGTGAGGCCTCATGATCATTCGGTTTATTTTCAATCAAACAGAAGAACAATTCTCTTTAGTACGTTTACAACAATGAATACTCCACGGAGCTAGCCTTCATTCTAAAAAACAGCTCGTATAGTGTAGTTCAGCATTTCGAAGCGACTGACTCTACTCGCGAGCAGAAAAAGATGAAAAATTGCGACAGAATGATAAGTACGTACTTAAACAGGTCGTGCAACTAACTAGAAGGTTTCGACTACAAATGAATCCCTGCTTTGAAACCACCGAAATCGATTCGTTGTGGTCCTTGTCCTGAGTGTTCGTGCCACTAATCGATGAGTGTCAATCCGATCCCCTGCAACGGAAGTCATCAACCGTGTGCTTGGATTCCACTTCCCACAGATGATACGAACCACAGATACGAACCACAACCACTACCACAAAGACGACCACGCCCCATATTATCAAGGACTACGACTACCCCGAGCTGCAACAAGAAATAAATAAACCAATCAACGCGGCAGAGAAACTACTTGCTTGCGTCGTGAATAAGTATACATCAACCGAGGACGACTATTGCGACGACGATGTCTTGATCTTTCTTCCCTGAGAAAAACTACAACGGAACAAGATACGCAAGTACACCTACGCGAACGCGATATAATTGTTGGAATAGATATAAGTAATCTCTGCACCCCCACAGAGATGAGTCTTCGAGCGTGAAGAAGAGTAGAGACGATTGCACCATGACTACAACCTCATCCCCCTGAGCATCCACAAGAAACCCCAATTATAGTCATCGAAAATCGCTTTCATCAACATTTTACGGGCCACCTTCACTACTTGCGGATGGCGAACAGCAAGTGACAGAAAAAATATTGAAGGCTGGTGGAAGTGGTAGATAGCTTAGTTCTTGCCGTTTCTTGTATTTTCTCCTGTAGTGGCTGTGATAAACACAACAGCTATTGCCTTTACATAATTTTTGTTGTACACATAACATCATCAAGAACCTGGCATGCGAATCAATCCTGGCGCAAGTCGAAATTTAAACCAAAGGGGTGTAAGTAAGTACAAGAGGGGTGCATTTTCATCCTTTTTTGTTGGGTATTACCAGTATTTTTCTTTGTTTCAATTCACATTCGATGCAAGAGGAACAAGTAAGTCAAACTTTCTAAAAACTTTTTTCATTTGCAGCTCGGGACGCCGCGGAGACCTTTTCAATGTCATCTTCTGCTAAGGTCATCAATTTTCCATTTTCTTTCTTCCGATAAAAATTGCGCAACACAACATCAACAGGTGAAACTAAAACTTCTTCTGGGCTGAAATAACGCATTTTGTATAAAATTTCTTCTTGGACTAGTTTGATAAGATTTGATGTAAGTCATCAGGTGTTAAACTTAAACTGCAGAGTACATAAAAATTGGATTTCCTTCTATTATTATTATCGAAGCCACAGGTGATGCCGACCACTGTGCACAAACATCGCACGTACAAGGGGACGGATGGGTCTCAGTGCGTTGTATGTGGGATCTGTCTCGCCAGGATCTCCCGCACCCGGAGTAGGTGCACTTTCGGTCCCTCTCTCCTACCCTTCCGAGTGCCCTCACGGCTCGGAGGCGCGTCGGACGTAGTGCCTCGCGAACACCAACACCTCCCCACGACTGCCGTTGATTTTCGTCCGATTTGGTATTGCACTGCGTAGCTACAGCAAGCATTTGCATGTCTGGGGGCGCTCAACTCGTGGGCGGTTGTGCGCCGCCAGTGTGTTGCTGTGTGGCCGTTTCAGTGGTGCCACAGGGCTCGCCTGTCGTGGCGCGCTCTTCATAGTACCGACCAACCGGGTGGCCGCGCACTATCAACGGTCGGCGCTATAATTCTCGGTATGGGCTTGGCCGAGCTCGGATAAGGGGCGGCATCCGGGAGGGTGGGGTGGCCAGCCATCTGGGTGGCTGCGCTCCCCTAACGGTAGCGCAGCTGCGCTCGTCGGTGGTGCCACGCGGCTTGCTGCCCCGTCGCGTCCCGTGGACGCGCGAGGCGCAGCCGCGGCACCCGGGTGGCAGGCAACAAACAGCACAGCGGCGGCGTGCCTTTTTGTTGCGAACCTGCGCAGCAGCGCAAGCGCATGGGCCAAGGAGCTGCTTGCTGCTAGCTCTCCGTAGAACAACAAGGCCAGCGCGTATATATGGTCTACGAGGTGGCATCATGAGAGGCGGCGGCCCTCATTCACTGGGGCCACTCTTTCAACCAGATCCACTAACCGCTTGCCCTGATGAGCATGCGGCCTGCTTCTCCCCACGTTACGACCGGGAGATCTCCTCAGGCGACGGCCTTCACAGGAGGTTGGATTTCCTTCTACAAAGCGTTGAAATCATATTATAGGAAGTCTGACACAAGAACCACCGGTAAAAAGTACTATCAGAAAGAGCTTCTCATCGGAACCCGCCCGGTCTCGGAAAACTCCACCCGCTTCGGGCCGGCGCTGCCGCGGGCGCAGCAGCAGTGGCGCCACCAGCACCACCCGTAGTCGCGGTCGCTCCGCTATACCCGACCACGCTGCCGTCCGCATTTCGCTTCTTGTCCTTCTCCGCTCCCAGTCGGACCCGTTCGTAGGCTGCGTATTGAAACAGTTCCACATATTGCTCCAAAACGTCTTTCTTCAGCACCAAATACTCGTACTCGAAAATGGTGGCAATTCTGGTCGTCAATTCGTCAAGGTGCTGCAGCACTTTTCTCGTCGTGGGAATGAAGTGCAGCAACTCGTTCCTGCTGGCCGCTTATCGAATGCAAATATGTCTGGGTCTGGAAGGTTGCAACTTGTGATGCTGTCTCTACATTCTAAAAGAATCTGTACTTATTGCATGACCAGCAAGAGGAGCCCAGTTTGTGCTACATGGAGAGGGCATTTCTGATGCGGAATAGGCATCAGGAAGCCCTCTAACAAATCTCCTGTGATGCTAGGTTATGCATTACAGGCGTCATGGGTGATGTAAAATCTGCATGACAGGTCTTGCATTCTTCCAGACCCAGACATATTTGCATTTGATACCGCTAATCCGAAGAGCCCGGTGATTGCCGCCAGGTCGGCAATGACGACGTCCAGCTCCTGTTCGATTTGTATCCTGAGTAAAAACGTCCCCACTCCATGGCTGTCATGCAGAGTTGCGATTACAGACACATTTGTAATGCGCATCTCCATGAGAGGCATTTCTAATCGTTTTTTGGAATCTGTAATGCTGTACCCAGGGTGAGAAAGTGGCATTCTCATGCGGCTTCCCTTGCTCACCGCACTACGCTGCAGATGGAAACTTGTCATGCACAACTCCCAAACCTTGGAGATTTGTGTTGCAGATTTACCAACTTGACTATGGGGTGGGGACGTTTTTCTTTTTACTCAGGATAATTTTCATCAAAAAGTTTGGGATCGGTTGCAGTGCACGGGAGGTGAAAGACCCGTCGTACAGAGGGTGGTTTTCGTTTTCCAAATACCCGCGCAGGTTGGCGTTCTGCGGTTCCGTGGGATCCTTGGAGGCAGGTAGATCTGGGTTCATCAGCACTTGATTCGACTCGCGCGTCCCGCTGTTGCTGTTATGCATTGCAAAAATGTCTGGGTCTGGGAGATTCTGACACTTGTCATGCACGTTTTGCATGAGCCCTGATGTCTGTGATGCATGCCCTAGCATCACAGATTTTTTGAGAGCTTCTTGATGCCTATTCCGCATGACAAATGCCCTCTTCGCGTAGCAAGAATTACATTCCCTTTGGTACTCATGCAATACAGATTCTTTTGGAATCCAAATGCAGCATCACAAGTTGCATTCTTCCAGACCCAGACACTTTTACATTTGATAGCTGTTCCCCACTTGCCATTCTGCGACCGGAAGTTTCTCGTTCATGTTCACTTTGCACTCGGACGACGAACTTTCCGGGTTCGAGGCCCGCAGGTTGTAGTCGTGCGCGTTCTGATGGTGCAAGTTGTGAAAGTAGTCCTCATCGTACACCCGCACCGCCGATTCAATGACTGGTAACACAGCCCGAATCGCCTCGATCCACTTTTCATCCTCCACTGCTTGGCCGGTGTTAAACTGCAGCCGGTCGCCGACCAAGTCCTCCAAGTTCGACCGCCTTGCCTCGGGATTGGGGATCGGCCCGCAGTTCTTGTACATTTTTCGCTGTGTCATGGTGAACAGCGACGCGGTCGGTGAAGGAGGTTTGCTATTGTTGCTTTTGTCTCCATATGCATTGCAAATATGTCTGGGTCTGGAAAAGTTGGGTGTTTGTCATGCATATAGTACATGACCCACGATGCCTGTGGTGCATTCTCTAGCATCGCAGCCCTCGCGAAGGCTTCATCATGCCTATCCTGCATGAGAAATGCCCGATCCGGGTCGTGGCAAAAATCTGAGCGCCTTTTGCTGGTAATGCAATACAGTTTTTTGTAGGATCGAGAGTTAGCATCACAAATCCCAAACTTCCAGACCCAGTAGACATATTTGCATTTGATATTCCAAATACCTCGTACTGCTTCACATCCAACGCGTTCGTGTATGAGAGTACACAACCCCCCCACCTCCTCCTCATTATCATTTGCGTGGCATCAACAGCATTACAAACACCAGTACAGGTGCGTCCTGTGCATGACAGGTTCATGCTCCGAGTGTAGTACTATCGGGCTTTCCGGAATTTGTCATGCACGCGGCGCCACAACGAGCAACTGGATTTGGGTTTTTGCATGACAAATGAGGGGGAGGGGGAGTTGCGCACTGTCATATCGTGCCAGTACCTGGGTCCTTGAACTCCCGCGCCAGGCTGAATTTGCGCACGTACTCCTCTTTCACCGAACAGAACGATGCCACCGGCCAGGGGTAGGGGAAAGGAGGTTCGTCCGATGTTGTACTGGCACCAGCGGTCGTGCTGCTCGCAGCAGCTCCCCCGCGCAGAGCCGTTCTCCCATCGGCGTCGAGCTTCTGCTGCTTTTCCTTTTTCCACTTCGCAAACTCGCCGCTCTCGTCCTTCACCATGACCGTCTCAATTTTCTTCGCGTTTCAAATGTAAAAATGTCTGGGTCTGGAAGATTTCCACGTTTGTCATGCACATTTTGCAGGACTTCTGATGTCTGTGATGCATGCCCTAGCATCACAGATTTTGTGAGGCTTCCTGATGCTATACCGCATGACAAATGCTCTTTCCGTGTAGCAAAACTTGGACTCTCTTTGCTGCCCATGCAATACAGATTTTTTTAGAATTCAAAATCAGCATGACAAGTTGCATTCTTCCAGACCCAGACATTTCTACAGTTGATATCGCGCAAAAAAACTCGATCTCGCCGCAGCACGACCGTTCCAGTAGCGCCAGTAACTCCGCAATCTTGGCGAAAATCAGCTCGCCAGCTCCGTTATCCTGTGCAAAAGTATCGCACTCGTAGCAATTGCAGTGATGCATTACAAATCGCATTTCCAAGGTAAAACAGCATGACAAATTCAATTTTTATTTTTCACGCTGAGAAATATGCAATTTGTACTACCTAGTACGATACAACTTTTGCAATGCATATCCGTTCTTGAACGTCATCATGGGGTTGGGACCTCGCGGAGACGCCAGCGGGTTGGACGCAATCAAAGCTTGGTACCAGGCCGCCGCCACTTCCGGCTTCTCGAAGGAAACTATAGGAGTGCACAACCCCCCCGATACCCCCTCACTTGTGATGCAAAAACCCAAGTCCAAGTGCTTCCCTGTGGCATTGTTTCAATGACAGATTCCGGAATAAACCCAAACAGCAGTACATTAGGCGACTGAGTTTGTCATGTGCAGGCTCGACGTGTGCTGGTGTCTGCATTGCTGCTCATGCAATACAAATGAGGGGGAGGAGGAGTTGTGCACTCTCATAGAATCCACCGGTTTATGGGCCTCGTTGAAGTCAAACTTTTTCTTGCTACCCATTTTCACAACGATGCCATCGTGCCACCCGTTGTCTTCGTCAAAGCCGTCCCGCAAAATCGCCTTGGCTATATACGGCTGTTGCTTTACCGGCTGCTTCTTCCAAAAATTTGTCAAAAAGTTCGTGACGTGAAACGTGGTCGGAATTGGGGACAAAACCTGCTGCCCCAAATCGAGAAATTTGGTGCCACCAGGTGGGCCTACCGACGGCTGCTCGTGGATACTGAACGCGGTGTCGGGCGACAGCTGGAATTCCGGCAAGATGTCAGCGATCTCGTCCCCTATCGCCTTTCGCCGGATGCCGTACAGTACGTCGTTTGGTGCGGTGGTTCCCGAAGCGGGCAAGGGCTGGGGCGTCGCGGTGAGGTGCCACCCGAGGTGGAGCCACTGAAACCGCCCGCCCTGCTGCGACTTCACGTCGTTCGCGTTGATTTGCCGCTCGTATCCTATCGAAAAACGTCCCCACACCAGAGTGAAGATGAGAATCCTGCTAGACAAATTCACCAGCTTTGGTTGCTGCGCATGACAAATTTGGCTTCGGAGCATTATCCTGTTTAGTTAGCCCCAGCAGCATCACAGGCCTAGCCTAGCATGCTGATTCAAGCATCATAAATTTCCACCAAACACGACGAGAAAACACTTCCCATAGGGCTCCGCATGAGAAACAATTTTACCATGCAGATTTTTTTTTTTTTTGATTGGGCCCCGCTCTGTTGTATTGTATTGTATGTGATTGTGTGACGGCGGGAACGGCACCCGCCCGTTGTGCTTAAAAATGCGCTCCCACGCGCGAATCTTTTTCATCTTTTGCATTACACATGCACAAACATTTTCAACCCCCTAAACCAACAGCATTACTCATCTTCTGCTGCCCGCACGCAACAGAACTACTCCTGAAGCGCGGGAACAACCCGGAGGTTGTTTTGCATCACAAGTTCTGCAGCAGGGTGCATGCAGCAGTGGGAGATACAAAATTAAATATTCAAAACCCTAAACCCGCACAACGCACTCGATCCTAGTTAACGTCCAGAGCCGTAAGCCGCGGCAGACGTCCACCAGGGGAGGTAGAGGGAGGTCAGATCACAGTCTCCGTAGGGCGATAAGTGCAGTAAGCCGCTGCACTGAAAGATAGTAAAGATAGGGAGAGACCACTGTATAAAGAGATAGTTGCGCCTAGTGCGCGCTATTCGGGTCGAAACCCGAAATATATGGACGAGCTGGATCACAGATACTAGCCATAGGGCGCAGCCGACCCGAATCGCATTAATAGAGGCTGCGCGACCTGACGAAGAACATCATATGACCCAAGCCGAGGGACGTCAGTGAAAAATACTCCGGACGCGTGTGCAGCCTCGGCCGATGCAAAACGGGCGACCGCTGTAAAATTTGCAATCTACTGTAGAATTATTTCTAAGTGGTCTCTTTAGGGATGGGGGCCGTTGAACCCACGACGAGGGGGGGCGGGGACCGTTGAACCCAGAGTGCTTTCTTCCCCGCGACAAAATCCGCTGGCAAGGCGGAAAAAAAGACAGCTGCCCCTGCAAGAACGCGGGATGCGCGGGCTAGCGCTAAGAAGGCAAGTCAGGCAAAACAACAAAACTAAACGACAGAAGATATAAAAGGGTAGAGATCTAAATCTACGTGGGAAAACGGGGGCAGATGGGAAGATCGAATTTTATAAAGCAGGAGGAGCGCACGAATTTACGATCAAGCTCCTGGAGACAACGAACGAAGAGCGACACACGTGCACGAACCGACGCTGCGCAGTAAGCCGCTGCGCATATAAATTTTTCATCATTCAGTTATTCTAGTCATTCGTTATCTAATTTTTTCATCGTTATCTAATTGGACTCACTAATTCATCACTAAAACTAGGAGGCCGGTGTGCGTTACTTAACATGTGAGGCAGTTCTACGAATTCACCTGCCTGCCGCAGCAGGTCAAACAGGGCCGACACCTTTCACACAGTTAAGCAGTGCGCGTGCATGCGTGCACTTTTCATCTTGTTTTGATATTCTTACTATCTGCTCTTGTCCTCTGCTCCAGCCCATTGTACTGCGCGTCTTGTTCTCGCTTCGCTTGCGTTTTCCCCCTCCTCCCCCGCGTGCGTATCGTATGTCCGCGCTAGCAGGCAGATCTTCGCTTTTCGTAGTGTTTTCTTCTGAACTTAGTGTCTGTTAGTCTGTATCTAGTTGCTTGTCTGTGCTGTAAAACTGAAATAAAGCGAAGCGGAAATCTTAAAGAGCTTGCGGCTGACTCCAAATCGTGCTAGCATATTGTTTCTATTTCTCATCCCCACAACCCACGACCAGCCTCTGCTGGAAAAAAAGAAGTTCTCTGGTGTGTTTTTTAATAGTCACAGCGGGCGGGGGGAGACCACATTGGTCTCCCCCCGCACGCTGCTAGTCTGTTGTAGTATCTGCTTGGTATTTCTACATGAGCGAGGGCAATGGCGATACGTTTTACGAAGTGCTTATTTCTTACGAAGGGAAATCTCTTACACAAACGAGGTGCATTTTACCATGCAGATTTGCATGACAAGAACTATGGGGTGGGGACGTTTTTACATAGGATAGATCGAACGAGTTCCCGATGTCTTCGCTCGCGTCCATCACCCGGCGCATGCCGTATCAAATGCAAAAGTGTCTGGGTCTGGACGATTGCAACTTGTGATGCTGTTTCTGCATTTTGAAAAAATCTGTATTGCATGACCAGCAAGACGAGGGGTCCAGTTTGTGCTACATGGAGAGGGCATTTCTCATGCGGGATAGGCATCAGAAAGCCCGCTAAAAATCTGTGATGCCAGGGTATCTATTACAGGCGTCATGGGTCATGTAAAATCTGCATGACAAGTCTGGCACTCTTCCAGACCCAGACATTTTTGCATTTGATATGCCGTCCTGGATGTCAATCATCGGTATTTTGTTGCGCTTAAAATAGTTCAAAATCAGTGTCTTGTCCGATTTTTCTCCCGGGCCCTCCAGAATTTCGTTCGTGTCGAATGGCGACGCGATTTTGAACGGATCTTTGATCATCGCCACGGGGCCCGGGCCCAGACCCGGCTCCGTGCCCGGGAAGGATCCCGGGGTAATTTTCTGCTTCGCTGCCACCGCTAGGCCATAATTGCTGTACTGCAGAAACCGCATCAACCTCGCAAGCCGCACCGGGGGTAGGTTGTTCGGCCCAAAATCGTACACGTTGCGCCCGCTACCGGTAGTCACAGAGTCGTAGTCGGAGAGAACTTTGTCCGCGTGGACCTGGTTGCCGTCTTGTGGTCGGTTGCTCGAAAAATCAAATTCCCGTTTCGGGTGTAGCATATGCAGTGCAAAAGCATCTTACTAGTATAAATTGCATTACAAATTGCCTTAGCCATTACAAATTGAATTTGCAATGCGGATAAGAAAAAGATTTGTAATGCATAAACGCAATTAGTACGAGTACGATCCTTGTGCACTGCATATAGCATGTGGACCGCGTATTTTTTCATGGAGTCGAAATCCCATTCAAGATTGATCTTTTTTAGTTCGATATCGCAAGAAAGAACTGTTTCTCATGCAGAAAGTGCATCGCAAAAGTGTCTGTCTTGCTACACATGCCAGAAAATGCATTATTTAGTCGTGTTTTCCCTTAGGAAGCTCGCATGGCTGCAAACTTCCTTTGTGATGTAGAACAAACTTGTGATGCAAAACTTGCAAATAAATAATCACAGTGAAACAGTTTTTTCGTGAGATATTCGAAGTCCTGCTGTTTGTCGTCCCCAAACCTGTTCCGCAGACCCGCGGCCGCCCGCGTCCACCAACTCGGCTTGGGCACCGGCTTCGGCGGGGCCTTGTTTTGCCTTGCCAAGTGGTCGGCCAGTTGTTTCTCGTACAGCCTTGCCCGCGCGTGGTTCGCTTGCGCCGCAATTTTCAAGCCTTCAAACAGGTTCTGCTTGCTGGTGTGGTCAAAGAGCAAGTGTAGCGCGCGTTCCAGCCCGGTCATCTCACTGTTCATTCGTCGCAAAGCCGGGGTCGGAAGGGTCGCGGGAGGGGCAGTGCCCGCCGGAGTCGGGGAGTGCGCGGTCACGTAGAACTCCTTTTTCGTGCCGAATTTTTGGTATTTCTCCAGCGGATTGTCTGACGCAAAATTCGCCGCCAGCGCCTTCAACTTTTGCACCGCCTTGCCCAGTATCAAGTGCAAAAGTGTCTGGGTCTGGAAGAATGCAACTTGTGATGCTGCATTTGGATTCCAAAAAAATTTGTATTGCATGAGTACCTAAGGAAAGGCAATTTTTGCTACGCTGAGAAGGCACTTGTCATGCGGAATACGCATCAAGGAGCCCTCAAAAAATCTGTATTGCTAGGGGATGCATCACAGACATCATGGCTCATGCAAAACGTGCATGACAAGTGTCAGAATCTTCCAGACCCAGACATTTTTACATTTGATACCCAGCGCGCCCGCCCCGGGACCCTGTCTCGCACCACACGCGGCCGCGCGGAGACGGTGAGACGAGCGTTTTTCTTCTTTCTCCTGTTGCAGTTCTTCACGTTGCAGCCCTTCTTGTTCTTCTACGTTCTCCTCGACGAACGAAGACGCGGCCGGCAGAATTTCTCCAGACACGAGAGGATCAAAACCGTTTGCCGTTCGCTCGAGTCCAGTGCGCCGCAGGGACTCGCAGAGCGGGTCATGCAGGAGCCACAGGAGAATGGGTTTGACCGCGACGAGCGCAGTAGCATCTTCCAGATCTTCGATGAACTGTTCGTCTTCCGCCTTCCCGAGCTGGCTGCTACTTTTTAACTGCAGCTGCACCGGACACTTCTCTCCCGAGGGGATCGGCTGGTTGACGGTAAGCTGCATCTTTTGCGCATTGTTCTCTCCTTGCAGCAGATTGGAAGTGTAGGACAGCTATGCATTGCAAAAGCATCGTATCAGTGGCAATTACCTATACAAATTTGCTCAACATGAAATAAAATGGGATTTGTGTTGCTGGCGTACCTTACACGCGAGATCAGATTGGTCATGCTCATGCAGAGTTGCAATTACTACGAAGTACAATACGTTTGCAGAGGATAACAGCTGCGAGTTCGGCGGACTCTGCCTGTTCCCACCTGCGCCCGGAGCAAGGTACCACTTCGAAAACAACGGCCTTGCTGCGCGATTGCTGCCTTCTGATCGGTACAACCGAATTTCGCCGAGAACTTCGACTTGTATAGAGGCGAACTTCCCATTCCCCGTGAAAAGCCGGAACTCCCGCATGTTCAGCTTCGGAGAAAGCACCATTTGGTCCGTTGGCCGCAGAAATACCAAATCGGCCACATTTGTCTCAAACGGGATTTTGTCGCTCCCCGCAATGTATGGATTGCAAAAATGTCTGGGTCTGGAAGATTGCAACTCGTCATGCTAAATCCCAATCATGCAGAAATCTGTGTTGCATAAGTGCCAAAAGCTGTCCACTTTCGACCAAGTTTCGGGGGAGTTTGTCATGCAGGATAGGCATGGCAGAGACCTCACAGACACTGTCATGCTAGGTCCCGCATTCCAGACCTGATGGGCCATGGAAAACCTGCATGACAAGCTTACATTCTTCCAGACCCAGACATTTTTGCATTTGATACAATGACGCCTTCCTCACTGGTGGAGCCGCCCCCAAAGTATCGCTGCATGCTCTGGTAGCGATTCTGCACCGCGCCGTGCCAACTTTCTTCCTTGGCCGCCTTAGCGTCGTTCATCTTTTGTATCATATGTAAAAACGTCCCCGCCCCATAATCAATTTGGGAACTTAGCAACACAAATCCAGAAGTTGTGGGAGCCACGCATGACAAGTTGCAGTCCGCAGTGTAGTGCATGTTAGCAAGGACATCCGCATCACAAATCCATCTGCTTATTCTGTTTGCAGCATTACAAATGCGAAAACACGATTGAAAATGCCTGTTATGGGGAAGCGCATTACAAGCGCTCCTGTCATTGCAAATTTGCATAACAACTCTGGGGTGGGGACGTTTTTACACAGGATATTTTGCAGGATGTCCTTGTCTTCCTTCATGCACTCCTTGCCCGGGCGGATCTCCAGCGTCGGCGTTGGGTAAAGTGGCAGGCTGGACTTCCCATTTCTTCCCGTACCTCGCCAGTCGCCTTGCCAGTCTGTGCCGAACTGCATCATGGAGAGTATCAAATGCAAAAGTGTCTGGGTCTGGAAACTTGTGATGCTGGGTGGCGTATCATGAGGAGGCCACAGGTGCTCGCTCAGCATGACAAGTTTCTGAGCTTCTAGGTGTTGCCTATTCTGCATGACAAACTGCGTTTCTACATGACAGAAAAATGGCGCTCTTGGGTAACGTGCATGACAGATTTGAGAGTCATGCCAGACAAGCATGACAAACATGCACTCTTCCAGACCCAGACATTCTTACACTTGATAGAGAGCGACTCAAACCAACAGAATTCCCGGCCGCTCTATCAAACGGAAAGATGCCCCCACCCCGAAAGTTTGTGTTTGTGATGCGAAGTTTCCAAATGAAAACTTTTTGTCTTGCATGAACGGACTATGAATCTTTCTGATGCAGAGTCTAGTCGCATACAGCATCGCTTGCATGACAAGCGCCACTCTTGCTGGGATCTTTTGCAATACAGATTTTTTCTATTCACGATTGAAAATCTGTGATGCTGATACATGCAAGACGGCGAATGTTTCCGTTGGAAAGGTTTGCAATACAAATACTTACTTCCAAGTTCTGGGGTCGTGGGCGCATTTTTCACTGTAATACGCTCTTCAAACTGTTCAGAAACGTCTCCTGCGAGGCGAAGGGATCGAATATCAACTGCAAATATGTCTGGGTCTAGAAGGGTGTAAACTTGTCATGCAGGTTTTCCATGACCCATGAGGTCTGGCATGCGGGACCTAGCATGACAGCGTCTGTGAGGTCTCCGTCATGCCTATCCTGCATGAGAAACTCCCTCCCAACTTGGTCGAAAGTGGACAGCTTTTGGCAGTCATGCAACACAGATTTTTGCATGATTCGGCTTTAGCATGACAGACACTTTTGCAATCCATATCGAATCCGTTCCTTCCAAACGGGTCCGGGGCGTTTTTCCACGACTTGAGCATCGCGGCGAGGAATTGAGTCGGGGACACCCCAACCAGGTGCTCGTGAAAGCTCTTGTCCTTCTTGAAGGTGTCTTGCAGCTCTGCTTTCGCTATGCATTGCAAATACGTCTGGGTCTGGAAACTTGTAATGCAAGGAAGGGAATAGTGAGCTCGCTACAATGCGCTGCCAAGCACGACAGGTTTTTTTCATGGTTCTGAGTTCCATATTCCGCATGAGAAACTGCGTTTTTGCATGACAGGGAGGCGGAGCTCCTCTTAGCGGCCATGAAATACAGAGTTCAGAGGCATGCCAGACTAGCATGACGAATGTTGCAATCTCCCAGACCGCCCAGACATATTTGCATTTCATATTCGCCACCTCGGAACGCGTACCGGAAAACCAGTTCGCGAGCCCTGCGAGCCTGCTCTTCGCCTCGGTCGCCAAGGTGACTTCCACGTTTTTCCGCTGCAAAGTCTGCACTTTCGGTTTATCAAATGCAAAAATGTCTGGGTCTGAAAACTTGTGATGCAAGTCAGTCAATAACAAATGCACTGTAATGCGCCGCCGAGCATGACAAGTTGCTTCGTGCTTCTGTGCTGCGTATTCCGCATGAGAAACTGCGTTTTTGCATGACAGGCGAGAGAGGCTGTTTGTGGCCACGCAATACAGATTTAAGGGTCACGCCAGATCAGCATGACAGTCTCGCAATCTTCCAGACCCTGACCCAGACACTTTTGCATTTCATACGGTTTCCCGTCAAACGAAACGTGGAGCCAGCCTTGGGGGTCCGCCAGTTTTAGCGGCTTGGAGTTTCCCGTATGGCGTTCTCAACTGTTACATTCTCAACTGTTACATGAGTTTGTGATGCAAGCATGGGAAAACTAAAAGGGGAAAGATTGCGCCTTTTGCATGACAGATTTGGCACAGATTTTTAGCCTATTTGGCACTTCGAGAATTTGTCATGCGAAGCAGCTTGATCGCGACGATTCTGGCTCGAATTTTGCATGACAAATCATGTAACAGTTGAGAATGTAACATTTGAGAACGCCATATCCCGCGCAGCGGAGTTCGAGGTCAGCGAAGTCTTCCAAGGAGCACTCCACACCTATCAAATGAAAACATGTCTGGGTCTGGAAGATTCCAAGCCTTGTCATGCAGATTTTCCATGATCCATGTCGTCTGGAATGCAGAACCTAGAATGACAGATTCTGTGAGATCCCTATCATGCCTAATCTGCATGAGAAACTTCCTCTCAACTTGGTCAAGAGTGGACAGCTTTTGGCATTCATGCAACACAGATTTTCATTTTTGCACGATCCAGAATTAGCATTACAAGTTGCATCCTTCCAGACCCAGACGCAGACATTTTTGCAATGCATAATACCTTCCTCGCCGCAATTTTTGGGACACACGGGCGGCAGGATTTCCAAGTTCGCCAGTGTTCGCACGGAGTCGGAAAAGTACGCGCTCCACAGGTCCTTTTCCAGGATGTAGGCCGTTTTGCTGGAAGACTGTTGCTCGTAACTGGACTGCTTTTCTTTCTGCTTTGTCATGCCCTGCGTCAAGGCCGTCTGCACCGCCGTGCGTGCTTCGTCGCGAACCAATTCCTTGTCCACCGGTGGGGGCTTCGGCTTCGATTTCGCCCGCGTGGTGCGAGCCGGAGCTGGCTCTGCAGCTGACTGTTCCTGCGGAGGAGGGACACCACGCGGCCCGGGAGGTGGCGGATACCGTGGTGGGGGTCCTCGATTGTAACCAGGCGGCCGCGGAGGGGGCCTGCGCGGTCGCGGAGGTGGCCGGGCTGGCGGCTTTTCTCGGCTTCTAGGCCGTTCTCGGTCGCGACGCGTCGCACTGCTTCGCTCCCGCTCGCGGCTCCTGCTCCTTCCCTCGCGCCGAGCGGGACGCCGACGACGATCGTCTTTGTCATCTTCTCTGCTTGTTCGAGACCGCGACCGGTTTCTGCCACCGCCCCTGCTGGTGCGCCCCCGCGACCTCTCTTTTTCGTCATCCTTGTCGCCTTCTCGTCTCTCTGTGGTCTTCCCGTTGTTCATCCGCGACTTCTGTCAAATGTAAAAATGTCTGGGTCTGGAACAAGAATGCAACTTGTAATGCTGTCTGCGGATTCTAAAAATATCTGTGTTGCATGAGCAGCATGAGGAGTCAGTTCTTGGCACGCGGAGAGGGCATTTCTTATGCGTAATTAGCATCATTTAAGAAGCACTCAAAAAATCTGTGATGCTAGCACCAGCATCACAGACCTCACGGGTCATGCAAAATGTGCATGACAAGTCCCGACTCTTCCAGACCCAGACATTTTTGCATTTGATAACTTATCTGCTTGCTTCCGCATAGACAATGCTTCTCCTTGATTCTCCCCCAATAAAATGGTTTGTTTATTTTGGAGAAATGTGGTGCCGGTTGCGTTTAGTACCAGGTCACCTACATCTTCATTTTCCGCGGGAAATAAATTAGAGGAAGCAAGGAGGTCGTCGTGGTCGTCCTCGTCGTCAGGGAAAATACTAAAATCGTGGTCGCCTCCTGCTCCAGTACCACTGTTCCCAAGAACTTCATCTCGTGCAGCAGCAGCCTCCGCTCCTGATGTTCTACTTCCTGGAGATGCATGTGACAACGCTCCTACCTCTGCAGATGGATTTGACTTTCTTGTCGAAGATCCTCTCTTGTTGAAGGATAGCGGCTTGCTGCCCGCCATTTGTGTGAACGACGAGGCGGCACCGTCCTCTTCCGGTTCGGAAAATTCCGCATTTTCATCCAGAATCCCGACGCTTATCCAATGCAAATATGTCTGGGTCTGGAAGATTGTCAGATTTGTCATGCAGCTTTTCCATGACCCTTGAGGTCTGGAATGCAGGACCTAGCATGACAGATTCGGCGCGATCTCTCTCATGCCTATCCTGCACGAGAAACTCCCTCCGGACTTGGTCAAAACTGGACGACTTTTGGCAATCATGCAACACAGATATTTGCATGCTTCAGATTTAGCATGACAAGTTGCATTCTTCCAGACCCAGACATTTTTACATTTGATAACGCTGCTGGAGGTACTACTGCCGCTGCCGAAAAATTCGTCCTCGTCTGGCTCTGGGAAACTTCTACCAAGATCTTCATTCACATATCAAATGCAAAAGTGTCTGGGTCTGGAAGAGTGCCAGACTTGTCATGCATGTTATGTATGATGCTTGATGCCTCTAATGCATGATCTAGCAACGCAGATTTTTAGAGGGCTTCCTAGTGCCTATTCCGCATGAGAAATGCCCTCTCCACGTAACACAAACTGGAGTCCTGTTGCTGGTCATGCAATACAGATTTTTTTGGAATCCAAAGACAGCATTACAAGTTCGCGTCCTTCCAGACCCAAGCATTTTTGCAATCCATATCACATTCTGTTCAGCATAAAGCAACTCCTCGAGGTTTTTTTCCACTGTCAGCGCATCGAGGTCGTTGTTGTCAAGGTCGTTCAGCTGGATTGCAGCATGCCCGGCGACCTCTTCTTCCTCGTTCTTAGTCTCCTGCTGCGCAGCTAGAGGACTAGAAGTACCTCGTCCCTCGCCAAGACTTATTACAGAAGATGCAGCTCTACTAGTGGCGAATAGATCAGCACCAGCAGGTCCTGCTGGCAAATCCTCTTCAACAATGCTACTCTGCTCGTCAGAAGGGGGAATAGTTTCATCCTGCTCTGGACCGCCAACGTCAAGGGCCGCAACAAGGAGGAGGTTTTTTACTTCGACTTCTAGCGCCGAAAGGCTACTAGTCGAGAGAAGGAGCCGCGACAGGTGGGACGAGAGACCTGGCATGGTGCGGAGTAGAAAGAGCTTCCGGCTTGTTGCACACCACCTCCGACGTCTCATCTTGAAGATTTCAACATGTTGATGAAACTCATTTACTTTCGTCAAGAACTACCTGATGCTGTTCGTACCACATTGGCTTCGCAACTAGTTTGATCGCTACTTAGAAGAAGACATCTAGCTCTGCTAGCTGCAAGAGCTGCTAAGTACTACCGCGGTCAACATCATTCTATAAAGTCAAACTCGAAGATTCAAAGTGAAGCACAGAAATAGAAGCACCGAGCGAGATATCAAACGACAAAGGGGCGAATTTTGCAGCACCTTGGCAACGATTTTTATTTTTTTGCTACTTCGTACAAGTATAATCCGAATTGCGATTCAGATCATGGCACTTCTCTCTACTATTTCGCTCCACACAATTAATAAGTTTGTGGCGATTTGCACATGCAAGGACGATTTGATATGCGTGCCGACGATGAGTCATGACATTGTTCCGTATAAGTAGTTTTTGTGCAGCTCTAAATGACGATAATTACAGGTGTTGAAGACGATTCACCAGCAGAAGGCATGCTTGCAGAAAGTGAAAGATGTAAAAATCCGCAAGTAGTTTTTCCCCCAAATAAAGAAGAACACCTCGCTGATCATCGCATTTCTACGTACACCTTCGAGAGGACATCGTATTGCAGCGCTGAAAATAACCGGCTGCAGGACCACAACGGTGTGGAGAGGGAAAATTTATTGTCGCTTGCTTCGAGAATCTTTTATCACTTTGGACATTTATTTTTTCGTCGTGTAAAATAAATTGATGTCGGCTAAAATCTTTATCGAGATGCTCGATTTTTATTTGTCTTTCCATCTTCTCTAGTTTTCTTCACATGTAGTTGCCATCAGCACGTTCCAGATTCACATTTTGTGGTCCAATGCGACTACTTGCGGCTCGCCGAAATCAAATAATCCATTCGGCTTCTATAATCCATTCGTTCTTTTGAAAATCCTTGTCGCCTCCGATACCGATTTTCCAGACGCTAATATGCGGAGTCGCGGTTGTCTCTCCGCGGTCGCATAGTACTTACTCTTCGCAGTTTCGCCTTGCATTTTGCCGTCGCCAATACGTAGTCGTAGTCGCTAACTACACCGACGTGAAGATATTCGTTGGCGCTTGGCTCGAAAGAATCGTAAAGGGCCGTCGCTAGATTTTTTAGGTGCGTTTGAAATTATACTCGTTTTTCAATGAAGTGCCGGCGCTGCAGCCACCCCATATTACTTAAGTAGGCAGACTACTGTATCTGCTGTAAACTTATTTCCCTCTTACGAATCAACAAGAATCCTCTTGTTCTTCTGTGTAAACTATTTACTGTAAACTTTTCTGCTGGAGAATTTTTACCCGGAAATACAAATCCGGCTTCTCTACAACTTCTTTGTCTGATTCTGTAATTCGTCGCTGTGCTTGTCATCTACTAGACAGCACGTATTATCTGATTCTGAGATCTGTTGAACTCTGTTGATTTTTGAAAGACTGGTAAAATGTTAAAAACGGGTATTGCTTTTCAACTGGTCTTGTAAAAGTAGTAGTCGTAAAACTGTTTATCATTAGCTTTGGAGCTTGGCGAGCCCGAGGTGGGTGGTACAGGAGTAGTTTTATTGAGGTGTTTTATCAATATTGACTTGGTGATTTGTATATTCGATTCACAATTTCCGTCGACTGGGATAATAATCTTCCGGCTCAACTGGAGGTGCTAGACGAAGGGCTGTTCCACATGTAGTTTTCCTCCTGTGATCGCTACGCATGCCGGTTCAGGAGCTGGACAAACCTGAAAGAATTTTTCATCATGTAAAAAAAAAACCTTGTGATGCGGCGCAAGTTTGACGGGAAAAAAATCCTCCATGGTCACATCAAGCGCAAAAATCCGCACCATTCATTTCATGCATCACAGACAAATCACAAATGAACATCATTCAACATTAACATTAAGAAAGTACTCTCGATATAAATCCTGGTGCTCCGCGCCGAAAATTCTTTGCGCCTCATCCAGGGTCTATCAAATGCAAATATGTGTCTGGGTCTGGAAACTTGTGATGCAAGGAAGGGAATAGCGAGCACACTGTAATGCGCTGCCAAGCATGACAGGGCATTCCTGGTTCTGAGTTGCGTACTCCGCATGACAAACTGCGTTTTTGCATGACAGGCAAGAAGAGCTCTTTGCGGCCACGCAACACAGAGTCCAGAGTCATGCCAGACGAGCATGACAAACCTCGCAATCTCGGAGACTTAGACATATGAGCACTTGATAGGGTCTCGTCTCGCGTCTGCTGGTGGTTGTTCAGTCGTTTTATGTTCGCGAGGAAGGAGTTAAAGGCCTCGTAGTATCAAAAGGAAAAATCCCCCCTCCCCATATCGAAAACGAATTTTGTGATGCTGTATTTGAGTACACAAATCGACTTGTAATGCTAGAAGGCCAAGAGACGCAGCTGTGGCCTCGTTTGCAGGCAATTTGTCATGCTGTTTCCCCCTTCCAGCTGCCCCCTGTCATGCCGAAGATGCAAGGCTTTCCCACGCCAACCAGCACTACAGTCCGCATCTTTTCCCTTCTAGCATGACAAAGCTGATTTGTGACCACAAATCTGCATCACAAATTTCTAGTTTGAGTATGGGGTGGGGGGATTTTTCACTTTGATACGTAGCTCAACCTTGCCCTCGCGTTGCGGAAAAATTGCTTCCCGTCCACGCCGCTAGCAGGGGAGCCGACGCCCTCCATATTTATCTGCTGCTGGAGCTGGCTATCCTATGCGAAAACGTCCCCAACCAAGAGTCACACTAACTGGGGAATCTGCTATACAAATCAACGAGGTTATTTGGATATCCGGCATGACAAGTTTGGGTCTTTAGTGCAGCAGTCGTGGTTGGCTAGTAGCGGCGTCAAATCACAAATCTAGCGTATTATGCTCCTTAGAGCATGACAAAGTCATAAACAGCATGAGAAACTGCTAGCTCGTTATTGGGTCTCCTGCGCATGAGATCATATAATCTACGTATTTATTAGCAAGAAATACGCATGACAAGTCTGGGGTGGCGACGCTTCTACTCAGAGTACTGGCCACTCGGCTGCGCACCACCGCCCTGGGCGTTCGACCCGCCGGGGTAGGAAGAGCGGAGGACTGTGAAGAGATCGGTAAAGGTAATTGCACAAGCACAATTGCATGACAGATCCCTCATGGGATGTAGGATCATTCTGCATCACGAATTTTTCTGTTAACACCGTTTGCTATGCATGCAAAATGGCAACACAAATTCTACTACCGTTCTGTGGGCTACCATCTTGCCTTGGGTATGGGACTATGGATTGTAAAAATGTCTGGGTCTGGAAGATTCTGTGACTTGTGATGCACGTTTTTCATGCGCCATCATGTCTGCACAGATGTTTTGAGGGCATCTTGATGCGTATTCCGCATGACGAATGCCCTCTCCGCGTAGCAAAAATCGCATTCCTTTTGCTGCTCATGCAATACAGATTTTTTTGGAATGCAAATGCAGCATCACAAGTTGCATTCTTCCAGACCCAGACATTTTTGCATTTCATAGGGACGCCCGTCACGCTCGCGGCGGTTAATGGCACTGCACTTCTCAGTATGCATTGCAAAAATGTCTGGGTCTGGGGAGTTGCGAGATTTGTTATGCTAGTCTGGCATGACTCTCAACTCTGTGTTGCGTCACCGCAAAGAGCTCCTTTTGCTTGTCATGCGAAAACGCAGTTTCTCATGCGGAGTACGCAACTCAGAACCACGGAAAAACTTGTCATGCTTGGCAGCGCATTACAGTGTGCTTACTATTCCCTTTCTTGCTTCACAAGTTTCCAGACCCAGACATATTTGCATTTCATACTCAGGTACTCTTCTGACATTAACCTGTGTCGTGAGTCGTGTGTGGTTCATTTTTGTAAATAGCGATTATTGCATCAGAAATTGTTGCATGGGCATGCCCATCTCATGTAATACTGACAGCATCACAATTCAGTATCAGTTCACTAGTCCAGCATGACAAAAAATGAAAATCAGTATAATACAGTGAGCTTGCGTCCTCTACTGCTTGCTGTTCCACGTCTGACAAGCTTGTATCCTGAGTAAAAACGTACCCACACCAGAGCTGTAATGCAGATTTGCAAGGACAGGAAGACTTGTAATGCGCATCCCTATGAGAGCCATTTCCACTCGTAATTTGGAATTTGTGATGCTGTGAACAGAATGAGCAGATGAATCTGTGACGCGGCTGCACTTGCTAACCTGCACTACACTGCATAGCGAATTTTGTCATGCGTGACTCACAAAACTCCTAGGTTTGTGTTGCAAAATCCTCATCCTGACTCTGGTGTGGGTACGTTTTTACTCCGGATAGCTTGCCATGAGTGTTTTTTTCAGGTCGTCTAGTCTGCTAACCTGCTTCTTCAGCGCTTGTACTGTTCGGAACAGTTCCTGTTTATTTTGTAATTGAAAATTTACTTGGCATGAAGACAAACCCTGTGCATACAACAAACACGACAGCATGACAAATAACGCAAACTACATTTTCATATACGCATCACAAATCGCACCGAGTCAAGCATTCGCTGCATCAACAGTTGTTGGCACAAAAAATTTCTTGAGTAGTAAGTACCTTATTTTCCTCGCCTAGCTGCTGTGTCCTCTGGTGGCTTTCTATCAATTCGACCTGGCTTATGCAACCGGAAAAATTCCCCATACTCACTGCACCAATCTGAATCTTCTGGAATGCGGAGCAAGGTATGTGAAAGAGCCAAAGCCTACTTAATTCGGAAAGAACGTACAGCATGAAAAAAATAACACAGATCCTTGTGCTTTTCTTGGTACTCGTACTTAACTTTCATACACAGCTGCGAGCATTACAGATGATGATACACGCAAGCGCAAATTTTTCATCCCAGTTTGATAGCTAAACTTGAGTTTTTTTTCTGTAGCACCGTGACCTGCTGCGTCTTCTCTTCGTTCGTTAGTCGCTGTTAAAATTGGATGAGTTGTTGTTGTAACTTTGTCATGCAATATTTGTATTATATCTTCTCCTTCCGATGATCTGATGCATCAGATGCATGCCAAATTCTTCATGCAGCGAAACACTAGTAAACTTGTTCAGTACTAATACCAGTGCTCTTATTTCCTGCTCCAGGCCGTGGATTTTGTTTTTGAACGCATTGTCTATGATCCTGAACCCCAGCTGCAGCTGCTCCTCATGCTGCTCTGGGAGCCAGGTCATCTCCCCCTCTCGTGAGGCCATCTTGCACTACAGCACAAGCAGTCGTGCTTTACACTGTAACCTCTAAAATAATCTTCCCAAAACTCAACTTTTTTTACGTTCCTGAAAAGGTCGAAATTGCAAAGTTATTGGGCAGCTCTTGCTTCATGATCTCACTCTCAAAATATAAAAATCTGGTACGTACTATGCTACTTAGTCTTAAATCAGACAGGAAACTACAAAATGGCCTCATCTTGGGCCGCAAACACGACCTCTGACAACTCTGCAGTGGCTCTAGTATAGAAGTGGTCTCTACATTTTTTCTAGAAAATAAGTATTTTGCTCCACGTCACTAACTCGAGAAGACCTCCGCGCGCCACTGTGAAAGAAATGGATATGCAGGAGTACCATGCTGTGAATTATTGTTCTCAAGTCTACTGTCTACACGATGGAGTGTTGCTGTAGCAAGCCGTGCTTATCTTCAAAACATAAAAACTCGTCCAGTTGTGACAAAGAAAAGAGAGCTTTCTGCTCTGTCCTGCTTTCTCAACTCAGTAGACTAGTCGTGTCATGGACATCAACGACGAGACGGCGCAGTGCCAGTGGAGAGCATTGGCATATTATCGCTCGGCGCGCTGCAACATAAGATTTCACTTCTATCGCAAGCCAGTCGAAGATCATGATGAATCTTTTGCGCCGCTGCAAAAACCACAGAACAGCATCGGGTCTGCTCTTCTTTATTTGGGTGCGCACACAACAGTAGATGAACAAGTCTGTATTAGTTGACAAAAGTTCATATCAATATAGTGCCAAGCTCGAGAAGTTGTGCTGGTTTTCAAGTTCATTCGGTCAAAAAAATCAAGGAGATTATGCAATTTTTTTTGCAACAGTCAGAAGCTGAAGCCTGCAGTGAGAGGACAATTTTCGTACAATAACCTTGTTCCAACGAGGACAACATCTAGCCAAACTCTCTGGACAATCAAGCTCCGCTGCAACAATTTTGTACCAAATAACAAGCTCTCGGAGGTCCCTATTTCATGGCCGCTGCTGTAGTTGTGCAGCCTAATTTTTCTTCTACACGTACCTAGTTTTCGTTCTAGTTCTTCCAGGGAGAAGCAGGATAGAACGACTTCTTGTTCTAGCTTCTGTTTACAACTTCATCAAGGTACTTAGTTGGTTGCCATGAGTTGTCTCAGGTTCTTGTTGTAACGCGTTCTTTTCCTGCCACTGCGATCGTAGGAAAAGTAAACAACGGTCTGTGCCGCTTCTGCGAAATGTGATAAGAAACGCGAGCAACCTTAATATTCTTCGTGCCTGTGTTGCTGTTATTCCAATTCCAATTTTGTCAATTTCGAAAATTATTTCTCCTGGTGTGAAGTTTGTCAGAGTGAACGAAAACAAGTGGTGACAGACTCAACCAAGTGAAAAAAACAAAGCAAAAAATCCATAACCCTTCAGATGAACCCTTCAAGATAACAAGAACGCACCGGCATCTTCATCCCCTGCAATTTGTGCGAAGAAGGGCCTGAAAAAGAAACAAAACTGTAAAGAATAAGAAATAAATTCATAAGTATATTAGCACTGAGCAAAAATAACAGTTCGAGCGAAAGGTAGATAGCGAACAGAGTACTGCTGGAGCTACAAGCTGTCCATTGTACGAATTAAAAACCTGAAATCAAGACGCACGCCTCCTTTTGACTTCTACCACCACTATCCGGACGCAGCAGAGCAGAAGAGAAGTATAAACAGAAACGAACCGACAGAAAACTCTGCGCTTGACGTGTCAACAGCCGGTATTCAAGCAGGCCTGTGTGCTTTATTTCCCGGCTATGAAGATCATTTTTCTTGGTGGATAGAAGCATAAACCCGTCGTGGTACTGAGAGATTCGAAAAAATCATCGTAGAAGGAAACTGACTCACAAGTTCGCTTGCTCGCGTAGCGGCAGCAGGGCGGTGCAGTAGAGCTTCTGTTTGTCTTTCGATAGTAGTAGTACCATAAATCTGGGGGCCGCGGTTGAGAAATGAAACTATTTCTCAGTAGTAGAATCTACTACAACTGAGAGGTGGACGTCGCTGAAGACAATACAACTAAGTATTTGCTTCATATCTGTCGCCTTACATACAAATCGAGTACTCCTTTTTTTGTAAACTGGTCATAAACTGTCGCTTTGTTGCTGGTTAGAAGATTGAATAAAGCTGATGTCTTGAATGACGCATTTGGCAGCGGCCGGATTGTCCCCGTAAATAGTAGTAGAAATACGGCGTTTATTATTACCTTTCTTCTCATCAATTTTTCAGCTTGTGAAAAATCCGTTTCTATCAATGATCTTCAACGTGCCTAGAATCTACTTTGGGAAAAGTAGTACTGCCACTTCTATCTCGTGCTCTATCTGGTAATTATGCTGCGGGGAAAGATAATTCCTCTTCTGAACCCGACACAGCTTTTGCCCTAGGAAGAACCAGGCTAAGAGGACATCAAAGCTGCACATCTGACAAGATTGGCTAATCCGGCCCCGTGAGACGGAGTTTTTAAGTAGTGTCAGATGTTAGCCATGTTGCCTCACAACCTTGGTAAGATAGTTTCGAGCGCGTGCGGCCTGTGGTCGTCACGTCGTAGAAGCAGCGAGTTGTGCTACAGTTCATCTAGAACGACCTCCAAACTCATTATTTACGACAGCTACAGTTCTTCATCGCCTTCGAAACTACTTAGGTATTTTCTGTACTGAGGGTGTTAAACTCAGTAGTACAACTTGTTTTGTCGCTTGGGTTCTTTTCCAAAATAAGCTACCTTGTGTTTTTCCTCAGTAGTACAACTTGTTTTGTCGCTTGGGTTCTTTTCCAAAAGCTACCTCGCGTCTAATTCAAGACGAGAAGCCACTTTGTGCTGCTGTTCTATGGTCATTGATACTCTTCGCCACTTTTATCGTCAAGAACCATAGAGCAGCTGCGTCTTGGAAATCGAATAAATTCACTTGCATTACAGCGAAAATCATCGTAGTTACTTCGAAATCTTACACAAATAACAGGGTCGTAAAGCAGCACCGCTTCACACCTGTTGGGAGTAGTTTGCGAGTGGAAATTGTGCAATAGCGAAGCGCTTCTTTGCGTCCTATCTTCCCCATCGTACAGCATGAAATAAAGCAGGCGACTCCAGCACTTTCTTGGATGCTACTAGGTACGATCATATTTTCTTATCGCCATACAGCACAGTTGCATTGACATAATTGAAATGCGCTACTTCACAACCTAGATCCAAAATCTGCTGCGAGACGAGTGCCCTTCTTTTTTGAGCGGTTAGAAAAAAAGTTCAATAAAGCAGGGAATGAAGAAAATTATTCAAGGTCACACGAAGTCATCTGCAATCGACAGAAGTGCAGAGCGACGTCGCGCAAAAGTGCTTTGCGAGGCTGTCCTTGCGAACGAGAATCTGCAGGCACGGTTGAGGTAGATCTTCTAGATGCTGATGATGATTAGATCGAGCGGGGCTCGGCGCAACTCCCTCCTCCGACGCGCGGCAGGAATAGCCTGCCCTGATACCCTAGTGGTAACGTCGTGCTGATGCTAAAAAGTCTAGGAAATGATACCAGCAAAATCATAGGTAGATGAGGAAACTACTTTTATTCACGACACCGGTGCTTTGATTGATTTGCTCGAGTTGATGGGGTCTCTATTATCAACACCATCAGCAGTCGTGTCATTCCATTTATATCAACAGTGTAAAATGATTTCGGGATCAACAACAGTTCCTGGGGGTCGTGGTTAAGTACTTACAACAACTTTTAGACTTCAGATTTCTACTAGGGGTACTAGTTCGTTGCAAGAGCAAAATTTCCTACGACGTGGTTACACGCAAATTTAAGTTGTGAGCAAAAATGCAGTATCGCGGCGTGTGATGTCGTGTAGTTGAAACATTCGAGATATGATCATGATGAATCGTTGATCAGCGCACGGCAAATGAATCTTCATTTTCTTCACGAATGATATATAAATCGAAGATCTACTCAAACCATCTCCTGCCGGACGTCCTGCATCTTGATCGCATTCCTGTTCTCCCTCGCACCCGCAGCTCTAGTACTTCCCGTAGAATTATTATTTCCACCAAAAAATCCGCCAACCCACTGTGTCGCTGTTCCGAACCAGTTATTTTGTTGCTGGTTCATCTTCATATCCCCGTAAGAAGTTTGGTTACAACTAGTACCATTTGTAGCTCTACCGCCGTTGTAGTTCCACTTCCGATGGAAGTTCTGCCGCATTCGCCAGTACTGCTCCTTGACGTATTCACTGCCATTTTCCACCTGTAATTTCGCGTCGTCCACAACCTCGCTCCACATGGTCTCGCGTTTCGTGGATTTCGTCCAGATTTGCCGCGGCTCCTCCGGCCGGGTCTCTTCCGGGGGGAACAGTTGCGTCGTGTTTTCCGGATCCAGATTTTCCACATCCTCAAACGTCAGTGGCGGGATTTGCCGCGGGGATTTGCCTGCGGGATGAAAACTACCTTCGTTCAAATTTCCGGTCGTGTTCTTAGGGGTTGTGTTCATGATCGGAGACCTTTGCGGGTGCTGTTTACTGCTATCATGATCCACCACCGCGTGATCAGCATTATTTTCATTCCTCGGAAGTTGCAGATTCGGAGTCGCTCTGACATGATGGTGTTGTTCCGATGAAAGAGACCGTTGCCTCAAGGTATTTATTTCGTCCTCGTTATGTTGACCGGCTGTTTCACCACCTCCGAAAAACGCGTTACTCTTTTCATTTTCCTCGGCAATCTCCGTCATGCGCAAAAAATTGCTGTCACGTGGTCCTCCTGTCCTTTCCTTCATCGTCGTCGTTGAACTTGCAACAGACGGTCTGCTATCAACTGCAAAAATGTCTGGGTCTGGAAGAATGCCAGACTTGTCATGCAGGTTTTCCATGGCCCACGAGGTCTGGCATGTAGGACATAGCATGACAGATTCTGTGAGAGTTCGATCATGCCTATCCTGCATGACAAACTGCCTCTCGATTAGGTCAAAAGTAGACAGCTTTTGGTACTCACGCAACACAGGTTTTTACATAATTCAGATTTAGCATGACAAGTTGCTTTGTTCCAGACCAAGACATTTTTGCATTTGATATCTGCTGGACAACACCTCGTGATCTTCGCCATGATCATTTTCATCTCGTCCCATGAAGAAAACCCCTTGATGTTCTACTTCTCCCTCCCCGTCGATACTATTTCGGCCACATTTCGGACTTCGGACCAACCCTAGCAACGCCCTTTTCTCGTATTGCCGCTTTTCCTCTTCGGTCATCTGTAAAAACTCCTGTTTCGTGGGAGGGAGGATACGTGGCGTCCGGAGGTCTTCCCTCCGCACGCGTTTCTGCCAATCCTCCGCAGCCGCGATGGTCTTGCGACGCGAGGGATTACTATTTTCTTTCGGACTCGTCGAAGTAGACACTGTGGGGTATCCTATGTAAAAACGTCCCCACCCCCAGAGTTGTCATGCAAATCTGCATGCTGAAAATGTTTCTCATGCGGAGCCCCATAAGAAGTATTTTCTAGTTGTGTTTTGAAGTTTGTCATGCTCCAATCAGCATGATATACTAGATCTGTCATGCTGCTAAACTACCTCAAACACCACTACACTACGCGGGCAAATTTCTCATGCAAAACGACCAAAGCTGGCTGATTTGTCTTGCAGATATCCCAACTTGACTATGGGGTGTGAGCCCCGTTTTTACTCAGGATATGGCGGCTTCTGAACTCAGGATTTTTTCCTCTGCATTGGTTTCGTCGTCGCCGCTGGAGGAGCTGCTCTGCTGGTCGATGTTCTTGACGCGATTTTTCCTTCTGTTCGTCGTGCCATCTTGATTCATTCGTGTTGGACTGCTAGAAGTCGTAGGTGTATTATCTCCCACCGGTGCGGAAAATTGTCGGAGCGGCGGGATCGTGCGCCTGTTCAACTCATTTCTCATCTTTTTCGCATACAGATTTCGACGGCGTCCATTCGGAGTTCTGGCAGTTTCATCATCCTCACAAGCCGAGTCTTCCATCCCGGCATCTACTTGCGGATCTTCGCGGACCACAATAACTTCCCCATCGTCGTTGAAACCAGGCAGAGCGGCGGCTGTTTTACTACTTCCGTTATTTCGGTTGTATCCCGTGTAAAAACGTCCCCACCCCATAGTTGTCATGCAATTCAGCATGCCAAAAAAGTTTCTCACGCGGAGCCCTATGAGAAGCATTCTCTATTCGTGTTTTGGAATTTGTGATGCAAGAATCAGGATGCTGCGCTGGATCTGTGATGCTTCTGAACTAGCTTGACAGGATTACACTACGAGGACAAACTTGTCATGCAAAACAACCAAGGCTGGTTAATTTGTCTAGCAGATTTGCCATCTTGACTCTGGTGTGGGGACGTTTTTAATCAGGATAGGTTGTGATTGTTGTTCAGATTCACCGCCGATCTCCGGCCGCCGGTTGAGACTGGAAGATCTTTCCGCGAAGATGTGTTGTCATAGTTGTTCCTCACACTTTCTTCTTGTTCTATCATCCTGTTTTTTCCGTTCACATTCACCCCGGCGAGGGTTGTAGCTCCTGCTCCTGCTGCTGCTCTACTCGGAACTTCCTGTATCCAAAGTAAAAACGTCCCGAAATCATAGTTGTCGTGCAGGTTTGCAACTAGTACAGGAGCATGTGTAATGCGCATGATCCCCATGAGAGCCATTTGCTCCAGTCGTGTTTTGGAACTTGTAATGCTGTAAACAGGATAGATAAATGGCTTTGTTATGCAACTTCCCTTGCTAAACTCCACTACACTACAGCCTACAACTTATCATGCGTAACTCCCGAAGCTTCTGGATTTGTGTTGCAAAGTTCCCATCTTGACTATGGGGTGTGGGCCCCGTTTCTACTTAGGATATCCTGCAAAATCTCCGGGTATTCCCGCTGCAGTTCCGGCGAATCCTCGTGGTGCATGTCGTGCAACACACGCAATTCCTTCAGCCTTTGCTGGACCAAGGGGCAGTCTTCCCGAACCGGGAAGTGTAGTCCGTCCCCCAGGCCACCGTCGATGGGCAGCAGCCAGAGGAAGGGATTGTTGCCCATCACAGTCTTCAAGTTGTGGTACAAATTGATGTCGTACATCGAACGCGCCTCGTACGTCGCAGGTTTTGCTTGATGTTGCTTAGTGGTTGCACTTGAACTAGATCCTGCAGCTCCTGTTGCGGTCGTCCCCACTCCGCCAACGAGTCCCAGCTGCTGCTTCACGGAATACGGTAACAAAAAACAAACATTGCCCGCGACCGTTAGAAAAGAGGAAGACAGGGAGGACAGGGCGGAATTGCTATTAGCAGGCTCTTGTTTTGATGATGTCATTTGTTCTTCCGCTAGCAGTGCTTTGTTCTTTTCGTTCTGGTGCGCAGTGTCCTGCAAAGTTGTGGCGGAATTATTGTCACCACCAGCATGATTCGTGGTGCTATCTTCCACGGTGTGCTGCTTCTTTTCGCAGAACTCTATGCAATGTAAATTCCCCGTACATGTACAAAATGCATGACAAATTTTGCTAACTTGCAGTGTACAACTTGTCATGCTAGACTAGGATTGAAGGCAAACTTTGTCATGCAGAGACAGCATTTGTACGTGTACAAGAAATTTACTGTGGATAAACTCGATGGTCGTTAAATTATTCGATAGCAACCAACAATGAAAGCCGAAAAACGGGGTCAGGATGCAGGACAGAACGACGCCGAGGCCTTCTGATTCGATTATGAGAGCGCACAACTCCCCCTCCCCCTGATTTGTATTGCATGAACAGCAATACAAACACCAGCACACGTGGAGCCTGGGCATGACAAAACCATACGCCTAGTGTAGTACTGTTTGGGCTCCTTCCGGAATGTGTCATGCATAATAGTGATACAAGGATGCAACTGGATTTGGCATTTTGCATGAGAAATGAGAACGAGGGGGAGTTGTGCACTGTCATATCGATGATCATCAAGTGATATCCTGAGTAAAAACGTACCCACACCAGACTCAGGATGGGGATTTTGCAACACAAACCTAGGAGCTTTCTGAGTCACGCATGACAAGTTGCAGGCTGTATTGTAGTGCAGTTTAGCAAGGGAAGCCGCATAACAAATCCACCTCCTCATCCTGTCCACAGCATCACAAATTCCAAAACACGATTGGAAATGGCTCTCATGGGGATGCGCATTACAAGTCTTCCTGTCTTTGCAAATCTGCATTACAACTCTGGTGTGGGGGCGTTTTTACTCAGGATAAGTGATAACCTGCGTTCATCGCGATCTGCTTGTGCGTATCAAATGCAAATAATGTCTGGATGTCTGGGAGATTGCGAGATTTGTCATGCTAGTCTGGCATGACCCTGAACTCTGTGTTGCATGGCCGCGAAGAGCTCCTCCTCCCTGTCGTGCAAAAACGCAGTTTCTCATGCGGAGTACGCAACTTAGAATACTATGAAAAAAACTTGTCATGCTTGGCAGCGTATTATAGTGAGTTCACTATTTTTCCCTTTCTTGCATCACAAGTTCTTTCCAGACCCAGACATATTTGCAATGCATAGTGCGCCATCAGTTTGAAGAGGCCGTAGGTGACCATGTTGGAAGCAATGGAGGTGTAGAGGAGGAAGAGAATAAAGTACTTGTGGTTGAAGTACCCAACGCAGTTGGACAGCCTGGAGTTGGTGATTTTTATCCTTGCTGTCATTCGAACAACTATCACTGTTTTGGTACTTTCCGCATGACAAACAAGACCCACGCGTGGGGACAGGGTCCCCACGCTGGGGCCTTGTGCCCGTCCCTAGTGGCGCTAGTGGGGGAAGGGTGTTCGCCATCGGGGCGGACAGCGTCCGCCCCTCGCCTCACACCAGGCGCGCGCATAGTGGCTTAGTGCGCGAAGCGCTATTGGCAAAAGGATGAGCTTTTAGGTGCCCTGCATTTTGCAAGACAAAGAAGAAAAGAAGTTCTCTAATATTGGTGCGCAACTCATTCGCGATCCCGGAGGCGAAGTAAGCAGCCGTCTCCTGGGCGTGCATTGCAGAGATAAGCACTTTGTTATTTTCGCATGGCGACACAGAGACTTCTTTGTGTGTGGGGGCAGTTTGTGTTTTTGCGCTTTTATCTTTGTCATTTTCTGCGTCGCAGTTTTTTTTTTTTTGGCGCTTTTATCTTTTTCGTTTTCTGTGTCGCAAATATTTGCTTTGCACGTCAAGAACGACACGGGCGTAGGCGATGGATAGCCTCGCCTGTGATTTATCCTGTGGTTGAAGTACCCAACGCAGTTGGACAGCCTGGAGTTGATTTTTTTTTTCGTAAAAGTGTGGATTCACGACTTAGCATGAGAAATCATCGTTCCCATGCAACTGTCCGCATGAGGAAAAACAAAAAAAAACTCTACAAACAAAAAAGCAAAATTATGGGATGGACTCGGCCATTCACTACTATCACCATTCAAAAAACTTGGCTCTGAAGCAAAATAGGGCAGCTATCCATGCAGTTTTGGACGTCTGGGTCGTCGTGTTGTCGGCGACATCGCCGGGAGGTGAGCTTGGTTTATTATCGATGATGAAATGCCCAGCTTTAAATGAAGATCCCAATTTGAGCTAGCTAGTTTTCCCTTTAAAAGACATCGAAATAAAGGACAGTAGCATGGACTGCTGGGGCCCCGTGGCAATTTGTGGGACAAAGCGGCGGCAGAATACCTGGAAAATGGTGGAAAAGGGAGGAATTCTGGGAATGCTCGCGAAAAGTATTGCGCTTTTCTTAATCCGCATGGTATGGCAGATTTTTAGTGGAAATTCAGCATACCATCGTGATTGCGTATCCGGGTACCTCATTGGATGAGGTCTATTGATGAGGTATAAAATTCACCTCTCCGCGAACTGTTTCCGTGTTCCGGATGAGGTATAAAATACCCTCATCCGGGACCTTAAAAATACCTCATTTGAATGGTGATGATCAGATTTCGCTACTTCTCGATGCTATGGTGGACAAAAATGAGTCAAAAACCAAAAATAGTCGGATACTCCTCTTCAAGAAAGTGCCGACGCACGACGGTGCCGCGACCTCTATACCAGCAAATCCCTCACGGGGCCCCAACGGCAGTGCGTGGCGGTGATAAGCGGATCCAATTGGCGGACGAACTCCTGCACTCCTAAGCATCTCAATTATAATACCTGATAAATTGCATTGCGTTTCACCCTCATTATCTAGCTCAAATTGGGATCTTCATTTAAAGCTAGCTATTTAACCTGCATAAGTAACGGCTTCCACAAGGGTGACGGTGGAGGATCAAGCTCAGGTCGCGGAATCCGGATCGAATGCGCCGCAAAACAAACCTAATCTTTATTAGAACCAAGTTTTTTGAATGGTGATAGTAGTGAATGGTCGAGTCCATCCCATAAAAATATTCTTTAATTATACCATTGATTTATTCTTTAATTATACCATTAATAAAATTACTCTTTAATTATTCTTAGTATTTGTGGTTGAAGTACCCAACGCAGTTGGACAGCCTGGCGTTGATTTTTTTTTTCGTAAAAGTGTGGATAATTATTCACGACTTAGCATGAGAAATCATCCCTCCCAAACCCATGCAACTGTCCGCATGAAAAAAAACCACAAAAGGAAAACTCTACAAACAAAAAAGCAAAATATTCTTTATACCATGGGCAATAATGGTCCATCCTGAGCACGTTCCGTCCCATGGCCGAGCAGAAATGCGTCCTGTCCGGTTTGTATTTCATCTCCTTTTGGCAAAACCGGTACTCGTTGTGCTTCCGCTTCTTCTCCATCAATTCGATGCCCTGCGGCAGGTCGTCCCAGCTCCCGTCATCGGGAATTCTGCCCGGGTCGGTGACCAGCCCCTTGTAGTACGCCCACAACGCGGTTCCGAGACAGAAGTGGAAAAACCGGGATTGGAAGTAGTAATTCCAGGACTGCTTGTACACCGTCTTGGTCACGCCGGAGGAGAGAATCATGGTGGTCTGCTTCACCTGGGTCAACAGCGCCAGTTTGGGCAGGTAAACAAAGGCGTAGGACACGTAGAGCATTCCGATCATGGTAGAAACCATGAACACCGGTAACGTCGCTTGCAACGGGCGGTTTTTGAAGGTCTGAATCAGGTCGCAATTCTCCACCATGGAGAGCAAATGGGTCGTCGATCGCTCCTTGACACAGGATTGCTCCTTGTACGGGGTTCTAGCAGAGGGCCCGAGGATGTTGTCGTACAGCCTTTCGCAGTATGCAATGCAAAAATGTCGCTGTCCGGAAGAAACCTCTCATGCTATCATGTGGAAGCCGAAGCAGCGCTGTTGCGCAACATGCATCACAGATTGTTCAAGTGTAGTCCCATAATGTCAGCCCCAGCTATAGCCCAGCAAATTGCAAGAAGTTTGGCACTCGTCTTCCAGACCCAGATGACATATTTGCAACGCATACACAGCCCTGAATCACGTTTGTGATCTTTTCATACCCAGAGACGACGGAATCAATCAGCACGTCGCAGCAGTCGTCGCATTTGGACAGCAACACGTCGACGGAAAACATCTCGCGGGAGGACTGAATCAAGCTGTTCATCTTTTTCCCGGTTCTCTGCTGGGTGTTGGAGATCTGCAGTTTCGCCGTTTCGATTTTTTCCAACTGTTTTTTCCGCTGCAGTCGCTCGTGGTAGGACTGAAAGTATCGATTGCAAATATCCCTGGATGTCTGGAAGCTTGATGCCGGGTTTGTCATTGTCATGCATATTTTCCATGACCCAGGATGCCTGATGTAATGCCTAACCTAGCATTGCAGATTTTTCGGGGGCTTGTTGATGCCTATTCCGCATGAGAAATGCCCTCTCCGCGTAGCACAAACTGGGATCCTCATCTTCCTGGTCATGCAATACAGGTTTTTTTACAATCCAAAAACAGCATCACAAGCTGTAACTTTCCAGACCTAGACATACTTGCAATGCATAGAAAGTTCGCGTCGTCCGTCAGTTCCTGCACCAGGTGGATCTGCACCCCGGATTATCCTAAACAAAAACGTCCCCACCGCCACAGAGTTGTCATGCAAAGCTGCATGCGTGGAGTGTTTCTTATGCGGAGTCCTGCCATGAGAAGCATTTTCTGGCGCAGTTTGGAAATTTGTGATGCTCGAATCAGCATGAGATGCTAGATCTGTAATGCTACTGCGCTAGCGAATAAACGCGACTACATTATGAATCCAAACTTGTCATGCTCAACAACCACAGCTTGTTGATTTGTGTAGCAGGTTTCCCATCCTGAATCTGGGGTGGAGACGTTTTTACATGGGATACGGATTTGATTTGCTCGAATTGTTGGTTCAACTGCTCCCCGCGGTCAAAATTGATGGGACCGGTGCAGGATTTTTTCTTAGTGCTGGAAGCCGTGGAGCTATTTCTGTTGGCGGAGGAGGAGGTCCTTTTTGCGCCGCGAGTTGTACTAGACGTTGTAGGTGGCCCCCTACTGCTGCTGCTGCTGCTGCTAGATGTCGTTGAACTAGGTTTAATATTCGCTTGCTGCAGCTTGACACCCCCGTAGTGATTGTCCTGAATGGAGGAGGTTGTTGCACCACTAGGCTGATTATCAAATGTAAAAATGTCTGGGTCTCGAAGAGTCAAAGTCATGCTGTTTTTGCATGACACAGAAGGTTCGGCATGGAAGCTCTAGCATCACAGGTTTCGAGAAGCTTCCGCAATGCCGAATCCGCATGACAAGTCCCCTATTTTGCTGACAGAAAGTGGGCACCTTTTGCTATGTATGCATGAGAGACTTTTCTGTGTTCTGAAATACGCATTACAAGTTGCATTCTTCCAGACCCAGACATTTTTGCATTTGATACTGATTCGTCTGCAGCTCACTTGTGCTGGACTGGAGAAAGACGGGCCGTGTGGATATTGTGAGGAAAAATCCCCCCTCCCCATACCAAAAAGGGGCACTACTGAAAATTTGTGATGCTGATTTGTGACTACAGATCGTCTCGGTATTGCAAGAGGGCAAACCCAGGGAATCAGCGGCGTTTTGCAGGCACTTTGTAATGCTGTATCGCCTACAGAGGATATGCCTGCCTTGCTAGGCGCCTACAGCAAAACGCCCCTACTCAGGCACTGCATCTGCCTGCAGTCCTCTACTGCTAGACAGATTGGATTTGTGTACACAAATCCCGCATCACAGATTTCCGTTTTGATATGGGGAGTGGGGATTTTTCTTTTTGATAGTGGAGGTACTATCATTTGTCGTGCTGGCAGTGCGCTGCAAAGCTGTACCTGCCCGTCCCGCTGCTCCAAGACTACTGCTTTTATTTTCGGTGAACTGCACTTTCTTGTTGTTTCCTGCTGTTGGTAATTCTGCTGCCGTCATGGTCGAGTTAGTTGTTCCGACTAATAAATCGGGCTGTTGTAATATTCCTGGCGGACTTGTTGATTTATTTCCGACCGGGCCAGGAGCAACTACATCCTATCCAATGCAAATATGTCTGGGTCTGGAAGATTGCCAGGTTTGTAATGCACATGTTGCATGACCACCCGTGACGCCTGTGATGCATGACTTAGCGTCCCAGATTTTTGAAGGGCTTCCTGATGCCAATTCCGCATGAGAAATGCCCTCTCCAGGTAGCACAGACTGGACTCTTCTTGATTGTTGCTGGTCATGCAACACAGATTTTTTTGGAATCCAGAGACAGCATGACCAATAATAGCCGCGTCCGCGGGGGTAGTGAGGTCATGGCGTTTTTTTTGTCTTCACGCCAAAAAATGACACGACTTCTCTGCCAGCCATGCCATCGCGAGTAATTACGACGGGAATGTGTCGGCCCAGACGGCACGGCGGTCGGCGGTCGCGAAAAATGTCGGCCCAGAACAGGCCGCCACTTGGTTTCGAATCGAAAAAGCTTCCCCGCATGCTATGGCCCCGCAAGGGCCCCCGCAAGGGTCGGCCCCTTGGGAGCCCCAAATCGGGCCCATAGCATGCGGATTGGCTTTTTCCTTTCGGCGGACTTTGGTTTTTTGTGTTTTTTTTGTTGAAAAGTCGCATCTTCTGGCCTTCAGTCCGCCTCTGAAATGGCAGATCTTGGCGGCGTCTTTTGCGGGGCCCGAATGTGGACCAAAATGAGGCCCATACCATGCGGATTCGCTGTTTTTTTCGGACTGCTGCTTTTTGGGCGCCCCTTTTTGGGCGCCCGAAACCGCCAGAAACTAAGGCGGTGACCGTCTCAGAAGGGCGCCCCTTTTGCCGGCTCCCCTGCGTCGCTTTATCCAGTGCGAATCGATAGTTTTCGACCGGGCTTGTTTGACAACAAAGCCCCGGCCGCTTGATAAATGGAAATCTTTTATGCTCAAAAACACCTCCGGCCACTTAAAAACTGCCGGTCGTTTTGCATAAGAGGTGGCAAAAAAACCGCTAGGGTAGAACGTTCGTGACCTCACTACATACAAGTTGCATCCTTCCAGACCCAGACCACATATTTGCAATGCATACATCCTGCTCTGCGTCCGTCAACATCTGCGTTTCCCGTCCACCGTACTCCGTCGCGCGCGAGGAAGATCGGCAGTTATGGGAGTGTCAGGATTGAAATCGTCAAAGTTGAAACAGTTTGTCATGCATAAAATGCAGCCCACAAAGTGCCTGTCTTGCAGAGTAGGCAAGTGAGGCAGATTGCAAGCCTGTTAAGGGGTAGAAACTGAGCTGCTAAAGTAGCATGACAGATGGCGTCTGCCTTACCCAAACAGCACGACAGACTGGATTTCGGTTCTGCCCAAATTTGCGATGCGCCACTTGGAAAGAACTGGGTTAATACAACTTTCATCCATTTTATGCATTACAAGTTATTTCAACTTTGTCGATTCTAATCCTGACACATCCCTAGTAGTCCTCGTAGGCCGCGTAGTAGTTATTGTTCTGTTGGCCGCCGCCTCCAGGCCGAAGATGATCATTTTTCTCGTAGTTGTTCAACATTTCTGTTCCCCCCGCTAGTAAAGATTCCCTCCCGGAGCTGCAGATCGCCGGCGCACTGCTATCCCCGTCGTGAAACCCCGACCCGGGGGTTTATTACGATGAAAAACGCCCCCACCCCGGAATTTGCAGAAGTTTGCCATGCAAAGTTTCCAAATGAAAGCTTTTTGTCTTGCATAAAAGGATTGCGAGCGTTTCTGATGCAGAATCTGGATGCGCAAGGTGCCTTGTGCATAACAGATCCGGCTGCTGTTGGGCAGCTTCGCAACACAAATTTGACCTATTCAGCATGGAAAATTTGTGATGCTGAGATATGCAAGACGGGGAATGTTTCTGTTGGAAACGTTTGCAATACAAATGCTGCCAAGCTGGGGGTGGGGCCATTTTTCATTGCAATAGGGTTGGAACGTTGTTCAGATCGGAATCTCCGCTGCTGCTGCTGTCACGTCTCGCTTATCCTATGCAAAAACGCCCCCACCCGCCCATAGCTGTCATGCAAATCTGCATGCTCAAAACGTTTTTCTCATGCGGAGCCCCGTGACGCGCATTGTCCAGTCGTGTTTTGAAATTTGTAATGCTCCAATCAGCATCATGGGCTAGATCTGGGACGCTGCTGAGCAAGCTAAACAGGACGACACTACGAGGCCACACTTGTCATGCGTAACAACCAAAGCTGGCGGATTTGTCTAGCAGACTTCCCATCTTGACTATGGGGCGTGGGCCCCGTTTTTGCTCAGGATATCGCTTGAAAATTGCACATCGCTTCCGGGATCGTCAATTGGCTGAAGGTTTTGCTCTCTGCGGTTATTTTCGTATTTTTGTCCACCTCGTTGTGAAGTAGCGGACCATGATCTGTGTGAAAATTGAAATTTTGCTCCTTCATGCCGATATTATTCTTGTTCGGGGAAATCATCTTCATCATGTCGGTCGTCGTCGTCGCAGGAGCTGCAAGAAGCAGGAGCTTCTTGCCGTTTATATCTTGTCGTAGCGGGGAAGATGTTGTAGTGCTTGCAGCATTATTCCTTTTTCCTGCTCCGTGCATGTTGTAGTTGCGGCCCCCCTGGTCATCATCTGCCCGCGCGGACTCCTGCTCGTCCCCGACCCGACTGTATCGCAAAACCTCTTCGTCCCCAAGTCCGTTCCCCCCGCCGGTCGACGCCTGCAATTTTTCCGACGGGCTTCGCGCCTGATGCTTGTCATCTTCTGGAGACGAAGGCTGTTGGAGTAGTTCATCTCCTGCTGCTGTTCCATCTGCAGCTTCCGTGCTAGAGGAGAGGTATTCGTATTCTTGTTTTTGCACATAATTCTGATGATCCTCGTGCAAGATGTTGACCCCAGGACTCAATGTTGGTCCTCGTCCTCGCGTTGGTGTAATTATATCCACAGCGCTCGCACGTGCGGTAATTCCCTCGTCCGCGGCGGATTTCACGATTACCGCGTATCACGCAGAAAAAAGCAGGCAGGACAGGTCACCTTTGTAATGCAAAAATAAATTTATACACAAAAAATTATGTATTGCATATCCCATAAACAGGATGCTATGGGGCCGCCCATGACAGAATTTTCTGTGTATTTATTTTCGCATCACAAATACCAGCCATGCTCCGGCTAACGCCGGAGCGCAAGGCTGTTGCTGGGGCTGGGCAGGACTGTTTGCGGATCGGGCCACAATGCCACAGGTCTAATATGCACAATGAAACATCATACTTACTGGAGTCCTGCCGCCTGTTTGCGCGGCGCCAACCCGCAGGACCACTTGCGCGCTTCCCGCGCCTGTGGGCGCTCTGCGCAGGGAGCAGCTGCAAAGGACACCGGAGGCGAACAGAAGCGCGGGAGGGTGGCGCAAGAGGGTGGCGCGAGAGGGTGCGCGAGAGGGTGGCGCGAGGAGGTTCAGGCCCTCTGCATGAAAGGGCCGGAAAAGAATCAGCCTTGCGCCGGGCGGATTCGGGTTTTTCTACCCCTCTCGCAGACCCTCTTTTTCACCTCTTCGGAGAGGTGTTGCTAATAGTCCGGCTATACTCGCCGGTAGAGGTCTACAGAGGTGGCCGAGAGGTGGCCCAATGGGTCCGCGAGAGGTTCCCCCTTATTCGCGCAACCTCTCGGCACCTCTGCCCCCCTCTCGCTTACCCTCTCGGGACCCTCTCGGCCACCTCCGGGCCCCATAGGCGCGGCTTTAGGGCGAACGGTTCGGCTGGCTATACCCGCGCCACCTCTCGGCCATCCTCCCGAACGACCTCCCGCGCCACCTCTCCACCTCTGTCGACCTCTTTTTGACCTCTGTTGACCTCTTTTTGACCTCTCGGCCACCTCCCTTCGACCCTCTGTAGACCTCTTTTTTCGCATGAATATAATAGATAGTAATGCCGCGCCTGCTTTTTTCTCTGGGATACCGCGGAGCTCATACTCGGGAAGGCCCGGTAGTTGCTAGTACTGTTACGAAGATCATCTTCGGCCGCATCTAATTCTCTGGCGGTGATTTCGGAGAACCGTTTATCCTGAGTAAAAACGTACCCACACCAGAGTCAGGATGGGGATTTTGCAACACAAGCCTAGGAGTTTTGTGAGTCACGCATGACATAAACAGACTGTGCAGCTACGGGATGGCAAGTTTCAGTCCGTAAGGTAGTGCAAGTTAGCAAGGAAAGCAGCATCACAAATCGACCTTCTGATCCTGTTTACAGCATTACAAGTTCCCAAACACGATTGAAAATGCCTGTCATGGGGTTGCGCATCGCAAATGTTCCTGTCATGGCAAATCTGCATGACAACTCTGGGGTGGGTACGTTTTCACTCAGGATACCGTTGTCGGTGCAGCGACGCGTCCTCGCTGATATAATTATAACCTGTGCTGTTGTAGGCCTTCTTGTTGCCGTTCATCTCCATCTCCGGTCGCTGGAGCCAATTGAATTCTTCGCATCTAATATTGTGCCCTGTACTCGCACTGGGAAGTTGGTCTTCACCCGTCCGCTTTCCTGACTCTACCTCCTCCCCGGCGTCTGGCACGGCCACCTCCTCCGAAAAATCTTCTTTCCTTCCCGTCGCGGCCGCTTGTCCCGCCAACACTTGGTGGTGCGTCAACCCACGGCTGTCTCTGGGTACCGGGATCCCGCTGGGCCGCGGAAGATGGTCAAATTCCGGCCCGAGTAGCTTGTTGCTAATACTACTGCCTTGGGACGACGAGAGCGGCGGGCCGTGGGTGGATGGTGGGTCGTTGTACCTACAACTTGTAGTTCCACCAGGAACAGATGCTGCTGTTCTTGATGACCAATGATCTACTACTTCACGACCTGCATCTACTTCAAGTGGACCACGACCTCCTAGTACACGAGAACTACGATTTGCCTGCGTCTTCATTTCGTTTTCGTCGTGCTGTGTCGCCAGCACTCCCTCATCTCTACAACTCTCCCCGAATTGATGATGATGTTCCGGTGTGAACAAAGAGGATGTCGGGTTGTAGCTGGCTCTACTGCTCCCTTCGCCGTCGAGCTTGGCGGAGGGTCGTTCTGGTGCTTGGTACTGCTGCTGCACGTGAAACAGGTTTTGAGTTGTACTGTCGTTGTGCTTGTGCAGCTGCTGCTGCTGGTCAACATTTTCGTCAACACCAGCTGTGTGTTTCATCTTCATCTTCCCGATGGCTGAAACAGGAGAAGAAGCCATGTTGTTCTTGTCCGCGTTCTCCTCGTCCTCTCCACCCGTGCTGGGCCGCGGTCCCGCCGGCCTTCCAGAAGGCTTCTGCTCGAAATCGCTGCTCGAGGACTTTTCGATAGCCATTTTAACTTCGTAGATGGAGAGCAGACGGACCCCCGTATCAAGTATAAAAACTGTTTCTGTTTGTGTTTTCTGATATTAAAGATCTGCTTGTATGTTCAATATTTGTTAAGGCAACAAAGATTCACCACTTTCGATGATTTATCATATTTTCATCGACCACGTGTATTTTTAGTGCTCTAGTAGTACAACTTTTGCCCGCTTTTCGAGGATTGCAAACCGAGTTGTAATCTTCTTTCCTAGGCCGCTTTGAAGATGTCTTTGTGCTCTCTTTACTTTGATAGATAGCACATAATTTTTCGCTTCGCTACTACTCGTTGCCGTACTAGTTTAGTTTCCAGTCGGTATAAATTTTATTTTCTTTTTTTGTTTCTCGGTTTTTCTATGTAGGAAAGCGCGCCTTTGAAAAGCGACCAAAATAAAAGCGACTTCAGTCTCAGTCTGCTTTCAAGGGCGCTGCTCCAGTTGATAAGTTTTTAAGTATTTTTTGTGTTGGCTTTTATTGGAATTTATTGTTACTATGTTTTGTTTTCAGTACTACAAGCTCAGACTGTCGTTCGAAATCTCAAACTGCACATTGAGGCAAAACGCAGCTTAAGCCTCGTCGATGGTGTGCGTAGTACAAATTATGTCCTCACCTCTCGTCTACTAGTAAAGGTAAACTAAAACTTTTGCGTCGTTGTCGTAGAAAAATAAAAATATCGAAGGTAGAAATATCCTGTATCCGACCTGTGATGACAGCTACAACTTGAGTAGTTTGTTGCCGCGAAGTTATATTTCTTTGTCACTGAAAAAGTGCAGCTGATTATCCAAGAAAAAAACTGTGTTAGTGTAACTTTCTTTCGCTGACAGCATCACAAATTTGCTCTACATGATAGAGAAAACCTGTCATGCGTGCCTTATAAGGGAAAACACACATGAAAAGAGGACTTCATGGCTGTGTGGCATCACAGGTGTAACTCTGTTGCATGTTCTGCATTAGCATTACAGAGTTACACTTACACAGTTTTTTTCTTGCATACTGATGTAGTTCTTGGCACAACCACTGTTGAAGCTGCCAGACAGTACGAACTCGTTCGAAATATGAATAAAATCTGTGATGCTAGACGACGAAGCGGGAGCCGCTGCTGGTTCTTTACCAAATATAGCCGCCGGGGCGGGGGTAGTGAGGTCGTGGGCGTTTTTTTTCCGACAGCCGCCTTGGCCGCGGCTTTGCTTTTTCTGGGCTCGCCATACCGCCGTGAGTAACGTTATGCCGCACGGTATGGCGGTCACTTGAGAAACGTCGCGAATTTTGGCACATTTCCAAAATTCCTTTCCGAAAGCGAGCCCCCATGCTATGGGGCCGATCCGGGCGCCACGGGGGGCGCCCAAAAAGCGAAGAAAAATCGGGCCCGTAGCATGCGGGTTGGCTTTGCGCGTCTGGCGCGCTTTTTCTCTTTTGCGTTTTTATTTTTCACGCCGGCGCTTTTTGCAAAGCTCCCCAGGCTCTGAAACCGGCGAAAAGGCGGCCGCTTTCGCGGCCGCCCAAAATGCTTCGAAATCGCGGCCGCGCCATGCTGTTCCGCTGTTCTGATTTTGGGCGCGTTTTCTGCGCGCCTCTTTTTGGGCGCCCCAAATCGCCAGAAACTAAGGCGGTGGGCTCCTCAGAAGGGCGCCCCTTTTGCCGGCTCCCCTGCGTCGTTTATCAAGTGCGAATCGATAGTTTTCGACCGGGCTTGTTTGATATCAAAGCCCCGCCCGCTTGATAATTGAAAATTTTTTATGTCAAAAAACGCTTTCGGCCGCTTGAAAACTGCCGGTCGTTTTGCTGGCTGGGTGTCAAAAAAACTCCCCGGTTAGAACCGTTCGGTGACCTCACTACATACAACAGATTTATTTTTCCTTGTAACTCAACTGATACTGTACAGGTTACAAATCCCTAAATGTGGGAGCTGGAGGAGTTCCTCTTCAATGGAGAGCTACAAATAAAGCGCGATCACGGAGAACTGCAGTAGACATTGCAAATATATATGGCTTTGGGTTTGGCTCGTTTTCCTGCGGCGCCAAAATAAAACAGATTTTCGTTTTACTGTACAGTCACGCTCGTGATGAATTCCCTGCATACACTACCAGGAAAAGAGGCTTGCACCAAGAGGTGCAGAAAGGGTGGTAGCAAAAATACACAGAAAATAAACACCACGAGAATAGAAGTACCGCAAAAATTAGTAGTGCTGAAGCACTGTAGCTCAAAGTAAAGTGGTGTTCTTTTTCTTTACAAGCGACTAAAAAAATGATAAGCTCGTCTCTGCGCTGTTCTTGTCTGCATCAAGTTGCGCTCCTTTCTGTTTTGTCTAAAGTTTATGTTATGAAACTCTGGAAACTTAATCGTACCGCAATAAACGAAGCAATTTATGCCCCTTTCCGCCAGTTGTAGCGAGTGCTGCGCTAAAATCAAGCTCCGTAGAAGTAACAGTTCTGAATAAAATATTTTTCCCGCCCTCAATAAATTGTTAAGAGCGGAGATTCACGTGTTTGTCGCTGCTGCAACGACTGTCGAAGTACCAAAATCGCTTTTGGAACTGTAGTACACTAGTCCGGTTAGCAGGTCTTCTTGTAGCTGAAACAGGTGAGCGTATCGCTTCACATTAACCACTAGCACAATGGCGTCGCCTTTCTAGCAGTTCCGTACAGTCCTATTTTGTGAGTGTGAAAATCTTATATCTTGTTGTGGTCGTACCTTAAAATAGCGCACAGTCGTGCAGCGAGAATCTATGAATGCACGTTTATTAAAGAGCGAATATTAGACCTAGGTCTAGGATGATGAACAATAGTGAAAACAATAGTTCTTGTATCCAGTCGGGGTAATTACTGGCTGTGCTTCTCAAGTAGCGGGTAGAAGTTCTTCTTCTTTCTAATGAGCAAGAGGGTATAATCAACGACAAATGTTAATATCGATATACAGTGAAGAAGTAGAGGACGACGCGACAGCTATGTACTATAATTTTCTGAACTAGAACTACTGTTGAAAAGTATTGTAGATATGTTTAGTGTATCAGATCAATGAGATTTCGTATACCTACAGCCTTCTCTTTCGTTCTAGCGTTAAAGTGCGATCTAGTGCGAGAACCTCTCTAAAAACCAAAAACAGTGGTGTCTCTGTGGTTTTTTGGATGATGATTCACAAATTGTTCTGCTTTTATCGTCTTCTATGAGGTTGCATGATGAAAGACGGCGGGGGCAGCTTCTACTTCCTTATCAGCAAGCTGCTGCAGCATTGCAAGGTGTACTAGATCTCGTGCTGCTGCCATCCTGCCTCCAGCAAGGACAAGCACAGATAGTATGGATAGATCGTTTGTGCCACAAAGGTCGTGGTGGTAGAGGTCGGTGGACTTGTTGTATGGGGTAAAAGAAAAAGTTGTACAACACAGATACTAACCCACTCGCCGTCTTGACAGACGCGGCCAACTAACGCCGTAAAAAACTTAGACAGATAGACTTAGGTCGATTTTGAACGAGTCCGGGTATTAATTCCTATTTGCGACGCTTCTGCAACAAAAACGAGGTTTGGATCATCATCTTCTCGCGTAGGGCCAACTCTCGCTAAGTACAACTCTCGGTGACGCTTAAAAGCCGAACAAGACCAAATCCAAAAAACACCTTTGCGTCTCTCATGCACTTTGATTGCGAAGGGAATGAACAACATACGTGCAATTAACTAGATCTTTTTTCTGCGCGATCACGAATCCTGGTCGTGTCGCTGCCGTAGTAAAGGATACAGTTAGATCTTGATTGACATTGAAGCCCTATATCGTTATCTTCACAATACTTTCACTTCTATTCCTGCGTCACTTAGATAGCCTCGATAGATAAACTTGGTGTTAAATCTTGATCTTTTTCCTGCTTTCTAGCATCATACCACGACGCTGGTGCACTTTGGATTGGATTCTTCGGCCACTTCGCGATAATAGGAAATCATGATTTATATTTTCTGTGCGATAATGTAGCACTACTGCTGTAAAAATCATCATCTTCAAATAAAGCTGTACAGTATAGAGGATCTCAGTGTGAATTTCAATTTGCTTCAGACGCATAAGTTGTGCCCCCTGCTTTTCCTAACAAGATTTTTTGCAAACCCGTAGCGGAAAAGCTTCTCAACCCCTAGTGTAAGATTTTTTCAAGTTCAACGATCGGGGAATACCGTCGTCAAATTCAACTTAGGTGGAAAGATGCGTACGATGTAAAAACTCTCACTGCTCCCTGCAAACACTTCGAAAAAAAATCTCTACTTCAGGTAATCTTTGCGCTAGTAATATTTCAGCACATCCCCTGGTACTAGCATTTTTGAATCTATCAATCTTTGATGATAAAGTGTTCTCGTCTCCTTTACCTACTCTTGTTACCCGCCCCCCCAGAAGAACTTCCGGGGCTACTTCCGGGACTTGAATCATGTCCTCCACGACCTACAGCTCCCCCTTTTTCCTCGTCCTGCTTGCCTCTGAACCAGGGCAAGGCTAGGCACTGCGCCGCGGATCTCCTTAACGCCGCATCTTTCGTGAGCATGATCTGCATGACGTTTTGGCGTATGCAATTTTACAACAGACACAACATCGCTCTAGATCTAGTAATAGCAATAGCTGCATGACAAAAACTTCTTTCAAAACCACAATGCTGAGTCAAGAACAGCCTGGGAAAAAAACAATTTGCATTTTTGCGTGCGTTGCGATTTTCTTCAGTACGAGCTGTGCGATGATAGTTTTGCAAGTCTGATAAGGCACTGCTGATTCACCGTTTCGCCACTGCTATGAACTGCAAAAGTATCGTACTCGTATAAATGCATTACAAATTTTCTCAGCATGCGGATCTACTTTAAGAAAATAGAATTTGTAATGCGGATTTACTTTAAGAAAAAAACTTGTAATGCATGATTGCAATTACTACGAGTGCGATACTTTTGCACAGGATAACTGCTGGACTTCTCCCCGTAGTACGGCGAGGTTTCCGGAGAGACCTATGCACTGCGAATATGTCTGGGTTTGGAGGAAATTTGTCATGCTAAAACGTGCAGGATGAACACGCCTCCTTATGCAGGAAAGCATGACCACAAGTTTGCAGAACGCTTTCGCATGCGCACTCTGCATCAGAAACTACTGCGTTTTGGTATGACAAGAGAGGCTGCGACTTCTTTTGTTGGTCATGCAATACAGATTTGGATTTCAATTCACAGGAATTATGTAAGACCAGCATGACAAGTTCCAACCTTCCAGACCTAGGCATATTTGCAATGCGTAAAACCACGGTCGTCGCAAGTTTCAAACCGACCGTGCCGAGCTTATACGCCAAATCGCAGAAATGCTCCGGCTGGTTGGCCTGCGATGAGGAAGTAGACCTGGATAGATTTTTGTGAAGATCATGTGGAGAGTAGTTATCTGTCATGCAAGGCAAGCAAGAAACTACTACTTTGTCATGCAAAGAAAGCAAAAGCAAAGCAATGTGTACTTTTGGTATTGGTTCTTGAAGAATTCCGGGTGGGAGCTGGTATGGTAGGTATGGGGGTGTCAGGATCGAAATTGTCGAAGTTGAAATAAAAGTTTGTCATGCATAAAATGCAACTCAGCAATTGTCTCTATTGCAGATGAAGACGCAAGGGATGCAGATTGTAGTGCTGGTAAGGATCGAGAATTGGGTTGCTGATTTTTAGCATGACAGAGGGGAGCCCTTTAGCCCGAAACAGCATGACAGACTTGCTTTAGAGGCCAGGAAAGTTTGTCATGCGCAACTTGAAAACTGGGCGCCAACTGGTATCCGTTCTATGCATCACAGATTATTTCAACTTTGTGTCAATTTCGATTAGCTTGACAGTTCCATAGTATGGCAAGGTTCCATACACCATCTCGTACTGCATGATATCGAATACAAAAGTGTCTGGGTCTCGAAACTTGTGATGCTAAAACGTGCATGATGAAAACGCTTCCGAATGCAGTCCGGCATGACAACTTCCCAAAACGCTTTCTCATAGGCAATCCGCATGAGAGACTGCGTTTTTGCATGACAAAAGCGGCTGCGACTTTTGTTGGTTATGCAATACAGATTTTCTAGCTATGGAAAGCTAGCATTACAAGTTCCAACCTTCCAGACCCAGACATTTTTACACTTGATACATGACACCCACCGCCCAAATATCAGACTTGAACTGCTGGACTGTATGAAATGCAAAAGCATCGCACTCGTACCGACTTTCTTAAAGTAAATCAGCATTACAAATTTTCTTTCTCATGCTGAGGAAATTTGTAATGCATTTATACGAATACGATACTTTTGCACTGCATAGACTGAATCCGACCACGATTCCGGCGCGAGAAACGCCGCGGACCCGGCTAAATCCGTTATCCTGAGGAAAAACGTCCCCACCCCAGAGTTGTCATGCAGATTTGCAATGACAAGGACATTTGTGATGCGCATACCCATGGTAGACATTGCCAATCGTGTTCTGGAATTTGTGATGCTGTGAACAGGATAAGCAGATGGATCTGTGATGCGGCTGCACTTCTTGCTAACCTGCACTACACTACGGAGTGCAACTTGTCATGCGTGACTCCCAAAACTCCTAGGTTTGTGTTGCAAAATCTCCATCTTGACTATGGGCGGGTGGGGACGTTTTTACACAGGATATCCGTGCACACGGAGTTTCTGTGCTGCATCTGCAGCGTATAGAAGATGCACAACTCCCCCTCACCTCCCTCATTTGTATTGCATGAACAGCAATACAAGCGCCGCCAAGAATACAGGTTTCGCATGACAAATTTGGACAGGAGTGTACTGCTATAATTTGGGCTGCCAGAACTTGTCATGCAAACAGTGCCATCAAGAGCCAAGGCGTAAATTAGGTATTTTGCATGACAAATGAAGGGGAGGGAGAGTTTTGCACTCTCATACAGCGCCATGCCGAAATCCCCCAAAACAATGTCTGGGTGCAGTAATTGCTCGGCATTCTGGTCGTTTGGAAGATGATCGTCATTCTCCCTATCCTATCAACTGCAAAGATGTCTGGGTCTGAAAGAGTCCGACTGTTCTTTGTCATGCACCTTCTGGACCTGGAAATGGTCTGGAATGCTGCCGAAAGCATCACAAGTTTTGCGCATGCTTTCCAATGCCTGTCCCGCATGAGAAATTTGCTTTCTGCGTTGCACGAAACCGCCAACTCTTCGAGCTCATGCAACACAGATTTCTGTGCCCTCCAAAATTAGCATCACAAGTTCCAATCTTGTTTCCAGACCAAGACATATTTGCCATGCATATATCCGTAGCGGAAGCTGAGGGGCTGTTCAACTGCAACAAATTATCCTGAGGAAAAACGTCCCCACCCCAGAGTTGTCATGCAAATCTGCATGCCAAAAAAGTTTGTCATGAGAGGCATTTTCTAGTCGTGTTTGGAATTTGTGACGCTATAATAAGCATGACGCGCTAGATCTGTGATGCTGCTGAACTACCTAAACAGGATGACACTACGAGGAACAATTTGTCATGCCAAACGACCAAAGCTGGCTGATTTCTCTAGCAGATTTCCCATCTTGACTCTGGTGTGGGGACGTTTTTACAAATGATACAAATCCCTGCGCGACTGCTGCACGCCCACCTGCCTTTGCTGGTTCAGCGACTGCGCTCCCCGCACCGGGTATCACATAGAAAAAAGCAAGCAGGTCACAGTTGTACATGCAACCAAGAACAAATGCACAAAAAAATCTGTATTGCATATGCTCCTAAACAGCATGCTATGGGGCCGCGTCGCTCTGTGTATTTGTTTTCGCATTACAAATATGACCAGCCTGCCATTTTCTGTCGGTGGATACTGGAGGATTTTTGAACAGAACGTTTTCCGGCTTGATGTCGTATGACAGTGCAGCACAAGAACTCCCCCTCATTCTCCTTTGAAAGGGAGACATAGCATCACAGCCAGCGGCAGGAATGAGGTTTCCGCATGACAAATCTTCTCTTCATGCGCACGGATTGTAGTACTGTTTGAGGTTCTTCTCCAAATGAATTTCCCATGCAGACAGAGCTTGGAGGCTGATTGTGAATTTGCTTTTTTGCATTACAAATGAAGAGGGGCACGTCGAGGGGGGGTTGTGCACTACACTCATATGTCGCGATGGAGAACAAGGAGCTTGTATCCAAGAAAAAAACATGGTAGGTGTAACTTTTTTGGGGGAACAGCATTACAAATTTGTCTGGCATGACAGCAACAACCTGTCATGCGCAGAGAGTACGTGAAAACGCCCTGTAATGGACCCTGCAATGCATGCCAAGCATGACAGCGGCAATCATCTTGCATGTTGCGCATCACAAATTTACAGTAACAACGTTTTTTTCTTGGATAGTTTGTGCATGTGCTGCAGTGCCTGTAAGACCTGGAAAATCACGTGCTTGACCACCGACTCGACCGCCGGCGGGCCGAGAAATATGCATTGCAAATATGTCTGGGTCTGCATTTGTGATGCGAGGCGTGAAGGAGAACACGGATTTGTGATGCATAGAATACGATGGGCCAGTTTTTGTGTCATGCTGTGAAATAACTCAGTTTGTCATGCAAAACTACACTGTAGATCTCGCAATATTACCATCCGCAACTCTTGTGATCCGTGGATGCCGTACAGAAGATCGCGCTGTCATGCAAGACTCAGCAACACAAATTCCCTGCATCTTTTTCTTTATTCCAGACCCAGACATATTTGCATTTGATAAGAAAGTGGGAGTTGTTATTTCCCGTGGTTGTACTATTATTCCCGTTCGTATCAAATGTAAAAATGTCTGGGTCTGGGAGAGTCATGCTGTTTTTGCATGACACAGAAGGTCTGGCATGGAGGCTCTAGCATTACAGGTTCCGAGAAGCTTCCGCAATGCCGAATCCGCATGACAAATCGCCCACTTTGGTGGCAGAAAGCGGGCAGCTTTTGCTACCCATGCATGAATGATTTTTCTGTGTTCTGAAATGCGCATCACAAGTGTGTATTCTTCCAGAGCCAGACATTTTTGCATTTGATAGTTCGCATCCGTCGTCACCGGGGCGGGCGGTGGCATCATGGCCCCATACCTCGTCGTGAAATCGCCGTGATATCAAACGCAAATATCATGGCTGGGTCTGGAATTTGTGATGCTAACTCTCGATCATACCAAATATAGCCGCGGGGCGGGGGTAGTGAGGTCGTGGGCGTTTTTTTGCCGACCGCAGCCTTGGCCGCGGCTTTGCTTTTTATGGGTTCGCCATACCACCGTGAGTAACGTTATGCCGCACGGTATGGCGGCCACTTGGGAAACATCACAAATTTTGGCACATTTCCAAAATTCCTTTCCGAAAGCCAGCCCCGATGCTATGGGGCCGATCCGGGTGCCACGGGGGGCGCCCAAAAAGCGAAGAAAAACCGGGCCCATAGCATGCGGATTGGCTTTGCGCGTGTGGCGCGCTTTTTATTTTTCGCGTTTTTATTTTTCACGCCGGCGCTTTTTGCAAAGCTTCCCAGGCTCTAAAACCGGCGAAAAGGCGGCCGCTTTCGCGGCCGCCCAAAATGCTCCGAAATCGCGGCCGTGCCATGCTGTTTCGCTGTTCTGATTTTGGGCGCGTTTTTTGCGCGCCCCTTTTTGGGCGCCCCAAATCGCCAGAAACCAAGGCGGCGGGCGCCTCAGAAGGGCGCCCCTTTTGCCGGCTCCCCTGCGTCGTTTTATCAAGTGCGAGTCGATAGTTTTCGACCGGGCTTGTTTGTTGGCAAAGCCCCGACCGCTTGATAAGTGAAAACTTTTTGTGCTCAAAAACACTTCCGGCCGCTTGCAAACTGCCGGTCGTTTTGCTGTCTGGCTGGCAAAAAAACTCCCCGGTTAGAACCGTTCGGTGACCTCACTACATACAAAAAGCTGTCTTGCACGTTCAGCAAAAGGTCGTGCTCAGATTTTTGCCACCCGGAAGATAGGGCACTTCTCATGCGGGATAGGCATTAGATAAAGCCTTCGCGAGGGCTGTGATGCTAGAGAATGCATCACAGGCATCGTGGGTCATGTACAGTTTGCATGACAAACACGACGACCCAAATCTTCCTGACAGAGACTTGATCTTTGCATTGGATAGGTAACACCTTTCAACGACCACGTACATGAACTTTGTGTCTTCAAACGCCTCCACCAGGTAGAGAATGTTCTTGTGGCGGCAGAGCGCCAGCAATTTCAGCTCCTTCAAAACTGCCGCTTCGGAGACGGATTTGAGGGACTTCAGTTCCTTACTGGTTTCCTTCCGTTTTATCGTCAATTCCTTCAATTCCTTTTCCAGTGCGGTTTTGAAAATCTTGAAATTCCCCTCGAAAATGTTGTCCTTCAACGTTTTGAAGTCAATCGTCGCCGATTGCCGATTATCCCACGAAAAAAGTGTTACTGTTACACATTTGTAGCGAATTCAGCAACGCAAATTTCTCTGCATGAGAGAGAAAACTTGTAATGCAGAAATCCTACGGGAAAACGCCTATGAAACGAGGCTCCTATGGTGCATATCCGGCATGACAGAGCTTGTCTGTCTTGCTTGGCCTGCAACACAATGTGGAAAAACTGTAACACTTTTTTCTTGCGATACCGATGTTTTTGGCTGACGTAATTGCCGCCGAGTAACAGCATCGGGGATCGTATCAAACAAAAAAAGTTCGTCACGATCACTCATGCGCATTTTTGCAATACAAAACTGTCTGTCATGCGTAAAAATGCATCACAGCCAAACTTCATAAGAGATTTCCCTAGTGTTTCTGCAATACAAGAAAAACCTGTGATGCTGGAAAAATTTCTCATGCAAAACCTGCACGTTAGTGACTGTGACAAACTTTTTTCTTTTCATAGATCGGAGATTCACCGCAGGTAGGCCGGCGGAGAGTTGCGACTGTCTCCGGTTTATGCACTGAAGAAAATTATACGTCTGGGTCCTGTGGATGAAAGTTGCTGTCATGCTAATCTAGAAACTACTCGCAAATACTATGACAAACTCTTGAAGAACGGTTCTGTGGTGCGCAAAAGTCGCAACAGAAACACCAGTGCTTTTGCATGACAAAGAAGATGCAGCGCTATTGCAGCGCAACATGCATGACGGAATTGTTTAACGAGCGTGGGACGACGAGTCCAGCATCATACGTGTCTTCGAGCCTCCCAGATGACCCAGACTACAGATTTGCAAGACATAAGGTTTAAGGGGGAGTTGGACTGTTTCATTTGCGACGCAGTGGACTGTTTCATCATCACTGTAGTCCCATTCTCGCTGATCAAATTAAGATTCGAGTCCCCGAGCCCCAAATGCGGTTCTCGTTTACTGCCTGCAATCCCCCCGGGGGAAGCTCCTGCTGCGTTCGCGTTGCTGCTGTTGCTGATTCGCAGCACCGACAGCAGGGCGGAGGGACGTTGGACCGTGACGGAGATTTTTTTCACGACCGACCACCGGCTGCTCTGCTTTTCCGTGGTGCCGTCGCCGCCTGCGCCGCCGCCGGCAGCACCCGGGACTTGCAACAGGTTCTTCACATTGTTCATCAGTTCCGGGTTTTGTTGCTGCCCGTTCAACTCCAATTCTTGGAGCATCTTACTGATGGCCTGCATGCGTTTCTCAAAAGACTCCAGCTTCTTCTTCTCCTCTTCTATCAGATATCCTGAGTAAAAACGTCCCCACACCAACAGAGTTGTCATGCAAATGCGCAATGACAGGAACATTTGTAATGCGCAGCTCCATGAGAGGAATTTCCAATCCTGTTTTGGGATTTGTAATCCTGTAAACAGGATGAGAAAGTAGCTTTCTCATGCGGCTTCCCCTGCCAACCAGCACTACACTGCAGAGGGAAACTTGTCATGCACAGCTCCCAAAACATGGAGATTTGTGTTGCTAGATTCCCAACTTGACTCTGGTGTCGGTGTGGGGACGTTTTTACAAATGATATCAGAGCCGCTTTCTTCATGCACTTCACGGCGAAGGTCCACGTGTTTTGTATCTGATAAGGGTGCTAGAGGTTTTTATTTTCTTGGTCGTACAAGAAGAGCTTCGTCTACCGGCATGACAGGCACGGGCTCGGGTAAGGGTAGCATTGAAATCGAAATCGATCCATGAAACGCATGACATCAGCGTCAGCCAACGTCTAACAACGGTATAATCACAAGAACGATACCTCTTCCTCCGCCTGTAGCATTCTCTGTTCCTGTATCGCGATGGCGTTTTGCGCGTGATTCGGACTCTTTCCCGCACCACCAGGACCCGAACTACTTTTCGCATATCCTGTGTAAAAAGCTCCCCACACCAGAGTCAAGATGAGGATCTCGCAACACAAATCGAGAAGTTTTGGGGGTCCAGCATGACGCGTTCGCCTAGGTATTGTAGTGAAGTTTAGCAAGCACAGCCGCAACACAAATCCATCTACTCATCCTGTCGACAGCTTTGCAAAGCGCAAAACGTGATTGGAAATGCCTCTCATACTCATGTGTATGCGCATTACAAATCTTGCTGTAGCTGCAAATCTGCATGACAACTCTGGGGTGGGTACATTTTTGCTCAGGATATCGCACTGGCTATCCCCTTCGTCCCGAATATCACGGTGGCCTTACCCATCGCAGTTCCGTCGTTGTTCGTTTTCTTCTGCCTGTTTCGCTGCGTGGCGGCCCGGCGCAGCGCGTCATTCGGACTCGGCCGGGCCCGCAAAGCGGACTCGTCGTAACTGCAAATCCTCTTCACGAAAGATTCGCTGGTCACGAACGACTGCGCGCCGGCCAAGCTCGTGCGCGAGAAGCTACTGGGGACGAGGCTTGCGATGATGCTCGATCGGGTCCCGCCGGGCGCGTGCAGGTGACTCTTGTTCGGGCCGTGAGAGCTCGTGCGGTTTTTCGTAAATGATATCGCGTTGAAAATGGAGGTATGCGTTGCAAATATGTCTGGGTCTGGAAGAATGCAAGTTTGTCATGCTTGTCTCACATGACTCTCAAATCTGTCATGCACATTACCAAAGCGCCCCACTTTTCTGTCATGCAGAAACGCAGTTTGTCAGGCAGAATAGGCAACACCTAGAAGCTGAGAAACTTGTCATGCTGAGCCAGCACGTGTGGCCTCCTCATGATACGCCACGCAGCATCACAAGTTTCCAGACCCAGACATTTTTACAGTTCATAGGAGGACCGGGTGGACTTCCGGTTTTGCTCTGCATTTGCTTCCGTATCCGTCACTGGAACGACGGCAGCGGGTATCACGAGAAAAAAGTGCTACATACAGTTACAGATTGGATTGCAAGCCGAGCATGACAGACAACCTCTGTCATGCCAGAAATGCTTCCACCAAGCTTCTTTTCATACGTGTTTTATTCCCTTGTGGTCTGTGCATTGCAAGCTTTCCCTCTCATGCACAGAAAATTTGTGTTGCTAAAGTTACGAACAAATGTGTAACTGTAACACTTTTTTCTTATGATAGCGGGGCTGTGGGAAGTCGGACTCGTGGTGGTGCCCTGGTAATTGTAGAATTTTCTGGTCCACCAAGATCATGATCATGCGGAGAATTTTTAGCCGAACGTAGTATGGCTTTCCCGAAGATCATGCTGTGGATCTGGATCAAAGATAAGTAATTCATGCACACCACAGAAACAGATACCGCATGTGCATGACAAGAAACTGAAGATCTAGATTAAAAATGCGCACGAGCTCTAGTTACTAATTTGCCATAGAAGTAACAGTACCTTCAAGAAGCTCCGGAAGACTTTCGGCTTGTATTGTGAGGAAAAATCTCCCCTCCCCATACCAAACCGGTACACTTCTGAAAATTTGTAATGCTGATTTGAGACGACAAATCGTCGCTGTATTGCATGAAGGCAAATCTACAGGCTCCGCCACATTCTACAGGCGGTTCGTCATGCTGTTGCTCCTAAAGCGTAGACGTCTGTCATGCTAAGCGCCTAGGCCAAAACTTATCTACTCAGGCCTGATATGGGCCTGCAGTCCTCGGCAGCAAGACAAATCTGATTTGTGTGCACAAATCCAGCATGAGAAGTTTCGTTTTGATATGGGGAGGGGGGAAATTTCCTTTTGATAGCTTGTTATTATTGTTCCCACTGTTCGACGCAGTAGAAGTTCGGTTTTGCTGCTGTTGCTGCTGCGCCGTTTGTTCTCCTATCCAAGAAAAAAAAGAGGGTAGGTGTCTTGGACGTACAGCATGATAAATTTCAATTTGCACTGCATGCTGTCGGAGAAATAAAACCTGTCATGCACAGCTAGTAATATCACGCGAAAACGCAGTTGAAAATAAATAGCAGCTGATGGCTGGCCAGCATGACAAGCGTAGCTGTTTTGTATCCTTTGCATTACAGACTTACACCCACACAGTTTTTTTCTTGAATATCTCTCTCGTTAATCGCAAGGATCTCTTCGAAATCCATGTCCTCCTCTGCCTCTATCCTGTGCAAAAGTAATATCGCACTCATAGTAATCGCAACCATGCATGACAAATTTTTTTATCAAAGGCAAATCAGCATTACAAATTCCAAGTCTAATGCTGAGAAAATTTGCGATGCGATTCCTACTAACGGCACAATGCTTTTGAAATGCATAGCCTCCTCGGCTTCACGATCCCGAAATCTCCCCAACGGCATGGAGTTTAGCGTGTTTCGCATCATCCTTCTACTCGCACTCAGCCCCTGCGAGATCGTGCCTGCGCTGGTGCTATGCATTGCAAATGTGTCTGGGTCTGGAAGAATGCATGTTTGTCGTGCTTGTCTGGCACGACTCTTAAATCTGTCATGCACAACATCCAAGAGCCCCATTTCTCTGTCATGCAGAAACGCAGTTTGTCATGCAGAACAGGCAACACCTAGAAGCTCAGAAACTTGTCATGCTGAGCCAGCACTTCCGGCCTCCTCGTGAATCGCCACCCAGCATCACAAGTTTCCAGACCCAGACATATTTGCACTTGATAGGTGCTGTCCTTGTCCCTGTCGTGCCGCCCCGCGTTCAAGTTCCGTTTATGCATTGCAAAGGTATCGTACTCGTATGCATTACATATTTCCCCAGCAAGAGAAATCAAATTTGTCATGCGGATTTACCGCAAGAAAAAAAATTTGTAATGCACGACTGCAATGCGAGCACGATACTTTTGCACAGGATACCGTTTGTTCCGGAACGATTCGATCAACTCGTCCAGATCCGTATGAAATGCAAATATGTCTGGGTGTGAAAACCTGTGGTGCGGAGTTGCGGATGACGGAAGCGGTTGCAATGGCAGCCAAGCATGACAAGTTTTTCAGACGTCGCCTCTTGATGGCTGCCTAGCACGCATTACAAATTGCGTTTTTCATTGCAAAGGAAGCTCCTCTTTTGCTGCTCATGCAACACAGATTTTCCAGGAATGCAAGGCACGCATTACAAGTTCCACTTTTCCAGACCCAGACATATTTGCACTAGATAATCTGGCGCCGCGATCAACGCTTCGACTTTCTGCTTTGACAGACAACAGGACAAGCAAACCGACGAGAATAATCTGGACCTCGGCCTAAGCCGCGCCGCCACGACCTCCCCATAAGCCCCACGCCCCAACACTTGCCCCAGTTCGTAGTGGTCGGTGAGGGACCCGCTGTAGGGATCATAGCCGAGGAACTTCTTTAGCAAAAACCCAGAAGGAATTATCGGTTGCTTCGAAGAGGCAGTTGAATTTATTTCGGTTGTTGTTTTGTTTATTTTCTTCTTGGCCTCACTGTTTTCCTTCGTGATGGAATTGTTTAACATCAAAATCGTCGGCTTATTGTTGTTTCCTGGTCCACCACTACCAGTACCACCGGAGTTCCTGCTATTTTGGCCCGACGGCGACGGCCCGGAGCCTGTTTGGTCGAGGTGGTTATTTCCGGTATTCGAGTTCCCGAAAGAAAACTGCGAATTTTGATTCGTTCCATTACTGGACCCGGTCACCGCGGAATTGGCCGTATCCTGTTGAAGAATGTCCCCACTTCTGAGTTGTTATGCAGAATTTTTGCATCTACAGAACGACTTGTCATGCGTATCCCCATGAGAGGCATTCATCTCAGTCAATTTTTGGAATTTGTGATGCTGTAAACAGGACGAGCTGATGGTCTTGCGATGCGCTTGTCCTTGCTAAGAGTCTGCACTACACTACAGAGAGGAACTTGTCATGCGTGACTCCCAATACTTCTGGATTTGTGTTGTACACTTCGCAACTTGACTCTGGGAGGAAAACGTTTTCACGCAGGATAGGCCGTGCCGCAACTCGAAGAAGCCGCGGACCAGGCGGTCATGGTCCGCTGCTTGTTCCGCGGAGAAGTGGAGTTGTCGGTCATCGTGTTAAGATGTTCTTGCTGAGCTCCTCTGAAACGCGGTGCGACGCTTTTACGCAGAAATCCGCTGTAGCGCGCCCCAGCAGTCGTGGTGAACCGCAAGAGCGGACGCTACTGCGGGACGGTCAGTGGGTGGAAGCAGTCTGGCGCCAGTCATGTTAATCCAGATTTGCTTGTCGACAGGCTTCTCACAGAGAACACAAAATACTGATTGTGAACGTGCTCCTCGTTAGAAACACGCTTCTCCTCTCCTGTTGCTCCTGGTAGTACTCCTGCATGGGAGGTGCAGAAGTAATAGACTCTACAAACGCAGTACCCCTGAGCGCGTGCTGGTCTCAACGACACTCTTTCAGCTTGCAAAAGCCGCTCGGGGTTGTGGTTCGGTAAAGCATGAAGATGATGAACACAAAACACCCAACAACGCCCTATCGCAGGGAAAGAAACCAGCCGTATTCTAAAATCGCCCTTGGAACTACTGCCCGTCGCCGAGCGACAGACATGATGAGCAACATGGTTTTATCTATCACGGCAATGATATTAGAGGGTCGATCAGTTGTATCTCAATACCGCCTAACAACGTAACTGCTTTGCGAATCACAGCCATCAAGGCAGGCCTGCGTGGGTCGACCATAGGCTATCCCAAGGGTAGGTGCAACAATATTCCGGATGTGGAAATTCATGGCCTATACCTCTGGTAACGCGTCACTCATCATCAAGGGGAACCCACTCTACTTTTTGCTCGTCCCCTGCCCCCGGCTCAAAGGAACCTCTTCCGAAAACGTAGTAGTTCTCCGTAAACTTGGACGGCTTCTTGTCGTCGAGGCTTTTGATTTTGTCGAGCTGCTCCACAAATTGCGACACTTGAGCCTCTGTGAATTACAAACATGCCTGGGTCTGGAAACTGCCGCACACAATTTCAGATCACGAAAAAGTCGGTCACGCATGGACAAAAAAAGCTTTGCCATTTCTTATTCTTGATAACACCGTCATGCATTACTAACGTTACTAAGATTAAAAGGTGTGACGCTAGAGCTTGCATGCCAAATGACCTTCTCCTTCGTCACTGAAAAGCAGCATGACAAACATCTGCACTTTTGCAGACCCAGAAGCATTTACCTTTGATAGCGTCGAGTCGCTTTCGTGCCGGCCGGTCCGGATGGATAGAATCGTAATTGTATGGGGATTTTTCGCCAGAGATTTGCAGCAATGTTGGGTTGGTATGCTTGTACTCTTCAGGGAGGCGAGAAAGGTACTCCTGCGCTTGTTTGACAGAAGTTGCGTGGCGATTTGACTCCCCCACAAATTTGTCCAGGGCTCCCTTTTCACCAAAAACATGAGGTGGTGGTCGTGGCTCTTCATCATTTATCCTTCGATCCAACCTACCAAAAGATGCGAGGTTCCTCGAATCCGATCCATACTTCGGGCTCGAGAACAAGAACACCACGTTGCCATTGTCCAATTTGGCACTGTAAGGCCCAGAACGATCATTGACGAATTCCGTTCGTAGCTCAACCACATAGTTTTCATGTGCGTTACGTTGGAGGATGTTCTTGCGATTGTTGAGTCTGTCCTCCAGCTCTTTAACCCATGGTCCCGCACCACTGAATCTGATCGCCTCAGACACAGCTCCTGCCCAAAGCGTTTGAAGAACCTGTGGTAAGTTGGATATTCATTCTTGATTCCCGATTTTTGAAGCAGCTGTGGTAAGTTGGTGCATTTTTGATTCCCGATTTGTGCGGTGGGCCAGAATTTCAGCATTTGCACACCTCACAATAGGACCCCTAGACTAAATCCATGACACCCTAAAACCCTTTGCAGCGACGAAAGTCACTATAGTTTGATCTTAATTTGTTTCGATATCTGAAGAAAAAAAACATTGAGGTGCTGACAACAACATCTCAAACCGGGGAAAAGAAAGTGGAAACAAACGACGACGTTACACAAATAAGCAAGCTCTTTACCATGTCGGAAAACTCTCCCGGCTCGTGCCCACGAAGCAGCAGCCTGATCCCGTTAAGGGAAAAGAATTCTTTGGCTACTTCGGCGGCCCATATCCGATGCAAAAACGCCCCCACGCCAGATTTTTTGTCCTGCAATTTCCATGTTGCTCTCGCTGTATGAGGGGCACTTTCATCTAGTTGTGCAAATTTCGCAAGTCATTTATCTACTAGGATAAGCAAGTAAATTACTTGCGGACTTGTCTACCTGCATAGGCCCAAATTTCTTACGCTTGACTCCCAAAACTTGCGGATTTGTCGAGGATGGTTACGACCATCTTGACTACAGGTTGGGGGCGTCTCCTCACCGGATAGTCCATGGGCGACCGCCGGGTACCATCTGATCTTGTCCGCAACGACTTTGGGTGTGACCAGGCCGCGCTGGGTCCTGTAAAAGATAAAGAAAGAATCGCGCACCTAGAAGGATACATACAGATGACGAAGACTTCGAAATTCGAATCCGCCTGCGTCTGTCACCCACATCTATGCGGAAGCAGGTGCGCTGTATTTTTCTATGAGAAAAAGATCAGCGACGCTGTGATGGAGACACTTCGGGAACAAAGCTTCATTCGCAAAACTGCGCTGCGCAGTACTTATCGCGTTCTATCAATACAGCAGAAAAAGAAAGACAAAAACAAAATACAGCGCCAACGAAAAACATCAATGTATATCATACTAATCCTGTTGTATCTGGTCATACAGATTGAGATAAGATCGATACCGCCCACAGTAAGGCAGCGTCGGAACTACACTTCGGGGGCGGTCCGCCATGTCCCGGCACAGTCTGGAAAACTTTCGTGCCCATGCTTTTCGCCCGCTCTTGATCCGTATACCCCGTAGTACCCGCAGAAGTGCCAGTGTTTTACTATGGAGTGGCACAAACTATGACGTGGCGTCGCTAGTATCGTTCGCAGACGTAGACGAGTACTTGTATCTGTACATGCATGCACTTTCCTTAACTCGACGCTGGCGCTCAGTGCCCGATCATGCCAATTCCAATGCTCGCGTACGTCTCCTTCAGATCCTGATCGGTCTTGATCCTGAACGACAGGACGCACGAATAATACACAATTCTTGCACTCCATATAAAGCCCGGACGAGAAACACTTCGTAGCTCCTCAATCGGCTTTAACCGCCCAAGAATACCCGCGTGCACAATGAAAGCTTCGTCGTACGCTACGGCCCCAAGGGGTGCTGTCGCGAAGAATGGGTCCAGCAGGGTCTTAACCGCATCAAATGTAACAAAGTGCCCAAAAAGGGTTATCGCACACAAAAATCCTTGCAGCCCCGAGGCCCGCAGCACACGCAAAAGAAATACTTCAACGTAATAGATACTTCTGAGAGTTTTTTTTCTATACACCTGATCTTGGAACAACCGCATCCGAAGCGCTGCATGTAGTAGAACGAGTGCTACCTTCACGACTCTGGCCTTCGAATGTCTATTCGTGCATGATCATTGTCATTCCGAATGCGTAAAAGATGAATGAGCTTCCTGGACGCCGACGTCTGTGGTGCGCTAGTATTGCTACAACAATGCTTGACCACGGCGTCCGCCCAATTCGGTGTCAATGAATTTCGCAACGAGGTTCCGCAAGTATTTTCTTTTGGTGCGCTGGGACGACCCGAGCGCCCCTTTTGCTGAACCTAAATGCGTTGTGCTCCTGCGGCGACGCAGTATTCATGACGCTTCCAGGGTCCGTGAAGTAGCTGAAGTCCTCATGATTTCCAAGCAACAGCGTAATTTTGTCCGGATACGTCGCCTCCAGCCACAACAGGTAGAACAAGGTTGAAAAGCTATCGCCCAGCGTCGTCGCGCGATCGAGGTAGTCGCCCAAAAACACTATGCGTCCCGGGAAATCGGAAATCTTGTGACCGTCCGGCAGCGTGTGCAGCACGCGTAGTAAATCCTCGAAGGCACCGTGTACGTCGCCGAACACGTAAACGAAGTCGCAGTTGGCCCTCTGCATAATAGCATTCATTAGTTCGTTGTCTGTAACTTCTGCTAGAGTGTCGGCCCCTTTTCCTAGCTCTGCCAACGCGAGTTTGACTTGGAGATCGTGATCGTTACAGATGTCCACCAAAAGTGGGTACTGGGGATCGGTGCGAGCGGCATCATGATCTACTTCAGATTTAGTGCCACTTGCAGCAGCCCCGGGCCCCGCATCAGATTCACTGCCCTCAGACCCATCCGCTGAAGGATGTGAAGCGAGGTCGGAGGACCTTTCTCCGCCGCTTCCAGCAATTCTTCTTTTTCCTTGACCGCCGTATCCGGCGTCGCGTGGCCGACGACATCCACCAATCCTTTCTTCCCCGCTTTGAGTCCCATCACACGCTCTGCCTCAGCTTCACCTGTCGCAGCTCTGCGCATTAGAAGCGCGGCCGAGAGTTCTTGTCGGTACTTTTCTTTCGACGTTGTGTGTTCGTTGGCGATCTGTTCGTAGAATTTGCTTACAATTTCGCGAATATACGGTATAATCTTGTCGTGTGGCACAGTAGTGTCCTCCCCCCCCAGGATTTCCTTCAAAATCTGCTGCGCTTCACCAAAAAACTTTACTTCTGGCCGGTCACCGAAACGTTTCTCTTTGTCTTCCAACGATCGCGGCATCAACGTCCACGGGCCCATCAAATCCCGACCCCGAGTAGTTCCGGTGGCATCAGTTCCACTGTCAGCCTCCAGAAACGCCGTCTTCTCGTCTTCCGTAGTTTGTCGTGTGGACTCCGCGCGCTTGGAGGCCACAGCATTCTCGATTTGTTATGAAAGGGCTGGCAAGGACTACTCACAATTAGCTCCTGCGCGCACTATAGCTTGCGCTTCCTGTGAGAATAGCAACGGGCACCAGGCAAAAGTCCACCTCCAAGGAGCAAGGACTGGCTTCTAATGCTAAAACAACTAGTACTTAGTCTTAGTATCTCACCCTATTTACATCTTCATACCCGGAAACAGAATCACGGGAAATAACAACAGCTCTTGCACCAAGCATCACGCGCAATGTTTTCGTCTCTCCGACCCAGCAAAGATATTGTCATTTTTCCGTGCTTAGCTGATTAATCGAGGCCAAGATACCCGCCGCAGCATCTTCCACGGCGGTTCTAACGTTGGTCCAAAGTTCCCCGGCGGTCATCGTCGTGGCCGAATCTCCCCTTTCCGGTGTGTAGTACACCACGGAATCTGGGTCTTTATCCAAGAAAAAAACTATTTGTGATGCAAAAAATGCAAAACTAATACGTTTGTCATGCTGAATGTGCGTCATAGGCCACTTTCATACGTGTTTTCACGTACTAGCTACGCAGGGCAGGTTTCCTTTGTAAAACGAATTTGTGATGCTGCTCTTCCTACAAAGCTACCATCACATAGTTTTTTTCCTGGATAGTCTTTCAAAAACATCCACTCCGGCAGCGCATCGAACAAGGTGCCGAGCGAGGGGGCCTCCATGAACGACGCCGCTGGGTCTTCTGCATCGAGAACAACGTCAACAGCATTTTCCGTCCGTTCCGATGCGGGCCCGTGTATCCTGTGTAAAAACATTCCCACCCCAGACAGCCATGCAGATTTGCATTCACAGGAAGATTTGTAACACGCATCCCCATGAGAGGCATTTCCAATCGTATTTTTGACTTTGTAATGCTATAAACAGGATGAGTAGGTGGCTTTGCGATGCGGCTGCACTTGCTAAACTGCACTACATACAATACAGAGATGAACTTTTCATGCGTGACTCCCAAAACTTCTCGACTTCTGTTGCGAGATCCCTGGGGACGTTTTTGCTCAGGATACCGTGCCCTGCCTCGTCCTCGTCTTGCTCCAGCAGCTCCAACACCAGCTCGTTCGGCGCCAAAAATTTGGTTCTGTCGCGCTTCCACAGCTTGCGCACTTTTTGTTTTTTCTGCACGGTTTCTGCCGGGCCGCGCGATCGTCCTTCTGCATCTTCCGGTGCTCCTTCCAAAGAGAAAGACTTCGCTTCGGATTCTGATTCTCGCGACGCTCGTTCCGTGATGGTCTCGGGCACTTTCATACCTTCCGCACCGAAAATGCGATCGCCGGCTGTTGCCGCCATCGTGCCGTAGCGCAGCAAATAAATCGTCGGCCCGGCTTATCAAATGCAAAAATGTCTGGGTCTGGAAGAATGCATGTTTGTCATGCTTGTCTGGCATGACTCTTAAATCTGTCATGCACGTTACCCAAGAGCTCCGTTTTTCTGTGTGATGCAGAAACGCAGTTTGTCATGCAGAATAGGCAACACCTAGAAGCTCAGAAACTTGTCATGCTGAGCCAGCACTTGTGGCCTCATCACGAGACGCCACCCAGCAGCACAAGTTTCCAGACCCAGACATTTTTACATTTGATACGGCTGCAGCCAGCCGATACGGACTCGGGGCACGGGCTCGGCGTTGGATTTTGCGCGCTGTCTCGTTGTATCAAGTGCAAAAATGTCTGGGTCTGGAAGATTCTGAGACTTGTCATGCAAGTTTTGCATGAGCAATGATGTCTGTGATGCATGCCCAAGCATCAGAGATATTTTGAGGGCTTCTGGAACTGGATGCCTATTCCGCATGACAAATGCCCTCTTCCCATAGCAAAAATTACACTCCCTTTGCTGCTCATGCAATACAGATTTTTTTGGAATCCAAATGCAGCATCACAAGTTGCAACCTTCCAGACCCAGACAATTTTACATTTGATACGTTGTCCATGGCATCAGCGCGGCATGATGATCGTCCCCGTCCGGGTCGCAAGTCCTGGTCCATGTTCGTGTTTTGCTTTTACTTGCTCGTGGCGACACTTGCAGGCGGGGAATTACACTCTAGATTTGGAGTTATGATTGTGTCTATTCTTGAAAGTGAGTGCTACTTACACAATAATTCTGAAAAAAGCAGTGGCGAGCACACTACTGCTTCTACAGACTCAGAAAAAAGCAAGGAGACGATGACGAAGAAGAAGGATTTTTTGCACGAAAACTCACGACTGCACTTCCGCACCAGCGGTGCAAACAAAGAAAAGCTTTGCACAATGACGACTAAACAACTGTACGCAAGAACACGAAAATGCTATCACAGAACCAGAAATCCACATTGACCTGCACGAAAAAATAAAAACACGCACGCAATAAAATGCGACTTCACATCAAGCACGAAGCAGACCGAAGGTAACTCGCTACTGAGGGAAACTATTAACCGACGAAAAGTACTTATTCACGACGGCAACTTCAAGGACGAAGGAACAAGGTTGAGACCGGGAGGACTTTGATGTCCCGCCAAGGCTTCGGGGGAAACACAAATTCTGTAGTCTTCAGATAATTAGGAGAGCCGAATGCCTATGCGGAGGTGTAGTAGTTCTCATGTGTTTACAAAAAGTCTGTCCTGTTCTTTACCATCATCATCTCTGGACCATCTCTGCGATTGTCTTCTTGTCCAAAAGCTGAGCTTATATGTGCGGTGTGTCATTCGTGTTTTCCTGATTTCAATCAAGCTCATTTTCCATCTCTACTTTTCCTCACAAAAACAGCATCCTTAGCACCAGCAACACGCCCCCGAGAAAGGTCGCGGTGCCCAAAACCGTCGTGATAGTCGTCAGTGCCTGTTTTTGTCGAATTCGCAAGTTCTCGGCGGCCAGTTTTTTTGAATGCAAATATGTCTGGGTCTGGAAACTTGTGATGCAAGTCAAGGACCAATGCGCACATTGTAATGCACTGCCAAGCATGACAAGTTTTTCCGTGGTTGTGGTTCTGCCTCTGAGTTGCGTAATCCGCATGAGAAATTTCGCTTCTGCATGACAGGAAAGAGGAGCTCTTTGCGGGCACGCAATACAGAGCTCAGAGTCATGCTAGACAAGCATGGCAAATCTTGCATCCTTCCAGACCCAGAGCCAGACATATTAGCAATGCATAAGCTTTTTTGAATCGCAACTACCGGTTTCCTCGTCATCCGGGGCCCCCTATCAACTGCAAATATGTCTGGGTCTGGAAGAGTGCAAGCTTGTCATGCTTGTCTCACATGACTCTTAAATCTGTAATGCATGAGCATGAAGGCAGCCTCTTACCTGTCATGCAAAAACTGTCATGCGGGAAGCGCAACACATAGGACCTCAGAAACTTGTCATGCGTGGCTGCATACCGCAGTGCGCCCACCGTTCACTAACTAGCATCACATCAAGGCTCCAGACTCAGACATGTTTGCAGTTCATACCCCCTGGAGCTCTTGCTCAAAAATCTGCTCCTTGTTTTTTCTTCTACGCGTGAAACCCATTTTTTCTGATCCGCTTGCCACTGTACGTCGCAAAAGCTCGTGATGTTGTAATGGACAAACTTTAGGATAAAATTAAAATGTTGAAGTAGACGCGGTTTGATTTCGAAGGGGCGACGTGCAAGAGAAAGTGAAAAAGTTCAAGTTATTGCAGAAGCAGAAGTAGCTGTCAAACAGTATATAAAAATCGCTGAAGAGGATGAGTCCTCCATGATTCCGTTGTAACACGATAAAACTAGAACCCTGCTTTACACGCCTACAGCACGTCTTCGACTTGCAATCTACCACCACACTTTCTGCTGGATCGGTGAAGCAGAAGCTCAACGATAACATCATATTTCACCAAACCACCACGCCGCACGCATATCAACATTCCTTGGGCTCTTAGCCCCATCTTCCTGCTTGACAAAAATATCCTGTCATAGGGAAGCCGTGGATCATCCTGAAGTAGTAGTAGATCTTCTGCGAAGCGTAGCAAAACCGCATCCAAAATCGTAAAAACTTCTTCATCGATTTTGGGTGAAAGAAGTAGTCATGAAACTACAGCTTTTAGCACATGAGTACGCTGATCTTCTGTTTCCTCGGACGGGTAGAACACAAAGTAGATGAACCCGAGCCTCTCCCAGAGACAATCCACTAGCACCCAGCGCACGACGAAGCCGCGGCCTTAACAATGAGAGTGGCGTTTGGATATTATTTTTGAAAGACATGTGAGATTATGTTCAAAAAGAAAATCATTTTGTGCGCGTAAGAAATTGTGTCAATGGGTCGTAGAAATTCTTGTTCGTGAATACAGATAACGTCTTCGAAAGTGTGGTGATTTTCATGAAGTACGTATGTCGCGGTTGTTTTTTTCGGGGTATTTTTGCGGAAAAACGAGCTGAATCCTCCTGTGTCATAATCGAAACCGCTCCATCACCGGCCTGTCGTTCTGGATTTTTTTGTACAGCAGGGGTATCCATATATCGGTTTGTTCGACGATGTTGCAAAATGTTGTGGTGTGGTAGAAAATGACCTCGTCTCTGACGATATAGATTCGACGTCCACTTCTTCAGGTCGTGGCGACTCATCGTTTTTCTATCTCCGTATCGTTCTCTTCGGTTTATCGTTGGTAAAAAAAATCTCCAAATGTTTTTCACCCCACTATGCAAACGAAAAGTTCTTGTGTCGCCCCGAATAACAAATAAGACCTCGGTTTCTGCGTGAGTAGTATATGATCTGCAGCTTTGGTGCTGCAGCACTTTCGTACAAATACGCAATGGCTCTTGCGTCGAGGGCAGACCGCGCAGCGATTGACACGACGTCACTGTTGTAGTTGTACATGAGTGTGTAGTACGCCCCCCTGCAAGTGCAAACCAATGCAGGCAAGATTGAAATGTCTATTGGAAACTGTATGCTGCGATGAAAGGTAAGTACAACGTGGAGAATTGATTCCACAATGTCCACGCTGCTGGCCCTCCTAGGAAGATCATGGAGCGAAGAGGGCGACAAAAACTTTTCGTCGCATATGTAAAAGTATCTTCCTTTTCTATATTCGGTTCATCAGACGCCGCCACATCTCCCCCCTGTCCGATGGTATCCTATGTTCTTCTCTGCCGCATGCTTCCCTCGAAAATCGTCATTGCAAAATGAAACGCTGAAACACATGTGCATTTTTTCGTGTAAAAATCCTCGGGATCTTCTGGTAGAACAAAAACTCCTCCTTGGTGTAGTCTTGTAGTCTTTAGATCTGATGGTGGTCCTCGACGACGTGAAGACTTTCGGTACAGCGTGCTGGTCCAACCCCGCGGAACGATCCTTGAATATTTTGTACTTCTAGTTCTACTCGTACTCCACTACCCGCATCTTCACAAATACATCCCTGATGATGTCCCTCCGCCATTCCGCTAGGGCGTCGCAGCGTCTGTACTTGAATGTTCCACAAATCTTACAACCGTCGAGTTGATGTACTGGAACAGTTCACTTTTCCACGATCTTTCGTCTCTTCCTGATCTGCCTCGAGAGCTCCGAGTCGGAGGAGAAGTATCCTGCGCAAAAACGTCGCCACGATAGTACCAAAGTTGTTGTCATGCAAATCTGAACTCTCTCTCTCAATAGCGTGTATCTATGTAATAGTACGCAGCCTCATACATAAGAAAGCGTCTTGACATCGACTTTGGAGATCTGTGATGCGCTAGTCAGGATAAGGCGGTATAACAGCTTGTGATGCGGCTAGACGAGCTCACCGCAAGAACCACGACACGGCATATTACATCTGCACTTATCATGATATTCCCCATCTTGAATATTAGGCGGCGACGTTTTCTACTCAGGATAAGAGGTTCGGTGGACTCAGCTTGCCCCGGTTGTTTCGGGACAGAGACGGAGAGGAGGACAGGATATCGTCGTCCCTGTCGTCTTATCAAATGTAAAAATGTCTGGGTCTGGAAGATTGCAACTTGTCATGCTGAATCTGGATCATGCAAAAATTTGTGTTGCATGATTACCAAAAGATGGCCACTTTTGACCAGTTTGGCAGCGAGTTTCTCATGCAGAATAGGCATGATAGACACCTCACAGCGTTTGTCATGCTAGGTGCTGCATTCCAGACCCCATGGGTCATGGAAAAACTGCATCACAAATCTTGCATTCTTCCAGACCCAGACATTTTTACAGTTGATACGTCTTGGTCTTTCTTCTGGTTATGATTTTTGGAAGAGGACACTAGTGGAATTTTACTGCTGATCATGTCACTGTCAATGCTGTCGCTGTGCCGCCGCGGCTTTTGATGTTTCTCCACCTCCAGACCCTTCTCCTTTTCCGCTACCTTCCCGGAAACCGGGGCGCTGTGATCCAAATTGCTGCTGATAAATTCGTTCATGTCCAAGTCGTCGTCCTCCCCAAAATCCAACACCGATTCGTCATACGCTGGTGGCTCCGCCTATCAAATGTAAAAATGTCTCGGTCTGGAAGATGTCATGCTAAATCTGAAACATGCAAAAATCTGTGTTGCATAAGTACCAAAAGTCGTCCAGTTTTGACAAAGTCGGGAGGGACTTTCTCATGCAGGATAGGCATGAGAGAGATCGCACAGAATCTGTCATGCTAGGTCCTGCATTCCAGACCCCATGGGTCATGGAAAAGCAGCATGACAGATCGCGCATTCTTCCAGACCCAGACATTTTTGCATGTGATACCGCCTTCCTATTCGCCAGATGATGGTCCACGTGGTTCTGCTTCTCACTCGCTAAGGGACTCTGGACGAGTAAATTTTTGTCGTGTAAGCTCTGGTCGTGTAGTTTGGCTTTATTTTTACCCGAGTTCTGTTCTGGAGATGAGGAGGTGTTGTCAGCTTTTTTACCCGAGTTTTGTTGTTGTGGAGATGAGGAAGTATTGTGATCTTTCTCCTCGGTTTTATTTTCTCCATCCCTCGAAGCAGGAGGTTCTACTTTCTCTTTGTTTATTTCCACGGTTTCCTGCTCTACTTTCGGCACAGATTCATTATCTACCTTGTTGTCAACCGATACCTGTGCATGGCTGGAAGAGGAAGCCGGAGCACCAGCAGCAGCTGTTTCTTCAACGTTGTCCTTGTCGTCTTTGTCGCTCTTCGCACAAATCAGGTTCTTCTTGTTCATCCCCAAAAATTCCAGCAAGTGCTGAATTTTCTCCTCCACACTCCCCGGTAATCCAGCCACAATTTTCGTCTTCCCCGGCGCTTCGATCCCCGAGTGGGCACAGGACGGCTTTCGGTTGCTCGCCACGCAGAACAAGGTGTAGATGTTCACAATCACGTTGGAAGACAGCATGTCCTTCACGTCATACTCCTCGCCATCAATCGTGACGACACTCCTCCCCGCGACTTTATCCTCGCCGAACATTGCCTCGGATAATTTCGCCACGTGTTTCGGTGAATACTTCCCCACGTCGACCGTGATGTGGCCGAAGAGACGGCTATTTGTCATGCCGTTTTCCGTATCAAATGCAAAAATGTCTGGGTCTGGAAGGATGCAAGGTTTGTCATGCACATTTTGCATGACTCCTGATGTCTGCGATGCATGCCCTAGCATCACAGATCTTGTGAGGGCTTTCTGATGCCTATACCGCATGAGAAATGCCCTCTTGCCGTGGCCAAAACCAGACCTCTTTTGCTGTTCATGCAATACAGATTTTTGGATAATGCAGACGCAGCATCACAAGTTGCATTGTTCCAGACCCAGACATTTTTACATTTGATAATCCGCAAGACCTTTGGCGTTTGTCATGCTGGTGTCCCTTTGTTCCTTGTCCTGAAAAAAAACCGCGACGAACGACAAGTTCATCTGCTTCGGAAAGCGGCAGTAGAGCCCGTGAAGCTTCAAACAGCCTTGGTTGTTCGTCTTGTTGCTCACTATCTCCCCCGCCCCGGAGGAGGAAGTGGCCGTCGGCATCATCGAGGACCCCAAATTGAAATTTCCGCAGCTTTCAAAGGGTTTGAAAAATTTCTCGATGAGTTTCTCGTTGAGGTAAAAATCGCCGAAGTGCAGCGTGATGTGCCCGAATTGTTGTAACACGTCGAAGTGCTCGTCGCGGTATGTGTTCGAGTTGAACTTGTCGTGGTGGTCAACGGGGGTTTTCTTCTCGTGCTCCAAATTCTCAGGTTTGCTCTTTATCTTCTTCCCAGCTGCTGCACATTGCGGAGCGACATAGGCCAAGCACCGGATCTGGTGGAAGCGGTAGAGGGTGGTGGAATTGGTGTTCTCAGTGGTGGTGATTTTGTTGGAAGAAGAACTAGATGCTGTTGCTGTTGATGCAGCTGCAGCAGCCCCTGCATGAGAAGACGTTGTCGCCCCAGTCTTACTATGAAGGTCCTTCCCCTGCTGCTGCAACGTGGATGTGGTTCTACCTCTAGACGCGGCTCCTGTATTAAAAATCCGGGCTAGGTGGTTCAACTCAAACTCCTTCACGCCGTTGTACAACTTCGGGACAGTTGTATCTTCAAATTTAGCTGTATCCCCTTTATTGTTCTCCTTCTCCTTGCTTTCGTTCTTATTCTTCGTTCCGTCCTCTTTGTTTTCCTTTTCTTTGCTTGAGGTAGTCCTTTTATTTCCCACCACCACCGGCTGACACTCGCCGTATACATCCTTCAGACACACGTCCCAGTCGATGGGACTCAATTTGTTCTTCTTCTCGTTCCACTCGATCCGGGGGTAGTGATATCAAATGCAAAAGCATCGCGCTCGTACTAATCGCAGATATACATGACAAATCTGATTCCCAAGGGTAAATCAGCATGAGAAGTTCTATTTTTCATGCTGAGGAACTTTGTCATGCGATTTATACTAGAAGCACGATACTTTTGCAATGCATAAATGATAGACGAAATCCGAGTCCAGCATCAACTTCTTGGCGAACCGCACGTTTTTGGAGCTGAGCTTCACGATTTTGCTCACGAATTCCTGTTCCAACGCTTTGCTGAAGCTGATCACACTTTTCGTCCCCGGCTTTTCCCTTTCGTCATTCTCCATCGCAAACCGGGTGTAGTTCCTCCTCGGACTACGGTCGCGAGACGTATGATCACGGTCCCGGTCGCGGCCTTCACGGGCATTTCTATCACGGTGGTGGTCACGAGCATTGTCACGAGCATAATTTTTATCACGGTGGTCACGAGCAGCGTTATCCCGATCCCGCTCCGTTCGGTGAGACGCCGAGGTGGAGATTTTGTCGTAGCTTTTGACGCGGACAGGTTGTGCACCTTGTTGCTGGTCGTTCTTTTCCGAGTTGTTTGTCCTCATCATGCGTTCGTCCTTGCTTGAATCAACAGAAACACCAGGAAGAGCTTCTTCCTCACTTTCTTCGTGAAGATCCTCGTCGTGCTTATCCTCCAACTCCCACTCCCCGCGAGCCAACCGGCTCCGCACCGTCTCCTGTACGGTTTTTGAATTCGCGTAGTCTTTGACAAAGCCCTTCTGCATGATTTCCCACGCGTTGTTGTTCACTACTTCCTGATGTACCGAAGTAGAACCACTTTTCGGCCCTTTCGGCTGCAACACCCGCTCGGAATAATACCCGCCCGGTTATGCATTGCAAATATGTCTCGAGGGTCTGGAAACTTGTATTGTAAAGCTGAGTTTTGAGTAGTGATTTCTCTGTAATCCACAGCCAAGCATGAGAAATCATATTTGCGCTGCTTAATGTTGCGCTTTCCGCATGACAAAATGCGTTTTGCATGACAAGCAAAAGGGTCTGTTCTTGGACACGCATCACAAACTCTTCAGTTATGCCAGACAAGCATGACAAACCTTGCATCCTTCCAGACCCAGACATATTTGCATTTGATACCGGTAAAAATGTCACGATTTTCAATTCAAACTGCGGCAAGACGGACCGAAACCAGTTTCGCAGCCGCATTTCAAACGTGGAAACGGAGCCGGTCTGCCCGCCGGCCGTAGGGGCGTTCAACCCCGCATTGCCGTTCGAGCTGCCGGTGTCGTACAGCACCCCGCCGTATCACATGCAAATACGTCTGGGTCTGGAAGAATGCAGATTTTTGTCATGCTGTTTTTGCATGACGCAGAAGGTCTGTCATGGAAGCCCTAGCATGACAGATTTCGAGGACCTTCCGCATTGCCCAATCCGCATGACAAATCCACTAGTTTGGTTACAGGAGGTGGGCGCCTTTTGCTGCCTATGCGTGAGAGATTTTTGTGTGTTGTGAAATGCGCATCACAAGTTGCACCCGTCCAGACCCAGACATTTTTGCACTTGATACGCCACCGCAAGAGAGCACCGGGACTTTCTTTTCCGTCATGGCTTGCACTAACCGGAAGAAAGTGAGCTCCTGCCGCTCGTGCTTCAGCCGGTTGGCGATCTTGGACAGGGATAAACCTCCGGACGAGGCAGAACCAGAAGTCGATTTTATCCCTGCTGCATAATTCGCTGTTGCAGGAGCGCCGTTGTCGTCTGATGAAGTTCTTGCAGATGATGATGGTGCCCCCGCTTTAACATTGTGGTTCACCAGCCCCAAATCATCACCGTCGATGTGGATCAGAGTAGAAGTATGGGAGTGTCAAAATCGAAATTCACAATAAAATCGAAAAATTTGTGATGCACAAAATCGATGTCAGTTGGAACCTCAGTTTTCGAGTGGCGCATGACAAATTTCGGGAGCACCAAAATCCAGTCTGTCATGCTGTTTAGGGAAAGAAGACTGCTCCTGTCATGCTACTCTGGCAGCGCATTGCATACCCCTAAACAGGCTTACAATCGGCCTCATATGCCTGCTCCCCAATACAGGCCTTCAGTGCTCTACATTTTATGCATCACAAGTTTTTCGATTTTGTCGATTTCGATCCTGACACATCCATAAGAAGCTGTGGTACAATAATTCTGGTCGTCTTTGCTGTTCTGATCGGCAGAAGAAGAAGTGCAACTTCTCTGGTTATTAAAAATATTGTTATTCAACTTCTCCACCATCTGACGGGCAAAGCTCGACTTCCCGTAGCCGACTGGGCCGACAACCAAGATCAGGAGTTTCGACAACTTCGGGTCCCTCAACTTCTGTTCGAAAATCGCCCGGAATTTCGTCTCCAGGGCTGTGTTCGGTGCCGGAACAACAACAGTTGTGACTTTATTTGTGCTGCTTTTGTTCTTATCACCCGATAAAGTACTACTTGGAACATCAAGTAGATTCTGTTTATTTTCTTTCTCTTTCTCTTCCCTTTCCTTCTCTTTTCCCTCCCGTTCCTTCTGACACTGGTGTTCCGTGGCTTCCGCCAGCGCGATGTGGTTTTTTACCAAAGAATTCCCGCTCGAAACGATACTGCTGATGCTGTTCTCGTAGTGCAACACACAGGCCCGGTACAGCCACGCCCGCCAGTATGCATTGCAAAAGTATCGTACTCGTATAAATGCATTACAAATTCCCTTAGCATGAGAAATAAAATTTGTCATGCGGATTTACCTTACGAAAGAAACTTGTAATGCATGACTGCAATTACTACGAATCCTATACTTTTGCACAGGATAGCCAGTACTTTCTGCCCATCTCCGTGGCGCACCACTTCATGGTGAAAGTGGAGATTTTATCAAAAGGAAAAATCCCCCCTCCCCATATCAAAAGGAAGTCTCTGATGCTGGATTTGCGTACACAGATCAGCTTTGTATTGCAGAGAGGCATTTCGGGCAGATCTCCAGGCTAGTTAGGGGCGTATGTGTCTAGTTGTTCAGCATGGCAAGCGGGTCACTTTTAGGGCCAGCAGCATGACAAATCGCTTCCATAGTGGGGCGGAAGCTTCTGCCCTTGTCTTCTTGCAATACAAATGTGATTTGCGACCTCAAATCAGCAACGCAAATTTTCGGAAGCATACCTTTTCGATATGGGGAGGGGGGATTTTTACTCAGGATAGATTTTGTTCGCGATACACGAAGTTATCATATTCGGCGAATTTTTCCCCTTTTGCAGCGCGAAGTTCGCCGTCTGTTTCAAGTTTTTCATCCACTCCCGCAGTTGGATCCGGCACATGTAATTCGGAAACTTCAACTTCCGCATGGACTTGATGTCGCCGGTGGTGGTTTGAACGATGATGATCACCCCCTCTAGGCAATCGCCCAGAATGTCCTTGTGGTGGACGAAACAGTGCTTGTCTAGTTGTACTTTGTTCTGCTGGTCTGGATTTTTGCCATCATTCGGATTTACTCTCGAACTGGAGGACGAGGAGGAGGCTTGCTTGTTGTTCTGTTGTGCACCAGCGCCGCTGGTTGTTTTCAGATTACTATTGCAGCTACCACTGTTGATGTTCATCATCCCGAGGATAAATTTCTCGTAAAACCCGAGCGTCGCTTTCGCCTCCTTTTCCAAAAACTCCTCAAATTTCTCGTCCGTCATGAAGTCCTTCTTTTCCCACAATTTGTTGTAAAACCGGTTGATTTCATTTAACGACTCCCCGATCCCAACCACCTTTTGACACGGCAGATTCCATTCGTTGCAGAATTTCACCATGTCTAACACCGATTTCGGGGTGGACAGCCTGTGTTTTTCCTTCTCGTGATCTTTCGCACCCTCAAACACGCCCGTGATCACCATATCGTCCTGCTTCACCTCCTATGCATTGCAATTATGTCTGGGTCTGGAAACTTGTGATGCTAGGCTGTGTCTGGTGGGCGCACTGCAATACGCAGCAACGCATGACAAGTTTCTGGGCTCCTTTATATTTCGCTCTCCGCATGACAAACTGCGTTTTTCCATGACAGGCAAGAGGCCCTTTTCCTGCTCATGCAGCACAGATTTCTGAGTTATGCCAGACAAGCATGACAAGCTTGCATTTATTTTCCAGACCCAGACATATTTGCAGTTGATACCTTCGTGCCGTGGGTCTCGTCCTGCTTGCTCATCACTTCCGCCGTTATAACCTGCTCAGGTGTTACAATCTCAAACGTTACAATAGAGTATGGAAATCTGTGATGCAAGATTGCATGATCTGGCCAACCCTCATAGGACTGCGCATGAGAAGTTCCGGAGCCCCAAACCCTACTACAATCTGGCGAAATCTGTATTGCAGAAAGTGGAACGCTATGCGAGTCTGTCATGCTCATCATGCAAGACAGATCTCAGATTCTATTGTAACGCTTGAGATTGTAACACCTGAGCGGGTCATAGCCGTGCAACAGAGATTTTGCTTCGCGAGGTGTTGGATAAACAACTGCTCCCGCTTCACCCAAGAATTCTTACATCGCGCGTCGGACATGTAATTCCGCCACTGCTCTAGGCCGATTTTCACGAAATTCGTGTTGTTATCAAAACCGTTGATGAATTGCTGTTGGAGTTTTGTGTCGACGAAAAAATCCGCGGAGTTCTTCGAGGTCACTGTGTAGAAGAATTCCTTTTTCCACTCCCACGCGATCAAAATGGAGAGAAACCCCGAGTATTTTTTCAGGCAAAACATCCGGATCTTCTTCTCCTCCTCCTTATTCTGCTTAACCCTCGGGTCGACTAAAAGTCGTAAATTTTCGTCGTCCGAGTCGACCGTTTTCTGCTTCAACGCTTCTTCAAAAAACTCCGCAAATTCGTTCGATTTTTGCACGACAGGTTTGATTCTGTTTTTCCCGGATTTTCGATCCTTCTCCACGTTGTAGTCGTGTCCAAATTTCGGGTAGAAACCGAAAGAGAGTACTCTGTTCTCTTTCGGGAAGAACAAAAACGGGCAACCGCGGGGGAACTGCTGCTCTTTCGCTAACCGGAGCAGCGTTTCGTCCTTGTTCACTTTGATCATGATCAGGTAGGTCTCGGGGAATGAGGACTTCGTCGAGGAGGGACTGTTATTCTCGTTGCTCGAGGAGCTCGTCTTCGTTTTCACAGGAGGAGGTTCTTCTCCTCCCGCCCCAGGGCTGGCACAAGAACTGGTGGCCACCGAGGAGACGAGGTTTTTGCTGTTTAATAGTTTCCGCTCCTCCTCTTCTTTCTCCTTTTGTACAAATTCCATCTTCCTCCCCTCGTCGTAGTCTAATTCGTGGAGTGCTAAGACGAACTCCTTTTTTTTCCGGGAAATTTCCTTCCCAATGTTGTTCATAGCGGGACAGGAGGCGTTCAATAAGGTTTTCTGAAACTGCAGCAAAATCTGCGCCTCCTGCTTCGTGTTCGGCGCAATGCGCCGCCCGGGGACGAACATTTTTACTTATTTTGGGTTTTTTTTTGGCTTCTCGGGGTTCTTTTCACTGCCATGGGAACGCTTTCTATCCGACGATCTCGCTCCGAGCTGTCATTAGATTAGCCTACTGGAGGTGGGTACAGTTGATATAAAAACTCGTATATCGTATAAGAACGTCTCGCTAGGTTTTGTTTATACTTATTTGGGGTTACTTGATCTAGAAGAATGGATGAGCAACTAAAAGCGCGAATACAAGCGATTTGAATGAAAACTGTACTGAGAAAGCTGTCGCTGCGAATGCCTAAGGTGGTAGCCGCCACTTAACTTGCTTCCTGTGAGGATAATTGGTTTTGGTAGTGTGCCAGATACTGTTGTTCTGTGACAAGAGCAACGACTGGAGGATACTATGCGGGAAGATGCGGAGTGTTGTTGTAGCTTCGTCTGTAATATTCTCCGCCAGTAAAAGCTGCCTACCGCTACAGCAAGCCTCAAACCCTGATTAGATTTCTTGTAGGTGATCTTTGCGCCGCGAACTCCTCATTCCTCCAACTCGTCTTCTACGATTGTACTACTTACATTGACGCTATAGATCGTGTTTTCCTTTGCACGCAATACAACTTACCTGCGTCGGTCAAGCGCAACAACATTCTGAACATTTGGAACAGCCAGCATTCATCCGAAAAAAGACCACCACAAGTGCTGCTCCTGCTGTCCTTTACTTCTATTGTTGATTTTGTCGCTCTGGTATTTAAATGACTTGATGTCGCTTTATCGTTTTTGAAAAAGTTCTGCGATGCAGCAACCTCTCTTGTACTATTTCAGGTTTCTTTCGGTTTTTGGGTGTATTTTCAGTCCATCTTCAGACTGTAGCTCAAGGAAAAGTCTAGTCTCGTCAATCAGCCATAGACTCTTGGCTTGAGATAAAGTTTCATCTTCATCTGTGACAACTGTGAATAGAATACTACTTTAGACATCGTCGATACTTTCAAGTTATTTTGGAAAAAACGTGGTACTACACTTAGATAAAGATTTGGTCGCTGTGGTGTTGAGGTGGTAAACTCTCGACTCTGTTACTTCTTTGAAGTCGACCTCGATCTGTCGTTCGGGCTGAACTTAGAGGGGTGGTCTCAACTCTCAACATACATATACGGGGTAGTTGTACTAGTAAAAGGAAACCAGTTCATCTGCTAGTACCAAAAAACCCCCTTGGCAGTAGTTGTTTTCATCATCTGAAAAAGTAGACCAACATCTCCTCTCCCTATTCATTTTTAGCCCGCCGCGTCGTCGAACAGAAACCCGGCCAGCCCCGCTCCAGCCCCGTCGTTATCGTCGCCACCGCCCTCGGCATTACCAGCATTGTTCGCATCAGCACCGGCATTATTCGCGTTATTTCCATCTTTCTTTTCCGCTCCGGGCTCCTCATCCCCCAGACAACCCGGGCAGTAGAGCCCGAGTCTTACCGGATTGGGTGTCCACGCGGGGTTTAAGGTGAACAGGAAACAGATGACCAGTTGATAGAAAAAGTGTTTCCCGTATTGGTTATCGGGTATGACAAGGAGGCAGGGGTCTTTGTAGTTGAAAGGCTTTTCCACAGGCTCTTCCTCTGGCTTGTTTTTCTCCTCGTTCTTTTCCTTTGATGTAGAGGTTGTTCCTTCTTTAAAAGAGGGAGTAGAACCGTCGTTTTCTGCCTTCGAAGCTGCACCCCCCTTCGCCCCGTCTTCCGGCGAGAAAGCATTTTGCTCGGGCTCGTTGGGATTGGGGTCAGAAGTTAATGTTGACGACGACGACTTTTGCTCGGTTAATTCCAATCCCCCTTGGGGATCTTTCGCTGCTGGTTCTACTTTCGTCGGACTTTCAGAGTTACAACTTGAAGTTGTTGTACTAGAGAATGAAGTTGTTTTTTCAGTTGTTGTCTTTTTCTTTTCCACCCCCTCTGGTTCTGTCCCTGGAAGGTACTTTGGCGCCGACTCTTTTTCATCGTTCTTCTCCAGCAGAAACTCCGGCACTTGCTATCACAGGAAAAAGCGTTAACGTGAACGAAATTTGTGATGCAGGACCGCATCAGAAACGGTGCCACCTGAATTCGTATTGCATAGCATGCATTCTAGGAAAAATCTGTCATGCATAGCTGCAATCTCTGGAAACCGTATAAGGTTAACACTTTTTTCTTTGATACTTCCTCCCCGGCTTCTCTGTACCCCTTTCGCTTTCGCTCCCTCTCCTCATTTTTCATGGAGTCCATACGCAGCTTTTCCCGCAGGGAGGCCAACATGAGAAGTTGCTCGGAGAGAGGCGGAAATTTTTTCGTCGTGTTGTTCGCCCAGGACTCGAAAAAATCGAGGTAACTGATGTGTTAGGTTGTTGTATTGCGAAAATAATAGATGTTTTTGCTGCATTGCAAAAATGTTGCACATCAAAACCTCTACCCGAGCATGTTTTCACGTACATCAGAGCACCGGCATTACAAAGAAAACTCAAAACCAAAAAATTTCTGTTTGCAAACATGCACGTATAATCGAGTTGTACGGATCAAAAGCAAAACACAATACCCGAGGAAGAACAGCACGACGCCGACCATGTAGACCAGAAACCAGCCCAGTTTCACTTCCAGCAACACCTATCAAATGTAAAAATGTCTGGGTCTGGAAGAATGCAACTTGTCATGCTAAATCGGAAGCATGCAAAAATCTGTGTTGCATGATTACCAAAAGTCGTGTAGTGTTGACGAAGTCGGGAGGCAGTTTCTCATGCAGGATAGGCATGAGAAAGATCACACAGACTCTGTCATGCTAGGTCCTGCATTCCAGACCTCATGGGTCATGGAAAAGCTGCATGACAAATCGCGCAGTCTTGCAGACCCAGACATTTTTACATTTGATAACACCATAATCAGCGCGATTTTGAGCACGAACCCGACCCGGTATCTCCTCCACCAGCTGTTTTTCTTCTTCTTTTCGTTCAACGTCTTCAGATCCTTTTCCTCCTGCGCGGTCAAGGAGACCTCCCCGAGCTTTTTTTTCTCCTCCAATTGCTTGTGGTACTTGCTGTTCGGCTTCATTTTTTCTTCCGCTGTCTCCTCAACTGCAGTAGGGCCATCGGGGTCTCCGTTATTTTCGTTGCCTTCTTTCCGTGGGGACGAAGATGTTGATCCCGATCCGTTCCCATCTGCAGAAGAGGTCGCGGCACTTGCACTTCTACTCGCAGTAGAGGAAGAAGTACTACTAGCTGTCTTCGTTTTACTAGTACTCTTCTTCCCTCCGCCAAAAATCCTCTGTCTCAAGGTCGGCTTTTCCTCCTTTTCCTCGTCCTCCGACTCGCCCGGTAGCCGAATCTTGTGCTTCCCAGATTTGGGGGAGAAAGGGATGTGGTCCGCCGGGAGAAACGCGGGGCGTTTCTGTCTCCCCGTTTCGTCGAATTCCCCCCGGAGATTGGTCACGGGCTGCTTTCTGAACGACGACCCTCTAGAAGTGGTACTCGCAGATGAAACTCCGCCTGGAGGTCCTGTGCCGGCTGTGGGCGTATTGCCGGTACTTCCTGCATGCTGAAAAACGGTCTCTCGATACTGTGGGTCGTCGCGGTAGGAAGGGATCGTCATGTGCTGTGGCGCGTGACGGCAGAAGACACTGAACAATTTTTTGAAAATTTGTGGTGCGAAAGTTACAAGTCATACACTTCTTGTCATGTTGCTGTTGCACACATAGTACCACCGATTCATCGTGTAGTTGCAAGGAAATAAAAACACAACCACCTCCATCAATATCGAAAATAAATTTATACGATTTCTTCTCCTTCCCACCACTGCTGCTGGACGATTTTTGCGTCCCCCCTACTACGCCAGGTCTACTCGCCCCCGCAATGCCAGCACCAGAATGATTTCCGCTCGGCGACGTCGGAGTACCAGCAGGAGGAAGACCACCCGCCCCAGGATGATGATATAATCCCGCTCGCGGTGGTGGACCGCCAAGCGGTGAAGCGGTAGATGCCCCAGTCGTGTACAACGGAGGCACACCTCCAAGCGGGGTTGTGGCCGGGTGTTGTATTGGAGGAACTACACCGCCGCCGCCTAGAATCCCCGCCTGCGCCATCATTCCGGCGTAGTAGGCCGTGTTTTGCGTCAACGCGAAGTATTGATTCATGGACTGCATCATTTGCTCCTCTTTGTACGCGGTTTGCAAGTTCTGGTACACATTATGCATTGCAAAAGTATCGCACTTTGTATAAATTGCATTACAAATTTTCGCAGGAACAAAAATGCAATTTGTCATGCAGATTCAGCTAAGAAAGCGAACCTGTCATGCAGCCTTGCCATTTATACGAGTATAGATACTTTTGCAACGCATACACACTCTGCCACTGTAGCAATTCCATCGTCGTCAGCATGTACGCGTTCTGCGCGTAGAGCAGGTTCATCATCTGCATCTTATACTCGTTATCCGACTGTAGTTTTTCCTGGTGCTGGGGAGACAAAGCCATGGGCAACGCGGCCGCCATGCCGGGACTGAGGGCAGCTGTTGGATGTGCTGGGGGATTTGTTGCTGTTACAGCTGTTCCACCCGGAGAGGGGATTTGAACTGGGGGTGGAGATGCAGCTTGCTCTGCAGCACCTGGAGCAGGTGGAGAAGCTGCACTTGGTTGCATGGGTGATGTTGGAGAAGCGGCTGCGGCTGCAGCTGTTGTAGTTGTAGCAACCGGGGGCTTTATTAACTCCACTTTCGCAGTTGTATTTTGCTCCGGACTTGTACGAGCTAGTTCCGCAGCCGGTAAAGTGTCAGCGCTGCCACTATCCGGGGGATTTTCGCCCATGGTCGTTTTATTGATCAGGGTCTTGTGATATTGGTCGAGAATAAAATTGCGAAGTTGAAACTCTTGCTCTATGAACAGGCTAGAAGTTGCTGTTAGTTGTGCCCAAGCATACAAACGCTTGGCTACAACTCGGAGTTGGTGCTACTAGGATGTAGAAAACTTCTGCGAAGTCGTGTCATGCCACATATTCATCTCGGTGGAGGACCAATGAAACTGGTCGAAAAGAGAGCGAGGCTACCAAAATCTATGAAAATTTTCAAAAAACTGGGCCACAGTAATTGCTGTCAAAACAGGGGGGTGGTGGGACTGCGAGATGAAAATGATTCATTGATTGGAAAAATTCTGGTTGTGCTGCCATGATTGTGTGCTCAATCGTTGAAATCAAGTTCGTTCCTGCTACGGCGAGTTAAGCGAGGCATTTCGAAGTCAAGTTCTCATTCGTGCAACCGATATGATCGTTTATACTTATTTTCGCTCTGGTCGTTTACCGATACGCTTTTATATTGCAATGTATGTAGAGTCACAGTATAATTAGAGCAGGTCTGAATAGAAACATAAGCTCTTGTAGGCGATACTCATCGCGAGGTTTTGGCTGTGGCAACGTTAGATAGTAGACACTGCTTTTTTGTGAATGTACTTTCCGGTCTATCATTATGTGACCTCTCGTTGATACGAACAGCATAGCGAGACCAGCGGCGAAATATGTTCACACGACGCGGCCACGTCCGGTCCCTGTCGCCATTTGTTTTACCAGTCAGGGAAACAGTGCTGGCGCCCGCAGGCGATCTCGTCTGCAAGCGCCCCGAATGGGGTATGCATCTCGGCCGCACGCGCCCAACACGCGCGCCGGACAGGAAAAAGGCGGCGCGGCCTGCGCCCTGCAGTACTGCCGTGGGGGCGCAGGATCACACAGAGGCGCCGCGGGCGCGTGCTGCCTGCGGCGCCTGGCTAAGTGTCACCCCTACCGCCGCGCGCGGGCGCCCCGCGCAATTTGGCCACGCGGGCCAGCGCTGGCGCCGGCCCGTCCAACGGCCGGGGCCCCAGCACTCTGGGCGCCGCGAGACAGACTTTGCTGGGAAAGGCCTGGCTGCCGCCGTTGCAGCAGCAGAGCCGAAACCTTCTCGCGCAAACGTACGCCGCGCCGGAGGGCGGCAGCCGTTTCGCGGCGCGGCCTTCAAGATTGCGCCTGCTAGCTGCGCGACCGGAAACGGTGGGGCTTGCACCGCCGCAGCTCTCTTGTTTCCGCTTTGCGCCACCTGCTGCCGCTGCGGCGAACGTGCGCCCGGCCCGGCTCAGGCTTCTGGCGCCTATGTAATGCCGCGCGGTTCTTTTTTGGGCGCTGCCCTGGAATCTGTTCCCCCGGGTGTAGTATTCTTGCATGGCGTCGGTCTTTCACCAAAAGTGGCGCCCAATCATGCGGGGCCTAGCCCTGCACGCCGTGCAGTGCTGAAGGCAACCGATTCTCAGTGACTGAGTTCGGCCGGTCCTGAAAAAGGAGCCGAGTGGGGCACGCCGCGGGCCCCTCCATTCTCACTCTCGAAGAATATGGCGGCGCACATCGCCAGCTACTGCAGCCGCTGCTGCGGTGGCTAAATCAAGAGCCGAAAACCGGGCGCCGGCCGGAACCCCGAAGCATGCCGCCGCCACCTTTCTTCGCCTGTGCACAACGGCGCGGCTCGCTGCGACAAGCGCCGGCGAAACACTGCTCCCTGCTGCTTGCCCCACCCCTCACATCTGGCAGACAGGCGGAAGCCATGGCCCTCGGCCTGGGCGGCTGGGCACCAGAGTGCGGCCAATTGTCGCCGGAACTTGCGCCCGAAGTGCGACCCATTGTCGAAACGGATCGCCTGGCAGTTCCCGCCTGCCAACGGCAGCATAGGCGCCGCGGCTTACGCACTTGGCAGCGCGGCCGGCCGTCGCAGCCAAGCCGGCGAAACGCGGGCACGCCGCGCGAACGGCGCACGCTTTAGCCGGCGGCGCGCAGCTAGAAGCAGCGCGTAGATGGATGCTTTCCAAACGGGTCTGGGCCAGCTCCCTTGTCACCGCAACGACGTCACGCAACGGCGGGGAAGCCATACCGCCCTTTATTGCAGCCAGAACACTTCGCAAGACCAAGACACAAGGGGCAACGCCAAAACATTGTCGCGTTTGAGAAATTCAACATGGATTTTGTGTCCCGGCACGTACCTTGCCTTTACGCCTGATGGGATCGAAAAGTTCAGCATGTCATCGGCTTCGTCACTCCGAGAGCGGACTTTAATTTGCCTCAAAAAAAGAAATATTCGAACTATCGCATTCGTGATGCTATATTCAAAAAACCAAACTATCAAATTACGTAACACTTCATCTTAATGGTGTAGCGTGCCCAAAATTTTTAGCTACGCGTGAACCAAAAGTCGTAAACAGCATGAGACGATCAGATGACGAAAAATCGAAACAGATAGCAGGTTTACAGAGTCGATCTTACAGAAAAAAAGAGTCCACACTTGTTCAGCAAATCCAAATTTCTATTTCACCAGCAGTTCTCATAATACAAGTTCTCATAGCTTGCTTTGCAAATTGCAATCCCATTTCCGCCTCTTTAGCGATACCTTGACCACCTGCGGCCCTCCATAAACAAAATTCCAGTGCCCGCCCTCACAGGGTAGTTCCCTCTTCCTACAAACAAGTAACTACCGCTTCCCCCCGCCGCCGATGCTGTTCCCAAACGAATTCGCTCGTCTTTTACTCGTCACCACCGTCCCCCCGACCACCTGCAGCCCCACCGCCTGCAAATCATTCCCAAACTGACCATTGTTCACCCCCGCAGATGATCCACCCATCCCGGACTCCGCTCTCGTTCTACTGCCACTGTTGCTGTTTCCCGGCCGGGTCCCGTGACTCGGGGTCATGACTGCGTTGCCGGTTATTCCAGCAGAGAGCCCTTCAACTCCAAACTGGTTCATGTTGTGCCCTGGAACACCTCCGAATTGGTTATTTGATGTTGGGGCGGAATTCAGGTTGATTCGGCTGGACAAAAGACTGCTCATGTGGACGATATTGTTCAATTGGGACGGGTTCGAGGTGGAATTCCTCCCACCGGAGACACTGTTGTTCGACGCGGTATGCACTGCAAATATGTCTGGGTCTGGAAGGCTGGAAGGTTTGTCATGCTTGTCTGGCATGACTGAAGAGTTTGTCATGCGTGTCCAAGATGAAGAGACCCTTTTGCTTGTCATGCAAAACGCAGTTTGTCATGCGGAAAGCGCAACACCAAGCCGCGCAAATATTTCTCATGCTTGGCTGTGCATTACAGAGAATTCACTATTCACAACTCAGCATTACACGTTTCCAGATCCAAACGTATTTGCATTTGATACGCGGTGGAAGCGGACAAATTGATCACCCCCGGCCGGATCAGTTCTTGCACGTAATCCATCGTGTTTCCAGCGTTGTTGCTTTGCTGATTTTGGTTGTGATCTCTACTGCTTGAAGGAGGAACAGCTACTCCTTCTGTCGTGCTCGTCTCCCGCTCCGACATAGAGGCAGAGGCGCTTTCCCTCTCGGACATGTCGCCGACGGGCGTGTGGGTGGTGGACGTGGTGGAGGAGGAGATGAACCCTCCCGCTTGTTCACTGCCTCCCGGATGTTGTTGATTTTTGTTCGTCAAGCTCAGTCCGGTGACTAGCGAGCCAGCACTTGCTGTTCCCGTAGTTCCCCCAGTCGGATTCCGCGGCGGCCGGCCGGAAGTGGACTCAACGGAAGGGGTTGTCATAGTCGACCCAGGCGTGCTCGTCAAACTAGACCCACCTCCGTTTGGCATTAATGTCCCGCCTAGAGGTGGTTTTGTCGTGGTAATCGCCTTCGCGGTGATTCCCATACTACCCATTTGCATCATGCCATCCGATGTTGTTGGCGTGGAAGCGCTATTGCTGTTTCCCGCTCCATTCGCGACAGACGCGAGCATCTCGGTGTTTGTCATGCCGTTTGACGTACTTCCAGCGAAATTATTCTGGCTCGCCGCGACGCTTCCCTTCACGATCTTCCGCTTATCAGTTGCGCTGGAACTGCTGCTACTGCCCCCGGAGACGTGCTGACCGGTGAGAAGGCCCGTTGGGGTATTTCCGATGCTCGCGGTTGATGTACTACTGCCTCCGGAATTTGATTGCTGATGTTGCTGTTGCCCCATATTAGGAGGTGCTGCCTGGGAATGTCCGCCTTCGGTCAGAGGTAAGTGGCCTATCGTTCTCCCCCCGGTGCTTGTCAAGTTTCCGGCTGGGGTGGGCGTTCCGATGTTCGCGGGGAGGTAATTTAGCATGTTGTGTCCACCACTTGCATTGTTCGGATTTACCTTCCCCGACATCGGCCGTCGCCCCTTCTGCGTCGACGTTGTACTACCACCGGTAATTCCTTGGCCCATTGTTCCCTTTTCGCCGCCCCCCGATTGGTGGGCAATGGACAAACTCCCGGGAAGCATGTATTCCAGAGAAAAAAGCAGGCAGGGCATACTTGCCATGCAAAAGTAAATACACAGAAAAATCTGTCATGGGCGGCCCCATATCATACTGTTTGGGACACGCAATACAGACTTTTTTGTGTATTCCTTTTTGCATTTCAAGTATGACGTGCCTGCTTTTTTCTGTGTGATAGCATGGGATTCGCGCCCAGCACGAAGTTGCTGGACTTCCGGCTACTGTTGTTGTTCTGTTGCTGCGAGCCGTCCAGGGTGGTAGAATTGGTGGTGGAAGGAGGTTGAGTGGACCCGTTGCCACCGTCGATTAACGCGTCGACCTTTGATGAAGAAGATTTTCATTTTGTCATGCGGAAACAACATGAACTGGAACGCTTGTCATACACAAAAACCTTCTATCGGCAAAAAGTAAAAGAGTAACAACTTTAAAACCTATGTATTATACCGTAACAACCGCCATCGCGGCCTGCGGGTTGTTTTCCAAATGCTGCCGAACCAAAGCCGCTTATCAAAGTGAAAAAAGCCCCCACCCCATGTCGGAAACGGGAGATGCGCGAATTTGTGATGCTGTATTTGAGTACACAAATCGACTTGTATTGCTAGAAGGCCAAGAGACGAAGCTGCGGCCAAAATTGCAGGCAGCCTGTCATGCTGTTTCCCACTTCCAGTTGCCTCCTGTCATCCTGGAGCTGCAAGGCTTTCCCACGCTGGACAGCACTACAGTCCGCATCTTTTGCCTTCTAGCATCACAAAGCTGATTTGTGACCCCAAATCTGCATCACAGATTTCCGTTTTGATATGGGGAGGGGGGATTTTTCCTTTTGATACCGCTACTCTTTCCGTCTCTTCGAGCGTTATCCAACGTAAAAACGTCCCCACCCCAACAGACTTGTAATGCGAATCTGCAAGACCAAAATGTTTCTCATGCGCCGCCACATTAGAAGCATTCTCTAATGCTGTCTAGGACTTTGTCATGCTGAAGTTAGAATAAAGTGATACATTTCTGATGCGGCTGCACTATTGACTACGCAGATTTACTACACTGCGACCCCAAACTTGTCATGCGCAACATGCAAAACCTGTTGGTTTGTGTAGCAAAATGCGCACCGTGACTCTGGCGTGGGTCGTTTTTACTCGGGATAATCGTAACCGCAACGGAATCGATCGCTTTCAAGTTCGGGATATCAAATGCAACTATGTCTGGGTCTGGAAGATTGAAACTTGTGATGCTGTTTTTGGATTCTACATGAAATCTGTATTGCATGAACTGCAAAAGGGGTCCAGTTTTCGCTACGCGGAGAGGGAATTTCTCATGCTGTGTGGCCATCAGAAAGCATTTACAAACTCTGTGATGCCACAGCATGCATCACAGACATCATGGGTCATGCAAAATATGCATGAAAGACGTTGCATTTTTCCAGACCCAGACATTTTTGCAGTTGATACGGGACGTGGTTTATCAACTGGTAGCGGTACCAGTGCTTCCGCGCTATGGACGCGCCAGGATCGAAATCGTCAGAGTCGAAATAATTTGTCATGCATAAAATGCAAGCCACAAAAAACCTGTCTTGCAGAGTAGGCAAGTGAGGCAGATTGTAAGCTTATTGACGGGCAGAACGTGAGCTGCTAAAGTAGCATGACAAAAGGCGTCTTCCTTACCTGAACAGCATGACAGACTGGATTTAGGCTCTACCCAAATTTGTCGTGCGCCACTTGGAAACTGGCCGCCAACTGTTATCCGTTTTATGCATCACAAATTTTTTCAACTTTGTCGATTTTGATCCTGACGCTTCCATACGCGCGAACGGATTGTTGATCAGAGAAACTGTGTGCAACCCCCGAAGTTCGTTTATCCTACCGACATCGCGCAGCTCCTGGATCCGGTTGAACGCAAGGTTCAACACTTTCAGCCTCACCGACCGGAACCAATTCAAATTCGCGGTATTTTGCCCTTTCAACGGAGATTGCGGCATCTGGTTCTTCCCGTTTATTATGCAGTCACAAAACCTACTGGTCAGTCACTGAGGGGGGAATAATAATTAACTCGATGCTGGTGGAAGTGTTGCATTTCGATTTCTCATGGTCATGCGGATTTATTTTTCGAGAAATAACATCAGTGCACTGGACAATACTTCAACTTGAACTTCTTTACATGCAGTATGAGTACAACTAGAAATGCGCAAATAAAACGCTGACCATAAGTTAAGTTTGTATCTTGGCTTATCTTCCGCAAAGTAATTTATCACGCCGTTCTTCGTCACAATGTATCCCTGCGTCGCAATCGCATCTGATTGTCCAAACGAGGGCAACCGGTTCTCCTCTAAATGCAATTCCCGTAGTTCCGTCAGCCCGCGGAACGACTTGTCCGGCTCCACTAGCTTTATCTTGTTCTGGCTCAAGTCCAGAAACTGCAGCGACGCCAAGTGCGCAAAGCAACCGTCGGGCACGGACTGGAATTCGTTCCTGGCGAGGCGGAGAATCTTCAAGGATTTCTGGTTTTGCAAGGAATCCGGGATGAAAAACAAATCGGTCAGGTTCATATTGGACAGTTCCAAAGTTTCCAAGTGCTGGACCCCAGATAAATCTAATTTAGCCGGAGAAAGTTTCGTGCACCCGTTGAGACAGAGCTTCACCAGTTTTTGCAGGGGTTGCCCGTGGATGGAAACGGCGATGGATTCCTTTCGCTTGTTTATTCCGGTTTGGTTCGCTACCTGTTGGAGCGACTGTGGGCCCTGTTGTTGGTCTTGCTTTATCTCTTTACTCGTTTCACCGTTCGAAGTAGAACTTTCCGTGCCACCTGCTTGATTCGCCGTTGCCGGCGGCGCTAGTATCCCGAGTGCTTTGTTGGAAAAGTCCAACTCTAGCAAACCGGGGTTGTTGTCCAAAACCAGTTTTCTCAAGTGGGGGAAGAGTTGGGCAAATTTGATCTCCGACAAATCTTATGAAATGCAAAAGCGTCGCACTTGAATAAATACATTACAAATTTTCTCAGCATGAGAAATAAAATTTGCAATGCGGATTTACCTTACGAAAAAGATTTGTAATGCATGACTGCAATTACTACGAGTAGGATGCTTTTGAAGTTCATAAATCCCTCAACCTTTGGTTCGACAAGTCCAGCACCTTCATCTGCTGCAACACCGAGTTCGCTAACGGGTGGAGTTCGCAATTCAACAGTTCCTCCACTAATTCCACTTGTAGCTTTGACGCGAACAAGTGATTCGACCGGTGCTGCTCCTCTGTCGTGACAGAGATCCCGTTGAGAACTTTGAGTTGCTTCAGGTAGAAGATGGTTAACAAGCGGGATTTATCCCATGTAAAAACATCCCCAGCCCAGAGTTGTCATGCAGATTTGCAAGCACAAGAGCATTTGTAATGCGAATCCCCATGAGAGGCATTGGCACTTCCCATTGTGTTTCGGAACTTGTAATGCTGTAAACAGGATGAGGAGACGGATTTGTTATGCGGCTCTCCTTGCTAAGCTGCACTAGCACTACAGTACAGCCTGCAACTTGTCATGCGTGACTCCCAAAACTTCAAGGTTTGTGTTGCAGAATCCCCATCTTGACTCTGGGGTGCGAATGTTTTTACTCAGGATAGGATTTTTCCTCTTGGCTGTAGAGTGTCTGCGGCTGATGCAACGCGGCCTGCTGACTGCGGAGGAGAGTACTGCGAAGGTTCTTCGAGGGGCCCTTCGATGTTCCTGATCCAGTCGCGGTGCCACTAGTACCCGATGCAGCATTTCCAGCGCTAGTATTTTGGTTCTTCATCACACCAGTAGAAAACATCGGGGTTGCCGCGACGTTGGTGAAGCCGGTTATTCCGCTAGAAGAGCTTGAAGCAGAACTGTCATTCCCAGTCAAGTCGTTCTTTGACCCCGCGCTGTTCCTTCTGGCAGAGGACCGTGCTTGCGCGGTAGATGAATTCGACCCCGGCGCGCCGCCAACCCCTTGCCCTAGATAATCTAGTTCCGCGAGATTTGCTTGCTGCAGCATGGAGTTGTACTCGGACAAAATCCCCTCGTCCTCCTCGTCCCTCACGTGAATGCACTGCCGCCTTTTCGTGACTTTCTCGTAACTCAGTAAAAAGTTGCTCCTCGCCGTGGTTAAGGAGGTCTTCGAGGGGGAGGAACTTGGGCTGAGGTTCGCGCTATGGAAGCGTCAGGATCGAAAGCGGCAAATAACTTGAATAATCTGTAATGCATAAAACACAAGGAACAAAGTGCCTGTCTTGCGAAGTGGCAACGGCAAGTGGGGCCGGATTCAAAGCCTGCTTGTGGGTAGAGACCATAGAGCTGCCGAAGTAGCACGACAGAAGCAACTGTCTTTGCCCAAGCAGCATGACAGACTGAATTTCGGCAATGCCAAAACTTGTCATGCGCCACTTGGAAACAGAGGGTCCAACTGGTATCGATTTTATGCATCGCAAATCATTTGAACTCTGTCGCATTCGATCCTGACACTTCCATACGCGTTCGAGGAGACGTACATCTCGTCTAATAGGGATGTTATCAAATGTAAAAATGTCTGGGTCGGGAAGAGTGTTAAACTTGTCATGCAGGTTTTCCATGCCCCTTGAGGTCTGCAATGCAGGACCTAGCCTGACAGGTTCTTCGAAGTCTGTATCATGTCTATCCTGCATGACAAACTGCCTCTAAACTTGTTCAAAAGTGGACACCTATTGGCAATCATGCAACACAAATTTTTGTATTATCCAGACTTAGCATGACAAGTTCGCGTCTTTCCAGACCCAGACATTTTTACAATCCATAGATGTCTGAAAAGAACAAGTAGAACCCGCTTTCATCTTGCCCGGACTGATCACGCCGGTCGGCTTCTGAAGTAGATTCTGCCCGCCTCCTTTCGCAGGCGAGATGAAAGGACCGCCTTTGTTCGGAGACGATGTTGAGCTGTTCGCCCCACCAATCCCGCTGTTGACATTCCCCCCACCACTCTTGAAATCCTCGACTGAGAAAACCCCCGTCCTCCTGCTCGGGTAGTAGACGTTTAGTTGCAACACCCACAGTCTTGGTAAGTTTTTCAAATAGACCAAAACATTCCGTTTCAAAAAGTTATCCGGCTCGTCCTCAATCAGCATCGAGGCGGTCCAGTGGTTCCGCGTTTTGCTTCTCGTGTGCCTGATCCCGTCTAGATTTAAAGTGGAGGAGGAATTTGTTCCGCTAGTACTATCTCCTGAAGACGATCCACTTTGCTCACCCGAACTGGATCCGGATTCATTCGTGGTCTGTTCGCCACTCCCATGATTACCGTTCTTATTTTCACCAGAAGAAGCAGAGGAGGAGGAGCTTTCGGTTTCGGAATTCGCGAGAGAGTTATGAACCGAAGTGTTCTTCGCGACGGAATAGGATTCGTAGAACTTGTATCAAATGTAAAAATGTCTGGGTCTGGAAGAATGCAAGTTTGTCATGCTTGTCTGGCATGACTCTTAAATCTGTCATGCACATTACCAAAGAGCCCCACTTTTCTGTCATGCAGAAACGTAGTTTGTCATGCAGAATAGGCAACACCTAGAAGGTCAGAAACTTGTCATGCCGAGCCAGCAATTGTGGCCTCCTCATGATATGCCACACAGCATCACAAGTTTCCAGACCCAGACATTTTTACATTTGATAACTTGTACGGCTCGACCCGGATCAAATCAATGTAAAGTTCGACGATATCAACTGCAAGGATGTCTCGGTCTGGGAGATTGTGAGACTTGTCATGCTAGTCTGGGATGACTCCGAACGCTGTATTGCGTGGCCTCGAAGAGCTCCTCCTGCCTGTCAGGCAAAAATGGAGATTCTCATGCGGAGTAGGCAACTCAGAACCACGGAAAAACTCGGAACCACGTGCTAAGTATTGCCTTCCTTGCATCACAAGTTTATTCCAGACCCAGACATATTTGCAATCCATAGACGAGACTTGGGAGCAATTTTTGCGCCACGTGGTTCCCACCGACCTTGCAGATAATGAAGGACTCCAACGGGTTCCTTTGCAAGCAAAAATACTGCAACCGAGAGTAGACGACGACGTATTCCCTAGTCTTCTGCTCTTTTTCCTTCGCAGCTTGTTGTGTGTCTTTCGGCTCTTGTGAAGTAGCTTTGCTGTTGTTCTCCTTATTGTCCGCAGAATTGTTCTGTACAATTTGTGTGTGGGAAAATAAATGCGTAATTTCCTTCACGCAATTGTTGTTCCCTCTAACCCGGATCAGCGTCTGGCACTTCGATTCCAGACCGGAAAGAGATGATATCCTATTGTCGTCGAAAATCAATTCCTCCAAAATTGGAAATCCGTACCGGAGGAAGAGCAGGTTGGTGAGCTTGTTGCTACAGAGATTGATCTTCAAGACATTTTTGAAATCTACGAGAATCTGCGTCACGTTGAGAAGTATGCATTGCAAAAGTGTCTGGGTCTGGAAACTTGTGATGCTGGGTGGCGTATCATGAGGAAGCCACAAGTGCTGCCTTAGCATGACAAGTTTCTGAGTTTCTAGGTGTTGCCTATTCTGCATGACAGACTGCGTTTCTGCATGACAGAAAAATGGCGCTCTTGGGTAACGTGCATCACAGATTTGAGAGTCATGCCAGACAAGCATGACAAACATGCATGCTTCCAGACCCAGACATTTTTGCAATCCATAAGAAGCAGTTGGGTCGTGGTTTTGAGCGGCTTGAGTAGATGTTGAGAGGGTGCTGCTGTTGCGGTTGCTGCTTTGTTCGGCGCGATTGAAATGGCATTTCTCGTTTCGTCTTTTACACCGTCCTCCTCTTCCCCCTCGTCTTCGCAGCAAAGCGAGAGCCGATCCCACCAGACCTTGGCGTGCTGGAAAATTTGCAATGCGGATGAACCTGCATCGTCTTTGAGATGATGATCCCAATCTGGTGCAGTAGTATTAGAACTGCTACTACTTCCGCTCGCTGAATTAGTACTCATCCACGGCATAAAGCTGCTGCTCTTCAAACAGGCGAACAAATGTTCCGCGCAATTCCGCAACCTCTTCCCCACCTCCTGGTTGATGATATTGTGATTTCTCGAAGACTTATTTTGTGCCCCCAACACCCCTTGATGGTTCTCTGGATTCGGCCCGGTCTGGAGATTCAGGTTCGACAAATCGAGAACATTTACCCCCTTCTTCCACACGGACAGAGCTTGCGCGGTTTGCTGTGAAGTAGAGGACGTCGTTGCATTTGTAGTGTCTTTCTTGTCCGGGCTGGAGAAAGTGGATGCAGTAGCAGCACCTGCCCCACTTTTACCCGTTCCTGGTGTTATTCCCGCGGTGCTACTAGACCCCCCAGTTTGTTCCGAAGCGGCCCCGCTCGGCGGAACATTCGATGTTGTAGCTGCAGAGGCATTCTCCAATGCCGTCTGCGAATACTGGAAAAGCCGCTCCATCGCCCCCGCTCGTAAACCAGGAAGTAAGAACAGACTGTCCATGGTCGCACGACATCTCGGGTTGATGGCGAAAATCCGGTTCTCGAAAAATTCTAATTCGTTGAACTTGTCTTTTAAATTTTGCCGCTCTTTTTCCTTGCTAGAAGTTGCCGGCGGTGGTGGTTGTGAAGCAGCTGCACCTGCATCAGAAACAGCTTTCTGCTCCTGTTCTGCTGTTTCCTTTATTCCTGAAGCTCCAGCATTACCGCCTTCGTTCTTCGCCCCCGCCAGATGAGACATTTCCCCTTCACTGTCCTCCTTCACGACCATCGCATTTTTGAAAATCCTTCTATCACTGGTCAAATACCGTGCGTAACTTTGCATCGCCTCGTTCCCCACAGAACAGGTTTTCTGCGCTACCACCTCCCTTCCGGCTGCAGCGGCGTTGGTCACCACGGCGGCCCCCGTTCCCACCACCGGGATCTTCTGCAAGTCTAAATGCTGAAGCTCCTCGAAAAGGAAAACGATGTCTTGCCGGACCGTGTTGGAGTTCGGGTTGATAGTATTACTTGAGGTAGTTTGTGATGCTAAACCAGGATGATTCGTGGTCGAACCTGCGTGACTAGTACCGTCCAACTTCACCAATGGATTCCTATGCAATGCAAAAGCATCGTACTAGTATGAATTGCATTACAAATTAGCCCAGCGCTGCAAATTGAATTTGTAATGCTGATTTTCCTTGAGAAAGGGATTTGTAATGCGTAAATGCAATTACTACGAGTACGATACCTCTACACAGGATAATTCCCCTCGACCAGCAAGTCCGTCAACCGGGGGAAAACGTTCGACAAAGTTATCACTTCCTCAAACCGATCAATGTAGTTCGAGGATAAGTTCAACTTCTTCATCTTCTCAAACACGAAAAAATCCGGCAGCGGTTTGTCCAAATCGATGGACGGAGGTCCACCTGCGTCTTCTGCAGTTTCATCGTTCCCCGCGGTGGATTGCTGTTCCTCATCTGTCCTATTTTGCTCAGAAGTGATAGACGGCGCTTTCTTTCTTGCGCCACTTATTGAGAGGAACAATCCCCCCTCCCCATATTGAAAAGGTATGTGTCCAAAAATTTGTGTTGCGGATTTGAGGTCACAAATCACATCTGTCTTGCAAGAAGACAAGGGCAGAAGCTTCCGCCCCATTATGGAAGCGATTTGTCATGCTGTCTGGCCTAAAGGGGGGCCGTTTGCCATGCTGAACTACTAGACCCATACGCCCCTGCTTAGCCTGGGGATCTGGCCGCAGTGCCTCTGTGCAATACAAAGCTGATTTGTGGTCACAAATCAGCATCACAAATTTCCGCTTTGATATGGGGAGGGGGGATTTTTCATTTTGATACCACTTCCGCAAGAACTACCCTGCAACCCGCACGCCACCGGGAAGTAGATTTTTTTCAGACAGGACTCCCTTCTCGTCACGAACTGGATTCTATTTCCGGACAAATCCAGCTGCTCTAGGTGTAAAAGATATGACAGTGCACAACTCACCCTCTCCCTCATTTGTAATGCAAAATCCCAAATCCAGCTGCTGCCTCGTAGCACTGTTTGCATGACAAATCCTCGAAGCCCAAACAGCACTACACTCCAGTGCAGCTTTGTCATGCAAAACCGGCATTCTTTCTGATGCTTGTATAATTGCTGTTCATGCAATACAAATGAGGGGGAGGGGGAGTTGTGCAGTGTCATAAAAGAACCTCAAACGGGATCGCGTCGAAAACCGTTTCGAGCAAATTGTTCGCCAAACTCAACTATCAAGTGCAAAAGTGCCTGGGTCTGGAACCTTGTGATGCAAAAATTCCGTGAACAATAATTGCTATGTAATTATGCGCCGCCAAGCATGACAAGTGTTTTCGTGTAGTTTCTGTGCTGCGTATTTCGCATGAGAAACTGCGCTTTTGCATGAAAGGCGACAGGACCTGCTCTTGGTGGTCACGCAATACAGAGTGCAGAGTCATGCCAGGCTGACAGGGCAAGTCTCGCAATCTTCCAGACAGAGACACTTTTGCATTTGATATCAACCGCTTCACGTGCTTGAAGGAGAGGATGGCTGCGTCGGAGAAGGTATGAACTGCAAAAGTGTCTGGGTCTGGAAGGATGCGAACTTGTGATGCTGCATTTGGATGCTACAAAAATCTGTATTGCATGAACAGCAGAAGCGGTCCAGCTTTTGCCCCGGCGAGAGGGCATTTCTCATGCGGCATAGGCATCAGGAAGCCCTCACAAAATCTGTGAAGCTAGGGCATCCATCACAGACGTCAGGAGTCATGCAAAATATGCATGACAAACCCGGCAACATTCCAGACCCAGACATTTTTGCATTTGATAGAAGGAGAGTTTAAAGATTTTCAACTTACTCAAGTTGCAGATATTACCCGAAGCGTAGAAGGTGTTCGATTTGTTCTCATCGAGGACGAGCTCTTCCACGATTTGTACTTTTTCCGGCTTGTTAGTGGTACCAACTTCGTCGCGCAAGATTTCCTTTTCCTTTAACCGGGCAAAGTTCTGGTTGTCACGAGCAGCAGAGTTGTGATTTGCATTGCTGGTATTTACTTCGCCGAACAGCATTTCCGTCTCTTCCTCACTTGACGAGCTGCTCCACAACCCGACCAACTTCGTGTCCGTATTCACGATCCCGTGGTTACTATCGGCGGCTTGCGTCGTTGCACTCGCGCCCCCGCCGCCCGGAATAAAACCGCTGGCCGAAACTGCGGTCCCCCCTGTCGTCGTTGTTGTTGGTGTGCTACTGTTATAATCACCCCCACTCCCACGATCTCCCGAACCCGTGTTCACTCTATCTGTCGTGCTGATGGTGGATTTTGAGGGAGACTTCTATTAGAGTGAAAAATGCCCCCACCCCCACAGTTGCAAACATTTGTGATGCGAAGTTTCCAAATGAAAACTTTTTGTCATGCATGAAAGGAGTATGAATCTTTCTGATGCAGGGTCTAGGCGTATATCGCATCGCTTGCATGACAAGCGCCGCGCTTGCTGGGATCTTTTGCAATACAAATTTTTGCTATTCACGATTGGAAATCTGTGATGCTGATAGATGCAAGAGGGCGAATGTTTCTTTTTGAAAGATTTGCAATACAAATGCTCCTAAGTTCGGGGGTGGGGGCATTTTTCATTGTAATAACTTCGACCCACTACTTCCAAACTGGTCATTCGCTCTACCACCGGCGCCAGAAACGCCTTCTGTGCCAGAAGAAGCAGAAGAACTGGAGCTGCTCGAGGACACCTGATTCGCTCGGTTTTGGTGAGCACGTCGTGACGGAGACAAAGATGTTGCCTGTGGTGGTGACAAGCTTCTATTTGTTCTCAGACCGCCTTTCGACGGTGAAGACATCACCCCTGAATTCGCTGTCCAGAAACTTCTTAACGCTTTCCACGCGTTAGTTAAGTGGTAATCGTAGTGGATGGAGGAAAACCCCAACAAAGGATTTAGCCCAGGCATCTCTTTCGGCAACTGCGGCAGTTGCTGTTGCTGGAGTTGCAGTTGGCTACTGTAGCTGTTGGCGGTATTGGCCATTCCCCGCGTGTTCAAATCACTGTACTTCACATCCGCGAGCATCGTCACGATGTAACAGGGCACCACGTCCTTCATTCTGGCCCGGTAAAGCAGAACCCGGTCCCGGGTCTTGTAGAAAAACTTGGACCGAGGTCCTTCATTCAACAACCTTGGGGAACACTCATACTGCTCATCCGTTGTAGCGCGGAAGTTGGACTGTGTAGTTCCCCCTGGCGAGCAGTTGGATAAATCATTCAAGTCTTGGCTATTTACTCCACCAGCGGTTGTTCCGTCTGGGCTGTTCCCTTTCTGCTTCGGCGAATTTGAATTTGACAACCCGGCCGCCCGTCTTTCCTGCTGCCGTTTTTTCGCTGCTAAAAGCTCTTGCTTCTTCTTTTTCTCCCTCTCCAGCCGCTTCGCCTCTTTCTCCACGCCAGACGCCCTCCCCCGCTCGTCGGAAGACTCTGAAGAGGATTCATCGGACAAAGTGTTTTCGTTGCTCGAATTATTGTTCGCATTATTTTTGTTCCCCTTATTTTTCGACGCTGCTTTGTTGCTTCCGGCGGACATACCCCGACTCTGCGCGGATAAAAGTCTTTGCGAAGGACTTGTGGGGAGGAATTTTCGCAAAGCATTCACGTTGCTTATCGTCTTCCCGGTTTTCTCATCGACTGCGCAAAACCGGGAGCTCCCGCCCCTACCCGCGGTGGCCGAGAACCTCGGCCTCTGCCCCTGTCCTCCGGGCTGTCCATCCTTGTTCCCCGATACCATCGGGCTGGTCGTCGGCCTGGATCCCTCATCCTCCGTATCCTGCGCAAAAACGTCCCCACTCCATAGCTGCATGTTTCTCATGCGGAGCCCCATGAGAAGCGTTTTCTCGTCACGTTTTGGCATTTGTGTTGCTCCAGCTAGAATAATAGGCTAGATGCGTGACGCTGCTGAAAAAACTGAACAGGATTACACTACGAGGCAAAACCTGTCATGCGCAACAACCAAAGGTGGCAGATTTGTCTAGCAGATTTCCCATCTCGACTATGGGGTGGGAACATTTTTACTCAGGATACTCCGCTGCGGAACTGGAGGAAGACGCGTTCTGCCCACTGCTGCTCGATTCGTACCAACGCCGCACACCCAGGGGTTGTTGCTGTTGTCCTTGCCCTCCCGTTGCAGAAGAGCCCGTAGTTCCTCCTGGACTCTGCGAAAGTTGACTCGCACTACTTCCGCTTCCCTTCACGGTAGCTTTGTGCGCCAACGCGGATCCTGCTAGTAACTCCCGGAATATGACACCCTCAGAATGGAAATCCTCAAAGTGGAAATAATTTGTGATGCATGAAATGCGACACCAAAAAGGCTGTATTGCAGAGAACGCGATGGAGGTCGACTATTGTGCTTCTATGGGTTCAGAATTGGGCTGCTGATTAGCATGAGAGAAGGGCACCCCTTTGCCTAACTAGCATGACAGACACGTTTTGAGTGCCCGGGAAATTTGTCATGCGCCGACTATAAATGGTGCTCCAAGTGGAGTCGTTTTTTTGCATTACAAATTATTTTCACTTTGAGGATTTCCGACCTGAGGCTTTCATACGGAAACTGCTGCTCGTCTGCGGGATCAAACTGGAGGTTGTCGGGATTAAGTGCGAGCTCACCAATTCTGGCCTAGAACCGCTTATCAAATGCAAAAGTGTCTGGGTCTGGAAGAGTCATGCTGCTTTTGTATGACAAAGAAGGTCTGGCATGGAAGCTCTAGCATCACAGGTTTCGACAAGCCTCCGCAATGCCGAATCTGCATCACAAATGCCCGACTTTGGTGACAGAAAGTAGGCAGCTGTTGCTGACTATGCATGAGAGATTCCTGTGTGTTGTGAAATGCGCATCACAAGTTTGCATTCTTCCAGACCCAGACATATTTGCAATTCATACCGCTCCTTTCGTTGCTGTTCCCGATCGCGTGCTCGGCCATTGGCCGGCCAGAGCCCGAAGCGAAGTTCTGGTGGTGCACCGGCTGAGAATCCACGACAGAAGCAGCAGAAACCGTCGAATTTATTGCACCTCCAGAAACCACTCCTCCTGACAGAGAAGTCACCGCCCCCCGTGGCAACTGCACCTCGGGGGACCCGGTCGCGCGGCTCACGGGAGAAACACCAGACACTCCCTTGTAGGATATGCATTGCAAAAGCATGGCACTAGTATAGCTTGCATCACAAATTTTTTCGGCAAGAAGATCACAAGTGCGACTTGTAATGCTGATTCAGCTTGGACAAGACCTTTGTCATGCAAAATCGCAACATATTCACAAGTGCGATACTTTTGCAGAGCATATAGGAAATGTGCGACCGATTCAATTTCGCGGCGGAGATGGTTGGCGTTGTGTACCGCGGTTTCGTGTTTTTCATCCCGGGCGGCTCCCAATTGTCGAATTCGCGGTGGAAACATCTCTCGATGTTCTTCGAGGTAGGGATCTGTAACGGTTCTAACTCCTCCATTTGCTTCGTGAAGACCTTGCAGACGATCACATCAATCAGCATCCCACTCGGATTGATCCCCGGATTGGTGGTGTTCGCCCCACTTGTCGATTGCTGCTGCTCCATATGGGAGCGCACAACTGCCCCTGCCACTCATTAATTTGGATGGCACTTACAGCAACACAAGCTCTGGCAAGTGTGCAGCCTTGGCATGACAAATCGCCGACCGATAATCTTAGTGCTGTTCCGGATTAATGTTCCGGCACTTGTCATGCAAGCAGTGCGAAGAGGCACTGGGTAGTCTTGGCACTTTGCATGACAAATGAGGGGGACGGGGATCTGTACAGGCTCATACTCCATCCGCTCCGCTTCCATCCGCTCCTTCGCGATAAGTTCGAGGGAGTTTGTCAAGTAGAGAAACTCCGGGCGGTTGGAATTCAGCATGTTCGTTGTGTAGGTCGAAGTGGATTGCCCGTACTGCTGACTCCCGGGAGATCCCCCGAGAAAGGGCCTTCTCGGGGTGTAGGCGGAATTACTCGCAGATCCTCTAGTCGGCGAGACGACCGGTGTATGCCTTGCAAAAATCGATCCGGGTCTGGAATAAAGGTCGAAGTACAACCTGTATTGCGTGTCTTGCATTCCTGAATAAAAATCTGTGTTGCATAAGCAGCAGAAGTGCGGCCACGACACTTCCGTTATGCAAAGTCGCAGTTTGTAATTCGCACTACGCATGAGAAATACGCGTTCGAGAAACAAACTCGTCACCCCCCTCCCTACACTTTAAGACACACTCCATCATGACGATTCAGCATCACAAATTTCCAGCAAACCCAGACTACATATTTGCGGTTGATACGGTGTGTTCCGTATTGCAAAGAAAGATCCCCCCTCCCCATATTGAAAAGGTAGGTTTCCGAAAATTTGCGTTGCTGATTTGAGGCCACAAATCACGTTTGTCTTGCAAGAAGACAAGGGCAGAAGCCTCCGCCCCATTCCGGAAGCGGTTTGTCATGCTGTTGGGCCTAAAGGGGAGCCGTTTGCCATGCTGAACAACTAGACCGATACGCCCCTACCTAGCCTGGAGATCTGGCCGCAATGCCTCTCTGCAATACAAAGCTGATTTGTGTACGCACATCCAGCATCAGAAATTCAGTTTCGATATGGGGAGGGGGGATTTTTCCTCTTGATATTCCGCGTCGGGGAAATCGACGGGGTTCTACTATTGCTTTTATTCATTGTTCCATTTGCTTGTGGCGTATCCACTGCAACTATCCCTGGATGTCTGGAAGAATGCAAGTCTGTCATGCGTGGCCGACAAGACAGAAAAGTCTGCCATGCTTGGTGCGCCGCTACAGTACCACTTGTGTGTCATGTTGGGAGACTAAGGGCAGGGCGTCCCTGTTTATGCCAAAAGGCCATTTGTCATGCGCTTCACACTAGACATAGCCGCTCAGAAACTTGTCATGCGCGACCCCCTGATACAGGTTGCAACGTATCATTCGGGGACATTAGCATCACAACTTTCCAGAGGACCCAGACATATTTGCAATGCATATGGCGGCCTCGTCTTCGCATAATTCTCCACCTGCTGCACAGCGGAGACGGAGAGGGTGGGGGGTAAGGCTTGCGAACTGAAGAAACTCGAGTGGAGATGGTAGGAGCTAGAGCTGGTGGTTGAGCAGTTCCCCGCAGTGGTAGGTGGGGGAAATAAAGTAGTTTGTGACGCGGCGCTTGCAGTAGCAGAAGTTGTACTAGAGCTGCTAGCTGTGCTACTCCCTCCACCACCACTACCCGACACGTTCGCCAATGCGGTCCAATATCAAATGTAAAAATGTCTGGGTCTGGAAGCATGTCATGCTTGTCTGGCATGAGAAAAAAGTTTGTGATGCGTGTCCAAGAAGAGACCCTTTTGCCTGTCATGCAGAAACGCAGTTTCTGATGGGAAAAACGCAACACAAAGAAGTGCGCATATTTCTCATGCTTGGCTGTGCATTACAGAGCATTCACTATTCCCAGCACAGCATTACAAGTTTCCAGACCCAGACATTTTTGCATTTGATATCCAACTCTGATGGTCTAAACAGGCAGAGAAATGCCGCAAAACCGTCTCTATCAAATGCAAACATGTCTGCGTCTGGAAGATTCCGAGACTTGTCATGCAGATTTTCCATGATCCATGTCGTCTGGAATGCAGGATCCTAGCATGACAGATTCCGTGAGATGATGATGATGATCCCTAACATGCCTACCCTGCACGAGAAACCTCCTCGCAACTTGGTCAAAAGTGGACAACTGTTCTTTGGCATTCATGCAACACAGATTTTTGTACGATCCAGAATTGGCATTACAAGTTGCATCCTTCCAGGCCAAAACATTCTTGCAATGCATAGTTTCTATCGTCCCCGAATCCCCGCAGGAAAGGAATAGGTACTCCGGCTCTTCTCATCCTCGGTAAAAACGTTCCCACCCCATATTTGTAATGCAGAGCTGCATGCTGAAAGTGTTTGTCATGCGGAGCCCCATGAGAAGCATAAACCAGTCGCGTTTCGGAACTTGTGATGGTCCAACAAGCACGGCGCGCTGGTCTGTGATGCTGCTGAGCTAGCTACACACTATTGCACTACGAGGACAAACTTGTCATGCGCAACAGCCAAAGCCTGTTGATTTGTGTAGCAGATTTTCCATCTTGAAGATGGGGTGGAGACGTTTTTACACAGGATACTTCTGGGGGTAAAGTTATCGTGGCAGCTCTGTTGTACACTTTCGTACCCCCAGTCGCATCTTGGTTCTGGTTGTTCGTAGTTGCGTCCGTGTTTGTTGTATTGCTATTCTCCACAGCAGAAGGTGCGGGGATGGCAATGGTCGGCTGCTCGTCTTCGTTTTTCTGCTTGGGCCAAACGGGGCCGTGGGAAGTGAAGACGACGCCCTGTAGTTTGGTTTGGTATATATAGTGCGGTTTTGTGCATCACAAAATTAGCCTCTCGTGCGCCGCACAGCATGACACATGCTCGTTGCACATTCGTATCGCTCTGCGCATGTTGCACTCAAATAGAAATTATCCAGCATGACAAAAATGAAACAGTTTCTATACCTTCAGCCACCCCGCTGTCTCCTTCTCAGCGTGCATCTTTTCCTGTGCACACTCCACCCGCATTTGCCAAAACCGGTTCCGCACCCGAGAGATCTGTACTGGCAACACCGCGAGACACGTTTTTGAGGAGCTCTGCGGGAAAACTTTGGAGAGGAACAAATCGTATAACTTGCTCAGGTGTTACAATCTCAAACGTTACAATAGAATATGGAAATCTGTGATGCAGAAAGTGCATGATCTACCGTAGCCCCATAGGTTTGCGCATGACAAGTTTCGGCACCCAAACCCCATTGATATCCGGCAAAATTTGTATTGCGAACGGCGCAACTCTACATAACGTCCTCATGCTCTTTATGCAAGACAAAATCCGGAGTCTACTGTAACGTTTGGGATTGTAACGTTTGAGCAGGTCATAAATCGTTCAAAGTTTTTTTAAACGCGTGATCCTGGTTCGCGATTGGCTCCATAGCACACAACGCGACGGATTCGAGCTCCAAAAGCTTCGCGATGGTATCCCGCCTGGCCAAATCGGACAATTTCGACTGCAGGAACTTGTATAGAACCCGGAGCTGCTGCAAATCCTTGCACAGCTCTTTCGTCAATACGGTGCCGCTGCTGGTTCGGTGTTGCCTGTCGTTGCTAAAAGAAGAAGTCACCTGCGGCCCTTTGTTCTGCTGCAGAATCTCCGCTTCTATACGCCGGAACAGCGGCAGAATATTGGCGTTCAGCTCCGCGATCGCGGAAGAATCTAAATTGTCCCGCATGGAGTAAAACAGCCGCTTCTTCAAATACGCAATCTCCGCTTGGCGCAAGGTCGCGGAGGAGGACACAACTGCTGCTTGGTTGTTTGCGACAGAAGATGCAGTAGTGGTCCCGTCTTGATTCGCTCCAGTTGTTGTTGTGCTGCTAGAGCTGGAGGTCGAAGTAGAACTTCTGGCTTCCTTGGTCGTCGTGTCAGCACTAGTACCCGCTGTTCCTGCAGTAGTAGACCCACTCCCTTGCTCACCGGATTTGTTATTCTCTTTCACTGTCCCTCCCGCATTCCCACCACTTGACCCCGAAGCCACCACATCCGCCACTTTGATCTCGTCCAAAAACTGTAGCTGCCACCCCAGATACCGCAAGACGAACATCTCGTAGTTCTGCAGTAGGCGATATCCTGTGTAAAAACGTCCCCACCCCAGAGTTGCCATGCAGATTTGCAATTGCAGGAACATTTGCAATGCGCGTCCCCAAGGGAGGCACTTCCAGTCGTGATTTGGCATTTGTAATGCTGCAAACAGAATAAGCAGATGGATTTGTGATGCGGCTGTCCTTGCTAATTATATGCACTACACTACGGACTGCAACTTGTCATGCGTGGCTCCCAAGACTTCTGGATTTGTGTTGCTACGTTCTCAACTTGACTATGGGGTGGGCACGTTTTTGCATATAATAAGCAAATCGGGTTCCGGCCCCAATCCGGACTTGAAAACGACAATTCCGTGAACTGCCCCGGGAATTTATCGTGTGTAAAAACGTCCCCACCCTTCTCGAGCTGTAATGCAAATCCGCACGCCTAAAATGTTTCTCATGCGCATCCCCATGACGATCTTTTTCTAATGCTATCCGGGAAGAACTTGTGATCCTCTAATCAGCATCAGCTGATAGATTTGTGATGCCGCTGCACCAGCCAAACCCGACTACACTGAGAACTACTTACCCAAACTTGTCATGCGTGCCTCCCAAGACAAAGACTTCTGGATTTGTGTTGCAGAGTTTCCAACTTGATTATGGGCATGGGGGCGTTTTTGTGCGGGATAAAATTTCGAGAGTTCAATCAAATCCGCGAAGTTGTAGAGTAAGTTCCCACTCAAATTCAGCTTCTTCACCGTTTTGGACAGGAAAAGAATGTTGATGTTGTCGATCATGTTCCCGGCCACGTTCAGGTCCTGGATATCCAGGAAAAAAACTGTGTAAGTGTAAGTCTTTTGGGAAAACAGCATCACAAGTTTGTCTGCCATGACAGGAAAAACTTGTTATGCGCAGATAGGAAGGGAAAACACATAGGAAGCAACCCGATCATGCATGTTGAGCATGACAAGTGTAACTGTTTTGCATTTTCTGCACCACAGATTTACACTTACACAGTGTTTTTCTTGCATACTGGAGTTGGGGGAAATAGTGTGTTCCAGCTAAGCTCGTCAGTAGATTATCCGCGATCCATATTACAATGACAAATACCCCCACCCCCGAATTTGGGAGCATTTGTATTGCAAACCTTTGCAAACGAAACATTCGCCCTCTTGCATCTATCAGCATCACAGATCATTTCCAATCGTGAATAGAAAAAATTTGTATTGCGCAAGATCCCAGCAAGAGTGGCGCTTGTCATGCAAGCGATGCGATATACGCCTACACTCTGCATCAGAAAGATTCATTGTCCTTTCATGCATGACAAAAAGTTTGCATGTGGAAGCTTTGCATCACAAATTATTGCAACTTTGGGGGCCGTGGGGGCATTTTTCATTGTAATAATCCAAAAGGTCTCCAGCCGCGTCATCAGTTTTAGATGCCATATGCATTGCAAACATGTCTGCGTCTGGAAGGATCGAAACTTCTCATGCTGTTTTTGGATTCTAAAAAAATCTGCATTGCATGACCAGCAAGATGAGTTTATTTTGTGCTACGCGGGGAGGGCATTTGTCATGCGGAGCAGGCATCAGAGGGCCCTCTAAACATCTGTGATGCTAGGTTGTGCATTGCAGACATCCTGGGTCATGCAAAATATGCATGACAAACCCGGCAACAATCCAGACCCAGACACTTTTGCATTTGATATGCCAGTCGGAATGTAAATTCCGAATCTTGTTGTGCGAAACGTAAAGGTGTTTCAACGATTGCCGTGTCAACAAATGCAACCCTTTCAGATTCGTCAGATTGTTCTCATTCAAAACTAACTTCTGCAGATGGGGTAGTAACTGGTCGGTTGAAGAAGCTGCGGCGGAAGATGCGCCGGCAGAGGGCGAAGTTGAGTTGTTGTTGTGCTGCAGTGTCGAGCTGTTGATCGTCGATAAATTCTGCTGTACAATCGTCAACTCCTTTAAATTCTTAAACTGTGCTATCTCCCTCAACGGCGGGATTTTCACGCGATACTCCTTCAAACTGGCGACCGCGTTTTGGAAATTTTTCTTCGCGGTGAGGGTCCCCGCCGCGTCGTTGGGATGGGGCGCTGCAGCACTGCTCCCGAGAATGTTCCCGACGGACTGGGAGCCCTGCAACGGTAGGGTGAGTTGCCCTGGGTTGTTGTTGTTATGGGAAGTAGACGATCCGGCGTCATGGCTCGCAGAAGCACCACTTCCGATGTTCGCATTAGACTCGCTGCTCCGCAGCAATTGCCCAAACAGACTCTTGGGGTCCACATCTTCCGTTGCAGAGTCCGTGTTGCCAAAAACCGTATGCATTGCAACTGTGTCCGGGTCTATAAGATTGCGAGATTTCTTATGCTAGTCTGGCATGACCCTGAGCACTGTATCGCGTGGCCGCAACGGGCCCCTGTTGCCTGTCATGCTAGAACGCAGTTTCTAATGCAGACTACGCAACACAGAGCAACGAAAAAACTAGTGGCACGCTTGACGGTGCTGCATGACACTTTCCTCATCTATTCAATGACTTGCATCACAACTTTCCAGACGCAAACAGATTTGCCATGCATAAACCGTGATTTTCTGCAGATTCAGCGGCTCCTGGAGGTATCAAAAGGAAAAATCCCCCCTCCCCACATCAAAACGAAATTTCTGATGCTGGATTTGGATACACAAATCAAATTTGTGTTGCAGTAGAGGAATGCACACAGATCCTGAGCATAGGCGGGGGCTTTTTGGTGTAGGCGCCTAGCATAGTAGATGGCGACCCTATAGGCCATACAGCATGACAAATCGCCTGCATCATGTGGCGAACAGCCTGAGTGTGCCTGCTTGCAAGACAGACCCGATTTGTGGTCACAAATCAGCAACGCAAATTTTCGGAAACATGCCTTTCGATATGGGGAGGGGGCATTTTTCATTGTAATAGGAGGTCCTTCTTCCCGATCCCGGCGAGGGTGCAAAAAGTGGAAAATTCGGAGTCGGCGGAGGAGAGAGACTGCAGCGTCTTCTTGACGATGAACGTCTCCGGGTTGTGGATTATCATTTTGTCTGTACAGTTCCGAATTGGAATTTAGGATGGCGTTGGCGAGGCGGCTAGAAATGACAAAGAAACGATGGTGACAAAATCTTCCGCTTAGAACTTCTAGTTCTCTTCTCACCCCAGAAATCTCTACTCAAGATACTGGGTGATTAGAGCCGCGTGATACTTCTTCACTATCTACCATTTTGTTCTTACGCGCCAGACCCTACAAGTGCTATTTCTTATCGAGATCTTCGCACATTTGCTGTTGTAAACCAAACTACACTAGAGCAGTACAAAAACATCTGCAACCAGGAGGTCGGAAGAGATTCACGACCAAAGCAACATGGAAGTCGCACGACAAAATAGATGAAAAACTACCAAATTGCAACTGCGCTATCATCAAGCCGCTCCACTCGTGGTTCTTACCTCTCAAGGTTGTAGTCCCTCTAGTACGTAGCACTCAAAACTACGGCTGGCCAGTTTGCGTCCATTTGGGGAGTTGTATTGCGCTCATTTCTACTCTCGGTGCTACAGACAAAACAGAGACGAAAAAGAATTCTGCGAAGTCCGAAGTAGAAGGAGCTCCTGACGGAGAAGCGACCTGTAGTTGAAAATAACGGTGAACAGGAAAACGATACTAAGGTACTGGCTCCTCATATTACAGAGTTGCTGTTTCTTCGATAATTGTTCTCTTGCGAAGATCGAGGTGAAAATTATAAAAATGAGTTTTAGTACAACTTGTCGTCGGTATGGAAAAATCTACTTTTTGAATCGATATCACAATTCGGTGTATTCTCAGAATGAAAAGCGAAATATGCCTCTAGTGGGAAATCCGTGAAAATGTTTGGTGACGTTAGCACTTTTCCCGTCGTGGCCGTACCGAAAAAGCGCGCTGCTGTAGCGAAGCTTCTCAGCAATCCGCCGGCACCTCGTGCAGCCATTTGCACTTGTCGCCTGTTGTAATTTTTGAACAAGAGATAATCAGAACTTGTGACAACCTTCCTTGCAGCGAGAAAAACATAGACAAAAATAATTTTCCCACATAGTTTCTGTTCTATTTCTTGTGACGAACCATGCAAGAAGAGGAATATTAAATCAATACCTCGTCTGCATCCGCCGCGCACAAAATCCCAGCACGTCGGATCGTCCGCCGGCTCGCCGTCTGGGCCGAGTAATGGTCTTTTCTCCCACGTCCGCCCGTAACCCCACTTGGATCCAGCTCCAAGCTTGCCGTCCTGTTGTTTTCCAGCTCCTTTGCCGTCGGAATTTGATTTCCCGAACTTCCCCTTGAAGGAGTTCAGCAAGTCTTGTCCTTTACTTCCCTTGCCAAAGTTTACACCTGCGCCCTTATGTTGAAACTGCTCACCCATGACCGTAGAAGTTGTTGCACCATGCACCAGATTCGGCGTAAGTTGCTGCAAACCCTTGTGCTGTATTGGCGGTTGGTACGTCATTGCAGGAGCAACTGGGGGTGCGAACTGCTGTACGGAGTTGAATTTACCTTTGAAATTGGACAACAGATCATAAGATGGACCTGGACCGCCCTTGGAATTACTATTTCCCTTGGAGACGCCTACCGTCCCGGAGCTGTTGACCGGCGCCCCAGTAACCGCAGCAGCATTGATCTGTGCCAGAGTTTTGTGACCTCCCTTAGAAGTAGTTGCACCGCCAAGTGGAGCTGGTGGCACTGCTGTGGCAGCGGCTGCGTCGGCGTTGATTTGTGCGAGAGTCTTTGGGGGGGCACCTTTCGAAGTAGTGTTCTTCCCATCAAGAGAAGGCGCTCCCTTTGTTGTCACACGACCAGCAGCGGGGGCCACAGCACTCGCATTGATCTGCGCTAGTGTTTTCCCCGCCGCACCTTTGCCTGCATTAACACTGTTCACCTGAGCGAGTGTTCTACCGCCTCCTGTGGAAGTTGTTTTTTGTTTGTCGTTATCTTTTCTCACAGTGGTAGAACCAAAAAGGTCATGATCGGCTGTACTGTTCGCGAAGGGGTTGTTTGCGTTGTTCCCTACTGGCTTGATTTTCTTTCCTTTTCCTTTTTCATTGCTATTATTTTTTCCACTGTTTGTTGTCGTCGTCATTCCACTTGATGGGGGAAACCCCGGGGGGAGATTTTTGTTCACGTTCAAGGGCACTAGTGCTGGCCCGTTCGGGGTGTTAGCACCGCCTCCGGCACCACCCGCCTTGTTCTTTCCCGGTGGCGCTCGGATTGTCCTCTCCCCTGACCTCATATCAAATGCAAATAGGTCTGGGTCTGGAAGATTCCGGGATTTGTGATGCACATCTTCCATGAGCCATGATGTCTGTGATGCATGCCATAGCATCGGATATTTCTTCTAGAGGGATTTGCGATACGTCTACCGCATGAGAAATGCCTTCTCCGCGTAACACAAACTGGATTCCTGTTGTTGGTCACGCAATACAGACTTTTTTGGAATCCAAAGACAGCATGACAAGTTGCATTCTTCCAGACCCAGACATTTTTGCAATCCATACCTCATCACGGCCGGTGGGGGGCGAATCACGTCGGCCTTCTGTCTATCCTACGCAAAAACGTCCCCACCCCAGAGTTGTCATGCAGATTTGCAAGCACAAGAGCATTTGTAATGCGCATCCCCATGAGAGGCACCCCCCATCGTGTTTTGAAACTTGTAATGCTGTAAACAGGATAACGAGACGGATTTGCTATGCGAATTCCCTTGCTAAGCTGCACTACAGTACAGCCCGCAACTTGTCATGCGTGACCCCCAAAAGTTTTAGGTTTGTGTTGCAAAATCCCCATCTTGACTCTGGGGTGGGGACGTTTTTACACGGGATACTGTCTTTTTGCGGGGGGAGCAGCACCACCTCCCACCTCGTTTTTATTCATCCCGTTACTGTCGTTGCTGGAGGTATTGCGGGGGGAAAGACTCAAATCCAAAGGCACGTTGTGGTCCCATTTGCACTTGGGCGGACCCCCACGGGGGCAGACACCTGTGAGTGTATAAAGTGAAGCCAGTTGTATTGGTTTGTGCGTACAAGTAGAAAGATGCTTGATGCTGGCTTGAATCCACTGCATCACATATTTCTTCTATCTCGTTGGTACCATGATGGGAAATACACATGACAAAAATCTCTTCCCTATACCTGATTTCTTGTATTCCCAGCAGGTCATATCCACCTTATTTTCCTGCTTCTTCTTGTCATTTTCCTTTCTAACCCCCGCGTCCTTTCCCCGGCCCTTTGCCTGAAAAGAAGGATTTTGTGATTTGTATTGCGAAAACGACAGCATGTGATTGCACAAACCCCCGACAAAGGTCAAGAAAACGGTCAAAAAATCCCAAACAGCATATTAAAAAGAGATCGAATTCTATACCCCCACAGCTCCACTTCTCCCGGTCGTGCCGGCGGCGGCACCGGAGCTCGGCTTGGTCCCCCGGCTTATCAAATGTAAAAATGTCTGGGTCTGGAAGATTGGAACTTGTGATGCTAACTTTGGACTCTAGAAAAATCTGTATTGCATGACCAGCAAGAGGAGTCTAATTTGTGCTACGCGGGGAGGGCATTTGTCATGCGGAGTAGGCATCAGGAAGCCCGCACAAAATCTGTGATGCGCGGTCGTGCATTACAGACATCCTGGGTCATGCAAAACATGCATGACAAATCTCAGAATCTTCCAGACCCAGACATTTTTACATTTGATACGGCTTGTTTTCAACCCATCTTTGGCCTTACCGCCGTGGTCTCTTTTCCCCTTGTGGTCGCCACCGGGGGATGAGCCAAAAAGATTTGACATTTTGTCGCGAGCTGGTGGGAAAGGAAAGGATAAATGTGTGTCGTCAGGAAAAAGAAAAGAAACAGCCCAGGGTGGTTTTTATCAGGGAACAGCACAAAATGGGAACTGTACAATATTCAGAAGCTTCCACGGGGGGTGTAAGATTTGATTCCCTATTTTTGTTCGATGGAGCCACTAGTTTGTGAGCCAGGTCGTGGTTCCTGTACCCAAAATCCGTTCTTTTGGAGTCTTACGGAAGGAGAAAAATTTTCTGTCTTTCGTCGTTTTGAAACCGGCCCTGTTTTTGGAGGTTCTATTTGGGTTGATATCGTTGCCACGTTGCGAACGCAAAATGCGCCAAAATTATATTCCGCGGACATTTAAGTACTCAAGCCTGGCGTTTAGAACAGAAAGCAATGATCTGGGGTAAGTAGCAGCCTGCTGTAGCACATCTGTCGCGAAAAAGACATTTGCGGTCCTGAATTTCAGACAATTCAGATCCTTTCAGTGCGCCAAGAAAAATTACGGATGCTAGTGTGAGCCCGAAAAATCTTCCCTGCGCAGTGGTTTGCGGTCTCGTGAGTGAAAGTAGAGACCAGAAAAAATTTCAAAGTTTCTCTGCGTCTTTACAGCGCAGGTGTTGTGCAGTAGTGTGACTGACATCCCCGAAGAAGGAGGCTACTAAGCGCTGCAGCGTTGAGAGTCGCCACTTTGGGGGAACATAGAGCCTCCTTGCCTGGCCTTGCAACAATTTTTGCATCCTTGTTGAACAACAGGCCCAACAAGGAACACACACGGCTTGATACGCAGAGGCAGCATCGGATCGGATATTTTGTAGCTACGAAAATTTTTACAATTTCTCATGACGGTGAAGATCTTCAGCGACAGTCATTTTTTCTTTCGTTATTTGTTCTGTGCCGTTTTCTTAATCTACAGCTGCTGTTCTATGTCCTTTCTGCTCGTCTTCCGCATCATAGCATACGCGAAACAAAACTCAGACTACATGTTCAATACACTTGTGACAAAAATTTAGCTGGTACTATGTGTGATGCAAAAGAAAGATACCGTATCGTGGAGGTGCTAAGAAACTTATGGGATCGCTATTTGTTTACTCAGAATTATGCTGGACTCGTACTTGATGCAATTGCGGTTAGCTGTGCAGTTTATTTCTATTTGATGTCTACTTCTAGTCAACAAAGAAAATTCATTCAAGGCAAATCAACATATGCAGTGACTCAGGAGGGTATCCTGTAACGATACTATCGAAGCGTGAAGAAGATCATCATCCTACTTTTTCCTCTGCAATAAATGTGAAATCTCCTCCCGGAGAAAATCCGTTTCCCTCGCACAAGTCCCCACCGTCATCTTCATCATCGCAAATCTGCGGAGCAACCTCGTACTGGAACTACTGTTGTCCTGATCGTTCATTTATGCATTGCAGAAGCATCGCACTCGTAGTACTTCCTTGCATTACAACTTTACTCAGCATGAAAACTTAAATTTGTGATGCTGCTTGAGATTAAGAAGAACATTTGTCATGCAGGCTTGCAAGTACTACGAGTACGATGATGTTGCAATGCATATCATTTCTTTTTCAAAAACGTCCTTCTCAACCGCATCGATTTCCTCCAGGCACTGCAGAAAAACTTCCTCGACCTTCCGTAGTATGAGAGTGCACAACTCCCCCTCGTTCTCATTTCTCATGCAAATACCCAATTCCAGTTGCAGTTTCCTTGTATCACTGTTATGCATGACAGATTCCGGAAGCCCAAACAGTCCTACACTAGGCGCATGAATTTGTCATGCGCAAGCTCCGCGTGTGCTGGTGTTTGTATTGCTGTTCATGCAATGCAAATGAGGGGGAGGGGAAGTTGTGCACTGTCATACGTAGCCGGGCGTCGACAGTAGAGGACGACTCTGTTGATGACGACGGTTTATTCTCCTCCTCTACTTTTGCGAACACGTTGTTACCTGGTTTGGTTGAAGCTGCTCTTGTCGCAAAGGAAGAAGATGATGCTTCTGGTATGGACCTGTCAGGATCGAAATTGACAAAGTCGAAACATTTGTGATGCATAAAATGCATGACGCGAAATACATGTGTTGCAGAGCAGGCAAGTGAGGCCGATTGTAAGTAGCCTGTTTGGGGTTATAGCTCGAGCTGCTAAAGCACCATGAGAGAATCAGTCTTCCTCTTCTTTGCCTAAACAGCATTGCAAACTGGATTTAGGCACCAGCAGAATTTGTGATGCGCCACTTAGAAACTGGCTTCGAACTGGAATCCATTTTATGCATCACAAATTTTATTTCGGTTTTGTCAATTTCGATTCTGCCACTTCCATATCTGGTCCCTCGTAGTTATCTTCCGTTGCCCGTCGATCGACCGGTAGGGGTAGGTCTTTCATGGTATCTGATAGATCATTTTTCGACATTTCGCATGCAGACGCGGAGTTGTTGAAAATGTAGATCTAGATGATCAGCGATTGCAATCAAGTCAAAGTAGTGTGAATACCATGCATGTTGAGCAGAATCGAAAAAACCTCTGTATATTACCTTCTGCGAACGCGATTGTCTTTGACGATCCACCCTGCCGTTGCTGCTGCTGTTGCTGTGTTCCCCCCACCACGGCGCGTGTTCTCCTTGCCGAAGCAGATGAATTCGACCGGTTTTCCATTTCGGATCTTGCCGCCGGATGTACCGTTGCGCGGGCGGAAGAGCTCGTTGGTCGCGGTCCCCGTGCGGAGGGCGCTTTATTCACCGCGGCAGAGGCACCTGGTACATTCAGTCGTGGTTTTTGCATGACAAAAAAATCCGGCTCGCAATAGCCTGCTCGAATAAAATCGAATGTGAATACAACAAGCAAAGTCAACAAACCTTCATCTCAAAAAAGAACAAATACTGCTCGGTCTAATCGTTTTCCTGACCCCATCTGTACTCACCGTTCTCCTTGAAGAATTCTTTCCTGCATGGTGGATACCCCCGTTCATCTCGGTATCGAAGTCCGCAAAGTCTTCACCATCCTGCAAAAGCGTATTTGCAATGGTCGCACGGTGCGACGTATCGATCCCCGTTTGCAAAATCGTGCTCGGCCTGCGCGCGCATATCGGTGTGCCGGAGGTCATCATTTGTTTCACCGGGGAAGCCAGGGTCTTGGTTTTCAATCTGTGCTTCGACAGCTGTTTACTCCACCACATGGCGTATGCATTGCAAATATGTCTGTGTCTGGAAACTTGTGATGCTGAAGTGTGGATAACTGAAATACTTCCCAATGCAGCCAAGCATGACAAGTTTGCCGCAGACACTGCGCTTTTGTATGACAAAAAAGGGCGTCTTTTTGCTAGTCATGCAACACAGATTTTTAAGAAATGCAGGACTAGCATTACAAGTTCCATGCTTCCAGACCCAGACATGTTTGCATTTCATATGGCGTGCACATGCGGGTTGGGGTGCAGCTGCCCCGCACGGTGGCGCATGTAGTCGTTCATTTTTTTCTTTTTTTCAAACTAGTACAATCAACTACTCCGTTTCACATCAACAACACTTGTTGGCTAACAACATAAAAGCTGGAATTATAGGCGATTTTAGTTTTACACACAAGGCTCAATGCCGGGCGGTCAAAATTGCACACAAATTTTTGATTACACACTAACAGGCCAAAAGCAAAACGAAAAATAAATTGCTGCCAAAATAACTTGATGAAAACGTACAAAACAGGACCGGTCTAGTAAAACTGGGATATTAAGAACATTACACCTACTTCACAAAAACTACACCCCGTAGCCTGCAGAAGATTTTCTTTGCGGAAGGTGCAACCACAGACGACGCCGATATGAAGATCTTGCGATGAAAGACGAAAAGACCGGACCTGTGGGTGCCGCGCAGAGAAAAAAACATCAAAAAAAACCACGACCGACCATGACAAAATCGATTGCGATGAAAAAAACGACAAAGGAGAGTTTTGAGACGACGATGGTGCAACAAAGAAACTGACAAGAAATAGAAAGCATTTTCAGCGAGGCTTACAGTATTAAACACTGAACCGGCCTCTGCATTCTCATCTTGCACGCGCCTACCACATTTCCGTGAACTTTGGCGCCGACACGTCATGCCGTGCTCGGCCTGCGCGCGCATATCGGCGTACCAGAGGTCATCATTTGTTTCACCGGGGAAGCTATCAAATGCAAATATCCCTGGATGTCTGGAAGGTGGTAATTTGTGAAGATGCTGTCTTTGAATTCCAAAAAAATCTGCATTGCATGACTAGCAAGAGGCGTCCAGTCTGTGCTACGCGGGGAGGGCATTTCTCATGCGGAATAAGCATCGCGAAGCCCTCTAAGAGTCTGTGATGCTAGGGCACGCATTACAGGTGTCATTGGTCATGCAAAATGTCCATGACAAACCTGGCAATCTTCCAGACCCAGACAAATTTGCCATGCATAGAAGCCAGGGTCTTGGTTTTCAATCTGTGCTTCGACAGCTGTTTACTCCACCACATGGCGTGCACGTGCGGATTGGGGTGCAGCTGACCCGCACGGTGGCGCATGTAGTCGTTCATTTTTATTTTTCTTTTCAAGCTAGTACAACTACTCCGTTCTTTCACATCAACACTTGTTGGCTAAGAACATGAAAGCTCTACTCAAAATCCTGGAAAAATTGTAGGCGATTTTACACAGACAAGGCTCACTTCACCGCGCCGTCAAAATTGCAGACAAAAAATTTTTGATTACACACTAACAGGCCAAAACGAAAAAATTGCTGCCAAAATTTATGAAAACGTACAAATAAACAGGAACGGTCTAGTAAAGCTGGGATAAAGAAGAAGATTACACCTACTTCACAAAAACTACACCCCGTAGCCTGCAGAAGATTTATTTCTTTGCGGAAGGTGCAACCACAGACGACAACGACATAAAGATCTTTCGATGACAGACGACTAGACCGGACCTGTGGGTGCCGCGCCGAGAAAAAAGTATTTAAAAAAAACCAGAACCACGACCGACCATGAAAAAATCGATTGTGATGAAAAAAACGACAAAGGAAAGTTTTTAAATGACGATGGTGCAACAATAAAGCTGACAAGAAATTAATAGAAAACATTTTCAGCGAGCCTTACAGTAAACACTGCACCGGCAACCTCTCCATTCTCATCTTGCACGCGCCTACCACATTTCCGTGAACTTTGGCGCCCGATACATCAGCCTACGTCTGGCCAATAAAACTCGCTTGTGTTGTACTTATTTCTCTTGCTGTTGTTTTGGTTTTAACAAAAACTCAAATTTTTGTCGAATCTCCAGCCAATTCCCCAAGACGCTTAGTGTACGAAAATGATTCTGGTTTTTTCTATTTTCCAGTGAAAAAACAAACCGATTTCGAAACAAAATATCGACCACGACGAAAGCTGTACAATTAACAGCTCGACATGATGCAGTTGTCATTAAAACGAAATAAAATGGTGTAGTATAGTGCTCGGAAGCACCATGCCTTGAACAAGTTTTAAACAAGTACTAACGAGCAGAATTTTTGTTCCACTTCTAGATGAAACAGTAGCTTATTAATACCGACGAGTACCATAGAAATCTTCACCAAAAGACTACTACTAACAAAGCCCCCTAGAAGTAGTACATCACTTACTTTTTCTTTCCCTTTTTCCCTTTCTTTCCCTTCTTCCCCGCATTGAGCGCCGCCATTTTGGCAATATACGCGCGGCCTTCCGCCTGGAGAAAAGAATGTCATATGTAAAAACGTCCCCACCACAGAGTCAAGTTGGGAAATCTGCAACGCAAATTACTAAGCTTTGGCTGTTGCGCATGACAAGTTTCAGTTCGCAGGGTATTAATCCTGTTCAGCTAGTGCAGCAGCATCACAAATCTAGCACCTCATGCTGATTCGAGCATCACAAATTTCAAAACAAAACTAGAAAATAAGTACGTCTCATGGAGCTCCGCATGCGAGACATTGTAAGCATGCAGATTTGCATGACAACTACGGGATGGGGACGTTTTTACACAGGATAACAAAATCCCCTTCGCCATGTCCAATTCCTGTCCGGAGCGCCACTTCTCGACCTGTATGCATTGCAAATACGTCTGGTTCATCTGGAATAACTTGTAATGCTGAGCTGTGAATCGTGAATGCTCTGTATTATGCACAGCCAAGCATGAAGATGAAAAATAGTTGCGCGGCTTCGTGTTGCGTTTTCCACATGACAAGTTGCGTTTTTGCACGACAAGTGGCCAAAGGGTCTACTCTGCTTGGACACGCATCACAAACTCTTCAGTCATGCCAGACAAGTATGACACACCTTGCGTCCTTCCAGACGACCCAGCTCGATATTTGCAATGCATAACCTGCAACAGAAATTTCTGCTCCTTCTCGACCTCCTCCTTCTTCTTTTCTTCCGCAACAAGCCGCTGGTATCGCGAGGAAAAAACTGCTTCACTGTGAACTTGTGATGCAGAAAATGGAACAAAGAACTATCTGTCTTGCTACACCTGCAAGACATTGCATTTCCAAGCGTGTTTTCCCTTGGGAAGCGCGCATGACGAATTTTCAGGTCTTCCACCGTGCTGCTTATGAAGTAGGAGTTCTGGCATGACAAGTTTCTCATTCTACGTGACACCAGAGAAGTAAATCTGTATCTGGCAACATGCGTGCTACTTCCTAGAGAGATGAAACACGGGCATCAAATTCAAAATTCCACATCCACTGTCAGACTTGCATATTTATTCTAGCAACTACACAGCCGGTCATCGTGTATTGCAAAAAATGCTCTGCAACTACATCTTCACAAATTCAAAGTCAAACAGTTTTTTCCTTTCATAGCTCCCGGAGTTCGTGTAGGCGCGTTCTATGCATTGCAAATATGTCTGGGTCTGGAAGGATGCGAACTTGTGATGCATGTTGCGGATCGTACAAAAATCTGTGTTGCGTGACTTGCAAAAGGTGCCCATTTCTGACCATGCTGAGAGGGCGTTTCTCATGCAGAACAGGCATCACCAAGGGGCTGCAGATCCTGTGATGCTAGACCCTGCACTCCAGACTTGGTGGAGCTTGGATAAACTGCATCACAAATGTTCGGAATCTTCCAGACCCAGAGATATTTGCATTCGATACGTTCTGGTCGTATGTGATTCGTCCCGGATTTTGGTCAGCACTTCCTGCTTCTCCGCGTAGTCTTTGTCGTACCTGTAGTTCATTTGTGTCGCTCTCGATGCTGGTGTTTATGTTGAAGCATCAGAGATATTGATCATCGGTGTAGTAATAGTTTTTGCATCACAAGAACTTCTCGCGGCCAGAATGAAGATGTAGTTGTAGAAGTACGTCACAAAACTATACTTCTCCGCCCATTCCACTCGCTGCGCCGTCAGGTCTTCTAACTTCTTTGCCAAGAAATCGTGGCTCTTGTCGTGCGCGAGCTGCTCGTCTCTTCTTGTCCTCTCCAAATCTTCCACTTCGGTGGACAGTGTGCCCTGAGGTTAAATAAATTTGAATCTTCAAGGTGTTTTATTTCTTGTCATGCGAAATAACAAGTAGAACCATCACAATGCCAACGGAAGATGTTGAAATGGTGTTATATTTCTTGTCATGCGAAATAAGAAGTAGAACCATCACAATGCCAACGGAAGATGTTGAAACTTCTACTACCCTCATAACAAGTAGAACCTCTCGTAGTACCTCTTTCTGCCCCAGCATTCTTGCCAGCCCCTGTTCCTGTGCTTTCAACTTTTTCTCCTCGGTGTTGAGCAGTATTCTTGACTCCGCTTTGTGTTTCGTGAGCTCTTCCTTCAGGGTCCGGATCTTATCCAAGAAAAAACTGTGTCCGTGTAGGTGTCTAGGGTGACAGCATCAGAAACTTGTTCTACATGACGAAAGAAATCCACCTGTCATGCACAGCTAGCACGTGAAAACTCAAGTGAAATAGGGCCTCGTGGTTGGCCAGCATGACAAGTGATAATTGTGTTACGTACTTATGCATTACAAACTTACACCTACACAGTTTTTCTCTTGCGTAGATCTCCTGCATCGTGTATTTCACCTCCTTGTCGTACTCGGAATACTCTTGTGCCAGCTCCTGCTCTATCAAATGCAAAAGTGTCTGGGTCTGGAAGGTTGGAACTTGTCATGCTAAATCTGAATCACGCAAAAATCTGCGTTGCATGATTACCAAATGCTGTCCACTTTTGTTCAAGTTGAGGGGCAGTTTCTCATGCAGGATAGGCATGACAGTGATCTCACGGAATCTGTTATGCTCGGTCCTCCATTACAGATCATATGGGTCATGGAAAACCTGCATGACAAGTCGCGCAAAGTTCCGGACCCAGACACTTTTGCATTTGATATGCTCCAGCCTCTTCACGGTGAGCGAAACCTCCTTCTCCCGTTTCTTCACTTCGAAAAGTAGGTCCTGATAAAGTAGATTTTTGTCCCTGATAATTCTTTTCAGCAGTGTAAGATTTGGGTAGTCAAGAATTGGATAGCTAAAAGTTGGATAGCTAAAAGTTGGATAGCCAAAATTTGGATAGCCAAAATTTGGATAGCTAAATGTTGGATAGCCAAAATTTGGATAGCCAAAATTTGGATAGCCAAAATTTGGATAGCCAAAAGTTGGATAGCCAACAGCAGTTGGATAGCCAAAATTTGGATAGCCAAAAGTCGGATAGCCAAATTTTGGATAGCCAAGATTTTGGATAGCCAAAATTTGGATAGCCAAACCAGTTTGGATAGCCAAAATTTGGATAGCCAAGATTTTGGATAGCCAAAATTTGGATAGCCAAACTTTGGATAGCCAAAATTTGGATAGCCAAACCAGTTTGGATAGCTAAACCAGTTTGGATAGCCAAAATTTGGATAGCCAAGATTTGGGTAGCCAAAATTTGGATAGCCAAGATTTGGATAGCCAAAAGTCAGCTGCCCTCGATCAGCGAGGTAGACACGGGCTCGCGTAAAGTTGCCGCAAACGACAACCCCGCCCCCACATTCAGCATTGATTCCCCTAGAAAAGCAATGTTGTCTGCAAGAAAAAACAGCTACTAGTGGTCCATGTTCGTGCATTACAAAAATCTCAACCAGGCAAAAGTACCTGATCCTTCCTTTCTGCCTCTGCTTTCGCTACTAGATGGGAAAACCCTTGCTCCCCGGGTGGCCGCAACAACTCTTTCTTGCTGTCATCCAGGAGCGTATGCACCCGCGCCCGCTCCTGCATCATTTTCAGCAAATTTCCCTGCGCGTTGGGGTTTTCTTTTAAATTTCGGCACAGCGCCTGGTTGGACTCCCGGAGCTTGGAGGAAACTTCCACGATGTTCTTCTGTACTTTTTCAAACTCCGATTTGTTCATCAACCCCTTCAAAGTACCGCGCTTGTGGATCAGAGACTCATACTGCTTCTCGAGCCCGCGTTGTTCCTGTAGTGATGAGATTTTATTTGTCATGCGGTTTTTTGCATGAGCCGTTGCGGAAGTGATAGCAATTTGTGCATGACAAAGCTGCAACCTATTTACGTATCTATGTATACCTCGATGATCCTTGATATTTCGTCGCCCATAAATTGCGTCAGTTCCTCTCCCGTGGATGCGCCACCGAGGTTTGTCAGGAAAGAAAGCTTTTTCAAAGCATTTTCCACGAGAATCTGCGCGCGCAGACTCTCCACCGGGTTCAGCTTGTACATCTTGGTGGAAGTGTTTTTTTCTAATCAGAATAATGGCGAAGCATCATGATGTTGAACAAAGCTTCTCTGTGACAGAAACAAACTGCGTGTACTCTCCCTACAGGTTCCGCACCAGCATTGTATTCGGAACTCAACGAAACAAGACGCCGTAAAGACGAAACGAAAAAAACGCAACGAAAACAAGGTAGCGCTTGGCACCACTCTCGGAGGCAGAAATGTTCGTACGTGGCACTTCATACAACTACGCACACGCGGCACTGCACCCTGGTGACCCTCTCACCCTCACTCTCTGCCGGTTGAAGGTGCCCGAGCTGCTTGGGCCCTCGTTTTTCCCGGATACCGGCTCCTGAAAATGAGTTTGTTCGTCGCTCTCAGAATGAATAGTTGACCACGACGACGGAGCGCGTCTTCCGGTGAAATAGCAGACAAAGCACCAGCAGTGCTGTGAAGACTACACTATGCAGTCCGAAGATCACCTGCCGGACAGGAATGCCTCCTCGCAATTGATAGTCTGCTGAGGAGTGCTACCTTTAATATTTTGTGTACTTTTGACTGCCGTTGTTCACTGCAATAAATCTCCGTCACAACAAGTTCTTGGAAAGTAACTAGTGCGCCACACTTTGACGGCGCGCCAATCACACCAGAGAGGAAAACCGGTATGCTATAATGTGTACAAAAATCCTTCTACTTCTTGCCTGAAGTATCGCCTCATCTACTCTCTACTTTCTAATACATATACATAGCAGCACAACCTCTGCTTTATCAACTCTATTTACTTGTAGTTGCCGCCAATCTCGAACTACTGGGCCTTGAGCTATTCGGACAAATCTGCACGATTTTACTTTTCGATGTGATGATCTGACTTCAGTATTTGTATTTGTGTTTGTTTTGATGTTTGTGTTCATAGTTGTACTTTCGCAAAAATAGAAGTAAGTATCCAAGTTTGTCATGCTATAGAGAAGCGCAGCATCAATTTGTCATGCTGCACCACCTATCTACAGCTCCTGTTTCGTCGATTCCTTTTTCGCCATCAGCGCCTTCCAGCTTAGCGACGTCTCGCCGCAATTGTTCTTTGCGTACATTTATGCATTGGGGCAAAAGTTTATCGTACTATACTAGTGGAAAAACTTGCATCACAAATTTGTTTCATCGTTAGAAGGAGAAATAGAGTTTGTCATGCGGTCAAACAGGTATGGAAAAGAACTGCTCTGTCATATGCAAGATTGCGATTTAAGTATCAGATAGTACGATAGTCTGCTGCACCACAGGATAACATTTCAAAGTTTTCGTGTTTTTTGTAACTCCCAGTGAAGATCCACTTCATCATCTGTCTGCTCGTCCCTGGATCCACCCCAGATGCGCAGTGCAGACTCGCGTTGGGCCGGACCATGAGGAGTGTGTTGGGCTTCGGATTGATTTTGTGCTCGACGCCTGGATTTTTATGATGGTGTGAACATTTGCTCTGAATACTTAAGGCATCAATAAAACTAAAACACGACTACACTCATTAATTATCGTTTTGTAGAAAAAAGTTCTATCCTATCACAGGCTAACAAGATGAAGCCTTTACAACTCGGACTCGCACCCACAAGTAGTACAACTTAAATGTGAGTTTTTACCTGCTCTGTCAGTGAAAGACACAACGTGGCTGGGACTGTTGCTGGCCACGGTAAAGGCAAACTCGGCGTCAATAGAGTCGTCCGCGTAGAGTGCCAAGTCGCGGTGACACCGCATACCATTGGACCCGTCCCCATATTCCCGCAGCTCCAGGGGGAAGTCGGACGCCCACATGCGTTTGCCGTAGATGTAAGAAACCCAGTACTGGAGGGAGGGATTCCGGTAGATCAGCTGGTAAAACGTGTTTTTATAATCTAAATCGTCCAAAACGTAACCCCCCAGCCGATCCCGGCCATCTAGATTGCAGTTCGGCTCCATTTCGCTGGCCTGCCAGAGCCGGTGCGACTCCTGCTCGATTTTGGCAAAGGTCTCCTCGTCAAAGAAATCCTCCGCGATGACCAAGTCGTAGTTGTCTACAAATTGCTTTTTGTACTCCGGAAGCAACTTCAGATGCTTCGGATTGATCCCCGGAAGCTTGAACGCGAGATTCGTTACGTTCACCGCTGCTGTACTTGTACTACTTTGTAGTTTCTCGACTCTCGTTGCAGCAGCAGCTCCTGCAGCTGTTTCTCCGCTGCTCCCGCTCGCCGCCGCCGCTTCCAATTTCTCCTCTGCGTCGTATTCTTCCGCTACTAAATCCTTCGGAAAAGAAAACTCCGGCGTGAACATGTTGTACGCTCCTGTTGGACTATATGCATCGCAAAAGCATCGTGTACTAGTAGTGATTGCATCACAGCTTTCGTCAGAGGAAAAATTATGAAATTTGTCATGCAGAAACAGGTGAAGCACAGAGATCTGTCATGCAAGACTGCAACTCGTACAAGCACAATACTTTTATTTTTGCACAGGATAGACTACCACCCTCTTCCGTCTCTTCAGCCTGTTGCTCTATCTGCGCCAATTTCTTCGTCTTCCAGGGTAAATTATTCACGTATCGCAAGAAAAAACTGTCTCAGTCTCAACTTGTCATGCGGAACTTCCTTGACGCAGTTTTTTGTCATGCTCGACATGCAAGAGAAGGGCACTCCATACGTGTTTTCTCTTGCGTGCGACGCATCACAGATTTTGCGCGTCATGCGGAGGGAATTTTTTGTAATGCTGAAACCGCAAAGGCTCGAGACTGAGATACTTTCTTCGTACGATATCACGTAGTCGCCCCGTAACAGCAGCCCGGTATGGATTGCAAAAGCATCGTACTAGTATAAATTGCACTACAAATTAGCCCAGCATTACAAAATAAACTTTGTAATGCTGATTTACCTTGAAAAAGAGATTTGTAATGCATAAATGCAAGTGCTACGAGTACGATACTTTTGCACAGGATACCCGGCGGACCGCAGCAAATCCGGGTCGGCCTCCTCCAAAATTTTCGTGCTGGTATTACAGTGAAAAATGCCCCCATCCCGGAAGTCGCAAACGTTTCTCATGCAAAGTTTCCAAATGACAGCTTTTTGTCTTGCATGAAAAGACTACGAGCCTTTATGATGCAGAATCTAGACGCGCAAAGTATCCGCTGCATAACAGATCCGCCTGCTGTTGGGCTCCTTTGCAACACAAATTTGAGCTATTCAGCAGGGAAAATTTGTGACGCTAAGATACGCAAGACGGGGAATGTTTCCATTGGAAAGGTTTGCAATACAAATGCTGCCAAGTTCTGGGGAGGGGGCATTTTTCACTGTAATAGCTGTTCAGCGGTTCCCAGTGAATGGAAGTGTCGTTCTCGGTGATTCGTGGTCTCAAATGCTCCTGCTGCCAGATAACTTCCTCCCGAAGCACCACCGGGATGCCCTGTACCTCCGCGATCAAAGATTCTTGCAGCCCCGCACCGTACTTGTCTGGTGAGAGGAAAGGATCTTCCGGGAAGGGCGGACCTGTGGTAAGATGTAAAAACGTAATAACGAGCAATTAGTGGTGCGTCTACAGCTCCAGCATGAGAAGTAATAATTCCTGCAGGCGCAGACCATTTTATCATATCTGCATCGAAATTGTTATTCAAAACAAACTACGTCCGTGGTGCTTTCTGTTTTTCGGTTTCCCGTTTGCAGTTTCGTGGGTCTCGTACTTCAAATCTGGGTGCGCCGAGCCGGGCACCGCGAACAGCGTCATCCCGTACTTCCCTGCGTCCACCGTGCACGGCTTCGCCATGTCGTGCCGAACCATAGCGTAGGTCAAAAACCCGCGGAACTTCTTCGCGTACTTGGCCAGCACTTTCTCGCTCGGGCAGAAGTTATGTGTGTTGATGTCGTATGCATTGCGAGTATGTCTGGGTCTGGGACGAGAATGTCATGCAATTTTTGCATCTGAAGAAAGATCTGCCATGCACATGGAGCATCACAAAACGCTGCCTGGTCTGCATGAGAAATGCCCACCTCTTCTGGAGACAAGACGCGCACAACATCTTTTGCTGACTACGCAATACAGATATTTGTCTGTTATGCAGAGTCTGCATCACAAGTCTGTACCCAGACGTATTTGCAGTGGATATGTCGGTGCCGGTGATGGATCTTCCTATCATGTCCGTGTCCATGTGCGCGAATTGGTATGCAAGAAAAAGACTGTGTAAGTGTAACTTTGTCTTGCAGATGTTGCAACACAGTTACACTTGTCATGCCGGATATGCATCAGAGGCTATTTTGGTACGTGTTTTCGCATACTAGCTACGCATGACAAGTTTTCTGTCATGGAAAACAAATCTGTGATGCTGTTCCTGCAAAAAAGTTACACTTACACAGTTTTTTTCTTCGATAATTGGATCCCAAACTGTACTATGCAGTGGCGCAAAAGTTGTTTTAGCGATTGGAAATCATGCAACACAGATTCTCTCTCTCATATTACCGAAAACAGCATGACAAGCTGCTCCTCCCATTCGGTCGTTGAAAAATTTTGCAGAAGACCTCCAGGGCAGCCAATGTCCAATCCGATAGAACAAGTACAACTTTTTCCATGCCTATCCACCCACGGTAGGTCGATCCGGGTGACGTGCTTCTGCAGAATCCGAAAGTACTTCTTAATCGGGTCCTTTTCCTCGTGGCCGTCGTGTTCTTTAATCTTGACCACTTCCCGTTCCAGCTGGTTCGCGATGCGGTCCAATAACTTCTTGGGGAAAACTATGAGAGTGCACAAGTCCACCCCCTCCCCCTCATTTTTACTATGGCAGAAACAGCAACACAAGCGTCGGCAAGCATGCAGGTCTTACATGACAGATCCACGACCCAGGATAATTGTCGTGCTGCTTAAGCTTTCAGAACTTGCAATGCGAAAAGTGCCAAGAGGTAGAGGGTGCCTTTGGTAGTTTTTTGCATGACAAATGAAGGGGACGAGGGGGGTCGTTGTGCGCTGTGATAAAAATGATCAAGTTCGCCTCGTACCGTTCCCACGTGTCTCGGATGGTGGCTTCAAACGCGAGTAAATCGAACTTCGCCTCTTTCCACTGCACGTAGGAGTTTTCCAACACGAGAGTTTTATACGGCGCAAGGGGGGTATGAGAGTGCGCAAGAACTCTTCCTCCCCCTCATTTGCAGTATGGCATGGACAGCAATACAAACACCAGTACATGTGGAGCCGGCGCATGACAAATTCATGTGTAGTCGAGCATATTAGTACTGCTTGGGATCATTCTGAAATTCGTCATGCACGCAGTACCATAAAGCAGCAACTGGATAATTTGGGTTTTCGCATGACAGATGCGGGGGAGGGGGAGTTCTTGTGCACCCTGATAGGAGGCGTAGATGCCGAGTAACGGCCTGTCGTCCATGAGGGAGGGCGAGAAGATCACGTGTTTCATATTACAATGAAAAATGCCCCCACCCCCGAATCGTTGGGAGCATTTGCATTGCAAATCTTTCCAAATCAAACACTCGCCCTCTTGCATCTATCAGCATCACAGATTTCCGATCGTGAGTAGCAAAAATTTGCATTGCAAAAGACCCCAGCAAGAGCGGCGCTTGTCATGCAAGCGATGCGACACGCAGCTAGACTCTGCATCAGAAAGGTTCACACTCCTTTTATGCATGACAAAAAGTTTTCATTTGGAAACTTCGCATCACAAATCTTTGCAACTTTGGGGGTGGGGGCATTTTTCCTCGCGATATTTCACCTGACGCATGCCGTCCTCGTCCTTGTAGTGTTTACCGCCATGATACATCGTCTATGCATTGCAAAAACATAAACATCGTACTAGTATACATTGCATCACAAATTGAATCAGCATTACCAACTAAATTTGTAATGCGGGTTTGCCTTAAGAAACAGATTTGTAATGCAAAAACGCAATTACTAGAATTAGTACGACCACGAAACAGTTTTGCACTGCATAGCGTCATCGCCGAAGCCTCATGGTCCTTCAAATAGTAGGCCATTCGGAAATCCGGAGCAAAGGGTATCCTGTGTAAAAACGTCCCCGCCCCATAGTCAAGATGGGGATTCTGCAACGCAAACCTAGGAGTTTTGGGAGTCGCGCATGACAAGTTGCACTCCGTAGTGTAGTGCAGGGTAGCAAGAGCAGCCGCGTCGCAGATCCATCTGCTCATCCTGTTCTCAGCATCACAAATTCCAAAACACGATTGGAAATGTCTACCATGGGTATGCGCATCACAAATGTCTTTGTCATTGCAAATCTGCATGACAACTCTGGTGTGGGCACGTTTTTCATCAGGATAAAGGGCATCCACTTGTTTTCGGTATCGTTAAACGAGTTGCCGTATGCAGCGCAAGGACCGAAATCTGGTGTAGTTCTGGAAGCTTGTCATGCATATTTTTCATGACTCACGAGGTCTGTGATGCAGGTCCCAGCAGCACTGACTGTTTCAGATGAGCTTCTTGATGCTTTATATCACGCATGAAAAAAGCCCTCTGGTGCGCGTAGCACAAACAGCCCTCCTCTTGCTGGTCATGCAATACAGATTTTTTTAGAATCCACATACAGCATCACAAGTTCCAACTTTCAGACCCGTTTGCAATGCATATGCCGAACGCCTCCTCCTCTTCCAAATGCTTCTCGTACCAGTAGCGCCGCTGCTCCTCCACCTCCTGCTGGGGAAGCTCCGTTTCCTCCCACTCCTTCAGTTTCACTTTTTCCTCTTCGTACCGTTTCCTGTTCTCCATCGCTTCCTCCTTGGTAATCCCCCAATGCTTCAGGATCTCTTCCTCCGACTTGTCCTCCAGGTGGATAAAATATAACCCGCTCAGATGTTACAATCTCAAATCGGTTACCATAGAATATGGAAATCTGTGATGCAACAATGCATGTTCTCGCCAACTGTCATAGGTGGATTGCGCATGACAAGTTCTGGAGTGGTCACAATCCGCGCTACAATCTGGCGAAATTTGTATTGCAGAAAGTGGCATTCTGTCCGAGTTTGTCATGCTCATCATGCAAAATACAAAACCCACACTCTATCGCAACGCTTGAGATTGGAACGTTTGAGCAGGTCATATAAAATCGTCCGTGATCCTGCGCGCAATCCGCAACGTCCGTCGCTTTCCGTAGTGGTGGGTTCCGAGAAGATCTTCTAGATGCGGTATGAAAGTGCACGACTCCCCCTTGTTCCCCTCATTTTTTGGGATCCCATTCACAGCAACAGAAGCTCGGGCAAAGTTGGAACTTTCGCATGACAAATTTCCGACCGATTGTTCCCGTGCTGCGTCGGATTCATCCGGATGTTCTTGACGACCCTGTCATGCTAGCAGTGCCAGAAGGCGAAATGGGTGCATTTGCATGTTTTGCATGACAAATGAGGGTGACGAAGGGAAATTGTGCATTCTCATATGCGGTAGCGGTTCTGTTGTTGGAATCTCCCCATCCGTGGTGTTTTCCGTTAGATGGGAAACGTTGGTCCACTCCATGGTCGAGACCAATTTCCGCTCCTCCTCGGTGAGATGTAACACCTTCGCCTTCGCTTTGTCCGCGAAAGCGGTCCTATTTGTCTCCATTTCCTCGATATGGAGTGCAAAAATGCCTGGGTCGTCTGGAACAGTTGAACTTGTGATGCGTGTCTTGCAATCCTGGAATTGGAAAATCTGTGCTGCATGACCCACAAAATGGGAGCTTGCTTTGTCATGCAAAAAAGCAATTTGTAATGCGTGGTAGGCATCAGCAGGCGTCTCTAAAACTTGTCATGCCTGGCTGCCATTGCAAGCGCTTCAATGATGCTCAATGCAGCATCACACATTTCCAGACCCAGACATTTTTGCAATGAATACTCGATCTGCGCCAGCATTTCCGCGGACCGCACGATCATCTTTTCGGCCATGTCCTATGAAAGTGCACAACTCCCCCTCCCCCTCATTTGTCATGCAAAATTCCAAATCCACCCTTTGCCTGTTAGTACTGTTTGCATGACAGATTCCGGAATCCGAAACAGCACTGCACTCCACTAGGAATTTGTCATGCAAAAGCTGCATCTTTGCCAGCGCTTGTGTTGCTGTTCAGGCAACACAAATGAGGGGGAGAGGGAGTTGATGTGCACTGTTATATGTCCATTTCGTGATGTAGATGTAAATCCGCACTGTGGGGCTTCACTAAAATATTGTCGTGGAAGGTGGTGTCAAAGTGCGCCTTCAACAGTTTCAGATTCAGCTATTGCAAGGCAAAATCCACCCTCCCCATATCGCGAAGGAGATTTGTGCTGGTGCTGGATTTGATATACACAAATCTACTTGTATTCCTAGAAGGCCAAGAGACGCAGGCGCGGACCCGTTTGCAGGCAATTTGTCATGCTGTTTCCCGCTTCCAGTTGCTTCCTGTCATGCTGAAGACGCAAGGCTTACCCACGCCAGCCAGCACTATGGTCTGCATCTCTTCCCTTGTAGCATGACAGCAAGATTTATGATCACAAATCACGCTACACAAATCTCCATTTGAGTAGGGGGAGGGAGATTTTTCATTGTAATATCAGCGGCATTTGCACCTTCGGTCCGTGCCAGTAGTACCACTCCTTGTGCATGCGGGGGGTTTTACTTAATTCGACCACCTGGAGCCAAAAGTCCTCCGCTAGGTCGACGAAATAGGGGTCGAGTTTCGGCTTCAGAATCGGGTGGTGGTACGCGGCGTAGACAATCCTGGCGGTTCGCTTCACCCGCTCCAGTAAGTGGAATAGACAGCTTCGCATGACCTTCCTTTGCTTCTGCATTCGGTCGAAAATCAAAAGTTTCACGTATTCCCGGTCATCCCACTTCGCACAGTACTCGAAAAGTTGCAAGGCGTCGTCAACGGCGGTGTCGATGGTTTTGGTCAGGAAGAAGGCGTGGACGGTGGTTGATGTGGTTGAAAGAAGTGAACTGCTGAATGAGAAAAATAACAGCAAAATGCTCGTGCTCAGCCGGCGCAGGAATGATGAGGAAGATCCTGGCATGAAGCCCCGGGAAGGAGCTTTCGACTTTCTAAAAGCAGCCATCTTTTGTACAGAGGCGGTTCTTCGAGAAACTACTAAAGGCTTTTAAGAAGGTTGGACGCCAGGGAAAAACAACATATGCAGCTGTTTTCACAGCTCAGAAAAATTCGCGCACATGCATTTGTCAGTTTTCACTAAGCGCAGAGTAGCCTAAGCACCTACCTCACTGATGGCCTCTTCTACGTGGGAATCTAGTGGAAGATCCTGGGGATAATCATGTATTACAGTGCAGATTGCGGAACTCGTTCGTGATCTCACTACTTATGACCCACGACTGCCGGATCATCTCTCTACCCGCGACACGCCAAAGGGGTATAACCTAGATGACCTGCCACAAAAACGAGCGCCTACGCACCACATATTGCTATTATGAACCAACATGTACAAAAAACGACAGAATCATACCGCAAGTGAAAATAAGCCTCGCGCTGCTCCTGCGTCGCCGGCATGGACAGGACTAGTTCGCTGATCATACCGTCCTCTTCCACAATCCCGGATCTAAGTTCAATCAGATCTGGATCCAGCGCATTAGTTTCAGCCTCGAAAACAAAAACCTCATAGTACCACAAGCTACACCGGAAAATCAAAGTGCGCCATGTGTCGTGCGCTTTCCTTTTTCACTGGCCTGCTCCCGGCTAGTACTTCCTTGTTTACACATCATCACCACGTGTTCTGTATTCTCATTGGAAAATCATCCTTGGTCGCTTGATTGGATCCTTTGAAACTGTTCACCTGTCGTTGCTTTTGGCTTTGATGCTAGAATGAAGAATATAACTCGACGCACAAAGAACTATTGAAACTCATTGTAGCAGCAGCGACACCACACGGCTGCACCAGATGCGAGGAGGGAATCAATCAGAGCTCCGCCCGACCGCCACCCTGTGGTGCTCCCGGTAGATCCCCCTGGTCCCGGTAAAACACCGAGCAGGGCGGCTCGTTTGGCTGGTTGTAGTAGTCCATCACCTCCATCGCCTCGCTGTGCACCGGATGTAAAAACGCCGCGTCCATGGGGCACTCATTCCCCTTCAGCCGGAATTTCGCGTAGGGGATTTGAATTTTCTGCACTTCAAACGGCATCAGCCACTTGTTTATCGTTCCGGTTATCGTCGTCGCCACGATTGCGCGCGACAAAAACGTCGCCTGCGTCATATGGATTGCAGCAGTGTCTGGGTCTGGAAAGATGCAGCTCGTTATGCGCCTTTTAGATCATGAAAAAATCTGTCATGCACGGGGAGCAAAAGCAGTCCTTTTTCTGGTCTCCGAAAGAAGGGATTTGTCATGCGGATTAGGCATTGAGAAACCTGCTCAAAATCTGTGTCGCTGGGGCTTGCATGCCAGACCTTCTGTGTGACGCAGACTCTGCACCACAAATATTTGCAATCTTCCAGACCCAGACATTTTTGCATTTGATACGTCATCACCTGGAACAAATCCCGAGATAACACGAAAGAAACGCCATCCACCGACTGCTCGGGCGCGAGCGCGGGCTCGGTGAAGAGGTTATCCTGTGTAAAAACGTCCCCACCCCAGAGCTGTCATGCAAATGCGCAATGACAGGAGCATCTGTAATGCGCATCCCCATGAGAGGCATTTCCATTCGTGTCTTGGCATTTGTAATGCTGTAAACAGCGTGAGGAAATGGTTTTCTCATGCGGCTTCCCTTGCTAAACAGCACAAGACTGCAGATGATAACTTGTCATGCACAACTCCCAAAACTTGGAGATTTGTGTTGCAGATTTACCAACTTGACTATGGGGTGGGGACGTTTTTGCTCAGCATAGAGGTTGCCTATGATTTTGTTCTCCGGCTCGCCCGCATCGGACAAAGCGTCCTATCACACAGAAAAAACAAAAAGCATGGCAGTTTCTAATGCAAAAATAAATACGCAAAAAAATCTGTATTGCATATCATAAACAGCACGCTATGGGGCCACCCATTCTGTGCGTATTTATTTTTGCATTGCAAATCTGAACTGCCTGCTTTTTTCTGTGGGATACGTCCAGAAAGGTGCCTAGGTGGAGGTAGACATCGTCGTTTTGGATGAGCACCCAGCGGAATTGGAACCGTTTTCGAAGGAACTCAAAGAGGAACCTGATAAATGATTTTAAAAATGGCACGATCATTATTTCGACCATTGTCATGCGCGAGGGGCTCATGCTGCATAGTCGTTCTGGACACTTTGGAAATAAGTGTTCTTGCAACTACAACTCCACAAATAAAAAACGACGATCAAAAAAAGCCACCACACCATCCATCGTACCTCAGTAACCCGCCCCCGAACTCTTGGTTCAACGGCTGCCCCAACACCGGGCTCATCCCGCTATCTCGGATGTTGTATTTCCGCTGGTAGCTGTCCCTTTCCACCTTCGGAATCCACTCGACATGAGGGGCGAAAATCATGTCATTATACGTCGCCTGTTCCTGCAACACCCCGGGCGTTTGGCTCGGGTCACCCGGAACAATGAAGGAGTAGGACAACTGCCCCATCTGCTTCAGCTTCTGCAGCCAGGAGTTTTGCTTCGTTCTCAGATAGATGCGTTGCTTCGAATTCTCCGGGGCGGACAGCAAGGCGACAAAGAGAACCACGAAGGGGGCGATATCACGTGTGCAAACGTCAGTCCCTACTCCCCGGAGTTGTCATGCAAATCTGCATGCTCAAAATGTTTCTCATGCGGAGCCCCATGAGAAGCATGCTCGCGTCGTGTTTTCGCCTTTGTGCTGCTACAATCAGCGCGATATGCTAGATCTGTGATGCTGCTGAACTACGTAAACACGCTTACGCTACGAGGCCAAACTTGTCATGCGCAGCAACCAAAGCTGGATGATTTGTCTAGCAGATTTCCCATCTTGACTATGGGGTCGTGGGGACGTTTTTACATAGGATAGGCGACCGGCTCTTGACTCGGGCCGCAAGTGTCGTCCGAGATGTCCCAGGGCGCGACTTATCCTGTGCAAAAGTATCGCACTCGTAGTAATTGCATTTATGCATTACAAATCTCTTTTTCAAGCTGAATCAGCATTACAAACTAAATTTGTAATGCTGGGATTACTATCTATTATATTCATGCGAAAATACTGGTCTAGAGAGGGTAAACGAGAGGTGGCAGGGAGGTCAAAAAGAGGTCAAAAGAGGTAAAAAAGAGGTCGACAGAGGTGGAGAGGTGGCGCGGGAGGTCATTCGAGAGGGTGGCCGAGAGGGGGCGCGAGTATAGCCCGCCGAACCGCTCGCCCTTTAGGGCCGGTAAGCGCCTCGGAGGGTGCCGAGAGGTAAAAAAGAGGGCAAGCGAGAGGTGGACAGAGGTGCCGAGAGGTTGCGCGAATAAGGGGAGACCTCTCGCGCACCCTCTGGGCCACCTCTCGGCCACCTTTGTAGACCTCTACTGGCGAGTATAGCCGGATTATTAGCGGGGACCCCCAAAAGAGGTCAAAAAGAGGGTCTGCGAGAGGTCTGCGAGAGGGTAAAAACAGAAAGAAATGGGCGCAAATCCGCATGGTGCTGCCCATGTTTCGCACTGCAGACCATTCGCGGACTTGTTTTGCTCGGCGTCTTTCCGTGCCACCCTCTCGCGCACCCTCTCGCGCCACCCTCTTGCGCCGCCCTCTCGCGCAACCCTCTCGCGCCACCCTCTCGCCCTACCCTCTCGCGCCGGGCGGCTTCTGTTCGCCCCCGGTGTTCTTTGCAGCTGCTCCCTGCGCAGAGCGCCCACAGGCGCGGGAAGCGCGCAAGCGGTCCTGCGGGTTGGCGCAACGCAAACAGGCGGCAGGATTCCAGTACGTTTCGCTATGCGCAGGCCCGTGGTGTTGCGGTCCAATCGGCAAACAGTCTTGCCTCGGCCCGACAGCCTTGCGCTCCGGCGGCAGCCGGAGCATGGCTGGTAATTTGTAATGCAAATTCATACGACTACGATGCTTTGGCATTTCATACGACTTCGCGGTCCGCTAGCTCGTCGAAATCCTTGGTTTCGGTCATCTGAAAGTTGTGGTTTTTTGCGTATTAGAAACCGAGTTTGTAATGCCGCATCCACAAAACCAGCGATAAAACACAAGTGCGATTATGCATCACAAATAATGTCAATAAAGCACTATACCTGATAAGTCCGAAACAGATACATGACCCTTGTGATTCCACCAACCCCAAAAGCGCCCATCATAAGTATCCTGAGTAAAAAACGTCCCCCTACCAGAGTCAAGATGGAAAATCTGCTAGACAAATTAGGCAGCTTTGGTTGTTTCGCATGACAAGTTTGTCCTCGTAGTGTAATCCTGTTGGGGTCGTTCAGAAGCATCACAGATCTAGCATATCATGCTGAATGTAGCATCAGAAATTCCAAAGCACAACTGGAAAACGCTTCTCATGGGGCTCCGCATGAGAGGCTTTTTTGGCATGCAGATTTGCATGACAACTCTGGGGCGAGGACGTTTTTACACAGGATAATAAGGTCCAAAAACCTGTCTCTCCTGCCCTGGTAATTCGCCACCGCGGTGCTGGGCTTGTGCCGAGCGTGGGCGAAGCTACTGTCGAAGCAAACCCCGGTTTGGATCCCCTTTAACTTGTTCGTGTAGAAGAAATATCGAGTGCAAAAATGTCTGGGTCTCGAAGAGTGAGAGGTTTGCAATGCATATTTTGCATGACCCCCGATGCCTGTAATGCATGGTCCAGCATCACAGATTTTTAGAGGATTTCCTGATGCCTGTGACGCATGAGAAATGCCTTCCCCACGTAGTACAAACTGGACTCCTCTTGCTGGTCATGCAATACAAATTTTTTAAGAATCCAAAGACAGCATCACAAGTTTGCATCCTTCCAGACCCAGACATATTTGCAGTTGATAAAAAATACTCGTGCTCTCCCACCTTCAATTCCTTCTTCCACTCAAACGTCGCCATTCTGGCTTTCCGGGCCAAGTACACCATGGGACAGAAGTCCACCCGGATACACCCATCCGGGGCGTTTTGGTGGTAAAAGGGTTCTAAAAACAGCGCCGTGTTCTGCAACCGGAACTTCCCCCGGTACGCGCCGAAGTTCCTCTCGTCTTCCAAAACGGGGAAGCCGACCAGGTCCAGGGGGAGGAAACTGGTGTGCCAATAGCTGTACATCTTCGCCAGCATACACTCAATGCAGGTGTGATGGGTGCGCACGAAATCGTCGTCCAGGATTAGCAAGTACTTCGTCGTGACCAAATTTGTCAGCCGCGTTTCGCTATGGATTGCAAATATGTCTGGGTCTGGAAGAATAAAAACTTGCGATGCGCATTTCAGAACACAGAAAAATCTCTCATGCATAGGTAGCAAAAGCTGCACACTTTCTTTCACCGAAGTGAGGGACTTGTCATGCGGATTCGGCATTGCGGAAGCCTCTCGAAACCTGTGATGCTACAGCTTCCATGGCAGACCTTCTGTGTCATGCAAAAACAGCATGACTCTTCCAGACCCAGACACTTTTGCAATGCATATTTGCCCTGGGATAACCCAAAATCGTAGGGGACGGGATAGATGGTGAGAATGTCCGACTTCTTGATCGGCGTCGGGTCGCAGACGGGGTCTGGTGTAGAAGTTTTTCGGCAATTTTTGACATAAAAGATGAAATTTGTCATGTAGTTGATCAGCATGGTAAAAACCATTTTTTTTTCCACGACACATCAGGCTCTCGAAATAGAAAATCTAAGAGAATCTCTATTTGAAATAGAGACTCTCTGAGGAAAATAGAAATTCTGGATAAAGAGTATCATTTTTTTCTTCTTCTTTCTTTCTTTTTCTTTCTTTTTTCTTCTTTTTCTGTTTCTTACTGTTTTCCCACATGTTTTTTACTATATTTCAGCAGCTCCTCCACCAGTGGCGAAGCCGAAATAGAGACTCTCCATCCCAAATAGAGATTCTCCATCTGGGATAGAGAGTCTCTATCTGGGATAGAGATTTTTCTCTATCTGAGATGCTAGGTTGCCAGCCAGCAACCCAGGAAGCCTGGCTACCAGCCTGGCAACCCAGGCTTTGCTAGCCTGCCAGCCTGCTGGCAACCCAGGCTTTGCTAGCCTGCCAGCCTGCTGGCAACCCCGGCTTTGCTAGCCTGCCAGCCTGCTGGCACCCAGGCTTTGCTAGCCTGCCAGCCTGGCACCCAAGCTTTGCTAGCCTGCCAGCCTGGCGCCCCAGCTTTGCTAGCCTGCCAGCCTGGCGCCCAGGCTTTGCTAGCCTGCCAGCCTGGCACCCAGGCTTTGCTAGCCTGCAAAGCCTGGGTGCTAGTCTGCCAGCCTCTCAGCCAAGGCTTCGCTAGCCTGCAAAGCCTGGGCGCAGCCCGGCCGTCTAGCGGCAGCCCGCGCGATTATCTTCGCGACGCAGGCCCACACCAGCTAGGTGTGGCGCGTGATAACGTAGGAGCGCGCGGCGCTCCTCGAAAATCTTTGATGGACCCACTTAGCGGCCTCCCACCCACGGCGCCAGACACGGCATGCGAGAACACCCACGCGCCTGCCCGAGAGGTGGCCTGCGCGCGCAGCGGGCGAATTTTTTTTTGGCCCCCACACCGTCGGTCCGCCGCCACCTAGGTGCGGCGCGCAGAAAAAGGGAGCCAGCACGAAAGAAAAAGCCCAGGCGGGCGGAGCGCGAGGAGTTTTTTTTTCCACTCCCGCAAACAACGCCGGGGGGTCGCGGCGCACGAAAAGGAGCGCGCGCCGCCTGCTCGAAAAAACGGACACCAGGCGCGCAACGCAGAAGAATTTATCCCATTCCATCGATCCAACCGCGACGCATGGCTGCAGCCCGCGCGAGAGAATTTAACCCATCCCCTCCGCACTCCGCGCGCGCGACCAAAATGCGCGAGAGCTTTTTTTCAATCCCAGCAAACGCGCCACCATGTGTGGCGCGCGCAAAGGAGTGCGCGGCCGCCCAGTAGAAGAAAAAGCGCGCGCGCAGCGCGCAAAAAGTTTGTAGCTCGACCCCACATCGCCACCAAGCGCGAAGCGCGGGCGACGAAAATACGCGACCGGCCAAGGAAAAAGACGCGCAAAAACTTTTTGCATTCGATTCCGCATCCATCGCCACCAGGCGCGCCGCGCGGGCGACGGGGGTGCGCGGCCGCTCAGAGAGAAAAACTCGCGCGCGCGCAGCGCGCGAAATTTTTTTGAATTCGGCCCCATACCCATCGCCACCAGGGACGCGCGGCGCTCGGGCGGCCGGGGTGCGCGGCCGCTCTGCGAAACAAATTCGCGCGCGCACAGCGCGCGAAATTTTTTGGAAGTCGATCCCACACCGCCACAACACGCGGCGCGCGGGCGATGGGAGTGCCCGGCCGCCCAGAGGAAAAAACTCGCGCGCGCGCAGCGCGCGAAAATTTTCTCGATTCACTTCCACGCGCATCACGCGCCACCAAGCGCGGCGCCCGGGGAGGGCGACGGGGGTGCGCGGCCGCTCAAAGAAAAAAACTCGCGCGCGCGCAGCGCGCGGAAATTTTTGGAATTCGATTCCGCATGGCAACCAAGCGCGGCGCACGGGCAACGGAAGCGCGCGGCCGCTCAAAGAAAAGGACTTGCGCGCGCGCAGCGCACGAAATTTTTTGGAATTCGATCCCACACCACCACCAAACGCGACGCGCGGGCGGTGGAAGTGCCCGGCCGCTCAAAGAAAAAAACTCGCGCGCGCGCAGTGCGCGAAAATTTTTTGAATTCACTTCCACACGCATCGCAGCAAAGCGCGGCGCACGGGGGGGCCACGGGGGTGCGCGGCCGCTCAGAGAAAAAACCTCGCGCGCGCGCAGCGCGCGAAAATTTTTTGAATTCGATTCCGCATGGCCACCAAGCGCGACGCGCGGGCAACGGGAATGCGCGGCCGCTCAGAGAAACAAAATCGCGCGCGCGCAGCGCGCAAAAATTTTTTGAATTCGATTCCGCATGGCCACCAAGCGCGGCGCGCGGGCATGCAACGGGAGCGCGCGGCCGCTCAGAGAAACAAGCTCGCGCGCACGCAGCGCACGAAAATTTTTTGAATTCGATCCCGCATCGCTACAAAGCGCGGGGCGCTGGCGACGGCGCGCATATTTATTTTTCGATACCAGCACGCCGCAAGATTGATGTGGTGCGCGGGCCGGCGAAAAGGGGCGCCCGGCTGCTCACAAGAAAAAGCCCCCGCGACGCAGCGCGCAGAAATTTTTTTCATTTCCGCCACGCCGCCAGATGCCGCGCATCGGCGAGCAAGAGCGTCTGGCCGCTCAAAAAAAAGCCCGCGCGCGCAGAGTGTGCGCAATATTCTCTATTTCCCCTACGCCGGCCGCCAGGTCGGTGCGGAGTTATTCTTTCTTTCCCCGCAACTGACGGCGGGCAAAAAAAGAAGAAAAAGCTGAACCCCCAGAGGCCGAAACATGCACAGGAACTTTTTTCCCCGTCCATGGGCACGGAACAAAAAGAGCACTTTGAAAAAGTCAAGCGGGAGTGGGCTTTTGTGCCAGAGGAAGGTCAACAGCTTTTCTTTGCGCCAGGCGAAGGCGAAGAGCAGACTGACGCAACCGAAGACAAAGCGGGAGCAGATAGATTCGACGCGGGAGATTCTCTATACGGAGAATTTCTATTGGGGCGTTGGAGAATTTCTATTGGATTTTTTTTTTCTAGACATGACATCCTGCAACACAAAAAAAAAACATCCAACTCTACCTTCCTCCGCACATTCGCACGTCCCGATGATTTTCATGTTCGGGTAACTGGTTTTCAAACTCACTTCCATCCGGTCCAGCATCCAACACCGGCTCGCGCTGTGCGCCGCGATCGTGATCACTTCTTCTGGATTGTCGAGTAGAATCTGCACCGTTCGGAAATCCAACACGTTTTTCCGTTCCAAATGCCCAAACTTCTCCTCGATCTCCTTCGCGGACAAAGCGCCGCCCGGTTGGGGCAGGTTCACCGGCCCGGTGAGGATCCCCGGTAATGGCGTCATCTCCTCGGTTTCCGTCGTTTCGACTGTGGTCGTGGTGGTCGTTGTGGTTGACATTTGCTGCTGTTTGAACAACTTCTCCCCAATCTGAATCCCCTTGTACTGGTCGAGGGTGAGGTTTTCGTAGCTCTCGTCCTCGACTTTACAGTTCTGAAATAGCGTGAAACTAGCCGTGCCGTAGTGCTGGTTGATTTTCTCCCTGATTTTGTTGTTCTGCGCGTCCTCTGGCTGATCGATCATTCCGTGCTGTAAAGCGGTTGCAGCCGCCCGCGCAACTTCCTCCTCCTCGAGTAACTCCTTCTGGTGGTCGAAATTTCCCCGGTAGCTCAACATCCGGACGATTATCCTGTGCAAAAACATCCCCATCCCAGAGTTGTCATGCAGATCTGCAAGCACAAGAGCATTTGTAATGCGCATCCCCATGAGAGGCATTTCCCATCGCGTTTTGGAAGTTGTAATGCTGTCAACAGAATAAGGAGATGGATTTGTTATGCGGCTTCCCTTGCTAAACTGCATTACACTACAGCCTGCAACTTGTCATGCGTGGCTCCCAAAACTTTCAGGTTTGTGTTGCAAAATCCCCGTCTTGACTCTGGGGTGGGGACGTTTTTACGAATGATAACGATGGAATTAATTTCCTGGCTGGTGCCGCAAAAATTGAAAACGTTCTTCGGCGCTGCACGACTACTTGAGAAGTAAGAAATACCAGCTGCTCCCGCAGAAGAAGATGTCAGCGCGTTTTCGCATTTCTCAAACAATTTTTCATCCTTCCACTCATACTGTGAAGAAATCGCGGCGTTGCGGCAAAAAAACTCCACGTTTTTGTTCACCGTGATCCGTATCCCATGCAAAAGCATCGCGCTCGTGGTACTAATCGAAAGAATGCATGACAGACCTGCTGTTTTCTTACCCAACTCAGCATGACATCAAAGCTCAACTCTTTCTCTTAAGAAAATTTCTCATGCGATTTGCAGTGGCACGACACTTCTGTAATGCATAATCCGCAGCCGCAGCTGGTTCGGAGTCTGCGTCTCCGCGATCGTGCCGGAGTAGGGAAATGCGTCTTCAGGTTTTGGTGGGGTAACAGCAACCTGGTTGTTGTTCGCCGGTTGAGTTGTTTGTTGTTGACTATCCCCCGCAATCAATGCCCTCGACTCTTTCCAAACGCCTTTCCAGCTTCTGCCAACCACCCGGATCCGCCCGAACGTGCGGAAGCCGCCGACTATTCCGGGGTAGGCGCCCTCGGAAATCCCCGCCTGGATGGTCTCGTTGAGACCGGATTGCGCGAAATTCCGGTACTGGTCCGAAATGCCGATGAGTAAGTGGTAACTGTTATCTTTGAAATAATGTTTCTCCCAGTCGTGATTGTAAAACGCGGTCCGGTACGGGTAGGGGGACAAGTGCAACGACTGCAAGAGCAATGCGCTGTCCATGACCGACCAGCGAAGCGCGTTTCGGCTGGATATCTGCCCATACCGTAACGGCAGCCACAACTTCGCGGTAGACACCAACGTCCAGTCGGAACTCGAGCGTTGGAATCTCGGTGTGTACAGTATAACCCGCGCAGGTCTTACAATCGCAAGCGTTACAATAGAATATGGAAATCTGTGATGCAAGAGTGCATGATAAGATCTAGCCTCTTTCCACAGGATTACGCATGACAAGTTTCCGAGCAGCTCCAAACCGCACTATAATCTGGCGAAACTTGTACTGCAGAAAGTGGAATGCTCTGCGACGAGTCTGTCATGCTCATCATGCAAGACAAATCCCAGCTTGTATTGTAACCTTTGAGATTGTAACGTTTGAGCAGGTCATATACAGTTCGGTTTGCTTTTCCGGGCCGACTAAGATATGTGCGTTATACCCGTCGGCGAAAGTAGGTTCCTGAATCACCCAATGGGGGAGGAGAGTGAGCTTCGCCGTTTGCTGCGTTCCGTCTGTTGACAATGAATTAGGGTTCTCAAGTTCTTGTACTGGGGTTGTCATCCACGACCTCATCTTCTCCGTGCCGAATTTTTCCAAATCCGGCGACCCGTTTTTCCAATTTCGGACTTGGTCCACGATGAAATGCACGTACTCTCTCCCAACTGTGTGTCCCAATGGGATGTGCCGTAAGCACATCTGCACGTCGCCGCAAATCCCCGTTTCCAGGTCCGCCAAGTCGGTAGGGGATTATCCTGAGAAAAAACGTCCCCACCTCCCCAGAGTTGTCCTGCATATGCGCAATGACAGGAATCGATTTGTAATGCGCAGCTTCATGAGAGGCATGATTTCCAGTTGTGTTTTGGAATTTGTCATGCTGTAAACAGGATGAGAAAATAGCTTCCTCATGCGGCTTCCCACCTTGCCAACCAGCACTACACTGCCAAGGGAATTTTGTCATGCACAGCTCCCAAAACTTGGAGATCTGTGTTGCTAGATTCATCCGAGCAACTTGACTATGGGGTCGTGGAGGCGTTTTTTCTCAGGATAGGGATCGTGGTTGCTTCACTTCTTCGAACTTTAAGCCCCAGGGGAGCTTCTCCGGAAGGATTCGTTCCGTGAAAACCAGTGTTTTCTCTATCTTCGAATCCAGAAATTGGTCAATGGCACCGACAAGTAATCCATCCAACGGGATGAACAATCCACCGAACAAATGCTGAAGAGAAAATATCCCACGAAAAAACTGTATCACTGTGGTGATTTTGCAAGATCTGCATCACAAGTTTGCTACACATGACAAAGAAGACTTGGCGTCCATGCGTGCTTCCTAAGGGAAAACACAGCTAGAAATCCAATGTGTTTGTGTTGCATGTGTAGCAAGACAAACACATTTGCGCTCCGTTCTAGGCATCACAAGTTTACAGTGAACCAGTTTTTTATTGCGATAGAAAAGATCAAAGCGTTCCAAACTACCCCCATGGTCAGTGGCGGGTCCGGGGTGTTCTGCATGGTGTAGAGAAATTCGGAGATCATATGCTGAGTGAAAACGTCCCCACCCCAGAGTTGTCATGCGAATCTGCATGCTCAAGGTGTTTCTCATGCGGAGACCCATGAGAAGCAGTTTCTATTCGTGTTGTGGAACTTGTGATGCTAGAATCAGCATGGTACTCTAGATCTGTGACGCTGCTTAATAACTACCTCAACAGGATTACACTACGAGGGCAAGCTTGTCATGCGAAGCAACCAAAGCTGACGGATTTGTCTAGCTGTTTCCCATCTTGACTATGGGGTGGGGACGTTTTTACTCAGGATAAATCATGTCCAGGCTGAACCCGCTGTGCAACTTCCCGAGGGCCACGAAAATGATATCCCGAATGACGTTCCAATCTAGCGGCATATGAGAGTGCACAACTCCACCTCCCCCTCATTTGTATAGCATGAGCAGCAACACAGGCAATGCAGTCCTCTTCCGGCGTCCAAACCTTGTCATGCGCGCAATGCTTAAAGTCATGAGGTGGACTCGGTATTTTGCATGACAAACAAGGGAGAGGAAAAGCTGTGCAGCGTCATACGGGACGGAGAAGACACAGTACCCCGCTTCCGTGTTGTACCTCTCAGCGAAAAAACCATCTGGTAAATTCAGCACGTAGATGTTTGCATTTGGGTGGTGGAAGAGAACGGATTCTAACGTCGCGCTATCAAATGTAAAAATGTCTGGGTCTGGAAGATTGCCAGGTTTGCCATGCACATTAAGCATGACTCCTGATGTCTGTGATGCATGCCCTAGCATCACAGATTTTGTGAGGGCTTCCTGATGCCTATACCGCATGACAAATGCTCTTTCCGTGTAGCAAAACTTGGACTCTCTATGCTGCTCATGCAATACAGATTTTTTTAGAATCCAAAATCTGCATGACAAGCTGGATTCTTCCAGACCCAGACATTTTTACAGTTGATACGCGTAGGACTCGGTCAAAAATGTCTCCGGCGACCCCGGCCACATCATGAAAACATTCAGAACCGGATCAACATTACTGCCGGGATTATCACTTTCCCTCGGCGCGCAGGAGAGATTTTGGCTCGTGGATCTTTGCCGGGCGGTTAAAAGCAGATTCGTCACGTGGTCGAAGTTTGTGGTTTGGGCGGATGCTTGCTGGGCCTGGGCCTGGATCTGTTGCTGCTGTTGCTGTTGTTCTACCTGTTGCTGCTGGTGCATCATTTGCATTTGTGGTGCCGCTGCAGCACCATTCCCGTTTTGCTTGGGGAACATCTCCTGGGCGGCAACGAATGTTGCTGCTGGTAGTGATATTGCCCCAGTTGTGGCCATGAGCGCCACTACACCTGTTCGAGAACAAAACATCACGCTTCTGCGATTCGACCTGAGCCGTGACCTTGGTCTGCTTTCTGCCGCATTAAGTAGCGGACCCCCGCCGCCGTCTCCCGCGATCGTCCGCCCGGAGACAAGACTCTGGCTGGTCGGTCGCATTGTCAAAATTTTTGTCTTTTTCTACTACGAATCAGTTCTGGCGTAAGCCGGCCATGATGACGTCGCACGACCTTCTGGTTAGCTTGCGATTTATTTCAACTGAAAAAAGATCCGAAAAGCCACAGCTTCCGAGACGGTCGTGAGAGGAGGATCACGGAATGCAGAGCAAATGCAGACGTGCAGCTCTGACAAAAATGAGAAAACCAAAAAACAATCTGAAAGACCGAATCTACTTGTGAACAAGGAGATCTTCAAACAATGGTAAAAATCCAAATGCACAAGCACGATGACGATCCGAATCTGCATGATTTTCCAGACAAAGATCTTGAACCACTCCTTTCGTGACAGCCTCGAAAGACAACTGGAAGAACGAGATCACACAAGAACGAAAAAGAGATCAAACAGTAGATCCTCTCGTTGTTATAAAAACTCGCATTTTTTCAGACCTCAAGAAGCTACAGCTGCATACAGAAGCGAACAGCAGATACAGAGCTTTGGTAGCTCCCTTTGCCCGTTGCAATGTGAATTTTCCGTCTTTCTGCCGCACGACGGACGCAATTCTTCAAATCAGGAAAAAGCTTTCCCCACAACCAGATCCGCGACATGCGCTCCGATCGCTAACGAACTTGTCAAACCCGGGGATTCTATCCCAAGACAGTGTATCTGTGAATTTTTGGTCCCATCCGTCAGAAAGTGAAAATCGTTGTGTATCTTGCTTGTCTCACCGCCACTGGCAGGATCGCTCTTCAACTTTATCTTCGGTCGTATCCCCACGTAGTCCGGCGTCAGCGAATGGTCGGGTAAATCCGGGTAGTATCGCCGGATGTTTTCGTACACGATATCCGACGCGGGCTGGACTTGTTTGTAGTGCGTTTCGAACTGCTTCTCGAGGTTGGACAATTTCCTTGATAGATGACTGGAGGAACTCTTACCACCGGCGTCGGTCTCTATCTCTTCAATTTCTATCCACTCGACGTTCGGGCCGAACTTGACGTTTTTGTCCAAATCCAACGTCAGGTGCGTCCCGAGACCGCCCACTTCTGGCAACGGGTAGATCAAGTGGTTTACGTCACCAGGCTTCTTTGCTTTTGCCGTACTACTGGTAGAAGTAGTGCTGCTGCTTGCGCTATTTTCCAACTTCCAGTAGTTGCCTATAAAACTGCACAGCTCCTCCTCGCTCCCCCTCATTTGAAGGGCATAAGCAGCAACACAAGTGCTGGCATGAATGCAGCTTTTGCATGACAAATTGGAAACCGATTCTAGTGCTGTTTCGGCTTCCGGAACCTGTCATGCAAAAAGTGCCAAAGAGAAAAGGGTCCGGTGGATTTGGGATTTTGCAGGACACATGAGGGGGAAGGGGAGTTGTGCACTGTCATATTGCCCTTCGCGTACACCGCGTCCGGGAGTAGTTCTTCTACCGGAGAAGGAACTCCTCTCAAGCAGTGTTTCGCGATTTCCACCGAAAACAAGCTGTATCGATTGCAAAAGTGTCTGGGTCTGGAAGAATGCAGGGTTTGTCATGCACAGCTAGCATGGCTCTCAAGTTTGTCATGCGCGCCACACAAAAGGCGCACTTGTCTGTCATGCAGAAACGCAGTTTGTCATGCAGATAGGCAACACTCTAGCAACTCCAAAACTTGTCAAGCTTGGCTGTCAATGAAGGCGTCCACATGATTCGCCAAACAGGGACACAAGTGTCCAGAGCCAGACTTATTTGCAATGCATAGCCCGCTGCAGTTGACAAAAACGTCCACGTCCTCGATGACACCTTGGGTGGTTTCGATCTGCATTTTAGTGCTTGTATTGCTATTGCCAGCTTTATTTTCACTTTTCACCTCCAGCTGCTCCAGTCCGCAATTGTACACGACACTCGCGTTCACAAAATCACTTTCCTCTTCCTCCAATGCCGCTTGCAAGGCTAGCAAATACCCGTGCACATCCAATATTCCGGTCGCCGGGCTGTAGATCGCATTTTTGATCTCCGGGTTCAATAATTGGTTCGTCATGCGCTGCAATCTTGCGGAATCGTCTGTGATCAATTCTAGTTTCGGGACGTTATTCAATTCTTTCCCTTGGTGATACAACTTCAACAATTCTTCTTTCGCGGTTTTGTTTTCTTCTGGTGATGAACCACATCGGTCTTGCACGATCAATTTTCCGCAGTATGAATTGTAAAAATGTCTGGGTCTGGATGAATGCAACTTGTCATGCTGTTTTTGGACTCTAAAAAAATTTGTATTGCACGACCAGCAAGACGGGTCCGGTTTGTCCTACATGGACAGGGCATTTCTCATGCGGAAGGTGCATCGGTAAGCCCTTTAAAAGTCTGTGATGCTTGGCCATGCATTACAGGCATCATGGATCGCGAGAAATCTGCATGACAAATCTTGCACTCTTCCAGACCCAGACATTTTTGCATTTGATACGCAGAGATCGTAGTCGACTTGGTACTGGTCGCAGAACTTCAAAAGTTGGCTATGCCCAGCAACGCAGAGTTTGTGTTTGAAGGAATCTTATGGAAGCGTCAGGTTTGAAATCGTCAAAGTTGAAATAATTTGTAATGCATAAAATGCATGGCCCGAGGTACGTGTGTTGCAGAGCAGGCAAGTGAGGCCGATTGTAAGCCTGTTTGGGGTTACAGTCCGAGCTGCTGAAGTAGCATGAGAAAATCACTCCTCTTTGCTTAACAGCATGACAAACTGGATGTAGGGACCAGCGAAATTTGTCATGCGCCACTTGGAAACTGGCATCCATTTTATGCATGACAAATTATATTCAACTTTGTCGATTTCAACTCTGACACATGCGTAAATCTTGTTGGTAATAGATCCCCGCGTGCAACACCCCGGAATTCCGGGAGGTCGTTTCCTGTATCCATTGCAACTGTGTCTGGCTCTGGAAACATGCAACGTTTGTCATGCACATTTTGCGTGGCCCATGATGTCTGTGATGCACACCCCAGCATCACAGATTTTGTGAGGGCGCTATGATACGTCTACCGCATGAGAAATGCGCCCTCCCAGCGTAGCAAAAACTGGGAGGCATCTTCCTGGTCATGCAATGCAGAGTTTGTGTAGAATCCAAAGGCGGCATCACAAGTTGCACTCATGCAGACCCAGACATATTTGCGTTCGATATCCTGGCCGAAAGACGGGTTTTTCTCGAGCAGGAACAAGTCCAACTTGGTTTTGCTGCGCAAGGCGAATCTCCGTGCGATTTGCCGTGCCGAAGCAAAACCGATAACACCGCCGCCGAGAATGACCACGCGCGTGGCTGTCATGTACGAACAAGCGTGCTCTACCACTGGAAATGGTTCTACTTCTACATCTACTTACCTGGCGGCAATAAATATAAAACGCGCGAAATCAGTTGCGATTTGGAACGCTAAGTAGTGCTTCGCTTAAGTGCTTCGCTCTTTGGGTGCGTGGCGCCCTTAAGTCGTTCGCTCCCTTAAGTCGTTCGCAACCTTAAGTAGTTCGCTCCCTTAAGTCGTGCACCCCCTTAAGTCGTGCACCCGGTTAAGTCGTTCGCTGCTTGAGTCCTTCGCACATCAAGTGCAGCGCTTTCGCTCAAGTGCATCACTTCAGCATGACTACAGAAGTAAGACAACTCGTCTTTTTGAACAAGATCCAATCCACAAATCATCCGCGAACAGAAACAACCGACTTCGTAGAAAAAACTGCTGCTACGGGGAAGCCGTTAGCATCTCGACTCCGATGGCAAGAATCTGCCCGCTGCTCTTAGAAGAGCTTGATAAAAGAGTATAAAAGTATTCTTGTGCTGGGGCTCTTAGAATACCTTTTGTGAATGTTCTTCTCAAGTCTTGCAACATGATTTTTCCGATCTGCTATGAAAAGAACACCATTCGCGGCGCATATTGCTGCTTACTCCTGATTTTTGCAGTAGGTATGCGATCCGATTTGCCAAGTTCACCGCGCTCTTCTCCATAAATGGGTACTTCAGTTTGCACTGCCATGGATAGATGCGATGACGGGACGCGCAGGATCTGCTCTGAAGTTGTAGAAAATGCGCAAGCATACAAACATGGGGATAGGCGTAGGGTGTAGAAGTTGTCCAAAAAAATAAAGGGGAGCGCACCTCTGCCGGCCCGCTTCATCAGCGAGAACGAATAAACAACGACGTGAAGCTTGGGAAAAATTGGTAGTGTTCTGTCTCGACCACTGTGAGTGACACCGGAGCTATAGGGCTTCGATCCAACGCGCAAGTTTAATACGCGTTGTCTTTTACAGTTCTATGCCAACCACTGGGGACGACCTTCGGCGGAATTTTCTACGCCCGAATCTTGTGCACGTCGATTCAAGGCTGAAGTTAAGAAACCAAAAGGGGGAGGGGAAAAAAAGCGCGGAAGGTGGCAAGGGGGTCTTGGGATTAGGAAAAAACTTTGATCAAGTCAAAAAGTAGCGTTTCAGTTTGTAACATTTTCGCAGCGGGTCCGCACTATTTTTAAGTGGCCCGCTCTAACTGCTTTTCAAAATGGTTCTCGACTGCCAGGTGACTAATATAAATTCAAATCGTCTTTGTTTCTCCGCGACTGCTCAAAAACTTTTTGATGAAAAAAAAACAAAAACTTCGCTCTCCTCTTTCGATAAAATATAGGTTCTCGATCTTGCCTTCGGCTCTTCTGCATAAAATTTTCTAGCGCTTCACTTTAGCCACAGTCTCTTTTTGAGTTTGAAGTTCCCTCTTCCGGAACAGCTTGCGAAGCGCTGCGCTATGGCTAAAGGCGCAGAACCTGCTCGCGTCAGCTCTACACTTGGAAGTCAATGACCCGCCTTGCAGATGGGGCCTCGGGACGACAATCAGCAAGAGCTGACTGTGAAAGATTGCAAAATTCCGGACAAACCATTCCTCGGTTGTAACACGTCGTCCATGCCGAAGGCGTGCCATTGACATTGTATCCGCACGCTTTTTTGCACGGTTTCTCCTCTATCGCTCTTGCCTGAGTTTATTTCAGTTCGTCGTGTTGATTATTCATGAATGAGGGTGTATTTCTCCATTCGTCATCATTGCATCGCTTAAAGCTTTTCATTCCCTTGCTGCAGTAGATGGTCTTAACACACAGCACCTACGGGCCCGGCAGAGTACACACGTGCGACTCGCCCGGCGAAGTAGCACAACGCAGCAGCTGCGCGCGAAATTGGAACGAGGCCGGCTGCTTGACTTTACTTTACTCTACTTAGCTGCCCCGCCTTTTCGCATTTTCTCACAAAATCAAATGAATCGATGAAAGAAACAGCAATGTATTGAGAAAAGTGTTTGCTGCAGCAGGTCACACAACATTGCGACAAGCGAACCAATCCACGCCCAAAGCTGTTGGCTTGGCCTGAAGTCCAAGGTCCGCCCGAAGGGGCAAGAAAACGGATGCACTAGCTGTCAACAATCACGAGATCGTGAAAATGATGGCTTGAGTCTCAATATTAGAAGCAGTTTGATTTCTGGCTGAGTCTTTACGTTAGTCCGTGTTATCTCACTCTTTATTCTCAATCTCAAAAATGTTATACATCATATAGCCACTTAGGTAAGGATATGTACCTTTTTTGCGACATGCGTCTCGTCGAATCTGCGTTTATACCCGATGGCCCAGCCGACCTTCTTGTCTTTGCTTGTGTCCACTTGCAGTAGAGCTGCTCCAGTGTTCTCGTTTCCCACCCAGAAATGGGTAGTTTTCGACGACTCGATAGCCGCGGCCATTTGGGCCGCGAGAAGGTGCATCATGGCAGTGGCTTTGGCCATTTTATCCTTCTCTTGTACAGCTACAGTTGAAGTTCTTCACTCTTTTTCCAAGAGATAAACAAACACTCGGAGTAGTACTCCTCCAAACGATCTAAGTTCTTCTGCTCGCGTTTCTGCACCCGACAGAATTGGGGGAGCGGGGTTATTTCACTGAAGAGATAATTCGAAAAATGTCGCGCATAAGCCGCCCTCGCAGGAATTATGCTGAAGCAACACGGGAAAAACAAAAATTATGTTGTCTAAAGTCTGTAAATAAACGTTGTCTGACGAGCACTTCTTACGCTTGGTCAGCGTCTTTGAACGAAAGATAGGATTTTGCACGAGAATTCTGGCACACAGTAGTTGTACGAGGTCCTGAGAAGACGAAGAAGCTACGAGGTTACAGGACGAAGAAGAATTACAGGTCGGAACGCGGTCTGTCCTGAAAGACGAGGGTGAATTACAACAGCATCTCGGTATTAAACCAGAACTGGGAAGTAGAAGAACTTGGGTGTACTTATTTACACGACGAGGACGGCGATGATCTTTTACCAGGACGATACGAAAGCGGACAGCCTTTTTTTGCAAGATGAGATACTGCACGAAAAGCTAAGCGCAAGGTTTCCTCTCGCTGAACAAGATCCGATCCAAAAATTCTCCGGGACCAAAACCAAGAACTCCGCTGCGTGGACAGCGGGAGGTAGCATTTATTTCCTATATTCAGAGGAGCTTCTATTCGCCTCGAATAAATGACCGTGATGGGAAGAAACCACCAGCTTGCTGTTGAGCGACAACTTTTGTCTTGTGTATCACGTTCATGATCCAGCTTTTGTGTTGATTCTGACATATTTATCGTTTTTTGGATACAATGTGAACATAATCTTTTTCTGGGAACACGGTCAAAAGTAACAATTTTTTCCCTACATCTCCGCCGAGTTCACCTTTCCCTTCTCCATCGCCCCTTCCTGCCCATCACTCACCGCTTCCCCCGCGGGCGGGGCGTTCGGGTCTTCAGTATTGTGACGAAAAATCCCCCCTCCCCATATCAGCATGGACGAGATTTGTGATGCTGATTTGTGGCCACAAGTCAGCTCTGTCTTGCAGAAAGTGCTTGCCGGTATTGTCTCAGCCTGTCCGGGTAGGCAGAAGGCTACCAATTAGGCATGGCAAACAGGCTTGCAGTAGTCGGAAGCGCATGACAGATTGGCTGTAGAACGCGCCACGAGGCTCCCATTACCCTATAGGCAAGACAAAGGTGATTTGAAGCCACAAATCAGCATCACAAATCTCCTTCTCGATATGGGGAGGGGGGATTTTTCCTCACAATATTCAGTCGTTAAAGACATAATCGTGGTCATGTACTGGCTCCCAATCGGTAAATAGGACTCGTTATCCACGTCCCGCGCGCGGAGAAAGAGTGGCAGTTCCACGTTTTCCCCCCGTAAGGGGAGTAAATCCGGCTCGCCCCATATCCTAAGCAAAAATGTCCCCAGCTCGTAGTCAAAATGGGAATCTAGCAACACAAATCTCCAAGCTTTGGGAACTCTGCATGACAAGCTTCCCGCTGCAGTGTAGTCCTGGTTGGCAAGGGAACCCGCATGAGAAGGCCATTTTCTCATCCTGTTTGCAGCATTACAAATTCCAAAACACGGCTGGAAATGCCTCTGATGGAGCTGCGCATTACAAATGTTCCTGTCATTGCACATTTGCATGACAACTCTGGGGTGTTTATGTACTGGAAAAGACCAAATTAAAGCACAGAGAAGTTAATGACAACTCTGGGGTGGGGACGTTTTTACTCAGGATACCCCACAAAACGTGCCAGATGGTTTCGTACATCAAGCAATGGGTGCTGTGCCCCTTGATGTCGTTGCACTCCGGCTTCGGGGCTTCCTGGTCGTATGGATCTGTCAGGATCGAAATCGACAAAGTTGAAATGATTTGCCATGCATAAAATGGATGCCAGCTGTAACCCAGTTTCCAAGTGGCGCATGACAAATTTGGGTAGTACCGAAATCCAGTTTGTCATGCTGTTTGGGGAAGGAAGACGCCTTTTGTCATGCTACTTCAGCAGCTCAGGTCTACCCCTCAACAGGCTTCCAATCTCCCTCACTTGCCTACTCTGCAGGACAGGCACTTTGTGGGCTGCATTTTATGCATGGCAAATCATTTCAACTTTGTCGATTTCGATCCTGACACATCCATAGGTCGTCCAACATGGTCAGGAGCTTGTGGTACCGCGTGATGGGTGGTAATTGCAGCCGCTGCCGGGATATCAAATGTAAAAATGTTCGGGTCTGGAAACTTGTGATGCTGGGTGGCGTCTCATGATGAGGCCACAAATGCTGGCTCAGCATGACAAGTTTCTGAGCTTCTAGGTGTTGCCTATTCTGCATGACAAGATGCGTTCCTGCATCACAGAACAATGGAGCTCTTGGGTAACGTGCAAGACAGATTTAAGAGTCATGCCAGACAAGCATGACAAACATGCATTCTTCCAGACCCAGACATTTTTACATTTGATACGAGAGACGACAAACTGGGCGCAACAGTACCTGATAGGTTAGTTTCAAATGGCAAACTAAAATTTTTTCACGATCACCGTGCGCGCGATCTTCCTCTATTTTTTCACCACGCTAGTTACATGTAGACATCGGATGCTGGTGGATTTATTCTACCTCGGAATACACATGAATCAGAACAAAAAATTCCATACGTTCCCAGCGCTTTCGGCACCCGTCCGAAGGTCTCCTCGAAGATCTTTTTCTTACAGGGCGTGAGATTTTGCACGATTCGACCGTTTATGCGTTGCAAAAATGTCTGGGTCTGAAAGAATGCAGGTTTGATGTCATGCTTGTCTCACATGACAGTGGAAAGAATCTGTAATGCGTGAGCAGGAAATAATAAGCCTTTTGCCTGTCATGCAAAAGTGCAGTCTGCCATGCGGAAAGCGAAACACAAGAAGCACAGAAACTTGTTATGCATGGCTGCGTATTGCAGGAGTGCGCCCCCCATTCACAAACTAGCATCACAAGTCTCCAGACCCAGATCGATATTTGCAATGCATACCATTGTTCAACGGAATGAAGGGGATGTTTTTCGCGGTGCCCATCACGATCGATTCCATGACCAGATTATGCAAGAAAAAAACTGTGTAAGTGTAAATTATCTGTGATGCAGAAAATGCCAAACAGTTACACTTGTCATGCTCGACATGCATGACCGGCTCGCTTCCCATGTGTTTTCCCTTTGTATCTGCGCATAACAAGTGTCCCGTCATGGCAGACAAACTTGTGATGCTGTTTTCCCAAAAGACTTACACTAACACAGTTTTTTTCTTGGACACAGATTGATATACCCCCAGTAGGCGTGCTCTTCCACGTCCGACTGCAAAAGCATCAAGTAGTCCGGAAATTTATCATAATACTCCACCAAGTACTGCAAGTACGCGACGCACTCATCCCTCCGAAACCCGACGGGGTCGTCGCACGGGACGGATTTCACCTCGTGCATCACGCTGAAAAACGTCCCCACCCCAGAGTTGTCACGCAGATTTGCAATGACAAGGACATTTGTTATGCGCATACCCATGGTAGACATTTCCAATCGTCTTTTGGAATTTGTGATGCTGTGAACAGGATAAACAGATGGATCTGTGATGCGGCTGCACTTGCTAACCCGCACTACACTACGGAATGCAACTTGTCATGCGTGACTCCCAAAACTCCTAGGTCTGTGTTGCAAAATCCCCATCTTGACTATGGGGTGGGGACGCTTTCACACAGGATATCGTGGAACAGCTTGGAACTCATATACAATTCCGTTTTTTCCTCGCCGATCGGCGTTTGACACTTGTCGTAGATGAGCAAGGTGATTTCTACCTCGTTCGTCCTTTTCTCCGGTTATCAAATGCAAATATGTCTGGGTCTGGGAGATTGCGAGATTTGTCATGCTAGTCTGGCACGACTCCGAACTCTGTATTGCGTGGCCGCGAAGAGCTCCTTTTGGCTGTCATGCAAAAACGCAGTTTCTCATGCGGAGTACGCAACTCAGAAGCACCGAAAAAATTGTCATGCGTGGCAGCGCGTTACAGTGTGCTCAGGATTCCCTTCCTTGCATCACATGTTTCCAGACCCAGCAGACATATTTGCAACGGATACTGGCCCAGGAATCACAAAATCCGGGCCGATCACCCAATCCAAATTCTCGCGGCAGTGGCAGATCAAAATGTGCATCGTCTGCTTTTTAGTACCTGCGGCGGTTGATGTTGAAGCTGGAGCAACAACGGTGGTTTTCGCTCCAGATGGAGTTGCTCCGCCCCCCAACAGTTCCGCGTGCTGCAACACTTTCTCGTGTATCAAATGCAAAAATGTCTGTGTCTGGAATGTGATGCTAACTTTGGACTCTAAAAAAATCTGTATTGCATGACCAGCAAGAGGCGTCCGGTTTGTGCTACGCGGGGAGGGCATTTGTCATGCGAAATAGGCATCAGGAAGGCCCCTAAAAATCTGTGATGCTAGGTCATGCATTACAGACACCTGGGTCATGCAAAATATGCATGACAAATCTCCCAGACCCAGACATATTTTCAGTTGATATCGTGCGTGGCGCTGTACTCGGTTGATTTCGCGCTGAAGAGAATTTTCTGCGGCCCGAAGAGTTTCTCCTTCTCCTTCCAGAACATTTCGTACGCTTCGTCCAGCGGCCAGCCCTTGCGGAGCAGTTGCTTGCCGTACTTCGTCTCGAGCTGCTTGGCGGCTAGCAAATGTCGGTCGGTGTTGCTGTTGAACTTGTTTTCGTTTTGATATGGATCCTCTCCGGTCGCGAGGCGCAGTTCTGCATCCTGTGCACTCCCATCTCCGCTCGCCGCTGTTGTTCCGCGGAATAGGGTGTGCATTGTAAAAGCATCGCTCTCACAATATTTTTGCATGACAAGTCTTTATCTTTTAGGCAATTCAGCATGTCAAATTCGATTTTTCTACGAAAAAATTTGTCATGCAGTTCGCTCTAGTACGATACTTTTGCGATGCGTACAAGTACACCGCGGCAGCGAACACGTGGGTGATCGCAAACGCGGCGGGCTATCAAGTGTAAATGTGTCGGGTCGAGCGGAGTGAAAGACTTGTTATGCAGATTTTATTCCATGACCCGCAAGGTTTGGAATGCAGGACCTAGCACGACAGACTCGGTGAGATCTCTATCAGGATGCCTATCCTGCATGAGAAACTCCCTCTTAACTTGGTCCCCTATTAAAGTGAACAGCTTTATTTGGTAATCATGCAATACAGATTTCTGCAGGATCCAGACCTAGCATGATAAGTATCATCCTTCCCGACCCAGACATCTTTGCGATGCATAGGGGGCACAGGTCGACTACTGTCGCGTTGTACTTCGCCGCTTCTAGAACGAAAAACACCTCCTCCAGCGGCGGCTGCCGGGCGTCGGACTCGAAAAACCGGAGGTATTTGTACTGCAACACCCCCGGCTGAATCTGGTTGGTCGCGGGCGGGATGCTGAACTCCGAAACTTTGCAGGCGGTAGCGGAGGTAGTTGCTGTGCCGGGTGGAGAGGTAGTGGAGGCTGCTACTTGGACCGCGATCGGCAAGGACAGAAAGATTGACCCGAGTGCAAGTGCCGTATGGCGCATAGTGTTTACTCGTCCTTTATGTGCCGCGCGGAAAGGAGAGAATGTTGCACCGCTTCTTTTTTTTTCAGAAGAGGCAGAAGTTTTTTCCCTGCACCACACGTTGTTGTGTCTCATAGTTCCTGGTCGGTTGTAGCCGCTGCTTATTTCTCCTGTGGTCTTCTTGCAGTTGTTTTCACCATTGTCCGCGCCGCTTTTCCTCCGAGTCGTCCGACTGTTCGCAATTGGTTCATCGTCCAGTAGCGGCGGACGGGCTGTTGGCATTGCGTCATGAGATCGGGGAAACCAAGAAACGGCCGTTGACGAGAGCACCATGGTGGACAATGGTGCTTGAACAAAACGAATCGGCTTTATCAATTTGTTACGTGCTGTTTTCTCGAAGATCTGCTGCGTTCTGAAGAAGTGCTGCTACTTGCGGTAGCGGTTCAAAAAGATGATCAACATCCCGGCTAAGTCCTTGCATTAGCAATGGCAGGGGGTCACTTTTGTAAAGAAAAAAAAACGCGGTGTTTTACCAGCGGAAATTACGCTCCGCACTTCATCATCCCGAAAAAATTTATTGATCCAAAAACAATCTGTGCGGAAAAAAGCAAAGAGGATCAGTCTGCGACGAGGTCAAAAGAGTGGATCGACCAAAGAAACGCGAACGGCGACACGGAAAGCTGCCGCGACGCCAAAAACCATGAAAAAGCCCGGGCGCAAAGGAGCGCGGAGAGCTTAAATACCGGGACCGAAAAAATCGGCGTGCGGCTTCGTTCGTGCCCGAGATCGCCCGCTGGCATCACGCGGGCGCCCGGGCCGAGTGTGCGGCGCGCGCGGGATCTACAGGCAAAGAAGACCGAAAACCGCGGGGGCCGGCGTGGCGCCCTTGCCGGTGCGCCAGTTCTCGCGTCTATGCGGTAGCGCCCCAGTTTGCCGGAAGAGAAAAGATGGCCAAGGCTAAACGCCTTACCCCCATTCCCGGGCCCGTGCCGCGGCGCGGGCGGTTGCGGGGCGACCCGGCCCCGCGCCACCTATTGGGCGGCTGGGAATATGGGGGCCCGCTTCCGCGATATCGACGGGGCCACGGTGGCGGCGGGCGGGGGAAGGTGTTCGGCGGAGCGATGCGGCAGCCTATAGCGGCACTAGGCTCGGGCGCCCGGCTCGGAGATACTACCACCAGGCACCCCGCGCGCGGTTTTGCATCCTCTTGTAAGCGCGGTAAGGCGGGCCGATCCGATCCGCCGGCCGGCGGGCGGCGAGGGGGGGCATACAATTCCGCGAGATCCGGAAAATTAACGGAAGTGCAGGAATGGAGAGCGGGTTCCGTAATTCGGTGAAAAGTACTGGCAGCGGCCGCCGTCAGTGTATATCTGTGCCGTCTTCTCATCGCCCAGACCTGACCTGGACCACCATGGTGGTTTCTTGATCAATTTCCAAAATTAAAAAAATTTAAGAAAATTTGCGCAATGTAAAAACGCAACAGAAACGCAGCCACAAATCTTGAGAATGGCCATCAGGGCGCTCAATTGGTGTTACGATTATTTTTCATTTGGAAGCTGCTTCAGAATTACATATATTTTTGCACTTTTTGAAAAGTGCCAAAATCGGCAAAATTTTAAAAATGACACAACTTAACAATCTTACTCATAGAGAGATAATATAAATAGGCCGCGTGCGTGATCTGATGGAATAGGCTAACCGAAGAAGGGCAGTTAGTTCCTTGTTTGTATTTTTTCTTGATTTTTCAAAAAATCGAAAAAATTGAAAAAGTTGCACACTTCCAGCCAACCTCTACGACTTATGTGAATAGTCTGCAAGAGTGAGAGACTGCGCATAGGGATTTATGTACTTTGGATTTCCAAACTTATATATTATCCATTCAGTCTGTTTTGCAGGAACTTCCTAGAATAAAAAAAATCAAAATTTTGAAAAATTGGCTGAGATGTGAGAAACGTTTATAATATCACTCAAAGTCTGACGGATGGTAGTTCATTTTATATTTTTGAAGTAAACTTTACAAATTAGAGCGCTTGTTTTTGTAATGTTGACGGTTTTCTGACCCGACTAAAATTTTAAAAATTCCACAAAATTGCACGGAAGTGATTAACTTCCTCAATGTAGCAAAAGTGTCAGACTCAAGAAGTTGAATATATTGATTTGCTGCATTATTTGCTTCCGAAAAGCCCAGTGTCTACATTTTTCTGCTTTTTTTAAATTTTTGCAAAATTCAAAAAATTTATCAAAATGAGGAACATGGCCTATGAGTGTAGAGATCTGGTCTAATCGACCTTCATAGGACGCTAATTGCGCTGCTTCTTTACCTTTTTTCACCGGCGGAAGCCGATTAGGCTCGTGCTGGCTGATTTCTAATGTGCAAAAATTTTTAAAAATTGGCAACAACTGAACACATGGGCCTGGATGGGCAGGCCTCGGACCCCGCGCAGTTATGTCAGTGCGCTGGGCTCCTTGTATTGTTCTACACCGCCTTCCCATCGGCGGGAGGCACAGGCTGCAGCCCCCTCGTGGCGCGGACCGCGGGCGCAGCAGTCCGCCGCCGCCGGTCGGCCGCGGCTCCGCTGCGGGGGGCGGGTAGGCCCTCGCGCCTGCTTGGGCGGGCGCCTGCGGGCCCGCGCTTCTATGGCGCAGATACTGCCGCCTCGGGTTGCTAGTGGAGGAGAGTCGGGCCGCGCTCCAAACCGGTTCCGCCGTGCGAAGGCGCGCTGCTTTTGCGAGGGCGAGAGTCCGTTTCCTTGCCCGGGCCGCAAGCGCTTGTGCAAGCAAACACCGAGGCGCGCTCTTCGAAGCGCCCGGGGGCCCCACTTGCGGCGGGGTCGATACATGGCCCCGTGCGGAAAATGCCGCCGGGCTTTTCCTGTGCGCGGTAACAAATTGCCGGAACGAGTGATGCCAGCCTCTGCGGCCCGGAGCAAGGTTTTGCCCGCCGTTTCTCGCGGCTGCGTGCAGTCGCCTCCGCTTTTCGAACTAACTGCGACTGAAAATAGTAGACTGTAGCAACGCGATAGATACTGGCGAGCAAAAATTGTAAAATCCCCGGACGATTCGCTTTCGGTGCGGTGGGTAATGTGTTCGATTGTAATTGTCTCGGCTTTTGCTTATTTCCGCCTGTCGATCCGAGAGAGCGCGCAAATGTAAATGCTTGCAAAGCAGGAGGCTTCTTTTACTGTCTATTGACGACGACTACCATCTAGCGGACAGACGGACCACTGCCGTGGAGCCGCACGCACGGTGCAGGGGTGCGCGATTTCGCAGACAATTTTGAGCCTAGAAGTTTTTGAAAAGGCTTCACATGAGTATTTCTTTACCGGTCTTCACGATTGCGCAAAGACATGACCGAAACCCGGCGGCGACCCGCTTCCGGCGGGGCGGTTGCGACTGGTGCCAGTAGACAAATCCAGTTGAAACAGCATCACAACTTACAGCGTAAGCAAACGCCCGGAGGGTCTCCCCAATCGCATCACTCGCGCGGGTTACAACAGGACCAACAACTGCTCAGAACCACGAATGACCAGCTGACGACGGAGGTGGCGCAATTGCGCAAGGAGAACGAATATCAAATGCAAAAGTGTCGGGGGCTGGAAGCTTTTGAGACTTGTCATGCTTGCCTGGCATGACCAAAAAGTTTGTGATGCGTGTCCAAGAAGAGACCCTGTTTCCTGTCATGCAAGAACGCAGTTTGTCATGCGAAAAACGCAACACAAAGAAGCGCAGATATTTCTCATGCTTGCCTGTGCATTACAGAGCATTATCTACTCCCAACGCAGCACTACAAGTTTCCAGACCCAGACATTTTTGCAGTTGATAACGAAATCCTCGGTCGGGCGATCGAGGAGCTGTTATGCTATGCATTGCAAATATGGCTGCGTCTGGAAGGATGCCAGCTTGTGATGCTGCCTTTGGACTCTACACAGAATTTGTATTGCATGAACAGCAAAAGAGGCCAAGGTTTTGCTATGCGGAGAGGGCATTTCTCATGTATGGGCATCAGAAAGCCCGCAAAGAATCTGTGATGCCAGGGTGTGCATCACAAACGCCATGGGCTATGCAAAGTGTGCATGCCAAACATCCGGACTCATTCAGACCCAGACATATTTGCATTCCATAAAGGCAGCGGGAACGCGATCATCGCGGGCGGAGGCGGTTTGGTCGAAAACGCCAATTCAGCTGCTGCACATCATAATCTGTCTGCGCAGAGCAAGTCGAGCCGGGAAATAATCATCGAAAACCTCCGCTCGGAAAACCAAACGCTGCAAAACCGGGTGGATTTTTGGCGCAGTATCAAATGCAAATGTGTCTGGGTCTGGGTGGATTCGAATTTGTGATGCGAATTCTAGATCATGACAAAATCTCTCATGCACGGTCAGCAAAAAGCCCTATTTCCTGTCACAGAAAGTGGGCATTTGTCATGCGGATTAGGCATTGGGATACCTGCTCGGAATCTGTGATGCTAGGGCTTGCATGCCAGACGATCTGGGCGAGGCAAAAACTGCATCACAAATGTCTGCACTCTTCCAGACCCAGACACTTTTGCATTTGATACGTAGCCGGTGTTTGCAACACGGGAAGAGCCTGCAGGAGCTGCGGGATTGCATCGTGAATTTCCCGATACAGGGATTTAGCAGCGCTGGTGGTGGGAGTAGTAGCTCTTTCTCATCTGGAGCAGGGGCGACGGCCGGGACGAAGAACGAGGGAAATCATAAAACGGAGAAGGTAAGCGTAAGAAAGTTAACTTACTCATGTAGAAGGAAAGATGAGCGTCATGTGAAACATGTTCAGTACGCCGATGACTCATGTTCCTCATGTGAAGATGAGCTTTGAACGATTTTTGCATGCCAACGAAGAAAAAATAAAAGCCTACTAACGAAACTGCAAATAACAGGTACTCCCCGCTTCCCCGACGGCGGCCCAGCAACCGCAGCAGCCCTCCACCTACGAAACCATGCTGGAGGCCGTTTTCGTCGAGAAGATTCAGTTTTTGGAAAAGAAGCTCGCCCAAGAGAAGAAGGATCGGGTATTGTGGGAGATACAGCGGGGGAAGGAATTATCAAATGTAAAAATGTCTGGGTCTGGAAGAATGCAACTTGTCATGCCAAATCTGAAGCATGCAAATATCTGTGTTGCATGATTACCATAAGTCGTCCAGTTTTGACCAAGTCTGGAGGGAGTTTCTCATGCAGGATAGGCATGAGAGAGATCGCACAGACTCTGTCATGCTAGGTCCTGCATTCCAGACCTCCTGGGTCATGGAAAAGCTGCATGACAAGTCGCGCATTCTTCCAGACCCAGACTGACATTTTTGCAATTGATAGGAGTCGTTGAAACTCGCGAGAATGGAAGACGAGTTGGAGCAAGTGAAATTGAAACACGAAAAGGAGAAAGCGAAGATGGACGCGATGTTCGATACTGTCGCCGCGGCGGAAGAAGAGAATAAAATAGCAGCTGGAAATACAGCACCGTCGGATCGTGGTTTGAAATCCAGAAATAACCCACTCGTCACCCCGGACCGGAGTAGCACGGGATCCTCCAATCGATTCTACGCGCAAAGGGCCGCGGTTGCAACCACCGCGGGCGCGCCCGGGAGTACTAGTAGTGGTAAAAATAGCAGCGTGGCGACAACACCGCAACAGCACTCCGGGGTGGTTCCGCTGCTGCAAGGGAATTATAGCGGGACGAGCAGAAGTATGCATTGCAAATATCCCTGGACGTCCGGAAGGTTGCAACTTGTGATGCTGTCTTTCGATTCTAAAAAAAACTGTATTGCATGAGCACCAGCAAGAGGCGTCCAGTTTGCGCGACGCGGAGAGGGCGTTTCTCATGCGGAATAGGCATCAGGATGTTCTTTAAAATTCTGTGAAGATGCTATGTGATGCATTACAGGGATCATGGGTCAGGCAAAATATGCATGGCAATCTTCCAGACCCAGATGACATACTTGCCATGCATAAGAAGTATGCTTCCTACACCCGGGAAGATCGCGGCGTCGCTTCGCAGTTATCACAGCGGAGATTCGGTGCATAAAGTAGTCACGACAGGAGGGAATACGACGTCTACCAGTGACCAGTACGTGCTGCGAGAAATCGCGGGAACCCAGGACCACGCGGGTAGTCATCCGACGGGAACTATCTGGCCGAAAACCTACACGTATGAGGACGGTGAGGCGGTGCTTTCCAGCAGCAGTGGCGTGGCGAACTATCATGCGGTCGCTGTGCCACTGTATCAAAAAGAAGATGACAATACTTTGTTCTTGCGAAAAAATAACGAGGAGATCGAGGAAAGAAGGCGGCGCTTGGTGGGGTTGTGATGAACCAGATGAATTCAGATATGATGAAAAACAAAAAAGAATAAATTCACTTGTGCATCAGCCAAACTTTTTTTGCACGTCAGCTGCACCATCCCCATTGATGTCCTCGCGCGGACTTGTTTGTAAATTACAAAGCATGATGTGGAAGTAGGTCAAAGCGGCGCGAATTTTTTTCGTGTTGGAATACAGACAGTGAAAGGCTGTTCGTCAAAACGATCACGATGTCCGTATTTTCACTATGAAGGCCCACGACGTGAAAGGCTGAAGATCTGAATTTGATTTTTTGCCTGCGGTCCAAATTGATGCCTACGTACAGATCCATCTGTTCGTTTTTTCTTGCCTCGTTTCCTTTTGCTTTTTTCATCAAAGCAGTACCCTGTGCGCTTCGTTTGTAAAAGAAATTCGCAAAGTAGAAAACTCGTTGAAAAGACTGACACAGCAGCGGTTCCTATTAGCAGCAGCGATAGCGAAGCGTCATCCAACATCGCCACAGCTAGACCAAATAAACCGAACGCAAAAGAAGTCCGACCGATTTTGGTAGTACGTAGTTCTCGTATTGCCATTTTTGTTCTTTTCCGTGATGAAAGAAGTAGTAGCGCAGACAAAAAAGAAGCAGCATCGTAGGCAGCAGCGTTTTCATGACATTTCGTTTTTTGCACGCAGGAACCAGATCCACATCGCGTGGCACTTCGTTGTTGAAAATAAAACGTGAATTCAGTGACACGTTACAGATTTTCATACGTACTCCCACCCAAAAGTAAATTTCGTTTCCTCCCTATGACCCAAACAACAGCTGATAATTATCAATCAATCCGGTAGTTGTACTAGTTCAATCCATCGGAAAGTAGGAGATTTTCACCGTCACAAGATTTTCCTGAAAGTAGTACTAGTAGACTTCACTCTGACTCTCAACAACATTCACGATAGTAGCCTCGCTATCGTTCGAATAAATCAAACTTTTGACTTTTTTGACCAAGCACAGTTGTAGAATATCAAACACCGTTTTTTTTTGGCTAGATTTTCTCTGTACAACCGGATAATATCTCTTCTGGCGGGGTTTTGTAGAATAAAAGTGAAGTAAAACAGTACAGTGTAAGTACACAAAATAATTTTGAGAATAAAGTTTTCTTTGTCCAACTCCAAACAAACCAAACCAAAAGATACCAAAAAATGAACCGCCTCGACAAAGTCGCCAACCAGCTCGTCACCGCCAACCCGAACGCGGGCGGGCAGCTGAAATTCGGGAAAAAAGCTCCCTCGTACGAATGCGGGGCCAACACGCCGCGGTCCAAGATGATGGAGTGCTACACGGTCGGCGGGGAAAAGGACAGCGCACAATCGACCAAGATGTTCTTCCCGGGCCAGAACCCGCGGGTCGGCGCCCCGCCGAGCGCGAATGACCTGCCTTCCCTGTCTATCCTGTGCAAAAACGTCCGCACCCCAGCGGCAAGATGGCAGCTTTGCTACGCAAAGCAAGAAGGTTGTGCTGTTGCGCTTGACAACTACTTTACTAGGTCTCGAGTGCCGTTGTTGTTAGGTGGCGCAGTCGCATCACAAAGCGAGTTCCTTATCCTGATACGAGCATGACAAATTCCCAGATAGCGTGAGAAATCGCTCTTCATGGAGCTAGCTGCGCATGAGAAACATTTTGCAGATGTACATTTGCATGACGAATAAGGTGGACGAGTGGGGACGTTTTTCCTCAGGATACTGTCCGATATGGTGTCCGCGGGAAACGTGCCGAATGCCAACAATGACATATCAATTGTAAAAGTGTCTGGGTCGGGAAGATTCTGAGACTTTTCATGCACGTTTTGCATGAGCCATGATGTCTCTGATGCATACCCTAGCAATACAGATTTTTTGAGGGCTTCTTGATGCCTACTCCGCATGACAAATGCCTTCTCAGCGTAGCAAAACGAGCACTCCCTTTGCTACTCATGCAATACAGATTTTTTTGGAATCCAAATGCAGCATCACAAGTTGCATTCTTCCAGACCCAGACACATTTGCATTTCATATGACAACACGCTGAACCACGACGAGAATTCACCGCTGAACACCAGCGTGATGAGCACCAGCGCGGGGAATAGCACTCCGATGGAACAGCAGTTAAACGCCGCGGCGGATGCGGTAACGCAAAGTTCCCTGCTCTGGCCCCCGTTCGAGTCGCAGTACGACTGGACCAAGGTGCATGCGGACTTGGAAAATGGGAACTACTCGGGTGTGTATGGCTGGGACAACGCAGCTTATTGGGGCATCGCCGAGAAAAAAGCAGGGGTCGACTTGAGGGAATGGTATAAGGGTCTAGCTGCACCTGGCGTTCGTCTTTTCGCATGACAGATTGACTGTTTACTTTCAAGAAATGCAGAGTCAGGATGAGAGATTTCCTTTCTTCACTTTTGAAAACAACAAAATCAAAGGTACAAGCGCCGCACGGATGACGAGTACTACTTGCCGGAATTTAAGGATCTCGTCGACCACCCCGATACCCAGAAGGAGTGGAAAAACATTTTCATGTTTGACCCTATGGGCATGTACGCACACCCCCCGACCATCGCGGCGTGCAAGGCGAATCTCGACATCCCGGAGTTGACCGCGGAACTGCAGAAAGACGGGAAAATTGTCCGCGACGACGGACAAATCCGCACCCAGAAGTGCGCCATCTACTACGCGTGGAACCTCCCATATCTTGAGAAAAAAGTATATACAGTTACACACTCTGATGGAAGACAAGCAAGACAGGCAACCCCTGTCATGCAGGAAATGCTTGCCAGCCTCTCATTCGTGTTTTCCCTTATAGCCTGCGCATCACAGGTTTTCTTTGCCATGTCGAGCAACTTTGTGATGCAGAAACTCCAACAAATGCGTAACTGAAGCACTTTTTTCCTGTGATGTCCCCCGCTTGGGCGAACGGCTGGACATGGACGAGGACGATTTGCGGGACGCACTGTACAAGTATTCCAACAACCCGGATCTCAAGGACAAAACGAAGAAGACCTTTCTCCCCGGTGTCGGTGGGTGCACGATTTACACATTTGGGGACGTGAGGAAGGTCCGGGATCCGACGACAGAAATCTGCGTGCGAGTGCACGATGAGTGCATCGGGAGTGACGTGTATTTATACTAGATGTTCTTACTTGTTTTCTGCATGAGAAGTTTTGCTTTTGTTGCGGGTAGTTGATGCAATAGAAATTTGAATCAACAGCATCAAGAAAAAGCATTATGATATGTTGCAAGGACCTCCGCTCATCATTATTCATGCGTGGAGGCAGCATGCGAAATTATCGATCTCTGAAAAGTACCAAAATACAGGTTTGGCTCCGACATCTGCACCTGCCGTCCCTACCTCATCTTCGCCCTGCAGCAGTGTATCCAGTGTGCCCAGCGCGGTGGGGTTGGTATCGTCATCTATTACCGCAAGGAGGGACGGTCCCTCGGGGAGGTCATCAAATTCCGCGTCTACAACGCGCGAGAGAACCAGACTGGAGGGGACTTATCCTGAGCAAAAACGGTTCCACCCTGTAGTCAAGGTGGGAAATTTGCTAGACAAATCTAGCAGCGTAGGTTGTTGCGCATGACAGGTTTCTTGGCCTCGTAGTGTAATCTTGTTGAGCTAGCAGCTCCAGCAGCAGCACAGACCTAGCTTATTATGCTGATTAGAGCATTACAAGTTCCAAAACAGGGCTAGAAAATGCTTCTGATCGGGGCTCCGCATGAGAAACATTTTTGCCATGCAGATTTTGCCATGCAGATTTGCATTTTGGGGACGTTTTTACATAGGATACCATTCCGCCGATAAGTACTTTCACCAGACCGAGGCGATCGCCGGGATTCGTGATGCCCGCTTCCATATCCTGTGCAAAAGTATCGTACTAGTGTAAATTGCATTACAAATTTGCTTCGCATTACAAATAAAATTTGTAATGCTGTTTTAGCTAAGGAAGGCGATTTGTCATGCATATCTGCAATTAGAACGCAACGAGTGCGATACTTTTGCATTCTATATTCCAGGCCATGATGCCGGATGCGCTGAAGTGGTTGGGAATCAAGAGGATTGACTATTGTGAGGAAAAATTCCCCCTCCCCATATCGAAAGCGCATTCGTCTGAAAATTTGTGATGCAGATTTGAGGTCACAAATCCTGGCTGTCTTGCAAGAAGGCAGAGCCAAAGAGTCCGCCGCATTATGGCGGCGGTTTGTGATGCTGTTGGGCTTACAGGGCCGACGTCTGTCATGCTAGTCCCCTACGTCAAAACCTCTCGACCCAGGGTTGGCATATGCCTGCAGTCCTCTCCAGCAAGACAGGCCTGATTTGTGTACGCAAATCCAGCATCAGAAACTTCGTTTCGATATGGGGAGGGGGGATTTTTCCCTTTGATATTGACTGGCTGTGTTCCATGAGCAACGAAAAATACGAAGCGATTGTTGGGTATAGAATAAAGACATATCTATCTCGGTAGATCCTTTTCGTGTAGTGACTGGGATTTGGGGTCCCCCGTTCGCACTATATCGGCTGGCAGATCCGTAGAAGCTATTGCACGTTTGCGATCTCCTCCCCTAGAGTGGGGAGGAGCGAAGTAGAGTCTTCGATAAGTGCGTCTGGGGGACGTAGGTTTAGGTGTATTTTTGTTTTTTGTTCTACACCAAAGTAGGTGACGCCAGTGAGGGCATCCCCCAGCGGGGGGAGTTTATTCCTTTTTTCTCACCATAGAGGGTGGCCCCAGCGGGGGTAGTTTAGCGGCGAGTGCCATCGCTTTCTGCAGCTTCTGATGTCCAAAAGTGATGGCCAAAAGATCCTCCTTGACCATCACTTTCCGGCCGGGCAGGCTTCCAGGTCGAGCCAAAGTGATGGCCAGGAGTTCCATGGCCATCGCTTTTCGCTCGGGCAAAAGCAACGGCCAAGAAGAGCTTCTTGGCCGTCGCTTATTTGCTTTTTGCCATCACTTCCATCCCGGCCGGGCAAAAGTGACGGCAGAGAGCCCCTTGGCCATCGCTTTCCGGTCGGGCAAAAGCGATGGCCCGGAGCTCCTTGGCCATCACACACTTCCCGCTCGGGCAAAAATGATAGCCGCGAGCTCCTTGGCCATCAGTTTTCGCCTAGGCAAGCAAAGCGATGGCCAAGAGCGCCCTGGGTGGCCACCACTTTTGGTGGCCATCATGTTTGTTCCATGAGCAACGAGAAATACGAGGCGATTGTTGGGTATAAAGTAAATTTGTGATGCTATAGTACTAGACGAGAAAAAGCGTCCTCATCTGCTTCGGTTTTGATTTAAAGAAGCCCTTTGGCGCCTCTAGCTGCAGCTACACACTTATCATATCGCGTAGAGGTACGTATAGGGAGGACCCAAAATAGGAGACCTAAGGTTCGGGTGAATTCTCTTCACCCAGCTTCTGTTCCCTTCCTTGAGTTGCTGCGGTGTTGAAGTTTACGCCTATGCTCGACTGCGCGGGAGGGTTTTTGCCTTACCCCTCTAAGGTCTCAGGAATCACGCTGCCACACTGTCTCCAAACCCACGCCGACACTACCAAAAAGACTTTTTGATAAGAATAAAAAGCCACAAAGTAGAAGCATACTGCAGGGGGAAGGGAAAAGGCTTGCAGCTACTCAGAAAGCGCGGCCAAGCATATCAGAGGGCTTGCCTGGGGGTAGTTTCTGCATAGATGCCGTGCTTGTGTATTTATATCGAAGTAAAGCTTCTGCTGGAATGAGCAGACGATCATGGACGCTGCTTCACAGCACCGCGATGCCAATGGAATGGAAAGTGTTCCATGAGCAACGAAAAATACGAGGCGATTGTTGGGTATAAAATAAACAAGCCTCGGGGCGAGCCCTGCTGGGCTCGCCTGGTCTTGGGGTTGTCGGTTGCGACCGGTAAGACGGTGGCTGAGTAAACTCCAAGGAGACACGGGGAGGGGGCCCGATGTCAGTGGGGTTGTTGTGCGCGTTGCTAGCCTTCCGGCCGTTGCTAGCCTACCGGCCGCCGCTACCTAGCCTGCCGGCTGCCTTGCGCATGGTGTGTCTCTTGTTGTGGTCCGTGGTTGCCGCTCTGCTCACGGCAGGGCCCTGCAATAGTTAGCTTTTTGCGCCCTGTCTCCTGTCGAAATCGCGTGGGCCGCTCTACGGGCCCCCTTAAGCATCCCCGTAAAGATCCCCTTAAAGATTCCCTTAAGAATCCCCTTAAAGATGCCCCTTAAAGATTCCCCCTTAGAGAAATCGCCTTAAAACATTTCGGCCCGAATCCCCATGCTATGGGCCCGGTTTTCTGGGTTCCAAAACCTTGCGCCAACGCACACCGATAAACGCAGCATACTGCCGGCGCAAAAATGAACCCGCATGGTATGATCGATTCCGCTCCCCCCCTTTTTTTAAGGAGTTTTTTAAGCAACGAAAAATACGAGGCGATTGTTGGGTATAAAAATTCATCTTCAACATTTAGAAGAAGTACTATTGCGAGTTGTGTGGAGCTAGTTTTCTTCCTCATGATGCCCGATACGGGTTTTTGAGTTTATGAGTCAAGATATAGTGATTGTTGAGATCATTCGGGGAGCATGTTGTCGTTGGGAGGAAATTGCTGAACAATTTTTTGCTCCTCTGCGCTCGTCTTCCCGTCAGTCATATGCTTTTGCGCTATATTTACAACCCGCGAAAGAAAAAGAAAAAAGAAAAACCCAATACCTTTAAAACTCTCGTCTCTCAGTGCGGGTATTCAAGTGATGCAGCGCGTCACCCTTCCGGAGGACTACGTGAAAGAGAACATGAAGGTCGAGATCAACGCCAAAGTCGTATGCAGTGCAAATATGATGTCTGCGTCTGGAAAAGATCAGGGTTTCTCATGCAGGTTCGGGATGAACTGAAACTCTGTGATGCACGAGCACGAAAAGGTCCCCTTAGCTGTCGTGCAAAAACGCCGCCTGCCATGCAGAGTACGCAACATTCACATTAGCAGCCCAAAAATTTGTCATGCGTGGCAGCGTATTGCAGTGCGGCTATAGTTGACATTTAGCATTACAACCTTCCAGAGGACCGAGACATATTTGCAATGCATAAATCGCGTCCGGCTACAACCAGGAGACCTTTGATCCGGATCAGGTCGCTCTCGAGTGCTTGACCTTACCGCACATTACCAAGCAGTGCAGCCAGGTGTTTGAGCTGGGCAAGAAGGACAAGCTGGACCACTTCACGCTGCATTTGGACAAGTTGGTATCAACTGCAAATACGTCTGGGTCCTCTGGGAGGTTGCAACTTGTGATGCGGTCTTTGGATTCTAAAAGAATCTGTCTTGCATGACCAGCAATTATAGAAGTCCAGTTTGTGCTACGTCGCGGGGAGAGCATTTGCCATGCGCGATAGGCATCAGGAAGGGTTCTAAAAATCTGTGATGCTAGGGCATGCATCACAGACAATATTGGGTCATGCAAAATATGCATGACAAACCTGGCAATCTTCCAGACCATGACATATTTGCAATGCATAGCTGGATGACTGCGTCAATTTCGTGGACCAAGTGATCGAGGAGCACTACCCGAATATGCAAGAAAAAAACTGTGTAAGTGTAAGTTTGTCTTGCAGATGTTGCAATACAGTTACACTTGTCATGCCGGATATGCATCATAGGCTATTTTAGTACGTGTTTTAGCACTAGCGTACGCGTACCAGCTACGCATGACAAGTTTTCTGTCATGCAAAACAAATCTGTGATGCTGTTCCTGCAAAGAAGTTACACTCACACATTTTTTTTATTGGATACCGGACGGAAAAAAGATTCCGCCGCACTCCAGGGTAGGTTTATTTCTATGATCGTGCTGTACTTTAGAAAGAGGTTCGGCCATAATGTTACATCGAGAAGTTGTTTGTGAGCATCTGATTTGATTTGTCGTTCTTGGACCGAATGTCTTGCTACACAGGCTTTGTATCCATCGCGCCCGCGCCGTCCGAGTACTAGGACGCGCTTGTCTAGAACTCATCGCGCTTTTTTTCTACAAGCCCGCCCGCGCCGGCGCCCCGCACGCCGCGGTCACTGACGCCGCGATCGGTACAGTGAAAATAATCCGCGAAAATATGTTGAAAATTATCCGCGAGCCAGAAGTGCAACTTCTTGCACCGCGTTTGCCGCGCCGCCCAACTGAACAGGCACAGGATAGTACTGTGACAAACATCTTCCTCTTCCTCCCGGCCCGCACAAGTAGGAAAACAACAAGCTAAAAACACATCCACCTCAGATGCGCCACCTCGAGAACCTGCCGAAGTTCCAGGAGTGGGTCGAGTCTGACGGATTTCAGCAGTTAGACGCGGTTGAAAAGACGAAGAGAATCATCGATTTGGTCTTTATGGTGAGCAAAAACGTCCCCAGCTCAGAGTCAAGATGGCAAACCTGCTACACAAATCAACCAGCTTTGGCTGTTGCGCATGACAAACTTGGGCTCGTAGTGTAGTCGTGTTTAGCTAGTGCAGCAGCATCACAGATCTAGCACACCATACGGATTTGAGCATCACAAATCGCAAAACACCAATAGAGACTGCTTCTCATGGTTCTCTGCATGAGAAACATTCTCGGCATGCAAATTTGCATTACAACTCTGGGGTGGGGACGTTTCTACAAATGATAGTCTTCGTGTCCGTGTTAGTCGATGCCGGTGCGGGCCCCGACTGGAAGTACATGAGCGAGGGGAAGATCATCACTAGTTCCGAGGGGCTTGCTACGAATTGCAAAAGCATCGCACTAGTAGTAATTGCATTACAAATTTTCTCAGCATGAGAAATGGAATTTGTCATGCTGTTTAGCCTTGGGATGGAGATTTGTAATGCATGATTGCGATTCCTACGAGTGCGATACTTTTGCTCAGAATACTTGCGGTCGCTTCGATGGACATGTTCGCGGACGGGTTGTTCTCCTCTGACAAAGTATCGCAAGAGAATAAAACGGCTTCACTCTGAACTTGTGATGCAGAAAATGCAACATGGAACTATTTGTCTTGCTACACCTGCATAGAGCATTGGAGTTTCAAGTGTGTTTTTCCCTATGGGAAGTGCGCGCGTGACAAATTTTCAGTGCCATGCGTAACAAACTTGTGATGCAGATCTTGAAAAACAAAGAGCATCACAGTGAAGCAGTTTTATTTTCGTGGGATACAAAGCGTTGCCGTACCGTGTCAATTCGCTTGCCTTGAAGCAGTTGACAGAGAAGGACTTGACCAAGGGGTTCCAAATTTCCACGTCAAACAAATTGTTGGCGGTGAAAGGGAGATTGGCGTTGCTGAACAAATTAGGTATAGAATTGATACAGCTGCGTAGTGGTTTAGCAATAGAACTAGATCTACTGTTTGAGTTTTTGCATGACAAATTTTGCTATGCCAATACTGAGATTTTTTGTTGTTCACAAGAGGCATCAGTTCGCGCCATCTTTATCAGTTATCTTTCTGAAACAAACTTCTATCAAAGGTGAAGCGCTGGAGAAGAACCCGAAATTTTTATTGTGAGGAAAAATCCCCCCTCCCCATATCAAAAACGAAATTTGTCATGCTGTATTTGAGTACACAAATCGACTTGTAATGCCAGAAAGCCAAGGGCCGCAGTTGTGGCCTCGTTTGTAGGCAATCTGTCATGCTATTTCCCACTTCCAGTTGCTCTCTGTCGTGCTGAAGGCGCAAGGCTTTCCGACGCCAGCCGGCACTACACTCCGCACGTCTTTCCTTCTAGCATGACAAAGCTGATTTGTGACCACAAATCTGCATCACAGATTTCCGTTTTGATATGGGGAGGGGGGATTTTCCTTCTTGATAATTTTTCGGTAGTGAACTCCCCCGGCCGGGAAATCTCGTCGACTTATGCATTGCAAATATCCCTGGATGCCTGGAAGGATGAGGATCCAAACCTGTCATGCTATCTTTGGATTCTAAAAAAATCTGTATTGCATGACCAGCAACAGGAGCCCAGATTGTGCTACACGGGGAGGGCGTTTGTCATGCGGAATAGGCATCAGGAAGCCTTCCAAAAATCTGTGATGCAAAGTCATGCACTACAGGCATGGCGGGCCATGCAACATATGCATGACAGACCTGGCAATCTACTTCCAGACCCAGACATATTTGCATTTGATACGACTATGTGCTCAAACAAGCGAAGGAGAAAGATCCGAAAAACATCACCCTCTCCAGCCTGTGGCAGTGCGTCGCCCACGGGATTGAGCCGATCTGGCCGAAGCACGCGTCCGGGATCCAGACGGGGGATATCTGGCACTACAGCAAACTCGTGAAATATGGAAAGAACAAAGTTTGTCACAGTCACTAACTTGCAGGTTTTGCATGAGAAATTTTTCCAGCATCACAGGTTTTTCTTGTATTGTAAAAACACCAGGGAAATCCCTTATGAAGTTTGGCTGTGATGCATTTTTACGCATGACAGACAGTTTTGTATTGCAAAAATGCGCATGTTGAGTGAGCGTGACGAACTTTTTTTTGTTTGATATGAAACCGGGCCTCCCCGGGTCCGACCTCGTGTCCTTTCACAAACTGACGCAGTGGCTGCTCTACTCCGTGATCGAGGTCATTGAGACCGGGTTTGGGTTGGAGAAAATCCAAAATCCGGAAAATCTGAAGATGACGGGGTTGGCGGAGTACCGAAATGGCGGGTTGTTAGTGGATTCCGGCCTGATCCGCTTGCGGAATCCGGAGAATCACCAGGCGGAGCACTCTATGAATTGCAACAGTGTAGTCGTACTAGTGGTAATCGCATGACAAATTTTCTCAGCATGACACATGGAATTTGTCATGGTGAATCAGTAAGGAAACCAGGTTTCGCATGCATAATTGCGATAATTACTACGAGTGCGATACAACTTTTGCACGGGATACACTCCGTCGGGTCGGAATTAGTCGTCGAGTGGCGCGCGTTGACGATTGTGTTGATTGACATGATCGCGAAGAAGCTGATGGAAAAGCGAAAGGGACACATTGACACCGTCGCGCAGGCGCTGGAGGGGGGTACCTGGCGTGCGGGCCGGGTGATCGCGAAGAAATTGCGACCGGAATCTGGTGGACCCCCGATCAAGATCAGAAGTGACGGAAGCGTGTTTTAAATGAGTATAAACAGGTAGTTTTATCTCTCTGTATTTCTCTCGCTACAAGAACTACCTCCACACGGAAACAACAAACTCTTGACACATGTAGCATCAAAGTTTGGAGGATTTTTTGAATCAGCTATTTTTACCGTATGCCGTGCCATCAGTTATTAACAAAGACTTTTTCAAACGGCAGTCGCAGTACTTCTTGCCACCACACCTGTAATATAGAGTATTCTGAACAATAATTTTGAGAACCGTTTCACCCACCAAATTTTACCTATTATTTCTACACCGTACAATACCTTTTCCTTCGTTTTTTGTCCTACCCGTTTGTAATCTCGCGCTCGTCCTCTTCAAGCCGCACGGTTTTTTTTTGAAATAAGCAAATCACAGTACTTCAGGATCGTCTCGCTACTACAGTCTCCGCTGATATTGGAAACTGTTTTTTTCTCGCAACAAAAGGCATCGTTCCAATATCCGCGAGGCTGGTTTAAACAACTGTTAATCTTATCTCTCTTTAAATTATTTCGGCCGACGGACAGACGTCAAAAGTGTTAGTCGGTCATTACGCCACGGCAACTTTTAACTTAGAAATCTCACTTTGGGACCACGTTTTTTATCGTGGTCAACCGCGCGCGCTAGGCAACTTAAAAAATCTCAAATCTCAAGTTTTCGAAGTAAATCTAGACGAATTTGAAGAATTTAGTAGAATAATACAATTTTACTGTATTCCTAGGTTCTTTTACTGCTCGGTATTCATCTCCTGATTTATTTTCGAAAACATGTTGGTCAAAATCAAAAATATCACTGTATGTAAATACACTCGAAGTAGTTGAGGACTCTTTTGCGAATCGAAAGAGTGGCTCCGCTCCTCAACGGATGAAAATCAAGATTTTTTTGGTCACAACATCACAAGGATTTAGTACACGGATCATTTCAGAAGTTTTGCTGTTGTAGAAAACCTTTTCGCACGGATATGTCATGCTCTGAAGATTATTTTCAAAGCAAGAGGAAAATATTATTGGCGTTAAAAAATCGAAGGCACAACTACCCCTGCCGCGGCCTGTGATAGTGCATTTGTTGCATCGATGAAAGCGCAGGTAGGCATCCCACTTGTGGTTACAACTTTTGTCCCCAGCAGACACCTGGAAATAGTAGCGTTCTGGTTTTCTTTCTTCCCCCCCGCCCCACATAGTGCTTTGTGGTTTACAAATGATGAATTATTTGTTTTCACCCGCTTTTGCTTTCAAACGGAAAAGGGGCAACAGCCTCTAGATCCTGAAATATTACTTTACTCATCAACGGATAGTTCAGACTCTTACCATCGAGATCCATATACTAACAGGCATAAAAAAACTTCCGCACATGATCATGGTTTCGCGCGTAACTCCTGAACTGTGGTTTTTCAATAAGTCGCCCTCATCGTGGTTCTGCTTTTTGTCTTTCCTTGTGTCTCTGCAGCCCGCGGCACGGGTGTAGTGCTTCGTTTTCGGCGCATGGTTTTAGCTGGGTGTTCATAAATATGTTTCCGTGGAGGAGACGCTGCCCCTTTTCTCACCAACAAGGGCTGAGATTTCAACGTCGCATTTATTTAGGTACTTGCAAGTAGTACTATAGCGCCAGCATTCAATTATACTGTCACAGAATCAGCACCGTCAGACGAGAGAAAATTCGAGGGGTTGAGGACCAAAAAACTCCGGTGCTTCAGCGGCGCCGCGCGAGAATGATCCGATAAAAAGAAAAGACAGCAGGTAGGAAGAAACCTTGCACCAATAACACCAAATGGCGTCGCTTCGGTTTGCACTCCGGCCGGAAGCAATTGCTTCCCGGAGTGCAGCAGCTGCTTTTGGGTCGGTACGCCTCGGAGGGCCGGCGCTCGTCGCGCAGCAAGGCCGGCAGCCATACGTGGTTACACGCGCGCGTGTTCTTGTCACCGCGGATGTGGCACCCTACTACGGCAACAGCTCGCGTCCGATCAGCACGTCGCTTTCAGGCCATGGAAGCAGCAGCAGCTTTTTCCTGCCCCGGCGTATCAACGAAAACCACTGCGCACCTGGATCTACTACCTTCCTCCAGCGCCACCTCCCAAATCGTCGCACCTTTTTCACGCGAACCTGCCCGCGAATGCTCGAAGCGCAGATGGGCACGAAAACGAAAGCGGTGGATCTCCGTGCGGGAATGATTTACCAGGAGGGCAACGACCCGGATTTGCGGCTGTGTGTCCGGTGGGAACCGTACAAGAAGGGACGCTTATTAAATGTACATATGTCTGGGTCTGGAAACTTGGAGCTTGTAGTGCGAATCCTACACTCCTGTAAAATCTGTATTGCAGGACTAACAAGATAAAGACGCCCCCTTCTGTCATACAAAAGCGCAGTCTCTCATGGGGGCCGCCTATGAGAAAGGTGTTTCGGCAAACTTGTCATGCTTGGGGTGCGTTGGGAAGTAATTCAGGCATCCACAGTTCAGCATCACAAGTTTCCAGACCCAGATGTATTTGCACTGGATAACGCTACCAGGTTCACTACAAGGTAGACTACAAGAAAATCACCGGGGCGGACCGGGCGGTATCAAATGCAAAAGCATCGTACTAGTATAAATTGCATTACAAATCAGATCAGCATTACAAATGAAATTTACAATGCTGTTTTAGCTTGAGAAAAAACATTTGTCATGCCTATTTGCAATTAGTAACAGAGTGCGGTACTTTTGCAATGCATGGGCGGGGGGTTACAGCAAGTACTTTTGCGAGGACGTCGTGCGGGTGGTAAAATTATGCATTGCAAAAGTATCGTACTCGTATAAATGCATTACAAATTTTCTCAGCATGAGAAATGAAATTTGTAATGCGGATTTACCTAAAGAAGAGGACTTGTAATGCATGACTGCAATTACTACGAGTACGATACTTTTGCACAGGATAAAAATTGTCGAAGACGGGCTACTACTTCAGCTACGCAGATTATCGCAAGAAAAAAGTGTTACAGCTACACATTGCGTTGCAGGCGTGGCATGACAGATAAGCTCTATTATGCCGGATATGCACGGGACGAGCCTTGTTTCATACGTGCTTTTATTTCGTGGGATTTCTGCAATGCAGGTTTGTTTCCCTCTCATGCAGATGAGAAATTTGTGCTGCTGAATCAATTGACAACAAATGTGTAACTTTTAACACTTTTTTCGTGTGATACAGATCGGGAAAACGGCTGCATCGTGGTAACGACCGACGACTTTGAGGAGGTGCAGCTTCCCATGAAACACGTGGGCAAGATGGTCTTGCAGTTTCTGGAAGAGGCAGTGAAGCCGGATGACAAAATCATCGTCCACCGTGATGAGCAGGGCGGGTTTGTAAAAATCGAATGGCCAAAGAGCTATGGTGCGTGGCTACGGGAGCGGGGGAATTAGAATGATCGTCCCTTTCATTGTGAAGATAAACCAAGATCAACTGCAAGACAAATCGAATTTGAGGCATCGCTGCAAGAAGAACTCTCCAGGTCACACGAACAACTCGGAGTTCTTTCGTTGGTTTAGGTCGGAAAAAGTGTTAGTTTTAGTTTTAATATGGCACAGCCACCACCACCACCAACACCACCAACACCTCTACCATGCAATCGGTTTACTTAGTATGCGTCCGGAATAAGTATTAATTTGTGCAAGATAATAAGAAAAAAAATCTTTTGAAATTCACAACAGCGCGGCTGCGCCAGCAAGTCAAACGTCAGTGGCAGGCACTCCAGCAGCCGCGTTTAGTATTGCACCCTCGTCTACAACTATCCCACGAAAAAACTGTTTCTCTGTGATGATTTTGCAAGATCTGCATCACAAGTTTGTTACACATGACACTGAAAATTTGTCATGCGCGCTTCCCAAGGAAAAACACGCTTGAAAATCCAATGTCTTGCAGCTGGAGCAAGACAAATAGTCTTGTGTTCCATTTTCTGCACCACAAGTTCACAGTGAAGCAGTTTTTTCTTGCGATAAAAACTTCTAGCTCGTTTTTCCCCACGGAGAAACAGAACACCAAGCCCCCAGTTTCAGAACAAGACCCGCCAGAATCGACTACCACGGCGGTCGGCGCGGTAGCCACCTCCATCACCGATTATTTCTACGTGCAGGCAAAACCGAAAAATTCGGCGGTCGGTGAGGGGGGAAATAATCTCACCGCTCCGAGTACGCCGGTGTTGAACCAAAATGACGGGGTGGAAAATCAATCCGGTTCTTTTCTCTTCGCGAATCCGCTGGCGACGCAATTCCACCACATGTACAACCAAATTATATCAAATGTGAAAATGTCTGGGTCTGGAAGAATGCAACTTGTTATGCTATTAAATCTGAAGCATGCAAAAATCTGTGTTGCGTGATGACCAAAAGATGTCCACTTTTGAACAGTTTGACAGGGAGTTTCTCATGCAGAATAGGCATGATAGACACCTCACAGCGTTTGTCGTGCTAGGTGCTGCATTCCAGGCCTCATGGGTCATGGAAAAACTGCATCACAAATATTGCATTCTTCCAGACCCAGACATTTTTACATTTGATAAATTACCGGAAACAACGATACTACTGCGGATGTTGGTTGTGGTGGAACAAATGAGAATCAGTTTAACGACTACTCTTCTAACAACCAGCGGGACTACAATCGCGATCAGTTCTTCGCGAACGCAGGGACGCCTTTGGGATTTGTCGGAAGTCCGGACGAGGCGGAGGAAGAGGAGGAAAACGAGGATCCCAATCGTAAGAGTTATTTCATCGGTTTTGTTGTTCTATATGAAATGCTTGGTTTCGCATGACAAGGGGCTCGTCCTTCTGTATTGCGGGTTCATTCTAGCATGATGACAAAATGAACAAAATGAATAAAATCTTCATCCAGGCGTTCCTACCTTCGTGAAAGTTCGGGGTCTGCCGGAGCAACAAGACCCGCGGATTCAGAAGAGGAAAAAACCGAAGAACAAAAACGCGTTCACGGCCTGCTTTTCGAAGATGTTTAATTGAAGAGTTTTTCGTGTAGTTACTGTTGATTTCGATGAACGCGAAGCGCAGCACTGTGGCCTGAGGGAGTTGCGCATAGTTGATTGATAATTTTCCGCTGTTAGTAAAGTCAAAACGAATTATAAACAAGTCGAGGAGGACCATCCGCCTCCTCAAGGACTAGATACTGAGGAGAAGTTGAGTTGCGCTTCTTTGTGTCCTTCTCATTTTGTGTTCAAGTTTCTTCGCGGAAATGGAGTCAGTGCGTGGCAAAGGCCTTCCAAGGAGGTGACGACGGCATGGCGGCGAAGCGTTTTTGTTATAGTTGGCTGATGATACCAGGCGCGAGACCGAGCCGCCGCGCGCGCAAAAGCGCGCGCGCCCGCGCGCTTTTTGGTCCTTGCAGTCATGCCGCTGCCCGCTGCGCGCGGGGCCCGGGCAACCAAGCGCGGGCGGCCGCCCTTCCCTTCCAAGCTGGCCGAGGCCGCCGGCCTGCGTGCGCATGTTTATGGGCCACACCTCTCCGGTGGACCTCCGGCGCGGTTTTGCCCCAGGCAGGCCGGCCCAGCCGATACCGACGCCCACCAGGCGGCGGGCTGCGCGGCAGCTCGCTCGCGCAACAGCCTTGCCAGGCCGCCGCCCTTTTCTGGTCCCATGTCTTGCGCAAGTTGAAACCCGCGGAGGCCAGAGGGGCGCAGCTGCTGGAGAGGGCGGCGGAGCTGGATAGTTAGCCCAGTGCCGGACCGCCAAGACGGCCGCGCCGTCGCCCGGCTCCGTCTTCCCAGGCTTGTCCGTCTGCCCGGGCGGGCCCACATTGATGCAAGATCGATCCGGGCGAATGCGAATACTCTTGGGAGAAGCAAAGGGGGGCGCCCCGACTTCGGTGCTTTTCTGCCGCCCGTCGTCCAGAAGGCCGGCCAGGAGCAGCGCAGACAAGTCCGCCAGTGCATTGGCGGCGGCGAGCACATTCGGAAAAAGGGCGCGCCGCCCTTCATGCGGGGGGCCGAGAAAGTTGCCTCGCGGGAATACTTTCGCAGTCGCAGCACGCGCCGGAGCGAGATGCTGCGCCATGGCCTGTGAATTCCCGGGCATGTTCCTACGTGCGGCAGAAGTAGGGGCGCGAGGGTGCAGCGTGCCGAGACGTCGGCGCCGGCGTGCCGCAGGTTGGGAAATTAGGCCCCGCCCTTCGGTGCCTCCTCATCCAGGACCTTTTTCGCCAACTCCGGCGGAGGGGCGCGCAGCGTCCGCCTTCTTCATCTTCACCGGCAGCGCCGTCATCATCGCCCCCGGTTTCGCGGCACGATATCCGGGGGCCAGAACATGGACAGGCAGGCGGCCCCGCGCGCCGGGATGACAAAAAGGCCGCCACTCGCGAAGCGCCGCGCCGCCGCCTTTTCTGCCTTTCCCCGCCCCCCGCCTACTGGGCGCTGCCGCCATGCGGCGGAAGGCGCAGGCGGCCGAGGCGGCCGCCACTCCGGTAACCCGGCCCCCCCGGGAACGCCTCGGCGAACTCCTGCGGCCCTGCCTAGGCGCCCGGCGCCTCCTGCTCTTGGGGCAGGACTTGGCCGGCCCTACCGCAAGGACGCCGCGGGCGCTGGGGGATGCAGCTACGCAGGCGCCCCGCGTTCGAAGATTGGCCCGCCAATTCCATCCCCGCGCATGTAAAGGGCGGCGCGTTTGAGCAGAGCACGACCATCAGCCACGAGATGGCCGGCCAGCCCTAGGCTAGCCGCGCGCCCCCGCTCTCCCTTGGCCCGGCCCCGGGCGGGTGGGGGGGCGCTCCGCCGCTTTCAGGGCGGCAGGCTGCAGGCTGCTGCCGCCCCCGGGCGAGGCCACTGCGCTCCCGCCCTTGGCTTTTTTTTGGGGCAGCCCGTTCCCGGGCAAGCGCGGCGACGCGCGCCGAGTCTTGATTTCGCGAATCGCGCCGCCTCCCAGTCAGGCCGCAGCTGTGCATAGGGCAATCACAGGCGGCGTAGACCAGGCGTGGTTCCCGGCACGCCCCGCCCACGCGAGTGGCTTTTTGGCAAGACGAAGGTGAAGAAGCGCCGTTGAGCATTACGCCTGCGCGGGCTCTGAAGCCAACAAGGTCGCGAGAGTTTCCAAACCCAATTTGCCAGAAGATATCTCCGGCTTTTGCCTGGTGTTCGACGGAGGTGCTCCGTTGGAGTTGCGGTGGTCGGCATTGGTTGCGTTGTGTCGTGCACCACGGATTTTAAAACCGCTGATTGGCAATGACGGATAAGAAGCAGAAGCTTTGCTTCTTCAGCCAGCTCTATGGAGCGTTTCCAGTATCACCTTGCTCTTTCACACAGAGTGCGATGAAAATTATTGAAATTCCAACTAGAGTTGAGGTCTTTCGGGTATGAAGATCCATATCAGCTGTTTTTGCGACGAGGAGTAGAGCTGCTTAGTTCATCGATCGGACCTAAAAAGAAGCCGAAAATGTTCAATTTGGCGTCGCCAAACAATCAGAGCTCGTCCTCGAGCGCTGCGGCGCCACAACCTCTGCTGCAGCTCGCCAGACCGACGGCCTACGCGTTACCCGCACCGCAGTTTTCCTTTTTTCCGGCAAACACGGCGAGCTTACAGGGGGGTGGTGGCGAGAAGAACGCGGTATAGATTGATAGTTTTGATTTACATTTAACGTCTTAGTATCTAGACTGTTTTGATTAGTTAAATAATGGTTTTCTCTTCGAACAGCAGACGCAGCATGACACGTCTTCTTTGTGATGCAAGAGACGCATAAAAACAAAATCAGACCAAAGACCCCACGACCGATGTGGAAGACCAGAGCGGGGTGTCCATGGTTAACACGGTTACTACCGGCTCGAAGCCAAGTTACGCCTTCTACAGCGAGAGTGCCCCCGCACCCGCACCCTCTGCGACGCCAAAGTTTGAGTTGGGGAATTTGAGTCTCAACGCCAAGTATCAACTGCAAATATCCCTGGACGTCTGAAAACTTGTACTGATGCATGCCAGAGAATAGAAAGCACACTGGTGTCATGCACCACCAAGCATGACAGATTGATTTTCCGTGGCCTTGTGTAGTTGCGTTTTTCGCATGACAAACAGCGTTCCTGCATGACAGATCAAAGAGGAGCTATTGCTGGTCACGCAATAGTACATCAGAGCTCAGTGTCATGCCAGACTACTATGACAAATCTCGCATTCTTCCCTGACCCAGATCGGTATTTGCAATGCATACCAATGTGAACTTAATCGGACCGAAGGATAACAAATTCGCGTTTTTTGTATCATGTGTAAAAATGTCTGGGTCTGGAAGAATGCATGTTTGTCATGCTTGTCTGGCACGACTCTTGAATCTGTCATGCAAGTTACCCAAGAGCCCCACTTTTCTGTCATGCAGAAACGCAGTTCGTGATGCAGAATAGGCAACACCTAGACGCTCAGGAAGTTGTCATGCTGAGCCAGCACTTGTGGCCTCACAATGTTACGCCACCCAGCGTCACAAGTTTCCAGACCCAGACATTTTTGCATTTGATATTTTGAGAACAGCTACAACAGGTACAGTTCTACTACAGTGTCTTTTTGTCTTGCATGTATGTCATAGACAACTCTTTCAGCATCAGCTACATAACATTACAAACTAATTACCGTGTGTGGTGGTGGTGGTAGCGCTAGCACGAGTGAAGATAGTTTGCATTTTGAAATTAGCGAACAAAAATTTATTTCACGGAGTCGCATCACGCGCAGATAAGAAGTGCTGGTCGTTGATAAAAGGAGATAGTTTATTTCACCATACATCAATCGATCCATCACTCGTTTTAACAGAGAAGCAAAATTCGTTCATTTGAAAAAAATGCATCCATAAGTCCTCTCGACGCCCACCCGAATTGAAAATGTCTCCGCAAGAAATTGAGTACTTGTTTCAACAAACTCAGCATGATCTCACAGCACGAATCTGGAATAATTTTCGTTCTTGCAAGAAGAGCAAGAGTAACTGACCACCAGACGAGATGAAAATATAGTTCGACGCGCAAATAAAAATCCTGCAGAACTTTTGCATGCAGAACTTTTCCATGCCCTTGAGTTATGCAGGAAGTGGAAACATGATCTGTTGTTCTTCCGATTCCGTAAAAAATAACTCGTTCCCCAAGAAGGAAATTCGGAAAGAAACTGAATAAATTTGCAAGAATATTGCGCAGCAACTTGTCGTGGACTAGAGCTGGCGCTAGCATGCTCCTCAGATCAATGAGATCACAGAGATAGGCCACTAGTATACCGACAGGTAGAAGATCTAGACAAGTAGTGGGGCCGCACAAGTAGGATCACACAATGGGGATCACTAGGATGACTAGGATCACACGCACTACACCAATAGGATGGTGAACATGATAGCCATGACAATGGTAACAATGGAATGAAATACAGTGCCAGAATGGCTTCTGGTCTCCGGGCCAGTAGCTTGACGAAACAATTGCCCTGAACTCCGTAGCGCCTTACTTAGGTGCCTAGATAGTAACTCTGTTCTCTATCTCAGGACAGCGTGCTAGTTCGCATGCCAGTCCTCGGTGGTTGACACCTCGACAGAGTTATGAGCCCAAGGAGTTCCCCTATTCGGAACGGGTAAGAACTACTAGCCACCCACACCTATCCCTGCATAAGAGTAGGGAATGAGCTCCCCAGCTCGTGGCCGTAGTCGCCTCCTTGTGCGGCTAGGCCGCACCTGGAGAGCCATCATAGCGCACAGCGCTGGAAAGGGCAAACGCCCACTCGAGCAGCGTCTGTCGATGACATCCGTTGCTACGAGTGTGGAAAGCAAAAGTAAAAGTAGCAACACCCACATGGCGGCGCAGCAGCGACGTCCAAGGTGTTGCAGTGGGTAAATGTTGCCGCGCCTATCGGTAGTTGCGCGCAACTCGAGCAGTCAGTGCCGATGCAAGTAGCAGCCGCTACTACAGCGACTGAGGTTTTCTCGGTCAAGAGGAAGTGACTTATTTGTCGCTTGTGAGAATTTCCGCTCTGGTTTTGAAATAGAGCGTTTTGTCGGTTTTGATTTTGCTGTACAAAATTGAAGTAAACGACAGCAAGTGGCACATCTGCACCAAAGTGCAGATGTGGGCGCTTAGGCTGATAGGCTTTGAAAAAAAGGCAAGAAAAGGCTGAACCCGGCTCAGACGCTTGGCTGCCGCCAAAGTGTCGAGCCTGGTCGCATCTTCGCAAAGAAGGCGCTGTGTGTGAGTTCGATGTTAGTCTGCGTAGTCGGCCGGACTTTTCCATGGAGGATGTGAAGTAGCGCTCACGATCCAAGTCCGAGATCGAACTCGTTCCCCAAGAAGAAATTCGAAAAGAAACTGAATAAATTTGCAAGAAGAAGAGCAACACAAATTTATTTGCAAAAAATACACAAGCGGCCATGCCCGACGTGTAAAATCTGCGACGTCGAAAAAATTTTCACCACCGTTCTTTCACCGCGACGTCCATTTGCAACAAGTTTTTTAGAAGATTTTTTCATCAAAGCGGTTCTTGCTCTCGTCCAAAATAGAAATTATATCCTTTGACAAAACGATAATCGGAAGATCTCAAACTATCTGCGAAGATCTTTATTTGCGATTTTCTCATACTCATCCCACCGCCATCTCTTCTACAAGACCCTGAATCTACTTCTGAGACCTGTCCATTTTGTTCTATACCCGCAGCGACATGTTTGAAAGTAGCCCTATGTATGAAAAAAAAAAAACGCAAAGAAAAAGCAGAAAAGCAGTATAGGTGGACTTTTGAGCAGCGTCTTGCTTTTTTTCAAGCGTTGTAAAAAATACTAGAGCAACCCTTCTTTCGATACTTTGGTCAATCTCGCTTTTCGAATCCTAACATCAAATCTTTTTCCATCAACACGGGATAATTTCATCTAAAACCAATAGCGGAAGCGAGTCGTTTTCACAGTGCTACGTTGTGTTATTTCTGAGTATTCTGACAAACCGGTTGAAGTTGTTTCGATGACATACTATTGTCGAGCAGTTTTGACGTACTGATATAACCACCGTAAACAGAACTTTAAAGTTCATTTGTTTTTTTTTGATATTGCACAAAAAAAAGACCAGATCCCATCATCTGAAAAAAGAAAAAACTATGGAGGGTCAAGACCCGGCCCAGATGCAGGCATATGAAAGGCAAAAATGTCTGGGCCTGGAAGAATACAAACTTGTGATGCGCATTTCAGAACACAGAAAAATCTCTCGTGCATAGGTAGCAAAAGCTGTCCACTTTCTGTCACCAAAATGGGGCATTTGTCATGCGAATTCGGCATTGCGAACGCTTCGCGAAACCTGTGATGCTAGAGTGTCCATGCCAGACCTTCTGCGTCATGCAAAAACAGCATGACTCTTCCAGACCCAGACATTTTTGCATTTGATAAGGCAATGATGCTTGCCATGCAGCAGAACATGGCCATGGGAGCGGCCATGGGTGGCGGTGACGGTGCTGTACCGTGAGGAAAAATCCCCCCTCCCCATATTGAAAACGTATGTTCCTAAAAATTTGTAATGCTGATTTGTGACCACAAATCCTGTCTCTCTTGCAAGAAGGCAAGTCCAAAGAAGTCGCAGCCTTATGGAGGCGATTCGTAATGCGGTTTCACGTAGATGGCAGGCCTCTGTCATGCGAAGTGCCTACAACAAAACACCCCTACGCAGGCTGAGGCTTTGCTTGTAGTGCCTCACTGCAAGACAGGGCTGATCTGTGTACACAAATCCAGCAACAGAAGTTTCCGTAACAATATGGGGAGGGAGGATTTTTCACTTTGATATACTGCCGCTGGAGCCGATGCCGGCGGCGACGACCCGGGCGCGCAGCTGGCGATGCTGCAACAGCAACAGCAGATGCTCATGCAGCAGCAGCAGCAATTGCAACAGATGATGGGAAGTGAGGGCGGCGATGATCCGATGGGCGGCATGGGAGGCGGCATGATGGGTATCCAATGCAAATTATATCTATGTCTGGATCATATCTGGAAACTTGTGTTGCTGAAGCTTCCATTGCAGAGTAGGCACGTGAACGGCATAACAGCATGAGAAATTATCTCGCGAGGCTGATTGCTGATTCCTTCGTATTAAAACGCATGACCAGCTGAGTTATTTCACGGCATGATAAAAAAACTGCCCATTCATGCATTACGGATTTTGTTGTTGTCCTTGAAGTCTTTAGCATTACAAATCCAGACCCAGATCACGATAAACTTTTGCAATGCATAATGGGAGGTATGCAGCAAAACCCCCCTGGCATGGGCATGGCGCCGCCGGGCATGTTCCAAGGCACCGGCGCGGGCGGTTTTAACGGCAACGGCTTCGGGAAGAATAACAAGGGGAAGAAGGGGAAAGGCAAGATGAACAACAACAAGAACAACTGGGGCAATAACAACAACAACTGGGGCAACAACAACTGGGGCAACAACAACAACGGCTGGGGCGGCAATAATAACTGGGGCAATAACAACAACTGGGGCAATAACAACAATAACTGGGGCAATAATAACAAAGGTGGCGGGAAGTGGAACAATAACAAAGGAAATATCCTAGATGCAAAAACGTCCTCACCCCATAGTTGTCTTTGTCATGCAATAATCTGCATGCTGCAAATTATGTTTCTCATGCGGACGAATCAGGTCCATGAGACGCATTTTTTTGAAGGCGTGTTTTGGATAATTTGTCATGCTAATAATATCAGCATGATATTATTCTAGATCTGTGATGCTGCTGGGATACTAGCTCAAACAGCACTACACTACGAGTCTCAATGTGTCATCTGCAAAACAGCCAAAGCTTGTGGATTTGTGTACTTAGCCGTTTTCATCCGATCTTGACTATGGGGTGGGGAGGACAACGTTTTTCCACAGGATAGGAAATAAAGGCGGCGGGAAAAATTGGATGGGGGATATGCATGTTCCCGTTGGTGGAGGCAAAGGCAAGAACCAGTATGACCCGATTGCATCCGTCCCCGTTCCGCAAAAGAAGCCCCCGCGCGAGTCCAACGTTTTGTGTATCGTGAATTACCCGGAGCAGTACGATGACAGCGAGTTAACCATCGCGGTGAATGAGTTCGTGACGGCCGAGTCGTTAGAACCCCCCTGCAACATCTACATTCAACAGGCGGATGAACAGATCTCTAAGACTGGGAAGGCAGGTAAGGGCATGTTACAACAAAACGAATCGAAAACTGGAAAACTCGGTATTGGCGGTTAAAATTGAAGCGATCTCACATCATGGTGCAGTAGAAGTTCTGTCAGTCTAGGAAGCTGGAATGTGCACTGTGGTCGAATAGGATCTTCGAAATGTCCGATGTTGATCCGACATTTACAAAAAACAAGTGCACGGGGGCCTAGACGGGAAATTCTACACTGTACCTCCATCTTCGAGCTCTCCTGACCAGCTAGAAATATTATGCTGGTCGGGCCTCGGAGGTGGACTACATGCAAATGTAACTGGATATTATCAAGAAAGAAAAACACGACCACTTCTATCAGGTTTCCTGGAATTTACCGGCATCGACGGTGCGAAGGCCTTTTTGGAGATTTCCAGCAAGGATAATGCCAACATTCAGCTCCAGACCAACTTTGCTGGGCAGGTCCAGCAGCTCGGAGCCCGGTTCAAGGTCGGCGTGGGGAAATTTCCGATCAACTACTACAATGTATGAGAGTGCACAACTCCCTTTCCCCCTCATTTCTCATGCAAAACCCAAAATCCAACTGCTTCCCTTGTATCACTAGTATGCATGACAAATTCACGAAGTAGCGCAAACAGTACTACACTAGAACTGCATGAATTTGCCATGCACAGGCTCTGCGTGTGCTGGTGTTTGTATTGCTGTTCATGCAATACAAATGAGGGGGAGGGGGAGTTGTGCACTGTCATACAATGAGCCCGGTACGGAGGAGCCGGAAGAAGAGGCGGGTCCGGGTGCTGGCCAGATGGGAGCCATGGGCGGCGCCGGTGCCGACCTGAACGCGCAGATGCAGGCGGAACTGATGCAGATGCAGCAACAGACGCAGGAGCCCCCGGCGCCGCTGACGGGGGAGCAGGCGATTGAACTGGAGATGCAGCAGGCCAAGGCCGCCCAGGCGGCGCAGCAGGCGCGACTCGCGGCCCAGACCGCGGACGCGGACGCGCAGGGGGCGGAAGCCACGGGTGGTGCGGCGGGTCCGAAGCCCGGGTCCGATGAGTTTAAGGCGCTGATGGCTGCGCAGATGCAGAGAACCGGAACGACTATCAGATGTAAAATATGCTAGCGCTGCTTGGTGTCATGCTGAAATTGCAAACTAAAGATTTTCAGTCTTATTACTCTGCACGTAGTACTAGTACTACTATCCGATCATTACAACAGGATCATGCCAAGAGATCCTGTTGTACAAGAACTCTCAGCTCGCTGCTCTGTAGTGTAGTATCGGAAGATCTCTTGTTAACTACACAGGGTAGTCGTAGTTAGTACTTTTGTAGTTCTGTGGAGTTTTCATAGGCAAAAATGTCCTCAGACCATTTATTTCGCTCTTGTTTTCATGACCTCAGCCTGACAAAGGTTGATAGCATAGTTTGCTCTACGATAGTGCAGGCTGTCCCAGCAACCTGGGGAGGGAACGAATCTTGGGGCGAGGATTGGAATAACTGGGGACAAGGCGGTGGAAAGAAGGGCGGCAAAGGGGGCAAGGGGAAGGGCAAGGACGGCGGCAAAGGGGGAAAGAAGGGGAAGAAACCCCAGCCGGTGGTATTCTACGTAAAAACGTCCCCACCTCAGAGGCAAGATGGAAATTTTGCAACACAAATCAACACCGTTTGCCTGTTGCGCATGACAAGTGTGGGCTCGCTGCGGTATAATCTGGCATAGGTAGTGCAGCCGCAGGAGAACATAGCGACCCTCTTATCCTGATTCTAGCATGACAAACTCCCGGACAAAATTAGAAAATGCCTCTCATCTCGTGTCTGCGCATGACAAACTTTGTAGGCATGCAGATTCGCATGACAACTCCGGGGTGGAGACTTTTTTACGCAGGATAGGTGGTGACGAACAACAAACCGCGGTCTGAGCCGAGTAACACGATCATTCTCAAGAACCTGCCCGTGCAGACGACAGACGAGGATATTAAAACGTGGTTCCAACCTTCGGGAGTGGAAGTTTTCCGGGTCCGACTGAAATTGGACAACGCCACCTACGGTTTCGCGGAGTTCAAATCCACGGAGGACGCCTCGCAAGCGATCGGCTACTTGGATTCCTTTGGCACCACGCCGCCCATGCTGGGGGGGAACAAGGTACAGCTCTTATTAGGCGTTTTGTGATTTTAATTTTTGTAGAAGTTGTTTTTTACATTATTGAGGAAACTATAACTGGTGTTGACTATAATTACATTACACTTCTGAAGATGCAGGCAGGATTAGTACGTAGTAGATGTTGGCGGATTTTTGATTCTGTGTGTTAACAACATGAGGACCGCGGGTATAGATAAACGAGGAGCTGCCAATTGACGTTGTTTCGTTTTGATATTTCTATTGCACAAAAGATCATTCGATATTCTATTATCCAAAAAACAGATTCACTTCGATTTTGCGGCCAACACGAATCACACCAAGGGTAAGGATGAGCAGATGGTTTCTCAATTCACCGGGTCAAAATCTCTTTTTATACCCCTTTGATACACTTAAGTTGTCATGCGCAGCTAGCATTTGTCATGCAGGTGAAATTTTGTTTGTAGACGAACTCGAATCTTGATCCTCGCTAGGAACGACCAAATGCAACAATTGTCTATGTTTTAAATATCATTGCTAGTTGTGCATGACAACCTGTCACAATGACGTGTCTTACAATCAACTTGATTTTTCACTGCATATTATCAAAGAATTATCTTGGTTTTTGTAAAAGACATTCTTGACCGATTTTTCCCCGGGTCCGAGTTTTTCCTTGCATACCGAGCATGAGCCGAATACACGGGGAGATTCCGTACGATCGCGGGTTCGGATCCCAGGTGAAAGGCTCCTCCACTGGGGTCAAATACGAGATCGAGGAAGACCGCAATGGCCGCATCCACGTGCTGGGTCGCGAACGGGACCGTCGTCGCGACTCCCGGGACCGCGAGCGTGGGCGCCGGGACCACGACCGGGAACGGGGCCGTGACCGTGAGGACCGTGACCGGGAGCGCGAACGTGACCGTGGGGGTGACCGGGACCGCGAGCGCGAACGCGGCGACCGCGACCGCCGGGACGATATGCATTGCAAATATCGATCTCAGTCTGCAAAGAACTTGTGATGCAAGGAAGGGAATTGTAGTGAAAACACTGTAATAATAATGTGCTGCCCAACATGGCAAGTCATTTTTCCGTGGTTTCATCTGTAATGCGTACTCCGCATTAGAAACTGCGTTTTTGCATGACATGCAAGAGGGGCTCCTCCGACGGCCCTACGCAATACAGAGTGCAGAGTCATGCCAGACTAGCATGACAAATCTCGCAATCTCCCAGACAGAGACATATTTGCCGCTGATAGACGACCGTGACCGGGAGCGTCGTGGCGACCGGGATGATGAGAAGCGGGGTGACCGTGACCGCGAGCGCGGCCGGGACCGCGACCGTGGCGACCGTGATGACGATGACGACCGCCGCGATCGCCGGGAGGACCGCCGGGACCGCGATGAGGAGAAAGCTTCCCGCCGGGACCGCGACGAGGAGAAGGCTTCCCGCCGGGAGCGGGAGGACCGCCGCGAAAGGGATAATAATGATGACGACGATGACGAGGTGGTCGCGCGCCCAAAGGACCGCGTACGCAGGCGTGACTGATAAAGCGAAGAGTCGAACGGAGTTTTTGTGTGATAGCGATAGGATATAAAACGAGTTCTTTGAAGAAGATGCATTTCTCTACTTGCACTATCGGAGCAAGAACAACTTCTACCGGAAGATCTTCGCGGCATCGAGAATCGTACCAATCGAGAATATATCCTGTGCAAAAGTATCGTATTCGTATTGCAATCATGCATTACAAATCTTTTCCCTAAGTCAAATCCGCATTACAAATTTTATTATTATTTCTCATGCTAACAAAATTAAAATTATTTGTAATGCATTTATACGAGTACGATACTTTTGCAGTTCATAGAATACTACCTAGAAGGTCAATTGTGCATTTGTCGAACACGAGCTGAATGAATCGCACTTTCCACTTGTAAACGGAGAATCTGTTGTACCAAGACGGAGCAGACAACTACCTCGGAGATAAAAATGCAGTATTGGCGAATAAACTACTACATGCTGTATCGAAGACGAAACCAGGAGTTTTTACCGACGATCGACCACTACATATCTACGAGGAGGCGATGTATTTTGCAGCATCGAGGAAGACTTTCACTATCAGCAGGAGGCGGTTTTTATCGACAAACTTCATCACCATCTTTTTTACGGACAGGAAATCAACACTTCGGAGTACAGCAACCACGAGTCGAGCTATACGGTGAACAAGGGCATTTATTTACAACGGGATTATAATCGAGTTGCTGCTGCATCAGACCATGCAATGGAGGTTGGAGAACGACTTTGCAAGAACTACACCGATATTGTTCATCACGACTGGATATGACGATGTACCACGGATACAAAAAATTTGCACAACTCAGGATTTTTGAATGACTGCAAGCGATACTTCGAGCGATTTTGAAGTATGCAAAAACGTCAAATAAGCCACCGAGAAGACAGACAGTTTTGAAGCTTTGCGTTTGCTTCAAACCGAGATCTCGATCAGATCAAAACTTGGATTACTCGTTTAAGGTAATTCGATAGCACTGTTTCAGCACTACAACTACCCAAAGTGCTCCAGCATCTCCTGCTATCTAACCAACTACCCTTTTTAAAAAACTGAAAAAAGCAAAAAAATCAAAAAATCTTCAAATGCAAGCAGAGAGCCGTGTCTGTGGTGATGTTGACAAGTATTTCTAATGACGGGACCTAAATCTGGAAACATTGTTCATCTTGCAATTATACTGGTGTCTCACCGTCATGTGGTCGCCAAACGAATCGTCTAGGCATGAATTCAAAAGCTTCGCAAGAAAGCCAGAAGGCAAAAAGAGGATCTTTTGTATGCGCGTATTATCAGGAGGAGACCTCAGATGAGATTGGAAGAGTCACGGTCTCTGTTTTGCCATACAATTTTCCACTTTCCTTGCCCAGTTTCCATAGTAACCGTTGCGTCAGAAGATAATACTTTCCCATTGGAACAATGAAACAGACACAGTGACAGTGTCGAACTTCCATTTTCCTTCCATAAAACTCTGTGGAGAGTAAGATTTCAATCAAGCTCGTTTCGATTCATGTGCATTTTACAACAGTTGTACATACTTATGCAAAAAAACATGTCAGAAGATCCGATCCCGATGCTGAAAAAAGTATTAAAGAAACAACGATCACGACAGTGCGCTGTATCGAATGAAAATAACTAGAAATCAAAATGCATTTTCAACACATCAACTCGAAAGAAAAATCGAATTGCCTATCAGATGCTCCGTTTGCTTCTTCCCCTTTTTCCTTTGATACCTTCGTTAAAACGTAGTTTTCGATATCGCAGAGGACTGCGACCGAGACGTGGTAGAGCAGCGTTTTGAAGAAGAATCTCCTGTGGGCATGAAAGATCAAAAAGGAACAAGATGTTCATAACAAGAATTTGATGCAGGTCCTCTGGTAACCAAAGCGCCGCAAAGATGTTGTTGACAAAGACAAAGTCACCACGACCAGGAGAGGATCATGTGGATGCAAGGCAAAAGCGCTCTACTGCTCGTCATCCCGGTAGAAGTACTATCCCTGCGGTTCCTCCCCCAGCAACCCGGCGACCCAACGCGATAGCGGGGGCGAGACCCCGGGCTAGGAGTAAGGAGAAGGACCACGACTGCAGATGCTATCAACTGTAAAAATGTCTGGGTCTGGAAGAATTCATGTTTGTCATGCTTGTCTGGCATGGCTCTTAAATCTGTCATGCACGTAACCCAAGAGCTCCGTTTTTCTGTGATGCAGCGCTGCAGTTTGTCATGCGGAATAGGCAACACGTAGGAGCTCAGAAACTTGTCATGCTGAGCTAGTAGTCGTAGCCTCATCATGAGACGCCACCCAGCATCACAAGTTTCCAGACCCAGACATTTTTACATTTGATAGATGCCACCTAGAGGCGATGGAGGAGGCGAGGCACGACCGGGAGAGGGCCAGGCAGCGCGTGGACCGGGAGTATCAGGAGAGCCGGATGAACCGTACTCGCGCCGCCGTACTGGGGGGACCTACGGATAGATCTCCGCGAGGGCGGTCGTGGGATGAAAATTGTCGCGGCGAAGCAGCGGCAGGAGGACTACTTATGGATTGCAAAAATGTCTGGGTCTGGAAGAATGGAAGGTCTGTCATGCTCTGCTAGCATGACCCCAAAGTCTGTCATGCTCGTTACCCAAAAGCCACACTTTTCTGTCATGCCGAAACGCGGTTTTTCATGCAAAATGCGCAACACCTAGCGAGTCAGAAACTTGTCATGCTGAGCCGTCACTTGTGGCGTCCTCAGGATTCGCCAACCAGCATCACAAGTTTCCAGACCCAGACATTTTTGCATTTGATACTACTACATGGAGAATCAGGACAGCAGCAGCAGGACAAAAACAACTACAAGCTGCCCACTCGTAGTTGTGCACAGAAGACAACAAAGGTCTTCGGGCGTCTCAAGCCCTACTCGAAGGAGCACGACCCAACCGCGGATATTCCCAACGACCGGTTTCTCCCGGATAGGAGAAGACGGGCTGTTCCCCCACCGGTTGTTTCGGTTCTTTCCTCTGGGGTTCAGAAGTTTCGCCGAAGCAGGTCGCGAAGCAGCAGGGGAAGTAGAAGAGTACCAAAGCAGTACTGAAGAAATAGCGGCGTGATCTGTGAAGAAAAGAACGCGATGGAGTCAACTAGCGTTCGTGATCGAGCGGAAGACAGGTGTTCTTGGCGCATTTGGCGAATAAATGCCACCCGGGCGAAAGAACTTCTATACCTAGATTCTTAATCACAACGGCATCTTCAACTACACACGACGTCAAGTTATAAACCGCCCGATTGGAGGAAGTCGAAGAAATTCCTCGCTCGCACACGAAGAAATTCACCGCTCGATCAGCTTCCGCGACCGAAATTCCAACAGGTCAGAGCGGTCATTTATTTCTGGAAAAAACAATAAAACCGGGGAAGTGAGTTGTGAGTCATTTTGGTAGCATCTTCGCACGATGAGTTTTTGCTTTTGATGCGTACTACTGACACGGTGATCTGCAGCGACTTTCTTCAGGGTCATCGATTTGTGTGGCTGGTACTGGTTTATTCGCAGTGACAGTGAGTAAAAATGGTCGTGTGCTTAAATCACTTTTTGTTTTTGGTATAAAGAAAAAATCTTCTATTCTAGCTGGCAGTTCAGCGAAGGACCTCTCGTGATCTTTTCATCTAGTAGCGACACTTTTTTTTGTCTCCAACGAGACGCGATCGGACGACAGAACCAATGTCGTGGACGACCGATTCTCGGATCGCAGTGATTTCTTCTGGCACAATCACCTGAGTCATCAACAGTATTACCTCAGTCTTCAAGAATCGTATCGCACGTCTGTGGTCACAGATTCCGCAATGCGGGAGCGCATTTTACTGGTCGTGCTGTTGAAAGTACGTAGTCAACGGTGAACAAGAAGTTTATCTGTTGTTCTCGCCCGGAACTATGTTGAGAATCGAAAGTTGATTCGGTTTTTTCTTTTCGCAAGTAGGTCTTACACTACTAGTCGATAATTTAGTACCGGTTTAGAAGAAGTTGTACCATTTCGCGAGCGAAGTCTTTTGAATGCGAGAGATTTGATTTTCACTGTCGGAATTGTTCAGAGTTGTAGATACAGTCGGTGGATTTTATTGAACATAATCGCCAACTTGGTTGCCTCGTTTATCGCAATCGATCGCTTGTTCCTTCGTTCGATTCGTCAAATAAAATCAACAGGTCCCTGATGCTACCAAATTTGTATGTATTGTACTCCTGTTCTGATCATAGCACTTGTACCAACCGCTCCTAGAAACGATAAGTACTGAAGTACTCTACCCCGAGGAATTTTTGAAAAATTGACCATAGGACGTGAGCCAGATCTTCCGTTTTAATATTCATCTAGCTCCCTACAACTAGTAGGTACCCTGAGACTTTGGAACTACCTTTGGCTTTGCTTCGTCTGTTGATGAGACACACTTAATAAATTTTGCAGTAAAAAATTTTATATACTGCTTGAACAAAACAACTAGCGAAAACATGGCGTCCGCTCCTTCCAATGAGCTGGACCTTTTCTGCGGGGATTTTTCGCTCTTCGGCGGCGCGGGGGAGGAAGATGAGGACAATTATGACTACGCCAATACAAATGAAAAAGATCTTCACACGACGACGTCCCACCGTGGCGTTGCACTTCTACCCTCTCAACACAAAGACGCTCACGGCAACGTCCTGGCTTACTACGGGCACAAGAAGCGAAAAAAGGGCTCCAAGAAGCGGTATCAAAATGAAAAATCCCCCCTCCCCACATCAAAACGAAACTTCTGATGCTGGATTTGCGTACACAAATGACGTCTGTCTTGCAATATAGGACTGCAGCCAGATCCTCAGCCTGTTTAGGAGTGTAAGCGTCTAGCTGTTTAGCATGGGAGACGCCTGCCCTATAGGCCCAATAGCATGAGAAACCGCATCCACAACGCAGCGCACACAACGGCGCTTGCCTTCTTGCAAGACAGAGCTGATTTGTGACCACAAATCTACGTCACAAATTTTCAGGGTGGTGCCTTTTTAATATCGGGAGGGGGGATTTTTCCTCACAATAAGCGGGTCAGGATATCAATACCCCACGCAGGAGATGCTGTTTTTGCCGACAATTTTTCCGCTACTGAAATAAGTGCCGCGCTGTCAATAAATGGGACAGGAAATAATGATGGTACTACGTCGTCGCAAGAACACCAGCTTCAAAATAACGTGGTCACGGAGATACTACCCGCGACGTGTTCTTTCGAAGCCGCCGGGTACCACTACCCGCCCGAGTCCGAGGAGGGAAACTGCGAATACAAGCGGATGCTGTACCAATGCACCCCCCAGCGGCTGCAGCAGTTGACCACGCAAATGCAGTACCGGTTGCGAGAAGGGAACGGGCGCTGCGTTTACAGAATAGGAGTGGACGACGACGGGTTTGTGCGCTATCAAATGCAAAAATGTCTGGGTCTGGAAGAATGCAACTTGTGATGCTGCATCTGGATTCGAAAAAAATTTGTATTGCATGAGTAGCAAAGGGAATGCAATTTTTGCTACGCGGATAGGGCATTTGTCATGCGAAATAGGCATCAAGAACCCCTCGAAAAGTCTACGATGCTACGGCATGCATCACAGACATCATGGCTCATGCAAAACGTGCATGACAAGTCTCAGAATCTCCCAGACCCAGACATTTTTGCATTTGATATGCGAGGGATTTTGACGATAGAGCTCGAGGAATCGCTGAAGAATCTATGTATAATATGTTTCGTTCTGGTTCTACTTTTATTGCAGCTCCTAATTGATTTGTCCTGCAAAACTTACTAGTATCAGTATGAGAAGAGTGCTCCGTCATGCATCTTCCTGACATCGTTCTTTATATCATCTTATCTGAACAACAAGAAAACCAAATCTATCCCCAGATTGCTGCGCGCACACCATTGATGGGCGCATGAGAATTCAGGTGATGCGAATACCTATCAAATGTAAAAATGTCTGGGTCTGGAAGAGTGCGCGACTTGTCATGCAGCTTTTTCATGACCCATGAGGTCTGGAATACAGGGCCTAGCATGACAGATTCTGTGCGATCTTTCTCATGCCTATCCTGCATGAGAAACTGCCTCCCGACTTGGTCAAAACTGGACGACTTTTGGTAATCATGCAACACAGATTTTTGCATGCTTCAGATTTAGCATGACAAGTTGCATTCTTCCAGACCCAGACATATTTGCATTTGATAATACCCATCGGGAAAACGGAGGCCGAAGAGAGTTCCAGTATTGAGACGAAAAATCCCCCCTCCCCATATTGAAAGCGCAGCCGTCCGAAAATTTGTGATGCAGATTTGTGGCCACAAATCCTGTCTGTCTTGCAAGAAGGCAAAGCCAGAGAGTCCGCCGCATCATTTAGGCGGTTTGTGGTGCTGCTGGGGTTACAGCATAGACATTTGCCATGCGAGTCGCCTACGCCAAAGCCTCTCGCCTCAGGCTTGGCATATGCCTGCAGTCCACTCCAGCAAGACAGACCTGATTTGTTTACGCAAATCCAGCATCAGAGACTTCGTCTCGATGTGGGGAGGGGGGATGTTTTCCTTTGATATCCGGGCCGGAGCCACGGTGGGCGGCGGAAGTGCAATTGGAGTACAGTGATCCGCTCGATGGCGCAGATTTTCCGGAGGAAGGAAAGTTAATACTCGGGACAATACCAGAAATAAATTCCGCGAATGCTGGTAATCAGCAACAGAATCAATCGAACTCCAAGCTGCAGTCCACTCTACCTTCTGGAAACAGTAACTCGAAACATCAAACCTCCGAGGACTACTACCACCGAAAATCTTCTTCGACCACCTTGCAGGCAAAGCGCGATCTCCAGCAAAAACTAGTGAAGTCCCGAGTGGTTTTCTGCGGCCCGAACAACGTCGGGAAGTCGTCCCTGATCGGGTGTTTAACTAAGGACATCCCCACCACCAACAGCTGCGACAACGGGTCGGGTCTAGCGAGGTCTATCAAATGCAAACATGTGGTCTCGGTCTGTGGAAACTAAAACTTGTGATGCTGAATGATCATAAATACAACAGCCTTCCTAGTGCCGCCAAGCATGACAAATATTTTGAGCTGCTTTTCATGCGGCGTAGCGCGCATAACATTAACATCACGCAATAAAAGGTCGCGCTTTTGTTGGTCATGGTGCAACACAGATTTTACAGGAATGCCAGAAAAGCAATACAAGTTCCACTTTATTTCCAGACCATTATTATTTGCAATCCATAAGGTCCTTAGTTCTTCAATTCCCGCACGAGGTTCTGTCGGGCGGGGTAACCAGCTCGATTTCGATATCCCAAGCGAAAACGTCCCCACCATAGTCAAGTTGGGAATCTAGCAACACAAATCTTCAAGTTTTGGGAGCTGTGCATGACAAGTTTCCCTCTGCAGCGTAGTGCTGGTTGGCAAGGAAAGCCGCATGAGAAAGCTACTCTCTTCTCCTGTTTACGGCATTGCAAATTCCAAAACACGATTAGAAATGCCTCTCATGGGGCTGCGTATTACAAACGTTTTCTGTAATTGTACATCTGCATGACAACTCTGGGGTGTGGGCCCCGTTTTTACTCAGGATAATCGAAACATTTGTTTTCCTCGATGAATCAGCAGAACAACATGTCAACCAGTGCGGAGCAGCTGCGGCAGAACAGCAGTACCCAGCAGACGACCTGTATCCAGGAAAAAACTGTGTCAGTGTAGGTGTCTTGGGATGACAGCATGACAAATCTGCTGCGCATGGCAGAGAAAGCCTGTCATGCACAGCTAGTATTAGTGAAAACACGTATGAGAGAGGACTTCATGGCTGGCTAGCATGACAAGTGATAGTTGTGTTACGTACTTATGCATCACAGACTTACACTTGCATAGTTTTTTTCTTGCATAGCCTGCGAATTGTTGGACGTGCCGGGGGATGTTCGGTATATGAAAACCACGCTGCGCGGGATTCTCGGTTGCAACAATTTCACACCGTTGCTGCTCGTCCACGACGGCCGCCAGCCGTTTTCGAACGAATTTAAGAAGTATGTGGAATTGGCGAAGGCGTTGGATAGGAGGCTGATGGTGGTGCTGACGAAGTGCGACTTTTACTACGGTGGGGGAACTGGTGGTGCATCTACTACTTCTGGAGAGCAGTATAATTCCACCTCGTCGATGAGCTACGCCAGTAGTGGGACGATGTTGACCAGCCCGGTAAATAGCAGCAGAAAAAATGGGACCACAACTACGTTTATGGATTGCAAAAATGTCTGGGTCTGGAAGAATGCAGGAGTTTGTCATGCAGATTTTGCATGTCCCATGAGGTCTGTGATGCATGCCCTATTATCAGAGATTTTGCAAGGGGTCTCTGATGCTCATACCGCATGAGAAATGCCCTCTCCGCGTAGCACAAATTACGCCTCTTTTGCTGTTCATGCAATACAGATTTTATGTAGAGTCCAAAGGTAGCATCACAAGTTGCATCCTTCCAGACCCAGACATTTTTGCATTTGATAACGTTCAGCGGTCACATTAACAACAGTTTCACCACCGCGAATGACAGTGACGCGGTTACTGGGATAGGAATTATGGATTGCAAAAATGTCTGGGTCTGGAAGATTGTAAACTTGTCATGCAGGTTTTCCATGGCCCACGAGGTCTGGAATGCGGAACCTAGCATGACAGACTCTGTGAAGTCTCTGTCATGCCTATCCTGCATGAGAAACTCTCTACCAACTTGGTCGAAAGTGGACAGCTTTCGGCACTCATGCAACACAGATTTTTGCATGATTCGGATTTAGCAGGACAAGTTACAACCTTCCAGACCCAGAGATTTTTGTATTTGATAGGAACCACAGCATTACAAATGAACATTTCCTCGTCTCTACTATCTCCATCTGCAGCTCCTGCGCCGGATGTTGCAGCTGCTGCTGCGAATAAATTTGGCTTCAACCCGCGATGCCGCGGTGGCGTGGCAACCACGGGAGTGATTGGTGCTGCAACTACGTCGTCGAGCTATGGTAACCATTTTCAACCTCGTCCAACTCCAACGGGGGAGCTGCACCTCCACCAGCAGCCGTCGACCAGTGTTCATCATCATCATCATCATCATCCCAGTAGCATGACCAGCAACACATCAACATCGGCAGTCGTTGAAAACCTGAACTCTTTCGACGACCTCGGATCGCTATAAACTGCAAAAGCATCGTACTCGTATAAATGCATTACAAATTTCCTCAGCATGAGAAATAGAATTTGTAATGCGGATTTACCTATAAAAAAAGACTTGTAATGCATGATCGCAATACGAGTACGATACTTTTGCACGGGATAATCGTTATTCGGCGGGCAATTTGGCGAGCACGACCACGTTGACACGTGGCTGGAATTATGAAGTGCAAATATGTCTGGGTCTGGAAACTTGTGATGCTGCGTTGGGAATAGTGAATGCTCTGTAATGCACAGCCAAGCAAGAGAAAAGTCAGCGCTTCTTTGTGTTGCGTTTTTCGCATGACAAACTGCTTCCTTGCATGACAGGCAAAACAGAGGGTCTCTTCTTGGACACGCATGGCAAACTTTTTGGTCATGCAAAACATGCATGACAGGTCTCAGAATCTACTTCCAGACCAGGACATTTTTGCATTTGATAGGAATCTGACCCGCTGGAAACCTACACCACTTCTCCGGGCAAGATATCAGCAGCAGCGATTTCGACATCGTTTTTCAGCACGCCAGTGCACAACAAATCTAGGACGGGGAGCAAGAATTCTTCCATATGGATTGCGAATATGTCTGGGTCTGGAAGATTGGAACTTGTCATGCCGTCTGTGGATTCTAAAAATATCTGTGTTCTCGCATGAGCAGCAAGAGGAGACCAGTTCTTGGTACGCGGAGAGGACATTTCTCATGCGTAATTAGCACCAACAAGCTCGTCTCAAAAAATCTGTGATGCTAGCACCACCATCACAGACCTCACGGGTTATGCAAAATGTGCATGACATGCCCCGGCGACTCTTTCAGACCCAGACATATTTGCAATGCATAATTCAATGGGGAAAACAACAACAACAAAAGGAAGATGACTATCAAGTGTAAAAATGTCTGGGTCTGGAAGAATTCATGTTTGTCATGCTTGTCTGGCATGACTCTTAAATCTGTCATGCACGTTACCCAAGAGCTCCGTTTTTCTGTGATGCAGAAGCGCAGTTTGTCATGCAGAATAGGCAACACCTAGGAGCTCAGAAACTTGTCATGCTGAGCCAGCATTTGTAGCCTCATCATGAGACGCCACCCAGCATCACAAGTTTCCAGACCCAGACATTTTTACATTTGATAATGACTGCCGTGGAGCAAAAAAGGCTGAAGCAGGAGAAGATGCGGCAGCAGCAGAAACAGAAGGAAGAGGAGTTGACCGAGCTGATAAAACAGATGAACATCGACGTGCAAGAAATCGACGAAAAATCGCCGGAGTGGAAGGAATTATCCCGGAGAGGAAGGAAACGAGCGCGACGGGAAAGGCTGGAAAAGGTCGCGGAGTTGAGGATATCCTGTGCAAAAGTATCGTATTCGTATAAATGCATTACAAGTTAACTCAGCATGAGAAATAAAATTTGTCATGCGGATTTACCTTACGAGAAAAATTTGTAATGCAAGACTTGCATTTGTACGAGTACGATACTTTTGCACAGGATGGAGGAAGGAACTAGCGGTGAGAAACCGGCACGGGTATCGCAAGAAAAAACTGTGTAAGTGTAACTTTGTGTTGCAGAAAATGCAAAACTGTTTACACTTGTCATGCTGGACATGCATCAGAGGCTATTTTCGTACGTGTTTTCAAGTACTAGCTACACATGACAGGTTTTCTGTGTCATGCAAAACAAATCTGTGATGCTGGTCCTGCAAAAAAGTTACACCTACACACTTTTTTCCTTGGATAACGGGTCGTCCAGGACCATCAATCCCGACGGTACTATGAATTGCAAAAGTATACGTGCTAGTATAAATCGCAATACAAGTTTCCTCAGCATGATGAGAAATGGAATCTGTAATGCTGATTAACCTTAGGAAAAAGGTTTGTAATGCACCATTGCGATTACTACGAATACGATACTTTTGCACAGGATAGGCGCCAGCTGTCGATCGAAGAGACGAAGCTTGAGTGACGAAGAAGAGGAGTTTTTGGACCAGCTGGAGGTGTTAGAGGAACGGAAATTGAAGCGGGATGAACTACAAAGAGCGAACGCAGACGTCGAGGCTCACAATCTGGAGCAGGATTTTTCGGAAACCACGTTTTTGGACGAAACGCAGAGCGAGATCGAGGATGGCGCGGGTGGTCGTCGGGAAAAAGAAGGTACTGCTGCTGCTGCTGATGCGACGCCATCTTCTCCTTTGTGCAACACAAATCAGCATGTTGATCAAGGCCGAAGTGTAGCACCGGACCATATGCAGTGCAAAAGTATCGTACTCGTATAAATGCATTACAAATTTCCTCAGCATGAGAAATAAAATTTGTAATGCAGATTTGCCTTGGGAACAAGATTTGTCATGCAATACTTGCATTTATACGAGTACGATACTTTTGCACAGGATAGACCAACAAGAAGAACCTTCGGGCTCCGAACTTACCACGCAGCAGTCTTCCTATGGATCGCAAAAATGTCTGGGTCTGGAAGATTGCAACTTGTCATGCTAAATCCGAATCATGCAGAAATCAGTGTTGCATGAGTGCCAAAAGCTGTCCACTTTGGACCAGGTTTGGAGGGCGTTTCTCATGCAGGATAGGCATGGCAGAGACCTCACAGACACTGTCGTGCTAGGTCTTGCATTCCAGACCTGATGGGTCATGGAAAACCTGCATGACAAGCTTACACTCTTCCAGACCCAGACATTTTTGCATTTGATACATCCACAGACAACGCAACAAGTAGTCGCGAAGTGTCGAAGATTGCCAGTTCCACTTCCACCCGAGGAAACAAGATCAACCTGCTGAAACAGAATTTGAGCAGTAGCAGTAACGCACCAGCACCAGCGCCACCCGTGGGTGCAGCGGTGCCGCTCCGTCCAGATTCCCCCCTAGTCGGCTCCAACACGCCGCCCAATTGGCGGGGGGAGCGGTTTAGGATAGAATCGCAGAGCAGCTTTTTGGATGAAGATTTGTTCTCCGTGAATAGCAGCCCGGAGAAGGCCGCGATCGTGGTCCCGAGGAAAACCAGACGGCAGCGATACGCATTGCAAATGTGTCTCGGTCTGGAAGGTTGCAAATTGTCATGCTAAATCTGAATCTGCAAAAAAATCTGTGTTGCGTGATTACCAACAGCCGTCCTTTTTTACCAAGTGGAGAGGGAACTTCTCATGCAGGATAGGCATGATAGAGATGTCACTGAATTTGTCATGCTAGGTGCTGCATTCTAAACCTTATGAGCCATTTCCAGACCCAGGAGACATTTTTGCAGTTGATAAACGACCGCGACACGCGAAGGCTTTGACTTTCTCTGCCGGCGTCACGCCGCCGAAATTCCTGCAGCCATCGTTTTCTAGTTCCGGGGCCGCGAGCGATGTCATGCCAGCCGCAGGAGGAGCTCCGACGAGTTCTTGTGGTCCCTCCTCTTGTTCCTACTTCCAAGGAGGCGCAGTAGCTTCTATTCCTCACCTCGACCAGCAGCAGCAACCTCACCAAATTCGGAAGACGATTTCCCTCACAGACGAGGTGTTGCAGCCGGTTGACTCAGACACTAGGATATTAGCGCCTAGAAACAACATATGGAGAGAAAAAAGTTCGTGGTCACAGTCACTAACTTGGAGGCTTTGCATTACAAATTTTTTTAGCATCACAGCTTTTCCTTGTATTGCAGAACCACTAAGGGAAATCCCGCATGCATTTTGGCTGTGATGCATGTTCACGCATGACAGGCGTTTTTTGTATTGCAAAAATGCCCATGAGTGATCGTGACGAACTTTTTTCTTTTGATACAACAACCGTCGTTGGTCCGAAGATAGTATCAGCAGCCAGGCGTCTATCCAAGAAAAAAACGTTGTTAGTGTAAATTTGTGATGCGCAGCATGCAAATTGATTGCGCCTGTCATGCTGAGCCTGCATCGTGGGGTCCATTCAAGGGCGTTTCGCGTACTATCTGCGCATGACAGATTTTTGCTGTCATGCCAGACAAATTTGTAATGCTGTTCCTCCAAAAAAGTTACACCTACAATGTTTTCTTCTTGGATAGCATCGGAGGTGCTGGCGGAAAGGTATAGTTGGCTGGAGCAGAAGCGGCAGCGAAAGGAGGAGTGGACGAAGAAGATGAAGATCGAGGTGGAAGAGGAAACTTCAAAAACGTCGAAACAGATCGAAATCTTACTACAGGACCATGCGAAAATTGCGGAGAGGATAAAAACAGACGAGGGTTGTAACAAGAGCACATCCGGATTGAAGATGTTGCACAGGAGCGACATAATGACTACTGCGGAAGAAGATGATCAGCAGGCGGGTAATACTACCAGCCAAATCGAGAAAACGATCTCCACCGAGTCTGCTGCGCAGGGAAACACGACAGCAGGTGGCACCGGCGCAGTTCCCACTAGTTGTAGTACCGGCTCTAGCAACATAATTATCTCCGCAAACAGTAAGATCATCTACCACAACTCCATCAAGTCCCTGAAGGCGATCGAGTCCTCCCACTCGTTCCAGGAAAATTTCACGAAAACGGAGTATTTCCAGCAGAATTTCACCCTCGTGCAGAAGGAGAAGGACATCAATCTGTTCCTGAGAAAAATGATATCAACTGCAACTATGTCTGGGTCGGGAAGAATGCAAGTTTGTCATGCTTGTCTACTCACATGACTCTTGAATCTGTAATGCATGAGCAGGAAAGCAGCCTCTTACCTGTCACGCAAAACGCAGTTTGTCATGCGGGAAGCGAAACACATAGGAGCTCGGAAACTTGTCATGCGTGGCTGCGTAACGAAGTGCGCCCACCATGCACAAACTAGCATCACAAGCTACTTCCAGACCCAGACATATTTGCCGGGCATAAATGAAAACGATCAACAAACCGGGTATAATATCCTGTGCAAAAGTATCGTATTCGTATAAATGCAAGTCCTGCATTACAAATTTTTTTCTTAAGGTAAATCAGCATTACAGATTTTATTTCTCATGCTGGGGAAATTTGTAATGCAATTTGTACTACTACGATACTTTTGCAGTTCATATATAACCTACAACGACGAGTTTCAGATATCAAATGCAAAAATGTCTGGGTCTGGAAGGTTGCAACTTGTCATGCTGTTTAGGGACAACTCTAAAAAAGTTTGTATTGCATGACCAGCAAGACGAGGGGTCCAGCTTTTTGCTACACGGACAGGGCATTTCTCATTCGGAAGGTGCATGAGGAAGCCCTCTAAGAGTCTGTGATGCTAGGTCATGCATACCAGACCTCATGGGTCATGGAAGACCTGCATGACACATTTGGAACTCTTCCAGACCCAGACACTTTTGCGGTTGATATCAGAACCCGCAAACGAAGTACCACAGCAACCGGAAAATCCCTGTTCTCGCCGTCAGCTGCGTATGAACTGCAAAAGTATCGTACTCGTATAAATACATTACAAATAATTTTCTCAGCATGAGACAGAAAATTTGTAATGCGGATTTCAGTTAGGATAAAGACTTGTAATGCAAGACTTGCATTTATACGAATACGATACTTTTGCAATGCATATTGCGTGACCCGGTACAACTTCGGGCTACTCGAGTTCTTATTAACCCACCCGAACTTTTTCTCCATCCAGCCGTCGTTTCTCGGTTTCTACGGCGTGATATCAAATGCAAAAATGTCTGGGTCTGGAAGATTTTGAGATTTGTCATGCTTGTCTGGCGTGACCAAAAAGTCTGTGATGCGTGTCCAAGAAGAGACCCTTTTGCCTGTCATGCAAAAACGCAGTTTGTCATGCGAGAAACGCAACACAAAGAAGCGCAGATATTTCTCATGCTTGCCTGTGCATTACAGAGCATTCACTATTCCCAATGCAGCATTAGAAGTTTCCAGACCCAGACATTTTTGCAGTTGATACGTGAAGCTGGTAATCGACTTTGTTTGCAAGACCACGGATGAGCATTCGGGGTATTTAGTCGTTGGCGGCAACACGGTGGGCACGTTGAAGAAGGGAGATGTTTTCAAACTCGGCCCGATAGAGCGACCGGGGATGAACAGCAGTGGTCCTACTTCGTCCACCTTTGGTGCGGCGGCTAATCGGAGGAAAAGGGTAAGGGCGAGCAGCAACACAAGTGCGTACTCGACAGAAAATAACGCGGATAATTCGGATATTAGTGGTCCGAGGAAGGTCGTGTCCAAAACGACCGTATCAAATGCAAAAATGTCTGGGTCTGGAAGAGTGTAAGCTTGTCATGCAGGTTTTCCATGACCCATCAGGTCTGGAATGCGGGACCTAGCATGACAGTGTCTGTGAGGTCTCTGCCATGCCTATCCTGCATGAGAAACTCCCTCCAAACTTGGTCGAAAATGGACAGCTTTTGGCACTCATGCAACACAGATTTCTGCATGATTCGGATTTAGCATGACAAGTTGCAATCTTGCAGACCCTGACATTTTTGCAATCCATAGACCGCATCGAACACGACCAGCAGTTCAAAAACAACTACAACTGCTATGACCTGTTCAAACGTTACAATCTCAAACGTTACAATAGAATCTGGGATTTGTCTTGCATGATGAGCATGACAGACACGCAGAGCGTTCCACTTTCTGCAATACAAATTGCGCCAGATTGTTGTAGTGCGGCTTGGGACTCAGGAGCTTGTCATGCGCAATCCTATGATGGTTGGCTAGATAATGCACCTATTGCATCACAGATTTCCATATTCTATTGTAACGTCTAATATTGTAACACCTGAGCGGGTTATAACTGCGGGAGGACGAGGATCTCTGTCGCAGATATCAAGTGTTAAAATGTCTGGGTCTGGAAGAATGCAACTTGTCATGCTAAATCTGCAGCATGCAAAAATCTGTGTTGCATGATTACCAAAAGTCGTCCAGTTTTGACCAAGTCGGGAGGGAGTTTCTCATGCAGGATAGGCATGAGAGAGATCCCACAGAGTCTGTCATGCTAGGTCCTGCATTCCAGACCTCATGGGTCATGGAAAAGCAGCATGACAAATCGCGCACTCTTCCAGACATCCAGGGATTTTTACATTTGATAGCAGAAACAGCGGGGTGAAATAAAAGGGAAAAATCGAAGAAACCCGGAGGACGAAGAGCTCCGCGTGCAGGTGGTGTCCATCCGGACCCTGCAACGGCAACCGGTGAACGTGCTGACGACTGGGCAAAGCTGCACCGTGCAACTGAAACTGTGCCCACCTCCACCGAAAACGACAACAGCGACACATCAAGGGAGCGGCAACTGCGCAGGAGAGGACAGCAACAACTCGGCTGGATATGAATCGCAAATATTATGTCTGGGTCTGGAACACTGGAGCTTGTCATGCTAAGTCTGAATCATGCAAAAATCTGTGTTGCGTGACTACTACAACCAAAAGTTGCCCACTTTTGACCAAGTTGAGCAGGACAGGCATGATAGAGATCTTATAGCATCTGTCATGCTAGGTCCTGCATTCCAGACCTCACGGGTCATAGAAAATCTGCATGACAGGTCTTGCACTTCTCTTCCAGACCCAGACATATTCGCAGTTGATACTGGCGGAGGGAATACCACTTCCAGTACCACGGCGGCCACCGGCACCGCGTCGGACGAAACTTCTGTTGCGGGAACCGCCGTCGCAGCAGGTAGTTGTACAGCGACATCCACAACCTCTTCGCGACAGCTGCTGACATCATCGAATCGCACCAGATCATCGCGGCAATTGAAAAGACAAAACAGTTCGCTGACGAACTACCACCGGTTGATCCGGTCCGGCGTCTGGCTCTACAGCTGCAACCAGGACAATTTGGACCGGACGCAAACGCAACTCTCCTGCTACTTCCGCCGGTATTGCCACGTGAAACTGCGACTGTTAGACGACCCGCATCAGCTGGCCTGTAGTCCGCGGCAGCAGCATATGGATTGTAAAAATGTCTGGGTCTGGAAGATTGCAACTTGTCATGCTAAATCTGAATCATGCAGAAATCTGGGTTGCATGAGTGCCAAAAGGTCTCCACTTTCGACCAAGTTTGGAGGGCGTTTCTCATGCAGGATAGGCATGGCAGAGACCTCACAGACACTGTCATGCTAGGCCCCGCATTCCAGACCTCGCGAGTCATGGGAAACCTGCATGACAAGTTTACACTCTTCCAGACCCAGACACTTTTGCATTTGATACAGCAGCAGCAGCAGCAGATAATTGCGGGAACAGCCAGTGGTCCCGCGTCGGCGGGTAGCAAATGTAAAAATGTCTGGGTCTGGAAGGATGCAACTTGTGATGCTGAATTTGGATTCTACAAAAATCTGTATTGCGTGAACAGCAAAAGAGGTCCAGTTTTTGCCACGGCGAGAGGGCATTTCTCATGCGGTATAGGCATCAGGAAGCCCTCACAAAATCTGTGATGCTAGAGCATGCGTCACAGACTTCAGGAGTCATGCAAAGCGTGCATGACAAACCTTGCATCCTTCCAGACCCAGACATTTTTGCATTTGATAGCGGGCAACACCGTGCTCCAGAAAGACGATCACTTTGTATCGGAAGAAAAAACTGTTTCACTGTGAACTTGTAATGCATGAAGTGTATCGCAGACGTGTTTGTCTTGCTGCACATGAAAGACAAAGCATTTTTAGGCGCGTTTTTCCTTGGGTGGCTTGCATGGCAAGCTCTTTTGTGATGTGGAGCAAACTTGTGATGCAGAACTTGCAAAATCATCACAGTGAAACAGTTTTTGCGTGGGATACTTTCTGCTGTATCTCCATTCCAGCCGGCAAAACGTCCGGATTGCCTGGGCCACGAAGATTTGCGAAAACGAGTACTGCTGCGGCGTGGTGTTTTTGCGGCGGAAGGACATTTGCATTCCGGGTCTTCATATCAAATGTAAAAATGTCTGGGTCTGGAAGAATGCATGTTTGTCATGCTTGTCTGGCATGACAACTCTTTACATCTGTCATGCACGTTGCCCAAGAGCCGCATTTTTCTGTCATGCGGAGACGCAATTTGTCATGCAGAATAGGCAACACCTACAAGCTCAGAAGTTTGTCATGCTGAGCCAGCACTTGTGGCCTCCTCATGCTACGCCACTAAGCATCACAAGTTTCCAGACCCAGACATTTTTGCATTTGATACTTCAAGTGGTTGCGGTCCGGGACGGCGTCAAGTGGATCGCGGCGGGCGAGATTATTTCGCTGAAACAGATGAAACACATATTGCAAGGAAAAATCCCCCCTCCCCATATTGAAAAGGCATCCTTCGGAAAATTTGTGATGCAGATTCGTGGCCACAAATCATTTTTGTCTTGCAAGAAGGTAAGCGCTGGGGGATGAGCCGCATTATGGGCGCGATTTGTCATGCTGGTTGGCCTACAGGGCAGGCGTTTTCTCATGCTCTACAGCTAGACCCGTGCGCTCCTAAACAGCCTAACTATCTGGCCACAATTCCTTACAGCAAGACAGACCTCGTTTGTGTATGCAGATCCAGCAGCAGAAGTTCCGTTTTGATATGGGGAGAGGGGATTTTTCCTTTTGATAACACATGACGAATGCTGCGAAGTAGACCACTACGAATAGCTCGTCCACCGCGCCTGTTGCTGTTGTTGCTCCGCTTACTGCAGCCGCCTCTGTAGGAGGTCCCCCTGCTGCCAGTTGTACTAGCAATAAAACTTCGGCTCCTGCTTGAAGTAGTTATGTCGTGCTGGTACGAAGACATGAGTCGTGAACTTGATTTGAGTTTTTTACGTATGAATTACATAGCTTCGATTAGTATTAGATCTAGACCAGCCGAATACATGGTGGTTTAGCTGCGAAATGGATTATAGAACCAGAAACAACAGGAACAGTATCGTCGCGGGGCTCCTCGGAAGGAGCGACAAGTGTTGAAGCGTTGACACGTGTTCCCTTTGGGCCCCACTGTATGCGGACAACGATTCACCTCCAGGAATAGAATACAGGAAATAGGCAATGAATTATTCTTAGCTTTTCCAAGATTGATGTGAATATAATTTGAGTGGCCTTGATATTGGGTAGGACGACTTGACTTGACTTGTCACAACTGGCGAGGACGAGTTTAGTGCTACGTTGAATCTTGCTCAAAATTTTTTCACTAAAACGCGGTATTTGGTCGATTTCGATAAATTGCTTTTATTGATAAACACCTTATACACTCTTTTGGCTTTTTGTACCCATACGATTTTCACGCCTACCATCTCTAGTATACGAAGATCACAGTTGTTGTGAAGAACGATCAGCAAGGTTCTTTAGCGCTAGGGCGGAAGAAGTATGCTAGTGCTACCAGAGTTCATTCTGCGGAAAATGAAAGAGTCGAAGCGCACCACTCTAGAATGAATCCAATTTGAACAATATATCGCACCCCTAGTTTCTCTCTCTCTTTATTTCGTATGATTCACAAGAAATAAGCACTCAGAGGAAATCAAGACAGCCCGCCCGGAGCGGAGCAGGTTTCTGAGTGACAAAACACCACGGTTGGAAATTAACATCAAACTATCGCTCAATTATTGTTGCCGCGCCTTGTAGCGGATAGCACTGTCCGTGTCCTCGTAACTGCAGCTCTTATTGATGTGAGCAAAAAGAAGCTTCTCGTCGTTGGGATTTGCGTCGTTGACTCCGCGACGCTTTTCTCGGTCTTGGTGCATTTTTGGCCATTACGTGTTGTTCAGGTAGCAGGTGTCATCATTGCAGGCCGACACATGCGTGAGCGTTGGGAGGAAAAGTGGAATTTCGTAGATAATTTTATAGTCGTAGCAGCATCGAAAGAAGGCATAGGCGAAGTAGGGGCATCAGAAGCAAGCACTTCGTTCATCGTCATGAAGCCACCTCGTTGCTTTGCCTCGTCGTCAGAAGTATTGTCGTTTATCATGCACTCGTTTTCCCGGGGACAGACATATTGAGAGTCAGGATTCTGAAGATTCGCATCGTTAATAAGTGGGCATGACATGTGATGGCTGCTTGTTTCGCAGCTGCACGGCAGTACTAGACCAGATGGGAGATTGCAACGGGGCTGTGCACAGTCGTGTGACAGGCCGTGAGCTCACTGTAGAATTCGAAGCACAAACAACGCACAAAACATTTTTTTTTGCATCACCCAGCGCAGTTTTTTTTCCCACCAATTTGCGTTGAAAAAGGAACAGCAAAGCATCAAAATGGTTTTCCGCATCTCCACCTCGAAGGCGATCCCGGCTTTTCTGTCGGGCGCAGCTCTCGTTTTCGGCGAAATGCACACCCCCGCGGCTCCGGCTCACATTCCGGAGGCAGAAGCGGGCGCGTTCGAGAAGTCTCCCACTCCTCGTTCCTTCACGCAAAAAACCAAGAAGGTCACCACCAGTCAGGATCTGCAAGAGCCGGTGTTTTCGGCGAACGTGACGCTCGCGCTGCAGGTGGTGAACGACCCGCAGACGCCGATTCCCAGTGTCTTGGAAATCTTCGAGCAGGCCCGGAATGCACTGCTGTGTCGTCTGGGCGCCGACGAGGACAACAATGGAATCGTGTCGAACTTGGAGGAGAAAAAGTGGTGCTCGTTGACCAGTTCGAAGAAAAGAACGTCGTTTGTGCAAGTCCGACCTGGTGGGGGCGTGACACAGGAGGTGGAAGAAAATCCGGCGAGTTTCAACCAGCTCCAGCCGCGGCCAGAAAGAAATCCAACCAGCCCGGGCTTGCGCGTGGCGTCCCAGCCCAGTGGGAGAGTGTGGGGGGACTTCAGTGGGACAGTGTTGGAGCCATTTGAAGCTATTTTGTGTGGTTCAGGAGGAGCGCGAGACTTGTTTCGGCCAAACGGAGAGGTTCGTTTTTCTGCGCAAGCCACCCAAGATCCAGTGGCCGTGCACCAACCCGCCCCCGCACCAGTGACCACTGAAGCCAAGACCGACCCGCCAAACACGGGTCGGATCAGCACACTGTCCACCTGAATCATGCCGGCGGGGTTTATTCAACAGAATCAGGTCGGCGTGCCTGAACTACGGCAGTTCAGCCACGAATACCAAGCGCGGAGAAAATTTTACCAAATTGAATACAAGTATTTTTTTCAATAAAGCCTAATTTTTGATTTATTCTTTTGCCAACAGTTGTACGAGGGCGCACCAAGCACGCACGGACAGCAAGAAGGATAGCACTGGCCTCGTAACTAAAGCTCTGATTGATCATGTGAGCAAAAGAAAAATCTTCTTGGGATTTGCGTCGTGAATCTTGACGCATCCTTTTAGGGTGCTTGGACACGACCTTCATGTCATCTGTGTGTTCGGACAACTGAACACGTCAGGTTCCGCTTTTTGCATTTTTTGAAGCTTTCCTTCACCTTTTGCTTTTTAGCTGATCAAAAGATCTGGAAATTGTATATTCGAGCGCTCCTACAACTTCGTTTTTCTCTTTTTGGTGTTGCGGCCCTGATGGGGAAGAAGACTATTCGGTTTTTTCCTTTCCTCCGGCGTTTTTCATCAATCATGAGGCCCCGTTCGACGTCCGCGCTCTGGATCAGCAATCAGTGTCTTCTGCTTGTCGTTGTCGCAAAGTTACCTCCGTATGAATAGATCAATGCTAAAATGAAGTACGGAGGAACCACGGAGTAGTAGATCCGTGTGCGTTGAGCGAATAAAAACATCAAGTAGATCTTCACACATAAGCCAAGCTTTGATTTTTATTTCGAAGAAAAGGAACAATCTTCAAGATGCCGAACTACAGCCAGAGCAACGCGTCCTCAAAGGAGCACCACTACAGTAGCCATCGGAACAGTTCCGAGCGCGAACCTGGAATAAACGACAACCCGACGGCGTCAGCGACGGATCCCCAAGTTGTAGACTCTGCAACGGCGGACGGCGACAATGGTATTAGCGAAAGGGTGATCGTGATCGGTCAGAAGATGAAGGGGTCGACGTCACGGGGAGCCTCGCTGGATTCCACCACTCTGCTGGCAGGAGCGCCACCGCCAGCCGGAGAAAATCCAAATACCATCAACCATGCTGCTTATGCAACGAAAAAAGTGTTACGGCTACACATCGTGTTGCAGAACGTGCAAGACAGACAACCTCTCTCATGCTGGAAAGGCATGCGAGACTCGTTTTATACGTGTTTTCCCTTACCTTAGGATTTCTGCACCGCAAGTTTTCTCTGCAATGCAGAGCAAGTCTGTGTTGCTAAAGTTGCAACAAATTATGTGTAACTGTAACACTTTTTTCTTGGGATACTGCCAACGTCTCCTTCAATAAACAGCCACAGTTTCATATTCAGGGAAAAAACTGTGTAAGTGTGACTTTGTAGGAAGAACAGCATCACAAATTCGTTTTGCATTACAGAGAAGACCTGTCATGCGCAGCTAGCACGTGGAAACACGTATGAGAGTAGCCTATCGCGCAGATCCAGCATGACAAGTGTAATAGTGTTGCACTTTCTGCATCAGAGAGTTACACTCACACAGTTTTTTTTCTTGCATATTTCAGCTCTCCGCCCCCTGTATCCCCACGCCGACGAATGCTGCGGGAAAAGCGATGCCCGGGTCTGAGGATATCGTACCAGCAGCGCAGGGCGGAAGAAAGTACAGGTCGTACGAAGATAGAGAACAAACCTCCTCCGCAAACACCTCCACCGGAGCTCCTGCTTCTGTGTATGGAAGCCTGAACAGCAGCAGTGGCGGTAGGGGCGGAGTAGTAGACCGAGGTAATGTAGAAGGTGGTCCTGCTATCCAAGAAAAAAACGTTCTTAGTGTAAATATGTGATGCGCAGCATGCAAGATGATTGCGTCTGTCATGCTTGGCATGCGTTGCAGGGTCTATTAAAGGGCGTTTTCACGTACTATCCGCGCGTGACAGGTTTTTGCTGTCATGCCAGGCAGATTTGTAATGCTGTTCCTTCAAAAAAGTTACACCTACATTGTTTTTTTCTTGGATACCTCCTGGTGGGGCTTATCGCGACACATCTACTTACCACACGACTTCCTACGGCAATGGAGAAGCGATGAACACGAAGGGGCAATCAGGCGGTGGCTCGTACCACGACAAGAATTCATTATCCTGTGCAAACGTATCGTACTCGTACTAATCGCATTCATGCAAGACAAATTTCTTTCTCAAGTTAAATCCGCATTACAAATTTTCTTTTTCATGCTGGCGAAAGTTGTCATGCGATTTCTACTAGTATGTACGATGCTTTTGCATTTCATATTCCTCCTCAGGAAACTATGGTGACAAGTATAATGTTGACAAAGGCTACGATATCCTGAGTAAAAACGTACCCACACCAGAGTTGTCATGCAAATCTGCAAGCTTAAAATGTTTCTCATGCGGAGCCCCATGAGAAGCATTTTCTAATGGTGTTTTGAAATTTGTCAAGCTCCAATCAGCATGAGAGACTAGATCTGTAATGCTGCTGAACTAGCTCAAACAGCACTACAATACGCGTCCGAATTTGTCATGCGAAACAGCCAAAGCTTGTGGATTTGTCTAGCCGATTCCCCATCTTGACTATGGGGTGGGTACGTTTTTACATAGGATATACGACAGGGGCGGAGGCGGATCTTCGTCGGGATATAATAACGAGAAAGGATCAATTTCTGGTTACAACGAGAACATCAAAGGGTATAACGACAAAGGGTACAACAACAGCCACGATAAAGGGGGGTCCTCGACGAGCTATGACAAGTACAACAACGACAAAGGGTCGTCCTCGTATGAGAAAGGAAACAACAATAACTCTTCCTACTATGGTAACAATAATATTAACAACACGTCTACTTCCACCCGAGACCACTCCGGCTCCGGCGCGTACTCGGTCAGGGAGAACTACCACCACAACTTACAGGGCGTCACCTCTGCGCACCGGAGGGATGACAATGTCCCCGTCCCGTGGCGCTGCCTTGTGCCAGCGCCTGCGGCGGGGCCGATCGTGGGGAAAGCAGGGGAAAATCTGAAGACGATCGTCAGTCGGATCGGGGACGTTTTTGCCCGGGTAGACGTTACCAAGGACGGGGAGCTGGCGAATTTGGAGGACAAAATGCTCATCATCCGGGCGAGCACCCCGGATATGCAGTGGAAAAGTACTATGATCTTCCCGCTAGTATAAATCGCAATAGAAAAATACAACATTTGCTTGTACTAGGGAAGCAAGTGCGGAGTTTGCGATGCAGATTCAAGTAAGAACTGTCTCATGCGAGGTTGCGATTTATGCGAGTGCGATGCGTAGTTGATTCCACAGGATAGCGGAGAATAAATTGCAAATGTGTCGTTACGTGCTGCAAAAGGTGGAGGCGACCTTGCACAGCAACGCGGTGTTGGTCACAAAATCGGTGGTTCCGGTGAAAAACACGAATAGTACTACTTCTACTGCAGGTGCAGCAGCAGCTGCGGGGGAACAGAGTCAGAATCAGAGTAGTACCGCAGCAGCAGACTCGAGTGGTGGTGCAGCTTCGACGCAAGGTGGGACCAAGGATAGTCAAAATCATGCCACTTCTGCGGAAGTTGTACAACCAGAGTCGAAAACAACTACTGAGGAAACCGCAGCCGCAGGGGGAGGACCCTCTACTCTGGTGGATCCGGTGCTAATAAAGTCAGGCAGCAAGGATAATTATGGTGCTACGACCGAAAATAATAAAAGTTCTTCGGATGGCGCGACCATTGTTGTGAATCCTGCAACAGGAGTAGACCCTTCTACAACTACAAGTACGACCCAGACGGTGATCGAACGCGCGAACAAACCGATGCGGCTGTTTTTCTGTCTCTGCATTCCGCAACTCGTTATCGCTTCCGTTTTGGGGGTTCGCGGGGAAAAGATCAAGGAGATTATTCACAAGTCGCGGATTGACAAGGTGGATTTACCGAAATCGCCGAGCTTCGGGACGGACTTCGTTCTGCGATTGGTCGTATCAACTGCAAAGATGTAGTCTAGTGCTGGAACACTGCAACTTGTCATGCTGAGTCTGAATCGTATACAAAACCTGCGTTGCGTGAACGCTAAAACCTAGAACCCACTTCTTGTTGCTACGCAGCAAAAGGCCGATTTCTCACGCGGAATAGGCATGGAGAAGCTCTTGTGCAAAAGGTGATACAGCTTCGTCGCGCATTCCAGACGAGCTGCGTGGTGCACGAGATGCATGACAGTTCCGCGCACTGCTCTTCCAGACCGAGACATATTTGCAGGCCATAGGTCGGCGATATGGAAAGCATTCTGGTGGCAACCACGATGATTTACGAGGTACTTGTGGTGTGTTTTTGTCTGATGTAGTGAGTAGTACTTGGAAGTATGCATGACAAAATAAAAGGGTTTCTCATGCGCGTTAGGAAGATCGTTCAAAATGGAATCATCAAATCGAAAAAGATTGTCCAAGCTGTCGCGAACGAAGCGCGACTGTCTGAACGCGATTTCACGGTGAAGCCGAAGATGTATATGGATTGCAAATATGTCTGGGTCTGGAAGCCTGTGATGCTGAGTGCCGATGATTGAGCATACTCCTGGGTGCAGCCAGGCATGACAAATTTCTCGGACACTTGTTCCTCATCCGACGTGCGCATCAGAAACTGCGCTTTTGCATGACAAGAGAAGGCTTCTTTTTCTTAGTCATGCAATACAGATTTATACAGGAATTCAAGATGCGCAATACAGGTTCCAATCTTGTTCCAGACCCAGACATATCTGCATTTGATAATGTACTCGAACTTGCAACTCGTGAAGGAGTCGCAGATGATGCCGAACTTTTTGATATCATTCGGAAAAACGTCCCCACACCAGAGTCAAGATGGGAAACCTGCTAGACAAATCAACCAGCTTTGGCTGTTGCGCATGACAGGTCTGGCCTCGTAGTGTAATGCTGTTGCAGTAGTTCAGCAGCATCACAGACCTAGCACCCAATGCTGACTGGAGCATAGCAAATTCCAAAACGCCACTAGAAAACTCTTCCCATGTGGCTCCGCATGAGAAATATTTTCAGCATACAGATTTGCATCACAGATATAGGGTGGGGACGTTTTTCCACAGGATACTTGAACACCGTGCTGTCACCCCTGCAAGTCACCCAGAATTTCAAATTTTTGGTTTCCAAAAACGAAGTATCAGAGTGCACAACTTCCACCCGTGTGGTCGCCACTTCCCCGCATTCGATGGCATGCAAAAACCCAAACACAGTTACAGATTTTGCCTGTATTGAGCACCGTCTGCATAACAAACTAAGTGCCTAAAACAGTACAACAATCTTTTCCCGCAGATTTGTCTTGTGGAAGCTACATCTCTGCCGTTGCTTGTGTTGCTGCTCACGCGTTGTGATAAATGCGGGCCGAGGTGGGGGGGTAGTTGTGCCCCCGGATACAAAGCTAGCTGGATGATCGGGAGGAACGGTAAAGGAATTTGTATTGCGTGATACGACCGAGAAACTGGATCTGTGATGCGTGATAGGGAAGAATATATCAAGACCATTACGCTATTACCTATTTTGCTATTTTACCATCACAAAATGTCAAAAATACTCTACCTTCAGGTAACGTCATTCTGGATCTCCGAAAGCATTCCGGGGCGACTTTTGAAGTGAAGGAGCTGAACAACATGGGAGAGCAGCGGCTGGTCGAAATCGTATGCATCGCAACTCATATGTCTCGGTCCGGAAAAGGAAACAGAAACTTTTGATGGAGCAGAATTATGGATAGTAACCGGCATGACGGCACTTGCAAGCGGAACAAAGCATGACAACTTTCGAAAACGCTTCACAAAGATCGCTTAGCATGACAACTTTTGAAAGCGCTTTTCGTCGTGCGCAGTGCGCGTTGGTGCATAACTGAGAAGAAGGATCAGCTTTATTTATCGTCCATGCTGCAATAAAATAAATACAGCTTCCCCTTTTGCAGCAATGTTAGACACGATGCCTAGCGGGGTAGTTTCACTTTTCCAGACCCAAGCATCTTTGCAGTCTATAGACCGTATGCATTGCAAAAATGTCTGGGTCTGGAAGAGTCGGGGCTTGTTATGCACATTTTGCATGACCCATCAAGTCTGTGATGCTGGTGCTAGCATCACAGATTTTTTGAGAGCTTCTTGATGCTGATTACGCATGAGAAATGCCCTCTCCGCGTGCCAAGAGCTGACTCCTCTTGCTGCTCATGCAACACAGACATTTTTAGAATCCGCAGACAGCATCACAAGTTCCACTCTTCCAGACCCAAGCATCTTTGCAGTCGAGAGACCGGCGGGGTGTACCAATTCAAGCTCGCGGGCGTGGAGTTGTTTGTCAAGTGCTTAGAAACCTGTGCGCAAAGGACGTTTTTGGTGAACCTGCTGGTATAAATCGCACCCATAAAAACTTGTTGCTGTAGAAGAAGTTCTCTACTGTAAAAGTACATGATTGCTACTGTCGTTGCTCTTTAACATTTAGATAGAGGACCACTACGCATTTATGTCATTGCACGTGCACCACGAGCAGCACGACAATCGTGAGTCCACGGAGCCAGAAAAATTTCAACGGTGAATGGCCAAACTCCCGACCGCCTTCCCCCCCTGGTGAATGGTCAAACTCCCGACCTTTCCCTTCTGGCGAATGGCCAACCCCCGCCCTTTCGTTCCATTCTGTTTGCGCGGTGAATGGTCAAACTCCTGGCCTTCCCATTCTGTTTAGCAGTGCACGGAAGCCACGGGAGGGCGCCGGGGGAGGATGGTGGGGCCCAAAGAACAAGCGCCCACGCTTGGAGGTCGGACCCCAGAGCCCCGCCCGGGGGACTTATTTGCCCAATTGGATCGCAATCACGGCACTGAAGTAGACTTGACTTGTCATATCTGGCGAGGAGGACGAGTTTAGTGCTACTTTGAATCTTGCTCAAAATTTTTTCACTAAAACGCAGTATTTGGTCGATTTCGATAAATTGCTTTTATTGATAAACACCTTATACACTCTTTTGGCTTTTTGTACCCATAGGATTTTCACGCCTACCATCTCTAGTCACAGTTCATCGTTGTGAAGTATAAGCAAGGTTCTTTTGCGCTAGCGCGGAAGAAGTATGCTAGTGCTACCAGAATTCATTCCGCGGAAAATGAAAAAGTCGAATCGCACCACTCTAGAATGAATCCAATTTGAACAACTGTTCGCACCCTAGTTTCTCTCTCTCTTTATTTCGTATGATTCAGAAGAAATAAGCACTCAGAGGAAATCAAGACAAGTCTATCTAGTCATAATATCTGAGCACTCAGATCTTCTATCGATATCTGACCACTCAGAAGATATAGACAGTGATTTGAGCACTCAGAAGAAATAAGCATCATTTGTGCAGCACGACAATCGTGAGTCCACGGAGCCAGAAAAATTTCAACTCCGCCAGCAAACTATAATACACGAAAAGAACAAGAACCTCACACACGACAATTCCCATTTCCACCAGGTACCCACGATTGGCATCGAGCGCATGTCCGCGAAGTCGATGCTGACGGAGGTCCGGAAGGCTTCAAACTGCATCAGAGTCGACATGGAGGATATGGCAAGAAAAAACTGTTTCACTGTGAACTTGTGATGCAGAAAATGGAGCACAGAACTATTTGTCTCTTTACACCTGCATAGGGCATTGGAGTTTCAACTGTGTTTTCCCCTATGGGAAACGCGTGCGTGGCAAATTTTCTGTGTCATGTGACGGAAAGAACTTGTGATGCGGTTCTTGCAATAAAATTATCACAGTGAAGCTGTTTTTTCTTGCGATAGAGGAACCCGGACCGACCACCCCCCCGCTGAAGTTGGAATTCGCTAGTTCGGTTATCCTGTGCAAAAGTATCGAGTACTCGTACTAATTGCTTTTATGCATTACAAATCTTTTTTTTGAAGGCAAATCCGCATTACAAATTTACTTTGTAATGCTGGGCTAATTTGTATTGCAATTCATACTACTAGTACGATGCTTTCGCAGTTCATAGCGGTGCGTTCCCGACAATTCGACGAGAAGCTGCACAAGCACGAGCAGTGGCGCAAAATTGTGATTCAGGGAAGCTCCTACGAACAACTTCGGATCGCCACGCAAATGCTGACCCAGAAATTGGAGGAAGCGATTACGCACAAGGACCTGCACATCGGCACGATGCTGGAGCCCGAAAGTCTCAGCAGGGTCCGGCTCTTTTTGAGCCGGGAAGAGGTCGGGTGGATTATTGGGAAGGTATAATATTAATTCCCCGCCGCTGTATTAAAAAAAGTGAAAGTGAAATTTTATTGCTTGTTCCCGATGGTCTGATTTTCATTTTGTTTTACGGAACAAGTATTCCGATCCCGAGAAGAAGTTCAATTTGCCCGAGCCCGAGAAGAAGTGCGGACTTCGATTTTCTCTCGAAAAATGAAAAGTTTTGTCATGCGAGGATGGCATATTGAAAACAAAATAAAATTCCAGGGCGGCAAGGTTATGAAGGATATCCGGCGGACGTCTGGGGCTTCAGTACGAAAAGTTTGGATCATTCGGTCTGGCGGTCGGGAAAAAGATAAAATTTGTGATGCTGATATATTTCACGCAAACTCAAGCAAACAGCGACTATTGCATGACAAAGTAGAACAGCTTGTGTCAGATAAAAAGCAGCTTTTATGCATTGCGGATTGATTCACTCTGTTGCAGTCAGTCCGGGGGCCAGCAGACACGATGGATTCATAAGTGGATAAACTACCTACATCCACGATGTGGCGTCCGTTGTCACCGCCAGCGGCTTATGGATTGCACACATGTCTGGGAGAGTGGAACTTGTAATGCTGTCTGCGGATTCTAAAAATATCTGTGTTGCATGAGCAGCAAGAGGAGTCAGCTCTTGGCACGCGGAGAGGGCATTTCTCATGCGTAGTTTGCATCAAGAAGCTCTCAAAAAATCTGTGATGCTAGCACCAGCATCACAGACCTCACGGGTCATGCAAAATGTGCATGACAAGCCCCGACTCTTCCAGACCCGGACATATTTGCATTTGATATGGCTCAGCATCGTCCTCTACCTCGCAATCGACGAATCCAGGACAGTCATCAGCTGCTGATGCCCCCGCGGGAACGAACGCACAACAAACTACCTCTTCCGAACAGCAGCAGATCAACCCTTCCAACCACAAGATTGTGGAGATTCAGGGCTATGAATTGCAAAAGCATCGTACTAGTACAAATTGCATCACCAATTTTCTCGGCACGGAGAATTGGATTTGTCATGCTGTTTTGGCTTGGAAAGAAAATTTGTCATGCAGGCCTGCAATTAGTACGAGTACGATAGTTTTGCACAGGATAAGGGGCGGCTGGAAGCAATTTTGTCCTGTCTATCAAAGTGAAAAAAGCCCCCACCACATGGAAAAAAGGAAATTTCTGTTGCTGGATTTCTGTACACAAATCACCGCTGCACTGCAGAGGGCGCTTGGACAGGCAATTCCTAAGCCTGGTTGGGCATGCAACAGGGTAGGACTTAGGCATGGCAGACACCCTTGCAGTAAGCAGAAGCGCATTACAGATTGGCTGTGGAATGCGCCAAACGGCTCCCCTTTGCGCTATATGCAAGACAGAGCTGATTTGTGGTCGCAAATCAGCAGCACAAGTTTCCTTCTCGAGATGGGGAGGGGGGATTTTTCCTCACAATACTGTCTAGAACTGATGCTCCGGGTCGCGGAAAAATTCCAGAACTATGCAGTGCAAAATGTGTTATCTGTGTCCTCTGGATGTCCGAATGTGTGTAAGCAGCCCTGCCTCCTCTTTTGGGGCCGCGCATGACAAGTTTTTGGGCTGCTATGCGTACTTCCGTAACTTGTCGCATGACAAATTCATGGCATGACAAAAAAGAGAGGGGCTGTATCTTCGCAATAGGTATGACAGGTTCTTCTTTCCTGTCAGCTAAGCATGCGAAATGTTGCAGTTAGGTGCCAGGAGACACAGATTAGCTATTTGGAGTGGATAAAAACCGGCAGAGCACGATCAATATCGTGCTGGAAAAGGATATCGCAAGAAAAAACTGCTTCACTCGAAAATTGTAAAATGCAGAAAATGCATCGGAGAAGTTCTCTTGCTAAATATGCAAGACATTAGTTTTTTAAACGTGGTGTTTTCTCGTAGGAATCTCGCATGGCAAATTTTTTCTGTCATGTAGAACAAACTGTGAATGTGAAGTGATGCAAAACTTGCGAAATTGTTACTTTACAGTGAAACACTTTTTTTCTCACGATAAAGGAGATGATACTGGCGGGAGGAGGTGGAAATGGAACTAGTACGGCGAACACATCAAGTCCTGCACTTTCGTCAGCCTCAGAGAAGGAGAAAGACGATACTGCTGTTCTTGGCGCGACGACCGGTACCGTTGCTGATGCGACAGGAGCTCGTCCTGCGCCAACCTCGGAAAATAAGCCAGCTACAGCACAACCCACGTCCGCGGCCACTTCCGCCTCTGGCGCTTGGATATTGGAGAAGGTGAAGAAATGCTGCCCCTCGCAGGTGCCGCGCATGTGGTTTCAGCAGGTGGAATATGACAATGCACAACTTCCCCTCCCTCTCATTTGTAATGCAAAACCCCAACTCCAAGCGCTGCCCTGTGGCACTGTTTGCGTGACAAATTCCGGAAGCCCAAACAGTACTACACGAGGCGCATAAATTTGTAATGCACAGGCTCCACGTGTGGCTGTGTTTGTATTGCTGCTCATGCCATGCAAACGAGAAGGAGGGGGGGTTGTGCACTCTCATATCGAAGCGATTGCGGGGGACAACGAGTCTAACCTGCCCATGATCCAAATCGAGGGCCACAACGACGCGGGCCGGCGGTGCGCCATGGTGCTCTGTCTCATGCTGGCAGAGTACACCACCGGAGTAATGCGGGTCGGCGGCGGTGGTACTAACGGCAATGGCGGTACTAGCGCGGTCGCAGGCGCGCCGGCGGTAGGATCTGCTTGCGGAGGGTCGAAGGAGCATCAAATAGCGGGAAGTGCAGCGCACTTACCAGCTGCTGGAGAGAACATCAAGGAAACTACTACGGCTACTACAACCAGTATCGCAAGAAAAAACTGTTTCACTGTAAACTTGTAATGCAGAAAATGCATCCGAGAAGTATTTGTCTTGCTACACATGCAAGACAGTGGATTTTTAGTTGTGTTTTTCCTTAGGAATCTCGTATGGCAAATTTTCTCTGTGATGTAGAACAAACTTGTGATGCAAAACTTGCAAAATCCTTACAGTGAAACACTTTTTTCATACGATAACCAGCACCACCACTCTGCAGAACCAACCGCCCATTCTTGTCACCAACACGGAGTTGAGAGGTGTCGGTCACGTGGAAATGAAAGCGGTGAGCAGCAACAGCAGCAGCACTGCTGGTGGCAACATTGGTGCCGAAATAATGCTGCAGCCCCAACATTCGACTACGAAGCAAGAGGGAATGGCAGGCGTGGCATCGACTACAACATCTTCTGCTACGCAGGGGGTCGTGGGGAAGATGAGCAAAGCTGCGGGCGGTGCCACCGCAACTGCGACTGGTAGTTGTCCTGGCTCATCAATGGGCCACCAGTTTTTGGTCTCGGAGAAGGTCGGGGAACAGGATTTGGAGTTGAATGACAAGGGGGGAGGTGGAGTAGAGTGAACAAGCACTCGGGGGGAAGGTCGTGCAGGCTTCCTTGATGACTGCTCGGATAATTCCGCTTGATGCTCGTTATATGCTTTTTCGGAAGTATAATACTGACTTTTTCTACTTAATACGATGTGGGGAGCCACTCACGAGATTGTACTCATGATGTCGTGCAGAGGCCAGAGCCAGGGGCATGCTTTTTGAGCCTGCTCCGCTGAGCCATTCACTCGAGACGAATTTCACTTTGGGATTGATTGGTGGTTCGAAAGTTTTGAATAAGATCAAAAACTACACCCTGTGAAGATCATGATCATTTCAAGTATGATTTCATTCGATGTAAGCTACTTTTTTTACTACTTATTTTGGTCACCGGTTTATTTGCTTGCAATGGAAGTCGTGTTCTTGTTCAAGTACGCAGCTTTACGAAAAGATCCGGCTCATCTTGAACTGCTCCGCATTGTTGGTTTCTGTGAATGAAGAACCAAAAATCGAAGCGTGCGTACGGAGTTCGAAGACGAGCGACCGGCGCCGCGCTCGGAGCCGGCAACGCCTACCGGTGCGGCGCGCCCTTTTCAGACGCGGGCGAGCGCGCAGACGACTGCGAAAGCGCGGCGCGGCGCGCTAGCCGGCCCCGCCCGCGTACCCAGCCGCCGCCGGGCCGCCCCGGCTGGTAACAGAAGTCAGCAAGCAGAGGCGCCAACTTTGGCACGCGCTTAGCGCGGCGCCCGGACCGGCTGCCGAAGAAGCCCGGCGCCAGTTGTATCGGGATACGGTCGGCGTAGATTTATCCGCCTGCCAACGGGGCCAGCCAGGCCGGGTGCCGCTTTCCACGAACCCCAAGGCGGCCGCCGCGGGGTGCGTTTGCTGCGTGCGTCTAGCACAGGCGGAGGGGTCGCGTGAAGTGGCTGGCTACCTGCGCGCGCGGCGGGGCTTTACGCCGGGGCAAGAAGCCATCTGCGCAGCCCTGGGCCAAGCGCCCCCCCTTCCGCAGGTCGGCCCTGCGGCGCTCCCAGACGCACCAGCGGCCGGCGAGGCGGACCGCCGCTGCGCTTCGGCGCTTCCGCTCGCGCGCGGCCAGGCCGCGGGTTCGGAAGGCTTGCTTCCGCCCCCCCCCCCTGCCAGAACGCGTGGACATTAGTGGCATTCGGGCCGCGGATGTCGATTGCGGCCCGCTCTGGCGTTTCTTGAGAGCGCTGGGAGGTGCCAGAATGGCGGGCCCTCGCTCCGGCGATAAAACGCGGGCCCCGGCCCCCTTTGTACGCGGAGAAGGCGAACAACGAGCGGGCGTTCCTAGTCAAAGAACTGGCGGACGAGGCCGCGGGGTTGAGAGCAAAGATCCACCAATACAACGCGTCGCTTTGTTGTTCTGTTTTTCGTTCCCCCGCCGTTTCGTTTTGGTGATCGATGGACTCAGCGGCCGCCCGCCCCGCCCCGCTCTGGTTCCGTGCCTAGATGCCGGGGCATGGCGCCATTGGGCGGCCTGCCGCAGATCCCGACCGGGCGGGGCGCCCGCCTTGTGTGGCGCCACTCTCCCTTTCGGCGTGCGGCGCCTTGCGCGGCGCCCTGCGTGCCTTGGTGGCTCAGCGCGCCGCCCGTTGCGGTTCGTACGGAGCCCGAGCAGCGCGTGGTGCGGTCTCACGGGTGCTCAAAGTCTTTGCGGCGCTGGGGAAGGGCTGCGGCGCCGGGCGCCGCGTTCTGGATGGTACGCGCGCCGGCGGGCCGGCACCTGCTTCGTTCTCGGCTGCCTGCCTGGGCGGAGGTAGGGCCCTGGCGTGGTTTTTTGTCATATCGTGTGGCACAGGGCACAGACACACTTCACCCGAAAGGACGGCGCCTCGAGGTTCTTCATGAAAATTCCGCGGAGACCCTCCCTGGATTACTTGTTACGTCACCATTGTTAGTATCTTTGTTCTTCTTGCTGCAGTTCCTTTTTGGTGACACTGCCATCTGAGGATGCACAGGCAGAAATAACGAGCTGGGCTTCAGCATTTATTGCGAGCATTAGGTCGCTCGTGCGCAATTCTTTAAAAATTATATTGCTGAACCGTCGTGGATTAGATTTACTGCGCTCGCCTTCTTAGTACTCGTCTGCACTTTTCCAAGAAACTTCATAAACTACCGCAAAAAAAATCTTTTCGTCCGCCCCACGACGACAGCACGGATAAGAACCAACCACAATGGCCGCCACCGAACCAGCAGGCGCTTCTCCGAGTCCGGAGAAAGACGTGCCCAAAGCGGCCGCTGCCTCCGATACCAGCAGGGAGAAGGCGGTTAGTGCGGCCTTCCCTCCACTATGCAATACAAATTTCCCGTACATGTGTAGATGCATCACAAATTTCACCAATTTGAAGCGTAAAACTTGTCATGCTAGACTAGAATCGAAGCCAATTTTTGTCATGCAGAGACCGCATGTGTACGTGTACGGGAAATTTACTGTAGATATCCACTCCCCGCTTTATCGGAAAATGAGTTTCTGCACACCTCTATCAAATGCAAAAATGTCTGGGTCTGGAAAGTTCTGATGCATGTTAGTGAACACACTGTTTGCTGTTTGCAGTAGGCACATACTGTTGTAATGCGCCGCCAAGCATGAGAGATTTACTTTCCGTGGCTTTGTGTTGCGTATTCCGCATGAGAAGCAGCGTTTTTGCATGACAGGCCAAGAAGGGATTTCTTGCTGGCCACACAATACAGGGCTCAGTGTCATGCCAGATTAGCATGACAAATCTCGCACTCTTCCAGACCCAGACGTATTTGCAATCCATAACCTCCGAAGCGGTCACGGAAGGGCAGATCGACCGACTTTGCGACGTCATCTGCGATGATATACTGCAGGTATTGAAGGTTTTGATGATGCGCAGTAGCAATTTGCACGTGGCACAGGCACTTGTGAAGAAAACATTAAAAAGTTCTTTTAGGCGGAGAGTAAGTAGTACGAACCACGTCGGCCCGAATAAGATTAAGAATATGAATAAAGTGGTTCAGCGATCATTATTTTCAACAAGGGCGTTGAGGATTCTTATCGATTTTTTTGGCCTGTTGTAACTGTCTGTATTTCTGAAACTGCATTACAGGCTTCCCTACAGCAGGACGAGCACGCGAGAGTGAACCTTACCGCCTTGGTCAAGTCACGAATGGTGGTGGTCTCCGGGGAAGTATCAAATGCAAAGATCGATCTGAGTCGCCTGGGAAGTTCTTGTGTTGCTGAGTTCTGCATAACTAGGGCCATTCCTCATGCAGCCAAGCATGGCAAAGACAAAACTCTGGTAGATGCTGTCTTAAGTATAAGGTGCATTACAACAAACCACATTGTTGCAGCATGACAAACAGAGTCGCGTGTAGAAGTTGCCAGTCATGCAATACAGGTTTGATACAGGAGAAATGCAAGACGCGGAATGCAAGTCATCACTTTTTTATTTCCAGACCCAGACACATTTTTTGCAATGCATAGAAAGTAGCGATCAAAGGCACATTGGACTACGATTTGCTCGTCAGAAAAACCCTGCAGAACTGCGGGTACGATTCAGAGGAGAAGACAGGTACTATACGGAGGGTTGTGTTTTTGCGAAAGGGAATGCGAATTTTGCATGACAAACTGTGCTGTTAAGGTGTTTACCAGTCTCCTGTTTAATACAGTACTGCATCGCAAGTGGAGATAATCAAGTGTCAGCAATATCATCCGATATTAAGCCACGACACCTACGCTGTGAAGATCCCATTGAAACTCTAAAATCCAGGTATGGACTACCGGTCGGCCAATGTCGTGATTGCGATCTCGGAACAGTCTCCGGATTTGGCCTCGCTATCCAGGAACAAAACGATTTGCTATTGGCTTCGCTCCTGTGCTGTCGGGGAGTTTTATCTTCCTTCTGCACATTGTTCATCTCATTTCGTCCCGCACTATTGAATCGAATGAAAGGACAAGGAGGCAGCTTTTTTTGCAGAGTCGCTAAGAACGAGAAAGGACCACAACGACCCTAGAAGCAGGCGTTGCTCGTCGCGCCTTGCACATACTTATTACATCAGCAAGGATGTTGGACGACAGGTTCTTCTGCATTTTTAGAAACTGTGAAAGCTACCACCACAGTTAGGGGACACCCAGCAGCAGCAGCAGAAAGTTTTGTTTCCTCTGATATTCTATGGATTGTAAAAATGTCTGGGTCTGGAAGATTGCAACTTGTCATGCTGTTTTTGGACTCTAAAAAAATTTGTATTGCATGACCAGCAAGAGGGGAACAGTTTTTGCTACACGGACAGGGCATTTCTCATGCGGAAGGTACATCAGGAAGCGGTCTAAAAGTCTGCGATGTTAGGCCAAGCATTACAGGCATCGTGGGTCATGAGAAATATGCATGACAAATCTTGCATTTTTCCAGACCCAGACCACATTTTTGCATTTGATATATTCCGCGCTCTCTCTGTATTACGGCGGGGGGAAGTCCGAGGAAGCAATACAGATTCCGAATGGTGTATCGTACGAAAAAAGTGTTTCACTGTACGGATTTTGCAGGTTTCACAGGTTTGTTCTACATGACAGAGAAAATTTGCCACGCAAGGTTCCTAAGGGAAAACAGAAACACAGCTAAAAATCCACTGTCTTGCATGTGTAGCAAGACAAACACATTTGCGTTCCGTTCTATGCATCACAAGTTTACAACGAAGCAGTTTTTTCTAATGATACGGCGACTTCGGCACCGGGTCTGGGTACGCGACGGATGATATTGGAGTGCACAACTCCTCCTCGTGGAGGTCCGCGGCATTTGTATTAATTCGATGAACAGCAATAGTACGCACATGTGCATGAGCACACGCGGTGCCTGTGCGTAATGAATTCGTGTTGTGCCGCCGAATGTTGATATACGTTTTGGACGATTTCTCAATTTGTCATCCAGTACCAGGAGGCAACAAAATAGCTGGACTTAGCATTTTGCATGACAAATCAGCGGGAGCTGTAGGGGGAGTTCTGCACCCCCATAGAGGAAAGTGGAGCTGACCACTTTATGCCGGTCTCCTGCAAACTGGCAAACGCACTGGTAGGGGTTGTTGTTTCTTTGCTTCACGGATGAAAGTAACTCCATTTTTCTGTTGCTGGTGCGCATGACATCAAGTAAACGAAAGTTGCAATAATGTTAACTTGCTTTCCCAAAAAATAAAAATGCAGGCGTCGCAGCTCACCGTTGCGCGAAAATCCGGGCAGCTTCCCTGGTTGAAGCCGAACGGATATTACAGTGAAAAATGCCCCCACCCCCCCAAGTAGCAGTAATTTGTGATGCGAAGTTTCCAAATGAACATTTCTTGTCATGCATGAAAGGAATATGAATCTCTGTGATGTTGCAGAGTCTAGGTGTTGTATATAGCATTGCATGCATGACAAGCGCGGCTCTTGCTGGGAACATTTGCAATACAAATTTTCGCTATTCACGATTGGGAATCTGTGATGCTGCTAGATGCAGGAGGGCGCGCGTTTCTCTTGGGAAGGTTTGCAATACAAATGCTCCCAAGTTCAGGGGTGGCGGCATTTTCCATTGCAATAACGGAAAGGTGCAGGTGACTTTCGTCTACAGACGAGACGAGAAGAGCGGTAGTCTGAAGCCGGTGATATCAAGAAGAAAAATGATCCCCCCTTTCCATATCAAAACGGAAATCTGTAATGCAGATTTGTGGTCCCAAATCAGCTTTGTCATGCTAGAAGGGAAAAGATGCGGACTGTAGTGTTGGGCTGCGTGGGAATAAAGCCTTGCATCTTCAGCATGACAGGAGGCAGCTGGAAGTGGGAAACAGCATGACAAAATGCCTGCAAACGAGGCCACAACTGCGGCGCTTGGCCTTCTAGCAATACAAGTCGACTTGTGTACTGAAATACAGCATCACAAATTTCGTTTTTGATATGGGGAGGGGGGATTTTTCCTTGCGATAATTAAGAATCTATCGCATAATGGTGCACAACTCCGGGTGGGACGGGAAAGTTTCCCTACCAGAGATGCAGCTGCAAATCAAGCAATTTGTCATCGACGTGGTGCTCGGCAAGCGGATAAGCGCGATGGAATCTGCGTCGACAAGCACATCGAGCAGTAGCGCAGCGAACAGCGGTACCACCACAGCAACTGCCACCGGCGGGGCGGGCGGCGAGGGGGGTGAGGATTCGAAGGCGAAAGTTCCTCTCCCGGAGCTGAAGGAGACAGAGTTCACGTTTTTGGTGAAAAAAGACGTCGACGTCCCCATTTTATCCTTCGTAAAAACGCCCCCGCCCCAGAGTCAAGATGGGAATTCTGCAACACAGATCCGCAAGTTTTGGGAGTCACGCATGACAAGATTTTCTCTGTACTGTAAAGTAATGCGGGATAGCAAGCACAACCGCATCACAAAGCCATCCTGGTATGCTGTTTACAGCATCACAAATTGCACAAGACGATTGAAAATGCCCCTCATGGGGACGCGCATTACAAGTTTTCCTGTGATTGTAATTCTGCATGACAACTCTTGGGTGGGGACGTCTTTGCACAGGATACATTTTACACGTGAACTACACGACGCACAAGTCAAATCGAACCTATTCACTGCATATCAAATGTAAAAATGTCTGGGTCTGGAAGATTGGAACTTGTGATGCTAACTTTGGAATCTAAAAAAATCTGTATTGCGTGACCAGTAAGAGGAGCCACATTTGTGCTACGCGAGGAGGGCATTTGTCATGCGGAAATGGCACCAGGAAGCTTTCCAAAAATCTGTGATGCTGGGTCATGCATTACAAGCATCATGGGTCATGCCAGACAAGCATGACAAGCCTTCCATTCTTCCAGACCCAGACATTTTTACATTTGATACTGCACCAAATTTGTCTGGGTCTGGAAGTAAGAGTCCAAGTTTGATGTCATGCTGCGAGTCCTGGTTGACACAAATAAAAATCTTTGTTGCCTGAACAGCAGATGAAGCCATCCATCTTTGGTGCGTGAGGATGGCCTTTCTCGTGCATGCAGGACAGACGTTGCATTTTTCCAGTAGACCCAGAAGTATTTGCGGTTGATAGACCCTTCATAGCGACGAATTCGGACGAGTATCAGGGCAGTGGAGCGGCGGGGCAGAGGACAGGTAAGTACTCAATTATTTCAACTCTACTTTGTGCATTTTTTTTACTTTTCAGTTTCACCGTGGTCAGCGACCTTTTTCTTGGCGAGCCGCATTCTGTTTGTTTCTGTGCCGAGAAAGACGGGTGTGTACTTATTTTCATATAAATGTATGAAAAGTGCATATCTTATTCAGCTTTGTGCGATAGACATCAAGGGAAAGAGGCGAGAGAAATGCTGAAAAAAAATCCCCCTAAGATTCCATGTCCTACGGCGGGTGGTGCAGCTCCACGCAAGGCGGCCGTCACGCGTCCGGGAAGGATATTACAATGAAAAATGCCGCCACCCCCAGCTTGGCAGCATTTGTATTGCAAACCTTTCTAACAGAAACATTCCCCGTCTTGCATATCTCAGCATCACAAATTTTCCATGCTGAATAGGTCAAATTTGTGTTGCGAAGTAGCCCAACAGCAGCCGGATCTTTCATGCACCAGGCACCTTGCGCACCCAGATTCTGCATCAGAAACGCTCGCAATCCTTTTACTTATGCAAGACAAAAAGCTTTCTCTTTCATTTGGAAACTTTGCATGACAAACTTCTGCAAATTCCGGGGTGGTGGCATTTTTCATCGTAATGAAGGACCCCTGGAAAATAGAGCGGTTTGCCGCCTGCGCCGCCCGGTGGATCGCCAAGTCTCTGGTGGCCGCGAAACTCTGCCACCGGTGTACGGTCAGCCTCTTATGCATTGCAAATATGTCTTCTGGGTCTCGAAGATTGATGCAACTTGTCATGTTAAATCCGAATCATGTAAAATTCTGTGTTGCGGGAGTGCCAAGAAAAGCTGTCCCGCATTCCAGACCTCATGTTCATGGAATAAACCTGCATGACAAGTTTACACTCTACTTCCAGACATCCAGGGATTATATTTGCCGTTGATACATCTCCTACGCGTCTAATTTCGCTGAACCCACGGCTATCTTGTTTGATTTCCACCACAGTCTGACCAGTGCGGGAAAGCAGGTGGAAAAAAAAATCATCCCGGTGGTGCAGAGCAACTTCGATTTGCGCGTGGGGTGTCTCGTGAAATCCTTGCAGCTAAGCAGCTTTTTCGCCGGATGTCCCCAGCTCTTTCCGATGGTCGTGTCAGGAGCTAGTACAATTCCTGTCTGGGAGGAACCCAGAGCGCTGCGTGTCTGATCTGATTCATCTGATAACGCATTCTCTCCCCCTTGGGGATGTAATGTGTATGAGTTTGTAGTCTTTCCCCCTTGTCAGCACAGTGGGTCGATATGTTGAAGAGCGAAAATCCTACTAATTGTGTCAACAGAAATAACCTTGTCAAAAGGTGGACGACAACAACAACGCTGAGGAATATCAAATTGGGTACTATGTTGCAACTTCTACCTCCTGTCAGTGTGTAGAAATGGTTCTTCTCGTCGTGCCTGAGAAGGCAGTAGTAGATTTGATGGAGGTTCTTCTATCTTCCTCGTGCCCCCGGGCAGAAGACTCTTCGATCTTCCTGTCGTCCGAGAGTGATCAAATTTGTAGTAAGGTCAGTGGACGACGAGAGATACATTCGTACTACATTTTCGTTTCGACATCTGGTAGTCGAACAGCTACAAAATTGCTGAATTCCAAATTGTTGAGTGTCGTGACTACAGCGTTGTACTATTCCAAATCCGTAGTTTGAGCGTAAAATGTTGCCACGGCCACCGCACGAGTGTAGTGAGTGAGGACAAACACCACGACCAAAGTTGGAAATTTTATTTCGGAGCGCGACGGTGAGTGTCGTGTTTATCATTTCTGTTTAGAGCGATCAAAAAGCTCAACAACTCGTAGTGAAAAGCCACTGTATATTCATCTGTATCACAATAGGTTGCATTTCGCAACGCCGCGTGAACGTGAAGTAGATACTGGTATCGTGTTAAATCAGAGAAAGCGAAAATGGCGGCTTCCGATCAAAAGTTTCTTGTCGCTGACGACGACCACGTGGATCTAGCCCCAGGCATGGATAAGGATCAACCCTCTTCGAAGCGTCGCAAGATCGGCGCAGCTGGAACAGCAGCACCTTCCGGGGGGAAGATGAAAAACAAAAAATCGAAGAATTCGACTGCTCGAGAGCAGCCGAGAAACGAGGCAGAGGAAGCCGAATTGCAGTCGTTTCACAACTATCAAATGCAAAAAATGTCTGGGGCTGGAAGAGATTTGTCATGCTGATCTGGCATGGCCCTTAAATCTGTAACTGTATTGCGTGGCCAGGGCCACAAACAGCCTCTTTCGCTTTTCATGCAAAAGCACAGTTTCTCATGCGAAATATGCATCACAGAAGCACGAAAAAACTTGTCATGCTTGGCGGCGCATTACAGTGCATTTGTTATTGACTGTCTTGCATCACAGGTTACGAGACCCAGACATATTTGCATGTGATAACAACATTTTGGAGCAATTGGTTGCGGAAGAACAGCAGGGGAAAAATGGTGTGAATATTAGTACAACTTCTGTAACTCCAACTTCTCCGGAGAAGGAGCTGCAGGGACCTACTGCGATGGTCTTGCAAAGTGAAAGTAATCATCACGCATCAAGTACAACGTCCTCTGGCCTTATACCAGCTGACCCGATTCTTGCGATTCAGAAGATTCTTGGGGCGCCGGGAGTAGAACTGCCAAATAAAACAAACTCCGACGACGAGGACGACGCAGAGGAGCAAGCGAACAAGTTGGAGGCCGAGTTTGCCGCGTTGAGCGCGGAGTTGCAGTCTTTGAATGGCTATCCTGTGCAAAAGTATCGTACTCGTATTGCAATCATGCATCACAAATCTTTCTCTCGAATGTAAATCAGCATTACAAATTTTATCCCTCATGCTGAGGAAATTTGTAATGCATCTACACGAGTACGATACTTTAACTTTTGCAATGCATAATGGAGGGGGGAGCAGTAGTAGTAGTTCGTCATCTTCCATTGCCGGCTCGAATCAGTCCGGGAGAAAGGCGGGAAAGAACATCAAAAACAATAAAACGACCGGCACCACCACCAAAGTAGCAGCGAAGACGAAAACTACAGGGAAGATGAAAAAGAACTCGCAAGAACGAGGTGAAGATGGCGCCGGGCTCAAAGGAAAGGCTGCGGTGGTCTGGGAGGAACCGCGGAAAATGAGCAATGTCTTATTGGACGAGCCAGCAGACTCCAATGCCCCCGCGGCCCTGGACCACCTGAACATGGACGTCTTCGCCACGACGGCGCTGCAATCAGGGGAGGAACGAGGTCTTCTCGTTTCCGAAAGAATATCCGATGATCCAGTGGCTTTAGAAGTAGAAGCACACCAAGCAGGAGAATTTATTTCGGCGAGTACTACTAGAACTTCTTCTACCGGGCAGCTGGTGCTGTCCGCGTCGAGAGGTGTAGCACCACCCCCAGCTGGAGTTATTCCTGGAAGCAAAGTAGATCCACCCGGGGGCAAAGAAGAGAATGCTATAGTTCATCTTGCAGGAACTACAACGACCAAAGAGCAGCGTCTGATCGAGGACGAATTTCTCCGCGACGTGGCTAAAGTGCAAATGGGCATGGTGCAGACAAACAACCTTGATCCACCACCACCAATCCCGTCGCCCCATGCTGTGAACCACCTAGTACAACAGACGCACCAACAAGGCGGTGGTCTTTCTGCCCTCCAGAACGACGGAAGTTCACCGTTGCTGCCCCTCCAGAACCTACTGTTTCCGCCAGCACCTAGCGGGGCAAGTACGTCTCGACCCCCACTGGTGCAAGCGGAGCAGGTGTTCGCTCTGTCAAATCCGGAGCAGCAGCAGTACTTGCGAAAGGAAGCGACGAAGATCATTCTGCAGGAAAAGATCGCGCAGAAACAGGAACAGAATAAGCCGCAGGTGTTCCACTCGGTGCAGGAGTTCCAGAATTTTTGCGCCAAGGAATGGGCCAGGGAAATCAAGAGGACGGAAGTGAAGAGTAAGGAACAAGAAACTATGGAGCAGCTAGAAAGTGGTGGTGGTCAGCAATCGTCTAACTCTTCGAACGGCAAAAATTCCAAATCGAGAGGGAGCAAGAACCAGCAAAAAAATAAGATCGTTTCCATTCTGCAGCTGAAACAGACGAATCCGAAGGAGTACTACAAGAAGAAAGTGAAGTATCCCACGAAAAAAGTGTTACAGTTACACATTTGTAGTGAATTCAGCAACACAAATTTCTCTGCATGAGAGCGAAAACTTGTAATGCAGAAATCCTACGGGAAACACCTATGAAACGAGGCAACTATGCATATCCGGCATTACAGAGATTGTCTGTCTTGCTTGGCCTGCAACACAATGTGTAGCCGTAGCACTTTTTTCTTGCGATATGAAGTTCGCGGAGTATTTGTTCGAAAAAGCAAAGAAAAAGTGCTGGTTTTCGAAGAGCTGTCCAGTGGAAGTGTACAGCGCGAAGTTCAACGGGGAAGGATTAGTGAAGAATACTTCTGGTAGTTGTACAGGAACAGAAGATGCCGAACGGGCAAAGAATGAGAAAGCCCCCACGGATTCAGGAACTGCAGCCGCTCTCGCTAAAAACAACCGGTTGCTGAAGGCAGGGGGAATGAAGAACACCAAAACTTCTTCTAGCGAAGGACCGGGTAGGACTCTTGCTGTTAACGAGAACCAAAACAGCAGCAGGAAACCACTGTTAGCGGGCGATAACAAGACAACAGAAGGCGGTGAAGATGAGCTAGAAAGTATACTAAGCAAGAAGAAAGGCAACAAATCATCTTCCGACAAGTTTCTGAAATTTTTCAAAAACTACAGCGCAGATGATGATAACTCGTCCCCAACCGACAAACTGCGCTACTTGACGGAAGCGCCGCCGGCGCCTGCTGCGGGGGAGCGGAGGCCTGTGCTCGAGAATGCGAGGCCGGACAAGGATTACTTCAAGATCGTCGACACAACTACCAGCGAGATGAAACACGGAGAAACAGTTGTTCCTGCTCGTGGTTGCACCTCTACGGTTGGTCATCCCAATTCATCCGTCAGGAAGAGCAGTGCGAAACATCACGGAAAAAAGCACTTTTCCGCTGGGAAGACGGTTTCATCTCGTAAGAGTTGTAAGATCGATCTTGACGAGGTGAATCCTGAGTTTCACCCGGGGCAAGAATTGATCGAGAATCCGGTCTTTTCTTCCCGGAAGGACCACAAGAAGACCACGCTTTCGCTGCTGGACGGAGGGCGACGAGAGGGCACTAATAAAGCTGTTTTCGACTGCACTTCTACCGTGCAGCACCCGGAAGTTGTTCTAGGTGAAGCCGCTTCTAAGCCTGCACTTGCGGAGGTGGTTCCGGAGGGAAATGGCGAAACCGCGTTGGTCTTGAAAGAAGGTGGAGACACGTCCTCCAAAAACAACAGCATGGATAACCACGACGATGACGACGACGACGAACATCTCGACCGGGACTGTTTCTACGGCGTTTCGCGGGAGGTTTTGCTGGAGATGATCGAGAATTTAGTCCTGACCAGCCTGAAGCGGCTGCACGAGGGGGTGTTGCCTTGGGTGAGTTTGTTGAACGCCAATTGTCCTGCTACGTCAAGCACAACTGCTGGAGAGGTGCAAGAACTTGCCCCGAATTTTGATCACGGTGCCGCATCCCAAATTATGGCCGCGAACGACCACAGTGAGAACTACAGTCAAAAGCAATCTGCAGCTACATCCCACACTTCTTCTTCCGCCTTCAATTCCCAGACGCAAAACAAATTCCAATCCGACGCTACCAATGGTGCAGAGAACAAATCGGGTAACAAGCAGGGATATCAAATGCAAAAATGTCTGGGTCTGGAAGGATGCAAGGTTTGTCATGCACATTTTGCATGACTCCTGATGTCTGCGATGCATGCCCTAGCATCACAGGTCTTGTGAGGGCTTTCTGATGCCTATACCGCATGACAAATACTCTTTCCGTGTAGCAAAACTTGGACTCTCTTTGCTGCTCATGCGATTATACAGATTTTTTTAGAATCCAAAATCAGCATGACAAGCTGGATTCTTCCAGACCCAGACACTTTTACAGTTGATAAGGGAACGATAGGCGGAGAACACGCGGATATCATCGTGGAATCGTGGCTGGAGCACTTGAGTGCGAAGGTTTCGCCCGTAACTCAGGACAGTCAGGAATCTTCGGATGGTATCAATTCGGCACATATGGATTGCAAATATGTCTGGGTCTGGAAGAGTGGAACTTGTAATGCTGTCTGCGGATTCTAAAAATGTTTGTGTTGCATGAGCATCCAAGAGGAGTCAGCTCTTGGCACGCAGAGAGGGCATTTCTCATGCGTGATTATCATCAAGAAGCGTCTCAAAAAATCTGTGATGCTAGCACCAGCATCGCAGACCTCACGACAAGCCCCGGCTCTTCCAGACCCAGACACTTTTGCAGTTGATAGCACAGCAGGAGGAGCAACTACAGGGAGGCGGTGCGGGCCGGAAAAATAAACACAAACAAGACAACAACGATGACGTTCCGATCTGGCTGAAGCACGCGGTGTACGAAAACGAAAATTTGACGCATGCCGTGGGTCCGACGGCGAAAGATAAGGAGAGTGGTAGTAAAAAGGCGAGTCCCGCCACCGTTGCCAGTTCCGAAAAAGTAGGAGCTGCTGTGCCGGAACATCACGCAGAGTCCTCGTTGCAGGAAGACAATATGCTGGTTTTGTTTGAGGGGAACACGGACGAGGCGAAAGGAGTACTGAACCAGGACCAGGAACAAGACAAGAAAACTGGCGGGGCCCCAGCACAGGATAGAAAAGTCGACGAACAAGAAACCTTTCTCCTCGACCCGCCGACAGCGGCTCATTACTCTTCGTCGCAACTGCAAGGCATAGGCAAGGAAAGCTGCAATCCCAAACCGACGGTGATCCAAATCAAACAGTCCAACCTCTCTCCCTCGCTCCTCCGCATGGCCCGGATTTTCGCCGTGTTGAATTTGATCCACGAGATGCTGGTGCAGAACCGGGTTTGTACGCAAAGGGAACTGTTTTACCGCTTGAAGTCCAAGGATTTGAAGACGGGGTTGTTTACCCAGCAGTTGCAGCTAAACAAAACTTTGGAGGAGATTGTACTGCTACTCCGGACACCGCGGAAACTTTTCGGCGTTTTGACGGTCAACAAGGGGTTAATTTCCGGGCCCTTTTTGACGATTGGGGGCCGGGTATCCTATGGAAAAACGTCCCCACCCCATAGCTGTCATGCAAATCTGCATGCTCAAAATGTTTCTCATGCGGAGACCCATAAGAAGCATTGCTTAGTCGTGTTTTGGGATTCGTAATGCTCCAATCAGCTGCATAAGAGGCCATATCTGTGATGCTACTGGACGACCGCAACAGCATTATACTACGAGGCCAAACTTGTCACGCGCAACAACCTAAGCTTATTGATTTGTCTAGCAGATTTCCGAGCTGGACTAAGGGCAGGTGGGGATATCTTTACTCAGGATACCGGGTGTTACCGGACACGACGACCCGGGGCGTGCCGATTAGCGAGGACATTGTCGATAAGTGCGCACGGGACATCGATTTAAACGGAAAATCTGCTTTGCTCAATGCGGGGCTATCGTCGTCCAGCTATGTGAAGTGCATTCTGATCGTGGAGAAAGAGACTGTGTTTTTCTCCCTACTGGACCACTTCAACAAGAAAGCACAGGAGCAGATCCAGGCAAACAACCAGGAGAAACACGGCAAAATAAGTAAACCGTCGAACAGTAAAACTGCAAATTATAAGCAAGTCGAGAACATCGTACTGGTAACCGCGAAGGGGTTTCCGGACGTTTTAACGCGGAAGTTACTGACTAAACTCGCGAAACTCTACCCCCTGACCCCCTTCCTCTACCTCGGGGACTGCGACCCCCACGGCGTGCACATTTTCCTCAAGTACAAGCAGACCCTGCCGAATTTGAGGTCCATCGGTTTGCATGTGACGGACGTTATCGCCGACGTTAGTCGGAGGTACCCTTCGGTCGGGAGTTTTACCGCGAAGGAGAAGCGGATGTTACTGAGTTTAAAGGAAGAAAATTACTTGGTCTTGTCCAATCCGGCACTGCGGATGGAGATTGAGCGGATGCTATGAATTGCAAAAGCATCGTACTAGTATGAATTGCATCACAAATTTCCTCAGCGTGAGAAATGGAATTGGTAATGCTGATTGACCTGAGGAAAATGTAATGCATAACTGCAATTTTTACTACGAGTGCGATACAACTTTTGCACTGGATAGATGCTGCAGTGCGGCTACAAATACGAAGTAGAGGCGCTGTTGGCGTACAGTGGCGGATCTTCTTCTATTTCTGGGAGCAGCAGCAGTAGCGGGCAAAATCAAAATCATCAGAACTACGGCGACGACTCCATGTTGGTCCTCGCGGAAGATGGGGGAGGAGGGGGTGATCATGATGTGGGCGGAGCAGGAGGAGGAGTGTCTTCAGGCACGGTAGAGGACTCGGATGAGAAAAACTACTTTTTGGAAACCTACGTCCCGTGGAAGATTAACAATCGTCACGCGTGGATTTAAGAGGGAACTGCTATGAAGAAGAACTTTAGCGTTATTTTACGGTTTATTTTGGTGCGAAGAACTTTCTTCGGCGCCGTTGTAAGTATGTCTTTTTGAGGAGCCCAGTCTTGTTCGCGAGAAAATACCAAATGAAAACTGAAAACTGAATCAGAAAAGTTGAATTTTGGAACTCAATTCTACGAGTTGTATGCGCGCCGCAGGAGTAGCAGCAAGAAGATTGCAGTGACTACAACCTGCTGAAAAAAATGATCGCTGCTATTGCAATGAAGATGAACTGTACGATATAGAGAAGACTTTTGCAACTACTGAAACTTCTTTGAACTTGCAATTTTAACAAAGAGCTTCCTTTTATTAATTCGGGATTTGGACTGAACCCATCCGAGAACTTCGATTTATTTCTACGATTTTGGAATACGATCCTCCGTTATTTCCGTGAGCTTGCATTTATTGGAATGGGTACTACTATCGAGAACTTCTTTTGAATCCAGAACTACAGACAAGGCTTTAATACGAGGAAACCATCAAAATGATTGCAATCAGAGGTAAAACACCAGAGTGCCGAATAAATGTACCCGAGGACGCAAACAATAACAAAACCAAAACGGGTAAAGTACTTCTTGGGAAGACGACTGTGCGAGTACTGTTATTGTGATAGAAAAGTAGTACGTGTTTCGAAGAGATCTCTTTAACCCTCGTCGGACGACAGTGGCGGCAACAGGTGCAGCCGGCAAGTAGCTCTAAGAAGAAGTGCCACCCGTTTACTCTTTTGCCACCAGCGCCCTGTCTTTTCTGCAACTGTTTCTCTGCAATTATACCTGAAAAAGGAGCGTCTGTAGAAGATCTTTCTGTTGCTGGACTTGTTTTCTGAGGAGCAGCAAAAGATTTCATGATCTGACCCCCTACTCATTGCGATCCATCATTTGCAGCGCAGATTTTTTTCATGTTCCGCACAAGACATCATACCGTATTGTTTTTAGAAACGTCGTGGTCATTCATCGCTCGGACTGGTTCAAAACTTACTGTTTTAATTTTTTTTCGTCTCTACTACCGTTCGTGTGAAGTTTGATTTTTGTCAAGGACCTCTATCGCGATTCGCACGATTGGATAAGTAGTTGGAACTTTTTTGTATTCGCTTCCTGTGCTCCTGCCGATAAAGTAAGAAATCTTCTGCAAGTGCGACGTAGTTTTAAGTGCTTGCACTGTTCTGCTTAGGGAAGAAAAATATAGGAGTATGCCACGACCCCCCTGGTCGTGCTACAAGATGAGGCGCAAGCTACAAGTTTTCTGTTCGCTTCTCTGCGCAAGCGCAGGAGGAGTCGCGGGTCTGGGGGTAAGGACCAAAAGAGGCAGGCCGCGAGCAGGGCCGGACAGTGGTATGGAAGGTGGAAGTAGGGAACAAGCTTCGATGTCTACGACACAGAATCCACCACTTTCCGCTTCACAGACTGCGGGCAGTAGCAGCTTTTTCGGTCGCAACCTCACCAGTTTCTTCGCTCCGGCGTTCTACAATACCGGCGCAGGAGGAGGAGGGGCTTCTGCAACTACACAAAGAACTGCGATCGCCCGAGGTAATAGTAGTTCTAGCGGAGGTGCAGCTGGAACCTCCTCCCCCTCCGCAGCTGGGGGCTCCGTCGGGCCTAGAGCCGGAAGCTCGTCTGCCGCTGGTGCCACTGCTGACGGGGCGGAAATTGTTCGCCGCAAGAACTACCACGACGAGGAAGATTTCGGCCGGTTAATTTCGGACGACTGGGTCTTGCTGGGAGACGGAGATTCGGCTGACCAGCAGGGAGGCGGTCCAGAAATTTTCAACATCGCCTCGCATCCGGCTTCTCGATCCTCCAGCGCTGTTTTTACAACCTCCAACGCGGCTTTATGGAAGCGTCAGGATTGAAATCGTCAAAGTTGAAATAGTTTGTGACGTATAAAATGTAACCCACAAACCAAAGTGCCTGTCTTGCAGAGTAGGCCCGAGGCAGATTGTAACCCTGTCGAGGGGTAGAAATAGAGCTCCTAAAGTAGCATGACAAATGGCGTCTTCCTTACCCAAACAGCATTACAAATTGGATTTCGCCCCTACCCAAATTTGTCATGCGCCACTTGAAAACTAGGCGCCAACTGGTATCCGTTTTATGCATCACAAATCATTACAACTTTGTCGATTTCGATCCTGACACATCCATAGGCTTCGTCTCGGGCGTCGTCCGCTGGGGCCAGAAGTCGCGGCGGAGCAGGGGGAGAGGAACAGCAGCAAGAAGTTGGAGGTGTTCTTGCTGGCGATCGTAGTACCGCAGTACAACTTGAAGATGTAGTTCATGCCTCTTCCTCTCAACATGACTCCTCTTCGTCTTCCGAGGAAAACGACGGGGAGCAAGCGACGTTTGGGCAAGATCAACAAGGAACCGTGCATCTTCCGGAGGTCCTTGAAGAATCCGACCTCCTCCGGCTTTCCAACGAAGACGCTGAGCAGCTGTGCAGTGCGGTTCTGTCCGCGTTCGGATCATCTGCAGCTCGTGGGGGTGGGGATGGAAGTAATCCTGCAGGAGCTCCAGGTAATTATGGTGCTCTAGTAGCTGAGCAACACGGGGACGATGGAACTGCAATCGCTCAACAACACGACGTGTTCGGCGGAATGCAGGTAGACACGACGAGTAGTGAATCCCTTTCCGCTGGCTCCGGCTCTTCCGGTTCGGAAGTGCAATCACTGCAACTGCCTTCGAACGCGTCCAGGTCCTCGCTGGCATCTTCCGGGGGTTCGTATGTATTGCAAATATCCTTGGATGTCTGGAAGAATGCGGAGTTTGTCATGCTCGGCCAGCATGACTCTCGAGTTTGTCATGCGCTTTAGCCAAACATTAACATCGCAGTTTTTTGTCATGCGGAAAGGCAGTTTGCCATGCAGAACAGGCAACATCCGGCAGCTGAAAAACTTGTCTTCATGCGTGGCCACCAATTGAGACGTTCTCAAGATTGTCCAACCCGCATTACAAGTTTCCAGACGTCCAGGGATATTTGCATTTGATAGATCGGAGGGAGAGGACGTTGGGGAAGAACATCAAGCGGCTAGTGGGATGAACCAAACCACAGGAGGACGAGCGCCTCAAGATCATCACTCGGGGGAAGTAGAAGATGTTGTCAGCGCTGTCTCTAATTCATCTACCTCGGGAGGAGTAGGTGGGCAACGATCGGTCAGGAAGCATCATTTGAAAAAGACCTCCTCGAACAAAAAGACCTCAAATGCGGACCACAAGACCACCTTCGCACAACCTTTGAAATCTCCCATGTCAAACGCAACCACGGCGGTCCCCTCGACGCCCATGGGTTTTTTCATGGATATGTGGAACAACTCGCCTCTGTCGCAAGTCGGCTCGCCTTTTGGAGCTACGCGTAAGAACACTCCGGTAGGCAAAGAAACATTAGGTACTACAACAACGGAGAACAAGTTCTTGGTGGGTGAAGAAGCGCAGATGAACAAGGAGCATCGGCTGAAAGCGCTAGCGGCTTTTTGTCGCACGCGAGAGGAGCCCGCCTCTCGGGGTGAAGGTGCTACTGGAACAAGTAGTGGAGGTGTCGGTGGAAAAAGTAGCGCTGCAGCAGCGAGGAGTGGAAGTAGCTCTACTAGACGTCATGAGGACGAGGACCGGCATGAACATTTGGAAGTCGTCTCGCCCTGGGACGAAGTAGAAGGGATTGGAAAAGACAACAAAGCTGCTCGAAAATTACATCGTCAGCGGCAACGAGCTGCCGGGCCCGCGAGTCTGTTCTATCGGGCAGCGCGGAGAACGGGGCTGCAGCTGGGGACGGGGCCGGTTATCATTTGTAAAAACGTCGTTCCCACCCCATAGTCAAGTTGGCAATTCTGCAACACAAATGTCCAAGTTTTGGGAGTTGTGCATTACAAATTTCCATCTGCAGTGTAGTGCTGGTTAGGAAGGGCAGCCGCATGAGAAACCGCGCCTCTCATCCTGTTTACAGCATTACAAACTCCAAAACACGATGGAAAACGCCTCCCATGGAGATGCGCATTACAAATGTTCCTGTCACTGCGCATTTGCATGACAACTCCAGGGTGGGGACGTTTTTACTCAGGATACCGGGGGTCACGGACTCCTCGGACGGGACATCGTCATCGTCGGAGGACACAATCTCCGATAGTGAGACGGAGCAATATCAATTGCAAAAGTGTCTGGGTCTGGAAGGTTGGAACTTGTGATGCTAGCTTTGGACTCTAAAAAAATCTGTATTGCATGACCAGCAAGAGGAGTCTAGTTTTTGCTACGCGCAGAGGGCACTTGTCATGCGGAATAGGCATCAGGAAGCCCTCTAAAAATCTGTGATGCTAGGTCATGCATTACAGACATCTTGGGTCATGTAAAGTATGCATGACAAACCCGGCAACATTCCAGACCCAGACATTTTTACATTTGATAAACAAAGCAGAAAGATGATTGCTGCCTACGAGGGGAGGGATGAGGAGGAGGTTTTTCCTCCACCCGACGGCGCTAGGAACAAGAGGAATTACGCAGCAATTACTTCTGCAGCGTCGATTGCAAAAACGCAGCATGACAAAGCAGCGGCAACTTCTACCATGGCACTCGAGCATGACAAAACGCCGGCGGCGCATGACGACGAGAGGAACATCGGCGGAAGTGATTCTGATGCGGAGGACGAACCACCGGTGGGCCGCGTGGTTACTACAAAGGCGGGAAGCGACGACGATAAAGATGATGACAATGACAAAGACAGCACCCGTTCGAAGGTGTCCAAAGGAAATAAATCCTCCGCATTTTCAACATCATCCCCCTCTTATGCAATGCAAAAGCATCGCACTCGTATAACTGCATGACAAATTTCCTCAGCATGAGAAATAAAATTTGTCATGCGGATTTACCTTAAGAAAAAAACTTGCAATGCATGACTGCAATTACTAGGAGTACGATACTTTTGCACAGGATACCTCTTCCGACAGCAGCGTCGAGGAAGTTGAGGACGACGAGGACGATATCATTTGCAAAAACGTCCTCACCCCATAGTTGTCATGCAATTCTGCATGCCAAAAAGGTTTCTCATGCGGAGCCCTATGAGAAGCATTTTCTGTTCGTGTTTTGGCATTTGAGATGCTAGAATCAGCATGCTATGCTAGATCTGTGATGCTTCTGAACTAGCTAAACAGGATCACGCTACGAGGACAACCTTGTCATGCCAAGCAACCAAAGGTGTTTGATTTGTCTAGCCGAGTCCCCATCTTGACTATGGGGTGGGCACGTTTTTACTCACGATAGACGAGGAACTTCGTGCGAAAAAACAAGCGTTCATCGAGAAAATCCTGCGGGAAAAGCAGCCCTTCAACCAACGGCTCGGGTCTTTATCCTATGCAAAAGTATCGTATTCGTATTGCAATCATGCATTACAAATTTTTTCTTGAAGCAAATCTGCATTACAAATTTTATTTGTCATGCTGAGGAAATTTGTAATGCATTTATACGAATGCGATACTTTTGCACAGGATAGTCTTTAGCATCCGACAACGTGGCGTCCCGCGTGTTGGGAAAGGTGGGGCGGAAGTGCGCGAGAAGAATCAAAACCGTATCAAAGTGAAAAAAGCCCCCACCCCATAGAAGAAAGGGAATTTCTGTTGCTGGATTTCTGTACACAAATCACCGCTGTATTGCAGAAGGCGCTTGGAGGCACTTCCTAAGGTTGATTGGGTATGCAAAAGGCTAGCGGTTAGGCATGGCAGACACCTTTGCAGTATGCAAACGCGCATCACAGATTGGCTGTGGAATGCGCCAAACGGTTCCCAATTGCCTCATATGCATAGACAGAGCGGATTTGCGGTCACAAATCAGCGTCACAAATTTCCTTGTCGATATGGGGAGGGGGAATTTTTCCTCACAATGAACCGGGCTTCACAACTACGGCTGGTACCTCTCGCTCGCCTACGTGGCGGTCTTGCACACCGCGTTTGTCAACATGCCGAACGAGTTGGGAGAGGGAGGAAAGGGAAACCAGGATCACTTACCGCTGTTCCGCGAGTACGACTTTGGGGAAGTTCATCGTCATCATGGAACATCGACATATGGAGCATCAACATCCACGCATGATCATGATCGTACCTCCGCGCACGAAGATTTTTACCGTCGTGAAGATCCCTCCATTCATTGGACCGGCACCCCGTGGGTGATGTCCGAGCGAGAGGAAGAGCCCGCTTTGTCTTCCTTCAGCTTCTTGCCCGGGGGTTCTTGGGGGAGCAGTTTTGATGAAGATGCAAGGGTACAACTAGAGCAGGATAGTGATTTATTATCCACCAGCACCAGCACCCGGTTTAAAAATGTTTTCAAAGATCCACCAGCGCCGTCGGCTACTCTTGGGCGGTATGAAGAACAAACGTACCTGCCACTCCCGTTGGAGGACATGCTGGCAAACCCTCACCTCCAGCGCATCCTCGCAAGGATGCAGGGCCGGAACTTGCTGTTCCCGCTGACAGGAGCGTTACGAGGTGAAGAAAAGGAGCATGGAACAACTACAGCAGGATCACCAGCAGCTGCTTCCTCGACGACCTCCGCATCACAAAGAACTACTACTCCCGAGCTGCTGCGCCCGGCTGTTGGTCCTGCGCCGCATCATATCCCACGAAAGAACAGTTTCACTGTGGTGATTTTGGGAGATCTGCATCACAAGTTTGTTACACATGACACGGAGAATTTGCCATGCGCGCTTTCCAAGGGAAAACACGCTTGAAACTCCGATGTCTTGCAGGTGTAGCAAGACAAACACTTTGGTGCTTCGTTCTCTGCATCACAAGTTCACAGTGAAACAGTTTGCTCTTGCGATACATCAGGTAGATCTTTCCAACGTGAAACTGCAGCCGCTGAATTTCCGACGGATGGTATCCTTTGTAAAACGTCTCCACGACCCCATAGTCAAGTTGGGAATCTAGCAACACAAACCTCCAAGTTTTATTGGGAGCAGTGCATGACAAGTTTCCCTCTGCAGTGTAGTGCTAGTTGGCAAGGGAAGCCGCATGAGAAAGCCATTTTCTCATCCTGTTTACAGCATTACAAATGGGAAAACATGTTTGGAAATGCAAATGCCTCTTATGGAGCTGCGCATCACAAACGTTCTTGTCATTGCACAACTGCATGACAGCTCTGGGGTGGGGACGTTTTTACTCAGGATAGATGGACGGCGTCGTGGAGCCTGGCCGACTAGGTGGAGAAGTTGTAGACCACCACGAGGCCGATGGCGAAGAAGGTCCTGAACAAGAACCACCGTACAAGCCGTATGAGATCTGTTGCGGGGACCCCTTTCCCCACGAGATTCCGTATGACTACGAGACTTTGTTCGATGATTCGGTATCCTGTGTAAAAACGTCCCCACACCAGAGTCAACATGGGAAATCTGCTAGACAAATCACACAGCTTTGGTTGTTTGGCATGACAAATTTCGACGCGTAGTGTAGTGCTGTTTGAGCTAGTTTAGCAGCATTACAGATCTAGTATCTCATGCTGATTGGAGCATGACAAATTTCAAAACCGCATTAGAAAATGCTTCTCATGGGGCTCCGCATGAGAAACATTTTAAGCATGCAGAGTTGCATGACAACTATGGTGTGGGGACGTTTTTACACAGGATATTCGGAAAATGATGTTCATCTGCCACTGCCAGCAGCAGCCCCGGTTACGGCCCCAGCTTCGGAAGTCGTGGAACCTGGCCGACTAGGTAGAGAAGTTGTAGACCACCACGAGGCCGAAGAACGTCGTGAGCAAGAACCACCGTACAAGCCGTATGAGTATCAAATGCAAATATGTCTGGGGCTGGAAGAAATCAGACATTTGTCATGCATTTTTTACATCTACTTCAACTTTTACAAAAAGGTCTGGAATGCACACAGAGCATGACAAACTCTGTGGCAGCTTCTCCAACATGCCTATTTCGCATTAGAGATGCTCTCTTCTGGAGGAAAAAATCGGTTACCTTTTGCTGCCTACGCAATACAGATTTTTTCCTGTTCCAGAACCCGCATCACAAGTTTGCAACTTTCCAGACCCAGATATATTTGCAAGGGATAATGAGATCTGCTGCGGGGACCCCTTTCCCCACGAGATTCCGTTTGACTACGAGACTTTGTTCGATGATTTGGTATCGTAAGGAAAAATCCCCCCTCCCCATATTGAAAAGGTATGTTGCCGAAAATTTGTGTTGCTGATTTGAGGTCACAAATCGTCTCTGTGTTGCATGAAGGCAACTCCACAAGCTCCGCCGCATTCTACAGGCGGTTTGTCATGCTGTTTTAGCTACAGCGTAGACGTCTGCCATGCTAAGCGCCTAGGCCAAAACCTGTCCACTCAGGCTGAGTATGGGCCTGCAGTCCTCGCCAGCAAGACAAATCTGATTCGTGTACGCAAATCCAGCATCAGAGACTTCGTTTTGATATGGGGAGGGGGGATCTTTCCTTTTGATATTTGGAAAGTGATGTTCAACTGCCACTGCCAGCAGCAGCCCCGGTTACGGCCCCAGCTTCGGAAGGAAAGAAGCAGGAAGTTGTTGTTTCCAATGTAGTTGACCAGCCTGTTTGGAGTATTAACACCAAGTCCATCCAACTGCGGCCGGTCAATTTTTCCAAGCCCGTGTCAAAGATAAAGAACCCGTTCTTGATGGAGACCGGCCGTCGTAGTACAACAGATCAAAATCTCGCCGTCGACCAGGCGAGGAATTCTGAGCAGGACTACGAAAATTTCTTTTGGTCCGATGTACACTGGTATCAAATGTAAAAATGTCTCCATCTGGAAGAATGCAACTTGTCATGCTAAATCTGAAGCATGCAACAATCTGTGTTGCATACTTGCCAAAAGTGGTCGTCCAGGTTTGACCAAGTCGGGAGGGGGTTTCTCATGCAGGATAGGCATGAGAGAGACCGCGCAGAATCTGTCATGCTAGGTCGTGCATTCCAGACCACATGGGTCATGGAACAGCTGCATGACAAATCGCGCATCCTTCCAGACCCAGACATTTTTGCATTTGATAACTGGTTCCGGAAGTTGGGGAAAGAACGGGTGCAGGAGTCTACTTCCGAAGGCATGCTTCTGCAACTTGGCGGGACAGTATGACAGTGCACAACTCCCCCTTCCCCCCATTTGTATAGCATGAACGGCAATACAAGCATCCCCAAGAACGCCGTTTCTGCATGACAGATTTATACTGGAGTGTAGTGCTATTTGGGCTACCAGAACTTTTCATGCAAACAGTGCCATGAGGAACAGACTGGATTTGGGGTTTTGCATGACAAATAAGGGGGAGGGGCGGGAGTTGTGCACTTTCATAGACGAGTACGCGAGCAGATGGAACACCTCGTTCCTCCACGGGATTTCCACTGGACGGGGACCTCGAGATGGACCAGTCTCGGAGGTCGAAGTTGAAGTTGGGTCCTCGTCTGGCCCTGCGGATGCACCAGTGGGCAACCGGGGAGATTGGGAAAATCGTGGAATGGTAGAATTTATAATAACTTCCAATAAAAAGAAGTCGTACGTGTATAGGTCGTCGTTCTTGGTGCCAAATTTTTTTTTCCGTGCCATGCCGTTTCCGCTAGTAGTGCAGCTATGTAGAAGTTGTTTATGGTGTACTAGTTGTACCAGTTATGGCTTTCTTTGCATCGAGGACTTCTATCTATGAAGAGTGGATCATTCCATTTGAAAATGAAACATCACATATAACAGGTGGGAAAGCCGTTTGCTTCCGAGCATTTCAAGAACATCTTCCACAGCGAAATGGAAATCCTCTGCCAGCAGCAGCCGCGTCGGTACTACAACTACTCCGCATGAACTGCAGCGACAAACCCGCGTGAGGAATATCCTCGCCTTCCAAGCGGACCCCGGTTTGCAGCAGTTAAAGCGGTTGGTCAACGCCGCTCGGACGCAGCTTTTTGTTTTACGGTTGTACCACGAAGATGAAGATTTTCTCTTTTCCAAGCTGCAGCAGGTTTTGGCGGACTTTGAAGACCAGTTGAAGATGTTGAATTATGACGAACATCATGAAGATCTTGTTGACGGCGCACACACAGCTTCTCGTGATTTTTTATCCCTATCAGTGTTGCAATCCCGGCTCTCGCTTGCGATGATCTCCATCGACGAAGTTGCGGCGGATGTGCAGTTTTTGAGGTTGTATGCATTGCAAAAGTATCGCACTCGTAGTAATTGCAGTGTATGCATGACAAAATCTGCTTTCTAAGGTAAAACTGCATGACAAATGTAATTTATCATGCTGAGCAAATAATTTGTATTTGTAATGCAATTCATACTAGTACGATGCTTTTGCAATGCATAGACTGTGGCTGTTACCCAACATAATTGTCGCGGACGGCGAAGGACAAATGACTTCTCACGGAAGTAAAGCTACCGCTGCCCTTGTTCAAGAGCGGGCAGAGGAAGAGCAGCCGCGTGGTCAGCAACCGCGAGACGAAATAAACTCGACGCGGATGATGTTGAAACCGGCGGGACCGCGGGAGCGTCGTGGCGCTCTTTTCCGCCATTGGCGGAACGTCAATTTTTCCGCCTTTTTAGACGCGGCGACATCTAGAAGTAGTACCTCTCCATCTTCCTCTGCTGCTGGTTCTGATGATGCGCCGCCGGGTAGGAGTGGTACTAATATCCATTCGCCGGCGTGGTCACGACCGCAGGAGAAGAAAGCCGGTTCTGGAGCGCCACCACTGGATGAACATCCAGCACGTTTTACTCACGAAAAGATTTACCCCAGTACCCGCGCATCTCTCCTCGACGATCTGAATGCGAATTCAGACCTCTCGTCGACGGCGTCGCAGTGCTTCCCGAATTGTTCGAAGAACGAGGCCCCGAGGAAGTATCAGGCGGAGGGGGAAACAACAGAAACTACCTCCGCGCAGGACTTCTACAGTACTTTATTCGGAAAGAAGAAAAACAAACATCGAGATGGCGATGATGATGAAGTCTGCAGTTCTTTTCATATACCGAGCAGCAGTAGCTTTGCTACGACCGCGGCGGGAAGTAGTATTCTTAATACTGGTGGCCGCGTCCAGAACTACTTCTACCTGGAAGAGGATTCAATCGCTCGGTTCGTCAGCAATCTGTGGCGGCTCAACCGCAGCGACGGAGAAAGAGCACGAGCCACACGTCGACCAGGAGGAGCCGATGATAGTACTACAACTGTAGTGGACGAAGAGGAAGATGACGATAAGGTGTGTCGGGACCACGACGAGGATATTTTCAGCGGCAAGGACAGCCTGATGTCGTGCAGTTCATTCGACGAGGTAGACCACTACAACCACGACGAGGATGGCGACGAGGATCTTCGATTGGAAACGGCTTTTCGCTTGTTCCTAGATTCCATGTCGGCTACAGATGAAAGAACGGGTGCAGCAGAACTACTAGAGACCGGAAAAATAATTGCAGCGGGGTTTGATGCAGCTGAAGATCAAGACAGAGCTATCCTGAGTAAAAACGTCCCCACACCAGAGTCAGGATGGGGATTTTGCAACACAAACCTAGCAGGAGTTTTAGGAGTAACGCATGACAAGTTTCAGTCCGTAAGGTAGTGCAAGTTAGCAAGGAAAGCCGCATCACAAATTGACCTTCTCATCCTGTTTACAGCATTACAAGGTCCCAAACACGATTGGAAATGGCTCTCATGCGGATGCGCATCACAAACGTCCCTGTCATGGCAAATCTGCATGCCAACTATGGGGTGGGGACGTTTTTACTCAGGATAAGAGCGGAAGATTCCTTTTCCTATTTCCAGATGCCCGAAGACCAGGTTCTCAAGCTGACAAGCAATCTACAGCAGCTGAATCTGTCCACTACGTCATCTACAACTTCGGCGAATCTTCAGAAAGCCGAAGATGTAGTGTCGTCAGTGAGTGCAGCAGCTGCGGATAAAAAATCGAATTTCCCCAACTTGGTGCAGCCAACAGTATCGACTGGCGGCGGCAATGGAGCAAATCGCAGGCCGCTTCTAGGAGGCCTGCAAAGTCGTGGACCACTACAGGGAAAAATAAATTACGGCATCACAGTGGCCGCCCCGCAGACCACCTCGCTTTATAATCGTGCTGCAGGTCGTCCACTCTTTGCTGGCGGCGAGACGAGCCAGATGACGCAGAATCCGTTTTTTGTCAGGCCGACAGCACTGCAAGGACCACACTTCAGGTGGACGAGCGCGGAAACAACTTCGCCTGTTAAGATCAGCCGGGAGCAGGACGAGGCTTTGTCCACAATGCGCAGGACATCTTTATTTCCGGAAGAAGAGCAGCTGGTGCAAGAGGAACCACCAGTATTAGAGGTGGAGCAACAAGACGAAAATCCCTTCTTGCGGAAAGGAAAACGCGACGCGGAGATGAAACAGGAGGCAGCACGGAAAAAACATGAAGTTCAGAAAACTGAACATGAGCGCGACCTGCTTGTTTCTGGTTCTGCAGTGACTATTAAACCTAATGCAAACAGCACTGCCGCTCCATCTCCAAGTCCTCTCATAGGTTTTGATCCGGAAAGCTGCACGACCGTCAGCATGATAAAAGCCACCGAACACGGCATGACAAAACTCGTGCCTTTTCGCGGGGGTTGCAGACCGTACGGGTGGAGAGAACAAGAACAGCTGCAGGGGGACAGCGCAGCTGCGGCTACGGGTGTGAAAGAACAAAAACCTTCTCCTTCGGAGGGAATTCATACCGCTGGTGGTGATACCAGTAGAACTACGAAAGATCACAATGAGCAGAAGAGGGACAAGTCCCTGCAGGGTGCAAAGAAATTCGCTTCTTCAGCTGTGGCTCCTCCTCCGGCCCCAAGTCACAAAGTCTGGAATTACCTGGATGCGCCCCACAGCGCTCACCACCGGCTTTTTACCGAGAAAACTTCTGATGCTGATCAGCAGGGAAAAGCAACAGGTGCAGGTCAGCAGCAGGAACAAAAAGATGACATCAAAGTAGAGACGGCGTTTTTACCACTTCCCGGCGTCGTATCTCCGTCTTATCCTGTGCAAAAGTATCGTACTCGTACTAATTGCTGATAGGCATGACAAATCTAGTTTCTTACCTGAATCAGCATGACAAATCCCACTTTTCTTCTTGAGAAAATTTGTCATGCGATTTATGCTAGTCCGATACTTTTGCAATGCATAAGTCACAGCAGTTGTCAATTGTCGGCACCGGAACCAGCAGTGTGTTGACCGGAGGAGATCCGACGGGGTCCACTGCCTCCGTGATGCGGAAGACGCTTATGAAATGCAAATATGTCTGGGTCTGGAAGGATGCAAACTTGTCATGCTGTCTTTGGATTCCAAAAAGATCTGTATTGCATGACCAGCAACAGGAGGCCAGATTGTGCTGCGCGGAGAGGGCATTTGTCATGCGGACTAGGCATCAGGAGGCCTTCCAAAAATCTGTGATGCTAAGTCATGCACTACAGGCATCATGGGCCATGCAAAATATGCATGACAGACCTGGCAATCTTCCAGACCCAGACATTTTTGCATTTGATAACGCTTCTGGACCAGCGATCTTCCACTGATGGTCCTCCCGCCATTTATAATTCCCAGATCCAGCCTCTAGAAGCACAACTCGCGCAGCACCCGCAGCAGCAGCAGCAGCTCTCCGTCGTAGGGGCGGGCAAGTTTCGTTCGGAGAAAACAACCCCTTCGGAGAAAACGTCCTCTGCCTCGACGACGCAACCAGTTTCTCCTCCGTACTACAATCTACGGGAGGACTCGGGGAAGGAAGATCGGGTACAGCAGGAGAATATGCATTGCAAATATTTCTGGGTCTGGAAGGGTGTGAACTTGTGATGCGCATTTCACAAGACACACAAATCTCTCATGCGTAGGCGGCAAAAGATGCCCATTTACTGCCACCAAAGTGGGGGATTTGTCATGCGGATGAGGCATTGCGGAATCTTCTCCAAATCTGTGATGCTAGGGCTTCCATGCTAGAGCTTCTGTGTCATGCAAAAACAGCACGACTTCTTCCAGACCCAGACATATTTGCATTTCATGGAGAAGATTGCGTTTGCAGAACGGCCGGTCGTGCGGGGGCAGGAGGGGCGGCTGCTGCAAAATGTACTAAACTCGGTAGAAGATGACATGTTAGGAACGAGATCAGTGCGTGATTTGAACCTGGTGCCGGGACAAAATGTTTCCACCTTTGCTGCTGGGGGCCTGTCTGTACTGATTTTTTATCATGCAGGATTGATATGATCATGATGCTACCGAAATCAAGAATGTTATTCAATCAAACGATGCGTTGGTCTTGGTTGCAAGTGCAATAGGAAGCCTACGACGATCTTCGTACAGCAACCCTATTGTTCCGCCGAGAATAACGATAAAACCAAAATCTATCAGGCACCGTCCTCCTCCTCCGCCCTTCAGAACCCTGAGCGGGCGTTTCTCAACCTGACCAAAGACATGCCTCTCGAGGATGTCGAGGGTCTCTTTCATCCCCGAGGTCCTGCCGACCAACGCGTCCAAGGTGAACATGATTCGCAGGCGTTTGTTAATTCTAACGGGGACAACTCGCCGAGGAAAAACTCTATGCCAGCAGAGCCGGAAAGTACTTCTAGGACTGCTGGTCGTCCAAAGGACCCGGAAGTTGTACCGCAGAACCCCAGCGCACCGAAAGACCCGGAGCCACCAAAGAACTTCTACCCGAGTAGTTCTTCGCCTACAGGGCCAAAGTTTGAAATTTATTCAGGAGGGGGCCAGACAAATAAACTACCAGTATATGATCATCATCCGAGTCCGCCAACGACCCCGCACTTTCGCATGCCTGAAGTCGAGCCGCCTCTGTTGCAACAGGTCAAGAATAAACCGGGCACATCACCAACACCAAACACGAAAAAGCCACTCCATGCAGCACGGGTACAGCCAACGCCGGAAGAGATCAAGCGGCGATCTGGGATATCAAATGCAAGAATGTCATCCGGGTCTGCAAAAGTGGAACTTGTCATGGTAAATCAGAATCGTGCAAAAATCTGTGTTGCATGATGAGCAAAAGCTGTCCCCTTTCTACCAACTTAAGAAGCAGTCTCTGATGCAGGATAGGCATGATGGAGACCTCACAGAATCTGTCATGCTAGGATCATCATTCCAAACCTCATTGGCCATTCAAAATGTTCATGACAAGTCTTGCAGTCTTCCAGACCCAGACAGTTTTGCATTTGATATGGGAAGGTGAAGGACCAACTTGCGCGGGAGTTGCTAGAGCTATCAAATGCAAAAATGTCTGGGTCTGGAAAGTTCTGATGCATGTTAGTGAATAGTAGGTACATCACTGTAATGCGCCGCCAAGCATGACAGATTTTTCCGTGGCTTTGTGTTGCTTATTCCGCATGAGAAACAGCGTTTTTGCATGACAGACCAGAGGACCTCTTGCTGGCCATGCAATACAGCGCTCAGTGTCATGCCAGACGAGCATGACAAATCTCGCACTCGTCCAGACCCAGACATATTTGCAATCCACAAGAGCTGAATCTGGATACTACAACAACTTCGACCAACATCAAGGACAAGGCCGCACGTCAGGAGGCAGAGGTTCTTGTAGACAAACAGACTCGACGAGAACAGCAGGACAAACAACGGGAGTATTATGAGAGAACGCGCGCTCAGCGACCGGTAATGCGGCAAAGCGAAACGGTGAAGGAATTGCAGGAGTTGTTTCCGATGAACGAGGTTGGCGCTAGGCGAGAAGAGATCCTGCAGCAAACCCTTGACCAAGCACTGGAATCCCGGTTGTTGGTGGAGGACAAGGCGACGCAGGATTTGTACCTGCGCAGACCGTATCAAATGCAAAGAGGTCTGGGTCTGGAAGAACGAAAGCTTGTCATGCTTGTCTCACATGATGACTCTGAGCTCTGTGGTGCGCCGTGAGCAGGAAGAGAGCCTCTTGCACGTTATGCAAAAACGCAAAAACGCAGCTTGCCACAGCCACACGGCAAGCGAAACACAGAGGAACTCAAAAGCGCGTCATGCGTGGCTGTGTATAATTGCAGTGCGCCCACCATTCGAAAACTGGGCATCACAAGTCCCCAGACCCAGGCGCTTTTGCAATGCATAGGCCGGCGGAGTTGACTGCGCTGCTGACGCCGGCGCAATTGCGGGCTGGTGTACAAGAAGGCTCCAAAGCCTCTGCAGCTTTTTACACCGAGGCCCGGGCGGCGCGACCAAAGGACCAACATGATGAACCGCCGCGAACAGGAGCGACAAGACGAGGACAACCAACTCGTGGTGGACCTAGCGGAGAGGTCGCGCCGTCGACCAGCAGTCGTTTGATCTACGCCGTGCGCAGTCACCCATATCAACTGTAAAAATGTCTGGGTCTGGAAGAATTCATGTTTGTCATGCTTGTCTGGCATGACTCTTAAATCTGTCATGCACGTTACCCAAGAGCTCCGTTTTTCTGTGATGCAGAAGGGCAGTTTGTCATGCAGAATAGGCAACACCTAGGAGCTCAGAAACTTGTCATGCTGAGCCAGCATTTGTAGCCTCATCATGAGACGCCAACCAGCATCACAAGTTTCCAGACCCAGACATTTTTACATTTGATAACCCAGTGCCGCCGACAATTGAAATTCCAGAGCCGGTGATTGTTACGACTGCGCCGAGCAGTAGTTCTACTCGGGAACATATCAAAAGGAAAAATCCCCCCTCCCCATATCAAAACGGAAATCTGTGATGCAGATTTGTAGTCACAAATCAGCTTTGTCATGCTAGAAGGGAAAAGATACGGACTGTAGTGCTGGGTTGCGTGGGAAAGCCTTGCATCTTCAGCATTACAGGAGGCAGCTGGAAGTGGGAAACAGCATGACAAATTGCCTGCAAACGAGGCCACAACTGCGGCTCTTGGCCTTCTAGCAATGCAATTCGATGTGTGTACTCAAATACAACATCACAGATTTCGTTTTCGATATGGGGGGATCTTTCCTTTTCATAGAACAAGCCCTCGGCGGAACCAGGACCAAAGAAGGAGAGGCAAAGTCAAGCGGGCTGCCTGCGTCGAGAAGGGCTGCGTCAACATCCTTCAAAGCTGATCAAATGGCCCACGAAGACGAGCGCGTTGCCTCCGCTTCTGGCGACGTTGATTTCTACCTGAATCGCATCACGAACAACTACCGGCTACCGCCGAAAAACAAAGGAGCATCTGCGACAATTTCTGGGGAAAAAAAGGCCGGGAAAACTGCAGCTGCGGGCGCGCGGGGGCCGGAAACTACTAGGCCTGATCTCTACAACGACGGGTCCAGCACAGCTGGCCGCCTACATATGAACAAGGCCACGGTATAAGTAGATTAGATAGTTGATGACTTACATCAAATGTCCTGAGAACCACGTTTCAGTTTCATCTGTAGTGACAGTAGGAAATTTTTTATAAGCATCAAGTTCTTTGTCTTTGTGGTCATGCTTTGCCTTTGTTGTTCTTAAATAAGGCATCTGCATCAATGAGAATGACAAAAAAATAACTCCTGTCTTGTGAACTTGAACATCAGCAAGAATCATATGCCGGATCGTCTTCACAAACGCGGCTCCAAAATGACCAGGTGGCTGCGTCGCGATCCACTACCAACCCGGCAGCTGTTTTGCTCCAAACTGCGGCGACGAAAGCGGGTACCGGTACACAACAGCACGGAGTAAGAACTTTTTCCGATGGAGGCGCCACCGGTCAGCGGCAGGTCCGGCAAGATGAGAAGCCGCGGGAACTCCAGCAAAAGGACGAAATTGACGCCCTGCTCGCGCTATCAAATGTAAAAATGTCTGGGTCTGGAAGAGTGAGCGATTAATATTTACATTGCTTGACTTCCGGGTTCTGGTAACGCATACCCCCGGCGACAGATGACGTTGACAGGTGACCTCGACAGGTGACCTCGACAGGTGACCGTGACAGGTGACCAGCACAGGTGGGCACGACAGGTGGCTGCGACAGGTGGCCGCGACAGGTGAAGGCCCTTTCGCGCACTAAGCCACTATGCGCGCCGCGCCTAGTGTGAGGCGAGGGGCGGACGCTGTCCGCCCCGATGCCGAACACCCTTCCCCCACTAGTGCCTCGCGCACTAAGCCACTATACGCGCGCCTGGTGTGAGGCGAGGGGCGGACGCTGTCCGCCCCGATGCCGAACACCCTTCCCCCACTAGTGCTTCGCGCACTAAGCCACTATGCGCGCGCCTGGTGTGAGGCGAGGGGCGGACGCTGTCCGCCCCGATGCCGAACACCCTTCCCCCACTAGCGCCACTAGGGATGGGCACAAGGCCCCAGCGTGGGGACCCTGTCCCCACGCGTGGAACTTGTTTGTCATGCAGCTTTTTCATGACCCATGAGGTCTGGAATGCAGGACATAGCATGACAGATTCTGTGCGATCTCTCTCATGCCTATCCTGCATGAGAAAGCCCCTCCCGACTTGGTCAAAACTGGACGACTTTTGGTAATCATGCAACACAGATTTTTGCATACTTCAGATGTAGCATGACAGGTTGCATTCTTCCAGACCCAGACATTTTTACACTTGATACGCGCGTCACGAGGAGGTCAAGAAGGTTTTGCTTGCGAGCGAAGAAGATTTTGCGACTTCTGCCGGGGCTGCTGCTGCTGATGCTGCTGACGCGGCGATGCCCCATTTCCAGAACGGCCAAGGCGGTGCTAGTAGGGCCGAAGAAGTGGAACAACTCCGATCGTCTAGTTCGAGGAAACAGGTACAGGAACAGCTCGCTTCCGAGCTGGATCAGTTTTTCTTGCAGCACCCGGAACACAGAAACACTCTGCCGATTTCTAGTACATACGAACAAGACGGGAGAACGAGCTCCAAGGCACAGCAGAAGAGTAAACCGGTTACTGTGCCGGAAAAGTTTCCCGACTTCGACCTCGACAGAACTGGGCTAGATGGCCTGGATCAGGTATCCCGTGTAAAAACGTCCCCACCCCCCAGTTGTTATGCAGAATTGCAATGAGAAGAACATTTGTGATGCGCATCCCCATAATAGGAATTTGCTATCGTGTTTTGGAATTTGTAATGCTGTAAACAGGATATGCAGCTGGATTTGTAATGCGGCTGTTCTTGCCAACCAGCACTTGCACTACGCTACGAACTGCAACTTCTCATGCGTGACTCCAAAAATTTCTCGGTTTGTGTTGCAAAGTCCCCAGCTTGATTCTGGGATGGCGATGTTTTTGCTCAGGATATCAGGATGACCGGTTTCAGTGATTCAGGGTTGACCCACCTCGACTTGTATGTAGTGGCACTTAACGTTAACAAGAGCACAACGGAAGTCGAAAATTTTGAAAACTTTTTTGTCGTTTAATTTATTCACCGCTTCAAAATATCGCCATGAACATGATAGATGATTTCACAGCCTGATGAAGTTCAACACAATTTTACTCCCGTCTTTTGAAGAGCGCATCAATCTCTGTCTGACGAAATTATTGCTATTGGCCACTTTGTTCAACATTGAATTTTGTTTTCCCGCCATATTATTTTTACGACAGGTACGTGCGTTCTTCTTCTTTCTCCTGTGCATACCGAATATATAAAGCTAGAGCAGATGAAGATGTTGAGCAAGATCTGATTCGTCACCACGAAAGATACAAAGACTTTTAAATATGTTGTATGTCAGACGATTTCGATTTCGATTTCGAAATCGAACTTCTATACCTCGCAGCTTGCCTGTGCCTACACAACATGTACATGGTGGTTCGACGAACGTGTCCTGTATCGAGGGGCTGGAACTACTATTAGGAGCGCAGCACTTTTTTGGCAGTTGATTTATTTGGGAATACAGAACAATGGTCACGGAAATTCTTATCTGGTGGTGGTGCGCATGCGTCCGAGGAGTGTGGGGAAGAACTACGAATATTGTTCTGTACAAATCATAGTGCCTGTAGTTGTTCTAGTTGGTTGAAGTGTAGCACAACCTTTGCTTGGTTTGTTTTGACATCTTAAGAGTGCAGTTGCTAGATCGAATTGTAAATCTCGTCCGGTGAAGATTTATAAATTCTGCAGTGGTTTTGCGTCGTCCACCTGGTTCTGCGTGGTCCATGTTAATTTTCGTTCGTTCTGATATCGTAATCGTTTCCGTTTCGTACAGGATGTCGATGTCAGCCTATGCCTATGGTGCTCCACCCATTCATACCGTGCTCAGCACTCCATCCGGATGAATGGTAAAACATCACAAGTTCTCCTGCGAGGAAAATGGCAGAAGTTCTTCAAAGTAGATCCAGAGTGGTAAAATGACAAAAGTGCTTGTTCCAGAATGATAAAAGAAGATCTTCAATCACCACAAGAGCCAAGACAAATCAGATAGATGAACGAAGATCAAGGTAAAACAATTTGTATGGGAGCTGCCGATGGCGCCTAATATGATCTGTCTGAACATGAATTCTCAATCGCCAATCATGTACTCCGCAGGCCTTGAGTCATACGAATCACGCATGACAAACACGATCACTCTCTTATACTTGTTGAAAAACTTTTACGTAAGAACGACTATATCGACATACAATTATAAGTGCCTTTGCTTTTGCAGTTGTACTCTACTTTGCGTTGCATAATTCTGGTGATAATAGAAGAGAGCGCTCAGTTGTACTATTCGTTCGTACTTTAAAGTTCGGAATATATATATCAAAATTCACGACAAGATTCATTGACGAAAAAAAACGAAAATTCACATCGCAACAACTACACCCAAACCTAAGGAGAAACAGTAGACGAAAAAATGTTTGCACCAAAGAACGAGAGTGGACTCGTCGTCACTATGGGCGGCAACTGTAGTCAAAAGTCTCGTCGTCCTAGCGCAGGTGCGATCGGATCGTTCTCCCCTGCTATGCGGGCAGCTGCCTTTGCTGCGGTTTGTGCGATGAATACTGCTAGTACCGTTTTGTGGGGCTTGGGAACAACGACCATGACCCAGCCGGTGGAAGCCGCCACGACGGGCACCACGGTCTCTGAAACAGCCTTAGAGGTTGTGGACGCCGATACTTATGGCCCGCTCATGTGTTCTTGCAATCTCACTCAACTTGTCTACTTGTGCAGTTAAGTTCTCTACATAAAAGCGGAATAAATTTGTGATGCAAGAGATCATGATGCGCGATCTGGATTACTCTTTCAGGAATGTTGTTGCGTATGACCACAGCTTCTGGAGTTGTCCCAAACCGAATTTATTTTCAGATGCAACGTCTTTCATATACTAATTTCGCTGGATTCAATTGGAATCCGCTTTCGGCGAAATATGGATTGCAATAAAGCGTCGTGTCTACTATCATGCCGAAGCCGAAATCATACCAGATAGAATCCAGAAGCCATGATATCTGCATACGCGTTTGATGAGATTGTAGAACTACCTGAGTAGGTTATATCACTGGAACTACCGCGCTACGCTTGCCAGGTCCGGGCTGGGCGGATTTGACTGCGTGGGACTTAGCCGCAAGTTTGGAGAAACCCGCACGCCAGGTGAAGTTTTATGATCCAGAGGGAGAGCAGCTATCCTGAGTAAAAACGTCCCCACACCAGAGTTGTACTGCAGATTTGCAAAGACGGGAAGACTTGTAATGCTCATCCCCATGAGAGCCATTTCCAATCGTGTATTGGAATTTGTGATGCTGTGAACAGGATGAGCAGATGAATCTGTGATGCGGCTGCACTTGCTAACCTGCACTACGCTGCGGAGTGCAACTTGTCATGCGTGACTCCCAAAACTCCTAGGTGTGTGTTGCAAAATTTGTCGTGCGAAACAATCAAAGCTGGTTGATTTGTCTAGCAGATTTCCCATCTTGACTAGGGGACTTGTCAGATTTTGATCCGTAGGGGGTTTTCGTAAAAGATCCGTAGGGGTTTTCGTAAAAGAAAGTCAAATAGAGGTAAGATTCGGTGGATAGGTAAGTGAGAGTCGGTTATTCGTGTTAGGCCGTAGAAGGTTGCCACGTCGTTAGCGCAAGGTTTTGACTAGGTATGAAAACAAATAGCAACAAAATAAAAGCCACAACAAAGATACCAGCACCTCCCCGATGAAGGGGAGGTGTTTGCATAATGTGCCTTTCTCTCATTTCCAAAATCGTAGACTCTCTTTTTTTTCTGATTAGGGGGAAGTCCTTGCATGAGGTCCGAGTTAAGACACATATGCATAAGCTGTTCCAGGTCAAGGCAAAAGTCATGGATAAAAATGCAGAGGGAGCATAGGTGTTCTACTTGTATGACAGGTGATAGACCGCGTCTGCAGGTTTCGATTAACAAAAGACTCTGAATGCGTGGCACTAAGCCTTCATGCGGGTAACAACATCTGGAGAAGGATTTACATTTATGGAAAAGACTTCAGCTGCATTTTTAGAAGTGAAAATATGTATGGGCATTGGCTTGGAAGAGCAAATATGTATGCAAAAGCTCCACGTGTGAAATTCAAGAAGTGTCTTAACAACTAGAGGACGAGACTTCGCTTGGATATTGGGGCAAAAAAGAGAAGCAAGCGCGGAAAAGGCAATGAAAAGAAAAGAGGCGCCAGGTACGAATGGGTCTGCGACCTCCTTGCTATCGTGTTGCCGCACCATAGCGAGGTAAGTGTCAGACTCACGGAGCTAGCCTGTTTATCGGAGCAGCAGACCAAGACTGAAGGGCTGGACGGGAAAGGTATTGACGTTTGAGCGCTCTGCGCCTGAAACGTCACACATAGCAACAGAGATCAAACGGGCGCCACGATTACAAATTTCGCCGATGTTGCTATCTGGAGGCAAATCGCAGTCGCATCGCAACCCCGGGAGAAAATATCAAAGACAAAGATGAGAAAAGGGAAAGGCACGCAACTAGGTGAAGCGCACTTTTGTACATCTATTTCTCATCGAGTCCAGCAGAATGAGCCAAGGACACCGCCACCAATCCGTCAGCGGCCGCCCCAGGGTGGTAGGTGTCGACCAGACCGACGGCGATATATTCTGCTGGGTGTGGGATATAGATTGCCAAAAGAGGAGGGAAGTATGTCAAAATATGCATGAATTGAGTGTGACTCCCGGTAGGGAAGAGCACTAGTGAGCTTGAATTACCTCTAAGTATTTGAAACTACAGTTTGGCATGCAGAGGTAAGGCAAGCTTGCGCCACCGATCTATGGGAGGCCCGGATAATTATTGAAACTGGAAGTGAAGTTGTCATGCATGACTTTGTATTGACTTGTATGAAGAGCCTATGCACCGTGTAGGGCTAAGATTTGTATGAAAAAGAAATTTGTATGAACGCTTCCAGGTGCGATAATTTCTGGTAACATTCTAGCGGCAATAATAGTACCAGTCTGGGCCTCTGCAAGGAGGTAGGAAGACATACTCGAGGCAGGGCGCCAACCTCTTTGCGTGCTAGGGCCGAGGCCCCTTTTCCTTTTCTCCAAATTTTTTTTGCATGCGGGTAGCCGTGTATAGAGGCGAATCCCGATGATTTCCATCTCTACGTTTGTGTATGGTGCATAGGAGCTTGCTCCTTTTTTGTGCCGCGGTGTCGGAGGTTTTGCAGCATGCACGCACAAACAGTATTTTTGGAAGCGGAGGGGGGGTGCGGGACCCCCATCAAGTCGTCGCGGCGCGAAGCCGCAAATCCCTGGGCCACGTCTACCACCAGAAGTATTCCGCCCGGTGGGGCGCTCCACTGAAACTGAAACTGAATCCCCTCCCGCAGGCAAAAAAAAAAAAAAAATCCCCATCCTGACTCTGGTATAGGGACGTTTTTACTCAGGATAGCAGCTCCAATATGATCATCCTACTGGACGACTGCTGGACACGGGTGTGAAAGAACCCATTCCGTTTGATAGACGCCTGGGCGACTTATTGGGAAATAGAAAAAATCCGCAGTTGGAGATGGTGACGGTAGAAGAGCTATCAACTGTAAAAATGTCTGAGTCTGGATCTGGAAGCATTCATGTTTGTCATGCTTGTCTGGCATGACTCTTACAATTCTGTCACGCACGTTACCCAAGAGCTCCGCCTTTCTGTGATGCAGAGCCGCAGTTTGTCATGCAGAATAGGCAACACCTAGGAGCTCAGAAACATGTCATGCTGAGCCAGTATTCGTAGCCTCATCATGAGACGCCACCCGGCATCACAAGTTTCCAGACCCAGACATTTTTACTTTTGATAAGAGCCCATTTTTTTCGTTATCCAGCAGAAGGGCGAACGCCTCCCGCAGTATCGGATCATCGAGAAATGGCAGAGGAAAGTTTTGTATCAAGTGCAAAAATGTCTGGGTCTGGAAACTTGTGATGCTGGGTGGCGTATCGTGAGGAGGCCACAAGTGCTGGCTCAGCATGACAAGTTTCTGAGCTTCTAGGTGTTGCCTATTCTGCATGACAAACTGCGTGTCTGCATGACAGAAAAATGGCGCTCTTGGGTAACGTGCATGACAGATTTGAGAGTTATGCCAGACAAGCATGACAAACATGCACTCTTCCAGACCCAGACATTTTTACATTTGATATTTTGATGGATCTGGTCACGGGCCCTGAGCATTATCATGAGGCGCTGAATCACGCTCCGCACCTACTGGATTTCCGAAGATGTCAAATACTCCAAGAGCTGCCCGCGCAAGAAGAGGACACCCGCACTTTTGATTTCCTGCAGGTAGACGCGGACGCCGACCACGTCGCACGCAAGCCGACTCCTCTTCTTACCCTCAGCGAGTTCCTTGCTGGCGCACCTACATTTCGGGCTCAGGATGGAGTGAATATCAAATGCAAAAATGCCTGGGTCTGGAAGAATGCAACTTGTGATGCTGCGTTTGGATTCCAAAAAAATCTGTATTGCATGAGTACCAAAGGGAATGCAATTTTTGCTACGCTGAGAAGGCATTTGTCATGCGGAATAGGCATCAAGAAGCCCTCAAAAAATCTGTCTTGCTAGGGTATGGATCACAGACATCATGGCTCATGCAAAACGTGCGTGACAAGTGTCAGAATCTTCCAGACCCAGACATTTTTACAGTTGATAGTGAATTACTTCTGCTTAAAGCTGGTCCTGCCCTTGCAAAAACTGCACTCCGTAGCGGAGTGGGTGGAGGATCTGAAGAACTCGGGGGAAAATTTTTCCACACCAGAGGACAGGGAAAAGGCTCTGCTGAACCGTGTCCGGGACAGGGGAGGCTGGCCCGCTCTCATTCGCCGCTCTCATGCTTTGCGGGAGGACGATGGCTCTGGCACAGTAAAAAGCTTTTGGCTCGTGGAGGTCAAAACGCACACGCATCGGCTTCATGACGTGGCGCGAGAAGTATCAGCCTCTCTTCAAAAATCGTCTGGAGTGGTTCCATTGCAGGACCAGTACCTTTTCGAGCGTCCGGTCGACGCCCCGAACAGACTAGAAATTCTTAAGGCAACCATGAAGCTGGGTGCGCTCTGGACGGACAACGAAAGACACGACTACGATGTGCAATCTGGTTATGGAAGCGTCAGGTTCTTTGAAATCGCCAAAGTTGAAATAGTACTTTGTGATGGATAAAATGCATACGCGCGAAATAAGTACGTGTGTTGCAGAGCAGGCAAGGGAGGCCGATTGTAAGTCTGTTTGGGGTTACTTAGGGCTCGAGCTGCTAAAGTAGCATGAGAAATAAATCAGCCATCTTTGCCTAAACAGTCGATGACAAACTGGATTTAGGCATCACCAAAATTTGTCATGCGCCACTTGGAAACTGGGTTCCAACTGGCATCCATTTTATGCATGGCAAAGGATTTCAACTTTGACGATTTCGATCCTGACAGTTCCATACTGGTAAACGCCGGGGGCGGCGAACGCACGAGGGAGCGCACCTGCTCCGGATGCAGGCCGTGGCGGCCTACATATGGAATGTAAAAATGTCTGGGTCTGGAAGAATGCAACTTGTCATGCTGATTTTGGATTCTAAAAAAATCTGTATTGCATGAGCAGCAAAGAGAGTCCAAGTTTTGCTACACGGAGCGAGCATTTGTCATGCGGTAGAGGCATCAGGAAGCCCGCACAAAATCTGTGATGCTAGGGCATGCATCACAGACATCAGGAGTCATGCAAAATGTGCATCACAAACCTGGCAATCTTCCAGACCCAGACATTTTTACATTTGATACTACCTTGTTTTGGACCATCTCATCTCGGTATCACTTCCAAAATTTTCCCTACTTCCCCAGAACTTGGCAGCCTTAGTATTTAGTTGCTTTCAACATCTTGCATTGATTTGGATGCAGCACAAAGTTCAAGTTGCGACCCAGACGAGGAGCGAATAAAGTTTGTATATAATGCAAGAAGGCTCCTGCAAGAAGACAGTGGAAGTCGTCACGGCGTACGAGCTGCTTCAGCATTGCAGCTTTCCTAGAATGACAGACACTAGAAAAACAAATCAGAACTACGAGAAACAGTATTCGCAGTACAGTAAAGGAGTACTTTTTCGTGTAGTTCTTAGTACTCCTTGGTGACCACGAGGGTTGTTGAACCCTAGCTACTTAGCCGAAAGTAAGTAAGGAGACGAAAAAGTCCGCACTCGGAAAGCATGCAGACTTCTGCGGGTCGTTGGGGATTTTGCAGGTTGACATCACCCCTCGCCGGACGGGGAAGTTTATTCGCCTGAAGACAGCAAGAAGGCGATGCGCTGGCTCAAGGAGATCGGGTATGGATTGCAAAAATGTCTGGGTCTGGAAACTTGTGATGGTGGTTTGTGAATGGTTGACGCACTGCGATATGCAGCCACGCATGACAACTTTCTGAGCTCGTATGTGTTTCGCTTCCCGCATGACAAAGTGCATTTTTGCATGACACGTAAGAGGCTGCCTTCCTGCTCATGCATTACAGATTTAAGAGGCATGCGAGACTATGGGATGGTCTGACCGATTACGCTTTCAATAATTCAAAAAAATCTTTAGTAAGACAGCAAATAGCAACAATTAGCCGCCGAAGCCGCCCCCGCTGTTTCCGCGCCGTTTGTGACGTCTTTTGCCGCCGTCTTCAGAAGCCGTCGTATGCTGTTGTCAAATAAGTAGTTCTAAATGAGATCCCAATCTGAGCTAGCTAGTTTAGGCAATGCCGACTTTCTCATTGCCATGAGCAGCTTGAACCCACTCACCTAAGGTGTTTGGCCGCCCAGATCCACACGGCTTCCGAGGTTGACGGGCACGAACTTCGTCTGGAGCCCCGTGCGGATTGTGGGAATGTTGTCAAAAAATATTTTCATTTTTCAGCAATCACGATGGTGCGATGCGTTTTTTTCAACAATCAACGATACCATCGGGAATCCGTTTAGAGGACCCCTTTAGAAGACGTCTCCTAAAGGGGTCTTGTAAAACTCCAATCGCGATGCTATGGCGTGCATTTGTAGGGGTCTTTTGAGACCCCTCCAAAACCGTTTAGAAACCTCCGTTTGAATCGCGGAGATTCATTTTTGGGAAACAGCATCTGCATTGGTCGATTTTGCTAATGAAAAACAAAAAAAAAGCAACAGATATACCACTCACACGGGGCTCCGAGCAACGTTCCGGTGGAGCATCCAAGGTAGTCGGCAGCTTCGGATCGCAGGAGAGGAGAGAGCTGGCGGCACCTCAATGCAAATCTTCAAATAGCTACTTTCTAAGATGCATATTAGCTAGTTCAAATTGGGATCTCGTTTAGAACTACTTATTTATCACCTTCATAATCTGCCAAGTGGCGACGCGCGGAAGCTGTGGACAACGGAGCACCAAAACGGAGTCGATTCAGGATGGATATGTGCCTATTTGCTGTCTTAAAAAAGATTTTTTTGAATTATTGTTTCGTTAATCGGGCAGACCATCCCATAGAGACAAGCATGACAAACTTGCATTTTTCCAGACCCAGACATTTTTACATTTGATATCGGGGTGTATTGGCTCCACTTACAACGAGCGCGTGATGCTAACGCACCGGGCTTCGATATCGTGAGTAAAAACGTCCCCACCCCATAGTCAAGATGGGAAATCTGCTACACAAATCCCTGAGCTTTGGCTGTCGCGCATGACAAATTTGGGCTCGCAGTGTAGTCGTGTTTGGCTAGTGCAGCAGCATCACAGACCCCGTCTGTCATGCTGGTCCTTGCATGACAAGTCTCAAATCACCACTAGAAAACGCCTCTCATGGGTCTCCGCATGAGAAGCATTTTACACATGCAGATTTGCATTACAACTCTAGGGTGGGGACGTTTTTACACAGGATATTCGAACTAATGCTTTCGCTTGGACTCACCGACGAGTGGCAGACAAAGCTCCACGAAATGTGGAACGAGTACCAGAATCAGTTGGTGGAAAGATCGCGCGCGGAAAGACCAGAATCAGTTGGTCGAAAGACCAGAATCACTTGGTGGAAAGAGTACCCCCGGGGGCGCTCCGGCACTTGGTGGCAAGATCGGGCGCCCTCTCCTTTTTTCAGCATCAGCACCTGGAAGCATAGGGTGGCGGCAGCGTCAGCATCTGGTACAACTGGAGCAGCTGCGAGCGCCGCCTCTTCGACAGCTCCAGCCCCGCGGCCTTCGGCGTCAGCAGCTTCCAGACCACCTTCCAGATCATCTTCCAGATCACCTTCCAGAACGTCTTCCAGATCATCTTCCGCAAAAGGGGGCCGGAGAAATGTCCGCCAGGTACTATAGTCTGCAATGCAATTATCTGTAAATAAATCTGCGCTCCATGATCCTTGTTGTAGCGGTCGGGATTTTTACTGTGATAGAATCACTGCGGTCGTCGAGATCTGGGCCGTGAATGTTAAGTAGAGCCGTGTCGTGCCAGATGGATGCTAAGGAGAGAGTTCTTACGCCAGAAATTATACCTGCGAATGTAAAAATCCGCAAAAATAAAACTGGCCTACAGGTTGATGTACAGGAACAAAGGGGCGGACAAGGAAAAGGGGACCAGGGACGGGGAATAAAGGGTGAGGAAGGCAAAGGGCCTCCCTATCAAAAGGAAAATCATGGTGCCGGCGCAGCTGCGAGCGCCGCCCCTGCGACAGCTCCTTACCCTCCTCAGCCGGAACAAGATGAAGCAAATTATTTATGCCAAGAAAAAAGTGCTACAGTTACACACCCATTCGAAAAGTAGGCGAACGGCGACCGGGGCCTTCAGGTGGGACCTCCTTTGCCAGCCCGAACAGAACATAAGTCACACAGCCGCTGGCTAGTTCCATTCGTTCCAACTTTATCACAGAGCAGCACAATCAACGCAGTCTCTGACGCAGTCTCTGCCCTGGCGTCAACAAGAGTAAAAAATTTACTGCGGGGCAGAAAAAATTCGATGTCTACTTTTCGTGCAGTGTGTAACTGTAGCATTGTTTTTCTTTGATACCCTCTGGCAGGAGCTCCAGACTCTCCTCAACCGGCTGAAAGAACACCTACGGGGCAGTCGGATCATTCTCTGGGACCATTCCCCTTTGGGTTCCAACCCCCTCCTATCAACTGTAAAAATGTCTGGGTCTGGAAGATTCTGACACTTGTCATGCACGTTTTGCATGAGCCCTGATGTCTGTGATGCATGCCCTAGCATCACAGATTTTTTGAGAGCTTCTTGATGCCTATTCCGCATTACAAATGCCCTCTCCGCGTAGCAAAAATCACATTCCTTTTGGTACTCATGCAATACAGATTTCTCTGGAATCCAAATGCAGCATCACAAGTTGCATTCTTCCAGACCCACACATTTTTACATTTGATACCTCCGGGTTTGACTCACCCAGCCGGGGAACACCCCCTCCAGGTAGGAGCCGATATTGCAGTCAGCATCAGGGCACTGCAGTCAGGATCAGGAAAAGGGGAAGGGCGAGGCGCTGGAAAAGGAAATAAAGGGGGCCGGAGAGGACGGGGGCGGAAATAAGGGAGAGGGCCTCCCTATCGAAAGGAAACATCCCCCCTGCCCATTTGTCAAAACGAAGTTTCTGATGCTGGGCCGCCATTGCGTACACAAATAAGAGCTTGCAGGAAAGGACTGGCTCGGCAATTGCCGAGCCTGAGCAGAGAGGTTTTGACATAGGCGCCTAGTGGCGTGCCAGATGTCTCTACCGTAGGCCCAACAGCATCACAAAGCGCCTGCGTGATCATGTGGCGCAGCATGTGGAGCTGCCTTGTGTGCGGCCACAATCAAATCAGCAGTGCAAATGTTCTGAGGAGTACCGTTTTGATATGGGGACGGGGGACTCGTTTTCGCTTACGATACTCCCAGAGGATTAACCAACACTCCTACAAGATGAACCGGCCCCCCCAGCAGGGGATAAACAGTAAGTACCCACGACCCGCCAGAACAAATAAGACGGGTCCCCTGTATTATTCCATCTATCCTCGCGTGAACGACAACGAAGACGAAGGCGGTGAAGACGAAAGGAATTTCAATGAGAAGTAGTTCTTTACGTGAAGTAGATCAGCGCCTGTCACCTGCTGGCTCAGGCGGGGCAAAGAAAAGTAAAACCAATGAAGTCATCACAGCTTATTTCTCATACGTTTACTTAGTCCTTTCATATTCATATTATAGTATCGAAACTTCAACAACAGCATTAGATAGACTACCAATCCAGGCAATAATGCGACTACAAGGTCGAAAAAGGACATTCTACGGCGAAGACGCCGAACAGAATACATTCATCAGTATCGAAACTTCAACTCTACATTCGGAATTTCAGGATGAGTCGCATGAACATAGAGTAAAAGTAATGGCGGGAGCTCAAAGATTCACTGCGGTTAAAGAATTTAATATACAAAAAAAGCACGTACGTGCCTTATCTATCAGTCGAAGTAGTTTTGAAGGAAGAAGTAGTTTTGGAGGAAGAAGTAGTTTTGAAGGAAGAAGTAGTTTTGAAGGAAGAAGTAGTTTTGAAGGAAGAAGTAGTTTGACAGCAATTATCTTTAAGAACAGCTGCAGTTCCACTTTATTAAGATTCCTACAACTCAAAATGCGCGAGCGCGCTAAGAAAGATAGAATCCCAGATAGAAACCAAATGCCCTGTAGTGACGAGTTTGAAGGACAATGCATGATGGTGGCGGACAGGTGCGTTTTCTTTCTTCTGTGCATACCAAATATATGAAGCTAGAAATGAAGATGTTGAGCAACAAGATCTGACTCGTCACCACATCGAAAGATACTAAGACTTCCAAATATAATGTTGTATTTCATACCATTTCGAGTTCGAACTTCTATACCTCGGAGCTTGCCTATACAACATTTACTTACATGGTGGTTCGACGAAGGTGTCCTGTATCGAGGGGCTGAAACTAGTAGGAGCGCAGCACTTTTTAGCAGTTGATTTTGGGAATACAGAATAATGGTTGATGCCTGAAGTTATCCGGTGGAGGAGGAGAAGCCTCCGAGGAGTGCAGGGAAGAACGAATGTTGTTCTGTACAAATCATAGTGCCTGTAGTTGTTCTAGTTGGTTGAAGTGTAGCACAGCCTTTGTTTAGTTTGTTTTGACATAAAGGTGCAGTTGCTGTGTCGAATTCTAGATCTCGTCCAGTTGTTAGTCTGTAAGTAACAAAGATTTCCCAAAACCAAACTTCCTTGTCCCGTAGCCATTTTGGCTCAAGTGCTCATCTTGAACGAGAAGACCATAGTGCCTGTCAGCATATGCTCATGTTCCAACTACAAAATGCTCAACACTCGATCCAGAATGATAAAATCTCAAATGCTGTAAAGATCTCAAGACAACAACAAAACAAGAACACACCGAGAAATAGCATTACAAATCATATAAAGAGAAGACTTTGATGTGAAGAACAAGAATGGAATTCCCTTGACCTCAATGTTGTACTCCGCACAGGCCTCGAGTCATACGATTTGCATGACAAACTACTACAGAAATAAGACGACCTGTTTTGAAGGCTGCTTTGCTATTATTGTGAAAAAGATTGTTTTGAAAAAGATTGCACTTTTGAGAAAGATTTTATTACAACCGTAAACAAATACTTTGGCGATTGCATCCTTAAGGAGTTTCTGCTCCTTTCTCCTATTCATTGAAGCACAAACAATTTGAATATTTTCTTTGCGTTAGTTGATTGCGTGCAAACTGATAGCGCGAGCGCACCCTCAGAACACTGATAGACTTTAACTAGTACATCAGTGTAGACCTTGCAGTTGGGTGCATCACGATCAAAAATTCAAGTAAAATCGGCCACTCGCGAGGTCGGCGGGAACCAATATTGACTTCGTATGAACGTAAAGCGTGCCGCGCCTTCGAGATCATACACGTGACGCCGGAATAAAACAAGATGTCCATTTTGTCGGGAGCAAGATGTGCCCGCCCTGCCGGGCGCAGATCTGCGGGAAGCTGTGCTGCTTATTCTTCCATCCTCTTTCTCGAGATGACCACTGCTGTACTAATGGTGTCGGCCATGATGCAAGGTCAACATAAAGCGGATCCTTCTCCTGTTGCGCGTCAGGATTTAACGAGTGGTGCTTGTTCGACGACAACTGCGCAGGACGTCGTGGATGAAATAAGCCAGGACTTTGGCAACAGCAAGAATCTCTCGTTTTTGCAAGCGGACGAGGACGCGCTGCGCGAATTGTATCACACAGAAAAAAACTGGCAGGTCATTACTATCTATTATATTCATGCGAAAAAAGAGGTCTACAGAGGGTCGAAGGGAGGTGGCCGAGAGGTCAAAAAGAGGTCAACAGAGGTCAAAAAGAGGTCGACAGAGGTGGAGAGGTGGCGCGGGAGGTCGTTCGGGAGGATGGCCGAGAGGTGGCGCGGGTATAGCCAGCCGAACCGTTCGCCCTAAAGCCGCGCCTATGGGGCCCGGAGGTGGCCGAGAGGGTCCCGAGAGGGTAAGCGAGAGGGGGGCAGAGGTGCCGAGAGGTTGCGCGAATAAGGGGGAACCTCCCGCGGACCCACTGGGCCACCTCTCGGCCACCTCTGTAGACCTCTACCGGCGAGTATAGCCGGACTATTAGCAACACCTCTCCGAAGAGGTGAAAAAGAGGGTCTGCGAGAGGGGTAGAAAAACCCGAATCCGCCCGGCGCAAGGCTGATTCTTTTCCGGCCCTTTCATGCAGAGGGCCTGAACCCTCTCGCGCCACCCTCTCGCGCACCCTCTCGCGCCACCCTCTTGCGCCACCCTCCCGTGCTTCTGTTCGCCTCCGGTGTCCTTTGCAGCTGCTCCTTGCGCAGAGCGCCCACAGGCGCGGGAAGCGCGCAAGTGGTCCTGCGGGTTGGCGCCGCGCAAACAGGCGGCAGGACTCCAGTAAGTATGATGTTTCATTGTGCATATTAGACCTGTGGCATTGTGGCCCGATCCGCAAATAGTCCTGCCCAGCCCCAGCAACAGCCTTGCGCTCCGGCGTTAGCCGGAGCATGGCTGGTATTTGTAATGCAAAAATGAATAGACAAGAAAACTTTGCATACCCGAAATAGCATGCTACGAGGTCGCCCATGACAGATTTTTCTGTGTATTTATTTTTTAATGCAAAAATGAATAGACAAGAAAACTTGTATTGCATACCCGAAATAGCATGCTACGAGGTCGCCCATGACAGGTTTTTCTGTGTATTTATTTTTGCATTACAAATTACCAGCCATGCCCCGGCTGACGCCGGGGCGCAAGGCTGTTGGGGCGGGGCAGGACTATTTGCGGATCAGGCCGCAGCGACAGGGCTTTACAGACAGCGTGACAGATCGAAGGAAGTGCTGGCGCCGGTTTGCGCCCTGTCAACCCGCAGGGCCTCCTGCGCGCTTCCCGCGCCTTCAGGCGCTATGCGCAGGGAGCAGCTACAGCGAAGCTTGGGGGCGAAGAGAAGCCGCCTCGGCATCGGTGCCGAAGCACAACTGGGACCGCGCTGCCCTTTGTTGATCACACACACACCCGCCCCCGCCCAACTGGCTTCCCGGCGGAAACTGTTGGCGCGAGCGGTTAGCGCGAGAGGGTGGCGCGAGAGGGTGCGCGAGAGGGTAGCGCGAGAGGTGTGGGCCTGCGCCATGAAACAGCCCCAGCAAAATCGGCCTCGTGCCGGGCGGATTCGGGTACTTTTTACCCTCTCGCAGGCCCTCTTTTTGACCTCTCCCGAGAGGTGTTGCTAATAGTCCGCCTGTACTCGCCGGCAGAGGTCTACGGAGGTGGCCGAGAGGTGGCCCAGAGGGTGCGCGAGAGGTTCCCCCTTATTCGCGCAACCTCTCGGCACCCCTGTCCCCCTCTCGCTTACCCTCTCGGCCACCTCCGGGCCCCATAGGCGCGGCTTTAGGGCGACCGGTTCGGCGGGCTATACTCGCGCCACCTCTCGGCCACCCTCCCGAATGACCTCCCGCGCCACCTCTCCACCTCTGCCGACCTCTTTTTTACCTCTTTTGACCTCTTTTTGACCTCTCGGCCACCTCTCTTCTATCCTCTGTAGACCTCTTTTTTCGCATGAATATAATAGATAGTAATATGCCCTGCCAGCTTTTTTCTGTGGGATAAATTGGCCAGGATAAACAAGCAGAAAATGGAAAAGCAGATCGCCGTATAAAATGTAAAAATGTCTGGGTCTGGAAAAATGCAAGTTTGTCATGCTTGTCTGGCATGGCTCTTAAATCTGTCATGCACATTACCAAAGAGCCCCGCTTTTCTGTCATGCAGAAACGTAGTTTGTCATGCAGAATAGGCAACACCTAGAAGCTCAGAAACTTGTCATGCTGAGCCAGCAATTGTGGCCTCCTCATGATATGCCACCCAGCATCACAAGTTTCCCGACCCAGACATTTTTACATTTGATACGCCGGGAATATTTCCGGCTGCGACGACGTCTTGATTTCCTATCTGGAAAGCAGCGTGGACCTGCAAGAGTTCTGTCTGGCTGAACCTGAATCTGGCTCGGCGATGAAAAAGAAGAAAAAGAAAAGCGAGGAAGAATTGAACACGCTGGAAAAATTTATCGAAGCGCAAGACCTTGACATCGTAACAAAGAAAAGTGGATCCGGGCTGGCAAAATACCATGTGCCGATGACGAAAGCATTCGCGGAGAATGTGCTCGGCTGCTACGCCGGCTTCAAGTCCTACATGGAGCCGGGAATTGTTCCTCGTGCATCAAGAAGAAGTGTGTCGCCTAGAAGTCACCACCAACAGCTTGAGGGCGATCGTGAAGTAGAAGATGGATTATATCGTGCTGGTCTCAACACGGAATCTACTTCATCAGCGCGAACTCCTGCAGATGGGTTTGGTTTTTCTCAGAAAAGCAACGACGATGCCGATGGCCCCATCGCTGAGGTGGGGGAGACGACAACCATTCGTCGGCTAAAGTCAGCAGAGGATTATGCTAACTTCCTGCTCGACGTGGTGCAGGAAACGCAGAAACGGCAACGACAAGTGGATGCGGGCGCTGCAGGAGAGGACGACGTCACGTCCCAAAAATTGAAAGACCGCCGGGAATCAGTCGCGGCGGACGCACGCGCAGCGCTCGAGTTTATTCTCGCTGATGGGATGTTGAAGAGCAACACGCAGGACAAGGGAGGCGAACGAAATAAAGCACTACACCCCCGGCGAGCGAAAAGCACTAGACCGTCGCGGCCGACGACGAGCATGAGCGCAAGAGGGTCGTCCCGAGCGCAGCAGGAGGGAAGATCGTTGTCTCTCGCCCGAGGGAGGAAGCGTCCTCGCGCCAGGAGTGGAAGTCCTCGGAGCAGGGGTACTAGTTCCTCGCAGAATGATGTTGATTTGCCGGCCTTGGAGCATCAAATTCATAACCAAGCGGGGAACTCTACTAGCATGTCTGGAGCTCCTTCTACAGTGACGCCTGGAACAAGTGCGTCGTCCACTGTCGTCACGGAAGTGGAGCCTTCTAAGCGAGAGCTAAGGAACCCGTTTCTGTTTGTCCCGTTGCAGATGATGCGGACCGAGCTGGAAGAAAAGGTGGCTGGAGTCGTGCGTGGCCTCGGCGAAGATAAAACTCATCGTCGTGGGCTGGTGTATAAGGTTCTGATTGAGTCCGACGTGACCACTGAAAAAAACGGTGCCATGTCGGGGGGTTGGGCGGATCAAGTGCGAAACAATGTCTGTCCCAGTCAAGCGCTGCTCGACCACTCGGATACAGCGGACAATAAAAAACTTCGCCCCGACCGCCTGCGCTGGGCCATGTTGGTGTGCAAAAGTGACCTGTGGACGCTAGTGCAACTGTACGAACAGAACCCGGGCCTGGTCTTGCGCGCACGTGCCGTCGAATTTTTGCAGTCGGGCGGTGTTGATATCAGCAAAATGCTCGCCGTTGAGAACAAGGAGATACAGTTCAAAAGAGAGTTTTTCCGCTCGCAGAAGGAGCTGGATCAATTGACGGAAATATTAATCGCATTGCTGAAGCTAATGAAAGTTTTATCGGATGACGAAGCGCTTGTCGTGACTTCCACAGGGAGTACTGAGCACTGGAATATTTTTGAGGAGGAAAATCCGGCGCAACAAGAAGGAGAAGCAACTCACGCAGCTCTCGTCCTCGGCAAAAATAACGACTTGGCTGTCATGCTGAAGGACTTTGCGGGCTCTGGAAGTGAGTCGGGGAGCACGGTAGTTATGATGTCGCAGCTGTTCACTGAGGAGCCCGAGCTAAAGATGGTGATCGGGTCTCCGGTGTTGCAGGCGACGGCAAAGCGGCTTGAGGAGGTGCGAGCATCTTTCGCTTTCCTGCAGCACGAGTTCCGCCGCACGCTTTGTGACGGCGCGCTGAAAGACGCCCCGGCCACGGACATGCTCTTTCACACCGATGGCTCCTCTCCTCCCGCCTCGTACATCGTCCCCGAGTGGCGCTTGTTTGGCAACTACGAAAACGGGTGGACAGTGAAGGACCCGCTCGCCGGAAGAGTAATGGCCGAAAAACTGGGGCTACCTGACGAGGGTATTCCCTACAAACAGCGGGAGACTGAAGAATAGTTGGACAGCACGCTAGCTTCCGAGCTGGACCAGTTTTTCTCGCAGCACCCGGAACACAGAAACACGCTGCCGACTTCTAGTACATATGAACAAGCCGGGAGAACGAGCTCCAGCGCAGATCAGCATGTGATGCGTTAGGCTGAAGTACTTATTGAAATTCGAAGCTTTGCGATTTTAGCGCTGGACTGTGTCGTCCTGCTAGAACGGATTTGATAACCGAGGGCTATGTTCGTTCCATATTCTCCTCAGATTAATTTCCAACAAAAACATCACTGTCTGCTCGTGGATATGCATATGTTTGCTTTGATGTGTTGGAGTCTTATGTGTCGGTTTTGGTATTTTCATTACTTACATATGAACAAGACGGGAGAACGAGCTCCAACGCACAGCAAAAGAAGTAAGTAAACCGATTACTGTGCTGCCGGAAAAGTTTCCCGACTTTGACCTCGACAGAACTGGGCTGGATGTTGGCCTGAATCAGGATGAGAAGGATATCTATTTAGGCACTACAAGGTTATAAGCTTAAATTTACTTATAGATCTGGCGTCTGACCTGCGGGCGGCTGGAGAATGCAAGAAAGACTTTCTGGAAAAACTAAAGAACGAAGAGACCAAGCACATGCAAACCGAAAACAAAGAGGGATAGATATAAAAAGCACTACGTGTATAATTTTTGATTTATTTAAAGGTAAAAGACTACAAGAAAACACTAAGGGATAGAGCGTAGAAACGACATCGAGGATTTTTTCGGATCACGTCGTACCTAGGGCGACTGTGTTTCAAAAAATGTAAATCTCGATCGGTCGGTACTCGCTGGAGGTAATGTTCACATCAAAAACGCAAATCTTTAACGCTGTACCAACCGGCGCAGAATAGAATTCACAGCGAAATGACAGGTTTTTGCTGTCATGCGAGATGAGATATTTGTCATGCTAATCCTCCAAGAGAGTTTGTTGCGCCTACAATCTTTTTTGTCTGGATACGCTTCCGAGCTGGACCAGTTCTTCTTGCAGCACCCGGAGCACAGAAACACGCTTATCAAAACGAAAAATCCCCCCTCCCCATATCAAAAGGAAGTTTCTGATGCTGGATTTGCGTACACAAATCAGCTTTGTATTGCAGAGAGGCATTGCGGGCAGATCTCCAGGCTAGATAGGGGCGTATGTGTGTAGTTGCTCAGCATGGCAAACGGCTCCCCTTTAGACCCAACAGCATGACAAATAGCCTCCATAATGGGGCGAAAGCTCCTGCCCTGGTCTTCTTGCAAGACAAATATGATTTGTGACCTCAAATCAGCAACACAAGTTTTCCAAGTCATACCTTTTCAATATGGGGAGGGGGGATTTTTCCTTTCAATAACGCTGCCGACTTCTAGTACATATGAACAAGACGGGAGAACGAGCTCCAACGCACAGCAAAAGAAGTAAGTAAGCCGATTGCTGTGCCGGAAAAGTTCCCCGACTTCGACCTCGACAGAACTGGGCTGGATGTTGGCCTGAATCAGGATGAGAAGGATATCTATTTAGGCACTACAAGGTTATAAGCTTAAATTTACTTATAGATCTGGCGTCTGACCTGCGGGCGGCTGGAGAATGCAAGAAAGACTTTCTGGAAAAACTAAAGAACGAAGAGACCAAGCACATGCAAACCGAAAACAAAGAGGGATAGATATAAAAAGCACTACGTGTATAATTTTTGATTTATTTAAAGGTAAAAGACTACAAGAAAACACTAAGGGATAGAGCGTAGAAACGACATCGAGGATTTTTTCGGATCACGTCGTACCTAGGGCGACTGTGTTTCAAAAAATGTAAATCTCGATCGGTCGGTACTCGCTGGAGGTAATGTTCACATCAAAAACGCAAATCTTTAACGCTGTACCAACCGGCGCAGAATAGAATTCACAATGTAAATCACAAACCGCATGGTATGACGTTAACAAATCTGTAATGCAAATTTCGAAGAACCCACAGCACAAAATCGGAACATAACTTTTTTTACAAATCGTAGATGAAAATGCAACTCAAAGAAATCGGCTCGTAGCAAAGGGAAAACAGGACGTCGGTCTCTCGGGAAATCGATCGTGCAAAAAATGATGTCGTGCAATGCTACAAATGTCGTTTTTGTAGAGTTTAAAGTGCGTTTTCAAATATTAGCTCTTCAAAAATTTCACACAACTGTCTCCCAGGGTCATGTCGTGCGCTTAAAGAATTCACGGTAGGCACGGTTAGACTTTACCACTCGAACCCGTTTGTTAACAGCTCTCGAGTACATGACCCAAAAAACTGCATGACAGATTTGAAAAAAGACGGCGATGATGATTTAGAGATTTGGAAAAAGAAGAAAAACAAAAACAAAAACAACACCACGCGATGGGTATTCGAGTTTGAAAATAGGTTTGCTTTGTTTGATTTTTGTGTTCTACCCTTTGTACATGACCAGTAGACAGAGCAAAGGTAAGACTCTCGAGAAATATAAGAGCTTCTATACCTCCTCGCAGCTTGCTTACTACACAACATGGTGGCTCGACGAAGTAGATGTGAAGTCCTTTAGCCAGGATTTGGATCTATTAGGAGCGCAGCACTTTTATTTTGGCAGTTGATTTTGGGAATACAGAATAATGGTCACGGAAATTCTTATCTGGTGGTGGTGCGCATGCGTCCGAGGAGTGTGGGGAAGATCTACGAATGTTGTTCTGTACAAGAAATCTTTGTTCCTGCTCTAGTTCCTGCTCTAGTTGGTGGAAGTGTAAGCACAGCCTTTGTTTAGTTGAGAAAGGTTGTCTCTGTTGCCAGTCTTGCATGACAATGTGTAACTGTAACACTTTTTTCTTGCGATAGAAGCTGCAGTGGCTCTACTGCTTTAGCCGTTCTTTCAACAACACAAGCCCGCGAAGATAGATCACCAACTGCTTCAAGAAAAAAGAAGAAAAAGATTCTCGAAGAACGAACATGGATCTCGTGAATAGGTGACGCGTGCTACAAACTTGTAGACGGATTTTGTAGTTAAACTGTAGTGCCTTTATTTTTGACAAATGTATAATATTCCCGCGGTAACTAAGTTTTGTTAGGGCATCTTGCGCCACGAAGGAACAAAGCAAAGATCGAGAAACGTGGAGATCAAGAACATCTTGTTGTCTGTGTTGCCGGTCTTGCAACACAATGTGTAACTGTAACACTTTTTTCTTGCGATATGGGTTCGCCGAGCACGTGGACGAGGAGGCGAACAGCACGCCGTGGACCTATCCTGTGGAAAAACGTCCCCACCCCATAGTCAAGTTGGTAAATCTGCAACACAAATCTCCAAGTTTTGGGAGTTATGCATGGCAAGCTTCCACCTGTAATGTAGTAGTGTTTAGCGAGGACAGCCGTATCACCAAGACGCAACCTTATCCTGTTTACAGCATTAAAAATCTCACAACACGACTACAAAGTCCTCTCACGCGGATGCGCATTACAGATGTTTCTGCGGAGGCAAATCTGCATGACATCACAACTATCTACGCAGTAGCATGGCTATACTGGCCGTTTCTTCGCCGCGCGCTTTCACACCAGCGTGGCCATATTTGCAGGCTTTCTTTTGCATAACCATGGTGGTGTACCCAGCACCGCTTTCCTCCCCCTTGAGTACCGGGGACGCCTGCTGAATAAAAACCTTTCCCTGTTGTAGGAAGGCTGTGGTTTGGCTCCTAGGAGCTGGCCCGCCGAACTTCAGGTACAATTCAATCCTTTTGTATGAAAATCTATAGCAACTACCATCTCCACATACTACAACACGCGAACCTCGTTCACGCCTATCAACTACACAACGCAGAACATGCAGTACAATTTTTAGCATCGTTGCGTACACGCCCAGAACCAACGTACAGCTATCATCATTCGAGCGGGTTTTTAAGACGGTGAGATCACGGCAGCTAGCTATTTGGAAGGCTGGCGATAGGTCGGAGGGGGTTGATATGATTGGTACGGAACAAGGACAGAAAAGAGGAACGAAGACAAACACGAGGTCGAGACAAAACAGTACTAGTAGCCGGTTTGGAGCTGTTCACGGCATGAATCCCTTTATTCCACCGTAGCACCGCCCGAAACAGCGAATCGCGTAAAAATACCAAACTACAAGAACAAGCCCAGCAACAAAGCAATACCAACCAGACACCCAGACGCGAACAGACAACACCGCGACAAGAGGCTTAGCTAGTTAAAATAACTAAGTTATGACGTCGGTGGAGTTTTCTTTGGTTTTCTTTCATTGTAGCAACTGTTTATAGGTTTGGTTTTACCGGGTGTTGTCGGGTTTCCTGTGGTCAGATGCACCCGTGCACCGGCTTGCGGCGGTAAAACCTCTCCGTCCTCCTTTTTTGGTCTTACTTCCTGGTGGACCTATCTTTTCCCGGTTCTGCTCCTGGTCTGGTACCTGAGCTCTGGTTATGCGTCCTGCCCCTTTTCCTGTTTGTGTTTTCCTGCGCGCCGCCCACTACCTCGCCCTTGCTGCTTACTCGCCTTGGCTGATGTCCTTCTCGGGCAGGCTTTTGTCTTTCCGTATTATTCCCATAATCGGACTGCCCCCTCTGGGGGTTGGCTTTACAGTTGCTACAATGAGGGGTAGAAGGGAATTGGTGTTTGCTCAATGTGAACACACGTTGAGCAAATGCCCGGTGATTACATGGATGCGCGTTAGCAGACATGTAGTGTGGAGATCCTAAATCTTATCTATTTCTTTTTATTTCCCTTATTCTGCGCCACCTGTAGTCCTCAAAAGAAAGACACCTATACACAGAAGGTCTGTCTTGCATGCAATATGTATTTCTTGAGCCGGAGGAGTTTGTATTTGTTGTTACAGCATTGTGGGTTTTTTCTTAGTAGGTGCTTACTTTTTCGAGCTTTCCCTCATTTTGTCATGCGCATGCCGTGGATTCTTGTTATAATTGTTCTGGTCATGTTGTTGTTGAGTCTCCATGAAGCTCAATTTTGTATCCCCACATGGCTGTACGGACTGTTCTTTGTATGTGCTTCTGCTCTCACCTCCGAAACAGACCGTGGCGCGCTCGCAAACACGAGCTACGATGCACTTCGCGATCTTCAAGCGATTAAGATGTTCACTCGCTGACTCGATTCCTCGTTCGTCTTCTTGCGTTTGAGAGCGTTGGTTTTCTGAGAGAATCTCTATTAGCTTCTATATAAATATGATTATACGACGTAGATAAGTTCGAACTATATTTTACTATAGTAAAAAGTAATATCCACGTATTTTTCGCGTGGTTGCTCATGGTGGAGCCGGCGCCTGTACCCTTGAGCAACCAACTAAGACGCGGAAAATAGCGAGCACTCTACCTCCGGTTTTCTCGACTAGCTACGACACTAGGTTTTCCTCTTCCCCTCCCGCTGCCAGTTTCCCTTGTTGTTTTCTACAGCCCGGCTGTCTGTTTTGTATGTTGTTCAGGGTTTCTGGCACTTTTGTATGCGAGGGCTCCTGCCTTCTGGGAATGAAAACTTGGCTTGCGCCGCTGTTGCGCGTCGTAGTGGTCTCTACTTGGCATGACATGCATTCACTTGCCACTTCTTAGGGTGGCAAAGAAAACCATAGAGTTAGAGACGGTACAGGCAGAAGTGGATTGACCGGTCTAGTGATAGAATTTTGTGTAGCGCTTTAGATTTTTTATGGGCTTACCGTTCAGGGTTACATCTAATTTCCACCCTGGCTTCACCTTGTGTAGCAGACTGGCCTTGTTTGTCATGCTTTTTGTGGTCTTTGGTTTGGTCATGATGTTCTCGTTTGTCCATCCGGGTTCCTGCTGGCCCGTTTTTTTCACCAGTGTTACACTCTCTATATATTTTTACTTGCTCGGCCATTTGCATGCACGTCCTTGCTTGATTCTTCATGCGCGCGCTCCCGCGTTCAGGACAATTTACTCTGCTACGCATAGGTGTATCCACTTTTTAGGGTGTTTCTTTCGTAAGTGGGGCTGTGTCTTAGGATCTCGCTTCTCACTTTTCTACCTTTCTTTTTTCTCCCTCGGTGCTAGTTGATGGCGTTGCGCAGAACTATTTCTACTTGGGCACCCACACATCTTCCGTCGCAGCCGTCCCAGTAGATGCTGTGGATGTTCTTCGGTAGAAATCGCACTGCCCAATAAATTCCGCTAGAGTTTACCGGGTATGCGGCTACTGTTTGTCGAAATAATTTACATGGGGACGCCCTGCCCTTAGCCTTCCAACATGACATCACAACTATGGGGTGGGGGCGTTTTTACAAATAATAGGACCCTTGCGCTCCTCATCGTGCCCCCTCGAGTGACTCGGGACATCATCATGCAGACGGACAATAATAAACTTGATCTCAACTCTGAATGCCTCAAGTTGTACGAAGATTCGGTCTGGGACCGACTGGACTGAGTTGTGGTTTTTGGATTATGTTTTGCGGCTTCACGTTGTACCATACTCCATTCGTGCTTGCTGGTTCTTGATGGATGTTGCGGGTGACGTATAGCAGCATAAAAATACGTAGTATTTCCGTGAGTTTTCTAATTATGTATGATATAACGTTTTTTTCTACTTATTTCTACTCAAGATGAGCTTTCATTTCTCTGTTCGCAGCCCGTGCTTCGCAACCGCTTGCGCAGATCCCGTGACCGATACTAGTAGAGGTGCTCCCATTATTTATCAAAGTGAAAAAAGCCCCCACCCCATATCAAAACGAAACTTCTGATGCTGGATTTGCGTACGCAAATCAGATTTGTCTTGCAGTAGGGAACTGCAGGCCGATATCATGCCAGTGCGCAGAGGTTTTGGCCTAGGCGCTTAGCATGGGGAACGCGTATGCTGTAGGACCAACAGCATTACAAACCGCCAGCATAATGGGGCGGAGCGGATGCCGTTGCTGTCTTGCAAGACAGACACGATTTGTGACCTCAAATCAGCAACGCAAATTTTCGGAAACATAGCTTTTCAATATGGGGAGGGGGGATTTTTCCTTTTGATAATTACTTATTTGTTCTGAAATATGTTTTTCGGAAAGAACTACGAAGCAATGTACAGGTATATCTTGAGTACTGCAAGAACTACACAATAGGCTACTAGTTGTGCCTGCTTGGAGCGTCCACGTATGTACTTACCATTCTGGTTTAATGGTCCGCGGAAGTGCAGTGAAGACACGGAGACCAGCACACATATATACATTTATTTTCAAACAGAAAAGTAACCAAAATTTCCCGAACCCGCACTTCCTTCAGAAGAACGGGATGTAAGTAGAGGCACATGACACAGAAAGGCTGGCTCCGGAGCGTCGTTCATTCGAAAAAAATAGCAGCGGTTCACCTGCTTATAGCCTTTTCGTTTTCAACAACTGCGCGCGAAGCTAGATCGCTACCTGCTCAAAAAATGAAGAAAAAAAGTTTCTGGAAGAAGATGGATCTCGTGGATAGATTACACTTGTTACAAACCTTCAAACCAGAGGACCGATCGTTCCTTTCGTCAGTTGTCAAACAAGTGTAGTGCCTTTTTTTATTTTCGAAAATTTTTACCACGGCAATTGCCTTAGTTTTTGTTGAGGCTTGCGCTTGCGCCACGAAGGAACGAAGCAAAGATCGAGAAACGTGGAGATCAAGAACATCTTTGAGATCGACTGTAGTAACACAACATGATCGTCGCACGAGATAAAGATCCTGACGCTACTAGTACACAAGAAATTGATAAGGTTGTTGTACATGAAAAAAAGTTTGCTTTTCGACGAGTATCTTTTTGTTATTCCAGGCTGTAAAAATATAACGCGTTTCACTTTTTTTACCATACTGAGACTCACCAGCTTGTGCGACAACTACACTTACGGACTCAATAGCACGTCGACCACACTTTAGTTACAACCAGAGAACCTGAATTCATAGAATAAAGCGACCTCCCACATTTATTTTCATTTAGAGAAGCTATACAAGAATCTCGGTAAGAAAATGCCCTCCATAGACCTGGAGACCGTGAACGCGCTTCACAAAACGAAGGCGGAGATCGTTGCGGCCTATTGCAACGCCGATGTGAAGACCAAGGAGCAGGCCGCCGGGCAAACGGTCGCGAAGATTGGCAACAGCTATTCTGAGTAAAAACGTACCCACACCATAGTCAAGATGGGGAATCGGCTAGACAAGTCCACAAGTTTTGGCTGTTTTGCATGACAAATTTGGATTCGTAGTGTAGTGCTGTTTGAGCCTGCTCAGCAGCATCACAGATCTAGCATACCATGCTGATTGGAGCATGACAAATTGCAAAACACGACTAGAAAACGCTTCCCATGGGGCTCCGCATGAGAAACATTTTCAGCATGCAGATTTGCAATACAACTCTGGTGTGCGTACGCTTTTACTCAGGATAACAGCAGCATCACGTTCATTGCCCCGATTTTGAAGCATATCAAATGCAAAAATGTCTGGGTCTGGAAGAATGCAAGATTTGTGATGCAGGTTTTCCATGACCCATGAGGCCTGGCATGCAGCGCCTAGCATGAGAGATGCTGTGAGATGTCCATCATGCCTATCCTGCATGAGAAACTCAAACTCCCTGTCAACCTGGTCAAAGGCGGACATCTTTTGGCAATCATGCAACACAAATTTTTGCATGATCCAGACTCAGCATGACAAGTTGCAATCTTCCAGACGTAGACACTTTTGCATTTGATAAAGCAGATCTGCCAGCAGTTCGGCAAGGACAAGCAGGATTTCTTGCTCGGCGGCTCGCTGTATGAAGTGCAAAAGCATCGTACTAGTATAAATTGCATTACAAATTAGCCCAGCATTACAAATTAAATTTGTAATGCTGATTTACCTTGAGAAAGAGATTTGTATTTGTAATGCATAAATGCAATTACTACGAGTACGATACTTTTGCACAGGATACGCTGCAGGAGCAGGCGGAAGTGGACTCCTGGTTGGAGTTTTGCGAGCAGGAGGTCGAGGTGCGGATGGGCAAGGCCTTGACCGAGCTGATCACCAACGTGCTGGAGCCGCATTTCGTGAAGAAAACCTTCCTCACGTCGGTGGAGCGCATCACGGTGGCGGATGTCAGTCTCGCGATTTCGCTCTACCCGAAGATGTCTTCCGGGGCACTGGGGTTGGAGTCCTATGAAATGTAAATATGTCTGGGTCTGGAAGAGTAGGAGCTTGTCATGCGAATTCTGCAATAGGCAAAAATAAAAATTTGTATTGCATAAGCACCAAAAGCTTCCCATTTTTTGCTACACAGATAGGGAATTTCTCATGCGGGATAGACATCAGAGGCCTGCGCAAAACCTGTAAAGCTTTTGCGTGCATTAGGGACCAGTTGCGTGATCCACAAAATGCATGACAAACTCCCGCAAGAATTTTCCAGACCCAGACATTTTTGCATTTTATAAGTCCTGCGTCGCCACAAAACGGTGGTTCAACACCTGCCTGCACCAGCCGGAGTTTCAGAAAGTTTTGAAGCAGCAAAAGGTGTTGAGTTTACCCAGCAGCAACATGACAACGGCGACAACTTCCAGCTCGGCGTCTTCATCCAAAACCAGTGAAAATTTGATGCTGAAGCCCTATCAAATGCAAAAGTGTCTGGGTCTGGAAGAATGCATGTTTGTCATGCTTGTCTGGCATGACTCTTAAATCTGTCATGCGCGTTACCCAAGAGCTCCATTTTTCTGTGATGCAGGAACGCAGTTTGTCATGCAGAATAGGCAACACCTAGAAGCTCAGAAACTTGTCATGCTGAGCCAGCATTTGTGGCCTCATCATGAGACGCCACCCAGCATCACAAGTTTCCAGACTCAGACACTTTTACATTTGATAAGCCCGAGGACCGACCCATTGTGCAGCATTACTCGCAGTGCTCCTCTGTGATCGGGGGGAGAACAAGGATCGGACGGTATCCAATGTAAAAACGTCCCCACTTCCCCAGAGTCAAGATGGGAAATCGGCTAGACAAGTCCACGAGTTTTGACTGTTTTGCATGACAAATTTAGAGTCGCAGTGTAGAAGTGCTCTTTGAGGTAGTTCAGCAACATCACAGAGCTAGTATATCATGCTGATTGGCGCATTACAAATTTCAAAACACGACCAGGAAATGCTTCTCATGGGGCTCCGCATGACAAACATTTTCAGCATGCAGATTTGCATGACAACTCTGGGGTCGTGGGGGCATTTTTCACTGTAATAGACGGATCCACTTGGCGGAGGACCAGGGCAAGAGTTTGATCGGGCAGAAACTCGTGATCTGCGGCTGGGTGAAGAAGATGCGAGAGCAGTATCAAATGCAATATATGTCTGGGTCTGGAAGGTTGTAACTTGTGATGCTGTCTTCGGATTCGAAAAAAATCTGTAATGCATGACCACCAAGAGGAGTCCAGTTTTTGCCACGGCGAGAGGGCATATCTACTGCGGAACAAGCATCATGAAGCTCTCTCAAAATCTGTGATGCTAGATCATGCATTACAGACCTCATGGGTCATGGAAAACCTGCATGACAATGAAGTCTTCCGCTCTTCCAGACCCAGACATATTTGCATTTGATAAGCAGGCTGAGTTTACGTTTTTGGAGATCAACGACGGCAGCTGCTTCCAGGACATGCAGTGTGTAGTGGACAAGAGCTGCAAAGGGTATAGAATATAGCCGCGATGATGATGAACTAGGAGAATTTATTTTTCGTGTGGTGGTCTCTGCAGCACAGGTGATTTTCAATTTGATTTTATTTCCTGCTCCTCGTCGCGCATGACAAACTACACTTCGACTTCTCTAAAGATATTTGGTAAATGCTATTATTTCCATGTACCAAATCCAGGTACGACACACTGAAAGGGCAGGTGAACACGGGCGCCAGCGTAAAATGCTTTGGGCAGCTTGTGGAGTCCCCGGCGAAAGGGCAGGTGGTGGAGATGGCCTTGAAAGAAAACGACGAAGTTACCGTTCTCGGTTATGGTAGTGTCAGGATTGAAATCTTCAAAGTTGAAAGAATTTCTCATGCATGAATTGCAAGGCGTGAAGTGTCTCTCTTGCAGTGATGGCAAGCGAGGCCGACTGTCAGCCTGTTTGGGGTCTGCGACAGAGCTGCTAAAGTAGCATGACAAAGGATGCCTTCTTTCGCTACACAGCATGACACACTGGATTTAGACGGTGCCGAAATTTGTCATGCGCCGCTTAGAAATTGGGCTTCCAACTGGTATCGATTTTATGCATCACAAATTTTTCAACTTTGTCAATTTCAATCCTGACAGTTCCATATCGGGTCCGTCGACGCAGCGGTCTATCCCCTCCCACCGAAACCGCACTCCCGCGAGCACCTGCGCACCAACGCTATCAAGGGTAAAAGCATCGTGCTCGTATATGAAAATCGCTGTCATGCATTACAAATTATCGCGTTCTTCCCAACGTGAATCAGCATGACAAAATCCATTTCTTAAAATGAGGATATTTGTCATGCGATTTCTACTACTTAGTGCGATGCTTTTGCAAAAATCCATAAACGCGCACCTGCGACCACGGTCGAACTTGATCGGCGCGGTACTTATTGTTGTGAGAACGATTTATATGCAAGAAAAAACTGTTTCACTGTGAACTTGTGATGCAGAAAATGGAACACAGAACTATTTGTCTTGCTACACCTGCAAGACACTGGATTTGCAAGCGTGTTTTCCCTTGGGAAGCGCGCATGACAAATTTTCAGTGGCATGTGTAACAAACTTGTGATGCAGAAGATCTTGCAAAATCATCACAGTGAAACACTTTTTTCGTGGGATAGATTTATGAGATTGTCCGACTCATCTTACCGCAGTATGCTATGAATGCGCCCCCGGAGATCGCTTACGTAGTCTAAGAGTAAAAGAGTAGAAGTCGTCTGTACTATTGTATGTGTCACTACGTCACAAACAAATGAAAAATCGTATATCATTTCTTTCTTACGACCTCAGGTCGCCCGGGTCCGTTCTTCCCTTGCCTACGCCACGCACGAGTTTTTCCGCCGACGGGGCTTTCTCTACGTGCACACGCCCCTGATTACCGCGTCGGACTGCGAGGGCGCGGGCGAGATGTTCCAAGTGACCACCCTGTTTGACTCCTTACCAAATGCAAAAATGTCGGGGTCTGGAAGATTGCGAGACTTGTCATGCTTGTCTGGCATGAGGAAAAAGTTTGTGATGCGTGTCCAAGAAGATGAGACCCTTTTGCCTGTCATGCAAAAAGAAAAACGCAGTTTGTCATGCGAAAAACGCAACACAAAAAAGCGCAGATATAATTTCTCATGCTTGCCTGTGCATTACAGTTGCTTTCATTATTCACAACTCAGCATTTTTACAAGTTTCCAGACATCCAGACATATTTGCAGTTGATACTCCTTCAAGAAAAACAAAAGCGAAGAAGGCTATGTACCCTTCCCGAAGGACCCGAACTCGGTCGATTACTCGAAGGACTTTTTCAAGGCGAAAAGCTACTTGACCGTGAGTGGGCAGGTATACGAGGAAAAGTCTCAAATTTGTTTGATGGCACGACTAGTACTTGCGGAGGTCATCTTTTGTGCTTTTTAAAGTAATCTATCATCTACGCTGCAAGAAGAACAGGAGAAACTACATGCTGATCATTGTTGCCTCTGTATGACAAACATAAACTGTTTGACAAATGCAAATTCAGCTTGCTGTAGAGAACTACTGCTGCGCTTTGTCGGATGTGTACACGTTTGGCCCGACCTTCCGCGCGGAGAACTCGCACACGGGCCGGCACTTGGCAGAATTCTGGATGATTGAGCCGGAGCTGGCGTTTGCCGACTTGCCGGATGTCATGCAGTTACGCGTTGGAAGAGCACGTACACGTTCCAACTATGTATAGGAATTTTTGCATCACAAATTTTGATTCTATTGCTGGTGAGAAACAAAACTTATACTTCTGTCGCAGTCTGTAATGCGCAAGAAGAAGGGGGAAGGAGATACATTTGCCATGCAAGAATCCAATTAATACGAGTAGAGTGCTTTTGCAACCTGCATAGCGGTGCGCGGAGGACTACTTGAAGTTTTGCGTCCAGTATGCCGTTGACAACTGCTACACAGACTTGCAGTTTTTTGACAAACAGGTACTGATTGATTTGCCATGCGTTTTGCTGCATAGAATGCACAGAACAGAAGGGGAAGAAGTTGTCATGCACAAGGCAGGATTACAAGCCATGTCTCTCATGCAAGAACTTGCATAACATATTCAAGTAGAATCCCCACAAATTCAATACAACAGATCGAGAAGGGTCTCCTCGACCGGCTGAAGAACCTGCTGGAGAACCCCTTCGGCCGACTTTCTTACACCGAGGCCATTGACCTGCTGACGAAGGAAGTGAAAAACGGCAAATTTTTGAAGTACCTGGAAAAAAACTACGCGGATCACAAGAAATCCTTCCCGCAGCTGCTGACCATCGAGTGGGGCATGGATCTGAACTCGGCCCACGAAAAGTACATCGCCGAAGAGTACTTCAAGAGGCCCGGTATAGGATTTTGGAAGATTATGATTCTTGCATGGGAAATGTGTAGTTGTCATGCAGTAGTACCTGGTACTTGTACTACCAGGTACACCTACTACAGTAAGGCGGAAATAACAGCATGTTGAAACGTTGCCGAGTGAGTTTAAAAGTGTGAACTCTGTCATGCAAGAACCACATCGAGTCATTACTTTAACTTTTGTCTAAAATGTAGAAACCACTATAAAACATCATACAGTCGCTGTCTACAACTACCCGGCTGCATATGGAGAGAAAAAAGTTTGTCACAGTCACTAACTTGGAGGTTTTGCATTACAAATTTTTGTAGCGTCACAGCTTTGCCTTGTATTGCAGAAACACGAAGGGAAATCCCGTATGAAGTTTGGCTGTGATGCATTTTTACGCATGACAGGCATGTTTTTTTATTGCAAAAATGCCGGTAAGAGATCGTGACGAACTTTTTTCTTTTGATATTGCAATCAAGTCGTTCTACATGCGCGCCAACGAGGACGGAAAAACGTGCGCCGCCATGGATATGGGAGTGTCAGGACCGAAATCGACAAAGTTGAAAAATCTTGTAATGCATAAAATGCAAGCCACAGAATGCCTGTATTGGACAGCAGGGAAGTGAGGCCGATTGTACGCCTGTATACATAGGCAAATTGAGGGATAGATATAGCGCTGCTACTCTAGCATGACAGAAGCGGTCTCCTTTGCCCAAACAGCATTACAGACTGGATTTCGGTAGAGCAAAGATTTGTCATGCGCCGCTTGAAAATTGGGGGTCCAACTGGGATCGATTTTATTCATTACAGATTAGTTCGACTTTGTCGATTTCGATGCTGACACACCCATAATGGACGTCTTAGCCCCGCTCGTGGGTGAGGTTATCGGGGGGAGTCAGCGTGAGGAACGGTACGATGTGCTGGTCGACAAAATCGAGAAGAACGGCCTGGAGGCGCAGGACTACTGGTGGTACCTGGACCTCCGCAAGTACGGGACCGTCCCCCACGGCGGGTTTGGCTTGGGTTTATCAAAGTGAAAAATCCCCCCTCCCCATATCAAAATGGAAATTTGTCATGCTGATTTGTGGTCACAAATCACCTCTGTCTTGCCTATAGCGGAATGGGAGCCGTGTGGCGCATCCTACAGCCAGTCTGTGATGCGCGTTCGACTACTGCAACCCTGTTTTCCATGCCTAATTGCTAGCCTTTTGGTGCATACTCTAACAGGCTTGGAAAATACCGCCAAGCACTTTCTGCAAGACAGAGCTGATTTGTGGTCACAAATCAGCATCACGAATTTTCATCTTGATATGCGGAGGGGGGATTTTTCCTCACAATAGGGTTTCGAGCGGCTGATCATGCTGACCACCGGGATCGACAACATTCGCGACGTGATTCCGTTCCCGCGGTACCCGGGCCACGCGGAGTTTTAAGACCACGGCTTTGAGTTGTACTACAGGCGGATATCGCAAGAAAAAAGTGTTACAGTTACACATTGTGTTGCAGACCAAGCAAGACAGACAAGCTCTGTCATGCAGGATATGCATAGGAGCCTCGTTTCATGGGTGTTTTCCCCTAGGATTTCTGCATTGCAAATTTTCTCTCTCATGCAGAGAAATTTGTGTTGCTGAATTGACAGCAAATGTGTAACTGTAACACTTTTTTCGTGGGATAGCGGAAGATCATATTTTATTCGTCTGGCATCGAGAACACCAGAAGTGGGACCACGACGTTAATGCTCACAGTGAAGAAAGAAGACTACTTCGCTCGTACGTGGTAAACGCCTAGAAAAATCAGGGAACAAAGACGAAGACGATCTACTAGTTCCTACTTAGTGCTCAGCCAGTGTTTTTGAAAAAGAGTGACGCGCTTCGCCTTGTTTCCAGAATGCGGGCTTGAACGCATGTTGTTGGGCGGGCTACAGACCGAACCGCAACCAGAGAGTAGACTTATTGTTTATTCAATAGAGAAGATGCAAGAATGAAGCGCCTTCGTGAAGATAGATCGTATTATTGCAAGTTCGCCTACGGTGGACTACATTTTCACACGTGGTTGGTAGACTAGAGAAGATGAGCACTACACTGCTGGAGAATATTCTAAAAAGTCTGGAATGTCAACGTCAAGTCACACGATGATGGTTTATGAGAATCAAAATTGCGCAAAAAAATTGAATCGACAGAACAACTGACCTCGCCCAACATTTTACAAAATCTGCCACCGACGTGTCAAGTACGAATCGGAGTTGCGTTATTTCCTTTTTTGTTCACGTGTCGCTGTCCAGCCTGTTGTTCATCTCTTATGCGTTGTTTGATCGTTTGCGTTGTTCTTTTTCTTTGTTGAAACAAGAGAGTTCTTAGGGTGCGTGGTGCCGGGATAGTGCCATCAAACCGCCTGACAGCGAACATGTTGAGTGGAAAAGGTAGAAATCAACGAATTACTTGATGTTGATAAAAATGGATGAGAGAAGAAGGGACTGAGACGAAGTGTGACTCTGATTTTCTACGCGCACGCGAGGTGGGGAATATTAGACACTTTTCATCTTGAGTACGTATCAAGACGAACAAGAGGCTTCCTCGCCGTCGCAACTTTTCTATAGTGTGGCCAAGGCTGTAGCTGTACAACTACAGGTATTTACAGCTCGTAAAAAGGACCTGCAGATCATTCGAAAGTATAGCAGAAGATTGGCAACGAATTATACTACAGTGGAGTAGAACGAAATGTCAAACCCTGCGGGGAGCAGCTCCGCTGTACCAGCGGCGGCGGGGCGACCAGTGCTGAAATTCAGCGCAACGGTATCGTCTGCAAATACTTATCTGATCCCCATCTTGAGAATCTGGCTTTGGAGATTACCTCTACGTCCACGCTGCAAACGCAGTTGCAGACGATGGGATGTGCTACGCTCCTGCTGCAAGACTGAGTACTACTGTCGGTGCAGTTTCAAGAAATAGAGAACTTCTACCCGCCGCCCTCTAGTTGTACTTCTATTTTGCATCACAAATTCGCCGCCACGGCTTATGGCTTCTATCTTGCATGACCAGGAGCACACGTCAACACGCGGAAGACGATGGCATGATAACAAAATATTTGCAGTGCATATACGGAAGTGAAGTTCGGGCAACAAATCAAGGGTGAGACCAAGCCGTTCGACCTGTCTAAACCCTTCGGGCTCGCGCCGCCAAGTGGTAATCTTAAATTAATTAACTTGTCATGCAGAGCTTGCATGAAGGTTGCATTTTGTCATGCACAAACCACATCATAAATTTAAAAAATTATCCACCTAGGTGTCGCGGTCGCCAATGCGCCAACGCCAGCGGTAAAACCAGTGTTGCAAGTGGCCGGGAAAGTTTCCTACCCGAGATTAAACGTACTGACTTATATATCTATGCAAGAAAAAAACTGTGTAAGTGTAAATCTGTGATGCAGAAAATGCCAAACAGTTACACTCGTCATGCTCGACATGCATGACCGGCTCGCTTCCTATGTGTTTTCCCTTCGTATCTGCGTATGACAAGTTTGTCCCGTCATGGCAGACAAACTTGTGATGCTCATGCTGTTTTCCCAAAAGACTTACACTAACACGGTTTTTTTCTTGGATATTATCATGATGATGGATCGATTTCTGTTTTATCAATTTCCATTCACTTCACACTTTACTTCACTTAATTTACGAAGAAATCAAAGTTCTGTCAGTTTGTCTTCGCTATCATGCTAGTACTATTTTTGCCCGCCTTCCGTGAAAGAAAGTGAAAGACGAAGACCACCTTGTCTCAACATCAAACAAAAGGTAAAAATATGAAATGCAAAAATGTCTGGGTCTGGAAGAAATCAGACATTTGTCATGCATTTTCTACATCTACAAAAAGGTCTGGAATGCACACAGAGCATGACAAACTCTGTGGAGGCTTCTCCATGTCTATTCCGCATGACAAATGCCCTCTTCTGGAGACAAAATTCGGGTACCTTTTGCTGACTACGCAATACAGATTTTTGCCTGTTGCTGTTCCAGAATCCGCATCACAAGTTCGCATCCTTGCAGACCCAGACATTTTTGCAATCCATAAAAAAATCTCGCCGCCCCGGGTTTAGTCCAGCCACAGTTTCAAGGGCCAGACGGGAAGCCCGCCGTGCCAGCCCCGGACGCAGGCACCACCATCCGCACAAAAGTAATCCGCGCCCCATCGCTGACGGTACGACCCGCGGTGTTGGCGACCAAGGTACCAAGGAATCAGTCGCTTCTGGGCACCCGCGTGAGCCTCGGGAAGGCCCCGGTTTTGGGTGGAGGGGAGCAGTTGGCGCCCATGATAATCGGCCAAACAGAAACGCACGACATTGTGGAAGCAGGTACAGTTTTGTAGATCTATTTTATCTCTACTGTCATGAGCTAGATGGAAGCGCCTGCAAGGGTCTTTGTCACGCATAAGCCTGATAGCCTCATGACTAATAGCGAAAGTTAAAGTTGGCAATGTGCTTACAGTAATTTTTTCAATACGCGATGTTTTTGAAATAGGGTCCCTAGTCGCACACCGGGCGCGGCACTCTCTAGTGCGCGCTTCAGACGTGCATAAAGAGGACCTCGCAGCAGGTGGGAATGAAGACAAAGAAGAAAAGATCATCGGCCTCAACCGATTTTCTATCGTCGCTCCTGAGGATATGACAGCGCACAACTCCTCGCTCTCGTCCCACTGGGTCCCTCGTCACGAAGGGCATAAGAAATTTTTGCCAGCATTGGAAAGAACAGCAGTGGCAATTTTTCCTTGCCGGGACAACTCCCTTCTGTCGTCGCAAATTACGACCATGCAGGGCAGTACATCTGACAGACTGGAACTGGATGATCGGATTTTAGCATGACAAAAAATTGGGGCCCCGGGGAGTGGTTGCGGAGTTCGGTTTTTGTGCACTGTCATAGCGGAGCTGCCGACACCACCGAGAGAGGGTAAAATTCGAAAAGTTTTCCATATAGTTCGCAAAAGAAGTTCTTGTGATGCGCAAATGCTCTTCGAGATTCTGTACCGTGCATGACAAACTACCTCAACAGATGCCGGTGAGCCAGTGGACAAGGAAGCCAACTACGTCCCAGAAGTATCAGATGGGAGATGTTACTTATCGTACAAGCAGATTTAGTTAGTAAATCTGTCATGCCGGTTGGCACATGTACAGTGCCATGTGTCATGCGGAATTGTCAGCATGGATGAATGGAAGTAACTGCCGTTCTACATAGGACCGCAGCATAACAAATCTGCTATATGTAGGGTTTTCAGCATGACACCCACCGGTGGAAGAGGATAACGCGGTAGTGCTGGAAAAGGACGAGGCGCCCCTGAAAATCTTGGAGGAAGTATGGGAGAGAGACAGATAAGATTTGTCATGCGAACTGGCACAACGTGGGGAAATCTGTCATGCGGAGTCGCATAAGAAGTGTGGGTACGGGTAGATTTGCATTTGTCATGCGTACGACCGTCATATTCCGCGTGGGCAGATTTTTTGTCATGCGGAGCCGCGGCGTACTATGCGGCAGACGCAGATCGTTTATTGTGTAAATTACTTGTCATGTTGCCAAATTCAGAAAAGTAATCAAAGTCAACTGTTTCTGTCCCATATAAACCGCAAGACCCGTCGGCGCAGCCGCCGCCCCCGGCGGAGGAAGAGGAAGCCAAAGAGGACGATGCTAAGGAGGAGGTGAAGGAGGAGTGAAATACTTATATGATTTTCATTACTCCAGAAATGGAACTTCGCCGACCTCGACGCAGGTTTTGAATAAGTATTCAACAACGCTTTTTGATTAAAGAATCGCAGCAAATTACTATCAATGGCCTGGTAGAAGGTGATAGAGACCTTTTTTGGCGAAGAGAGTATGTAGTACGAGGAGGTTTTTACTACCTAGCTAAGACGAGGAGAGCGTAGACGAGCAGCCTGGTTATTTTACGTCATTTATTACGTCGCTGCTGGTCCACCAACACCGTAGGGATGAAAATACGCAAAATTACACAATTTTTTCACTAGTAGAACAAATACGTTCGCAGATACTAAGCCTGTGATTGTGAACAGAGGATTATAGAACAAGGCAAAGCAATTTCATCAACACGGAACGTTACAACGTCAAATGATTCCGAAAGAAGAGCGAGATTTTACTCACCCGAAGTTTTTTACAACAACATTGATTGTTTTTTCGAGGAGAAGTCGCCGTTTTTTTTCGCTGTGGTACTACAACTATTTGCAGAGGCGGATGATTACCACGGCTAAGGCAGCTAGAACGAACGACGTCTTTGCATGTTGTGCATAGAACCGGTCTGGTTGTTGTTGTGGGGACCACGGTGAAAGAGCAAACCATTTATGCACAATCAACGAGACTAGCTCGATTGTAGCAGTCGAGAAAGTTAGTACACGATGCTAAAGATACAAGACACAAAATTACAGCCAGTGCCAGGAAGAAAATCATAATTCCCACCGAGAGATGAGGCTATTTCATCTAACACCGCTTTTGTTTATTTGATAGTGGGTATATAGAGTCAGCCGGTGATGACTTCTGCTGTTTTTTGTGAAGGGAGGTTTTTGCAGTTGGCATTTGGACAACTGCAGTTCCCATGTGTGTTCAAGTGACAGTAATAAGTAGTTGCCGATGTAGTTGTAGCGCACACAACCCACACTTTTTTTTTCAGAGCCTGTTGATATCCTCCATCCTCACGAAACGAGGTAAGTACTATACCTTCTATCACGCATGAGGCACGAGATGAATTGGAGACTAGTTTGACATTTTTACGTCGCACAAAACTCATAAGCACAAAACACGAGCTAGATGGATCCATCTGATGAGGCAAAAAATTGATACAAGACCACGACTTGATTCATGACTTCTCATCGGTTAATACACTTCTTACAGTGGCTGCTTATCGATAAGCTGCACCCCCTAGTGAAGACGGATATTTTTTTTCATAAAGCCCCGGCCTCCCCGGAGCCCGATTGACAGAGTTCTCTCCCCAGCTACTCCAAAAATCTTTCACCACGGCCTCGCCGTGTAGTTGTCCTGACTCAGTTTCATCATAAGTATCCCGCACCGGGAAAAAGCTTTTTTTTGCTGTTGTGTATGATTCATTAGGACCACCCAACGAAGTACTGACTGACCAATCTTCTTTTTTCGGTGAAATAAATAACCGGCCCGTGGTCTTCTACTTTTACGGAACGTCCACCGCTGCCGATAGACAACGAAACAGAGTTATACTAAAATACGCTCAAGAATATCAGTTGACGAGGTAGTTGACAAGACACTATTATAATTTGAGCGACGGCAGTACGTTGCGCCAGAAGTACTGATTTATTACCGAGACCATTCTGTATCTCATTCTCACTTTCGGTTGCAACAAATTCTATCTTGCTCATTTGATAGGACGAGGTGACAGTAGACATCGGTACAGCACGACGAGCTGGAAGTAAGTTTACTTCAGTACAGATCCTCTCTACAACTACGACAAAAAGATGGCGCCTTCCGCTCCCAAGCGTCGCGTGCTCGTTATCGGCGGCGGGTTATCAAAAGGACAAATCCCCCCTCCCCATATCAAAACGAAGTTTCTGATGCTGGATTTGCGTCCACAAATCAGCTTTGTCTTGCTAGAGAGGACTGCAGGCCTATGCTGAGCCTGAGTAGGGAGGTTTCGGGCTAGGCGCTGAGCATGGCAAACGTCTAGGCTGTAGGGCCAGCAGCATCACAAACCGCCTGCAGAATGCGGCGGAGCGCTTGGAGTTACGTTCCTGCAAGACGGAGACGATTTGTGGCCACAGATCAGCATTGCAAATTTTCTGAGACGTACCTTTTCGATATGGGGAGGGGGGATTTTTCATTTTGATACGGGTTTTCTGGCCTGCTCGTCGCCAGTATGAGGGTGCACAACTACTGCCCCGCCTGCTCATTTGTCATGTAAAAATGGGTTTTTACCAAATCTTGTCAGAGTCGCTTGGCCATTTTTGCATGACAAGCTCTGGAAGATCACAATTCACTAAGTCTCGAGTTTGGAAGTAGATTATTTGCCATGCAAAGACAGCACTTTCGAGATTGTTTCTCTGTTGCTGGAACAAGTGTACTACAAATGAGGGGGTGGACGAGAGGTTGTGCACTCTCATAGCGCGGGACATGGGAAAAAAATACGATGTCACGGTCGTGGATGCCAAGGAATTTTTTGAATACACACCAGGTTCTTATTTGATTTATGTCTACAACATTTATGTTGCATAACCACGAATCTCGTTCTGAAGGTAAATTCTCATTACAAATTCCATTTCTCATGCTCCGGGAATTTGTCATGCACGGCGAAAACACAATAAGAATAACGCAAAACCTGTCAATTATAGGTATCCTGCGTGCCTACGTGAAGCCGTGCCATTTGGACGCGTTGACCTTTACGCTGCAAGATGTGGTCGAACACAAGATGGGGTGCAAATTCATCTGGGGTGAAGTCCTTTCCCTGAACGGCTCAAGTTTGACCGCTATCGCAAGAAAAAACTGTTTCACTGTGAACTTGTGATGCAGAAAATGAAGCACCAAAGTGTCTTTCTTGCTACACCTGCATAGAACATTGGAGTTTTGTCAACCGTGTAGTTATTTTTGCCGATGCGAAGTGCACGCATGGCAAATATAATTCTGTGTCATGTGTATTAACAAACTTGTAATGCAGATCTTGCAAAATCATCACAGTGAAACAGTTTTTTTTGTGGGATAACCGCGACCGTACAGCCAATGTGCACGGAGCCGGGGCAGACCGAGGAATTGGGTTTCGATTACTGCGTCATCTGCAGTGGCTGCAACTTCAACTTTATGCAAGAAAAAAACTGTGTGAGTGTAAGTCTGTGATGCAGAACAAAGTGCAAAACTGTTTACACTCGTCATGCTGGGTCTGCTTCATAGGCTACTTTCACACGACGTGTTTCCACGTACTAGCTGCGCATGACAGGTTTTTCCTGCTATGCAAAGCGAATTTGTAATGCTATTCTCGCTACAGAGTTACACTTACACTGTTTTTTTTCCTGGATAAACTTCCTGCATCCGCAGGGGGAGTCATTGTGGTACGATTGCGTGATTGCCAAAAGTTCTCAGTTTGTGTTGCAAAATCTCCATTTTAACGACTTCTGGGTTCGTTTGTCTTATGCAAAAAAGAGGATTTCTACTTCGCGGCCACGCAAAAATGCAACAGCTGAGAGGTTGTAACATGCCAGACTAGCATGACAAACTCCCCAAACTTACTTGTCAGGTTCCCCACCGTCCACGAGTGTGGTCGCGCTAACTCCAGCTGGAAGCATATCCAGAGTGAAAATGCCCCAGAGTCAAGATGAGAATTTTGCAACACAAATCCAGAAGCTTTGGCATTCTCGCATGACAAGTTTAGGCTTGCAGTGCAAAACTCGTGCTTAGCCAGCGCAGACGCATCAGAAACGGGAACAACTCTGATCCTAGTGCTAACACGACAAATTATTGTTCCAAAACACCGAGTACAAATCGCTTCGTTTGCTGTTGCTGCGCATGAGGAATATTTTAGGCTTGTAGGATTGCATGACAACTTCAACTTTGGGGTCGTGGGGACGTTTTTACACAGGATAAAGCACATCGACGAACGGTACCTGGAGGTATCAAATGCAAAAATGTCAGGGTCTGGAAGATTCTGAGACTTGTCATGCACGTTTTGCATGGGCCATGATGCGTGTGATGCATGCCCTAGCATCACGGACTTTTTGAGGGCTTCGCGATGCCTATTCCGCATGGCAAATGCTCTGTCCGCGTGGCAGATTACATTCCCTTTGCTGCTCATGCAATACAGATTTTTTCGGAGTCCAAATGCAGCATCACAAGTTGCATTCTTCCAGACTCAGACGTATTTGCAGTTGATAGGAGGGTCGCCGCCGCCACATCTTAGAGGAGCATGCTAAAATCGCGGAACTGAACAAGATATGCAGATTGCAAAAGTACTTCTTATCGCTCTACTAGTGCAGTAAAATGCATTTTACAAGAACACGAGCGAATTTTCTCGGAAAGAAAAATGGACTTTGTGGTGCTGGTTCGGTGAAGAAAGTAGATTCGTCATGTCGAAGACATTGGAACAAGTACAAGTACGATAATTACAACTTTTGCATTGCATACGAAAAAGCAGCGACACTGCTGATCTGCGGCGCCGGGTTTATTGGTGTCGAGTGGGCGACGGAACTGCAGTATGGGATTTTTATTTTGTTTCAAAGTTTTCTTTGGTCATACAGGATGGACTAGTGGCCGTAGGAGGTACTGCACTGCCCGGGATTCTTCGTTACAGTAGTACCATCTGCGACGTTCTTGCAGTAGACATTGGATTATTTTCCACCGACATTGAGATGTACTACTACTATCTCGCGCAGAAAAGGACCCAATAATCGTGGGATAAAAAAAGAGCCATCTGCTGTACAAACAACAGGTACTTCTTCCCTAAGCTGAAAATCACCATCATCGATTTCTTGCCCAATTGTCTCGGCCCACTCCCAGTGAAAGCGCAGGAGTACTGCGACGCCTACATGGCCAAAGTCGGAATTAAGACAGTATACGGTGTAAAGTACGAGCCAAAGTCGCAGGACTTCTGGAACAAGATCGGCCTGCCATCGGGCGCAGACGAGACCTACATCTGCATGGGGGTATCAAATGTAAAAATGTCTGGGTCTGGAAGAATTCACGTTTTTCATCCTTGTCTGGCATGACTCTTAAATCTGTCGTGCACGTTACCCAAGAGCTCCGTTTTTCTGTGAGGCAGAAGCGCAGTTTGTCATGCAGAATAGGCAACACCTAGGAGCTCAGAAACTTGTCATGCTGAGCCAGCATTTGTAGCCTCATCATGAGGCGCCACCCAGCATCACAAGTTTCCAGACCCAGACATTTTTACTTTTGATAGGGAGTGAAGGCGAGCAACTACTTCATGCCAAAGGAAACCTTGTCGGATAAGGGTAAGTACAGCATACACTAGTACTAGGCCTTTTATTCGTGATGCATGCTGCGCATGACAAAACTTTTTGTGATGCATGCTGCGCATAGGGAGAAGTCTGTGTACCCATCAAATAAACACAGGTCCGGGCGGCGGCGGCTGGATCTACATGAACAAGAAGCTGCAAGTATCCAGTGGAAAAACGTCCCCACCGCAGGAGAGTTGTCATGCTATTCTTCACGCCTAAAATGTTTCTCATGCGCAGCCCTATGTATGAGGAGCATTTTTTGATGCCTCGCATTTTCTGATGCTGTTTTGGGATATGTCATGCTCGAATCAGGATGAGGTAGACGATTTCTGATGCGATTGCTCTAGCTAAACAGGACTACAACTACCCTACGAGCCCAAGCTTGTCATGCGCGACAGCCAAAACTTGTAGATTTGTGTAGCAAAAGGAAAAATCCCCTTCTTGACTCTGGGGTGGAGACGTTTTTCCACAGGATAGCAAGTAACCACGGCCTCCGGCGAAGTGTGGGGCAAGGGCGTCATTTATCCCACGAAGAAACTGTTTCACTGTGAACTTGTGATGCATGGAACAGAACACAAAGCTATTTGTCTTGCTACACATGCAAGACATTAGGTTTTTAAGGGTGTTTTCCCTTGGGAAGTGCGCATGGCAAATTTTCTGTGCCATGTGGAACAAAGTTGTGATGCAGATCTTGCAAAATCATCACAGGGAAACAGTTTTTTACTGCGATATCATTTTCGCTGCGGGTGATTGCAACTACGGCTGCGTGGGCAGCCCGAGCAACTGGGAGCTGCACCCCATATGACCCGCTCAAGCGTTACAATCCCAAAGCGGTTACCATAGACTCTGGATTTTGTCTTGCATGACGAGCATGACAGAATCGCAGAGCATTCCACATGCTGCAATACAAATTTCCACAGATTCTAGTGCGGTTTGGTTTCTCCGAAACTTGTCATGCGCAATCCTGTGAGAGTAGGTTAGCTCATGCACTTCTTGCATCACAGATTTCCATATTCTATGGTAACCGATTTGAGATTGTAACGCTTGAGCAAGTTATACCCTATCCCGAAAATCTCTTACCCGTCCGAGGAACAGGCGACGCAGATTTGCAAACAGTATAGATAATTTTTGTTGTAGTTTGTGATGCAGATTTCCATTCGCATGCGTTGACGTATCTATTTGAATCGTTTGAATGCGTTGTACTTACGTTGTGTGCATGACTGATTTATGGTAGTATTCGTTTTCCGCATGACAAACCGCAGGATCGGCATCCTGGACAACGTCAAGTACGGGTCCGGGGGCTGCCTGGGCTGCTGCATGCCGAAGCAGCTGAAGGACACGTGGTGGCCATGGGGCGCGTATCAAATGCAAATATGTCTGGGTCTGGGAGATTGCAAGACTTGTCATGCAGGTTTTCCATGACCCATGAGGTCTGGAATGCGAGACCGAGCATGACAGATTCTTCGAGGTCTCTATCATGCCTTACCTGCATGAGAGACTCCGTCTCAACTTGGGCAAAAGCGGACAGCTTTTGGTAGTCACGCAACACAGATTTTTGTGTCATTCAGCCTCCAGAGCCAGACGTAGTTGCAATGCATAGCGCGGGTATGTTCGCCACCAGTCTCGGTCCGCATGACGCCTGCTTCGTGATCGCCGCTATGCATTGCAAGTATGTCTGGGTCTGGAAGAGTGCCAGACTTGTCATGCAGGTTTTCCATGACCCATGAGGTCTGGTATGTAGGACATAGCATGACAGTTTCTGTGAGAGCTCTATCATCCCTTATCCTGCAGGAGAAACTGCCTCTCGATTAGGTCAGAAGTGCACAGCTTATGGTAATCATGCAACACAGATTCTTACATGATTCAGATTTAGCATGACAAGTTGCTTTGTTCCAGACCCAGACATTTTTGCAATCCATAGCCGCAAACCACAAGCCAAAGTCGGGCGTCATGTGCGTGTGGGGCTGGCCGTGCGCGATCCAGAAGGAGCTGATTGAGACCACCAAGGTGGACGAGTGCCAGATGGGTCTCATCGGGTTGATGATCTGGCACTTTGTGCATCACACCCCCATCCACCTGTTCGGGGACGGACGGTTCAAGTAAAGGGGCGCGCCTATGCATTGCAAAAGTACTTCCATCGCAGACTCGTAGCAATTGCAGATCATGGCATGACAGATCCGGGTTTTTATAGTACCTGAACCGGCATGACAAGTTGCATGTTCCACTTGCTGGACTGAAATTTGCCATGCAATCTCTACTAGTTGTGCGGTTATACTTTTGCAAGGCATACCAGCATCTGTGGTGAATAACAAGATCCTCTAATACCGGAATAAAAGCAAGCACCTATTTTTCACTCAATACTTTTATACTTCTTCAACAGCAAACTTTTTGAAAGCATCAAAGGTACAAGAACAACAAGACCCAAAGGCTCGATTTGATAATTTCTTTTTTTTTTCACGACGACCCTTACAACTACAAGCAAGGGTAAGTAGTGGTCTGCTCCAGAATTACGGATTTCAATCTGTCGACTTCTGATGAAAGGAATAACGGCGAAGTTATCCGATTTCGGATAAGAAGGGTGCAGCTGCATTGCCTTCAGACTGGAGCAAAACTATCTACAAATTTTTCCATGAGTTTTACTTGACCGTAGATGTTGAAAACAGAGTACATTGTAAGGGTGCTCTGTTGGTGGTCCTTTCGACAGAAAAATGATAAGTACAGTCCACAACTCCATCCTCGCTGTATCAAAATCTTCTTAACAACTCTGCAGGTCGTTTCGGCGCCCGGCTGAGTTAGTAAACCTTGTGGTTGCATTTTTAAGGGCATCGAACAAGAACCACAAGAAAAGAAGAATCTTCAGGATGAGTTGTGCAAATTCTACTTTACCTCATTTTCACATATAAAAGGGAAAAAGAATCTAGTTTCGATTGACAGTCACGAGGAAAATATATTTCTATTTCACCATCACTTCCCCGACGTAGAAGAGCATTTCTTGGCCTCTCCATAATTTCTTCCTACCTTACAACTTATTCTCCCTCTACCGATCAACAAAGTTAAAGGAACCATGTCAAGAAACTTTGTGTAAACTTTAGATCATTATACTGAAGAAGTCTATTCTCAGTTTCACAAATGACGACTATGCTATCGACCCCTTTGTCCTCCTGCCGAGAAGAAATCTGTGATCATAAATCGTGTCCACTAGCTTAATAAAGGCGATGCAAAAATTTTCCGCCCTCTACGTCGGGCGAAGAACTACAGGAAAGAAAGAAAGTATCATTGGATAGCGAGAGAGGATGTCAGGAATGGTGTCAACACTTCACTCGAGATGGATTATACAATGACCCTCCTGGACAGCTTTCTGGTCCAATGTACTTAGAAGCCTACTTCAGTGCAGCAGGTGGACCTTGATTTCTATACGTTGATGTTTTGGTGTTCAGCCAAGTACAAAAATCCGCTTGCGTGTTAGGCAATTTTCTCGTGTGTCCATGACGTCGCACTAATATCACAGACTGCAGCGCCTTTACCTCAAAGCGTGGACGACAAATCTTGCAATTTTTCGGTCCGCTAGATCGATGGTTGCAAGGCTTGCGATCCGCTAGTACCAAATGTCGCACATTGGACGCTTATTTTATTGCCGCTCCTCGTCCACATCGTACTATACTTTTGATTGACGAGACTGATCTATCATCGTGATCGTGATCAACAATCACTGTGCAGCTCGTAGACATGATTCGTTTGTCGTGGGCCGTCAAAGGGTCGTGGATTTTCGAATAAGATTTGCCATCGGTCTAGTTGTTGTCGGTGTACATAGACAAGCCTGCTCTACTACTTACACGACCTAGTTGTACTTAAACTCGTCCATCGAATATTACATCCAAGATTATTTTTGGTGCTGGTCGTGGTACCTGCTCTCTGTGCAAGAAGATTGATAAAAACACTATATTCTACTCGAAGGTGAAAGAACAATTTCGAAGATAGGAATTGTAGACTACCTCAGTGGAGGTGTGGGTGCCACATAATCGCACTTACAACCAATTGCAACTTATTAAGAAAGGTTTTTTTGTGAACAACAAGAACTTGTGGACAATTTGGTCGTGCGGCTCTACTTTATTTGACTCCTCCGATAGTTCTGTCACGACACTTCCGTAGTATACCTGCCTCGGTCGTTGTCACAGGACGTAGTAGAGGAAAGAAGCTCCAACTGCTGCATTGAAAAAATATTTTCAGAAATGGCAAGAATCAATACAAATGCAGAAGTATGCCGAGATGGAGCTTCCTGTCGTTTTCATCTTCTTTACCAGCTTCGGTAACTTCCATCCAGACCGAAGACTGTTCCTGAAGGCCGGCACTCGGGAGTAAGTAGTACTAGCTGGTGAAGACTTTCTTGCAGCTTGCGAGGGCCGCATCAGCAAAACTGTTTTACCACACGAGAAAAGGTGGACAATAAGCTGCAGAAGAAGTCAAGTACTATAGAGATCATACCGACTTACAACTACGACCACCCAGCTACCCGTCTTCCCTACTACTCTCAGCTAAAGCTGCACGAAGATGAGCAAGCGCTTGTCCACTGTCTCAGGGACGAGCAGTAACGCCCCGAGCACGCGCCCGTCGGCGTCAAACAAAGCGACTTCGCGGGTCATGGTAGACACCACAAACGACTGCAGAAAGGACCGGATGGCCGATTTGCGGAGAGCCGCGGGGGTCACCGAGGAAGAAGCACAGTTGGCGGTGGAAATGGGATACGCGGGCGACGGATCCGAGGATTCGGTCCTGCTCCCGCTACTTTCACGCAAGAAAACGGGGGCGGTATCGTCGACCAAGGTGTCCAAAATCACGCGGGTACTGGCGGACATCGAGAAGGACATAAACGAGTACCTCGAGGACCTGGGCACGCTGACACACAACATCTCCGTCTTTTCCCGGGAAATGAAACGGGCAGTGACGCGCGAGGAGGAGGCGAAGATAACAAACGAGATGAAGGCCTCAGTGGACCAGGCGAAGGTGTATAACGCGAAGGTCAAGAACTGCTTGGACGATCTCGAGTCTCTGCAGAAGACGAAAAAGAACGCACTCACAACCTCGGAATTGGATTATTGCGGAAAAATCATCCAGATCAGCTCCGTGAAATTCCAGGATTCAGTATTGAACTGTTCTTTTTGATTTTATGCCGGTCAGTCATTGTAGCTTAGAACCTCTTTTGTCATGCAAGGTGGCAAACGAATACAGATGCACAAGTGAAAGTGAAAATGTGAAAAAAATGGTTTATCTACTTTATGCAGATCAAGAGCCTCCTGAATGCGCAGTCCGAATTCGACCGGGAGCACAAGGGAAAAATGAGGCGACAGGTGCGTATTTTGTACCCGGAGGCAGCGGACGCAGAGATAGAAAAATTGCTCGAGGGCGAACCGGAAGTCATGAAGAGTATGCATTGCAACTGACAAAAATGTCTGGGTCCTCCTCTGAAAGGGTGCGAACTTGTGATGCGGATTCTACTGGAACAGCAGGGATGGAACAGAAAAATCCGTACTGTGTGGTACTTAGTCAGCAAAAGATGAATTATGTGCCAAGTTGGGCCGCACCCGCAGGAGATGCTGGCATAAGTTCGCATGCTGACAGAGAAACCTCACCTCCGCAGGATTACTTGTTTGTCGTGCTCTTTTTGCATTCGTCCAGATTTTTTGCGGACGCAAAACCTGTTCGGCAAAAAATGTTTGTTCCCTTTGTCCCGACCCAGGCACAAAATTTGCATTCGATACAAACCTATCCTGTGCAAAAGTATCGTACTCGTATAAATGCAAGTCTTACATTACAATTTTTTTTTCTAAGGTAAATCCGCACGACAAATTTCATTTCTCATGCTGAGGGAATTTGTAATGCATTTATACGAGTGCGATATCTTTGTAATGCATAAAACCATGTTCGAGCAGAAATTCAAGCGAGGCCAGGGCGGCGCACGTAGTTTTGCTTTTGTTTGATGGATTGAAATTAATATCTGCGGTTTTGCAAGTTTTGCATCGCAAGTTCTTCGGTACACGTGATAGTACAGAGAACTCGCTAGGAGATATTGTTCCCAAGGGAAAACACGCATCCAAACGCATTGTCTTGCATGTGTAGCAATACGTGCCGTAGTTCCATTTTCAGCATCACAAAGAAGTTTTTCCTTACGTTGGACATGGAATAGCAATGAATTTTCAACATCAACACAGAAGTGGAGGACGACCACACGCTGCATGAAAACCTGGAGCTGTTGAAGTCCCAGCACGACGACATGATATCGTGAGAAAAAACTGTCAACTTGTAATGCGGAACTTCCTTGATGAAGCAGTTTTTTGTCATGCTAGAGATGCAAGAAAGGGCTCTTCCGTTCTATGTTGTTTCTTCTCTTGCTGTCTGAACGCATCAGGACTCACTCTTGCTGGTTCGCAAATTTGTATTGCTGAGTCCTCTACAATAAAAGTTTGATACTGTCTGAGACAGTTTTTTCTGGCGATATTTGATGGAGTTAGAACAGTCCGTGATTGAGCTGAACGAGCTCTTCTTCTATCTGGCCGCGCTGGTGGAGGCACAGGCGAAGACATTGCACTCCATCGAGGACTAAGCACTGCAAATATCGAACATCTGGGTCTGGAAAGTTCGAATTTGTATAATGCTGGTCGTGCATTCCTGTCGAGTGCAAATCTGTATTGCATAACCAACAAAGGTCGCGCCCTCTGCTTCTGATGCGGGCTGCGCATGAGAAAGCTTGTTCTGGAAAGTTGGCATGCTTGGCTTCGTTCGGAAGTTTTTCCCTCATGCAAGCATATTTTAGCATCACAACTTTTCACCAGACCCAGACACATGATTTGCATTTGATAGGGACAGTGTCAACAAGACCGACAACTACGTCGGGGAAGCGGTGGTGCGACTGGCGCAGGCGGAGAAGTCCAAAAAAGCCTACGAAACCAAGAGAAGCTGGCTGAAAAGCGGATTTGGGACCCTGATGATTGTTGGAATCATCATTGGGGTTGTGCTTCTTTTCATTTTCTGCATCAAGCCGCTCCTAGACGCGAAGAGCGCTGTGACGGGATGATCCTGAGTTTGTTTCGGGACTACTTTTTGCAAAATTTAATAAACGTGCATCAATTACAACTATACTTTTAACCATTTGATATTTCGAATTCGAAGAAGAAGAAGATCATTCTCATTGTCCATCTTCATAGCTGAGGTAAAAACTACATCAAGCACAGACCGTTTGAAATAGTATTCAAGTTGCAGAGGATCTTTTTACAGGTAGACCAAAATTAACTTTGTGCGGCACAATTCTTTTTTGTACTCGCCGTTATTGTAGATGTTGATCATCACCGAAGATCTCATCTGTACAGTATGTAAGAAAAACTGCGGCTTTTTTGTCTCCGACTATACACAAACAAAATGCACAAGGAGGACGAGCAAAAATGCATACATCTGTTACTTGATACGTACTCATGACATTCAAGCAAACAAGCGCCTTCTGGTGCTCCACTTGGTTGTACTATTTCAGAAGTTTTTTTCGGCTTTTTATGTGATAATGAAATAAATCTGTCATGGATGTGGCTGGCCTGTACAAAAGTTGATAGTGGTGCGAAGAACCGTTTTTATACACCCTGTACACAAAGTTGTTTCTGACCACAGCGCTGGCAGCAGATATAGACGAAAATACGCACTACTAGGCGTTGTCTTGCGAAAGGTAGAAGTCGTGGTGGGGCCGCCACGGATGTTCTTGTTCTAGCACCTAGTATCTGTATCAATTATCTGTTCTGTTTCAACGTATCAATATAAGCGTCATTTCTTGTTTGAACACAAGGGCGACATCAAGAAAGTGAAAGATAGAAGAAACAACCTAGCAACAGTAACTTCCGCCGGTACAATGCTCCTACACGGCACCGACCACTCTGAACAAGTATTTCCAGATCCAACATCGCATTCTGACACGAGATCCGCACGTCTGTCTCTTTCGCTTGCATAACTACCGCATTTGACCATGTTCCAAAGCCTTATACCGAAAAAAGAGAACTAGTGATAAACGACTCCCTGAAAAGTGTGTCCTTAGAAGTTCATGATCACGACCGACGATTTACACTAGGGCTGCAATTTCGCCGACCTCTCAATCGATGATCGTATCAGCAGCGACCACAACTACATCCAACATTTTTGTCAACTAGTAGCTGATATTTTTACACAGAAAGAACAAGAAGCTGTAGTATAAGAATGTTGGCGGGTCTTGTTTTTCATTTCAGCGACAGCGACGAGGGTTTTAATAAAAGGCTTTCATTTTGTAAACCGAAGTAGAAGTACAACTACTACCCTAGTATTATCGACAATCTAACTACTGAAGACCATGAACGACACCGCTATTACCGCCCGGTTCCGCTCCGCCTACGCGGACTATTGCGCGCAGTGCTACGGAGCAGGGGATGTGAAAAACTCTTTCCAGCAGGAACATCAAAGCGACCACCTTCGCACAAGAACTACAGCGACATCAAGGAGCACGTCAGCCTCGCTGCCGTTTCTGCAGACCCTAGCGGAGGTGATAAAAACCGAAGCCGCACTACAGCAGGCCGCGGCTAGCACCGATAGTACTACGGCGCTTGGGGGAAGCAACAACAGTGGCGATGTTGTATTGCAAGGAAATAATACAGCATCAACTTCTAGCCCCACAGCGGACTTCGATTTCGCGGCGCAGATCCGCCTCAAATTGGAGCCGTGCCTGATCTATGCATTGCAAATATGTCTGGGTCTGGAAACTCAAACTTGTAATGCTGGGTTGTGAATAGTGAATGCTCTGTAATGCACAGCCAAGCATGAGAAATATTTGCGCGGCTTAGTGTTGCACTTCTTCGCGCATGACAAACTGCGTTTTTGCATGACAAGCAAACGGGTCTCTTCTTGAACACGCATCACAAACTCTTCAGTCATGCCAGACAAGCATGGCAAACCTTGCATCCTTCCAGACCCAGACATATTTGTATTTGATATGATCAAGCTGATACAAGAGGTTTTGCTTGGGAAAATTCCGCCAGGGGGCGATGCTAGTACAACTACTCGTCGGGAAGTAGAACAGGATCATGATGATGCCACAACTTCTCATCTTGTCGACCTGTCTGCAGTATTGTCCTCGGCAAACAATCTGTCCGTCACAGCCGAGGAAGCGGTGCTGAGTTTCATCGGCAACGGAATCATCGGCTTCGGGCAGTTTCTCTCCACTGAGCAAGCATTTGACGACGCGGAATTTGCGAAGCTCCGGAAAACGCTTGGGTGCTTGATCGGATCATCCAGTGCGAGGAAGGACCAAATCGCCGGCAATTTCACCTCCTCCGCGGCTAGTAGTGGAGAGGAAATAGTAAGTGGCGTTGTAGCTGCTGGGGGACAGGATGTTGAAGCGGACGGCAACACGGAAGACTTGCACTGGACTCGAGAATATCACCTGGTAATAGTGAACTTGTTTTATCATTTGATGACTTTGACGAGGACTTTGTGAAGATGCAGATTTGCTTCTACAAGGAGTAGGACCTTTTGAAAAATGCAAAAATAAACCCATGAAAATAAAAATCAGTTCCTCGCAATGACCCACTTGGCCTTCGACCTGTTCCAGGAAGTGGTGAAGTACGCGCACGAGGGGAACTTCGAGAATTTCCACTGCTGTTTCATCGAACTGGTTTCCAAAATGGACATCATGATTAAAACTGCGGATACTATCAAATGCAAATATGTCTGGGTCTGGAAAAAAGCAGCGCTTGTCATGCATGTTTCGCATGACCCATAATGTCTGTGATGCATGCCCTAGCATCACAGATTTTTGAGGGCTTTCTGATGCTTGTACTGCATGAGAAATGCCCTCTCCGTGAAGCAAAAAACGGACCTCTTTTGCTGGTCACGCAATAGTACAGGTTCTGTGTAGAATCCAGACGCAGCATCACAAGTTGCATTCTTCCAGACCCAGACATATTTGCAATGCATAGATACCGCCGTTCTGCGACAGGACGAGAAGATCACGCTGTCCCACAAGCGCAAGGAATTCGTCGAGAAGATGCTGGAAGAGAAGCGGTATGCACTGCAAATAATATGTCCGGGTCTTTGCAACTTGTAATGCAAGTCAGTCAATGACGAATGCACTGTATTAATGCGTCGCCAAGCATGACAAGTTTTTTCGTGCTGCTGTGCTGCGTATTCCGCATGAGAAACTGTGTTTTTGCATGACAGGCGAGAGCAGCGCCTGTTTGTGGCCACGCAGTACAGAGTTACGGGGTCATGCCGGACCAGCATGACAAACCTCGGAATCTTCCAGCCCAGACATGTTTGCAATGCATAAGCGGAAAAAAGAGGAAATCGAGAAGAAAAAACTCGAGGAGGAAGATATTACAGTGAAAAGTGCCCCCCACCCCTAAATTGCAAAAATTTGTGATGCGAACTTTCCAAATGAAAACTTTTTGCCATGCATGAAAGGAGTATGAACCTTTCGGATGCAGAATGTAAGCGTGTATCGCATCGCTTGCATGACAAGTTCCGCTCTTGCTGGGGTCTTTTGCAATACAAATTTTTGCCATTCACGATTGAAAACCTGCGATGCTGATAGATGCAAGAGGGCGTTGTGTTTCATTTGGAAAGGTTTGCAATACAAATGCTCCCAAGTTCGGGGGTGGGGGCATTTTTCATTGTAATAGAAGAGAAAAAGCGGCTCGAGGCGGAGGAAAAAAAACGCAAACTAGCGGAAGAGAAGGAGAAAAAGGAAGAGAAAGCGAAGGAAAACAATAAAGAGAAGAAGGAAAAGAATAACGTGGAGGATGGCACAGCCGGTAATACTGGTTGGACAACAAGTACGGACGAGAAAGAGAAGGACAATACCAAAACGAAAGAGGAAAAAACCGATCTAGATACTAAAGTAGAAGACAATCCCCAAGCCCAAGCTGCTGCTGGAGAGGAAGCAAATAAAACATCAACTGCCGACTATGCTCAGTAAAAACGTCCCCAACCCAGGGTTGTCATGCAAATCTGCATGCCAAAAAAGTCTCTCATGCGGAGCCCCATGAGAAGCATTTTCTCTTCGCGTTTTGGAGTTTGTGATGCTAGAATCAGCATGATATGCTAGCTCTGTGATGCTGCTGAACTAGCGAAACAGGATCACACTATTAGGGCAAACTTGTCATGCGAAACAGCGAAAGCTGGTTGATTTGTCTAGCAGATTTCCCATCTTAACTCTGGTGTGGGGATGTTTTTACATAGGATACCGACGACACGAAGTTAAAGAAGGTGAAAGCGCTCATGTCCCGGGATCTGTCCCTCGACGAGATCGATCTGAATCGGCTCGCTTCGAACGACAAGAAAAAGTCCAAGCAATTTTCCGCGAAGACCTTCGACTACAACCGGGTCGCACATCTTCCGGACGTGAAGCCCAGTATGAAGCAGGATATCAACGCGAAGGTCGAGGATTGGTCCGACAGCAAGTATCGTGAGGAAAAATCCCCCCTCTCCATACTCACAATGGAAATTTGTGATGCTGATTTGTGACCACGAGTCAGCCTCAGCTCTGTCTTGCATATGAGGCAAATGGGATCTTCCGTTTGGCGCATTCCACAACCAAGCTGTCGTGCACTTTTGCCTACTGCAAAGCTGTCAGTCATGCCTGAGTGCTAGCCTTTTGCATAGTACCTAATTAGGCTCAGGAAATGCCTGCAAGCGCTTGCTGCAATACAGCGCTGATTTGTGTAGTACACAAATCAAGCACCAGAAATTTCCGTTTCAATATGGGGAGAGGGCTTTTTTCACTTTGACAGCAAGTATTTTCTCCTCGCAAACACGCCCTTCACCCTGAACCAGTTTAACAACAACGAGTACCTGGAGATCCAAACCATGAAGAAGCAGCAGTCCCTGTTTTTGCAAAACGCGTACTCCGCGCACTACAAAACCACCCTCGCGTATGCAAGAAAAAAACAGTGTAAGTGTAGCTCTGTAATGCAGAGCATGCAACAGAGTCGCGCCTGTCATGCCAGACAGCCATGAAGTCCTCCGCTCCTGTGTGTTTTCCCTTACAAGCCACGCATGACAGGTTTTGTCTGTTATGTAGAGCAAATTTGTGATGCTGTCTGCCAAAGAAGGTTACACTAACACAGTTTTTTTCTTCGATATCGCACTCGCACACTTAATCAAGACCTACGGGGACCGGTTGTGGTTGTTTGGCAAGGGAAGTGGCAACGACGCTGCCCTGTCCGTGATGGAACATCAAATTGGCGGAAGCAAAAGCAGCGCAGCCAGCACCGATTTCGACTCGGAGGACGAGGGGAGTGAAGAGTTGGGCCTTGATCAACATGAGGTAACACAAGAGGACGACGCCGCCAGCCTTGCAGGAGATGACCTTAATCTAAACGACTTTCAGCTCTCTGCGACCGCGGCTGCTGCCTTCGCTCAGGAGGGCAGTACAAGTTTGAATACTACAGCATTGTCCGGTGTAGTTAACCAGAAAGACATGGAAGCGGTGCTGACAGCAGAGGCGCGCGCTTCGTCCTCATCATCTTCTGCTGAAAATAAACTAGAGGAAAACAAGGATCTATTCAACCTCGATTCCTTTGGGTACAAAGAATTGAAGAAGGGGAAAGAAATCTTTTCTTCTCCAGCCGGAAGGGAAGAATCTGCAGGGTTGGACAGCGATTTGAGCAGTAAAAACGTCGTTATGCACAGGCGCGGCCCTCGCAATGGGTCGAAAACAAGCAAGCAGCGGTCAGAGAGTAAGTCCAAGGATCAGCGAAACAGAGGCGAGGGCCATCAGTTGGGAGATCATGACCAGAACCTGATCTCCCCCAATCTCGACGACGAGCTGATGCAATCTTTGAACTCGCAGAAAAATCTGGAGGACATTATTAACGAACAGATCCGAAGCAACGAGACCGCGTTACAGCTCGCGGACAGTGGGATTATCTCGCCTAAAAGCGCCGTGCTGACAGGGGGCAAAATGACGAAGGGAAGTACTAGTAGACACGACGAAGTACTAGAAGATGCTGACCACGAAGTTATTGATATTGCCGCGACTTCTAAAAAGAAGCAGAAATACTTTGACAAATTGGAGCTGTTCAACGAGTACCGGCAGGATGCGTATCGGGTCTTGGAGCAGGGCTTGGAACTGGAAAACAAAATGATCCGAAACATCCAGAGATTTTCAAAACCAAACATTCTGAACCGATACGGTGAGCCTGTGCAGAACTTTCTGTACCAGGTGTTAGCCTCCGCGTTGAAGAGCAGCCCGGCTGCGGCTGGGGCGCAGTTGCCCGGAGCTGCTTCGAAGACCACAACCGGGGCCGCGGGAGCAGCAGGAAGTGCGGCTTCCAAAATAAAGGGAACGGCTGACAAGCAGGCAAAGTCCCTCGGTCCAAAGTTGTTGACCCAGTCCGGCCTGATTCCGGATTTGCAAGATAGCACGACCACGCAAGACATCTTCACCGTCCAGGGCTTTCACACACTGTTGAAGCAGATTGACCAGAAACTCGAGCAGAAGCAGGTTAATTCATCCGGGAATAATACCGCGGCTTCATCCTCTGCGAAGAAACAGAAGGTCGCTTCGAAGTTTGAGATGTTCCAAAACCTGAAAATTCCCGAGGAGAGGCTGCAGAAGTACCTCGATTTGCTGAAGTGCGTTTTCCGGAACAAGCAGATGGTGAAAAAGCAGTATTCCTGGGTCAAGGCCGACGAGGAGGACGAATCCCCCGTTCCCCAGCCGCCGAAAAACTTCTACGTGGCCTCGAAGGTGACGGAACAGCAGGAAGCCGCGAAAAAGCGGAAGCTGGAACGGGAGCAGTCGGAGAAGAACGGGTTACTCAAAAAGCGGAAAGTGTGCACGCTGATCGCGACGAACCCCATGGAGACCGTCGAGGCCAAGGACAGCGAGTCCGTACTCGCCAATCCAGTGGGTTCGATTCACCTGTCGAAAGATCTGCGCCCGCGGGCGTTGAAAGATTTGCACGACATGGTAAAAAAGCACAACGCTGTGACGGATACCTACAATCCGCAGACTATCCTGTGGAAAAACGTCCCCACCCCATAGTCAAGATGGGAAATCTGCTAGACAAATCAACCAGCTTTGGTTCTTTCGCATGACAAGTTTGCCCTCGGAGTGTAATCCTGTTTAGCTAGTTCAGAAGCATCAAAGATCTAGAATGTCATGCTGATTCCAGCACTACAAATTCCAAGACACGACTAGAATATGCTTTTCTTTTTTCGCATCAAGATTTGCATTGCAACTCTGGGATGGGGACGTCTTTGCTCACCATACAGATGAATGCAGGGAAAACGCGAAACGACATGAGCGACGCGGTTGTGAAGACCAACGTGGTATCCGCGTTGAATTTGTTCGATTTGACGGAGCAGGATATCCACAAGTTCCAAATCCCGCCGAAAATTCACCAACTCCGGGATTCCCAGCGGAACAACGCGAACGCGATAAACCGCGTGAAGGCCCTGGAGGAGCAGCAGAACAACGCGAAGTTATCCTATGTAAAAATGTCCCCGCCTCCCCAGAGTCAAGATGGGATATCTGCTACACAAATCAACCAGCTTTGGCTGTTTCGCATGACAAGTTCTTTGGCCTCCTACTGTGCTTAATCCTGTTTAGCTAGTTCAGGAGCATCAGCATCACAGACCTAGCCCATCATGCTGATTTGTGCGTCACAAATTCCAAAACACGACTAGAAAAGGCTTGTCATGGGGCCGCTCCGCATGAGAAACATTCTAAGCATGCGCATTTGCATGAGAACTCTGGGGTGGGAACGTTTTTCCTCAGGATAGACGTCGCGGCTGCACTACCTCTTCTGGAACATCGTGATGAAGCACCTGAATTCCGACGCCATGCTGAATGAGCTGGAAGAGGCTGCGTCGCGGAAGCAGGAAATATCGCCCGTGTACAGTAAGTGGGCGAAGAGCTGCTTCTATCGAATGCAAAAATGTCTGGGTCTGGAAGAGTTCGAATTTGTGATGCGAAGTCTACATCGTGCCAAAATCTGTCATGCATGGCTAGCAAAAGGCCTCAGTTCTTGTTTACCGAAAGAGGGGATTTGTCATGCGGATTAGGCATTCGGGTACCTCTACCTGCTCAACATCTGTGATGCTAGAGCTTGCATGCTAGACGATCTGGGCCAGGCAAAAACTGCGTGACAGATCTCGCTTTCGTCCAGACCCAGACACTTTTGCACTTGATAGCTTCCTTTGTCTGGACTACATGCAGGAAGTGCAGGCGCACTACACGGTGGTATATCCTGTGCAAAAGTATCGTACTCGTAGTAATCGCAATCATGCATTACAAATCTCCCTCTTAACCGAAATCCGCATTACAAATTCCATTTTTCATGCTGAGGGAATTTGTCATGCGATTTATACTAGTACGATGCTTTTGCATTGCATATGGTCCCGCAACGGACGAAAGTGCCGACGGTTTCTGCGAAGAATTCGAAGCACATTCTATCCTGAGTAAAAATGTCCCCACAGCACCAGAGTCAAGTTGGGAATCTAGCAACACAAATCTCCAAGTTTTGGGAGTTGTGCATGACAAGATTCCCTCTGCAGTGTAGTGCTGGTTGGCAACGGAACCCGCATGAGAAAGCCACTTTCTCATCCTGTTTACAGCATTACAAATTTACCAAAACTACACGATTGGAAATGCCTCTCACGGAGCTGCGCATTACAAATCGATTCCTGTCATTGCACAGTTGCATGACAACTCGGGAGTGGGGATTTTTTTACTCAGCATACATTCCCTTCGGAGAACCGGTGAACCAGTGGCAATATGCGGCGCACTATCCCACGAGAAAAGTGTTACAGCTACTTCAACATTTGCTGTAACTTCAGCATCACAAGTTTCCTCTGCATGACAGAGAAAAGTTGCAATGCAAAGATCACAAGGGAAAACAGGAAGGAAACGAGGCTCCATAGCATTTCCTGCATCAGAAAGGTTGTCTGTGTTGCCGGTCTTGCACGACAAAGTGTAACTGTAGCACTTTTTTCCTTGGATACGCACAAGGGGACCAACGGGGTCATGAACCAGCAGGCAAAGTCGATTTCGAATTCCGGGTTATGAAATGCAAAACCATTGTATTATCCATCGTATAAATGCATTACAAATATCTTAGCATGAGAGATGAAATTTGTAATGCGGATTTACGTTACGAAAAAAATTTGTAATGCATCCCTGCAATTACTACGAATGCGATACTTTTGCAGAGCATACGGGTCGAAGTCGTCCAATACGGCTTTGTCCGAAATTTACAAGCAGCACTCCATCCCCAGAAAACCCTTCCACGTGTTGCTGAAGCAAGGCAACATCAAGACCTCGCGCGACGAAAAGATCCCGGCGGTGACCTCCGGGCATTGCAAGAAGTTCGGGCTGAACTTACCCTTGATATCAACTGCAAAAATGTCTGGGTCTGGAAACTTGTGATGCATGTCAGTGAAAAGTAAGCACACTGTAATGCACCGCCAAGCATGACAGATTTTAATTTTTCCGTGGCTCTCTGTTCTTCCGTATTCCGCATGAGAAGCAGCCACTTTGCATAACATAAACAGGGCACTCTTTGTGGCGACGCAATACAGAGCTTAGTGTCATGCCAGACTAGCATAACAAATGTCGCATTGTTCCAGACCGCCCAGACATATTTGCAGTGCATACTTAAGCTCAACCAACAAATTTTCCAACACTTTAAATCCCTCCTTTATCGGGTCCTTGACCTCGCGGTTACCGACCGGAAATGTCGGCTTCAGCTCCGATGCGGACCGGTTCCAACTGCAGTTCTCCGCCCCGGAATTCCAGCTCTGGGTCGCGATTCAAATTCTCTCGTTCCTCCAAGCCCTCGGCTACGACAGTAAGAAGCCCACGGCGCAGCCGGCGACGACGGCAGTCTTCGACCCGAAAACGCACGCGGATATCCTGTGCAAAAGTATCGTACTAGTAGTGATTGCATGACAAATTTCATCAGCATGAGAAAGGGAATTTGTCATGCTGATTTAGCTTGGAAAAGAAATCTGTAATGAATGACTGCAATCAGTACGAGTACGATACTTTTGCACAGGATAGCGGAAAACCACCGGCAAATTACGGGAAGGTCGGCTTTTAAATTGAATTTTCCCACGAATATGGGCCAGAAATCGTCCAAGCAGGCAAAGTATGAACTGCAAAAGTATCGTGTTCGTATAAATGCATGACAAATTTCCTCAGCATGAGAAATGAAATTTGTCATGGGGATTGACCTTGTTAAGAAAAAAATTTGTAATGGTGCATGACTGCGATTACTACGAGTACGATGCTTTTGCATTTGATACAAAGGTCTCACAGGGAATCGTGGAGCTGAAGCGAAAGTGCGTTGCCATTATGTCCACGGTGGACCCCAACTTCGCGCGAGTACTGGTGCTGAAAGATTTCAACACGGAGTTATTTTTGACCAGTTGGAAGCGGGGCAGCACCTGCGACCCGGTAATGGGCGCGGTGTGTGACAAAAAATTGTTTCCGAAACTGGAAGCGGAAGAAGAGGTCGCGCTTTCGGTGGTGGCGGGGAAAATAAATAAATCTTCTGTCACGACCACGGCCGACGGAACAGCAGCAGATAAAGCTGCCACGACCTCCAAAGCTGCTGCTGGGCAAAAAATTACAGCTTCCTTAGTACCCACGAAAAAGAAGAAGAAGAAGCTTGATTTCTACAGCAAGTGGCAGGATGAAGTCGGGGAAGAGTTAGTCAAAGAGTTGGACGCCGATCCCAGCAAGCCGCAGCTCATCCAGAGTCTCGACTCCTGGAAACAGTCGCACGACAAGTGGCTGGTGGAAAACGGATTCAAACCAGCGGAGCAAGTATCAAATGCAAATACGTAGTCTGGGTCTGGAAGGTCACAACTTGTGATGCTGTCTTTGAATTCCAAAAAAATCTGTCGTGCATGACTAGCAAGAGCAGGGGTCGCGTTTGTCTCACGTGAAGAGGGCATTTCTCATGCGGAATAGGCAACAGGGAGCCCTCCAAAAATCTGTGATGCTAGGCCATGCGTGACAGGTATCATGGGCCATGCAAAATATGCATGACAAACCTGGCAATCGTCCAGACCCTGACATATTTGCAGTGCATAGCAAGCGACCAACGCAGCAGCCGCGGATCATACAACTACGGGCTTAGTGCAAAACACGGCAACCGGGCTGATGGTGAAAACGTTTCAGGACTCCGGTGTTGCATTTTCACAACTTGTAGCAGCTGGAGGTGGACCAGGATCCTCAGGAGCTGCAAATGCTGCTGCTGCACTCGGTCATCTCTCCCCCGGAGCAGGAGGCGGTGCGACAGACAAGAAAGAGCAGGACACCTTTTCAGAGTACAGCGACGTCGACACCTATCGTACGAAAAAAGCGTTTCACTGTAAGGATTTTGCAGGTTTTGCATCACAGGTTTGCTCTACATGACAGATCCAATTTGCCATGCAAGCTTCCGAAGGGAAAACACAGCTAAAAATCCACTTTCTTGCATGTGTAGCAAGACAAATATTTCTGTGTTCCATTTTTATGCATCACAGGTTTACAGTGAAACAATTTTTTCTTGCGATAACACCGACGAAATTTCTGAATTATCGGACTCGGATGACGAGCTGGACGAGGCTATCCTGAGGAAAAACGTCCCCACCCCAGAGTTGTCATGCAGATTTGCAATGGCAAGGACATTTGTGATGCGCATACCTATGGTAAACATTTCCAAACGTGTTGTGGAATTTGTGATGCTATGAACAGGATAAGCAGATGAATCTGTGATGCGGCTGCGCTTGCTATCCTGCACTGCACTACGGAGTGCAACTTGTCATGCGTGACTCCCAAAGCTTCTAGGTTTGTGTTGCGAAATCCCCATCTTGCCTCTGGTGTGGGGACGTTTTTACTCAGGATAGATGCCGGCTTCAACATCGGGGGCAGCACAGAGAAACGGAAAAATATTAAAGGGACAAACAACTTATTGGGCCCGCATAGTAATCTTCAAAATGATCAAATGGACCACCACAACAATATGCTGGAGGCCATGAGCAGCTCGGCGGGGGATGACGACGACGACGACGGTGAGAACCATGTTAATATGGACGAGGAACAAATGAACAACGATTTCATCAGAAACAACAATCCCCTCCGGTCTTCCGAAAACTCGGAAGATGAAGATTTGGACAGCTATGACCCGCCCAAGTGTTAATACAATCTCAAACGTTACACTAGAATATGGAAATCTGTGATGCAAGAAGTGCACTATCTAGCCAACTGGCATAAAATTACGCATGACAAGTACCGGAGTTGTCCCAAACCGCGCTACGATCTGGCAAAATTTGTATTGCAGAAAGTCGAATGCTCTGCGAGTCTGTCATGCTCACTATGGAAGACAAGTCTAATTCAGCCTCTGTGATTGTACCACCTGAGCGAGTTATAAGAGCAGCTTGAGCGACCTAGACAGCTCTGTCGGGGAGTACAGCTTCGGTGATAGTGAAGATTCGGACAGTCTGAGCTCCAGCGAGGATGAGGGAGGGGAGACGGATCCGCAGCCCATGGTGAATGGACATCATGGAGGGGGAAGTAGCACCTTGATGAACGGCCACTCCGGCGTTTCTTCGGGGAATGAGGACCACACGACATCAAATAAGCGGTTCAGCAACGACTCGCAGAACGGCACCGGGAAGATATCAAATGCAAAAATGTCTGGGTCTGGAATCTTGTGATGCAAGGACGGGAATAGTGAAAACACACTGTAATGCGCTGCCAAGCATGACAAGTTTTTCCACGGTTCTACGTTGCGTACGCCGCATGAGAAACTGCGTTTTTGCATGACAGGCGAAAGAAGCTCTTTGCGGTGACGCAACACAGAGTTCAGAGTCATGCCAGACTAGGATGACAAATCTCGCAACTTCCCAGACATCCAGGGATATTTGCAGTTGATAGAAAATGATCATCGACGAAGTCACGACGGTTACTGCCTTCCGCGAAAAGCACCGGAGATCGCTGCAGGAGTTGAAGAAAGAGAAGAAGCGGAAGAGGAAATTGAAGAAGCAGAAGCAGAACAAGCGGGTGCAGAAGCGGTCGAAGCATTTTCTGGATTACAAGCGGAAGACGCACGAATTGAAGTCGATTGAGCAGTTCACGGAAATTTTGAAAATGGACGAGACGGGAGAGAGCGGTTTGGAAGAAGAGTACATGAACAAGTACGATACAGTGTTTATGTGGCAGCTGAAGAGGTTGTTCACGCAGGAGTACATGTTTGAAACCTTGGTGGAGCGGGACAAGAAGTCTTTTGAGGACCGGTTCGTCAACAACGCGATGAGCAATTATCAACTACCGTATGTCGAGGAGGGCGACGAACAGGACGAGGTGAAGGAAGATTGGAGCAAGGATTTCTTGGAGTTTCTCTGGAAAGTCAAAGGATACGATGCGAAAGGATTTGAAGAACTGCGGGAGATGAAGGAAATGGAGGTATAGAGTTTATTGCTTTGCGTTTGCACCAGCTGCATTTGCATTTCCATTTTCATTTTCTCGCGGATCACAGATGAGACTAGCGTAGCGAGCTATGCATGAGAAACATTTCTAAATTTTACTTCGGACTCTGTCATGCACATGCTCATGCATAATTTGCTTCACAATTCTAATCCAGGCCGACGAGGATGACGAAGAGGAGCGTTTGAACCGGCTGATGGCAGAGCAATTTGGCGAGGACGATGCGCTTGGAGATTTGGTCGCCAGCCCGAATTATCCATTGCAAATGTGTCTGGGTCTGGAAGAGTCGGGGCTTGTCATGCACATTTCGCATCACCACTGAGGTCTGTGATGCTGGTGCTAGCACAACAGGTTTTTTGAGTGGAGCTTCTTGATTGATGCTAATTACGCACGAGAAATGCCTTCTCCGCGTGCCCAAGACTGACTCCTCATGCTGCTCAGGCAACACAGATATTTTATAGAATCCGCAGACAGCATTACGAGTTCGATTCTTCCAGACCCAGACATTTTTGCAGTTGATACGAATGAATCGGAAAAATCAAATGAGAAATCGAAGGATTCTACTGGAGGCGGGCGGAAAGAAGTAGGTCTTGACAAAGAAGACGAGGATATTATGGAGGGGAACAACAATAAGCGGGACCACAGCCGGGCGGTGTCGAAAAATGGAGGAAAGCAGGCGGACTGAGTACTGATAGGGTGATAAGAGAAGTGGAATTTCTTTTTTCCCCCAGTTTGTAGAACAACGCTGTGCTTTTGAACCCTGTAACTAACAGCAGCAGCCGAGCCATAGTACTAGAGATTGTTAAACACAACTTTCTGGTCTTCCTCTAGGCAATCGAAGGCGAGCATGCATGCTGATGCTCCTCATTTTCAAGACCACAGCATTTTTTCAAAAGCGAAACAAAATGTTGAGAATGTGCTCGTACGGCGGACTTTAAGAAGGCATTTGGACTGCTAGTAGTACAGCCGAGATTTTTCACAGACACAGCACCCGTAGTCTCACCTTGAAATTTTTCGCTGAGAAGTACCTATTTCGAAGAAAGCTACCGACTGATAATAATATCGGGCCGATTTTTTGTGCGTATCAAAGTGCGTTTTTTGTTCTCCTTCCTGCAGTAGCAGGACAACTACTGTGCTTCGGTTCTGTTTGTTCTTTGATCTTCTGAGCGACGGTTCAAAACGGCACGAGTGTCTTGAGTCCTAGCCAAACGGGTTTAAGTAATCCTACCTCCGGTTTCTCCGTAAACAAAACAAAAACTGTTGGTCCACCGAGTGCAAAAGAGAGATGATTTTTTCTTGGCTTCCAGCTTGAAGTGTAGTTGTTCCTTCGTTTCTTCAAGGGCAAATGTGGCAAATTGAGCAAAAGTGACACAGGTAATACGTCATTGAAATCTCAATCAAACAAACACGACCGTCTCACCAGGAATTTAAAAGACTTCGCGCTTTTCTCGACTCAGTTTGAGAAAAGTACTAGCGAACAATCTGCGTCCCATCTAGAAAAAACTCCAATCCCAAAACATCTTTATTAGCTCGTTGTGGGAGAAAACGACGAAATCAAAGAAGAAAAACTACACGAAGTAATTTCCGCTCGGAATATATCTTCGAAAGTCGTGAATTTCGCCGTTCAATCTTCCCCGATTGAACAGCCAAGTTCGCATCAAAACCTCCATGTCGGAAGTCTTACACCCCGGTGACCCCCGGACGACCGCGGTCCCCGGGACCGCCAACAAGGAGCCGCACACGGATGCAGAGAAACAGAAGTACATCGATGAAAAATTCGACGTCGCCAACATCGACTGGAAGAAGAAGTTCTGGTTCCTAAGCGCGCCGTGGGGAATTTTGAAGCGCGAGGTGAACGAGGACATCGCGACGAATGGAGATTTGACCGCTGTGATGCTGTATGAATGGAAGAAAAAGTTGTTGCATGATTGTGAATATTTTGAAAGATGTTGCGAAAAGGTTTTATAATTTAGCGGGGCTAGATAAAAGAAAAGACGTAATGAAAGTGTTACATCATTTACAGCCATCACGCACAGTTACGAAACTTTGCGACTGTGCAGGTTGCACGCATAATCGTATAACTTTGTTTTTTCTCGATTGATTCCCGGCGCAAGTTGCTGCTCTGTGCCGTAGAAAGAACTGTGATGTCAGGTTGAAATCAAAATAGAGATCGTTGATTTTTACATGGGTTGATTTCATGCATATGACAAAACATTTTCAACTGCTTTTTCTACTCTTCTATACTAGCAAGAGCATGTTGGAGACGGAGTCGGAGCTCGACGAGGACTTTCTGGAGAAGCAACTGTACCCGCAGATGCCGAAGGAGGGACAGCGAGATAAGAAGTCGGTTGCGTTTATGGAGTGCCTGTGCTTCAAGAAGTATAGTATTTTTGCTATTTTCATTTACTTGTACTGCTTGAAATTTAATACTGTGATGCGTGTTCCGCTCGGGTAATGCAGTTTGTCATGCATAACCACGACCTAATGAACCCTGTCAAAACTACTACAGCTTCGCCCTCCAGTTCCTGGAAGAGCAGTTTGAGAAGGGGCGCCTCACCGGGGAGTTGCTCGCGAAGCTGAAAACTTTGTCCTTTTGCGACAAGAACACAATGGCCGACTTTTTCCAGTGCATGCAGAACGATCTGGATACCACCGTGTTTGAGGATACCCACTGTGAATATGATGTCTGGGGCATCTGGAAGTAGAGTGCAAGTCTGTCATGCTTGTCTCACATGACTCTTGATCTTGAAGCTGTAATGCGTGAGCAGAAAAAAAATCACGAGCCTCTTCTTGCCTGTCATGCAAAAGCGCAGTTTGCCATGCGGGAAGCGAAACATGACGGACAGGAGGGCCCAGGAATAACTTGTCGTTGTCGTGCGTGGCTGCGTCTTGCAGTGTGGTCTATCTTCCCACAATTCACAAACTAAGCAGCATCACAAGTTTTATCTTCCAGGCGTGTCCACACATATTTGCAATGCATAGAGGAAATGGGAAACGCCTGGGCAACTCTTCCCTCCTGGGAAAACTACATCGACGCCAGCGTCGCGCAAATTTGCTTTCCCGCCATGAGTCAAGAATTGGAGGAGGACGCGGGGTTTGGCGGTACTAGAATTTGGATAAATTTCAATGACTGATTTGCCTTGCAAATGATGCACTTAGAGATGCTAGAGGTGGGGACGTGCATAGATGATTTATTGTCTTGCAAAATTATTGTCAACACATCAGAAATTCAAATTACAGGCGCGCCCTTGAAACGCAACATTAATCGCCCGTTCTACTGTATCACGAGAAAAAAGTGTTACTTACACTTACAATTTTGTTGGAGTTTCTGCATCACAAATTTTCTCTGTGTGGCAGAAAAAACTTGTAATGCGAAGATCATAAGGGAAACAAAACAGGAAGGAAACGAGACTCCGAAGCATTTCCTGCATGAGAAAGGTTGTCTCTGTTGCCAGTCTTGCATGACAATGTGTAACTGTAACACTTATTTTTTCTTGCGATAGACTGGGACCGCGATTTCGACATGAAATTTGACTGGTTGGAGAAGGTATCAAATGCAAATAGGTCCTCTACTGGGTCATCTGGAAACTTGTGATGCTGGTTAGCGACACAACTGACTGTGCAGCATGACAAGTTTCTGAGGTCGTGCTACGTGTTGTCTATTTTGCATGACAAAGCGCGCTCTTGCATGACGGAAGCGTGATATTTTTGGGTGACGAGCATGGCAAGCTTCAGAGTCTCATGCTTGCCGAGCATAAGAAATCTTGCATTATTCGTTCCAGACTCAGACATATTTGCAATGCATAGAAGGCCGGCATCACAACCGCCCCGTGGACCCAGGCGAATTGCAGTCAGGAAGAATTTACGGCCCTGTTTTCGGATCGGAAATGCGAGCAGTTGTGGTACCACACCTGCACCAAGTACTACGCGTTTCGGGAATGGTATAGAAAAATGGCGGCTTCGTTTGTCTTTCGATGTTGCTGTAACGCATATTGAATTGCAATTGCATTCGCGAAGGTAGTCTAGTAGAGTAGTTACCTGCCATGCGTTCCAGTGGTCGGCATGACAAGTTAAGTTTTCGTTTTCCAAAAACTATACTTCAGGTACCTGCAAGAGAAAGTCGTTTCGGAGGGCGCCAAACGGGCAAAATCGAAGAAGCTCTATGAATTGCAAAAGTATCGTATTCGTATAAATGCATTACAAATTTCCTCAGCATGAGAAATTAAATTTGTAATGGGGATTTGCTTTCAGAAAAAAAATTGTAATGCATGATCGCAATACGAGTGCGATACTTTTGCACAGGATAAGCTGTTTCCCTTCGCCAACTTGGACGAGGTGCTAGGGTTAGCGAAGACGTTCAAAGCGAAGGAAGCTGAACTGATGGAGAAATACAAGCCTGGAGTGGAGTTTCCCGAGCACCTCCAGCAAGAAACGCAGTCGAGTCATAACCCGAGTAAAAACGTCTCCACACCAGAGTCAAGATGGAAAATCTGCTAGACAAATCAACCAGCCTTGGTTGTTTCGCATGACAAGTCTGTCCTCGTAGTGTAATCCTGTTGAGGTACTGCGCAGCAGCATCACAGATCTAGCATATCGCGCTGGTTATAGACGCGAAAACTCCACAACACGACTAGAAAATGTTTCTCATGGGGCTTCGCGTGAGAAACTTTTTTGGCATGCAGATTTGCATAACAAGCTGGGGTGGGGACCTTTTTCCTCCTGATAAGTTAAGCGTTCCCGATGAGTCAAGTTTCGAACAACTTCTTCATCTCGTCGCAACAATTTATCATGTGCAAAAGTATCGTACTCGTACTAATTGCGTTTATGCATTACAAATATTTGCTTCAAGGCAAATCCGCATTACAAATTCAATTTGTAATGCTAAGTCAATTTGTAATGCATTTCTACGAGTACGATACTTTTGCAGTTCATACAATTATCGGAGCAACAAAATAACTCGCAGCAATTGCAGCTCGGATCCACCTCTTCGCAGGCGCTTTTGTCCTCTCAGGCGTCCTCTGGCGGTCCGCACAGTGCTGGCAACAATTCGCAGGTGAACAGTTCTTTTCCTTTTTTGCCCTTTGAGCAGCAGAACATGAAAACGACGGTCGATTTATCCTACGTAAAAACATCCCCACCCTATAGTCAAGATGAGAAATCTGCTACACAAATCAGCCAGCTGTGGCTGTTGCGCATGACAAGTTTGATCTCCTAGTGGAATCCGGTTTAGCTCGTTCAGAAGCATTACTATGCTGATTGGAGCATTACAAAAGCCAAAACACGACTAGAAAATGTTTCTCATGGGGCTCCGCATGACAAACATTTTGAGCATGCAGATCTGCACGACAGCTATGGAATGGGGATGTTTTTCCATAGGATACGACTCCCGAAAGGTGAAAAAGTACCTGCAGGAGATGTACGTGGAAAGCCAGAACTCGAATTTTTCGTCCGGAAATGGATCCGCAAACAGTGACAACTTCCTCTCGCAACAATCGAACAAATCGAAGTCCATGCTCCCCCAGATGGACGTGTACAAACGGAACCAGGGGGTGCCGGCCCGGAAGATTTTGAAGTTTAAGCACTCGGACGATTCTAATGGCGTTGTTGTGCCGGAACAAGAAGAGGAGATGGAGAATGGAGGTACAAATAATGCCGATGTTGATCAACAATACCAAGTCCACAACCCCTTTCCTTCCCAACCGGTGGCTCCTTCCCTGCTCGACGGCAGTAACGCGAGCTCTGCGCAGTTTGGAGAACAACAAGTTCTTGCTGGGAGCGACAACAACTCGTTTGCCCTCGGCTCCGAAATCCTGCTGCAATCCGAGCAGTCTGAGGATCACAACGCGCTGATGTTCTTGCAGTCCGAGGTGAGCGACGTTAACGATGTTGCAGTTGGGACGAGCCAGAGCATGGTGCACCAGCAGCCGGAAAGCATGATGAGCAACAACCTACAGGTGATGGACGAGAGTCGCAACCTGAAAGAACAAAGCGGTGATTCCCTACAGCATGAAAGTGCTGCTTTGTCCGAAAAACAAGACCTGTCAGAACAGCAAGAGGAGTCGAAGTCGAAAAATAAACCGGACAACAACAATGATTGCTCATCCGATGTGGTGGAGCAGCAGCAGCAAGCTGCTCTTGACAGCTCGGACGATCATTCGGTGCTGGAATTGCACAGCTTGTTGGAATATCCTGTGCAAAAGTATCGTACTCGTATTGCAGTCATGCATTACAAATCTTGTTTTTAAGGCAAATCCGCATTACAAATTTTATTTTTCATGCTGAGGAAATTTGTAATGCATTTGTACGAGTGCGATGCTTTTCCTTTTGCGGTTCATATGGAAAAGTCGTTGGAGGCGCCGGTGGAGAAGAAGGCGGAGGGTACTTCTTCTGAGGACGCGATGGAGGTGGAACAAGAAGAACGGGAACAGGACCACCCGGACCAGCCGACCGACATGATGAAAAAGGACGAAGAAGAAAACAAGACTTCTTCCCCCGCAGCGGTGGGCGTCGTGCAGGGAGATCATGTCGAAGGCTGCTCTGGTGATGAACCCAAGCCCGTCGTCGAGAACTCCCTGGAGTTCGACCAGGACGTGGAGATGAAGGATGTTGCTGCGGTTGGCGAGAAGGTAGACGAAGGGGAAGATCATGATCAAGAACAATCCTCCGCGAAGATTTCGTCCGAAGTAGAGGGTAATATCAAAGCCGTCGACGTGGTTTTGGAAAAGAAGGGAGACGAAAATGATAAAAGTACCCCGGATGATGTCGATGTCGATGTTGAGCAAGAGCAGCTGCAAGTAGTTCCGAATGCTCCAGCTGTCGTGGCGGACGACCAGGATGTGGACATGTTGAAAGAAGATGAAAACGACGTCAAGATGAAACAGAACCAAAATCAACAAATTGCCTCCGAACTACTACAGGCGAAGGACGATGAGGAACGTCAAAAGATCGACGAGAAATCTGCTCCTGCCGATTCTGTCCCATTGGTCGCGGCGTTGAAGAATGAAGAGCATGTCCTGGAAGAACACTCACTGAAGAAGACCACGGAGGTAGTAGATGAAGTCCAACTCCACTTCGCCCCCTCCGCGGCGCTCGTCGAGCAGAAAAACAATTTGAACCACCGCGAGGACCACGTCAACATCAACATGAACGTCAATATCAGTAACGAACGGATTGAACGGGAGTCCGAGGAAGATATGGACGACACCATTTCCTCCCACAATGTTTCCGGTTTCACCGAACTACTCCGCCCGGAAAAAGCTGCAAAGAAACAGAAGCGGGATTCGGAACAAGTGCGCGGAAGTTTGGGTTCTTCGGATAATTTTGTTGACAACAAGCAGGAAAATTCCAATTCGGTCGTCGACCAGCAGCAGCAGTCCCTGAATGATGCGGAACGCTGTGATGTTCTCCTCTCGGGTCAAAACAGCCAACAGTCCAGCAACAATTTCAGCGTTCTTTCGAAGCAGGGGGATAAAGGGAACGACAACGATGAAAACCTCAGTTCGCTGCAAGAAAATAATGTTGACGGTTGCGTCGTCGACCAGTCTCCGGCCCCCTCTATCATGAAACTGGACCCGGCTGCGCTTAGCAAGTTGGACGAATCCTACGCTTTGGAGCAGTCTGCGATGATTGAGGGGTCTCCGCAGGGCTCGCCGATGATTGCGAAACTGGCGGACGAAATGAGTGCGTCGTTTCGGAACAACGAGGAATTTAAGAAACAGATCGAGGAACAGGCGAAGAAACTGTCGGAAGAACATCAATCGGGAGGCAGTGATGGTGCTATGGACTGCAAATATGTCTGGGTCTGGATGAAACTTGTGATGCAACAGAGGGAATAGAAAGCACATTGTACTATTGCGCTACCCAGCATGACAAGTTTTTCCGTGGTTCTGAGTTGCGTACTCCGCGTGAGAAACTGCATTTTTGCATGACAGACCAGAGGAGCTCATCTTCGCGGCCACGCAATACAGAGTTCAGAGTCCTGCCAGACTAGCATGACAATCTCCCAGACCCAGACATGTTTGTATTTGATAGGTGCGAACAAGCAGGAACAAGTTGGAGGTTCCATGACCCCGCTGTCCTCTCTCTCTGCGGAAGTCTCCTCCATCGGAAAAAACAGTTCCATCCACGGGGCGTTGTCCTTCCAATCCTTCGGAAAAGCGAGCAGCCGGCTGGTGGGGTCGAAAAAGTCGAAAAATAACCCGTTTGGAGGTGGAACTGCGTCCTCCGTTGCATCGGACAGTTGCTCCAACCGCAGCGAGAAAAAACCGATGTTGCCGCCGAAAGCGGGGCGACGGTTGTTGGGGTCGGGAAGTTCTCTGGGCGGGGGGGCGAGGAATAACAACAAAACGGGTGCTACAAACAGTAACTCCCTGTTCGCGTCTGCCTCCTCTCTGTCGCAGGCGTCTTCCGGTTTAGCGGGGTTGGGGGCTGCTGCGGGTGCACCAGCTTCTGGTAACAACAACTACCCCGGTCTCGTTGTTTCTCAACCGGAATCGTCGTTCAACCCCCCGGGCAGTGCGGAGTCGTTGATTCAGGGATCGGAAATTTCCTCCGCCAATGCTTCCTCTGGCGGAATGATGATCGATAGCAGCATATCAAACGCAAATATGTCTGGGTCTGGAAGAGTGCAGATTTTTGTCATGCTGCTTTTGCATGACGCAGCAGGTCTGTCATGGAAGCCCTAGCATCGCAGATTTCGAGAATTATCGTTCACATTGCCTAATCCTAATCCCAATTTTGGTGACAGGAAGCGGGCATCTTTTGCTCCTTCTACATGAGAGATTTTTGTGTGTTGTCAAATGCGCATCACAAGTTTGCATCCTGTACGAGCCAGACATATTTGCAATGCATACAGTAACCGCTCGTCCTCGGTTCCGCCCATGACGTTGGAGGTGGATTTATCCTGAGTAAAAACGTACCCACACCAGAGTCAGGATGAGGATTTTGCAACACAAACGTAGGAGTTTTGTGAGTCACGCATGACAAGTGGCACTATGCAGTGTAGTGCAGGTTAGCAAGTGCAGCCGCATCACAGATTCATCTGCTCATCCTGTTCACAGCATCACAAATTCCAAAACGCGACTGAAAATGGCTCTCATGGGGATGCGCATTACAAGTCTTCCTGCCTTTGCAAATCTGCATTACAACTCTGGCGTGGGTACGTTTTTACTCAGGATAGGATTTGGAAAAAACGCAGAACAGCGTGGGGCAGGGCGTGGAGCACGTGAGCGGGTTCAACATAGCCTCGCAGGTGGTGGCTTTGGGGGTTCACGCTGGTACTGGTAGTAAAAATGTCCAGCAAGGAGCAGAACAGGAGGACCACAACTGCACGCCGGTGTTCAACACTCCGAGTGCTGATGGTTTGAGTCAACAGGTGTTGAAGGACAGTGCCCTTGAGCAGAAATTGGCGCTAGAACTACAAAACAAGGAACAAAACAACAGCAATGCCGCGAATGACGTCGGACATGAAGATGTAGAGATGACCGACGCTTTTCAACAGGAACCGGCGGCAGCAGCTGCTGCAGTCCACCTGGGTGGAGTTCTTTCAGCTGGAATCGTAGCAGAACAACTGAACAAAATTGAAGTCGCTCCCGTCGCGGAAGTAGAGTTGCAAAAGAACATCAACCCGACTTCGTTGAAAAGTGCAGATGACCACTCGTCGTTGAAACAAGTTGATAAAAAAGAAACCGATGAAGCTGCTGTTGCTGCGAAAAATGATCATCATGATGCTGAAAACGACAAGAAGAAACACGACAAAAAACACGTTCGCTTCGCGTCTCCGGTGGACGAAAAGAAGCAGTACGATGTCGAGCCGGCTAGCAGCGCCGCGACGCCGGTAGTTGGGGAGGAAATTATCGTGGGTACTAGTACAACAACTGTGGGCACTTCTTCTGCTCTTGGTGGGGCAGTAGTACAAGAAGTGGAAAACAACAATGAGAATGATCAGCAACCAGATGGTGAGCCGACCACTTCTACCTCTGGTAAAAACAAGGGCAAAATGAAGAAAGCCACTGCGTCCAAAGGTGCCACGGCGAAATCGGGAGAGAAGAAAAAACCCGCTGCGCAGGCGAAAGCGAAAGGTACCAAGGGACGGGGGAAGAAAGGAGGGAAGAATAACAAAAACGTGGTCCATGACGACGAGGATGAGGAAATGAAAGACCACGCCGATGTTCTTGCTGCAGAACAAAAAGAACAGTCGGCTGCGGGTACTAGTTCCCCTTTTGCGACCACAACGTCCGATGGCACTAAAGATCAGCCGAATAACGGCGCTGCTCTGGAAGAACAAGTGGGTGACGAACTGTGCTCTGTCCCGCCGCCGGGGAACGACGTGGGAACGAAACCCTGTGAAAACCTCTCCGTCTCTCCGACCACGGAAGGTGGTGCTAATAAACAAACAAAAATCATCACTTCCCCACCGGTAGTTTTTGCTACGAATTCGATCCCGAGAAAGTCACCGCAAAAACCGTTGAATAACAAAGCATTCAAGAAGCTCAAGCGGAACAAGAAGATTAACGTAGCGGAGTCATCCGATGAAGAAGAGGTGGAAAAGAATGCTGACAAGACCCCAGTTCTGGCCACGCTGAACAATGGTGGTGCGAAGAAGGGCAAAATGAACGACAAGAACGCCGTGTTGAATCTCGATCATTCGGACAATGAAGAGGAGATGAAAACCAAAACTTCATCGGATGAAAAAGCCCATCACCCCTCGAAAAAACAGAAGCGGTCCTCCATCAGTATGGCGGAATCCAAGTCTGGCCCGAACAACAAAAACCGGATCGTTGGGAGCCCGAATCATACCACCCCCGCACCAGCAGCGGCTCCGTTGGTCCAGGCTAAGGGTAACGCTGGTTATGAATTGCAAAAGTACTATCGTACTCGTGGTTTTGCAATACAAATTAGCTCAGCATTGCAAATGGACTTTGTCATGCGGTTTCAGCTTAAGAAAGGGATTTGTGATGCATAAATGCAATCACTACGAGTACAATAACTTTTTGCACAGGATACCGGTGGTGCGGTGCAGATTTCGCTGATGCCGGACTCCGAGATGGGACTGTTTGACGGGGTCGACTATCAAGTGCAAAAGTGTCTGGGTCTGGAAGGATGTAACTTGTGATGCTGCATTTGGATTCCAAAAACATGTGTATTGCATGAGCAGCAAGACGAGGAGTCAGCTCTTGGCACGCGGAGAGGGCATTTGTCATGCGTAATTAGCATCAAGAAGCTCTCAAAAAATTATCTGTGATCATAGCACCAGCTGCATCACAGACCTCAGGGGTCATGCAAAATGTGCATGACAAGCCCCGACTCTTCCAGACCCAGACATATTTGCACTGCATATCGACAAAGATGAGGAAAACGTGTTGAACCTCTCTGCAGATTTATGACAGCGCACGACTCCATCTCCCCCTCCTTTGTCATGCAAAACCCCGAATCCAGTCGCTGCCTTATGCTGGCATTGTGTGCATGACAAGTTCTCCTGGTAGCCCAACTAGCACTACTACACTCCAGTGTAAAGTTGTCATGCAAAACCGGCACTCTTGCTGACGCTTGTATTGCCGTTCATGTCATACAAAGAAGGAGGAGGGGGAGAGGTGCACTGTCATAACACTCTCTGCAAGAACGCCTAACGCTGGCGAAGACGAACAAGAAGAAAAACAAGGTGCTTTTCAAGGCTCCACCCGGTGCAGGTGCTGCAAATAGTGTTACCACGCCCAGTGCTGGTGTTGACCAGCTGGAACCGCAGTTTCTCGACAACGGGGTTCCGTCCATGTTGAACGAGTCCATGGACAAGAAGCTGAGTCCGATCATTGAAGGCAGCCGCGAAGACTGCACACCGTCCGCGAGCCCGAACGGGACGACGACGAGTAAAAGCTGCAAAAAATCATCGGAAAAGAAGACGCTGTTGACCACGACTACTATCGAGGAAACCACGACTATCCCACGAAAAAAGTCTTACAGTTACACATCATTTGTTGGAAATTCAGCAACACAAATTTCCTCTGCATGAGAGGGAAAACTTGCAATGCGCAGACCATAAGGGAAAACACGAATGAAATGAAGCTCGGAAGCATTTCGGGCATGACAGAGGTTGTCTGTCATGCTGAGCTTGCAATCCAATGTGTAACTGTAACACTTTGACTTTTTTCTCGTGATAACGACGCATCGGGTTGATGTTGCCGCGAAGGACGCGGATTGCAACACCGCGCAGGAGCAGGGGGAGCCGGACCGCAAGATGGTATGCAGTGCAAAAGCATCGTACTAGCAGGAATAGCAATACAAATTTTCCTAGCATGACAAATTTGCAATTTGTAATGCTGTTTTACCTTAGGATAAGGATTTATCATGCATATTTGCATCAAATAGTACGAGTACGATACAACTTTTGCACATGATAGATGGCCCGGTACTACGATACCACGAAAGACGTCTTGGCGTTGCTGGAAGAAAAGGAGGCCATGGAGAATGCGACTGCTACTGCGTCTATGCATTTCAAATATGTCTGGGTCTGGAAGATTTCGAGACTTCTCATGCTAGTTTGGCATGACTCTGAACTCTGTATTGCGTAGGGCCATCGGAAGACCTCCTCTTGTCTGTCATGCAAAAACGATGTTTCTCATGCGGAATACGCAACACAGAATCGCGAGAAAATCTGTCATGCTTGGCGGTGCTTTACAGTGCGCTTTCTGTCCACTGACATGCATCACAAGTTTCCAGACCCAGGCATACTTGCATTTGATAGCGTCGAAAATGAAGATGAAAATGAAGATGGCGTCGAAAAACAACACGGCCTTGAATAACCAACAGCAAAACAACTTGACTCCGGTATCTTGAGTAAAAAAGCCTCCACCCCATAGTCAAGATGGGAAATCTGCTAGACAAATCAACAAACTTTGGCTGTTGCGCATGAGAAATTTGGGCTCGTAGCGTAATGCTGTTTAGCTAGTTCAGCAGCATCACAGATGTAGTCCATCATGCTGGTTCGAGCATCACAAATTCCAGAACACAACTAGACAATGCTTCGCATGGGGCTCCACATGAGAGACATGTTGAGCATGCAGAATTGCATGACAGCTATGGGGTGGGGACGTTTTTGCTCAGGATATCCGGAACAGGTCCAACAGCTGATGTACGACAAGCGTTTCTTGTGCTCGTGCTGCAACTTCACCTTTGGGTACGACAAGAACCCGCTGATGATTTGCGACAACAAGAAGTGTATCCTGTGCAAAAGTATCGTACTCGTAGTAATTGCATTTATGCATTACAAATCTCTTTGTCAATGTAATTCAGCATTACAAATTCAATTTCTAATGCTGGGCTAATTTGTAATGCAATTTATACTAGTACGATGCTTCTGCAATCCATAAAGGGCGGAAAAGCCATCCACGCCGGCTGCATGCGGAAGTCGTTGTTGCAAATGGGCTTTTCGCAGTCACTCGAAAAGATTACCGAGTACTGCCACTTTGACCGGGAGGAGAGTGCTGCGAACAGGGAACAGTTGCAGATCTTCAAGGACATGTGCCAGGTCGCGTTCCGGAGCCTTGGACATGCATCCGGGCCTATTACAATGAAGAATGCCCCCACCCCTGAATTTGCAAAAGTTTCTCATGCAAAGTTTCCAAATGAAAGCTTTTTGTCTTGCATGAAAGGATTGCGAGCCTTTCTGATGCAGAATCTAGGTGCGCAAGGTGCCTTGTGCATAACAGGCCCGGCTGCTGTTGGTCCCCTTGGCAACACAAATATCAGCTATTCAGCATGGAAAATTTGTGATGCTGAGATATGCAAGACGGGAAATGTTTGTATTGGAAAGGTATGCAATACAAATGCTGCCAAGTGTGGGGTGGAGGCATTTTTCATTGTAATAGAGCCGTTGAAAGAGACCGCGCCGTACTACTGCGGGGAGTGCACTTTTGACTTCCTCAAAAAGAACCGGGCGAAGATGCCCTTTATCAAATGTAAAAATGTCTGGGTCTGGAAGAGTCATGCTGTTTTTGCATGACACAGAAGGTCTGGCATGGAAGCTCTAGCATCACAGGTTTCGAGAACCTTCCGCAATGCCGAATCCGCATGACAAGTCACCTATTTTGCTGACAAAAAGTTGGAGCTTTTGCTACGTAAGCATGAGAGGCTTTTCTGTGTTCTGAAATACGCATTACAAGTTGCATTCTTCCAGACCCAGACATTTTTGCATTTGATACCCTTCATGCTGGGGGACGTGGTGTTTGTGAAACTCATATCAAATGTAAAAATGTCTGGGTCTGGAAGATTGCCAGGTTTGTCATGCACATTTTGCATGACTCCTGATGTCTGTGATGCATGCCCTAGCATCACAGATTTTGTGAGGGCTTCCTGATGCCTATACCGCATGACAAATGCGCTTTCCGTGTAGCAAAACTTGGACTCTCTTTGCTGCTCATGCAATACAATTTTTTTTTAGCATCCAAAATCAGCATGACAAGTTTTGTTGGATTCTTCCAGACCCAGACATTTTTACAGTTGATAACTCAAGAAGAAAACTCTCGGCGACCGGTGGTCTGAGGAGATGAAGAACTTCCCGAAGCTATCACAATGAAATCCCCCTTCCCTGTGATTGTCAAAATGTATCAATGAAATCAAAATTGAAGTCTGTGATGCGGGATTTGTGTACACAAATCATTTTGTCATGCTAGAAGGGAAAGATGTAGACACTGTAGTGCTGGGCGGCGTGGGAATATTAAAGCCTTGCGTTTTCAGCTTCACAGGAGGCAGGTGGAAGGGGGAAACAGCAGCACAAATTGCCTGCAAACGAGGCCGCGACTGCGTTTCTTGTTGGCCTTCTAGCAATAGTACAAGTCGATAGGTGACCACAAATCGCATCACAAACTTCCGCTTTTGATATGGGGACGCGGGGCGTTTCACTCTGATAGAAGCTGTGTCCGGCGGTAGTTGTGGGGTTCAGTCTGGGAGATATCGTGAATGACGATGAGGTGGATTTCAAAGAGTATAAGTTGACGAAGTTCAACGAGAACGCGGTCTGCTACGAGGTACTATAATTGTTCAACAACAAGACAAAAGTTAAAGTTCTGGCAACGATCACAACTCATGATAGTTTGCATTTTTGCAATGCAAACCTATTGCCTGATAGTATTTGCGCAATGCAAACCTATTGCCTGATAGTATTTTTGCAAGACAAATCTTCTAATTATTCCAGGTCGCGTATCTCCTCTACAACCGCGGGAAGTCCGCGGTGTGCCAGGAAACCGGGCCCTGGGTCCAGCCGTTTCTGGTGCAGAACAAAGACACGGCGCACCCGTACGAGAAGGTCTCCTTCGACGCGACCACTGCGGAAATGATGGGACACCCGATGGGCCGAACGATGGATCCCGAGTCTCATGAGGAACTGATGACCCATATGGATTGCAAAAATGTCTGGGTCTGGAAGATTGCAACTTGTAATGCTGTCTTTGGATTCCAAAAAAATCTGTATTGCATGACCAGCAACAGGACTCCAGTTTGTGTTACGCGGAGAGGGTATTTCTCATGCGGAACAGGCATTAGGAAGCCCTCTAAAAATCTGTGTTGCTAGAACATGCATTACAGGCATCAGGCCTCATGGGAAAAATGCATGACAAACCTGGCAATCTTCCAGACCCAGACATTTTTGCATTTGATAACCCTGTGCAGCTGGCACTCGTCCAAGGACTTGGTGGGGTTCATGCAGGGCATGCAGGACGTGAACATGAACATGAAAATATCCTCTGTAAAACCTTCGCCACCCCAGAGGTGTCATGCAGATTTGCAATGACAAAAACATTTGTCATGCGCATCCCCATGATGGGAATTTCCAGGCGTGTTTTGGAATTTGTAATGCTGTAAACTGGATCAGCCGGTGGATTTGTAATGCGGCTGTCCTTGCTAACTTGCACTACTCTACGGACTTTAACTTGTCAGGCGTGACTCCAAAAACTTCCACGTTTGTGTTGCGAAATCCCCATCTTGACTCTGGAGTGGGGACGTTTTTGCTCAGGATAGAAAAAGTACCGCGAGAAGGTGTCGCAAAACGTCGCCGGTAGAGTAGAATACATTTTTATTTAATATGATGTTTCATTTTCATCGTCTAGTAGTACTTCATTGAAATCGACGTCATGATAAAGAAGATGTTGATCTCGTGATTTTTGCAAAACGGGTGCCCGTCGCCCACAAGTTGTTGTGGTAGAACGGTATTGAATGCAAAGATCTAGTACTGGTCAATGTGTAGTACTACGACAGGGATAAACAAGATTTGTTGTCTGGTGAATTATCTGATGCAGTGGTTCATTTCGGAACAGATGAAATTCAAAGTCGTGCGTCCTCAGAGTCGTGGTGCGAAAGATAAGTACGAAACTACCACACGAAAAAATTGTCAAAACAGCTGTGTGGGATTACTACCTTGGCTTGGCCGGTGACCTGTGGGACGTGCGGGACTCGGGTAAGCTATCAAATGCATAAATATAATGTCTGGACACGACCTGGAAGAATGCAAAGGTTTGTGATCATGCAGCTTTGGCATCATGACCCACAAGGTCTACCATGCACGACGCCCTAGCATAAGCATCTTCACAGGTTTCGAGAACAAGTGAGTAGATGTCTTAATGCGTTGTAATCCGCATGACAAATAAGCCCTTCTTTCAGTGGCCTGAATTTGTGCAAGTGTTGGCTTCCATGCATGACAGATTTTTGTGTGATGTGAAATGCGCATCACAAGCTCGCATCTTTCCAGACATGATCCGTGGATATTTGCAATGCATACAAGCACGTCCATGACGAAATCCGGATCGAGGCGAAGTAAATTTCGGGATGCTACAACATCGATTCAGGGCATAGAAACTTTCTGTTTCCAAGAACTTTGATAGATATTCTTTCATCACCATTGCAGAGCCTAAGGCTATTAAAACAACTAGCCTGATGGTCTTGTCAAATCTAAAATTTACAGACACGACCGTTTCAATTTTTGTTTATTTCTCCTACGCAGTAGATGAAGAATCCAAACACGACAAACAGATAGAATAAGAATTCTATTTTTCTATAGATCGACGCGTTGATAATCGGACACTTCAAGAAGAGCCTTCAACATCCGGTACTACGATTTATTATCAAGAGAACATGAGCAGAAAACTGCATCAGCAGAGTTGACTCGCAAAGCTATTATAACCTTCGCGCTTCGCTCAGCAGTTTGGATAGGTGGATGTTGCAAAAAAATTAATGCTTGATACAGTACTTCTCTACCACGAAATGTAAAGGGAGGCTCTGGCTAAAAACTACCCGTGAATATGATTCAACATCCTTTTTTTAATGTTTTAGCATCCATCGTTTTTATTTTCGGCAAGAACTACTTTCTCATGTTCAATGCAAAGATTTCATCCACCAACGACAGCGTCAAGGAGTGCTGTTTTTACATGCTAGTACTTCTAAATGTATGACACCCTTTCAACATCATGTCGCCAGGAGAAGCTTCGACTGGAAAGGTTCAGTTCACTCCAGCACTTTTGGAATTTCATAACATTTTCAACGTGGACCACAAATGAACTTGAATATAGTTTCCATGCCACCCGCACCTGCACAGCAGCTGCGACAGGGTGTAGTAGTACCAAAAATATCGGGATAAGTAGTACAGTATATGAGTTTATTCCATACACGATTTTGAAGATGTACGGATTATAGCACGCACAGTGTCCGACTTCCCGAAAATAAATGTTGGGTTTTAGTTTGCTAGATGCAATTGAAAATTTTACCCTGTCCCGCTGCCGTTTTTCCTAGCCGAGAACTAGAACTACTAATCCACCACTCCTATGAATTCGGAAAAATGTGGTTTTTCATTTTCCACTCCGATGATCTATGGAAGTACCACAACTGCGCAGAAGTGCCTTCTTAAAAACCTGCTTGCTTTTTCTCAGCAACAGGCCTACTAGGTAAAGCCTACCATTTCATCGCCTTCTGATTGTTTCAGTTTCTCACTATGATTTAATGCGAGGGCAAAATGTTTCCAAGGCGGAAGCATTGAGCTGAACAGCGTTCAAGGACCAGTGCAAAAACATATGCATCACAAAGGAAACTGCGCTTTTACAATAATTCGCGAACTTGTTTTTGGTTTAGAGGTTTTCAGGTTTAGAGTTTCATTTGATTTTTATTTGCTTCTTATTTCGATTTCCCGTGCACAGGAACAAGAACGACCTTACTGTTGTCAATATTAAAAATCGCCCAGCACATTTTTAAACTGACTTCTCTAGAAGAAGTACTTTTTTCCACGAGCTAGCAATCAGTTTCTCTCTCTAAAGCATTTTTTGGTCGACGGCATAACTTCGATCAAAAAAGTACAAATATTTTTCTTCCGCGAACTTTTTTGCCATATCATTGGCTTCAATTTTATTTCTCTTTTTTTATACGAACATTTACAAAAGCTTTACAGCGCACAGCTGTCGTGAAAAAGATTTTCAGGTGCTATAATTTTATCACAGAGAATCACAACAACTTTTTTTAGTACCTGCACACAGAATCATCGGCAAGAAATATTTGGGACGTGGTCCGCATATGGTGATCGGCCACGGGCGCAGCCGGGCACAAAAAATTGAATGATTGATTTCAATTTTCTTTTCTAGTCGGCTTTGCGTGGTTCCGTTCTCGAGCACGATAGAGTTGTTGTAAGGCGGAGGAACCTCTGCGTGTGGTGAAGAAAAATCGCAGATGCGACAGATCAAGCTACGATAGTTGTCCCCTGCTTATCATGCTCGAGGCTGTTGGAGGGCGCGTCGGAGACCAACAATTGTGAGCTGTTGGAAATTATCAAATGTAAAAATGTCTGGGTCTGGAAGAATGCAAGTTTGTCATGCTTGTCTGTCATGACTCGAGAATCTGTGTTGCATAGGCACGAAAAAGTCCTCTTACCTGTCATGCAAAAAGGCAGCTTGCCATGCGGAATACGTAAGACATGGCAGCCAAATTATTGTCATGCATAGCTGCGTATTGCAGTGCGTCTATCATTCACTTGCATTACAAGTTTCCAGACCCAGACACTTTTACAATCCATATAAATGAACTTTAGGCAATTGATTTTCTTGTGATGACAGAGGTGATCATAAGTATCGGCTTGATTCGGAGGTAGTACAGGAATATCAAGTGGAGCATCATGATTATGATTAGTTGTGAGAAACAAGAAACGAGTCCAAAATCAATGTCATTTGCCTTATTTTTTTTTTATGGAAAAGAATAGAGATTTGGAAATGAAGCCAGATTCTGCCAGGGCCGGCCTTGGGTCGAGCGTCCAGTGCTTGAGAAATCCGCTTAGAAAAAAAAAATGTTCAACAGAGATGACCTGCGTTTACATCGGATAAAGCATCCATATTGTATTGCTCTTTGTTCTCTGCCTCACGCTGTCCACTATTGCTTTGTCGGTATTTATTTTCTGTTGATCGACGAGAAAATTATTCTCGGGTGGGTCATCAGACACCATTCTGACCAATGTCGAAGCTGTGCTCGAGAAAAGCGAAGTCGTCGTGATACTATTCTTGTACTATTTACTAGCTGTTATCCGTGTGACCGCAGTATTTGTACACGATCGCAGCCGTGCCGCTTGCTGTAGCAAAGGCCACAGACTCTAGAGCAGGGGAAGGAGGGGAGTGGGAAAGGAGGGAAAGGGGAAGGGAGCGAGCGGGGGAGGGGGGACGCAGAAAAGAGGGTGGGAGCCGGAAAGAGGGGGGGGGAAGGGCAGCAAGGTCGAAGGAGGGGGGGAGCCGGGAAGGCGGTGCCAAAGCGAAGGAGAGACAGCAGCAAAGGGCGAAAAGGAAAGGGAGAAGAGGGGCAAAGAGGTGGAAACAGGGGAAAACGCTTTAAAGAGGGGTGAGCAGCAGGGGGGAAACGGGGGGAAATGCGAAAAAAGACGGGCATGCCAGGGCAGAGAGGTAGAGAGAAAAGCGGAAGCAGAAACATTGAGGAGAATTCGTTGGGTTTGTTCCGAACGGGAGAAGGAATTCTCCGGACATGAGGAGGTTTCCAGGGGATTTCTGGTATGCCGTCTACGGCGTACTGCTGCAGAGGAGGAAGCTGGTAGTAGAATTCNAAGGGCGCAGAGGGGCAAGGAGATGGAAACAGAGAAAAACGCTATAAAAGCAGGCGAAAACGGGGGGAAATGCGATAAAAGGCGGTCCCACCGGTGCGGAAGCAGGAATCAGGCGGCATTGCTGGGATTCCGTGGGGTTTGTGCCTAAAGGGCACGGGAGAGTCCCGGTAGAAAGATGACTTCTAACCTGGAGTTCCCAGGCGCTTTGCGGTAAAATAAAAAGGCTAAGTGCGGCGTACTGTTTCACAGGCGGAGGCTGCCGATGCAAAATCCGTGTTCCACAGGAGGAGGAGGGGTTTTGGATCCCCGACCCGGGCTCGGGTCCCCCTTCCTCGAGAAAGGGACGCGGGGTCTTCCCTTCGGGAGGCGGGGTTCTCCCCGGCCCCCGCGACCCCGGGCACCCCCCCCGGACCCCGGGGAACCCCCCGGACCCGGGGGTCCCCCCCCCTCCCCCTCCCCTCCCCCGGACCCCGGGGGTCCCCCCCCCTCCCCCTCCCCTGATAATTCACGCTGCTCTTTTCGTATAGTATAGGAATTGTCCCGAAACACCTCTAATTGTGCCGTCGCTCCTTTTTGATGAAAAATTCGCCTGGGTTGTTCTTCTAGCATAGTACTCAGTTTATTTTTTTACCGACTCCTTGTATAACTCCACAGTCAGAGGAATAATTATCTTTTCGTACAAGGATCATGATCGGTTTTTGCCACACTGCTGCTCTCCCTGGCCGCGCAGCACAACTATTGTGATGCTGGTCGGGTTATGCATTGCAAATATCGAAGATCTGGGTCTGGAAGTATGCCAGGTTTGTCATGTTCGCTCGGTCAGCATGAGAAGTCTCAAGTCTGTCATGTGCGTTTTTTTAAGTACCCGAACGCCCCAGTTTCTTTGCTGTCATGCAGAAAGACCGCGCCTTGCGATGCAGAATGGGCAACACATAGTACTAGCGACTCGAAAACTTCTCATGCTTCGCTGTCCATCGAGGCCGGCGCCCTCATCACTGTCCAACCCGCATGACAAGTTTCCAGACATCCATTGATATTTGCCGTTGATATCTGTATTTGTGTGCGTTTTTCCTGTCGGGGTCGCTGCTGGGTGGCGCGGACGGGAAGAGGGCGTTAGTACGCGGTCGTAGAGCAGAGGCAGCGGCAGCAGGATTGTACAGGGCGGCAGTGATACCCTGAGGAAAAACGTTCCCACCCCAAAGTCAAGAAGATGGCAGATTCATTGCGACACGAACCGAGAAGTTTTGGCTGTAGCGCATGACACGCACCTTGGGTTTCTTGTGTAGAAGCCGTGTTTAGCTACTAGTGCAGCAGCATCACAAAACGAAATGGATCTTCAGCTGACCCTGATTGTAAGTAGCGCGGCGCTAAATGATTTCGAAACAGCACTAGCAAAAAATGCCACTCACGTTGGAGTCGCGCGTGAGAAACAATTTAGGCATGCAGATTTGCATGCCAATAAACATTGGGTGCGGATGTTTGTGTTTACACTGGATAAGTAAACCGGGTGATTTTTCGGTACCGGTATGGTGCGCTCAAGCTCACGCCCGGGGCGTCTTCCAAGAAATTTTTTGGGAAGCCAGGCCAGCAAGCCTTTGTGGATGCGGTGCGGGGAAATCCTGACCAAGCCCGGTTTGGGGTAAACTACGAACAAATCTGGGAGAAAATGAAGGACATCGATATGCCCATCGATATGCGCGATGACCCTCAGAGGGAGAGCATCAATGCGTCCATGGACCTGGATGCTGCGCAAGAGTGGGCAAAGTATTGGTTTTATGCATTGCAACTATGTAGTCTGGGTCTGGAAGAATGCCAACTTGTGATGCGCATTTCACAACACATAAAAATCTCTCACGCATAGCCAGCAAAAGCTGCCCACATTCTGTCACGAAAATGGGGCTTTTGTCATGCGGATTCGGCATTGCGGAAGCTTCTCGAAACCTTTGCTGCTAGAGCTTCCATGCCAGACCTTCTGCGTCATGCAAAAGCAGCATGGTTCTTCCAGACCCAGACATATTTGCATTTGATAGGTTTCAGCCCAGCCGCGCGGTCGCGGATGCGCTACACAAGGCGCACCGCAAATTTAACCTCTCACAGCATCTGTGTGCAAGCCAGAAGGAAGAGCTTTGGAAAGCTTATTTGGTTTGGCTGGAAAAGCAGGGCATTCGTGGTCTCGACGGTGTTGAAAACGGGTGGACTATCGACTTTTGGAGCCAAAAACTCACCGAGCTGGTGAAAAACGAGATCATGCAGATTTTTAAGTCGGGCCCATTGCCGGGCAAAGGACCGGCGCGCAAGTGGAATCAAAGGCACAGCTTGGCTCTGCCAAAGAAGCTCACATCATTGGAGGTACAACAACTGCAGAGGCAGTGTCCTGCCGCTACGCAAGGGCGGGCGGCTCCAGCTTCTCCTACGTCCTCTCCGCCAGCGCAGGTGCAGATTCTTATTGACGAGCAAAGCCGACTGCCAATTGTTTCTTAAAAGCGAAGGTAGATTTGTTTCGCCAGGACGAGATCACGCAAGAACTCTTGACGTAAGAAGAGAAGGTAGAGGGTAAAGAGTGATCTATAGAATTATACACACGAACGAAGTAGTAGTAGGAGGAAAAAGGAGAACTCGAGTTACAGTATGAGTATGTACTAGCTGACAACACCTGATCCTGAAGAAGTCGTGTGCGTGCTCTTTTAAAAAGAGAGGGAACTCCCCCACACACGACCGATTACACTCGTTACGCGGTAGACCACACTAAGAATCAGTATAAGACATACACTTTATTTTCGAACAAATTTGAAAAGTTTTCAAACGATCGTTGAAAACTATAGAAAAACAAATCAAGATTTGGAGTACTCACTGGGAACGAGTAAGACGAGAAACGCGCAGGCTGTGCGAGTATGTAGATCATGTACTACTTACTATGATGTACAAGCTGACGCACTTCTTAACAAGTATTCTTACCCGCTGATACTCGGTCCAGGCACTACATGACCCAGCCGTCCGTGCTGTGCTGGATATTTTTATGAAATTCGAACCTCCGTGAACGAATTCGAACCCAAACCTCCGCACGCCCCCCCCCCCTAGTGCAGGATAAATGATGATGATGAAATTGAGATCTTTCTTTTTTGTGAGCGGCATCAACTACAACAAGAAGCTGAAGATGCCAAAACATAAGAACGCGACAACTTAGGCCTGAAGAGAACTCCTAAGCCTTATGCTGTCTCGCTGAGTCGCAAAGTGGTTGCGGCCGTTCTTACACAGTCCGTCGGTCGGACGTTGTGTACAAAAACAACAGCTAAACAACCTAGAGAGCAACAGTTGAACCGAAAACAACAGGCTAAAGCACAAGTGACCCCCTCGCAGGGGTATCTATTCGCTCACAATATATATAGAGTATTTTATAGGCAAGGGAGTGAAACTTCGAAGGGAGTCAAGGGAGCCAAGGGAGGAAGATAAAACTTGCACAAATTGCCTCCCCTAAAATCATCGCAAAAATGCATGCTATGGGCGCACTTACCGGGCACCGGTTTGGGCCCTGCTGCCCCCCCCCCCCCGCTGCGGCCCGCGGTTTGGCCGCGTTTAGGCATTAGCTCGCTGACGAAGGCCCTGGCCTCTTGAAGAAGGTGAGGGCTTCTAGAGTCGCCCCCGTCAACAGAAGTCGCCGGGGCGGCCGGGCCTCTGCCTGGCAACATAGAGCGTGGAGCCGAAGGAACGCGTAAACTGTTGCCGTGGCCATGTCAAGTTTCCGCTGTCCAGGGGAAGTTGAGGCAGCCACTTCAGCAGTTTGCTTGTCGAGATCTTTCGCGCGAGGTTCTGCGTGACCAGATTCAACGTCATGCCGAACAGAGAACACGAACGCAGTGGAAATGTTGAAGCGGCCACTTCGACTTTCTCCAATCGGGAAAGAGTTGCAGTGGCCGTCAGAACGCGCCGTAAGTTTGAAGCTCACACGCGTGGCATATCTTTCTAGCCTGCTTCGCATTGATGCTTCGCACTGATGCTTCGCATTGATGCTTCGCATTGATGCTTCGCATTGATGCGTCGCAACATTCCCACACGTGGGCGCATGTCCTACATGCTGCACGTGCCTCGCCGCGCGCGCGCAGCGCGCGGCCCGAAAAATTTTTGTGATGTGCGCACAGATGTCGAGCCGCGCGCGCGCAGCGCGCGCCGCGAAGAATTTTTGCTATAATTATGCCGATCGCATTGGCACGCGCGACTGCTTTTTTAACTTACTCCCTTGACTCCCTTGGAAAGTTGCGCTGTACTCCCTTGGCTGGCGCCAGACACTAATAAACCTAATATAAGAAATTTTGTATGATATTATTATTAAGGCTCCTGGTAGCCAGGCAGTGGCATCCGCTAGAGGGCAGGATGCACGATGTGAAGTCCAGCAGAAGCTGCTTCATATCGAAAAACCTTGGTAAAATTGACACGACGCTTAATATAAAGCGAAAAGCGAATTAATGCTGCCATCAGGAACAAGGAATCAAGATTGTCGGCGTGCTTGATGACGCCCGCCCCTGTAAGGGACACACAGGCTCCTCCTTGCTAGATGCGTGGAGTTCCTGCGGATTTTATTCGCATCCGGCAAGGAACGCTGTTCTACTTTGAGGAGCACGTACTAAAACAACTGTTCATCTACAGCAGCTCCTCAGAAAAAGCCAGGAAACAGCAGCAAGACGTACGGGGAAGAAGTAGGCAGCTGCTAGAAGCTCCAACTGCTGGTGCCACAATACTGCAGGTGGCGCCGTGCAAAATAAAGAAGAAGAAAGTTGTGCTACAACGAGCGGAGATCATGTGGCGTCCGGATAATTATAATAGTAGAGTGTAAATAAAAATTGAAATTCTTGATAGATCGAGGAGTAGAGCAGGAAATGGTTTTCATCGAGAGTGCGGTTGTAAGAAGACCAAGACTTTGAAGAAGAGAGGAGTTTCTGTGAGGGTAAGAGTTTTTTCAGTTTTACTTTATCTGATTTATTTCAGTGAGGGAATTATAGTCAATGTTGAATGATTATCCACCCTCGTGCTCTTTTCGAAGAGGCAGGACCGCACAGAAAGAAAAGAATGCAGCGTCCTCTGCTCTATCAAATGTAAAAATGTCTGGGTCTGGAAGAATGCAAGTTTGTCATGCTAATTTTGGATTCTAGAAAAATCTGTATTGCATGACCAGCAAGAGGAGCCCAGTTTCTGCTACGCGGGGAGGCCATTTGTCATGCGGAATAGGCATCAAGAAGCACTCAGAAAATCTGTGATGCCAGGGAATACATCACAGACGTCACGGGCCATGTAAAATCTGCATGACAAGTTCGCATTCTTCCAGACCCAGACATTTTTACACTTGATATGCTCGCGTGAGCACAAACACGACCACGCTGCTGCGGAGAATTTGAAGAGGAGCAGGTGTTCCTGCCCTCAGGGGGGCCCAATGGCTTGCGCCGCGCTTCAGCATTGTGCACCGAAGCCCGCAGGGGGCCCAATGGGGCAAATTGCCCCAGGCGCCGCGATCTGGAGGGATCACGACGCCCACGGCGGTTTTGCGCGGGGCGGGCACTTGACAAAAGCGCCGCGGGACGCTTTGGCAGGCTCTGCGCTCTTGCACCGGCGGAGCTTTTGTTTCCCATGGTGCGAAAGCTCTTTGTCTCTCGAGCAACATCAACAGCACTCGCGCTCGGGGTAGATATAGCGTTTAGGCATTCGAGCGCTTAAATTCACGGAAACGCAGATTGCAATCTGCGTGAGCAAATTTGAAATTTGCTCTGGGCAAATTCAAACTTGCTCACGCAGCTTCACAGACAAACAATCAGTTTAGCCATTCGAATGCTTAACTGCTTGAAAATAAGCAGTCACTTTAAGCATTCGAATGGCTAATTGACTGGTTCTCTTTGAAGCTGTGTGGACAAATTTGAAATTTGCTAGAGCAAATTGCAATCTGCGTTTCCGTGAGTTTAAGCGCTCGAATGCTTAAAGTGCGATTTCTTAGATTAGGCGCTCGAATGCTTAAACCTTATAAACGCGATTTCCTAGATTAGGCATTCGAAGGCTTAAAACAAAGAATGTGCCGCGCGATTAAAAGTGTCACAGAGGCTGCGGGCCTTACCCAAGTAACCTCTGCTCGCGTGAGCACAAACACGACCACGCTGCTGCGGAGAATTTGAAGAGGAGCAAGAATAAGGTAACAAGGAATCTAGACGCGACCGGGGGGGTCACGTCCGTCCGGCCGGCCGGACGGACGGCACGTGACCGGGGGTCGGTCGTGGCGCTAGGAGGTGGTGGCCGCGGTGGACCGCGCGCCCGGGCAACTAAAAAAAAAAAAAGGTCATGAGCTCGGTCCTTCACTGAAGAACTGCCTCTCTTCGTCACGCTCCGCCCCCGGTCACGCGGCCGGGGGCTGTTAGCTAGCTCGGGCGCCCAACTAAAAAAAAAAGGTCATGAGTTCGGTCTTTCGCGGAAAAAGGCACGACTCTTGCCCCTGGTCCGCCGTCGGTGACGCGGCCGGGGGCTTCTAGCTACCGAGGGCCAAAGTTGCTGCGGCATTCAGCGCCGAACTCGCCGCGAGGCCGGACTACCCCCGGTCACGTGCCGTCCGTCCGGCCGGACGGACGGATGTGACCCCCCCGGTCACGTCGAGGCTCCCTGTTACTATATTCCAAGTGTCGGTCTGTAGTTGGCAATGGGAGACTTCGACAGCCATATAGATTCGGAATAGATTCCACATAGATTTGAAATAGATGGCTTCTGTTTTCCGAAAAAGCGTCTGCAGTTCTGCAGCACGCGATCGAACGGAGAATAAAAACAGTCACCGAAGTCGCAAGCTGGGCGAAAAATGAAAACAATTCTGACCAAAATTTCCCGGGCCGATGAGAAGTGGCCACAAGGTGCCTGCCCTAGCCCGAAAAAGTGGCCAGGTGAAGGGGGTAATCTTGCAGCGCAAGCGCCGCGCTATGCTTTTAGTTGGGCCTAGACTCTCGGACCAAGTAAGAGCATACCCTGGCGCCTGGGAAAAAGATTGC